GTAAAGGTCCAAGCGTACCGTCGACGGGAGCGGAGGTGTGCCCAGGTGATGAGGAGTTGGGCTCGCCAGAGACATCACCGTGGTGCCCAGGTGATGAGGAGTAAGACTCGTCAGGGTCATCACGAGGGGGAATGCCAAGGGGATCAGGGCCGGAGCTGGACGCTAGAGCCTTGAGAATGGCGGTGGCAGCGCTCGAAGGCGGGCCGGCAGACTCACAGTCATCAGCAAAGGATATGGCAAAACAGCCTGCCGCTGTTTCAGAACGGTGGGAGTAAGATCCAGGCTGAGGCCCTCCGAGAGATGAGGCGTCAAGGAGATTTGTTGCTTCATCAACATCACCACAGAGTGAGGGAGTGGGTCGAACGTGTGCCATGACGTTTTGGCGAGACAGCTTGGCAGCAGGAAACGCAGGCACAGGCCGGCGGCCGGGCCTCACAAGACGGTCAAGCAACCCAAGGTGAGCAACAAGGCCAGCTGAAGGTCTGTCACTAGGGTAGCACCGGACGCCAGGGTTACCAGGGTTCTCCACTGAAGCGACACGGTAACGATCATGGTCGAACGAAATGCGCAGTTTGCTGATGTATCCGGTGCCGAGAATACACTTCATGCTGCACTTCATGACACAAAATGTTTCAAGAGTAACGACACCCAGGAAAGTGACAGGGAGAAGCGCCCAGAAATCAACTTTTACCTTGGCTCCGTTTGCGACTGTGGCGTGGGACTGTCCGTCAGAAAAAACAATCACCCGGTCAGGGGTGACACCAGCCTTCGCGAGTACAAGGGCAAAGAAATCAGTGTCGATGACGTTGTTAGACGAGCCACTGTCAAAAAGGGCGCTGGTCTGTTGGTCGAAAAGAGCAATGTTGTCGGTGAAGTGGGGCGAGAGTGGCCTACCAACTTTGTCGTCGTACAGCTGACGGTCAATGGTGGTGAAAACCTCCTGAAGACGACCGAAGGTGCCAGAGTTGAGCTCATACGGTGTGGACGAAATCACGTTGAGCGCAAGATCCATGGCACACTCCATGAGATCGTCCCCGAGCTCAAGAGCGATGGCTTGGATGTCAGGACCCGCAAGCCGGTGCCGCTGGTGACGGAAGTTCTTCCAAATGTACTTTGTGAGGTCAGGGCACACCTGGAGAAGCTCAAAAAGAACGAGGCCATCAACATCCGACGCCTTGAGGATGCGCTCAAACAAGTCTGCTTTTTCCGATTCCGGCAGAGCATGAATGGCCTCAAGCTTGAAGAGAGGGAGACGCCCAGCCTTCAGCAAGGCATTGTCGTAACGAGGATGATCTCTGGTGAAGAGAGCCTTGGAGTCCTCTAGGTCAGACGGGAGGCGGTCCAGAGCATCCTTGTAATCTTTTAAGGGTGCATTCTCCGCAACGGCAGAGGCATCGTGGATGTGGTTGGTGACACGGGTTCCAGGGCTCACGTAGTGGTTATCACCCAGACGGGGGGGGTGAACAGCCACACGAGAGCTGGGGACGTCAACAACAGCGCCCGTGGAGGATGCGGAGTCAGTCGGCCCCACTGAGGAGGGATTGGCTACAGCCTTGGTTCGCTTAGCAGTGGGGGGAGCAGCGGAAGATACCGTAGAAGAAGCGGCACCACGTTTTGTCGCTTGAGGCAAAGCAGGCGGGGGCATGTCTTCACGGACATCACGACGGGGGCTGCGTCGCGGCAACGGAGCCACTGGTCTGTCAGGGTGCTTGCTGTCGACAACAGTTTTCAAGGCGTTGATGTTGGTCTTGAGAGACTGTCGGCGAGGATCGCCTTCGGTGGCGTAAGCGGGCTCCATGAGGTCATTTCGGACTGTAGCGAAACACTCGTAAAGCTTCGTAGGCAATACTACGTTGTACTTGTTGAGCAATCGCTGGACCGCATCAACAAAGTAGACACGGCCGGCAACTGGGGAAGACGGGGCCATAACAGCACCTACAAAACCCGCTTCAAGCGTGGAGGCTTTGAACGTGCCCGGGGGAGCAGTTAAGCGAGCTACGAGCTGCATGAAGGCTGGGTGTGCCACAAGGCGCTTCATGTTGCCACTGTAGGAGCCTGACACAGGCGCATCAATTGCGTAAGTGACGGGGAGGGGTGTGGGCTGTTTTTCCATCTGGAGAATGTGCTGGTGGATTGCCTCTTTCGTGAGCTCAAGCTGGGAGTCAGTGGAGTCAATGATAGTGCGAGGCTCGTCGTAGGAGGAAAACGTATCAGACAGAAGATCTCGAGGCACCCCTCCTAGACAGACACTGAACGTGCCGGGTTGGAGAAGGTCCTGGAAGTCATAACCAGACGCAGATGAGTCAGAGTCATAGCTGTTATCCAAAGGCCCGCCTGGGTCTTCAACGTGTACAAATTCAACGGCATTTACGCGGCCAGCTAGGGCAGGACGCCACTGCGCATTGAAAGTTCGAAGTCTAGGCTCCATAAGCGGATTCGACCATTCCTTCTGCTTCCAGGAAGTGTAGAGAGCGCTCTGTTTTAGAGGGAAGTCAGCATCAACAGGCGATAGATACTTTTCAAAACCCTGGTAGCCAAGTCGGGTGAAAGACTTGAAGCTGCCAAGGTACTTGGCCTTGACCAAGGGGCTGCCTTCGGAGTCATCGCAGTTGACCAGTGCATGGGCAGTGGAACCACAGAAAACACAAGGAGCCTTGTCAGCTGCCCAGGAGGTTGAGGCATCCGAGGCACGGATTGTGGGTTTCTGCACAGTCTCAGTTGAGACAGGGCCGTCGGCAGGCTTCCTGGTGGAACGACCACGTCCCGCAACGTGAACGACGACTTTGTCAGGTTCAGGCGTGGAAGGCTCAGGTGGGGCGGAAGGCTCGACCCACATCCACACGTCTTCGAAAGATACCGTGTGCTGTCGCCATCTCAGAAGAGCCTCATCATTGAGATCGTCAAGTCGTTGGACATGTTGGGTGATCATCTTGGCGAGGGGCTGGATGAGCTCCGTGGCAACTTGATGGTCACGCTCAGGGTCGGAGTCCATGCCAAGGCTCAGCCAACGAGTGTTGTCACGAGGGATCTCGCGTCCGAGGGCGGTGCCCAGGTGAGTCGGAGCGAGCTTCTGCAACTGGAGACACCGAGAGAGAACCGGCAGAGGTGAGGAGGTCAGAGCGGTGCTCAGAGCAGAGAGGTACGCACGTAGTGTCTCGATAGAGAAAGCGGTGTGGTAATCTTTGAACCGGAAACGGAGTTCCTCCTCTTGTTCAGCAAAGGAGACAGCAGGTTCGTGGTCAAACCCGCGCTTTCGAAAAAGGTCCCGGAGGAGACGTTCGCAAGCGGTGTTCAGACGAGCGTGGGCACCTGGCTTGGTTGATTCATCAGCAGTCTCTGCTTCAAAGGTGCTTCGGAGTTGGAGGTACTGTTGATCGAAGAGGGGCTGCTTATCGTTGACACCGCACCAAAGGTGGAAAGCCCGAGCTCTGGTGCTCCAACGGATGTCATCCTGGAGTAGGATAAAGGTAGCCACCCGGGAATCAAAAGATTTGTAAGCGTACAACTGTTTTCGGAATTCTTCGCTGGACAAGGAGGGGTAAACCTCGTTCCGGATGATGGACTTGAGGGCGTCGGATTCTTTTCGATAGTCAACAGAACCCGTGTCACTGGCAGCAAAGTCCATGCCATGTAGGACAGAGTTACCCTTCTGGGGGGTGTCGGGTTCAAATTCGGAATCAGCCTTGCCAATACGGGAAATGCCTTCAAGGGAGCTGGTGCTCGGGGGTGAGTCGACACGCTTGCTGAGGTTCGCGATGGTTTCGTGCTGGGCCGACACCAACTGGTGCAACTTTTCAAACTCCCCAGCCTGATGTGTCTTGAAAGACTCATTTGACTGCTTGAGCTCGTCTAAGGCTGAGCGGAATTCCTTGGTATTAACCGCGGTAGCGAGAGTAGTGGTGATCTCCTGGTGGGAGAGCGTCAAGGCGTCCATCTTCGCGGTGAGAGCCTGGAACTCGTCTTTTGTTACTTTCGACATGGTGAAAACGAAAGAACGGAAAGGGAAGTAAAATACGCTGGTACGACAGTAAAGGCACAATAAATCTGGCAGGCTATCACTCGAAACAAAAACGAGGTGTCGTCCACCAGATGTGAGAAAATAAAGTGCTTTGTGCGTACCAGGGATAGGGTAGGTAGTGAAATCTGAGTTAGTACATCAACTCTAGACGATGGGCGTCGCCTGTGTAGAAGAACAATAACTCACCCGGTAACTAACACTATTTCTCGGTGGTCAATGCGTCAGAAGATATCAAGACGGTCCGTTTTGCGTTTAAGCCGAGTGAATGTTGCCTGCCGTTAGTAAATTTATTATGAAAAACCCCACTATGAATACATCAGCCTATACTGATATACCAAGAAGTGCAAGGGAGGTGGTCCTGTTCCACCTGAACGCGGTTCCCGACAGGCGGCGGTACTGAAGGGCTTTGTGAGAGAGGTAACGCCGATTCTCTCTGCAGTCGTAAGACCCAGGTGGTGTGTCCGAGGCAGTATCGCTTTCCCAACTCTAGTAACCTCGGTAGTGTGAGACACACTACCCCTAACGGTAGGACAGCCGGACGACGATGGCGCAGCAATTGGCGAACGCTGTTATAAAACAATTCACTTACGTGCAATGAAAGTTGTTTGGGCAATAAACAATAAATGTATTAGAGCCAGACGATAGACAACAATCCAGCAGATGATGAGCAGGAAAATTGAGTAAGATCGACGTGGCAAGAAGAGTTACAGTTACGCAGAGTTAATAAGGTGTTGGGAGATTAGAGTTACCCTGTCGGATGACTAACTCTCCAGAGCGAGTGTTACACATACCAGCTGCATACTTTTCTAAACAGACATCGCACCCCGTGCTCAGTCACAGCTAGCAACGTACGATACTTCTGGAGGACCCGTGCGACATAGCGGCAAGTGGGGCTCACGGGATTGAACTGACACACTCGTCTTTCACACAGCCTCCGGACTCACAAGACGGCATTTGAAACGGATCAGAAACACGTCCAAACATGGTCTCACACGAAAAGCTCGAAAAGGGCATGCTCAAGCAGATGGAGCTCCAACAGGTGTTTTTGCCCGCGGAAATCTCCGAGTTCGAGACGCCTCCCACGCCCACCCAGCTCGCCAAACAGGTGGGTCTGGGCTTTCCCATGGTAATCAAGAAGATTGATTTGCCGTGTTTTGGCAAATGGAACGCAGCCTACCTCAAGGAGAAACTGGGCGAGAACCTGGTAGTGAGTATCGCGGAAACCCCGCTGGGAAACGCGGATTCGCCTCTCAACACAACTGACGGATCTGTGTTTGTCAAGCCCCACACGGCAGAAATGCCCTTTGGGGAGTTTGTCGATTCGCTGCAGGGATCAAACAGCTTTGACAGCCACAAGCCGGTGCGATACCTGCAGAACCAGGATGGATGCATGGCCACAGCCTACAAAATTTTGATGGAAGACTTGGTGGACAACTTTGAATGGGCAGACGAGGTTCTAGGAGTGCCTGAATTGGTCAACTTGTGGGTTGGGGACACGCGAACCACCTCGAGACTGCATTGCGACTCATTTGAGAACCTGTATATACAAGTGCGAGGAATCAAGAAGTTCTACTTGATCCCTCCTACCGAGGTGTACTGTCTGGATGAGCAGTTCCTGACTTCAGCTACATATGTACCTGATGGTCAAGGGGGGTACAATGTTGTGAACGATGAGAATATGCCCAAGACGCTTTTCCCTACCGTTAACCCGGCCGATGAGAAGACCCACAACCCCATCTACAGAAAGTATTGCCGACCGTTTGTGGTGGAGTTGCATGAGGGAGAAGTTCTATACATTCCTTCGCTGTGGTATCATCAGGTGCAGATTGTGGAGACCCCCGAAGACGACGCCAATGTGAGTGTCAACTATTGGTATCCCGCCAACTGCGCTATGCCTCAGTACATGAAGCATGACTATCTGAGATACACATCGCTCATGTTGAGAGGATACCAGGATGAGAACTACGAGAGTGATTAGCCCCGAGTCTAGAGAGACAGGCAAAGGAAGGAGACTAGCATTATAATTCCATACATTAATAAGAGAGTAATTCCAGATCATGTGTGTCAACAAGATCAGTAAACAAGTACCTCGGACAGAAGAAGTTTCACTCACACATCCTAGCATGATTACATCACCGTACAATGTCTAATCAGCTGATGTTAGAGGGACATAGCACTCCTGAGGGCGGTGAAGAGCTCTTTATAAACGTTGGATTGCGCATCCTTTGGTAGTATCAAGTAGATTAACACTCTCCACCACAATCAGCCCAAGCAGAGCTCTCATCAATACTGTCCACAACCACCTCTGGCTTCACACTCTTCTCCAAGAGGTGCTTTCCGTTGGGTCCGTCATTCATATCGAATCTTTCCAGTCCCTGGTCGAGATTGTCTGCTAGACCGGCTCCCACGTGTCTCTTTCCCACTCTTTGCCTCGCCTTGTCGAAATCAATGTCGATTCTCCACCGCTCGTCAACGAACTGGTTGATCTTGCTCCAGGGCTCGTAGTTGAGTTGAAGATAGAGCCCCTCGACAATGAGAATCTTGTTTTCCGAATGGACCACGAAGCCGGGACCTGGGTCCTTTTTCGCATGGTCGAAAGACGGCACCTCAACGCCGGGCTTCTCAGTATGCAAATCGGCAATAAGATCTACCAAGGCCTGGGCGTTGAACGTGAATGGCGCTCCCCGTCTTCGGTGAGCCTCGGCAGGATCATCCATTGCATCCAGCTCCTTTCGAGTGTAATGAAACCCGTCCATGGGTACGACTATACTGAGATCGGGCTTGTGTGTGATGGTGTTGATTTTGTCGGCGATTTTTTGGGCTGAGGTGGTTTTGCCCGAGCCGGGGATTCCTACGAGCGTGATGATCACCCGACGCTGTTTGTGTTCGTACAGGTCTAGAGCCCGTTTCGCCAGCCGGTCGTAGATTGCTTCCATGGTGTTGTCAGATGCTAAAGATAGAGTGAGAGTGCAGGAGCCTGCAGCTGTTATCGTGTGGGTCTGGACGGGGGTATTATGTAAGCGGTAGTGTGGGTAGGAGGCAGAGGTGAAAAAGCAAGAAAACTCCTGGATTGTTTCTCTTCGTCAGAGTTGGTTTTTCTCCCTCGAAGCCCAACTTTTGACATTCTTGTACAAATACTTTTACTTCGTAACAATATATAGCCGTTTACTGATGTGTATAAAACGACCATATCAACAAAATACAAGTACAAGAACAAGTACGTAAGAACTCATTGGTCCACAGATCTGATTGTCGGACCTGACTCCAAAGCTTCACATCTACTTGCCGACCTCTTGAGTACGCGTACAACTACAGCTACTCTGCTGGATCAACATTCTGATCAGACTACTGGATCAATGGTATCGGGGAACTTAAATTAACAGTGCACCAACATGCGTCAAAGAACCACTTTTTCCTACGCACTACTGTACCACCCTTGACACACAACAGCCATGGACACCTATATCACCGACAGGGGCATGGTGCACGGCGCACTGTCGATTCATGGAATAAACCCGGCGCTACTGATTGAAAAGATCATCAGAGAACGCATCTTTGAAACACTGTACTGGAAAGAGCTGTGTTTCAATCTCAATGCCGCCACTCTGTGTGATCGAGCAGCAACATTGACGGCCATTGGAGGCCAGTATGCGAATCAAAAACCGACGCCGTTTTTGTGTCTGGTCTTCAAACTGCTCCAGATCCAGCCCAGCCACGACATTATCATGGAGTACTTGAACCAGAAGGAGTTCAAGTACCTGAGAGCGGTGGCAGCCTTCTATATTCGGCTGGCATACCCCCCCGTGAAAATATACACTCTTTTGGAACCACTTTTAGGAGACTACCGGAAACTGCGGTTCAGAAACATGGGTGGCGTGACTCTGACGTACATGGATCAGTTCATTGATGATCTGTTACACGAGGAGCGAGTGTGTGATATTGCATTGCCTCGACTGCCTAAACGACTGACCCTCGAAGATGCTGAGCAGTTGGAGCCCAGAGAACCTCTTATTGACGTTAGTGAGAGCGAAAGCGAGGAGAGTGAGGAGGAGAGTCAAGATGAGGAAAGTGAAGAGGAAGGGGAAGAAGATGATGAGTAGCATAACTTGTAATAACATTTATTTATTGTATAATGAATGATGAGGTAGTGGGATACTCCCCGACAGGTGTTTCTCTTGCCCACTCTTCCCATGAGAAACCTTCGCATCATATAGCTGCAATTATCAGGGAGAGCGTGAAAGAATTTTCAGTATGAAACACACCTTGTACGAGTGATGATTACACAGATGATTGGTACCGCTACTCGTACTTGTAGATATAAATGGAACTAGATCAATATGCGTATTAAATTAATATCAAAATGTACTCGAATCACCGACGACTCCTTTTGGTCGTGTAGAGCTCATACTGCTTCATATGGACTTGGTCCACAGAAGAGTCACCAATAGAGATCAAGTTTCTGTGAAACGACTGAAAGTTGTTGACGAGTATGTATATCGTGTTCAAAATGTTTGATTCATTCACCTTTTTCAAATACATATGTCATCACTATTGTTCAGTGAATTCGGCTCCAAAGTTTTGGCCTTCCAAAAAATGAATAGAAAAACCGATCTTCAAGACACACCGATCACGATACAAGTACTACAGTGCAAGTACAATAATACAAGAGAGACTACAGGCCGCGAGTGGTAATTACAAATATCAATTTTTCTTCGCATAATCTATTGGCTACTAATTTTGATTTTAGAAGTCGTCATCGGAAGAGACGTAAGCATCACCCTGCTCCTTCTTTCGCTTCATTCGCTCCTTCTTCTTCTTTCGGAGCTCGGCAGCGGAAAGCTTGGCCTTCTTCTTCTCGGACACAATCTTGTTGCCCATGGCGTCGAACTTCTCCTCCTCGTCACCCTCCTTCTTTCCAAGTCGGGGACCAGATCCCTGACCAGAGACCCAGTTGTGGCCGGAAGGAGTCATGACACCATCCATAACGGCCCAGACCTCCTCGGTAAGATCCTTGGTGAACTCGGCGGAATGGGTAATGATGACAACACCACCCTCGAATCGCTTGATAGCTCGAGACAGAGCTCCAAGAGAGTCTCGATCCAGATAGTTGGTAGGCTCATCAAGGACGATAAGATGGGGTCGCTGCCAGGTACAGGCGGCAAGCACAAGCTTGACCTTCTGACCACCAGACAGACCTCGGATTCGAGAGTGAGAGACAAGCTCGGGCTCGAGACCAAGGAGGGCGCAGTGGGCCTCAATCTCCTTCTTGGTAAGAGGTCGGAACTGTCCGGAAGCAAGGGCCTCCTTCATATCAACCTCAGCAACCAGCTTGGAGTGGGACTCCATGAGCTCGGATCGGGGGATCCAGGCGTTGTCGACGGAACCCATGGGGATCCACTTCTCGGACTTCATGCCAAGGTTCTCACCGAGCAGGAAAGAACACTCGTACTCGTAAGAGTTCTTGAACTTTCGTCGGGCGTGAACACCAGCAACTCGTCGGGGGGTGCCCTCGATCTTGTAGATCTTGTTCATGGCAGCCTCATCGGAGTCGGTGATCTGTCGGTTGGCTCGGTCCATGGTCTCTCGATCCTCACCGGTCTGGAATCGCCACTGGATGTACTCAGAGGGGGTGGAGTCAAGATGGGAGTCGATATGGGCAAAGGCGTGCTGCTTGATGTAAGCAATTCGACAGTTCTCGTGGGCGTAAACCTCACCGGAGGTGGGGAGCAGCTCACCGGTCAGGACGTTGATAAGAGTGGACTTACCAGCACCGTTGGGACCGATAACGGCAATTCGAGAAGACAGAGAGCACTGGAAAGAGACGTTTCGGATCTGGGGCTTGGTGGTACCGGGGTACTGGAAGGTCATGTTCTGGACCTTGACAATAGCCTTCTGCTTGGTCTTGACACCCTCGAGGAAACCGGGCTCGGGGAAAGAGAAGTTAATCTCGGAGGCTCCAAGCTCGTAGTAAGACTTGGCGGAAGGAACCTTCTTGACAAACTCGGACAGGTTACCCTTGTACTTTCGGAGCTTGAATCGCTCGTAGTGAATGATGTACTCACAGACGTTATCGAGGAAACCAGAGTCGTGGGAGACGATGATGGAGGTGATACCACAGGTGTTAAGGTAGTTGACCAGCCAAGCAACGTTGACGGTATCCAGATGGTTGGTAGGCTCATCAAGCAGCAGGATATCGGCCTTTCGGAGGACGGCAGTGGCAAGAGCCAGCTTCATCTTCCATCCACCAGACAGAGAGGTGATGGGCATTCGGGTCATCTCGTCAGTGAACAGGAAGTCAAGCAGCTGCTTTCGGACCTCCTCCTCAGTACCGATGGACTCACCGGCGGTCTTTCGGACGTAGTCGACAACGTTGGTGTCGGCGTGGGTACCGTCAATGTCGTGGTCGACGAAGACAGTTCGACACTCCTCCTGGGTGGGGAAACCCTCGACCTGACCGTTGGCAATGGCTCGCATCAGGGTGGACTTACCAGCACCGTTAGGACCACAGAGACCGTATCGTCGGCCTCGCTTGAGTCGCAGCTGGGTTCGGTTCAGCAGAATCTTAGCACCGTAAGCCAGAGAGAACTCACAGTTACACAGATCCTCGCCCTCGTCGTCCTCCTCCTCAAAGTTGGTGGCACCGGGGATGTTGGCGATGGCCTGCTTTCGGAGAGACTCAATGACGGTTCGAGCATCCTTCTCGGGGAGAATGGTAACCATGAAGGCAACCAGAGACTCGGCCCAGTCGGCCTCGTGGGTGAGACGCTCGTCAATGAGGTCACCGGAGATGGAGGCAATGAACTGCATCATGAGGCCGAACTTCTTGGTGTCGACCTTGAAGGGCTCGAGCAGCTTCTCGAGGATGGCAAGGTTGACCTTGGTGTCACCGGCGGTGGAAACCTCGGGGATCTTGTCGTCAACAATCTCACCAACTCGCTTCAGGGTGTTGAGAGCTCGCAGAGTAACGTCTCGAGCCTCGGGGTCGGCAATGTTGGCGTAGTTAGTCTTGAGAGCGGGGTAAAGGGTCTCAAGGAAGGGAGCAACAACCTGGGGGTCGTCGACCAGCTTACACATGTTATCGACAATGACGGCGGCCTTTCGCTTGATGGCGGTGTCTCGCTCAGCAAGACCTCGGGACAGCAGAGGAGCCATGATGGAGAGGGTGGCGGTGGTGACCTCGGACACAAAGGTGGTGGCACCGAGAATGTGCACAGTCTCGGGGACCTCGGTGGGCTTGGAGATACAGGCAATCAGGGCGGGGATGAACTTGATGATATCCTTGTTGTCAATGGTGTCGGTGGACTTGGTGATGGTGGCGGTGGCCTGCTCCTTGACCTCCTTCTTGGTGTCCCACATGGCCTCGGAGAGGACGGGGATGAGCTCGGGCATTCGCAGGGCAACCTGGTCTCGGGCAACGGTGACCAGGATGGAAATGCACTCGAGAGCAGCAACCTTCTCGGGCCACTTGTTGGTGTTAACAAGAGACTCGATGATCAGGGGCAGAATGAACTTGACGGATCGAGGAGTGATGCACTGAGCAATATCCTTGGCGGTCTTGGCGGCGGCGTCCTGGATCTGCTTGTCCTTGTCACCGACCTTGGCGAGCACATCAGTGATGGCCTCAACAAGGTAGGGCTCCACGTTGGGGGCAACGGAGGAGGAGGTGGCAAGAGAGTTGAGCAGCTGCAGAGCGTTGAGAACGGCAGCCTGGTCCTTCTTCTGGTTCAGCTTGGCCTTGGTGGCAGCCAGCAGCTGGTTAGGAACATCGTGCTCAATCACGTCGCCCTGGTTAACAAAGGTGGCAACGTTGTTGGCAGCCTCAAGTCGAGACTCCAGAGAGTCGCTGACAGAGAGCTTCTCAAAGAGCTCAGAGAGCGTCTTGTGCGTAATGGCGGCTTCCTTCTGAGCACTCATGGTCACAAGTGATGATGATGAAAGAGAAGAGAAGAATCGGAAACCGTGACGTACAAGATGATAGTTAAAAACTTTTGGTTGCGGTTAGGGTTTCATCCCAATGGGGAAATTTTGGTGGAAAAATTTTTTCACAGACAAAGAGAATCATCGTGCATGTGCTAGGTTAGGGTTTGGGCGCGCATCCTCTCTTGTTGTGTCCCATGTAGTACATTTTATTGGAGGGATGGACTGGGGTGCCAAAGGTGTAAATATGAAGCGTTAGCAATTGGGGCAATGCTTTATATAGAGCCTGGAGGGTGGCAGGTGACGCTCCAATTTCTTGCAACCGTTTTCCGACTTTTTCGACGATTTCACCGACCTTGTTTGCTCTGCTCAATGGCCCTGTTTTATGCCTGCTGTTCGCCACTGGGAGAAGGGCTACGGGGTCTGATGTCAGCACACCCACCTGAGATAAGAAGAGGTGGATTGATCTGGAATGGTCTGGAAGGAACCGAATGGCGAAGAGGGGCTTGATTTGAGGGCAACCAAGTTGTTTGGTTGTTGGCGTGTATCTCGCTGATACTATCGGCGTTCTCGGTCATCACCATCTCTTCTTGTCTACTCACTCATACCATCTCTCCTCGGCTAACACGAGGGGGAGGGGTGCATTAGTGGGTGTGTGTAGTGTTGGAACCCGTTCTATAGGCCGGCATTGAGAGCAACGGGATGGACCATGGCCTAGGACGCGGGCTCAATCCCCCTTTTCCAGCCACTTAGGACTTACCCAATATCTCCCACGCAGCTCCATAGAGGACATTGGCCGTGTGTGGTTGGATCTCTGCATAGTTTTCCTGTAGTATCCAGAGTTGCTGAACCCAAGTATACGGCTGATTGTGGGACAGGGTCAAAGGGTGATGTTCAGTTTTGGGGGTGGCAAAAAAGCTGCCGGACAACGCTTCGAGACCCCAGCCCGAGCTCCATGTGCACTCTCTCTGGAGTGCTAACACGGCCCTCGGACACCCCTTATCTACACCATATCCCTCAGCTATCTCTTCTTTCACCTGTGTTAGACTCGCCAGTCATGCGCGGTTGCCATAAAATTTGATCTGAGCTCCAACCCAAAACGCTCTGTACAACTTGGTGAAAAAGAGTCGAAGGCTGGGTTGCCGGTGGCGGTGGTTTTAGACGACCAAAAAGCCGAGACCAGGGTCAATTATCTCCCCTGGAGACAACCATCTGGCGCCATCTTGGTATGGTGTCCCCCTCTCTTGGTGTCCCCCTCCCCTAACACAACCGTTGTACAACCAATTTACCCACAAATCCAAACTCACATTAACCTCACACATAGGGTTGACCGATGTTAATTTGCAGAGAAAAAAAAAAAAAGACCTTTGTGACGTGGCACACGACCCACTCCAATCGGTGTAACGGTAACGTGCAATTTATCACCTCCACCAGCACAAGAGGAGAGGGTCTGATGAGGGGTATTTTGCGCAACGGTGGCGACTCGCACGCATTCCCCGAAACGCCCACAAACATCTCTCCGACCGCTAGCACCCACGTCTACAGCATATACATGTCAAATGCAACGTGGCGTGTGAGCTTGAGTCGAGCACAGTTGTGGTACTGCCGTTAACGTGTCGCTGGAGCTTTCGTACTGTATCGCATCGTACAGTAGGTGGTGCTTTGGCTGTAACGGTCAGGTGTCCTGCGACGTCATACTGGCGTGTATTTATACCTCTTTGTCCACATGGGGTAGGCGCACCACGTTCGGATTGTCACGCTACGACCGGTACTTAACCCGAGAGCGATGATAAATAAGAGGATAAAGAGAAAAAAAAGGGAAAAAAAGGGAAAAAAAGCAACCTTGTGGGAACGGGGTATAGGAGGCTGCGAAACGTCAAAAAAATGTAATGGCCGCCAAACGAGCCACATGGAACCTATGGACGGGGCATGTTTGGCAGAGAGTGATGGTCCGTTTTTTCTGGTCGAAGTAGTTACTAATTAGTACAGTACTTGCAATCTAGCTACACTTGGAGCATACCAATTACAACGTAGTCAACATCAGTCTAGGGTCGATCTGTGGACTCATCATGAGTCCTTCAGGAGATATCTTTTGAGGAGGTTGAGCGTTGGTCAAATAATGTGTCAACCAGAATTGAAAAATACGAATAAAATACGAATAAAATACGAATAAAATACAAATAAAATACGAATAAAATACAAATAAAATACAAATAAAATACAAATAAAATACAAATAAAATACAAATAAAATACAAATAAAATACGAATAAAATACGCATAAAATAAGAATAAAAAAACAAATAAAATACGCATAAAATAAGAATAAAAACAAATAAAATACGAATAAAGTACGCATAAAATAAGAATAAAAAACAAACAATGGCTTCTCCGCAGTATACTCGGCAGAACTGCCCTGTCCACAACTCCGCAACAGATGGAGACAGTTGGAGTGATGCATCTTTTCCTAGTCTCAGTATGGACATTTTTCATATATCACAGTATGTAGCCACATCTCACAATCAGATAGTAGTTTTACAGTACTTGTAGCAGGTTGGTCTTACCTGAGTGACAGGAACAGCTAATCCCGGACATTTTCTTGGAAGTTATCTCTTGCTCTCTCAAGTTTTTCAACTTCACTCTTCTCTGACATTACACTGCTTCATAGAAACTCCAGTCTTCTCGGACACCATTTCTATTTATGGCAGCGGTGAACGCTACAACACACAAGAATCCCCAAGCCGACGGACAATTAATTGTTCAGTGTGAAAGTTCATATACACTCATGCAATTGACGCTTCAATATTTGAAGAATATTCGCATATAGCTCCACACTATGCCAGAAGCCCGAGCGAATCCAACAGTTCAGCGTTTGTTCAAGACCGACAAGAGCATTGAATGGAAACTAACAAAGTAGAAAGCTCCAATGAACCCGTATCGTCAAACGATAGTATCGAAACTGTCCTATTAGACTAGAGCTGCGTGAAAAGTGACCGTCACCGATGAACGAGAAGATCACCTACACGTGCTGTACGAGTAGTATGTAGAAGTGTCGGGCCCTGTCCGGAGACGATCACGTACATACGGATCGCATGATCTACAGTCGCACAATTCTCTCACAGACTACGTCATCTACGCTCACCTGGTCTTCCTTATCATCTAATATTTCTATACGATTTTAATTTACTCGACGTCGGGAACCTCGACATCGCCATCGGCATCCTTCTTCTCCTTTCGCTTGGCAGCCATCATCTCAGCAAGCTTGGCCTGGTTGGCAGCCTCCTTCTTGGCAACCTTGGCCTGTCGCTCCTCCTCCTGCTTGGCGTTGTATCGGCCCTTGATGAGGTTTCCGATGGAAGCCAGCTCCTCGTACTTGGCAATGTAAAGAGCCTTCTTGGCGTCCTCACCGGCACCGTAGAGCCAGTCCTCAATCTTCTCCATCTTCTCTCGGAGGTTGGCCTTCTCGGCGTCGGAGGCAAAGTCAGCGTAAATGTCCTCCAGCTTGCCTCGCATCTCGTAAATGTACTCCTCGAGGGCGTTCTTTCGGTCCTCGGTGTCAGCAACGAGCTTGTCCTCCATGATCATGGAGTTCTCCAGCTCAATCTGCTCCTGCAGCTGCTTCTGAGACAGACCCAGGCCCTGGGCCTCGATCTTGAGGTCGGTCTTCTTGACCCACTTCTTAACAGTCTGAGTGGGGATCTCTCCGCCCTCCTCAGCGGGCTCGGCTCCCTCAATGGGCTCCTCAACCTCAACCTCCTCGGCAACGTAAGCGTCCTCAATGGTGAAGATGCCGGAGGGGTCCTGTCGCAGCTTGAGCTTGCAGACAGCGGGCTCCTTGCCCTGCATGCCGGAGATGGTCCACTTGCAGATGAACTGGTTGGTTCCCTCGGGCAGAGTGTCGGGGTTGGTGTATCGGGCAGTAACATCAAAGGCAGCAGCTCGGTGAAGAGTGATGACCTTGGTGTTGGGGTAGTAGCCTCCCTCGGGGAAGACCTCGAGCTCAGAGACATCCTCGCCCTCAACGGGGTTCCACGAGTAGGTGACGGAGTTGAGGTTGTAGTCCTCAAACTTGAAGGGTCGGACTCGCATGGTGGGGGAGTGCATGGCACAGATGAAGGCGGCACCTCGAGCGGTGGACTCCTCGGCGTTGGCAGTGTAAGACAGAGGCTTGTTGAAGACCTTGGACAGGACCTCCTTGACAGAGGGGATTCGAGAAGAACCACCAATGACCTCAATGTTGTCGAGCTGATCGGGGGTGACACCGGCTCGCTTAAGAGCCTCCTCGACGGGAATGTGGGCTCGCTTGAGAAGAGGGGCAGCAGCCTCCTCGAGCTCCTCTCGGGTCATGGAGGAAGAGACATCAACGTCGTTCATGACGGACTCAATGTTAAAGGGAGCAGAAGAGTTGGCAGACAGAATCTTCTTGAGTCGCTCGGACTGGGCCATGACTCGGGCAGCAGCCTTGGGGTTGGTGTTGACGTCGATCTTGTACTTCTTCTTGAAGATCTCGGCAAAGTGCTGAGCAATCAGAGCATCAAAGTCTCGGCCACCAAAGTGCTGGTCGTAGGCGGTACCCAGGACCTTGCACTCTCCCTTCTTGAAGGCAACGACGGACACGGTGTAAGAGGAGTGTCCAACGTCGACGAAGCAGACAAGCTTGGGCTTGTCAACGGGCAGATCATTGTTCTTGAAAACACCCCATCCGACAGCGGCGGCGGTCACGTCGTTGGCCACTCGGACGCAGTTAAGACCGGCAATGGCAGCAGCGTCCTTGATGGCAAGTCGCTGCTGCTCGTTGAACCAAACGGGAACAGCAATGCAGATATCGGAGACCTGGGACTTGGTCTCGGTGATGGCGGTCTGCTTGATCTTGTTGAGGTACATACCGGTGAGCTGGGTGGCGGTGAACTGTCGCTTCTCACCCTTGTAGGTGACCTCGGCACCGGCCTGGCCGTCGACGGGGAGCAGCTTGGAAGAGACAAACTTCTGCTGGGCAAGGAACTCGGGATCATCGCCGGCTCGGCCAATGATTCGCTGCAGAGAACCAACGGTGTTCTTCAGGTTGGACACCTCGTTGGACTTTGCGGTCTCTCCAAGGTATCGGTTCTTGAAGGAGAAACCAACAAGAGAGGGTGTGCTTCGGTTGGACACCTCGTTGGCGAGAACGTCGAGGTTGCCTCGCTGGGCGGCGCAGACGTAGGAGTGGTAGTTACCAAAATCCAATCCAATGGGGGTGGTCATTGTGTATGGTGTTGTGATAAAATGGGTATATGGCTAGGTTGTAGATGCCCTGTACTTTTAACACTCAACTGTAGCTGGGCGTGAAAACTTTTATATTTGTCGTAGCTGGAGTTTAACGGAAATTGACTTTTCAAAAAGTTGAGAGCAATCACGCCGGGGACACGGTCGCGGGCGCCTACAAGAGATTCTCACCCTCTTGCCACTGGCCAATTGTCCAATTGAAGAAAAAAATGCCTTTTTCGGCCCATTTTTGACCGCCGAAAATCCACCTACAACAAGGTAGAACCCTCCAGAATAACGTGGAACTCTCCCGAACCCAGAACCTTAATCTTAATATTCACGTGACCGGCCCCGATACAGTACAGTGGCGGATACTACAGTACCGGTCCAGGTTCCAGTTGGCGACTAGTAGAGCACCTGGTGCAAGTGGCAATTGGGGCATTTGTGGCATTTGTGGCATTTGTGGCGATATGGTACACAAGATCGCGCAGCATTATCTTGGTTACCCGCGTAATATCTCCTGCTCGTGTCATCCCTGATCGATAGCGCTGCCTCAGAGCAAGTATCCAAAACTGTCTTAGAACCATACAGTATCAGGCGGATGGGGCGTGTGATACCAGAATGGCGAGGGGCAACGGCGGAAAAGGGCTGTAACAACTTGGATTTCGCCAATTGGCCTCGATTATCGCGATTTCGTACATTTATTCAACACAAGAAAGATGAGATGATATGTTCCATCCAAACTGCTGCACGTGGCTATAGAAGGTGCGGGAACATTCTCCTCCTACAGAAACAATGGCAACCATAGATTATTGTTCAGTACCCGCACGGTGCCACTTTTACTGCCGTACCTGTTTGGCAACAACATGTGCTCTCGTCATACTGTAGTTGCTATGATTCGACAGTTGCAATATGGCTCTCAACGGACTACAAAAATGGTATTTCGAGCGATAAAGTTGACGTCATGATCAGACATCCAAGACATCATTACTGTATGCTGCTAGACTTGCAATTTACTCGCCGCTAAGGATCGGACTTTGATTGTACAGTAGCTACAAGTAGTGCATGATACTTGGACTCGTACTGTACGACACGAGTCGGCATGATAGAAATTGTAATGCACCCATTATATACTCGTCCATCACTGGATGATCAACAGTAGATTGTTCCAGCCCTCACTGGCAACCAACCGACTCACGTCCTCATCCTTCTTTTCCGTAGCCACCTTGGCCAACAACTGGAACTCCTCAGCAGATAGCACACCCATGGACTGAATGTAGCTCAACAGATGGAAGTTGGAAACAGCTCCTCCAGCAGACCCAGAGTCCAGAGCCTTTCCTAGTGCCTGGGGGCTCTGGGTCACTCCAATCAGCTCTCGGTTCTCCACAGGGAAAGACGACAGGCCGGATGAGAACAAAGGCCTGGGGTCCTGGGGGAAGCCATGGGTCAGTGTAACCAACATGTAGTCTACAGGAAGCTGTGGGTTGGCTCCCTGGAGCACCGTCCGTCCGTACTCGTTGTTCTTCTTGTAAAACACGTCGGGAACATATCGTGTCTTTGTAGCTTCCTTGACCAGCAGCACCGACGGGTTGATGCTGGGCTCGATGAGATCTGCGCGGGCCATAGCCTCACACTGCTCAGACACCTGGTAGCACGATACATCAATCTCGCCCTTGGGGTTACCGGAAATCACGGCAGTGACAAACTTGGACGAAAATTCAGACGTTGGTGACCACCGCGACTTGTTGGGGAAACGTGCCTGCATGGCTCCAGCAAATGCCACCTCCAGAGACGACAAAAAGTACGAATCCGCGTGTCGTTTGCAGATGACAGAACCATCTCCATTGCCAGCATCAACCAGATCGGTGAAAATGACGCCCAGAGGCACCAGTCCACACGCCTCGGCAGTGGCAATATGAGGAGGTTGAGGCTGACCGTCTGCCTGGGTAATTTCAGTAATGGTGATACCGTCATACTCACCACTCTGGGCAGGCTCATAGATTGCCTCAACAACAGCCTTGATGCCGAGAGGCACAAGTTCGTAGGGTTCGTAGTGGCCGTACATCCAGCCGATACGCTGTGTTCCGGACTGACGCCAGGGCTCAATAAAGCTGTTGATCATACCTGACTCTGCAAACTCCACATGATCAACCATTCGAAAAGGCTGTGATTGCAGAGTAATAGCCGAGGGCTGGCATCGGGAACAGATTCCTTCGGGCCAGGGAGCATGGGCTCCTGTACAGCTCTTGGACACTCCGAAATCCGACACATTCAGGGGGGCAATGTATCCGCCTCCATTCTTCTTGTTCGCCTGCGAATTGAGCTTTTTGACGTAGGCATGGTAGCTCATATGCTTAATCTTCTGCTCCTTGAGATACTCCTCGTCCCAGGGGTCGACTGGAAGAGTGTCTTCGCCCATACCTCTGGATCCAAACTTTCGCTGCTGGAGTGCTGATAGCTGTCGCTTGATCTTTCCATCTTGTTTCTCGAGATAGTCATCGACAGGCAATTGTTTGGTGGCGTCTCGAATGTGTGCCGCGGTCATTTGGGGAGCGGTTTCGGCCGTCACAGCCTCCACAGCAGCTCGTGGGGCCGAGTCTGTGTAGCTGACAAACAGCATATCACCATGATTAAGCCCCAGCTTCTGGACGGTTTTACCCAGAAGACGAGAGGCCGGTTCCTGCTTGCCTGTGGGTGACGTGGCAAGGGTGATTGTGGCGGGATCGATGTCTGGCAGGTCTTCAGTGAGCTTCTTGAACGCCACATCGAAGAGATCTGTGGGCTGGGCCTCCGCTCGAAGAGTGCCCTTTTTGGACCGGAATCGCAGGATCTGAGTTAGTCTGGGCACAATTCCACAGCTGTTTGTGTCTGCAGTACTCACCATTCTCGAAAGTAGTGGTTGATAGAGATGATGTTGAGATGGAGCTTCCTGTTGCCACTGGGACAAGCATATCCGAGTGAGGATTTAGAGTTTGTTAAAGATATTTGGCTCTACTTGGAGAATCAATAAAATAAAAAACAAAACAGTATATATAAAAAAAGTAGCTGGATGGCGACAGACAGTGTGACGTCTGTAGTATCGTACCAAGAGGTCAAGATATTGCCTCAATATGTATTACAGTGGTGAAGGAGAGTATTTCGGGTCTTTAAACATTCGGAAACGCCGTTTGAAGGTGTCCTAGTTTGGGGCTGATGATCATGTACAAGTTTCATACAGTATAATTAGCAGCCTAAATGATAATACTACTGTAAGCGCGGGCATAATGGCGGATGGCATGTGTACAGCCAATGAAAAGGATGCTTGAACGGTCGGTTCAGAAACTGGTGGCCACAAACACAAATTCGTGTACTCGTACTCATATTTGTAGCCACAACTAGACTCTAAACACTTCACTCGGCTTACCTAATACCATCCCACATTGGCATGTCTTCTAATTAAATCACAAGTATCATTATGTAGCAAAGCCAAGTAACTACATAAACTCTAGAACCTCTTCGACTGTCGTCTAAAACTACCCCAAAATAGCCCAAATCTGGTTCTGGAAAAAAAGCAACGATATCCTCGGGACGCGTATACAACCATTAAAAAAACAATTGCAACCAAAAAACATCCACGTGACCACACTCTGTCGTCCTCTCCAGCCTCGTCTATGCAACGCGCGTAGCTGATTATACTACACCTTCTTTCTCCAGTGCAAATAGAGTTATTCATAGGTGGCCGAAGCGAAGAGAGTCTAACAAGAACGAGACACACGTAACGTTACCTCTGTTAACACCACACACACACACACACACAACAGACCGACAAAAGACCGACAATGGAAAGCAGCAGCGGCGTTTCCATCTACACGCCCTTCATCTACTTTGCCGTGCTTGTGACGGCGCTGGCCGTGTTTGGCAAGATCTACCGATCCCGGCAGGCGGTCAACCTGGCAGGAGTCGAACCGTGGTACCCCGATCACATTCCCCGAGACATCTACTTCACTCTGCGGGACCATACGTCGCCCCGTCCATCCGAAAAGGTGCTCAAGGCCGCTCTTCTACGACGGTCGGCGGAAAACATCAAGCGAATCATCAAAACCAAGGAGGCCAAGCCCCATCTGACTGCTCTTCACGAGGCGGGATCCATTGGAGATGATCTGCTGCATCAGTTCACGGCGTGGGAGAAGATGATCGAAATGGAGCTCAACGACTGTGCTGCTGAGGCCAACACATACGCCGAAAACTGGGCCCAAACCATGTTTGCTACTGCGTCGGAGATCATCCAGAACGAGGGTCTGCGAAGACGAGTCAACGAGCTCAACGAGAAGGAGAAGGCCTTTGATGCCGACCTGGTCCAGGCCAAGGTCATTGTCGCTTAGATCAATATAGAAATGGAGGTATGATATGGATCCAGTGAAGCGATAAAGTGGGTGTAGAAGAAGACTGGCACTAACTGCGAACCAATGTGATAGCAACGGGTCTTTGTAACGAATGTCAGACCCTACTACTTGATAATGAAGCGATGATCATTTGTATTATCTTTAGACAGATTGCACATTGGGTTATGGCGATGGCTCGCAGGACAAGAAGTACTTAGACCCATCGAAGGGCCAGGAGTTTTCTCAGAAAGCGTCCGTGCTTTCCGTACGGTTTGTGTTAGTACTTGTAGTCTTTTGTATGAGCTATACGGTGTCTGTACCTCTCATTGTACAATAATTGCCCATTACTTATACATAAATACATGTCCTCCGAGGAAGCCCTAAGGAGCCCTAAAGAGCCCTAAGGAGCCCGCTTCTTCTTGCCAACCACCTTGAAGGCGGTGTTCCATCCATCATCCTGAGGAGCAACCTCGGCATGCTGAATCACCTCGCTCCATTTGACAGCAGAGTCACCATCAGCAATCTTTCTTCGCTTGAGGAACTCGGCAGCAAACCGTCGACCGTCCAGAGTCGACGAGTTGGCGTACACAATGTCGGCAATGATCTCGGTGGACTCCTCCTCTGCAGGCAGAGTCATGAGCATACCGATCAGCTCGGTCTCATTGACTCCGGCGTTTAGACCTCTGAGAGCTCCATGGCACCATTGCAAGAAAGACTCAGCGGGAGTGAGCACCTTGGGGGCAGCGGGAGCCACTGGCGCAGAGGGGCGAGCTGCAAGAGCAGCCTGATGCTGAGCAGCAGCGGCCTGCTGGGCGGCGTACTGGTGAGCCATGTGAGCAGCAGGGGCAGTAGGGGTCTGGGCTCGAACAGGCATTCCATCCTCTCCCATTCGCTTACCGTGGGCTCCTACAGTAGTCCAGGGAGAAGCAGCGTCGGGAACAGCAGCAGCAGCGGGGACAGGGGCTCGCCGAGGAAGCACGTCAGCGTACTTCTTTACTCCTCCTGAGGAAACAGCGGTTGCCGGAGTGATTGTGTTCTTCTTTCGAGCAGCCTCCTCCTCCTTCTGAATCTGGCTCAGAGACTTGGCAGGAGCAGAGGCCACAGGAGCAGTGGCCCAGGTGGGCTTGAAAGAGGGCTCGTCTCGGGAAGCAGACAGAGAATTCTCTTGCTGCAGCTCAGCCTCCTCAATAGCTCGGATCGCATTGGCAAGCTCCTTTTCCTCGGCCTCCTTCTTCTGCCGCTCAAACTCCTCCAGCTGCTGGATCTCAGCCAGAGACATTTTATTGGGCTTCTCCTTCTTTTTGTTCTCCTTGGCGGTCCAGGGCGCCTCCTTCTCTCGGGCCTCCTTTGCCAGTCGCTCCTCCTCAATCCGTCGAGCCCGCTCGGCCTTCTCAGCCTCGGCTTTCTTGGCCTCCTCCCGGTCAATGGCCTCCTGCTCGATCCGGAGCTGCTCAAGACGCGCCTTCTCGGCCTTCTCCCGAGCCTCCCGCTCCAATCGCTCGGCCTTCTCAGCAGCCATCTTCTCCTTGATTCGCTGCTTCTCCTCCTTCTCCTTCCGCTTCTTCTCCTTCTTGGCGGCATCTCGCTCTCGCTTGGCCCGCTCCTTGGCAGTAAGAGGCTCCTCAGGCTCTTCCTTGGCCTCCTTCTTGGGCTCCACGTCCTTTTTGCCCTCGTCCTTCATCTCCTTCTTCTCAGGCTCCTCCTCCTTGATGGTTGGAACCTCCTCCAAATCATCTCCAATCACATCCTTCAGATGCAGGGGCAGCGAATCCAGCTCAAGCAGCTCGTTGTCAGCGGCAGTCACATCGGCAGTGGAAGCAGCAGCCGCAAGAGGAGTATGAGATCCGGCCCGGGTAGGAGTATGGGGACCGTCGTTGGGGAAAATGACGGACGAAGCTCGCGACAAAGCAGGAGACATGGTGTTGCTGACGCTGCCACTTCGCCACATGCTTCTGTCGTCAAAGAAAGACGACTGCGAATGCCCTCCATGGAAGGGCTGGTCGAAAAACGAGCCTCCACCGCCGAAATTGTTATTGGGGGTCGCCTGACCGCCCATCTGAGAACCACCCCAGGGTGTGGGAGACATGGGGGTCACAGCAGGACTTCCCCAGGATGATACACTACCATGCAGATGCTGGGGATAGTGCTGGAAGGAAGAAGTAGAGCCCTGAAAGGATCCTCCTTGCTGGGGAGTTCCTTGCTGCTGCTGCTGGCCTTGAAGTTGCTGCTGCTGCTGTTGCTGCTGCGGGACTCCAGGCTGCTGATACTGCTGCGAGAAAGCCGTCTGCGTATTGATCACGGGCGGTTGCTTAGCAACAAACGGCAAGGGGGTCAGGAACGGCTCCTGGGTGCTGGTCTTAGAAATGAGCTCGTCCACGGTCTGCCACACGTCGTCATCCTCACGTCGAATGAGCAGCTTGGCATCCAGATGGCCGCCCTTCCACCAAGTGTGCATAACGGGACCAGCAAACGGACCCTGGATTATGCCCTGGTAGTCCTTGTACATCCACTTGATGTTTTCAGGATGCTGCAACTTGGGTGGGGAGGCTGTAAAACCCATCCCGGGAGGCACAGCGGGAGCATTGAACGTGTCAAACACCGAGGGCACCGTTCCCGTGGTAGGCGACATGGCAGCGGAAGAGGGGGCAGAAGGATCGGCCTGATATTGCTGTTGATGTTGATGCTGCGCTTGCTGCTGTTGCGCTTGCTGCTGCTGGGGCTGGTGCAGTGACTGGTGTCCTTGAGAGGGAGATTCAACCGAACTCACCACGCTTACGCTCTTGAATGGAGACCATCCCTCTCGGTCCTTGGACATCAGCGAACCTCCGGCACCCTGGTCCTTCTGCAGCAGCGAAGGGGTGTTGAGATGAATGCTCTGGTACATGGATTGGTTGTTTACCTCCGTTTTGACCAGAACGTTCTTGTCCTTCATGTTTCGCCATACTGCAAGCATATCTTCGGCCGAAAACCGTTGTCCTCCGTGGTTGGGCAGCAATGGAGACGCGAGGTCACCCAGAGACTCGGGTGGCACGGGCTCCGAATTTTCAGCCAACAAGCCCGAACCTACATCGGAGCGCAGATCCTCGGGTTCCTCCAGGTCGCGTTTCTTGAACTTGCGAGGGGTGGTAGTGGCGGCAGAGGCAAAACTCAGTTTTTTGGTTTCAGTGGGCACAGACGTGACCACCTTGCCTGCGGCGACTCCGGACCACGCCATTTTGGCCTTATTGCCATTGGGAACCACAGCTGGTAGTGGTGTTTTTCCGTCGGGCGCCTTGGATTTCGGGCGCATCCTGAGTTAGTACGACACTGGTGATACGACTGAGGCAGAGTTGGTGTTGGTGTAGATAACAGACATGAGTGGTGGATAACGACACCGAGAGCGGCGCCGGGGCAGATGATAACGTGTCCTTATCGTGTCGTGTCACAGCGGCGCAGTACAAGTGTAGTCGTGAGGTGTCCATACCAGGATACCACCGTGGTGTCTGTCAAGGCAAAATCACACACACAATTTGATTGTACCTGTGCCCAAAAAAGAGCTCCCTGGAGAAGTCTCTGTAGAAGCTCCGTGACTCACACATGCCACATGACGTGCTTATCTCAAGATATCGACGCTTTCGTACTCTCGTCTGCTCTGTCAAGCCTCCGTAGTACTCGTACCCCGGCCGCCAACGTGCTCCTTGACCTTTAAAGTCCGTAGACAATATACTCACCATTCGGGACCAAAAGAAAGAGAAGACTGTGACATTGCTAAGGTGATGATAAGTGGGTTGTTGTTGGATAGTTGGTTGTTGAGGGCGTTTTGCTGGCGTCGTTTTGTGTTTCGATGTGTGGATCAAGAGCTCAAGGTAGCTACAAGTACACTTACGCTTCCAAGATTTTTCACTGTGCCATTATATCCGTCAACTTTTTTTCTCACGCACTGGGACAAGCAGGGTTAGGTGAGCTGCTGTATGTGGGGTAAGTAGAGGCGGGGGAGAGTGGCCTATAGGAGACAGCCACGGGTCACGTGACGTATTCCAAACGCCCCGACCATCTTCATTTCCGCTACATCTGTCTCTGCAACTCATTTTTTATCCTTCGTCTTCATTCTTCTTGCTCCTGTTGACATGGCCTCCAAGGCTGTGTTTAAGACAAGGTCCTCCTGCGTGGCTAAAAGTGGTACACTTCAGTGGTGTTCTCATAGACGGAGTTGGGGCATCTTGTTGGGGAGAGGCACGGAAATGAGCTGCCACGAGCACAGTGTGTTCCTCTCAGGGGGTCTGTTTGTCCTCTTTTGCCGGTTTATTTTTTTTTACTCGGCTATATATACACCCCCTTTTCCCTCCTTCAACTCCTCGGTCTAGCTATTAGCTCAGCCAACGTCCCACCCAAGGCACACAACGTTGGCATTCATGCACAGGAACCAGCCCCATTTTCGGACATGCATTTTCGGCACTTGCCATAGGTCGGAAGAGCCGCCGCAGAGATTGGCCGCAGCTCCCACGTGACTCTTTTTGCTGAGTATTGCACCATGGAGCCCGCAAACCCAGAAAAAGATATGGCCCAGTATTCCCATTGCACTGTGCATACAGTATGCGAGGTGACGTGACATGGGCGGCCAATGTGAGCGTAGCGAGTATTGGAGAGGAAGTGCAACCTGGAGGAACGCCAGGTGTGTGATTGCACAGCTGACAAATATAAAATGTAGCCAGTAGTTATTTACGCAATCATTGAAGTTCATATCACGATTGGCTCGTTCAAAAGTCTGCTGTTCGTACTACCACAATGATCAGCGCCAATAGCAGACATCTCATTTGCCTCAAACTCTGAGAACTCAATGGTGTTCTTTTTTGGTGATGGAGTTAGGGGAGTTGTATTGGGAGTGATGGTACATCCAGAACTCAGACACCGCTAGTTTACAAGTGAATGTGTAGCTATCGGTATTTGTAGCTGGCACCGTGCCAGATGTCACAACAAAGTAAAGTCTCAAGCACCGGCTATTAAAACCATCGATTTCCAATTCATCATTGAAAGAGATGGTCAGGGGTTTAAGGCGACAAGATGATGCTGTTGACCTGACCAAACCAAGGCAACACGAACAGCCCGCGAGAGCCAAAGAAACACATTCGTCTCAAGCCCGAAGACACACCATCGTCGAAGTATCCCAGGCGGTGCTATCTTCACTCAACAGCGACTTGTCAAGAGGAACAGTGACGTTGTCAGGTCGCAGTAACATGTTGAAGTTGAGTTGTGGGAATGGGGAACCGCTCGGTAGTGAAAGGTACACGCACCTAGAAGAACAGCCAACTTCGACCAAGAGTAAATGTTCGCACAACGATGGTCTTTGCCACCTCCTTTTGCAATGTCAGAGCCTCATTGTTCGTTGCAGTCAGAGGGATGAAAAGGGTCGTAGACTGCACCTTGGAAGTCTGAAGCAGCTTGGACACCTCGTAGAACCGTCTATCACTGCTAAATATCTGTCTAGCCACGACCACTCCGTCGACCTCAACCTGTTCGTCCCTCGCACTGGTAGATTTGGGGTTGTGCAGTGATGCAAGAATACCCAGAATCTCAGGAGCTCAGCAGGAAGTGCCAGATTGAACAGGCTTGAGGTTTCACATGCTTGACTCCCTGAGCCAAGCGAGCCAGATCATCTCTATCAACGAGCTCCAGGAACGCCGGGTCGCTCGAAATGGGAGGACTCTCAGACTTGCACATGCAAATCACGTTGTGGATGGGGATGGCGACACCTCGGAGAACCGAGCCCGCATCTGTCTGATGAGACCAGCTTCGAATAGAACGTGCACAAAGTCTTGGGCAGTTGGCAGATCCATGGAAGTTTGAATGTATCAAGGCATGGGTTGGTGTAACACACGTGGTGTAGTGTTGATTGAAATATCGCGTCCGTGAGCCACTTCAGAATCTGCGACACCTGCGATATCTGTATCTACCCTTCTTGGGTCTATTCAATAAGGATTTGGGGAACCTGTTTGACTTCACTGCGTCTGTTGGTGTCAATGTTGATGTTGAGTCTGATTTTGTTGATGAGTTTCGGTTTTGATGATAATGAGTTGTGGTTTTGTTAAGACCCAACTAAGCATAGGTAATTTTCCAAGCACAAGTCTAAGTAAGTACAATTCGTGCTCACACCCAGATCCTGTAGTATACCAACCCAAAATTCCTGATTCACTTTAGACCTGCAGGTTCGCCAAAACATCTCCAATCTCATCACAGAAAATGGAAAAAAGAACCCACCAAGAATCGTCGCTGTACCTCGACACAGTGGACCGATCGAAACTCGACTTTGACTTTGAAAAGGTCTGCTCCGTGTCGCTATCGCCCACCAACGTCTACTGCTGCCTGGTATGTGGTAGATACTTTCAGGGAAGAGGCAAGTCAAGCCATGCTTACTTTCACTCCATCAACGACGACCACCATGTGTTTCTGAACATGGAAACATACGAGGTCTACGTACTTCCGGAGGGGTACAAGGAGACGTCACGTGATCTCGATGACATCAAGTCCGTGGCCAATCCTGTGTATGAGGAGTCTCAGATCAACAGGCTGGATGTGGACAAGACGAGCTACACACTGACCAACAAGGTGTATCGACCAGGGTACATTGGAATCAACAACATCAAGCACAGTGACTACGCCAATGTGGTTGTCCAACTTCTTTCACACACAAAGCCTCTGAGAAACTACTTGCTGTTGCACCCCAAAAGCGAGTCTGCCATTGTGTCAGCATTATCACAGATATCCAGACGCATTTGGAACCCACGGGCTTTCAAGAACCACGTGAGTCCACATGAGTTGGTGAACCTAGCCGAAAAGCTGTCACAGGGCAAGTTCTCCGCCAACTTCCAGGCTGATCCCTGTCAGTTTCTGGTCTGGTTGTTGGTACAGACACATCTGGGACTAGGAGGAAGTTCGAAGCCGGGATCTTCGTTGATTCACCATATCTTCCAGGGAAAATTGAACAAGACGACGGAAAAGCTGAGCGAGCGGGAGGTGAGTGGAAAGTCCGTTTTCGATGTCAAGAGCTCGAAAACAACATGTATTCCGTTCCTGCTGCTGACTCTCGACTTGCCAGCGGAATCCGTGTTCAAGGATGGAGATAACGATACCACCCTTGAACATGTGCCATTAACAAGGCTGCTAAAAAAGTACGATGGTGTAACCTGTGAGGAACTAGCCGGGGAGAGAAACACATACCAGATTGTGTCATTACCCAAGTATCTCATTTTGCATTACAAGCGATTCTCCACCCTTCCAGATGGAACCAAGGAGTACAACGGTACGATTGTCAACTTTCCACTCAAGGGACTGGACATGGCTCCTTACACCAAGGGACTGGAAGGCAAGTACAATCTCATCACCAACATCACTTGCGAGGGAGGAGACAAGAAGGAGAAGGAATGGAGTGTCCAGATGCGTGATGGGGGACGAAAAACGTGGGTGGATGTCCGAGATCTGGTTGTTTCTGATGTTACCGAGCTCGGACAGGACTCCTTGTATTTGAAAGAGGTATATATTCAGGTTTGGAAGAGGGTTAACTAGGCTGACTGCGTAAAGAGAGCACTAGTTCCCCATGTACAGTAAAGCATTATTAATACACGATACACATGAGACAATTAGCGTAGGTTCCTTACATGTTGTCACATTTTCTCTTTCTCCATCTAGCTAATACATCATCATTACTCTAAATACCCATTCGCTTCTCGAGCTCGGAGTGGAAGTCGAGGGGCTGGTCGTCGCCGGTGTACACGTCCTCCCAGTCCACGTCCAGATCCTTATTCTTGAGAATGTCCAGGTGGATGTTGGCGGGGGTACCGACCACAGCAGGCATAAGGGTGGTTTCCTTGACAATCTGCATCTCCATTGTTCGTCGGATAGGCTCACCCATACCAAAGGTTCGCTTGTAGTTTTGCATTCGCATGTTCATCTGTGTCTCCTCCCAGTTCTCCAGACGAGCTTGTAATGGGTGCCGTCCGTTGAGCTGTGATTCAATGTTGAGCTGACCGTCTCGCATCGTGTCGTGGAGACCCTGGACAGAGGGAGCACCGGTTCCGAAAGAGGCGGGGTTAACCTGGGTTCGCGATGTGTTTTCGGGGGTGATTAGAAGTGACTGTGTTAGAGAGGTTCAGTGGCGATGTTGTTGTGTGGTCGTGTCAGTGGCGATTACATAACAACGGCGTCAATGTTGGTTTATGAGACGTTGACCACGACCCAGTTGGAGTTAGAGACAACGTATCATCAAACAACAGCGGCTATCACCTCTTGCGTGTTTTAATACTCACCATTATGATGTGTTGTTTGGGGACGGGCACAAGTGAGAGTGTGGTGATGTCAGATATTGAACCTTGCGTGTGGTGGGAGGTTTGATGGATTTGCCACGATTTCCAAAGAGTCTTGAAAAGTGCCACAAAATAGGAAAAGAAGGGTCAAAAAGAAGACCAACTGCCAATTGAGATGATATTTGATATAATCATCCCCTTTTTTCCACTATGTTGAGTGGTTGGGTGACATTCGTGTGGTGTATCCTAGTTGGCATAGGTTAAGTAAAACAGAAGGAATTAGTTAGAATCAGAACTCCAAGTTTGAAGTGTAGACACAGTGGCCATATTTGAAAAGCAATCAAACCAATCTACTCTACAATACAGCATCAGTACAATAGCTACCACCCGTATATCTTACAATTATTTATCAGGTAGATGAAACTCGTAACTTGTCCAAGTATAATATTTTATATATATATTATTTTATATACTTTATATATTTTATATACTTTATATATTTTATATACTTTATATATTTTATTTATATATTTTTGACTCATCTCTTTATTACCAATACCACACACTAAACAACACAACTCAGGAGTTGGCTAATATAGCGAACAGGAACTCATAATATCAATATAAATAGTCAACAACATCCAGCGAATTTACCGGCTTCAACCTTCGACACGGAGACTTTGATCTCTTCCAGTCTCGTCTCGCATGCACAACGTTGGCCGCCGCACTACTCAGAAAATCCCTAACCTCAACTGAAAAAGTTTGGTTGTGCTAGCTCAGTCATACATGCTGCGGAGAACCCTCACACAAGTTATTCGAAGAATGTCGTCCGCTGCCAACGTTGAGGCTGCCGTTGCCGCTCCTACCGCCGCTCCCCAGGCCGCCCCCAAGAAGGAAAAAAAGGCCGTCAAGTATGAGCTCAAGGTGCCCAAGGGAACCAAAGACTGGGCCGATAAGGACATGGTTGTTCGAGAGGCCATTTTCGACACTCTGGCCAAGGTGTTCAAGCGACATGGCGCCGTGACCATCGACACCCCCGTCTTTGAGCTGCGAGAGATTCTGGCCGGAAAGTACGGCGAGGATTCCAAGCTAATCTACAACCTGGAGGACCAGGGAGGAGAGCTGACATCGCTGCGATACGATCTGACGGTGCCCTTTGCCCGATTTGTGGCCCAGAACGGAATCCAGGCCATCAAGCGATACCACATTGCCAAGGTGTACCGAAGAGATCAGCCCGCCATGACCAAGGGCCGAATGCGAGAGTTCTACCAGTGCGATTTCGACGTGGCTGGCGTCTACCCCACCATGATCCCCGATGCCGAGTGTCTGGCCATTGCCGTGGAGGGTCTGACGTCACTCGGAATCACCAACTTCACCATCAAGCTCAACCACCGAAAGATTCTCGACGGAATCTTCCAGGTCTGCGGAGTCAAGGAGGAGGACGTGCGAAAGGTGTCTTCTGCCGTCGACAAGCTCGACAAGGCACCCTGGGCCGACGTCAAGAAGGAAATGTGCGTGGAGAAGGGCCAGCCTGAGGAGGTCGCCGACAAGATTGGCGAGTACGTGCAGCACAAGGGCTCTGTCAAGGACATGCTCGAGTGGCTGGAGGGAGACGCTGCCCTTATGGCCAACGAGTCTGCCAAGACTGGTATCGAGGAGATGCGAACTGCCCTGCCCTTCATGGAGTCCTTTGGTATCACAAACTACCTGTCTTTCGACATGTCTCTGGCCCGAGGTCTTGATTACTACACCGGAATCATCTACGAGGCTGTGACCGAGGCCTCTGCTCCCCCCACCGAAGAACAGAAGGCTGCCCTCAAGGCTGCTGCTGAGAAGGATGGCAAGAAGAAGAAGAAGTCCAAGGATGACGACGACAACTCCGAGAACGTCGGTGTTGGCTCCATTCTGGCCGGAGGACGATACGATAACCTGGTCGGCATGTTTGCCAACAACTCCAAAAAGGGTAACATCCCCTGTGTTGGAGTCTCCTTTGGCGTCGAGCGTCTTTTCTCGCTCATCAAGTCCCGGCCCGGACTCATGGAGAAGGTCCGACCTGCTGCTACCCAAGTCTACGTCATGTCCATGGGAGGAGGACCCGAGTACACGGGATTCCTCGCCGAGCGAATGGCCGTCACCCACAAGCTGTGGGAGGCCGGAATCGAGGCCGAGTACATGTACAAAACCAAGCCCAAGTACCCCCAGCAGTTCACCGCCGCCGAGAAGGCCGGATGTCCCTTTGCCGTCATTCTGGGCCAGGACGAGTATCCCCAGGGTCTGGTCAAGATCAAGGAGCTGGGTCTGGGTGAGGAATCTGACCGAGGAACTGATGTCAAGATTGAGGATCTGGCCCAGATTCTCAAGGAGAAGATTGCCAACAAGACCTCTTCTGTTGGTGAGGTCCAGAAGCTTCTCAAGGACTTTACCTTGTAAGTGTAAATATGAATAAAAGTTATGACTATGATTGAATGTAACACCGTCCAACATGTAGATACCTATAGCAATGTCAGTGGCCCAGGAACTATGCACAAGTACACATTCGTTTTCATGATGTACTTGGATACCACGTGAATCATCATCTCTCGTAACTACTTGTACTTGCACCCTCAATTACCATCAAATACTTATATATGATACATATCCTTCATTATCCATCAGCACAAGCCTTTGGCTGGCGCATGACTAGCCAAAGACTTCTGCTTTGTCTCATACATCTATTAATATACAGTTAGCTGTAGCTAATCTCTTTTGCGGGTAGCTACTCCCTCTACCCTCCCTTATCCAAACCGAGGAATCATCATCAGCCGCGCAAGCTGCTGTGGGGGCACCTTCAGAGTGACCCAGAATGAAGTAGGATCCGCCAGCTCCTCCACATAGTTGGTTTCCAGCTCCTGGCTCTGTGCAGCCACAGCCACAGCGGCATTAGCAGCAGCAGCTCGCACTGGAACATGTCTACCGGTGGTTCGCTGTCGCTTGGCAGGCCGCACCACAACGTTTCCATCACTGTCCTCTTCCTCTTCCTCCTCCTCTGCCTGAAGTGCCTGTTTAGCCAACTCCACCTTTCGGTCGACAGCTCCAGGAAGCACAGCGGAGTAAACGGGAGTTCGGAACGTTCGGACAACCTTCTTGAAATCGGGCAGAGAAGGTGCGCCTCGTCTGCCGGCTCGTCCCTGTCGACGTTTCTGACGAGAGTCTCGGTCCTTGTCCTTATCCAGACGACTCAGCTCGGCCTCAGAAATCTCAAACAGCGCAGGAGAGTACTCGTTGACCGAGTTCTTGGGTCTCATGACGGATCCATCGGGTATGGGAGCGCAAATCTCACGTCGAATGTCCTCGTCATCCACAGGTCGCTGATCAAAGGTGTGGCCAAGAAGCAACAGCGACTTTGAAAAGACCTGTGTCTGCTCATGGATGGCATGGGCAATAGCAGTAGCAAACTCTCCAGACAGAGACAGCTCGGCACACATGGTGGCAGCAAACTCTTCTGGGGAGTTGAGAGAATCGTTGATGTCCCACTCAAACTGGTCAATTAGATTGTGCTGACCAACTGTGATATCCAGGCGCACCACAACTCGCATGTCTTCGTTTCGGGTCGCATCTCCGTTGCCAATCACGTGTCGAGGGTCCTGGGGGTACTGATGCGGCTGGAAATCCTGCAGCTGTTCAGTGATGGAGTTTGTGACCGACTGAATGTACTGGTGGGGGAAGTGGAAGTCCTCGAACATGTTCTCCACGAAAAAGTGCACGGGATATGTCTTCTCGTTAAGGTTCCACATGAAGGTGTCTCTAAGTCGAAGTCGTCCGAGATCGAAGTCAAGACGAATGGGCACCAGCAGTTCCGGTTCTGCCGCCTGCTGGTTCATCTGCTGACGCGACAGCACCAGGTCCCGGGTGTTTCGGTTGTGTTTCTTTCGGTCACGGGGGTACACGAACCGTGTGTTGAGACCTGTCCAACCATTGCCATAGCCGAGGTATCCGTCTTGAAAAATGGACTGGGGCTCCTGCGAACGAATGGGACCAAACGAGTGGTAGAAAGAGATCTCATATCGCTTGGCGTTGAGCTTGTCGGCCTCCTGCTTGAGCTTTTTGGGCAGCGTGGAGGACTCGTTGAGATCCTTGGATACAAAACGACGCAGGTTGAGTTCTTGGGCGGTCTTGGGGTCACGTTTGTTTTTCATAATCTCTGTGAGATCAGTAATTCCCTGGCCGTTGAACAGCGTGGGCATCTCGGCGAGCGACTCGGCAGCCGAGGGAGGGTTCACGAGAGGTGTCTCCTGTTGTCGGGCGTCATCGGAACTCACAAGACCCAGATGTGACTGCACGGGAGGGACAGTGAGGCCGGGCTGCATCATGGTCTGGCCTGGTGGGGGGAAATCAAAGTTCTTTTGGGGTTGACCTCCAGCCATGACGGGGATGCCTCCTTGCTGAGGGATGAGCTGCGATTGCGGCATAGGCACCTGCTGCTGCTGTTGTTGGTGGTGATGCTGCTGCTGCTGTTGCTGCTGCTGCTGCTGCTGCTGTGGCTGTGGCTGACGCTGAGGGGGTTGCATCTGTGGTCCTCCACCCATCTGCACCTGGCCACCCTGCTGCATGCCGCCCATGCCCTGCTGGCCCATCATACCCTGAGGTCCCATGGGTCCACCTCGACCAACTTGGGGGTTCATTCCTTGGCCCATGTTCATACCCTGACCCATGTTGGGCATTCCTGCCATGTTGGGCATCCCTCCGACATTGGGCATGCCACCTGCTCCGGACATGCCACCCATGTTCATGCCGTTCATCTGGCCACCCATGGGTCCGCCCATTTGCGGCATGCCTCCCATCTGGCCCATTTGGCCCATCTGAGCCATCTGTGGCATCTGGCCCATCTGGCCCATCTGGCCCATCTGCGCTCCCATATCCATGCCTCCGATTTTCGCGTTGTTCATGTTTGGGCTCATGTTCATGTTGTTGAAGCCCATCTGTCCATTGGGATTGCCTCCCTGCTGGAACTGTTGCCGGAACGACATGGTGTACGTACGGTGTGTAGTGTGGCGTGTACGGCGGTCCAAGTAGTGCGGTTTGGAGGTGTAGACGTGATAGACGTGTGGTGGTGATATCCATCCCAATATTAGCGTTTCGTGCCAGCCCGAAATGTACAAAGGCGAAAACGTCAGCATTGCTGAGCCATTAGAGTTACTTGACATTTTCAACTAAATCAATGACCAATTTCTACTAAACAAATACTACATGTGGTGCATTCCAATCGGGTATCGTGATAATTATAATTATCACCACCAATATTGAAAACCTCTCAGTATTCGACCACAATGAGCGACCAGAAAATGAACCAGTACGAGAAGCTGAAGAAGCAGCTCAAGGACAACATCAACAAGAAAAAAACACATGACAAAAACCTCAACTCGCTGGAGGAACAGATATTCACCCTGGAAGGCGCATATCTCGAGGAAACGTCCCATGGAAACCTCGTCAAGGGCTTCGACACATACATCAAGGGCGCGCAATCGAAAAAGCGCTACGTGTTCAACGAAGACGACCGGCTGTTTTCGCTGTCCTCGGCGGTCTTTCTCAAACACCAGGCCAAAACAGGTGCGGGGGGTGACTTGGACGAAACCAAGAATGAAAGGAAAAAGACCGCTTCTCAAAAGAGAAGAAAGGGGGATTCGACGCCCATGTCTGGCGATGAGAAGCCTAGTAAGCGGTCGAGGGTGGACTAGTTCGGGAACAAGCGAAACGAATTCTGGACCTGTTGCAGAAGGACGAGCAGGGTGGCCCCTTGGAGCTCTATAAGAGAGACCAAAGGCTGAGGTGGCGGACGTCACGCTCAGTATAACCATTTATTTATTATTGTACAAAAAACACTGTTGCATTTACGTGGAGTGAGGACGAGCACCCAACAGGTACAGAACTAGTAGAGTATATAGAGGGTCGGTAGAGTGTAACGGAGTCTCTCACGATGGTGGCGAGGGTTGCCAGACTTGAGGGCCATCGACAGTTAAGTGAATCACCTGAGAGACCACAACCAGGCTCTTCTATAGACGTTTGAGAGTGTGTATTGCACTACACTAGGCCATATGCTTATGATCGTAGTGGTTTTTATATGTATATGATTGTTGGATGCTTCTAGTCCTCTCTAGGTTCGGTAGTCTCCGTTAATGGTGACGTACTCGTGGGAAAAATCACAGGTCCAGAAGTTGGCGTTCTTGCCCCCTCCGGTGCCGAGGTTGATCTGGATCTCCAGGTCCTCCATGTCGAGAATCTCGGAGGCTCGGGCCTCGTCGACCTGCTCGGGCTCACCATTGACCAGCAGCTTGAGCTCGGAAGAGCCGTCGGTGGGCATGAAAGAAACAGTGGTCTTGGTGGGCTCGACCTGCATTCCAGAGTATCCAACGGCACACAGGATTCGGCCCCAGTTGGCGTCCTTGCCGTAGAGGGCAGTCTTGACGAGAGGAGAGCAAGCCACAGTCTCGGCCACCTTGGCAGCCTCCTGCTCGGAAACAGCGTCGTTCACAGAAATCTTGACAAACTTGGTGGCTCCCTCTCCGTCCCTGACAACGAGCTGGGAGAGTCGAGAAGAGAAGTCAGTGAGGATGTCCTGGAAAACAGGAAAGGAGGCAGAGGTCTCGGTGATTTCGGGACCTCCAGCGGCTCCGTTGGCCAGACAGACAATGGTATCGTTAGTGGAAGTGTCTCCGTCGACAGAGATAGCATTGAAAGATCGGTCAGCGGCATGCTTGAGAGCAACTCCGAGAGCAGAGGCAGACACGGGAGCGTCAGTAGCAAAGAAACCCAAAAGAGTGGCCATTCGAGGGTGAATCATACCGGCTCCCTTGGTCAGACCAGCAATAGTGTAAGTATTATCTCCAATCTTGAACTGCTGAGACATGAGCTTGGGAAAAGTATCGGTGGTACAGATTCCCTTGGCGGTGTTGAGCCAGGCCTCATGGTCGTCCTTCATGGCAGGGGCGTGCTCTTCGATTCCCTTGAGAATCTTATCAATCTTCAATCGCTGTCCAATGACTCCAGTGGACATGACAAGCGAGGCAGGTAGGTCGCTCTCGGATCCAAAGACCTGGTCGGCTTTCTTGACCATCTGCTGGGCATCATGGATACCTCCCTCTCCAGTCACGGCGTTGGCGCATCCCGAGTTGACCACCACGGTCTTGATTCCCTTACCCTGGGTTACGTCGAGGATCTTTCGGTCCACCTGCACAGGAGCGGCCTTGAACACGTTGGTGGTGAACACGGCCGCGGCGTTGCAGGGCTTATCGGACGACAGCATGGCCAGATCCATGTTGAAGGCATTTTTCTTCACGCCGGTGAAAAAGCCGCCGACCTTGAACCCCTTGGGGTAGGTTCCCGAGGAGGGCACAAACCGCTCTTTGCCGGCCTGGACGATTCGACACGAGGAGAAATGTCGCACTTGCATCGCAACGGACGGGTGAATAGTGGGTGGTGATGGTTGTGGAGCGGTCTACAGTATTTATGCGTCGTGCGAAGGTTGGACGGTGCATTAGCCAATGAGTCAATGGGTATTTGGGAGGTTGATTTGGGGTGGTTAAGCGGAAGTGGGGAGTAGAGAGTGGTTCAGGGGGGTTAAAGGAGCATTTGGAATTTATTTCATTGTTGGTTTTTGACAAAAAATGAAAATTGCACTTGCTAGAGCGGTATTTCGCAACTCGCTAGAAGTGAGTCAATATGGTGTTTATAGTTTGACATCGAAGAGGGAAGCGGACCGCTTGAGAAGGCTGTAGCAGTGGCTGTGGTTGCCGCCAAGGTTGGGAAAGAATATCTCTGAAGTATAAGTGGCATATTGATTGATTTTATCCATTTACGAGCAAACTGATTACTGCGAAGCGGTTTTTGAACACCTCTCTTGACGGTCTGAGATGAGATAAGTCGAAGCTTATTTTCCGAGTAGGCATTGTTAGCCGCGTAGCACTTCCAAGGGTGTGGGACTACTGTATTTTTTTATCCAGTTTAGTTGAACTTAGTTAAAGTACACCACCAATACTGTAGGCTATACTTACGGCGTGCAAACTGTGTGGCCGATTTGAGAGGCTGCCGAAAGAGGGGGTATCTGATGAAAAGTAGGACAAAAAAGCGAATCCAACCCTCGTGTCACCGTTAAAGGCACTTTAGCTCGAAATATAAAGCCATGGAACCTACCTGTCGGCTCAACTAACATCCAACTCAACACGCACATCTTCATTACGGTACCATAATCAGGTCACACGAGCAGCCAACTTTGTTCAGATCGAGGAATCGAGAATTGAAAGGTGTGAGAAATGACACGGGCCGCCCTAGTAATTCTATAAAAAAACAATTACCAACGGATATTCCCCATCTTCTATTTGTTAATATATATTCCCATTTGTCTAAATTCATTGTCACCCATTTCTGCCCGTGCTTGGACCCCACTCCGTGCTCTCAAACACAACGTTATCATAATATCATGACAAGACCATGCTACACCATGTCCAAAGTGGTGATAGCAACTCCAACAAGCCACCATCTCCAAAAACCAGACCCCATTCCCGGCTCCAAAGTGTTAACGGCACAGCTCCCCAAGCACTCGCGCTCGTACTCCACCTTTTGCTTCGCACCAGACTCCGCTCCACCCTTGGCACTAGGTTAGCACGTGACCGCTCGCAGTTGAAAAAATCTTTATTGCACACCGCTACACAGCATCTACACCACACTACAAAATGGCCCCCAAGACTGACGGTGAGTGAATTGAGCGGCTGCGCGACCGTTGAACCCCCAACTAACACAGTTAACACCACCCTCGCCAACTCCGAGGTTGTCTACAAGTACCGAACCGCCGGCGAGATCTCCGCCAAGGTTCTTGAGCAGGTCAAGGCCCTCTGTGTCGACGGCGCCAACCTCTACGACATCTGTGTCAAGGGTGACGAGCTCCTCGTCGCTGAGACCAACAAGATCTTCAAGGGCAAGAAGGTGACCAAGGGTGTTGCTTTCCCCACCGCCATCTCCCCCAACAACTGTGTTGCCCATCTGTCTCCCATCTCCACTGATCCCGAGGCCAAGATCAACCTCAAGACCGGCGACGTCATCAAGGTGTCTCTCGGCGCCCAGATTGACGGCTACGGCGGTGTTGTTGCCGACACTCTCGTTGTCTCTGGCGGCCCCATTGCCGAGGGCCCCATCACCGGCAAGGTTGCCGATGTCATCTCTGCCGCCTGGTACGCTACCGAGGTCGCTGTCCGAACCATCAAGCCCGGCAACAAGAACTGGGACGTGACCCGAAACGTCGAGGAGGTCTGCAAGGCCTACGGCTGCACCCCCGCCGAGGGTATGCTGACCCACCAGCAGGGCCAGAACATTCTGGATGGTAAGAAGCAGATCATTCTCAACCCCACCGAGGGCCAGAAGCAGAACTTCGAGACCTTCACCTTTGAGGCTGATGAGGTCTACGGACTCGACATTCTTGTCTCCACCGGCGACGGTAAGGTCAAGCAGGGCGAGACCCGAACCACCATCTACAAGAAGACCGATCTGACCTACCAGCTCAAGATGCGATCTTCTCGAGCCGTTTTCTCTGAGGTCCAGAAGAAGGCCGGAGCCTTCCCCTTCTCCGTCCGAGTCCTTGAGGACCCCACCAAGGGCCGAATGGGTCTCCAGGAGTGCAAGAACCACGGTCTCGTCATCCCCTACGACGTCCACTACGAGAAGGACGGCGAGATTGTTGCCGAGTTCTTCACCACCGTCGGTGTCACCAAGGACGGTAACATCAAGCTGGCCACCGCCCCTCAGCCCGACTTCTCCATCGTCAAGTCTGACAAGAAGATTGAGAACGAGGATCTCCTCAAGGTTCTCGCTGAGCCCCTCAAGCTCTCCAAGAAGGAGCGAAAGGCCCAGGAGGCTGCTTCTGCTTAAATCACGTTAAATAGGCAGAATAGGATGTATACCGGTTAGTATGAAAATATGATTGCGATGATGACATGGTAATATCCGATGGTACGAGTACTTGTAATGGAGTGTAGGAAGGTGTAATGGAAAGAGGATAGTGCAATTCGTTGTGGTCATTATGATGCTCTTGTTATATTGAAAGTGTTAACAGCTTGTTCGTGAGATGTACATAATATAGGGTAGTGAGCAGGTCAATCAGCCGGTGTGAAGTTGTAAATTCGGTATTTTGAAAGACAGTCTTCATGGCACATGTAAGAAGGGGTCTCTTCTGAAGTGCTCGGAAATATATAACAGCTTGAATTCATTTTGTAAGGCGTGAAGTAGGTATTACTTAGTGTGTCAAAGCACTTTTGCTATGCACTTGTGTTCTCAAACTGCAAAGGAAGAAAGTGCACAAGTTGAAGTACGAGTACTTCAGGTCTTTTAAAAGGATCCTTCAACAGTTTTGTTTTGTCAACTTGCGTTGGCTTTCGTGATGTTGAATGGGGACACTGAAGTGGTTACTGGTTTAAGGAGAAGATGGAAATGAATAGAGAAAAGTTGTTGGAGTCACAGGGTGGAATGAGTCTCGAATGACATGAAATAGTTGAAGACAAGTATCAGCTTAGTGACCACTTTCCAAATCCATTCTTTGAATCAAGCAAAAGCTCATGTCGTATCTTCACGTGTCCTGTTCCTATACTAGACAGGGCCATCCCTAAAGCGGATCCATAGAAATGCGAGAGACGGAGCTTTGACTACCCCAGACATGATCAAATGAATTGAAACGACCACTTCCTTGGTACAATAGTTCTATTGCTGACTTCTCAATTCAGGTGAGTACACCTTGGTCTTTCTATGGGATCTGTTCTGTTCTGTTCTGTTCTCATGAGAAGTAGGGTGTTGGCGAAAGTACTACGATAAGTAAAGACACTCTTCGTTCCAACAGGTGAGTCCGAACGACGGCCGCCTGCTTACAAATCGCGCTTGTATAGCCTCGTACTCGCTACAAGTAGCTGTGCCCTGTCGAATCTTGGGTGCCTGACGAAGACCTCCGACAAGTGCCCTGGCTTGCTGATCAAACTTAAAGGCCACGTTTCGAGCCTCTTAGCGGCCTCGGAGTTGAGAGCAAGTGCTCTTGAAGTCGCGATGGTGGTGGGCCTGGTCTTTGAGCTAGGTCTCTGCTGTGCTCACGTTTACTGTGGGCGGTGTCACTGTCATGACCAAGTTGGCTCTAGCTGCCGCGAGCTGTAGCGCTCGACTAGCTTAATAAATGTTCTGCAAGAGGAGTACGATGGATGTACAAGTACATACTGTAGGGCAACAGTAGAGATCGGAAGGTGTCGACATACAGTCTCCTTCACCACTCGGAAATCGTGTCCACCGGAGTAAGGTGAAACAGAGGGGTTGCATGCTCGTACCTCTCCCGTGAGCACGTTGTATGTATGCAGCAACCAGCCCTCCTGGAGCAGCTCTGGGCGATAATGTAGAGAAAGACGGTAAGCTACTGGGGTAGTCATGGGACGGTGTCGAGAGTACGAGACGGGAGCACAACATGTGTCATGAACCATGAACAGCGTCCTTACAAGAAGCATCTATGGCTGCATCACGAGATGGAAAGAGACCAAAGAAGGAATCGCAGGCCCTGAAGCTCGCAGAGGTAATCGAGTGAAATACCAGCCGACTTTAGTTGGATAAAAGAAAGCAGGGATTACCATAATGAAATACAAAAGAGAGCAGCATATAATGCTCACGGTGCGCACGCCATCCGTACTAGCCACTTGTACAAGCCCCCGCCACATCGACGGAAACAGTAATAACTGTACATTCAACCACCGCTGCAACCTGCAACAAGATCCCGCGCATCCGCACTTCCGAAACCCTCACCGAGCTTGGTTTATTGCTTTCTTGAGGTGGGTATTTTTGTCGTTTGTTGATTGACAGACTGCTTTTCTGAGGCTCTCGGAATTACAGTATATTAGTCGTTTGAATCACTGCACAACACTCAACCGCGTACACCACCCACTCACCGTGCCCACACACACACACGAGCACTTGTTTAACCACACACACAACTGCAGCAGTGCACACCAGAGAAAAACAGGAGCGTGCAGTTGTATATCTCACACCCACACAACTCTCAACAGAGACACAGGACTCGAGACCCGGGATATCCATTATTAAAATCTAGCAATTAACTGGCGCAGATACTTGTGTCAGCCTCCAGGTAATTACGAGATTTCGTCCCCAAAAAACACGCTGCTTTTTTTGGCAACTGTGCTCCTACCAGATCCAGCTTCTCTGTCGCACACCCACCACTAAACTTCGTACGCACTTTTCACTTTACACCAGAGAGTGTCGACCCATCGCACAATAACTTCAGGCACGTCACCACCACTAAAGATGCCCGAGTGGACCGAGCCACAGACGGCAGGCCCGCAGAACTCCGTGACCGGGTACAACTTTGGCGCTCCACCGCCGAAAAAGTCGGGACGAGGACGCAAGAAAACCGTCAAGCGCATGAGTCGCGCCTCGTCGGTGGCTTCGTCAGAGTCCAGTCCGGCGCCCGAGTCCACGAACGGTGTTAATGGACACGAGCCCAACGGCAATACCACAGACAGCACGCGTCCGTCGTCGCCATCATCGTCACCGCAGGTGGAAGACCGGGTGCAGCAGTATGAGTCCACCAACAAGAGATCACTCAAGGTGGCTCTGGACAAGACAGAGCCGTCCACAGAACGAGGCTCGCTCAAACGACAAAAGACTGCGACGCCAAGCGGTTCCAGTACGCCGAGGAAACGAGGAAGACCCAAGGGATCAGCAAAGAAGGATAAGAGCAGTACTCCGACCCCGAGTACTCCAAAGCTGGGATCCACTCCGAACCTGGGACACGGTTCGGGTCTGCATATTAAGATCAAGGTGGCCAGGTGAGTACATGAGTGCAACTCCAATTACGCGAATTGTTCGCCATCGTGTTACATATTGATACCCATGAGAGAGTGTTGTTAAGACACAGAGCGAGAGAGAGAGAGAAAGAAAGAGAGGTGGAAAGTGACGGCTTACATGATCTTCAATGTTACAATGCTGACGCGGTTACTACAATCAAAGTATGTTGTTGGTAATGACATGTCGTTGTCATGGTCGTGTCGTCATTGCTTACATGCTGCGATGTTATGCTCGCAAATTGCGTTTGCTTTCATCTATTGCGGTTTGACACATAAACAGATTGTTGTGGTGGATACCCTGTGATACCCATACCCCACACGCCCAGATTTTTTGGCCGCCCGTTTGCCTCGCCCCCCCTCTTGCTGTCTACCGAACAGCTCTCGCTGTTCGACTTCCTTTTTCTCCGCTAACTCAGTCCCAAAAAGCCCGGAAGTCCGTTTGGATTTGCGACTAAAACGCCGCCAAGAGTCGCGGCTCCCCCTAGTGAAGACGACCCGACCAAGGTGAGTATTGTTGGATTGGTAACTATATTGAAACATGCTGGAAGTGATCATGCGAATATTTCTGTTGCATGATTGCTGTCAATGTACCTGTCCTCTGACACGTTTCTGTCAAGACACATTGTTGGTTTTTTTGGTGGTGGTGTGTTCTTGGAAGTTATGTTGGCTTGACTTTGTTGAGTCCAGCAAGGTTAGCACACATAACCATCTGACGAGCTGACACGAACCTCACTCTATTATTATATAGAGCGGGGATATGTCTCGTGTGTTGCACCACCACATCTTTTTTCCCTGGATACCGTGTCATTGAGTCTATTTCACAACCGTCCACAAGTATCCCCCGTAACCTAATATCTAACCCCAGGACAATGACGATTTCTGCGACGCGTGCAAGGGCCTAGGCCGGTTCCTCTGCTGCGAGGCATGTCCGAAATCTTTCCATTTTGCATGTTCCGACCCGCCTTACGATGACGAGTCGCTTCCCGACGGCCAGTGGTTTTGCAAGGAATGCAAGGCCCGCCGGTTCCCTCCGGAGCAGGCTCCCAGGGGCATTTTTTCGCAATTACTAAACCGCATCAGTCGCACCAACCCCAAGGAGTTCCGTCTTCCCAAAAGCATCCGCGAATACTTTGAGGGTGTCAGCACAGGGCCGTTTGGCGAGTATTCCGACGACCACGAAAAGACCGAGAAGGATATCACGCTGGCTCTGGATGATCGAGAGGTCGGCATCGTTCGCAACCTGGATAAGAACGGCAAGCCGCTCGAATGCTTCAAGTGCGGCAAGAACGGTCTCAATGGCCGAGGAATCACATCCTGTGATTACTGCCCCACAGCATGGCATCTGGACTGCATTGATCCTCCGTTGGCTAATGTCAAGATGCTAGGCCGAAAGTGGAAGTGTCCTAATCACGTGGATAATGTGATTAATCTGCCTCGAAAGCCCAAGAAACTGAAACGTATTGATACGGACCTCCAGCGAGGGTTTGTTAACGATGGTAACATAGAGGTTCTCCTTGATGAGGGAGATGAGGGGGTACCCCTCTCTATAAAGCCGTCGCTAGCTGATATTCGTCGGGCCAAAATGAGGGAAATGGTGATTGATGGAGTGGCTTATCGACTGCCAGAAGCAGGGATCAAATTGGACTTCATCGACACAGTAAAAATGCATAATTGGAACGAGGCTAGAGATGAAGCCGTGGCAGCATACGCCATGTTGGACATGGCCGAGAAGTACAAGGAGATGGAGGTGAAGATGGAGGAAGAAGACGATGACGATGATGGTGAGATTAGTGACGGAGGTCCCGACGATCTGGAGGCGGGTGTGGAGCAGGACGAGGAACAGGACTTGTTCTCGTTATCCGAAAAACATCTGCTGGCTGAAGTGAGAAAGATTGTCACCAGCAAGGGCTTGGATGCCGTGTTGGCGGAGTTGAAGATAGCCGATCTGGTGGAGAAGAAGATCAAGGAGGAGCAAAATGATAATGTGAAAAGTGAGACTCGTGACTGATCTCCGCCGGAACTCTTTTCTGATCCCCTACCGACCTCTTCTGACGACTATGCTGTAACTGATATGACTACCAAAGTTAGGTATTTTGTACAATAGACATTAATTTATATCTGTTTGTAGAGTTGAGTGGACAACGACGTTCTTCTGTACCTTTTGGATGTAGTTCATAACGATATCGTCTCATTCTATAGGTACTTGTACCTTGATCTCGGCTAATTCTGATATAACATTAAAATACAATACATACAGTTATTCATCGTCTTCTTCTTCCTCTTCTTCCTCCTCTCCCTCCTCCTCCTCCTCCTCCTCCTCTTCACTCTCCTCTTCTTCGTCGCCCTCTTCGTCCTCACTTTCATCTTCTTCTTCCAACTCCTCAACAGACTTCTCTCTGTAGTCACTCACTCGTCCAGAATGTCGACTGCTTCGCCTTCGTGGTCCGTCTTCAGTCCCAGCGGCTTTCTTCTTGGCCTTTGGTTTACTGGCAGCCTTTTTCGTCTTCTTGGGTGCTTTGATGGTCTTGGCCTTCTTGGGCTTCTTGGCTTTCTCTGCATTAGCCTCCTGAGCACGTTTTCGAGACGTCAAGAACACTCGGATACTGTGGGGAATCTCCTCGGCCACCTCCTGAGGCATGTACGTCGTCTGAGACGCCTTTTTAGCCAGTTCGGGGGTATCGAACGGCTTGAAGATATCGCCAGGCATATTTGCTTTGCCAGGATAGGTGGGTATCTGCATGTTGTGCTTGTTCTCAGCATACTGACGAATGGACAGCTGTGCCAGCTCAGACAGAAAATGGACGCCCTTGTCCAGATGCATAATGTTGGCTCGCTCCTCGTCTACAGCATCTTGGAATTGCTTGACCCGCTGAGCAAGATGAAACAGCATGGCCAAATTGTCTGTATCTGCCACAATCTGTAGAAAGACCAGAATGGCATACAACGGCTCCTCTAGATGATCGCCAGTGACGGCTCCTCCAGTGTGAATGATGAGATCACGTCCAAGAAAGTGCAAAAGACGTGGGAACAGAGCCACAAAAACGGTGGACTTGGGATTTTGTTTGAGCTCATTGTCGTGCTTGGCACGCACCCATCGGACAACATCATCCTTAAAAGCAGCTTCAGACTCCACTCCGATGCACAGCAGCGGCAAAAGAAGGAACTTCCAGCCTAGCTTGTTCTTGTTCATCAGAGACATGAGTTTCTGCATGAACCGTTTTCGAACTTCGGGATCAGGATGTCGAACTGTTCGAGACAGAGAAATGATGTGCTGGGCATGAATCTTGTCAGCTCTGTATGCCGGGTTCCAAGCAAGCCGTAGAAGCTCCAGAGAAAGACACAGATGAACAGAAGGAGATAGCTCGTTGTCAACCATCTCCCCATCTTCGTCGATTTCTAGATCCTTGGGGTCAATGAGGTTGCAGATGGTGTCAACAAGGTTAGGGGCACCCTTAGCAGTCTCGTGGGTGATTGCAAACGATACCGCGAAGCCAGACACCTCAGTGTCGGGGTCCTCCATATTTGCTAGCAAGTCAGAAACGTGTTCTGTTAGGTCATGTTTCTCTAGAAGCTCAGGCTTTCGCTTGTAGATTTGCGTCAACGCAGTGTACTTGGAATCAGTGTTAGCAGAACCAACCAGAGCCTTGATAGCCGAAGCTGAAAGAAGTGAAGGGGCAGCACAGCAGGCAATGGCGGTAGCATAGTTGGCCTCTAGAGGCTCACCGTCAAGAATTAACTTTGTCAGAGGCTTGAATGCCATCTTAGGAACCTTGAGAGTATTGTTGCCCCGCTTGGCCATAGCTGCCAGGGTTCGAAGAGTTTCTTCAGAGGCATTCTCGGCAACAATGGACTCGAACATGCCGTTGACATGGGCTGTGAGAAGGGCTGGGTTGATTCTAGACACGTGCTCCAAGAAAGAAGCAGCCACGGGCTGGGTGACCAGAGATGCGAGAATCTGCTTGTTGAGGAGCAAGTTGGAGCTTCGATAGAGAAGCACAGCAATAACTTCCGCGGCTTCTCCAGAGAACTCGTCAAGAATTCGATCCTGTGCCTCAATCACCTCTCGCACAGTCGAGTCGGGTGAAATACATGTCTTGAGGTCTTCACTATAGTTTTCCAGAAGCTCAGCGATGGCAGAACTTGCAAGCTTGGGGTTAGGTGTGATATTGGCCATCCACTCGATAATAGACTCTTTTTGAGCATCGGTGATGACATCCCCCACAGCCGCCTTGAAGTACTCAGAAATGGTGTTTTGCCAGTTGATAAGTGAATGGAACGACTTTCTGGCAGGAGAAGTATCATCACCAAGAGATCCCAACACCGACAAAAGACGCTCCACACGAGTCTGAACACCAGTTTCTCGTGTCAAGATATCCTCATGGAAAACCCGTTCCATGTTGAAGGTGATTTCGGGGTTGTTCTTGAACACCAAGTTCAGAAGAGCACTGGGGATCCAATTGGCAATACTGGACACATCCTCATCTTGCTCAATCAGGGGGTATGCATCAGCATATAGTTGAGCACACACTTCTGTGGCTGTTTTTCTCACAAGAGGCTTCCTGTCGCCCATACGGTCAGTCATGAGCTTGATGAATTCGTCTGAGCCTCCCACGAGGTTCTTGAGCGTCTCCGGCTCCAGTTCACCCAGAGACTTGATGGCCTGGATTCGAACTCTCTCATCTTCGTCAATCAACAGCTGCAGAAGGATCTTGGAAACCTCTCGAGTCACGTCAGTTCGATACTTGAGAATATCATGGGCCTTGAAAGCCCACATTTCACGCACTTCGGGATCCTTATCGCGACATCGATCTCGCCACAGATTCCAGCAGGTATCGTAGGTGGTCACAAAGTTGATCTCTGAAGGCTGGTGCGCAATCATGTCTCCCACAACCTCTACCAGCAGCAATCTCACGGCTGTCTTTTCGGTGATGAGTTCAGCTTGCAAATATCCGACCAGCTGGGCAATGGTTTCGGGAACGGCCTTCCAGATCTCCACCACCAATTTGTGTAATCGAGTGAGCTCCGTCATTTTGGTCTCTTCGTCCTCCTCTGCGTCGTCTCCACACTCGCTGTTGAACACGTCGTTGAAATACGCAAACAAAGATTTGGCCATGACCGTCTTGTTATCGGCGCACAGAATCTTGCTCAGCGCGTATCCAGCATTCTCAAAGCCCAGAGAGGCCTGCTTGGACGCAGTCTTCTTCTTGGGGACAGCCACAAACTGAGAGAAGACCACTCGAGCAGACTGCATGGGCAAATTGCCCTCCTGGTTGATTTCGTAAAGAAGCTGATTAAGTACACGGGGAAGTAGTACGGCGTGTTTGCTGTCGGGCTTTGTGGTGTACAGCTTGTAGAAGAGCAAAAACAGATCGTCAATGAACTTATCTCTGGTTTCAAAGTCGTTCGCCAGAACAATGCAGTTCAGAGACTCGACGTTTTCAAGCAGTTCAAAGCTTTCGGCGTAGCTAGCGGCCTCGGTGTTGGCCAGTGCCTTGAACCGGCGCTTGAACAGCTGAAACACGCGCTCCAGGTCGGAGATGGAAAGAGGGGCATCCGGAGCAAAGATTTTCAGGAGTTCCAGGAAACACAGCGAGGCGTACGCCTGGGTCGTCTGATCTTTGGATTCGAGAATGCGCTTGTCCAGAAGCGCCTGCCGGATAGGTTTGCAGGCATTGATGTCCAGGCCTCCCTGTTCGACACTTCTCAGCTCGTCCAGCAGTTTCTAGGTTAGCAAACCACACAATTGGAATGTCGTAGAAGATAGAAAAGGATAGATACTCACCTTGACGTTGTTCTTGATGGCGCCCGTGTCTCCCTTTAGGAGATTCGTCGTCTTCAATCGCGCCTTGGCCGTCATTGAATATGATGTCGTGTCGCTTGGTGTGTGTGGTGTGTCTTCTGGAGATCGCGTCCGACGCGAAACTTTATGTATCTAATTTGTCTGGGGATGGACCCCGGCAGATGATGTAAGCTGGTGTTGGAAGGGGCGATTGTACTTGTAGTGGAAAGAAGCAGAAAATGATGGGTTGATCGATGATCCAATCAAGCGTTTTTCGCGATCAATCTATTTCACTCATATATTTACCTGGTTTATTGACTCAGGCTCCAATGGGTGCATGCTGCATTGAGGCTGAAACAGAAGCCCAGAGCTTTAGATGAGCTGTTATCGTAGATATTTAATTGTTTTTTTTGTTGTTGTTTTTTTGTTGTTGTTTTCGGGGTTTTTTTCCGGTTGTTTGCGGTAATCACCAGCATCTGTCTCTGTATCTCTCAATATGGAACGCGCAACGGAAGTACAGCAGTATCGTGGACGTTGAAGGAGGAATTTGGCACTCCAAATGATAGTTAAAGTCTCTCGAGTCTTAAGTAAACAGTTGAAGCGTAAATAAAGCTCGGGATAGTCGTGATTGATACTGATCAGTGAATGGTTTCCAAACCTCTTCTCCTTTATTTTGTTCACTCGTCCCATGATCCTTCCAAATTTCTCTGTTGCGGAATCCAACTGCTTGTGCCTGCGACAATCCACACCCATACTGCATTACCCTAGTCCAGGCTCCAAACAATACCGCTGTTATCATAAACATAGACTTGACGTAAGGAGAATTATGAAAGCACATATCTGGTATTTATTGGAAATGAGATATTAATTCTATTATGCAAGTGTATGAGAGCTTTTACTTCAGAATCTCCCCTTTTCTCTTCCTTTGCCTACAGCAACGAACATTCATTAGACCTGCCACCTGCCATCCTCATGGCTCACTTTACCCCACACTCTCCCTACAGTACCATGTGTGCTGTACCCTTTCTCACTCCTCATTGTGACACGGTCTTCGCCTGACAAACTTGGGACTCTTTTCATTCCATTCTAGCCCACATTAACCCGATATCTTAGAGATGCTTGACTTTTGGGCAAATCTACGTCGACGGATCAGACACATGTCGATACCTTTGGAAAACAGTTTATCCTGACACTCTCTGGAACAGCCAACTTCCTTAAATGAAAATGCCATTGCGCGATTACCCCCAACAATACCCCATACCGACAGTACCCTTCTGCATATGATACATGTGGCCGCACGAGTGATCCCTTGTTCCGGGAGGATCACAATTCGAAAATCACTCCCTTCGTCTGTGATTTTATGTTGATTCCGATCCTCATACCACAGCATACAGTCTATCGGCCGTCTTCAACTCATGCGATTACTTCTATATCAAAACTTGTATAAATATTCTATCAAATGCATCAGACTGGCGACTGTGCATGGGGTGCAATACGCGCCGAAGCGGGGGCCTGCGGAGGATTGAACGACTCTCCGGCCGAAGACGAAGACGGCTCTTCCTTTGGTTCTTCTTCTCCCACTTCGGTACCGATCTGGACTCCGTCGGCATTGACACCAGCAATGGAATCCTTGATGTGCAGAGCCGAAACGGTGAAGTAGTGCAGATACCACGGCACCACGAGCGCGAAGACGCTGCCTCCAACAATGTTTCCGACAGAGACTCCCACTAACGACTTGTGAATGAAAAGCCCGACACTATGCGGTGAGCCATTGAACAGGCCCAAACTGATGAGAAACATGTCTGCCACCACATGGTCGAACCCAATGTATACGAAGGCAAACACCGGGATGAGAATGGCAATGTACTTTGCCACAAATGTTCGACACATGAACGACAGATAGATACCCATGCACACCAGTGCATTACAGGCCACTGCCCGTGCAAACAGTTGAGCCCAAGTTGGGTTTGTCAGCTTGTTGTTGACAGACACGTAGGATGCGTTCACCATTCCTTCCGATCGTGCCAGGCCGGTGGAGTAGGCGAAAATGTAGCTGACAAACAGAGCTCCTCCCAGGTTTCCAAACCACGACACCACCCACGACTTTAGAAGAGCCCACGGTGACAGCTTGCGGGTCGCGCAGCCCACGGTGAAAAAAAGAATGTTGGAGTTGAACAGGTCCAGACCAAACATGGTGATGAGAATCAGTCCGATGGAGTAGGCGCCAGCCTCTGGGACCTTTGGCAGCCAGTCGTTTGCCCCACCCACATGCTGGCCCGAAATCGAGTTTCCTTGTACCGTGATACTGACGAAGGCTCCAATGGATTGCATGATTCCTCCACATACGGAGCTGACAAACAGCTTGATCCAGCCCTGTCGGTGTTTACGACGGGCCACCGCTACCATCTCCAGAGCACACTCCTCGGGCGGAATGAGGGGTGCCAGGGCCCTGATCACGTCGCGACTGCTCATTTTGTCTCCGATATGCGATGCGTTTGCAACAGGAGGAATCCTTCGGGCCCGCTGTGGAAAAGAGCGTGCGGCTCTAGATGCAATTCTTTGTCTACGACTCTATACATTAGGCTTCTAGGTTCCCACAGTTGTAACTACTGCAACTGAGTGAGCTTATTACGCATTGTCGGATTGTCATTATGGTGGGACCCCCCAAAGAAAAACAGACAACCAACAACGCTTAAAAACCCGCGCTAATATTGCATGCGGCTTTTTTGGACAACTATGGTCACCATCCCTGACGGCTGTGCGGCTCACGGCCCTTGTATGTCTCTCTACTGGTACATGTTTAGCAAGCCAAGCCCGCCCACTCATTTACAGTACGTTGTGTGAGCGATAATAAGCCACTTTGGAAGCAAGCATAAGCGAGTATAATATATCAAGCACAAAGAGAGTTTTTGTAAATAAGCGAGATATATTAACCAAAAAAATTACAGTACCGGTACAGCAGCGCAGGCGGTGTCAGGAGGCTGTTGGCTTATTTATCTTTAAGTGAAGTTCTTTTTCCCCACGTGGAAAATCATCTAAGGCAAAATACTATTGTGTTGAGTTGTACTTTGTCTTCACACTGACACCATTTCAAGGCTCAAGGGCCTTTTCTTCCATTGGGTTTATTGCCTCGTCGTCGGGTCACACACACACGCCGTTAAGTCTCACCTGTGCTGTAAGTACTGTAGCTGTGAAGCGAGATGAAATTTATCGCTCTTCCCATAAACCTTGTTTCGTTATCGCAAAAGCCACCTGCACCTCCACATGTCGACGGGTTGCAAATAATATGCAAAGTAGGAGTATCTCACAGCTTTAGCGGCACTGAAAATAGCAAAAAACAAATGGGAAATGTGCTTGTTTCCTTCCCGTAAGCTTACAAAAAGCAAATCTGCCCACCTTGTGGCTCAAAATCGCACTAGTCTCACTTTTCCTCATCCCCAATTAGCGTTCGATAACGACCCCAAGGTGACAAACCTGAACCAGACAATTACGAGCCATTGAGATGTCAAAGTGGGTTTGATGCGTTGGAAGATTGAAAATTCAAATTTTCACTTTGATTCTCTATAGGATTGGTTTTTTCCCCACGTCGCCATCCGGCCGAAATCATTGAAAAGGGAAATCCAAAGGGTTTTGTCACGTGACTTTTGAAGCAATGGCTCAAGTGCCCCAAAAACGGCGAAAACGCAAGATCAGAATTTCTGGCCTAGATGGTGCAAGCGCGAATTAAGGTTTGGGTTTGTATTTTCGAGGTCGTGAGTTCGATGCTCCAGTGGCGCAGCTGGTTAGCGCTTCGTGCTTATAGATTTTAGACTTGATCATTCTCTATGTCAAAGTCACGGTCGTGTGAGGAACGCGACGGTCGTGGGTTCAATCCCCTCCTGGAGCATTCTTTTTGTAGGGGCGTGGCGTGTAATTGTTTTCCCCTAGCTGTATATCTCTTTGTTTTTCACTTTTTACAGCCGTAAATCACGACGGTGGTAAACACAAACACATTCTATCTATTAGCATTATTGAGTGATGAGTCCCAGAATGACGCACCATGTCAGGTTCACGACACAGTTGCAAGGAACAATGAGGTTTTGGGGAAGCACAAAGAAGGCTACCATTGAGAAGATAGGCCAGATGAGCCAGCTGCTTTTGAGTGTCTTCCAGAAGGATTCATGCAAAGTTGCAGAGATGGACGTGGCATCCCAGTAAGCTGATAGCGACAAAAACATGAGCTGGAAGCCCGGGTTTCCGCACAGCTGGTCGATGACGACTCTGAGAATGGTGACTGGCACCTTGGCGATGAGCATGTCGGTCCACATCTTTGTGGTGACGCCGTTGATGACTCCCCACACGTAGAACTTGAAGAGCTGTGAGTAGTTGGGTCGACGCGTGATAAACGCCTGGGTGATGCCCTGGCTGAGGCCCGAGAGACACACACAGATGAGCGCGGCCAGTCCGAGCGGACTCTGAGTCTCCAGCTCGCTAAAGTGCAGAATCACGACTGCCGTGGTGGTCAGCTGGAGGACAACCAGCACGAACAACTTGAGGTTCCATGGCGGGCGGTGGATGTGTTTTTCCGACGAACCTGTTTCCGGAGCCCATTCGGCGGGCTTGTCCTTAATGAGGCCCAGTTCAATGTCGTCTTGAGCCATGCAGACGGACGTAGACTGTAGACTGTTTCAGCGAGCTTGATTACTGTAGAGGTATCATGTGCGTTGAGGTTGGATCTCGCGTGAGGAGGGTAATAGAGTGTTCATCAACTTAATTTCGGTATGAGGACCGCTCCTACGCAACTACAGCGGTTTGGACCGGAGATCATGGGAGTCGTCGCACAGGTTTCTTCTGTCACACATTTACCACCCTTTGATTTTTTATATTTTCCTTGTGCATTTTCCATCCTGTTAAGGTTCAGACGTGAAGCTATGTGTGTGTGTGCACCTGTTTTCAGACGGTGCGTGTGGCTTGTGTGTATCATGGTGTATGAAGACAAGACACCAGATTGCCGCAAGTAGGAACTCCATCTGTTATCTGGTTTGAAAGGGAACTGCAACGTGCCATTGAAGATGATTAGTGATACTTTGCGAAGTTGTTAGGACTAATAGATACCTCGATCACGCCATTGACCACTGCATCTTTATTACCACATTCTGTAACGAGACTGGTTAGTTGACATGGTCGATTTGTGCAGGTCGGTTTAGTTCCGGTGACCCCCACGTTTGAAAAGTGGGGGATGGTTGCTTTCCCACCCCCACAGCTCGGGACTTTGCTACTTGTGTAGCGGAGAAAAGGTATATGTGGTCAGAAGAGAGCGAATGGCATATTTCACGGGTTGCTGAGGATGGTGAGAGGCTGACTAGAGGCTGACCAGAGGCTGAACGGAGGCTGAACATAAGTCAACTTGTAATTGTGGCGCCTGTGGCGTTCACCGTTACCAACTAACCTTGGAGAACCTCGGTAGACAATACTGGTACAAGTACTCGTACAAGAGACTATCCAGCAATGGGTTCATGCACCGTCGGCCGAATTGCCCTGTTCTATTCTACACATCCAGTGCGTCATATGATATCGCACTGCTTGTGCTGAATACTCTTGCTCTCCCTCTTTTCCTTCCTGGCCGGACTCCGTTGAGATGCATCGTATTTAGGTTACCCCGGAATCGGAGTGCATTTATTACTCACCTATATATAACGCCGCTGAGTACTCCTTCATCTCACGACACGACAAGTATCCACACCATGGCGACTCTTCAGAAAACGATTTCCAAGACCGGAGCCGGGATCTTCATCCCCGGCGCCCAGGAGCTGACCTACAGCCAGTTCTTCGATCTCATTGGCGACTTCCAGAAACAGCTTGCCCAGGTCGGTCTTCCTCCCCAGAGTGCTGTTTCCATTGCCATCCCCAACTCTCTCGAGTTTGCCGTGACCTTCCTGGCAGTCACCTTCTCTCGATACATTGCTGCTCCTCTCAACTCGGCGTACAAAAAGTCCGAGTTTGAGTTCTACATCGACGATCTCAAGTCCAAGCTGGTGCTGGTACCCAAGGGAGCCGTGGCCCAGAACCTGGCCTCCGTTCAGGCTGCCCGAACTTTTAATGCTGCCATCGCTGAGGTCTACTGGGACGACCAGAAGAAGCGAATTGTCATGGACATCAAGGAGGGCCCTACAAACCCTCCCGTTGCCGTCCCCACCCCCGACGAGGTCTCCCCCGAAGACGTGGCTCTCGTGCTGCACACCAGTGGAACCACCGGCCGACCTAAGGCCGTTCCCCTGACCCAGCGAAACCTGTGCCGAACCATGCACAACATTGTCGACACATACAAGCTCACCAGTAAGGACACCACTTATCTGGTCATGCCTCTGTTCCACGTCCACGGTCTTCTGTGTGCCTTCCTGGCCCCTCTGGCCTCTGGTGGAGGAATCGTAATCCCTAGCAAGTTCTCTGCCTCGCAGTTCTGGGACGACTTTGTCAAGTACAAGTGCAACTGGTACACTGCCGTGCCCACCATCCACCAGATTCTGCTGAACACAAAGATTCCCCAGCCTCTGCCCGAGATCCGGTTCATTCGATCGTGCTCTTCGGCCCTGGCACCCGCCACCTTCCACCAGATTGAAAAGGCATTCAAGGCCCCCGTCCTGGAGGCTTACGCCATGACTGAGGCTGCCCATCAGATGACTTCTAACAATCTTCCTCCCGGACAGCGAAAGCCTGGAACCGTCGGAGTTGGCCAGGGTGTCGAAGTCGCCATTCTGGACGACAACGGAGACGAAGTCCCTCAGGGAAAGATTGCCGAGATCTGTATCCGAGGAGAAAACGTCACCAAGGGTTACATCAACAACCCCGAGGCCAATAAGTCGTCGTTCACCAAGAGCGGTTTCTTCCGAACCGGAGATCAGGGCTTCCTGGACAAGGACGGCTTTGTCAACATCACCGGCCGAATCAAGGAGCTCATCAACCGAGGAGGAGAGAAGATCTCACCCATTGAGCTTGACGGAGTCATGCTGGAGCACCCTGCCGTGGCCGAGGCTGTGTGTTTCGGTGCACCCGATGAGATGTACGGACAGCAGGTGAATGCCGCTATCGTTCTCAAGAAGGACGCCAAGGCCACTGAGCAAGATATCAAGGACTTCATGGCTGATAAGGTCGCAAAGTTCAAGATTCCTGCTCGAGTTTTCTTCACCGACATTATGCCCAAGACTGCCACTGGTAAGATTCAGCGAAGATTTGTCGCCCAGAAGTTCCTTGACAAGGCTAAGCTCTAAGCATCTGACTGGCCTCAACCCCGAACATGTACATTATATTTAGCCTGTGTGTGAATTATTTTAATTGACAGAAGAGAGCCCGTGTTGCGTTGGCGTTTCTAATATGCGGCTTGTCAGAAGGTCTAGATTTCTGATTGGCACTCTCGATGGAAGATTGCCCAAGTACTTGTACCAGCACATACATGTAGTTACCGGTAAGGAATGTCAATACTTGTACAAGTACACGTAGGGCTCTGAAGCTCCGAAAGCCAGAAAAATTAACATACTAAAGACTGCTCCATGTGAATTCATCAATCTGTAACACCAAGCAAGGATCATTCGATATTCCAGCGAGAGAACTAAACTAGCGTTGCAAGGCAGTTCCAGATGTACGATACCCCATGGCTACGCAAAAACAAGTGTCTAGCTTCATTCATGGAGAATGGTTCCCCGCAATTACATGTAGTTGAGCACCCTTAGGCAATTCTTCGTCTTCCAAGTTACCTAAGGACTCGCTACGTCCCGCTCAAGTACCCCCACTGGACCCACGCTAAAAACAGTTAGCTGCAATGTAGAGCAAAACACCGTCAAAACTTGTCGCGTGAAGCGCAAACAGGGCATGAAGAACCGAGATTTTGACCTGTTACACGTTTCTAATAGTAAACTCCTCGAATGAGGGGTAAAAAGTGTGCTGCTTAAGTAGAACATTTGTTCAAGTGTAGCATGGAGGCATTTCACTAATGCACTGTGCTCCGAGGTCTCACCGAAAGTGCTCAGCACCCCCTGAATTCCCCCAAGAAGTTGATTAATTCATTTCAAGTTACTTCTACAGAGGCGAGAAACCCCCCTCGCGTGTGCTTTCTCCTTTTAGCCCCGCACAGAGGCTGCAACTCGAATGGAGTCTCTGCAGCCTAGGGTCTAGATCGGCCTAATGGTACACTCTGCACATATCCGCGGTATGCTGGGTTTGATATCTTCATGGAAATTATTGAGCAGGCTTTTAGAGGTTCATCAACTCCAGGTTCGCTTTTTATTCTTTGCACCGGCTTTACGTCATGCAAGGTTGTCATCACCCTCCCGTATACATCACCACGTATAGGTGGTCCAACCCAACAGGTGTAGATCTGTCCTCTTACCTTCCAGCAGTTAAAAGTTCCACTACTTTGGCCTGCTGCTAGCACCTCGCTAAGTCATTACCCCACAACACCCTTACGAGGCTGGAAACTCCACCCAAACAACTGATACCTTCCGCGATATATAAAAGGGATCAGCCATGGTTTGTTGGACATCACAAAATGACTACCCTCAACAACTCTTCTCATGCAATGGCCAGCGACCTTGATCTCGAACGGGGTGGTTCTACTGACAGAATCTCTCATGTCGAGAATGGCAAGGATGGCCGTGTCCTTGAAAACGGAGAGTATCTCATCATCGCCGGTACTCGATACCACAGGAACGAGTTCATGCAGGCGTTTGGAGGTACTCTGAACCCTGGATCCGCCCCTGCTCCCTCTAGAAAATTTGGAAATGCTGCTCCCATCGGTCTGTTTGCCTTCTCCGTGACAATGATCATTCTTGGCTTCTGCACCTGTGGAGTCCGAGGTATTGGAGCTCCTAATGTCATGGTTGGATGCGCCATCTTCGGTGGAGGTCTCTGTGAACTCATTGCCGGTATCTGGGAAATTGTCGCCGAAAACACCTTTGCGGCCTGTGTCTTCCTCTGTTTCTCCTGCTTCTGGTTCTCTTGGGCCATGCTCAACTTACCTATTGGAATCGAAAAGTACTACGCCACAGAAGATGAGTTTGCCCAAGCTGTTGGAGTCTTCCTCATGGGCTGGTTTGTCTTCTGTGTACTGATGACACTGTGTACACTGAAGGCGACGGTTGCCTTTTTCGTCATGTTTGTGTCTCTGGACCTCGCGGTCATCTTCCTAGCTGCTGGTAACTTCACTGGAAATCCCCGTCTGCTCGTTGCTGGTGGTTCTTTCTGCATTTCCACCGGTCTCCTGGGCTGCTGGAACGCAATGGCTGGTGTTGCAACTCCTCAATCCACTTACAAGTGGTTCATTCCCGTTCCCATCATGATGCCTGGTGCCCACAAGCCAAAGATGACTTGATTATTTATTAGAAGATTGATTTGATTACTGTAGGTGTTAATATACAAAACGGAATCCATTATATACACTACTTGTAGCTATAAATACACCCATCACCAATGGCGGACCATCAAAAGATGCTCTTCGAGAGACTGAGTCAGTCGTCTAAGCTCGTTTCGAGACAACCCCTCCTCAATCACAACCTGCTCAATGGCATGCTTGCCATTAAAGTAAGGCTTGAGGCGGTTAAACAACAAGACCACATCCTGAGGTTGGTTCTCAAGAATCTTGTTGAGCCACTTTCGCTGGGTGAGAGTGGCTCTGTCGGGCTCAAGCAAGATGGAGTCATCGATGCTGTCATCTTCGGCAAAATGGATCTCAGATGCCTCGGGAGAGTCCTTGGAAACATGACTGCTGATACTTGCAGAAAAGTGTCTATCCTTCAGCGACTCAGACGACTTTCGAGAGATGGCTAAAGGGTTAGTAAGGTTGAAATCGTTGTCTCGCTTATCTCGTGTCTGGTTCTTCACCTGCAGCTTGATCTTCTTGGAGATCTTTAGGTACAGAAAAGTGCGCAACTGGGTGACAAATCCATACTGCAGCAACCAGGCCAGCGCCCGGTAATACATGGTTTTGTGATCGCGGGAAGGAATGAGCTTGGCGAACTGCTGGGGCTTTCCCGTCGAGAGAGAGGACAGCATTCTGGGAAGAGACGGCAAGCCTGGGAACTTGACAGCAAATCGAGGTGCAAATTCATACAAAGATTCGATAGGTGCAATGGGAGACACAATGTACGAGTTTCCCTTGTTGATGGGCAGAATTGCTCGTCCTCTTCGCCAATAAATAAGATGCTTGCTGAACCCCAGGGCCTGCTCGGCTGAAATCTGCAGGTCCTGAACCACCTGTTTGAGTGGTATCCAGGGTTTTAGGTGGGAAATAAAATTACACAGAGTGTAGTCCTTCTGCGCTTCCAGGTCTGAGATGATAGACTCAGGTTCATCCAACAGCAGAAGAGCGAAATGCAGCTGTTTTGAGTCCGAATCTGAAAAGGACTCGGTGGTAAGATAGGCACCGGAGATGTGGGGCTCAGTTACCAGCGGTAAAGAGGCCATCTCTGTCTCCACGGGAATCTGGAAACTCCGCACGCTCTTGTTCAGAACAATGGATGCAATAGAGGCGTTCTGGATAGAATGAAACAGTTGTGCAATGCCATGAGCCAGAGGGCAGGTAGTGATTGTTTCTCTCCACAAATCCGCCATTCCACGCTTTTCGTATGCCGCTGCTTCTCTCAGGTGAGCAATCTGACGTAGCTGTTGCCCCACCCAATCAGACTTGGCTTGTTCTGCTCTCAAAGCCACCGCAAGTTGGGATGCAATATAAAAGTACATCTCGTCCACGCGTTGGTTGTACTCTGCCAAAGGTGGATTGACCACAAACGACACGTGGAACGACACGAGGTTAGATTTCGGCTCCTCGTCCTCCTCTCCAACCTCCTTCTCCTCCCTGTCGTACTCCTTTTTCCGTCTCCACCTTCCGTCGTCGTTCACATGCACAGGAAGACCAGTGAACACCATATCGTCTAGAGTCAACTCGAACCGCTGTTGACACATGCTCTTTTCGGGCGTCAGAATATCACCCAGAAACTGAGCATCGAATCCAAGCACCTTGTCCCATGAGTTTTCAGACAGAGAGTTCTTTCGTGAGGTGCCCTGCGAAGCTGTTGTCGTTCCATCATCATCTGGAGTATCATCTCCAAAGTTGTAGTCGAATTCGGCCGCCGTTGTGTAGTTGCTGATGAGGTTCTTGAGGATCTCCTTTCTTCGTCGTCGGTTCTCCTTCTTGCCCTGATCCCGTTTGTTCAATCGCCGATAATCCAGAGCAGGAGCTTCCTCTTCCTCCTTGTCGCTCTCGTCGGAGTCGGACAGAATGTCGCCAAGGTCGTCTTCCGAAGACTCACTATCACCTGAAGACTCCTCGTTCTCGCGGAAGATTACCGGTGCTGCAGCTCGATACCCGTAGGACTTGGGCTTGGGCGGGTAATGAAACACAAACTGCGGTCCGGTCGAGGTCGCGCACGTGACCAGAATCGCCAACAAACATGGATTGGGGATGTTGGTCATGTCGTTCAAAGTGTGGGATAGCGCGCTTTGACCTGCACTTGGAGCTATCAATGTCCCCCCCAGACCAATTGCATATGCAAGTCGGGTCATGTGACTATCAAAAGTGCCCGTAGACAAAATATAGTGAAAAATGACCGTGTCCAAAAAACAAAAAAAACTACAAATATCAAAAAAGATTACAGCACCCAGGATTCTCGTATGGTCTCCCACTACAATACTAACTAGGCTCTCTGGTGCTTGACTATGGCTGATCGGACGGGAAGCCGTATTTTCACCAGGATATGGCCGTAACCACAACTCCGATACGGGGAATCGAACCCCGGTCTCCACGGTTCTCAAGAAGACTTCTTGATGAGAGCGTGATGTGATAGCCCCTACACTATATCGGAAATTGAAAAGCGCAAATAGCCCGACGTGGGGCTTGAACCCACAGCCTTGAGATTTCTTGTATAAGAGTCTCACGCTCTACCGATTGAGCTAGCCAGGCGGACGCTGAACACAAAGTGGTTTTGTACCAGAGCCGTTGTTTTCTGATTATGTAATCAGAACAAACTAAACCAACCTCGAGTCTGGATAAGACAAGAAACGATTGATATGATTTCTCGATCTGTTAGCCATGATTCACTACCTCGAGACCACGACAATGTGATCAACTAGACGAAGCGTCGACAAACCAACCGACAGCGCCTCGCAGCGCACATCGCAAAGATTCAGAAGTGTATGATTTATTGAACGCCAATAACCCGGCTTACTAGGTATATAGCTGTAATGAATCATTAGAATTAAAAAAAAAAAAAAAAAAAAAAAAAAAAACAGAATGGAAAAAACAATGTCAACCAATAACTTATTATGACTCATTGACGCCCTGACGGTATTAGGTCGCTCTTATATACCACGACCCGTGATTCCCCACCCCATAACCTGTCTGTCTATCACTCTATTATAGTATTCTGCAAGCTAAATATACACTTCATCTATCTCAAGTTAGCCAATGTAGGGCAGATGGGAAGGATTTGCTTTTCAGGAGTGGATGGCGGAGATTGTGTTCCAGCCGACCGACGTGTTCGCGTCTTGGATGTGGGTGTGCCGCTCGAGACACACACTTGTAGGAAAGTCCTTTGTTCCGGCCGTGTTCTCTTTTCATAATCACGAGTCTGTTGCAGGGCTGCCTCAGCGTACGAGTAGTTGTCGTTCTCTTTTTCTTTATTGGTGTCACCGGAACCATTGAACAACCAGGTGTCTCTGTCCTGTTCCAACGCTTTCAGTAAATTAGTCCAGTCTAGACGGTAGAAGTAGTGGATGAGCTTTTCGAGCAGGAGGGCAGTGACATGGTTGTCCCGTACCTTGTCGAGGATATCAATGGGTAGATATCTAATAATAGCCCCGGCTTTTCTGAAGACCGGAACTGAGGTATCCAGAGTTTTGAGCAACGCCACAGTGGTATCGAAGTACTTGCTTAGTGATATCTTTTTGTGCTCGTACTGTTCTCGAGCATCCTCCAACAACTGAAAGGCAGATCTCTTGGAGTCCTGGTAGTACCCATCTGATTCGAAGTCGTAAAAAAGGTCGTCTGGCGGGTTCAACAGAGTCGGAGAGGAAAGTGACAATGGGTTGACAACAGAGCTGTAGCGGTATCCTGGGTAGTTGTAATGGTATCCGGAGTTCATATTGTCGATTTAAAAAAGAATTGACGTGCTTATGAAGTTGCACAAGTCCCGGTATCGTATGTACAAGTACAAGTATTGATCAGCGGTGGACTTTTATCACCTAAATAACCCCGCATTACACCCCACTACACAAACTATGCAACTACTGTATGTACTGTACAAAGTACTCAGTATCGTGATTTTACAAGAAGTGGTTCATAACATACATAATTCATTCATCAATCAAATGAGAGAGAGGTATAAATAAATAAAGACCCAGTAATGAAACTTACTTGGGCTCGACAATGCAAGATCGTCGCCACAGCCCGTTACTGTCTTCACTGATCAGACTCTGAGCACGGTCCATCTCCATGTGGAGCCACTGCTGTAGTTCCTTGACGGGCTGAAGACGGTAGGGGATCTGGAATCGCTGGATCTCGCCAATGATCTTCGCGGTTCGAGCATGCTTGTCAAAGTTGATGACAGACACGGAAGGCGCATGTCCATCGCCTCCTTTAGGAATGTACAGACGCTTGTCGGCGTTACCCTCCTCGATGAAGGTCAGGTCGGTCAGATAGACACCAAGGTAAGGCACACAAGGAATGTCTTGCTGCCGGATTCGAGACCGGTACGCCACAAAATTCTTCTCGGGCAGAACAATGGCCTTGAGAGACGCAAAGAGGGTCTGGTACCGAGGAGACAGCATCTCCCACGTCTTTCGAAGTCGCATAATGGACACCGACTGAAGAGCACTGACAATGGTGAGCAGTGAGTTGAAGTTGCCCAGCTCCAGACACTTGTCGCCAATCCTGATCCACTGCTTGAGAATGTTCTTTCGCTGCTTGGCGTTCAGCCCGTGACGCAGAATGGAGTCTCCCACCAGAGCACTGAGCTTGTTGGTGTTGAGAGTCATAGCTCCAATGTTCTGCGCGTTGCCGAGCTTTCGCTTCTTGCTGGCGAAGTTGAGGTCCATAAACTCCTCCGTTTTGATCTTACAAAACAGCTCATTGTCAATGAGAGTCAACTGTCGCGCAATGTCAAAGGCATCGAAGCCAACGATTGAAATAGTGGCCTCGGGCGAAATCACATTTCGAAGGGCAGCCCAGTTGGGGTTGGAGGTCAGAGAAGCAGTTCGTCGATTGCCAGCATCAGATGCAGCGTTGGCAACGTTGTCGAAAAATCTGGTGATCATCGTCAGCTGAGACTTGCTCACGTTGCTGGAAGGAACAGCTCCAGAGTTATAGATGGACATTGCAGGACGACCGGTGTTTGCTACAGCAACCCACTTTTGGATGGGAGGCTTGTAATTGGGATCCTGGGCCTTGGTCACCAAAGTTTTGAGCACAGTAGCGGAGTTGTTGTGCTCCTTGGCCAGAGTCTCTGCGAAAGATCGCATCAGTGGAAGAGCCTCAGCGTCGCCAGCCTTCCAGTACGACTCGAGCCACTGCTTGAAGGTGTTGAACACTCGGATGACGACATCCTCGTCGGGCTTCTGAGACCGTTCAACCAGAAACTCAGCAAGCTCAATGGGAGTGCAGAAGCGTCGGAAAGACAGGAAGAAAACGGACACAAAGAAAGGGTCGACGGTCGAGGTGATGTGCTTCACAAGAGCCTGGATGGAACCTCCCTGAATCTGTCCCTGGTCACCGACAATGAGCTGGTCCTCCACAGAAACAGCGGCAAGATTATTGCTGGCAGGATCAAACGTCGACAGATCCACAGTGTCGTCATCCGCCGAAGCCATGGTGATTCCACTGACATCGCCGACCTCCTCGCTGATGAGAACAGCCTCACCCTGGCTCATTGGAATCACATGAGGCAAGGGAGGCAGCAAAGAGGCGTGCTTCTCTTTGTCTCCATCTTGCACCTGTTCTTGTCCCAGTTCGTTTACAGCCGTGTTATCATCATCGTTACCGACTGTGGAGTTGCCTTCATCTCCTTCCTCGTCAATCACGACGGATCGACGAAGACGAGCAGCCGATGTCAGCTTGTAATAAGGCTTGTCGACAGTCGCAGTGCTCTCTGTGGAAGCGTTCGAATGCATGGTTAGCTGGGTCGTATCGTCAGTGTCAGCAGTGGAAGGAGGAGCCTCCTCCTCGGCTTCGGAAGCAGTAGACTCGCCGACTCGAGCAGAGTCAGGTCGTAAGTTGTAGAACGAGTTGATAGTCACGGTAGTACCTCTGAGGTCGGGGTAGGGTCTGTCACTGCTCAGCTGGAAGTCACCAGTGGACTCCAAGACAGACTTGGAGCGAGAAACACACTCTCCAGCTGTCTTTGCACACTTGTTGACCACACGCACAAGCTCGTTGGCGTACTCGGGGGTAGCGCCCTCATCAATCACAAGCTCTCGAGTGGTGGCACACAACTTGGTGGCCAATCGGTATAGCCTGTCCTTGGTGGCTTCTAGTTCAGCTCGTCGAGTACGGGGAGTTCTATTGGAAACGTCCTCAGTGGCGGAAATCAGAGCTCGAGAAGCAACGATACTCTTTCGGGCGATGTACAGAATCTGGGATGAAATGGTCTGGCCGTCATCCTGAGACGTGTCGAGCAAATTGAGCAGACGCAGAATCAGACTTAAGTATGCCATCAGGGCGTCATACACCTCGTCCAGACGAGCATTGGCAAAGGGGGCAGTCTTGTGAAGAACAAGAGACTGACGAGAGTCTTCGCCTGTGGCTGAATCCTTTCTAGGAGACGAGGGAGGCCCAGAGCGTGAGCTTCGACCAGAAACACGTCCATGGCTGGACGTGCTGGTATCGGAACGCATGCTCTGAGAGGATGCAACGGAGTGTCGCGCCGTTGCATCCAGCGAGTTGCCTAGAGATGAGCCGTACTTGTCTCGCTTGAGATTGTAGATGTCGAGAAACACGACAGCTCGACACACCACGTTGTAGCAGCTTTGAACCAGCGATTGGATAAGTGCGTCGTCAGTCGAGTTCTTAGACTCCCGGGCCTGTCCCACAAACACGGCTAGTTCGGCAAGTAGCATCTTTCTGAATTTTTTCGTCGAGTTGGAGCTTCGTACGGCTGGGGAGTCACGTGTGAGGGCACCGCAGGCCTGAAGTAATGCTCGGACGCCTGCAATGACCGAGTTGACCGAGTTTTGCGAAAAGGTGTGGCCGTTCTTTGTAGGGTGACATTTGGGGTTGGTAGCAAACTTCTGCACGGCTACCAGCAGGGCATTTGCTTCTGGGTCCTGGAAGGGCTGGAAGAAGTTTGTGGGTACCCAGCCTCGCTCACCAGTGTGTAGCAGAGTGGCGTCTCCCCATCCGGACACGTCCATGCCATGTAGCAAAATGCAGTCTGTCTGTTTAAAGGAGAGACAGACAGAGTCCTTGTCGTGTGTCTCGAGAGAGCGCGCGTCGAACGCGTGCACGGCTCTGAGAAATGGGTACATGGAGTTCATTTCGGACGTTGCTGCGGCCGAGGCGGTGGCTGCGGATGCTGTGATTGTCGCTGAGGTTGTTTCTGTGCCGTCGGGCGAGCCTGGGGTAGTTGAAAGCTCGCTGATGTTTTCGCGCTGCTTGATTTCCTTCTTTGTGATCTTGCGCGGGTCTGCGGGTGCCTCCTTGGAGTCGAAAAAGACCGAGTTCAGCGAGTTGCGCGACTCAATGTCGGTCGCGTTGGAGTCGTACGAGGCCACCGATGTTTGTCGAGACGACGGGGGCGACTGTGTGTCTGCGCCCTGTTGCAGCGAGTCCGGTGGCGACTCGATGTTGATGGACGACGTGTAGTTGGAGCCTGCCGTTCGAGGAGAGCTCTCCATGTCGTTGTTGAGTGTGTTGTGGGAAGAAGAGGTGGAGTTGTCAAGTTGAGTTTGGGAAGCTTGCTCCAAACCTGGCGATGGCGGAGGCGTTTCGAGGCCAGGGTCGGTTTCCTTCTTGCGCTGGTGTTTGAGAGCGGCGTTGTTGGCGGCTTGAATCAGCGATCTCCGCTTGAGCATTTTCTGGACGGGGTCTGACGGTGACTCTGAAAAGTCAAACGACTCAGACGAAACAAGTTTGTTCACGTTCAAGGGCGGGATGGGATGCTCTAGATCCATCTGTGTTAGTTCTGGGGTGGCTATTAATATCTACGAGAACGTCCGCCGGATTTTTCACCTGTTCGCGACCGTGTCAGAATTGCATGACCGTTGTCGCCAGAGCTGTTTGTTCCGTTGTTCGGTGCTGTACTGTGCTCTCACGCCGCGCGTGTCTACCCCTGAGATACTCACTTTCCGATTCACTTGGTGTAGGGCGTGGGGACCGAGGGTAGGGTCGTGGGTGCGGTCGGGGTGCGGTTCGTAGGCGCGGTAGTGGTGTAGATGGTCTCGAATGGGTCTCGAAAGGTGTGTCGAAAAAGAAAATTACCAAGAACACGCCAATGAAGGGTGAAACAAGGAGTCGTTCGTACTGCACCTCTTAGCACTTTGATGCGGTGGGTGCGAAACCTTGTTGTGGGGGGTGATTGGAAAAAAAAAAATCACCAAAAAAGAAAAAAAACCAATCTTGACTTTTAGCCATGCACTCTCTCCAAACTGAGAACGCGCACGCTCTGTGGGAGGATGCGAGTCGACAAAGTCAATCACACAAGCTCCAGCTCGTTGCTTTTTACGAACTCTGTCGTTTTGGCGAAAGTCTGTCCGTCAATATGTCGGGCTGAGAGCATGGTATTTTTCTTGAGGGTCGCTGACGTGGCCAGGCCCCTCACACGATCTGCCTACGTGAGCAGCAAGATCCAGTAGTGGGGGGAGCTAGTGGCAACAAAATGCCGGTACGAGCAGCTGGTTGCATTTGCAGTAGCTGCTTGTTTGTTCTTTTCTTTCTTCACACTCGGGAAATTACTTTCAACTGCTTCTTCCGACCTCTGTCTTTGTTTGCCCAACTTGAAGATCTATCCCTGGCTGCCACTTTTGGAGTCTCTGCCCGTTTGGGACAAGATGGATAAACAACTGGCGGCGGACTCTCCGGTCGTCCCATAAGCAGAGGCACCCGCCTTGACAGCCCCATGGTTTCCAGACTAGGGCCGCTACATGAAGCGCCACGCTAACCACTAGCTCCAAAGTTTGCTGCTGGTAGGCTAGTCTGGGGCTTCCAGCGACGCTTGGAACGGGCACAATATCAGTTGGACGAACCTTGATGTTGTCTAAAAGCAATAATCTTGGCGTCTTCGGCTTCGCAGGAGATTGGCAGGCCCCAGGGGGGATACCTTGTCTGTTCCTGTGTAGGAGAAGCAGAGGGGAGCCATCTGTTGTTGCACTGGTTTCGTTGCATGTCAGATATTGCCTAGACAGACGGAAGCGACAGTAGCGTCAGATTACAGCCCATTGGAAGATGACAGCTCAATCTCTCGATTTACAGAAAAGGGTATGTACATGACCTCTTGATGGTCTCTTTTTCTTCCCCATGTACGGCGGTGGAAAAGCGATAATTATGGGATAATTATCTGCGGACGGTGAGATACACACGATGACTCCGGGCCCAGTGTCTCAGCTGGGTTTCACGCCTGAAACGCTGTGTGGGAAAGTTCGATTCGACGTTTCTGTTAGACAGACGCTTCAGCACCGAACATGCTCTTAGATTACTCTCGGACTAACAAGACGGTTTTGGCTGCTATTTTGACAAGGTGGTGATCATGTTACGCTGAGTGGGGAGGGCCCTTTGAAGCAGTGTGGTAATCATACAGCACACTCTCTCCACACGCCACAATTCTACAGTACATCAGCCGCCACCGCACACGCCATTTCATACCAGCGCACTGGCACTACCACCAGTTTCCATTCGACCCACAAGCTCCACTAATTACTTGTCAAATTCCATACGGCTCACGCAATGATTAAGTTGACATCTGCACCACCCAGCCCTCTCATGTGCAGAAGGTTGCAGATAGAGGGAGCAAAAAAAAAGAAAAAGGCGCGAAAAAGGCTGGCAAGTAAGGGGTGCAGGAGACAGGACAGAAGTGCTTGAAGGAGGTTCGGGGGAGCCTACCGGAGCTGGCCAAGCTCGTCCAGCAGGGCTACACGTCCCCCGCCCTCTTTACAATCGTCTCCCGTTGCATAAAATCTCTCTCTCAATCTCTCGGTCCAGGAACTGTCAATCACTAGGGTTAGCCCTATGCAGTGCAGGAGGTAGCTCGGGAAATTATTGCAGTATTATTCAGACAGAGCTGCGAAAGAAAGATATCTCACCACTCTGTGCTCTGTATCGCTGTCTCTAATGACTGTACACCACCCACCGCATCACCGCATTGGTAATTCACGCGACGTGTAACTGCAGGTGTGGCTCCTGTGGTGGATATTCGCTACTCCTTGCTACTTATAGAACAACCTCCCGTCAAAAGAGCTGGACAATAGGTGTGTGGGGTGTATGGTGAATTAAAGGAGACGTGCCAACTCACAGAAACAGCCCTGCTCAGCTGATATCCACGCAGAGACACGTGCAATCGACCCCGTCCGACGTGATCGCTGATAAAATTATCTATCCATCTCAACCACCCAATATAAGACTAGCAAGGGATGATAGTGTTAAGGTACAGTAGGGCGCCCTGTGTCTCAAATCGACCCTCCAGCAACTTGCTTCACCTACATTGGGGATGAAATAATATCCTCCATTATGGAATTCTCTCCCCAATGGTTTGCACAGCAGCAATAATTAACATCTGTGCAAACCCCCTCCCCTGCCTTGCACCCTACTTGACATCTGCCTTCCTGACGATCGCTGATCGACATTATTCTTGTTGTGATCGCTGATAACCCCCAGAAACAGGGCAAGATTGACACCCAAGCTGATCTGGCTGCCTCTACACATTGCCCATCTTCTACGCTCTTCTCTCGTATAATTGCTTCTACCGTGCGCTCACTTAGTCCTCTCTTTGGCGGCAGTATCGCATGTACGATTCATGATTGGAGATCGTGAAGTGTCCACCGTTAGACACCCTTTATAGTTGCCAACGGGCCATAGACAAACGCCTCCACAGCATTAATTGCTTCATGGTAGAGTTCGAACCAGAAGTGGACGTCTTTCACAAGTTTTCTGGGCCTTCGAGTCCTCCGAACTGGTGGCGTTAGACCATGATCTTGAGCCATACGATCTGAAAACATGGTGAGTTCAGACCCGAGCAAGGTCTTTCTAACTACTGTACACTGTACTAGTACGTACTTGATTCAAGGATTCCACTGATCTTTCTCGTGGTCACACCATACTATGGTCCGTGAAGACGACGTTCGGTCCGTGAAGACGACGCTCGGTCCGTGAAGACGACGCTCCATCACGTCGTGTCTTATTAAACCAACAAATTGCATCAATTGAACACATTGGCAGCAATGGTTTTGATCCTCAGGCGTCTTGTTGCCACCATCTTCCAGCAAGACATTTCACCCTCATTTTGTGGGGTTCATTAATAGCTGGGGAGCTATTAATAATAGTTGCAATGCTATGAAATATGCAGTGCTGTGAAATATGCGCTGCATGAAGATCTAACGGCTACAGTATGTACATTGTATAGTGCGTGTGTTACAATCAGTTGATGTATTTACATTATATGTTGAATAAGTTATGGTGACGGTTGACATCACTAATAAATAAAACAGATGGTTGACATCTGAAATATACAGTTTTTAAACGCAGTAGGATTCCGCTTAGTTTCGGAACTTCTCAATGGCCTTGACCATGTTGGTGAGCTGCTTCTTGGTCTCCTCCCACTTTCGGGTCTTCATACCACAGTCGGGGTTGATCCAGACCTTCTCCTTGGGGATGAACTTGAGAATCTCCTCGATTCGCTGCTCAAACTCCTCCTGAGGAGGAACTCGAGGAGAGTGGATATCAAAGAGACCAAGACCAATCTGGTTGGGGTAAGAAGCAAAGTCCTTGAGGTACTGGGGCTCGTTCTTCTTGGAGAACTCAATGGAAACAACATCAGCATCGAGAGAGACGATGGTGGAGGGGTTGAAGTCAGAGTAGCAGAAGTGAGAGTGGATCTGGGTAGAGTCCTCGACGCCGGCAGTAGAGATTCGGAAAGAATCAACGGCCCACTTAAGGTAGTCGTCTCGGGCAGGGCCGTCTCGGAGAGGGAAACCCTCTCGGATAGCAGGCTCGTCGACCTGGATTACGTAAACGCCGGCCTTCTCGAGATCAAGAACCTCGTCTCGGAGGGCAAGAGCAAGCTGCTCGGACTGGTCCTTGTCGGAAATGTCGTCTCGGGGGAAAGACCATCTCAGACAGGTGACGGGACCGGTAAGCATACCCTTCATAGGCTTCTTAGTGATGCTCTGGGCGTACTGAGACTCCTTGACGGACATGGGTCGGGCTCGAGAGATATCACCGACAATGATAGGGGGTCGAACGTATCGAGAGCCGTAAGACTGGACCCATCCGTTCTGGGTGAAAACGTAACCGTTAAGTCGCTCACCAAAGTACTGGACCATATCGTTTCGCTCGGGCTCACCGTGGACGTACACATCGAGTCCAACCTCGTCCTGGAACTTGACAACATCCTGGATCTCCTTCTCAATGAACTTCTCGTACTCCTCGGCGGTGATCTCGCCCTTGGTGAACTTGTTTCGGTTGATTCGGATATCCTTGGTCTGAGGGAAAGAACCAATGGTGGTGGAAGGGAAGAGAGGCAGGTTGAGGTGCTTCTTCTGGGCCTCGAGTCGCTGGGGGAAGGCGGACTTTCGGTTCTTCCACTCCTCGTTGATCTGGGCCTGTCGGTCTCGAACCTCCTTGTTGAAGGTGATGGGAGACTCGGCTCGGGCCTTGATAGAGGCGGCGTTGGCCTCGAGGTCAGCCTTGACGTCAGCGCCGGAAACAGCCTTGGCGACGGTCACAACCTCACCGAGCTTCTGGGTGGCAAAGGCAAACCAGTCCTTGATGGAGGGGTCCAGCTTGTGCTCGTTGGCAAGGTCAACGGGGGTGTGGAGGAGAGAAGAGGAGGTGGCAACGACAACTCGGTCACCGAGCTTCTCCTTGGCCTGCTCAACGACCTTGATGGCCTTGGCGAAGTCAGTCTTCCAGATGTTTCGGCCGTTAATGACACCGACAGACAGAGTCTTGTCGTCACCAACAAGCTTGATGGCGTCCTCGAGCTGCTCGGGCACTCGGACAAAGTCAAAGTGGAATCCAGCAACGGGGAGACCCTCAATGGCCTTGAGGTTGGGTCGAACATCACCGAAGTAAGTAGCAATGGTGATCTCGGGAATGTCCTTCTGCTTGGCAAGGTAATCGTAAGCAGTCTTGAAAGCGGCCTGGACCTTCTCGTTCAGATCAAGGACAAGAACGGGCTCGTCGATCTGGACGGTCTTGGCGCCGGCAGCGTGCAGCTTCTGGAGGATCTCGGTGTAGACGGGGAGGAGCTTCTCGAGGAGAGTGATGGGCTCGAGGTCGAGAGAGTCAGTGTCGGCCTTACCGAGGGCAAGGAAGGAAACGGGACCAATGAGAACGGGTCGGGTCTCGATACCGAGAGCCTTGGCCTCAAGGTACTCGTCGACGGGCTTCTGGCCGTTGAGCTTGAACTCGGTGGCATTGGTGAAGGTGGGTCGGACGTAGTGGTAGTTGGAGTCGAACCACTTGACCATCTCCAGGGCGGGGACGTCAACGTTGTCTCGCTGCAGACCTCGGCCCATGGCGAAGACGGTGTCGATGGGAGCCAGGTTGTACTTGGCGTATCGCTCGGGGATCACGTTGAAGAGCTGGGAGTGGTCGAGAATGTGATCGTAGAAAGAGAAGTCGTTGGAGGGGATGATGTCGACGCCAGCATCCTTCTGCTTCTTCCAGTTGATCTCTCGGAGCTCCTTGCCGACCTTGAACAGCTCGTCGACAGAGGCCTTCTGGCCCCAGTAGGACTCCGTGATCTTCTTGAGCTCTCGGTTGGCACCGATTCGGGGGAAACCAAGGACAGATGAAAGGACCATGATTGATTAGTTTGGGTGTTGGTTAGGAGAAAGGAGAAAAAAAGAAGACCAACGGAGGGGGACACGTACACATTATATATTACTCTCAGGGTCAGAGTCAAACAATGTCACTATACACCCAATTTACACTCTACATGCGTACTCGGATTTCACGTTTTGGGCCGCCCCCCCCCAGAAACTCTATTCGCTCCCCACGCACTATCACACGCCGACTTCGCTGACGGCCCTGATTGGAGGACGCCATTCGCTGATGCCACGTGACAACAAAGGACCCCACCAAAGCTAACCCTGGCTCCTCGCCTCTCCAACGTGCGGGCCCCAACTTTCGGTGCAACATGATGCAATCCGAGTACGAATCGCTGCACTGACGATTGCGCCATGTGGAGGGCGGATGGTGTGCCCGCCGCCTGTCGACCCGTCTGTTGCTCAATTGGTACTGCCATTGAACATGGAGACCTTCTATTTCTGCCCATGATCATGTCTCCATCGATTCATTGTCCAACTGCCACGTCGGATCGAACGCTAAAATGAAATTTTGCAACTTTTTTTTGCACTGTACTTCTCCAACCTTCCAGAGGCTATTCGGTCACGTCATACTGTACAGGCGAGCTGAGTACGACACTTCGGCCGCCGCTGACCTAGAGGCGGGGGGAATAAGGCCCCGAGAAGCGACTCAGGCTCGCTGCCGACGGCTCTTCCAACGGCCCCAGCCACAGTATGATGCAGCCCCCACATGCCCTTGCCCCAAAAACAACGCTTCCACACATCGGGGCAAGGGGATCTGGAACCGAGTCAGCAACTGCATTGCATTGTTGCTCAAATACTGCTTAGCCACAGGGCCAAGTACCAAGTAGACTCTCAGTCGACACGGGTAAGTAATGCACCGTCTGCAGTATCGGCGGTCTTGTTGGAGCACCGTAGACCAATCGTCGCGAGTATGTGAACGCCACGACCCACTCAATTGAGCCTCCCAGACTGCCATATTGGAGTCCGTGCTCAACGTCTCCACAACCGCCCACCGTACCACCGCACCCCACACTACACTACTGCCCCAATGTGCTCCAGACCTGTCCCCACCCCGTATCTTTTCGTACAGGTCGTATAGTGACACTCAACACCCTCCTGCACAAAGCTTGTCTCGATCTTACAGAACCCAGATTGGAGGGCCGGAAATTTCAAGTGACAGAAAGACACACTAAACGCCCGTCTCAATGCACCCATACATACAACTACGTTATAGCGCCGCCCTCGTGACTCCTGAGACACTACTTTTCCACTACACTAGTGTGAAACTGCTGCTATTAGGATCAATGCCTATAGTCCCCATTCGATGTGTGTACTTGTCGTGTCCTCTGTCTCACACTTAGTCTATGGGGACCCAATTTACCTCCCACACTCCAGTACCCAGCATGTTCTGCACCTTCCCAAAGCAGCAGATGACAGATGCCATTGAAGCTGGGGTGAAAAGGATCCCACCAATTGCCGAGCCACACAGCCACAAGAGTATATACTCATCATTATCTATATCCGCCCTATATCTTCCCATGTAGCTACCAGTATGTACCTGCACCTCTACTCGTATATGAAGTCCTCTACGCTGGAACTGCTCCGCCATCTGAATACCACCCGAATCGAGCCTGAATTCGGGAAACTAGCGCCATCACAGACTCGCATCGAGACCGAACTCGAGATACACACCCAGTCACGGTCGCATGTAGCCACATAGCAGCACCATCCACATTCAGAAATAGCTGCTTTCGAAAAGACCGAGACCCGTCGTTGGCCGAGTTGGCTCGATCCCGCAGATGTTCCCACCACTGCGCGGAAGTGTAGAATTCAAAGGCCCCAGAGGGGTCCCAGTAGAAAGACGGCGCTTTCCCGTCAACCCGAGGGGATGAAGTCGACTCCGAGACCGGCTCGGAAGTCGGACCCTCGGGCTTGCTTTCCTGCCCATTAATCTCGTCGACAATCTTGTCCACGTAGGCGTCGGTCCGAATGGCCTTTCGAACTACCCGACGCTGTCTCCAGGCCTGCTGGCGACGGCGGACACTAAGACGGCCGGTTCGATGAGCATGGCTCTGACTGGGGCTTGATTCAGCCGGCGTGTCGAGTGACAACACAGGCGGCGAGCCCCGAGGGCGTGAAGGCAGCAGAGGCGCAGGCTGGAGCAGCTTGACTTCCTTGACCAGCTCCCTCGCAATCTCCTTGGCCAGGGAGCTGGTGGGGGCTTCTGGCGATGACTCCGAAGAGGACGAGTCAACTGTCACCAGAAGTGGTTTGTCAGCCCGGGTCGCTTCTGCGACCGGGGCGTTGCCCATCACCGAATCCAAGGTGCTGGACCGGCTGGGTCTTCGAGGCAAATGCAGGCGGTGAGGCCGGCTAGAACCTCTGCTCGACTGACTAGGATGGGTTTCTGCCGTAGTAGAAATGGAGGCCACTGGCTGTTCCTGATTGAGCACCCGTGTGGGTGTCAGGGGCAACATGACAGCATAGGGCTCCGGCTCGGGCTTTTTGAGAATGCTCTTGGCAGCCACGACCGTCTTTTTGGTACTAGTGGGCGAACTGTCAAAGGTGACCTTTCTGGGCTTGTCACCACTGACCTTGCGCTGGTAGTCGTCGGGAGAAGAGGGTGCAGGCACAACCTCAGTGCTGACTCGTCGGAAGACAGAAGAACGGGGTATCTCGCTGCTGACGTTGCGAGGCGTCATTATCTCAATTTCGTCGTCGTCGTCATCGCGGGTATCGTCGTCAATCTGCTTGGAGTGGCTGAAACTGCCATCGCTATCGCTGGTATCTTGTTCCACGACATTGGCTGGGTTGTTGCGCAGACGCGTCATCCACTGTGGCCGCCGACGGCGTTTATCTCCAGACACAGGGTCCACTCGAACCTCAGAATGTCCAGGGATAGCCTTGCCAGCGTCACTTCCAAAAGAAGTATTTGCTGCTGGAGAATCAGCAGGTCGATCGGCACGGGCTTGGGGGGCGTGTTTGAACTTTCGGCCCATGATGGAGAGGTATCGCGATGCTGGTATTCGTTTGGAGGTATCCTGGAGGTGTTTTTGTGCTCGAAGTAGATGGGCGTTCTGTGACGATGTGCTATGAGTGAGACAATACAAGGTCGAGAGTGTTTTTGCAGGTCCCTTTTCGTTTTGTGTCTACTTAAGTAAGTACTGACTTTGACACCTCTATAGTGTCTATAATTACGCGACAGGCACACAACCTTAAATATTTCTCCACCTTGCATCGGGCCTGCTTTATCTGCAACGTGACGCCAAAAAAGTGTTGTGAGAGCACCCAAGCACTATTTACTAACAGAAACAGACGATCCAAGCGACGGACTCGTTCTCCTTCCCTTCAACCACTGCCAACGTCACAGAGCTGACATGTCCGACAACTTAAACGTGACAGCGTTGAGTAGGGCCTATGTGAGTACACCGGCACCGCTAGCAGCTACGTCTGGATATCGGATCTAACTAACACAGACTCAAACACAATGTGTGTCTCTGCTATCGCAAGTCGCCGATTCAGTCACATGTATCGTGTGCCAGGAACTCATGTGTCTGCCGTGTGTGCTGGAGTGTGGGCACTCTTACTGCTATGATTGCATCTCGACCTGGTTCACCAAGGTCAACACCTGTCCTTCGTGTCGGAAGGAGTGTCACAAGAAGCCCCATATCTCACATGCAGCGGCAGGTATATCCAAGGCCATTATTGCAGCTATAATCGAAACAGACCCCTCCAGGAAAGCAGAGTACGACGAACTCATGCAAAGACAAACGGAAGAATACAAGAGAGATCTGTCGATACACAACTCGATGCTTCCAGGCCTCTTTTCAGATAGCGAAGATGGCAGCGACTTTCAATTCGACGCCTCTCTGGCTTCAGCTCTGGATATTGAGACCCATGAAGGCGGCTTTGATTCAGATGAGTTGTCAGATTCAGGCTCAGAAATGATGTACGGAGTGCCTGGAAATATACACTGGCTCGATAGACAGGGTCAGCGACATTATCTCGACTGGGGAACCACCATCAACCACATCATCATGCAGTCTTACTATCGCCATCGCGTGGAGGTTTCCATCCGTGCGGTGAGTGACACTACAGAACACACAGAACAATACCACGATGCTCCAGATTCGCACTATGCACCAAGGACTCCTACCGAGGAGTTCCACGACGCACGTCCCTCTAGGCGACATATTCCTGAGCGTGTGATGATTGAGAGACCCCCGAGAAGAAACTCGCCTCCAAGTGAGCATGTTCCTCCGGTAGAGACTCCAGATATCAGTCTGGGGGTAAGACATGCGATCAAGTGGATCACGGTCGAGCCTACCAAACTAACCATTGGGGTAGCCAACGGAGATGAGAAGACATTCACGAGAGTTGTGGATGCACATATTAACGGTTCCCGAGGCAGTGATAGCGAGGGGTATTTCTCAAGCTAATGAGGCGGGAGCCAAAGTGAAGGCAAGAGACAGAGCGTGCGAGAGGGGCAATCAGTATAGCGGTCTGAGAGCCTCAGTGAGATACAGATACCCGAGCACAGGTTCAGGGAGAGCACAGACTCAGGGAGAGCAATACATACTAACTATTTATCAATAAAAATGTTATCGGAAACACAATCAATGTGGTAATGGCCATCGTACAGCCCAGCAAGTCTATAGGCCTTGATTGACCATACATACCCAAACACACCCAGCACTACGATACTGTACAGTAGATCACAGGGACTTGCTTTGGAACGCTGCCGATACTTGTACTTGTACTTGTGGCATGTATACTGTAGGTATGTATGAGTGTACGTTTGAAGAACTAAGGGTATCACGTGAACAATAGCTTTGGTTTCTGCAATGTTACGCCCTTGCGAGGGTTGAACATTTGAATGTCTGTCCCTGTTCTGATTACATAATCTCATGATTATGTAAAAAATATGACACCACAAATTCCATCCACTCATCTCCAACAGCTTCTCCCAAAGCTGAACTCAAAGCGCCTTGGATCAGGCAATACTGCAGTCTGTGTTATACGCAGGACCCTATTTTACGCGCAAGGTTGGGTTTGAACCGAGCCTGATTGGCCGCTTGCAAACATTCGATTTTAAGTAAGCTCAGACGTACCACCAAATCCATCACTACATATCACAATGGTCGTGAGTACCGATAAACGCGAAACGAGGCGTTGAAACCCGACAGATCCACCGCCAGTGTTCTGAGCACGTCCCGTTTAGCGGGCTGTGGCTTTTGTGCGGCCTTTTTGCGCGGCGTGTGTCACCACATTACTAACCCAGAACAACGTCATCAAGAACCAGAAGCTCTTCCAGTCCCAGCCCAACGTGGCTCTGTGGAAGCGACACCCCCGATCCAAGTTCCTGCTGTACCCCTTCTACGCTTGTTTCGCCGTCTCCATGGGCGTTTCCGTCTGGTACACTGGCCGAACCATTCTTGTGAGTAGTATTGATATGTGGAGAACATGATTGGAGAGATGGAAGATGAGAAATTCGACTGATTGAGCAGTCAAGGATCACGACAATTGCAAAACTAACCCAGGGTATCAAGGATGAGAAGCCTGCCTCCGAGTAGACTTAATACATTTGCACATGATATTTGACTAGATACCGCAACCGTAGCGACGAGGGAGAAATTGCAACATCAAACCGACATCAGAACGACACAGAAACAATATTGGGGGATTCAGACCGAGAAGAAACACGACAGGGACACGTAGAACGAGAAGGCGGAGGTTTCCTGAGCAAGGATCGATGATTGATGTCTGAGATGTTATCTGATGACTAAGCACCTGAAGGGTTGATATTGTAAGACCCACTACTACTACAGTAATTACCTTACTTGTAGCACAGATAGTGAATGTAAAAAGATTTATTAAATACACAACTATATACTGCTGTTGCCACGGCTACTGCTTCTCATCGTGCTCAATGTCATCGGTGGTGATGATGGCAGCACTCTGCCAGCCTCCTGCAGCAATGGCAAGAGCATGGCCCTCCATACGGATCTGGGTAGGCTTGGAAAGCACAAGATCCATGCCTCGCTCAGAGGCTCCATCGTTCTTGATCAACTCCTGAGCCTGTCCGAGACCAAGATCTCCACAGCCCTGAGACTCACATCCCCAAGACAGAATCTTGCCTCCCTTCATGAGTGCCAGAAAGTGGCGATCTCCAGCAGCCACAGAAATACATCCCTTCTTCTGGAGCTCAGGGATGATGGAAGGCTCTGTACCAGCTGTGAGAGTAGTATCGGGAGGAGTCAAGTACACATCGTCTCGGTCAGAAATGAAAATGAAATGGGTCAAGTTACCGGTAAGCTTGGTGAACTTGGCATCGACCTTCCAGTCGGACAGCTTGAGCTTGTTCATGAACCCATCCAGACGAACAGGTCCACTGGCAAGCTTGTGGATGTCGATAGTGTACGCATCTCCCTTTCTGTCAAGGTAAACAATGGCGTCTCGACCAACAGCAACATCGACAATCTCCCCATCACCGGTGAGTTTGGTGTTGGGAACAGTCTCATGTTCCACGGGTCGAACAGCAGCCACGTTGGTCAGACTGATTCCGTCCCACACAACCAGACCGACATCCTCAACAACAGCAGCGGCCTTTTCCCAGCCTCCGGTGATCTTGAGAATGCGCTTGTCTCCGAACGAGAACTCAAGGCGGGCAGCCTGGTCGTAGAACGTCTTGTCCCACTGCCAGATGTTATTTTCTTCGTCCAGAGCCAGAGCTCGAGATCGACCAGCAGAGATAGCCACCACCTTGGGGTGCTTGTCGTCGGGGAACTTGAGTAGCCAGTGCTTTCGGACATCTTCCTCGGAAGGGCCCTCGTTGGTTTTTTTGTCATTCTGAGCAGCGTCTCTCGAAGCAGTCATGATGGCATCTGACTCAGCAGTGGTTCTGGGTGGCACAGCGGGTCCAATTCCATGCCCAAGAGGAGGAGCGTCTGTTTGAGGGTCGCTGTTATCTCCTCCGTACATTCCTGTGGTTGCAGGAGGAGCAGGTCGAGAACCAGGCTGAGGAGGGGGAGTGGGTTGAGCATCATTGTTGGTGACAGGAGGAATGTCGGGACGAATCAGACCTCCAACTCGAAAAGGGAACGGCCCTCTTCCTCCGAATAGACCAGCTCCTCGAGGGTTTCTGAAGGGGTAGGTATTGGGATTGTTGGTGACTCGTCCAGGAACATAAGGAGCTCTTCCTCGGTCGGAAATACTTCCAATGCCGTAGACATGGCCCTCGATATCAAGTAGCAAAAAGCCCCAACCTCCCGCCGAGATGTCCGAAACCACGAGGGAGCCCAGACCGCTCACCTGAGTCGGTCTGCAGATGCCTCGAAGTGTCTTGTGGTCACTGGGCACATGGGCTTCGTTGAGACCGAGCTTTCCTCGGCCGTTTTGGCCCCAAGTGAAGAGCCCGCTTCGGGATCGCACCTGGTACATTTCGGGCCACTTGTGGGTGGTCAATGGGTTTTCTCCAAACGTTTTGAGATACAGATCGTGCCAAACGGAGGGTGAGTTTGCTGCCTCGTGTAGTTGTTTGTTGGTGAGAGAAACGTTCTTGATGTCCTCCGGGGAGAGCAGAGGAAAGACGTGATGGATGAGAATGTCTCGATTGAGCAGATCCTTGTCGTGAGAGCTGTTTGACTCACTCATGGTTGGGTTGCTGAAGTGCTTACTCTTATAGCGTGATTGTAGGTGGCGATAACCAACTTTATGTACGTCGCATGCAGGTGGCGGAGTGTGAAATATAAAATATAACCACCCATGTGCTAACTTGAACTGTGAAAGTACTCTGTTGGAAGGTGGCAAAAATGACATGTGAAATAGAAAATGGGATTCGTGAGGCAAACGTGAAATTAAATAACGGAGTCTGAAGTTATCTATTGCGGTTCAAATGCCATTGACAGTGTCCTCCATCTCACCTTAACACACTTCATACGGCACTGCCCAGAGAGTCTTTAAGGATGAAGATCATGCGCTGCTGAGAAAACGAACTGTACGATAGTAAGTATTGAAAAGTTACTAATCGTGCCTTGTATATGATAAAAAAATGGAATCGCGGTTCTATAGCAAGTTCGTGAAGCCCTGATTGTCAGAGCTACTCTCCATTTACTTCTCTACCACCATAAACCTGATTTCTGGTACTACTTTACATACAGCACATACTTGTACTTGTACAAGTAGTATGCACTCGTGCTTGAGATCGCACAATAGGTCCACTCACTTACCTCCGCCAAGTTCGTTCGGTTCGTTCCTTATAATCATTTTATTCTAGTCCTAAATACATGCCTGCGCCCAAATCCCCTTACATTCGCCAGATACCAAAGTCGGTGTCCTCCTTCTGTCGAACACCGCCTCGAGAAGCCTCCAGAGCCAGAGCCAGGTACTTTCGGGTGTCCTCGGGCTTGATGACTCCGTCGTCCCAGAGTCGAGCAGAGCCAAACTCAGCCATGGACTCGTGTTCCACTCGCTCTCGCAGAGCGTCGGCGTGACCCTTCTCGGATCGAACAGACTCCATGACCTGGGCCAGCTGCTCGGCGCCCATAACGGCAGTTCGAGAGTTGGGCCATGTGAAGAGGAATCGGGGGTCGTAGGCTCGACCACACATTCCGTAGTTTCCGGCACCGTAAGAGCCTCCAATGACAACAGTGAATCGCTCGACACCAGAGCCAACCACAGCGTTGACAAGTTTGGCTCCGTTCTTGGCAATTCCGCCTCGCTCAGCCTCAGAACCAACCATGAAACCGGAAATGTTCTGCAGGAAAACCAGAGGAATGTCTCGCTGCTTGCACAGCTGAATGAAGTGGGCACCCTTGAGAGAAGACTCGGAGTACAGGGGCCCGTTGTTGGCGAGAATACCAACCTTGTGGTTGTGGATGGTGGCAAAACCACACACCAGAGACTCGCCGTACTTGGCCTTGAACTCGGAGAATCGGGAGCCGTCCACAATTCGAGCAATCACCTCTCGGACGTCGTAAGAAATTCGCAGGTTGTCTCCAACAATACCACCAAGCTCCTTGGGGTCGTAGAGAGGCTCTTCAATGGGGGCAGGGGTCTGGTTGTAAGTCACGTGGCCGTTGTTCTGGGGGTAGTTGAGGTTCTTGACGCACTCTCGAAGTCGCTCGATACCCTCCTGCTCAGACTCAACGAGGTAATCGGTCACACCAGACACGGAAGAGTGCATCTCTCCTCCTCCAAGGTCCTCCGCAGACACAATCTCTCCAGTAGCGGCCTTGACAAGGGGAGGACCAGCCAGGAAAATGTGGCCTCCGCCCTTGACGATGATGGACTCATCAGACATGGCAGGAACGTAGGCTCCTCCGGCAGTGCAGGGGCCCAGAACCAGAGACAGCTGGGGGACCTTGGCAGAAGACATTCGAGACTGCTGGAAGAAGATTCGGCCGAAATGGTTATGAGAGGGGAACACGTCAGCCTGGTGGGGCAGGTTAGCTCCTCCAGAGTCGACCAGGTACAGACAAGGAAGTTTGTTCTGCATGGCGATCTCCTGGGCTCGCAGGTGCTTTCGCACGGTGATGGGGAAGTAGGTTCCTCCCTTGACGGTGGAGTCGTTAGCGACAATCATGCATGTGACTCCATTGACCTGGCCCAGACCGGTGATAATGCCACCGGCCGGGACCTTGTCCTTTCCGTACATCTCATGACCAGCCAGCAGCGACAGCTCCACAAAGGAGGTGCCTGGGTCAATGAGGGCAGTGATTCTGTCTCTGGGGAGAATCTTGTTCTTGGCCAGATGCTTGGTCTTGATCTTCTCAGGAATGAAGGCGGGATCAGTCACCTGCTCATGGATACTGGCCAGCTTGTTGGCAAGCACCTCGAAACCCTTCTTTTTCTCGGCAAAGTCTGCACTCAGAGGATCAATCTTAGACTGGATCACGTTGAAGTCCGTCTGTTTGGGAGAGACATGCTGGTGCAGAGACCGGGAGAGACCCAGGGGCCTGGCTAGAGGCTGTCGGACATGCGACAGTGCTCTGAGGTTGATTCGAAGCATTGTTGTGTGGGAAGAGGTGAAGTTCAGAAGAGTCGTGAGGTGTTACACTGGGTCCTCCGCGTTTATATTTATAAACACTATACTAAACGGTTATTGGGAACCCCACAGAAACCGTAAGTTAAGTTCGGCATAAATTCGGGGTGGGGTAGCAGCAGTATAAGTAGGGATTGGGCTTTGGGGGAGCCAAATTAACAACGTGGATCGATTTAAAATGGTTCAAAACGCGGTATCACAAGTTTTATTTTTGCAAATAGGCCACCGCTAGCCTTCCTAAACCACGCCGAAAAAACCCCGGATATCGAAATGCAGATTTCAAAACTCAAAACTTCCCCAGCTTTTAGAATTGAGACTCTTCCAGGGGATATTTATATACGTGCTTTGACCCTCTGGAAGCAGCACTAACACAACACCAAACACAAAGACACAATGCTTCGATCCACCCTCTCACACATGCAAAAGTCGGTTCGAGTGGCCTCCATGGCCCGACAATCCATGGCTGCCGCCCGACTCTACTCCACAGACACCAACGGCTCTGGATCTGGAATCGAGGAGATCGAGGAGCTGCGACAGGCTGCCATTGACTTCTGCGCCGCGGAGATCACTCCCGAGCTCCAGGAGAAGACCGACGTGGACAACGCCTTCCCCAACCATCTATGGGAGAAGTTTGGAGAGGCTGGTTTCCTCGGAATGACTGCTCCTGAGAAGTACGGCGGTCTCAACCTCGGCTACCTCGCCCACTCTGTCGTTATGGAGGAGCTGTCTCGAGCCTCTGGTTCTATCGCTCTCTCCTACTCGGCGCATTCCCAGCTGTGCATCAACCAGCTGTCTCTGCACACCACCCCCGAGCAGGGAGAGAAGTACCTGCCCGATCTGATTGCCGGAAAGAAGATTGGAGCTCTGGCCATGTCCGAGGCCGGCGCTGGATCCGACGTTGTCTCCATGAAGACCACCGCCAAGAAGGTCGACGGAGGTTATGTTCTCAATGGTACCAAGATGTGGATCACCAACGGTCCCGACGCCGACTACATGGTCGTCTACGCTAAGACTGATCCCGCTGCCGGTGCCCGAGGAATCACCGCCTTCATTGTGGAGAAGGGCATGGACGGCTTTTCCTGCGCCCGAAAGCTCGACAAGCTCGGTATGCGAGGCTCCAACACCGGAGAGCTCATCTTCGAGGACGTGTTTGTGCCCGAGGGCAACGTTCTTGGTAAGATCAACGGCGGTGTCTACGTGCTCATGTCCGGCCTGGATCTCGAGCGACTGGTGCTTGCTGCTGGCCCCATTGGTTTGATGCACAGAGCTCTGGACGAGGCTCTTCCTTACGTCCACACCCGAACCCAGTTCGGTAAGCCCATCGCCCACAACCAGCTGCTGCAGGGCAAGCTCGCCGACATGTACACTGCCTTTGCCTCCACTCGAGCCTTCCAGTACCAGACTGCCAAGGCGGCTGATCTCGGCCAGCACACTTCCAAGGAATGTGCCTCTGTCATTCTGCTTGCTGCCGAGCAGGCCACCCAGGTTGCTCTTGACGCCATTCAGTGCATGGGTGGCATGGGCTACATGATGGAGACCGTTCCCCAGCGTCTGCTTCGAGACGCCAAGCTCTACGAGATTGGAGCTGGAACTTCTGAGGTCCGACGAATGCTCATTGGCCGAGCCTTCAACAAGGATTTCGCATAAGGAGTTTGTGTGTATTGATTGGCGAGCCATGGAGGGTTGAAACTGGCCAGACTTGGTCTCTCGGAGCTCCCTCGGACACCTGGGATAAAATGTATTTAATTGATATCGTTAACTATCGTACATGTACCGGACAATTACTGAAACTATAGTTGTGAGAGACTGTGTTTAAGGAAGCTCGTAGCTTAGTTTAATTTTACATGCAATCTCGGTGGTCCGTCTTATCATGCAAGGATCCACATGCCGTCTATTGCCATGATTATGCGCCCACAGCCACAACGAATTCCAATGTTGCATCTATAGCCGTGTTTAATCGGGGAGCGGAGAAGTGGCGACACTTACTACTTGTAGTAGTGCGTTAGTCCGTCATTTTTAGGAGCCTTTTTTGGTTCTGAAAAATGTCACGTTGATCCACTCTAATCGTGTGTCTCACATGGAGAGCAGTTCACTAATCAGCACTTCATGGTCCACTAATCAGGTTGAATGTGAGTGATTGTGTCAATGGAGAGACATGGGGTTGTTTGTGGGGTGCGTTAATATATCGGTGATGATATTTTAACGGATTTGTCGTTGTTGAACTGATTTTGAGCGGTATATATAGAGAGCTATTATTTGCTAGGTACAGTACCGAGATGTTGCCGACTTATGAGACACTCCGAAGACGGTCTTGAGAGAGGAGATTACATAACCTTCTTGACTTGGTGGGATGGAGAATCGAACATGAGGACGGCAACAAGACCATCCAGTGACGTGGAAAACACAGACAGACGCAATAGTACAAGCACGTGACTAACCCCACTAACTACATCAGAGCACATCACGTGATTGGACTATATCGTGTAGAGAGATGTCAGAACCTGCTGCCGGGGACGGTATGAGTATCGGTACGAGTACCGGTACCGGTACTTCGTTGAGACCAGCTATACTAGACCAACCTCTCAAAGTCTCTGAAGTTCATGTGGCAGCTGGTAAGTTGCAGTCTGTTTGAAATGGAAGATGGTTGTTTTGAATGTCCGTTTTCATCCGTATTTATTTGATTTTTGTAAATAAAAAAATTTCAAAATCTCCAAAAAATCATGCCAAGAATTTCATCCAAAACAAGGAGTGAGTGGGATACGTGAGATACCATGTAACCGTACAGTAGGCCACAGTCGGCCCAGGTATTTGTACGAATATCTTGGTGGAAATATACGGAGCTGTTTGGGAAAGATCTGGCTACAAGTTCCACCATTTTGTACATGTATTTCTTCACACAATTGTCCATGTGAGGACATGTGTCTGACTGTCTCTTTGACAGTGATCCCTAAGATATGAGTCTGATATCGGTTGTTTGGGGTCTTGTTTGGGGCCTTGTTTGACGGAGTATAAGCTCAATAGTGTATGTACTGGCGGTAGTTTAATCAGATGTTCCACAGATGTTATCTACAAGTACATACCGTAGTAGCATGACTTCAACTGTACTCTTAGCGGTATCGTACATATAGCACAAGTATTAGTCGTACAAGGACAAGGACAATCAGATGGAAGTGACACAATCGGACTCGTGTCTAGATCCACATCCGATAAAAAAACGGAAAGCAACACGGCCACTTTCTTGGCTGCACCGGCCACCGTGTAGTTCCGCGCCAGGGTCAAAAATTTATACACTCTTTTAACTCGGGTGAAATTTGCTTCCGTGAGCTTGTCAGAGTTCAATATCGGGCTGCCAGCGAGGGTATGGCGCAATTGAGACTAACTCAGAGGCGGCCCGTGTCTGTAGAGTGTTGCCGGCGTCTTTTCCCGCCATCTTATCGATCGGATCGCATGCCAATACTTGCTTCCAAAGCCTTGTCTCCCCCGAGCTATGGTTCCAGTTGCTCCATACTGTGCGCACCTGCTGCACCACGCGACAGGAGGTTGAGTTGCAAACAAGCGTCAACGGACGCCACGGTGCCTCTGTAGGTTTCAGACTGGGCCATTTCGCATGCGGATGAGCCCAAAAGTCTGATGAGATGGATAAGATAAAAGTGTGAAAAGTGAAAGTGTCTTCCACCCAGATTCCTCCACCCAGGTCCCTCCTGCTAGATCCTTCATCCCGCCACCCTCCCGACCATAATTCGACGCCTCCCCTGCCATGCCACGCATTCTGGCAAGAACCCACCCTGGCTCCGACCCAAACTCGTACCCCATCTGGAGAGGCAAAAACCCGTTTGAGGACGAGCAGGAGACGGAGAAACTAGCAGCTGCCATCTTCAAATCTCGAGACTATGCCACATACTACGCATGGACACTAGCAGGCCTGCTGGTGCTGCACGTCATGCGATACCAGGGCCGCAGGCTGCTGGCACTGCTACAGAAGAAAGAACACAACAACAGAAAGAAGTCGCTGTTTGGACGACTACGCATCTTCCACAAAATCGACCAATGTCTGCTATACCACCCGGAGGGAGAGGGCCGGCTTGATGTAGCCACGCATCTCGTGACTCTCATTTTCATGGCAGCCACGGCCTTCCTGCTCTTTTACAACATCACCCACTTCATTGTCTTTGGATTCAGAACCGGATTCGTCATTGCAATCAACTTCCCAATGCTCTACATCCTGGGGGCCAAAAAGACACCCCTGTCCTTCCTGGTAGGATGGTCTTATGACCAACTCAACATCTTCCACCAGGTGGTTGGAATGTGCTGTGTGTACGCGGCCGTCATGCACGCGGCCGTATTCGCCTACTACTTCAATCCCATGTACTTGATCACCGAGTTCTGGTCGATCATGGGCATCTTGGCCTTCGTGGCCTTCGTCGTCATTGGTCTGACTAGTCGGCAAAAGTTCAGAGAAAACCATTACGAAATTTTCTACGTCGTGCATCTGGTAGGCATGCTCGCGTCACTGGTGGGCTTGTACTACCATATTCCGATCGCCAAGCCCTTTGCTCTAGCTGCTGGAGCGTCCGTTGTCTACGATAGAGTGGCCAGGGCTGCAGATGGATACAGAGTGGCTAGAGCATACCTGGAACTTCACAGTGGAGACACCATCGTTGTAAAGATTCCCAAGAACCAGCCCAGGGAGCTGCTCGGCTCACTGAGCTACTACCCGTCCTCTTGGAACCCTCTGAATGTCGGCATCCTCATCACAAACGGCCTCATTCACACTCTCAACTTCTTCATTGGCCTGTTCAACAGACAAACCAAGCTGAAATGGCATTCAGGGCAGCACATGTTCATCACTTTTCTGAGATGTAGGCTTTTCGAGTCGCATCCCTTTACCATTTCGTCGAATTATGATCACGAAGACAACCTCGAGTTCATTATCCGAGTACGAAAAGGGTTCACCAAGTCGCTCAAGGAAAAGCTGCTGGCCCAAATGTCTGCCAACGGGCTGTCTGAAGCCGATTCCCGAAAAATCAGCTGGACCGTCATTCTCCATGGTCCCTACGGAGTCAAGCCTCTTGGTTTGTTTCAGCCGCCTGCCCCCCAGGAAATTGCAGCAACCGAAAACAGCTGCCTTGTGCAGCAGCGCAAGATTGTGCTTATTGCCGGCGGATCAGGCGTGGCCTTCACCTTCCCACTCATGCTGCAGCTGGCGCACCAGAAACGGGAAGTCGAGTTTATCTGGATTGTTCCCGACCGCACTTTTGCCACATGGGTCGATCTCAGCCACCCGCGTGTGCAGAATGCGTCTGTTTTGATCCACGAGACCAAGACACAGGGCAGACCGGATATCACCGAAATGGTGCAATCGCGGCTCAAGGGATCGTCGTCTTGCGATTGGGTGTGTGTCTGTGGACCAGACATGCTATTGAGACAAGTGAGAAATAATGTAGCGGAGTTACGGGGCAATGGCCAGAATGTGGAGCTGTTTGCCGAGCGGTTTGGATGGTAATTTTCTCGGTTTAGCAAGTCCAACACAATTGCATCTACTGCAACACAACTGCAGGTGTATCTCAGTAACGGGGCTGCGGGCATTTCACGGCAAACTTGCACCTGCCTAGACAGTCGTTTTTCCATAGCAACTTCAGTCCCGCCAAAATATAGACCAGGTATTTATATAGATCAATGAGCACATGATACTAGACTACACAAAGATAATCAGCGAATTACTTCTGACCAATATGAAACTCAACGTTGCCTTTGCCCTGTTTGCCCTGACAGCTCCTGTCACTGCCCAGAGAGGCGGATGGGGTGGAAACCACAACCGACCCGATAACAGCGGACCCAATTATCCCGAGTCCAAGGGCTACCAGTACGAGCTCAAGGCGTTTGCCCCCGGAACCCGTCTCCACAACCAGCCCGTTGAAATCAAGGGCAAAACCATGGAGCTTGATGACAAGTACAAGCGTCCTGACTTCACCGTTGAGTACCATAACTCAAACGTGAACATCAATGAGCGAGGCTGGAGAAAGCAGCGAAAGCACATTGAAGTCGACGGTCAAGGCAAGCTTACTGCTGAGGACGGATGGGGTCGACCCTTCGTTTACAACTACTGGGAGTTCACCGGTAACCAGGAGACCGTTATGCCTTTCACCTGGAACGGAGTCAACCAGTTTTACACTTGTCGAGGTGGCCCTATCTATGCTCAACAGGGATCTCCCAAGTGCCGCAACCCCCAGTACTTCCAGCTGATTGGATACCGTTCTTGATGGTAATATTAATTGTCTGTAACTAACTCTTATTTCTTCAATTATGAGATGTGTTTAAATGGTATAATTGCGATTCCACCAACAATGGAAACTTTCTATCTGTATCCAATGCCTTCCACTAGTTTATGCTACTAGCTTTCATCTTATGGAGTGCATTACGCCTCCTTCCACACGATCAAAACGGTTGATTTCTAATATTCAACTCTATTTGACTGAATAACCCAGGTGTAATACATTACACATGCATTACATCGCATGTTTAAGACACATTTCTTTGTTACTAGCTTATTACACTGCATATATTATGCACAATAAGTTATTACTACTGATCTTCTGGAAAACACCATCGCGAGATAGGAACAATATATAATGACATCCTAGAGCGTCATTTTGATTATTATCTTCACAAAAAGACAAACAATGACTACTACTACCACTACTACTACCGCTACTACTGCTATGGCCAAGGCCATCGATAAGGTCTTCACAGCTCCCGAACAGTCTGAAGGAGTTGGGGCCCGAGTCAGACGAGCCATCGGTACTCCAAAGCTACGAAACTTCAACCCTTTTATTATGTTTGACCACTTCAAGGTCCCTTCAACAGCAGGATTCCCTGATCATCCCCATAGAGGTCAGGAGACTATCACCTATGTGATTGATGGAGCTGTTGACCACGAGGACTTTACTGGAAGCAAGGGTACTTTGAATGCTGGAGATCTGCAATTTATGACTGCAGGTAAAGGAATTGTTCACGCAGAGATGCCTGCAGCTGGTCCAAACGGTGAGGTGCAGGTCGTGGAAGGAATCCAACTGTGGGTTGATCTTCCTGACCACCTCAAGAACTGCGAGCCCCGATACCGAGATCTGAAGGCCGCAGAGATCCCTACTGCTCAGTCCGACAAGAAGGATCTTACTGTCAAGGTAATCTCAGGCCAGGCTATGGGCGTGGACTCTGTCAAGGATCTTGCTTACACTCCTGTCTGGTACCTTGACTACTTCACCGAATCCAACTACGACGGAACAGAAATGAGCCAGACCATGCCTGCTGGATTCAACTCTCTGCTGTACGTTATGAAGGGCTCTGCTATTGTTGATGGCAAGGTCATAAATGCTCACGATGTTGCTACTCTGTCTACCAAGGGTGAGACTATCGACTTTACCCCTGCTCCCAACTCTCGAATCATCATTATTGGAGCTCAGATTCTTAACCAGAAGACTGTCCAACACGGTCCTTTCGTGGCTTCTTCCGAGGAAGGAATCATGAATGCCTTCATGGACTATCAGTTCAGCAGCAACGGCTTCGAGCGAGCTGCTACCTGGGAGTCAGAAATCGGTAAGAGAATGATGTGAGAGAGACATTCACGTATGTAAATAACATATAGAGAGAATACTAACATCGAATATTGAATGGAGATAACTATACTCATTACTAACTGGATCATGTAACATCGGTGACTCTTTATCTAATGTAATAGATTGTATTTGAAGGTTGCTGTTTAAATAATATCTGTAATGCCCATGAAACGGGCAAAGCTCTCGAGAACGAGCTGCTTACTGAGGTTCTTTCCAATGAAGACGAGCTTGGAAGGATGCTTATGTCCAACTTCTGACAGATTCTCCACCTGACTGGTATCCATAACATCATAAGTATCTCGAACACCCTGGATCACTCGGACGTTTCCGTTGGTGTCTACCAGCTTACCCTTTGTTCTGTGGATCTCGACGGGCACTCCCAATAACTGGTTGTCCCAGGTGGCCTGCTGGATATAGCTCTCGAGCTGTTCAGCCTGCTGCAGCGAAACAGGAGGAAAACCAACGGAAACAGTGGTGATTCTGTGGTCATGCCATCCGTGATCGTGAGAATGTGCGTGCTCAAGGTTCACTTTTTCTTCGTAGGCCTTGAGGTTGAGGATTTTCGGCAGCTCAATCTGTCCATAGGTGGTCTCGATGATCGGTGCCAGGCCGTTGATACCTTTGATTCTGTTCTTGATATATTCGAGCTCTTCGGCAGAGCCAATCTTGTCGACCTTGTTTAGAATAAGAATGTCGGCGTGGGCGATCTGGATGCAGGCTGTCGATAGCGGTTGAAGCTCCTTGTTCTCCCCATGATGTGCATCGTCGACAGTCACGTCATCCAGACACTTTACGATGTTGGTTGCGTCCAGCACAGTCACAATTCCGTCGAGGTAGATGGAAGATGCAAGCGCAGAGTCCAGCCAGAACATGTTAGCAATAGGGCCTGGATCCGCAACTCCGGTGGTCTCCAGCATGATGAGATCAAAGTTGCCCTTCTTGGTCATGAGGTTCTCGATGGCCGCCACCCCCGAATCTTTGACTGTGCAACACAGACAGCCGTTGTCGAGCTCGAGCCATTCCTCAAAGATCTGACCGTCTTGAGTGACAGTAAGGGATCTCTCCACCTCGGCCGAGTCTCCAAACTCGTTCAGAATGATGGCGATCTTCTTTTCCTTCTGTTTGCTGAGGAAATTGAGCAGTGTACTTTTGCCTGAGCCCAGATAGCCGGTGATGATGGTGATGGGCACACGGTCTTCGACCTGGGGCACGTCGAATGTGCTGTAGTGGTGTTCACTCTGGGTCTGGAACATGCCAGTAGGAGGAGGTCCCGAAACAAGCATTGGGATTTCGTCGTCGTCTTCGTCAGCTCTTGTTGTGGGGACAGTTGCGTCTGTCTTTGTGTCGTTAATGGTCTTAGCGACCTTCTTTTCGTCCGTCGAAGCCATCTCTTATATATATTTTTCCCTGGCTTGTCCCTCTGTGGTTATGCGGTTATCACCGCGTAGCTAAACTTTTGCATCTCTAGTTATGCACGTCAACCTTATCAGTCTGGGGAAGACTACTGTAGTCAGAACCGCAAAGGTTCTCAGGTCCAGCAATTAGCGGGCGGGGGGCGTGTTGGAGGAGATGTATTGGTTTCTTCAGTTTATTTCTGTCCATTCTGAACTGTTTCGTTGCTTTTGTGTCGTCAACTTATCGTCTACAGTACCTTCCTAGTCTCCTATGTCGATGATCAGTCAGCATCATAGTTGCAGCACGAAATGTTCTCATACGAGTCAGCGAAAGAATCGGTTCTCCTGCACTTATTCTGCTCATGTGTGTACTGTAACCTCCTTTATGCCAATCACAGACGGGCAATATATAACGCAGGTATTGGACAATTAAAAAAGTATGGGAAGGGTCTTTTGAAAGAAGTGGAGTGAGCGTGCCTCAGGAATTGAGAGAAGATGGCCATCAACTTTCGGTCATTGCAAGTCATTGTTTTTTTCAACACAAGCATTCAGAGTTGCCCAAGTAAGCATAGCCAACCATTGTCTTTAGTCAGCTTATTTTAGCCCAAGACCTCTCCCTTGTTCCAACTCATGTTCCAACTCATCTCCACAGTCCATTTAACCACCTACTTCGCACCACTGGGTATTGTACAGTACAAGTAATACCGAGTACAAAACAGAGTCACTGAAAACACGCCAGTTCAATTGGCACGCGGAACAGCACCAATATCACTGTTCACTCAAACACTTCCCTGTAACCGTGATGATTCCAACACTTGACTCTACGGCCTTCTTCAGACAACCACTCACCGGTAGGTACAGCACGAACAAACACTCTCTACTTGTACAATAGTAGAACAACGCCCTTGAACACTCCATTCGAGACCAACAACCACGCCATAGTCAACACCAGACCCGCACCTCTAATTATAAGACCAACCATTCCCAGCACTTCCCAAAACCACATGTCTCAAGGTCTGTTTTCTGAATACGAGTTTGACAGGTGACATTGGACAGACCTTTCAGCCAATGGAGCATTGCGCCACCAGGAAGAAAACAAAACAATTGTTAACCACCAGAAAGTGCCACATCATCAACATCTTGTCAGACATGTTGACCCGCCGCATTCTACTATTGCCCCCAAGCTGCTCCTACAATACTGGTACAATACTTGCTCTCAAGTCCCATGTGGCCATCAGACCATACGAAGCTTATCAACACCTTAAACCGGTACCCAATGCTCCCAACGAAACTCTGGACAATGATCATCCATGGAATAGAGAAGAAGGAGGAGAAGGACGAGACGCACAAACCAACACGGCATTCGGCAGTGCCTTTCTTTCACAACACCGCTTACATAATCAACATCATCCAAGGGGCCGCGGCACGCCTAATCAAGCAGCTACCTGTGCTCGCATGCGCGCTATCTAAGGCACCACTCGGTGTCATCCCCACTTGCAAAGGATCTAAACCCAAACCCTAACATCGCAGACTGCAGATGCGCACACATACTACATAAGTGGGTTCTTCCGGACAACTTTAAAAGCTCACACTCTTGTATTGAATCTCCAATTCCATTCAATTCAGTTCCATTCATCTCACTCAACATGTCTTCTAACCCGTCATTTGTTCTTCGAAAGCCATTGGATCTCGTCTTTGAGGATCGGCCCGACCCCAAGATCCAGGACCCCCACTCCGTCAAGGTGGCAGTCAAAAAGACCGGAGTTTGCGGCTCGGATGTCCACTACTATCTGCATGGAGGAATCGGCGACTTCATTGTCAAGGCTCCCATGGTTCTAGGCCATGAAAGTGCCGGAGAGGTGGTTGAGGTTGGTCCTGAAGTCAAGGACCTCAAGGTGGGAGATCGAGTGGCTCTCGAGCCCGGAGTGCCGTCTCGATTGTCACAGGAGTACAAGGAGGGACGATACAACCTGTGTCCTTGCATGGTGTTTGCTGCCACCCCTCCCTACGACGGTACTCTGTGTCGTCACTACATCATTCCCGAGGACTTTTGTGTCAAGCTGCCTGATCATGTGTCTCTCGAGGAGGGAGCTCTTGTGGAGCCTCTGTCCGTGGCTGTCCACTGCAACAAGCTGGCCAAGACCACTGCCCAGGACGTGGTTATTGTGTTTGGAGCTGGCCCAGTCGGACTGCTAGCCGTGGGAGTGGCCAATGCCTTTGGATCATCTACCATTGTGTGTGTTGATCTTGTTCCCGAGAAGCTGGAGCTCGCCAAGAAGTTCGGTGCCACTCATACGTTTGTACCCACTAAGGGAGACAGTCCCAACGAGTCTGCTGACAAGATCCGAGCTCTGATCAAGGGCGCTGGTCTCTCTGACTCGCCCAATGTGGCTTTGGAGTGCACCGGAGCTGAGCCTTCTATTCAGACTGCTGTTTCTGTGCTGGCCACTTCCGGTCGACTTGTGCAGGTCGGCATGGGCAAGGATGACGTCAACTTCCCTATCACCAAATGCATTGTAAAGGAGATTACCGTGCTCGGATCGTTCCGATACTGCCATGGTGACTATCCCCTGGCTGTTCAGCTGGTTGCTTCTGGCAAGATTGACGTCAAGAAGCTGGTGACCAACCGGTTCACCTTCAAGGAGGCTGAGCAGGCGTACAAGACGGCGGCCGAGGGCAAGGCCATCAAGATCATCATTGACGGTCCCGAGGAGGAGTAGCTGTGAAGTAACTTAGTGAATCTACAACCGGAACATCTATACTGTAAGAAAATATCGATTTTTGTAATAGCGAGTTGAATCTATTATGTTGAAATAAGTTATGCTATAAATAGTTGAGTTGTGAGCGGGTTGTTGAAGGGCCGCTTGGCGTAGGCCGTTTTCTGTTGCTTATCAGTAAATACCTAATAGAGGCATTTTACTTCTGCTTGGCAGCGAGCTCCCGGTCTCGCTTAGCGTAGATCTCACCGGTGAAGGGTTCCTCGAACTTGAGAGCAATGGAGTACATGAGCGACACAAAGGCGGTGATGAGCAGGCCTGCGGGCTTGGCGTACCACAGAGCGGAAGCCAGGAAACACAGAGTGGAGCCGTGGTACATGGGGTTGTTGGACACATTGAAGGGGAAGCCGGTGACTCGCTCGTTCATGAGAATGCCAAAGTAGTCGCCGAGGTAGGTTCCGGTGACGCCCAGGGCGTACATGGAGGTAAGGACCAGCACGTTGCCAACAGCAAACAGCACAATGGCCAGAGGCTTGACAATGTCAACGTAAGTGACCGACAGCAGAATGGAGGTGGGCTGCTGCTCAAGAGCCTGGTGGTAAAGGTAGTCTCGGAAGATACCGAGCGAGAAAATGGTGATGGCCAGCAGATAGCATCCGGTCTTGGCTCCTCCAGCCAGCTTAGTCAGAAAGTGGGTGTTGTACTCGGCTCGAGCAACAATGTTCCAAAAGATGGGGTTGAAGGCGATGGAGCCCAGGACGACTGTGTTAGTTATGTTTAAGGGAGGGTTGTGGCCCTGGCGTGGGGTGCTAGATCGGTGGCTAGGGGATTAGTTCCATCAGCTTCTTACACCGTGTACACATGATTGTGGGGTACAAGTGTGTGTAACAGGGGGCCGAGGGACGCCAATGGTTGCGGTACTCACTCCAGAGGCTCTTCTGGTCGTAATCCACGTTGAAGTCGGCAACAATCTTGTCAGGAAAGGACATTGTAATTTCTGGTCTTCGGAAATCTGATTCTAAGAGAGTTTTCCAGAGAGCCAACCAGCTCGGACAGCTTCACATGCGCGGTTAGGGTTGACATTTCACATGACGCGTCTGAGCTGTGCGTGGGCTGAAGTACACACTTGTTGGGTGAAGGGGGAGAGGCCACTGGTTGTGTATTAATATTGTTAGAAGTTGTACTGTAGCAGCCATTCAATTAGTGTCCGTTTCTGAATCAAGTCACTTTCGAAAGAAATAAAAAAGCCAAAGAAACTCGGCCACACTAAGGGAGAGTTTCGAGATTTCATCGAACTAACATAAATGAATGTATATGCAGAAAAAAAAAAACAGAAGTTTGCGAGAAGACGGATTTGGCCAATGAGCGGTATTTGCGGGAGTTGTAATATCCGTCTGAATCAGCTCAACGAGAGGGGTTTAATGGTGTTATAATAACTTATCTTTTTCTCGCGGATCGAATCATTGATTGACCGTTCAGTCTTGCCAGATCATGTATCTGATGCGGCTAACAGAAGATAATTCTGCAAGCTCAAGTAATACGACTACCACTACTTACGGGGTACAAGATAGTACCTAGTTGGTCACGTGACGTAACAAGGGTGAATTTAGTACTTGTACTTGTACTTTTACTTGTAATATTTTCAATTGTCCGTTTCTTGAGACGGTGATTTTGGCATGGGTCTGTAGATTAGACAGTCCTTAATCAACGGTGGAATTTCATTCATACACTAAATTTCATAATTCCTTGGAAATCAGAAATAGTGGAATAAATCCAGTAAAAACCACCATTCTGCCCAAATCAACGCCAATTATCTATTTCTTTACGAAAAACGAAAATCCCCACCAAATTACATCCCCTAGCACCACCATTACCACTTCCCTGGCCCAACCTGCATGGGTCAAGCATACAGTTTAATTACACCTGGGGGTGGGGCCGAATGCGGTCCATGTCGAATGTTGGTGCGAGGTCGAATCCCGAGATGAATATATTCAAACTACTATCTGAATGAGAAACAGACGGTATGTAACGGTGTAGCATTTGATACCACATGTCGGTTTTTGGTTGGAACGTTTTACGTCAGTGTGGAGAGACACCTGGTGGTGCTGGGTGTGTAAGAGTGCGCGATGATGTGGGAGACTGAAGATGATTGCCAGCAGATGGTTTCCAGCACCCAGTCAAAGACTCACGACAATCGAGTTCATGTAGTGCCTTGTCCAGTGCTCTGCATCACTTGATCTTGTGGTTGCCGAGCATGACGACGCAGCAAATGGCAAAGATGAAGGGCACCGTCACGTACTTGAAGAGAAATCCAGAGTGGAATGAGGCAAACAGCACGAGGGTGGCGAAAATGACCACCGAGGTGGAGGCCGACGGCAGTTGTTCCACCAGCTTGTTAACGTCAAAGGGCAGCGGGGGAATGTTGGCACGAATCTGCTCAATTTTCTCTATTGGCAGCTTGGCCTTGACCTTGTCGATGTGGGGCTGGAGAATAGGGGTGATTGCGTTCATGGAGGCTTTTTATCTGGCGTGGCAGTCCGTGTGTGCGCGTGTGTTTGGTTGGTATGGTTTAATGACCCGTCGTATCTTGGGTTGTGGTGATCAGCGTAAAAGTAGGCCGTCCTTCGTTTATTAAGGGCCTTTTATTATCTGGAAGGCTGGCTGGACTACAAGCTCTTGGACCGACTGACACACTTTTTTTTTGACAAGACAAGAAAAAAAGGGCAAACGCAAAACCAAACGCGACAGTGCCAATATCGCACATAATAATCACTCCTTCATGTACCCATTCACGTGCTTAGCAGCCGACACGACTGTGACGTGCTTTAGGCGACTGTCCCAGCGGGTTCTGGATCTCTTAGCAGCTTTATCGTACAGTACGAGTCGATTCTTGTATCGTAGGTCTCACACGTTGGCGCTGTTTTAGACTCCACACAGCTCGACTGACGATACAGTATCATCATACCCAAGGCTGTACAGTAGATGAAGGCTGTCAGCGAAAATGACGTGCCTGAGTCAAAAAGAAAAGTTTTCAAACACAAACGCTCGGAGGTTGGCCAACGGACTCGAGTAATCTCTGGGTTGCCCCGCAAACCCGCCAATATTTGGCGATATCGCTGTGGCATAGATACCAAAGATCGGCAAATCTAGGTTTGCGGGGTACAGGGATGTACCAGCCCGTTTCATGTGGCCTGGACAGGCACCTGACATGGTGTAGGCACGGTTTTGCGACACGGAGGGCGCGGAATCTCGACCGCCTCACGTGAGTGAACCGCTTACGTGAGCACCAAGCGGTTCCAGCCGCCGTCTGTTTGCTGTGATGGGAAATTACCCCCTCTGAACCCTGGCTCCATTACGCTCGCTGTTTCACTTTGCGAGTCAATCAGCCGCAAAGCCAAAACTGAGAGTGGGGGATCACGTGATGAGCCAGGAGAGGACCACAGCAAAATGAGCTACTAGTACCTTGTGGGTACGAAGCAAAGTGAGTAAGAAGCGAGCCAGAAGTGAAGAGGAGAGGATTTTTGGGAAAGGAACAAAACGGGATGCAGACAGTGCACATATTGAACAGCACACCCAACACTCGCTCAACACAATGCACAACATGCACCGTCGGATGCACACACGCATTCCGGAAGAAACGGCGTATTGTACGAGTAGCATAGTAGAGGCGGTTCAAAAACGGCCTCGGCATTGCGGCACGGAGATGGAGAAGAGAAGTATCGTACAAGTAGTCCGAGAGAAGAGAAGAAAATCGGCCGCCTTAGCTCAACGGTGATGTATCATTTGCGTTTCCCATTGATGAGGTGAGAGTACACGGACCAGACGGATTTAGACGGATTTAGACGGATTTAGATGGACTTTGACTGGGTTTCGTCTAGAACGGCATTAACCACCTCATCCAACCATCAGAAGACAGTGTTGTACTTTATCGGGGTACGTCTCGGCTCGGAAGAGCCCCTTAAAAGAGTGTGTTGTGCGTGTATCAACCCCGTTTGCATCGGGTTTAGGCCTTAGCGTGTGGGCTTGGCATACGACGAGTCGAATGGGAGTTTTCAGGGCCTGAACGCGCCATGTGAACCGACACTCGTAAAACTCGTACACAGGACATTCCAGACCACCAGTACACTATATAACGCACTTATTTTTTCTCACACTATCCCACTTGCCATATGGCGCACAACTTAGTTGAAAGTAGCTACTGTACGAATACTTGTACTGGTACTACCCCACTTGTGCCCCGCATGATTAACCGTGCAGTGCAGCCCGACAGAAAACGCAAAAGGAGAAGCCTCTGGTTCATCTCCAATCCACTTATATATACCGCGATCTGTTCTCCCTAAGACCCCAGGTAACATGACACAGATTATCCATAACGCCACCATCCCCAATATCCCCGTGGACCAGCTCTACGACGGCAAGATCACCGACTTCATTCGAAGCGGAGGCCACTCCAACGAAACCAAGCCTTCGGTGATCGATGCCAAAACAGGCCAGACTCTTTCCCAGGCGGAAATGTGGCAGCTGTCGGACAAGTACGCGGCACTTCTAAGCTCGCAGTACGGTCTATGCAGACACAGAGACAACGAGCTGGACCCATCCATGGGAGATGTGCTCATCACCTTTTTTGGAAACGTGATCCTCGCCCCTGTGGTCCATTGGGCTGCTCTCGACCTCGGAGCAACCATTTCTCCCGGATCCACAGGCTACTCGGCCCAGGATCTCGCTCACCAGTTCAGAGTCACCACTCCCAAGGTCGTTGTGTATGCCAAGGCGTTCAAGGATGTGGTGGACGAGGCTACGAAGCTGTACAACTCGCCCAACCCCCCCGCACTTGTTGAGCTCGAGGCGCTGGACAAACAGGCCCGAATGGTTGGAAACCACAAGGTCGAACACACCCGAAAGATCAAGCTGGCCCCCCACGAGTCGCGAACTCGAATCGCGTACCTTGGCATGTCTTCAGGTACCTCCGGAGGAGTTTCAAAGGCTGTCAGGCTCACCCATTCCAATCTCACGTCGTGTTCTGAAATCTCTAACAAAGCCTCCGAGTCCCTCGCAACTGACCAGCAGATCGCTGCCGCCATTATCCCCGTGTCTCATCTGTTTGGACTGTCGAAATTCCTCATTGGCAACCCCCACGCCGGAGCCACCACTGTCTATCACAATGGGTTCGATCTGATCGAGGTGCTGGAGGCACAGAAGAAGTATAAAGTCAACTCGTGGACCCTGGTACCCCCCATCATTGTACTGCTCACCAAACACCCCATTGTCGAGAAGTACATTCCTTCTCTCAGGGCCCACATGCGAGCCATCCTCTCGGGAGCTGCTCCTCTGGGTGCCAATGTCACAGAGGCTCTTTTGACCAGAGTCACTGGCAACAAGTTTGGCGAGTCCCCCGAGGGCGGTCTGCGAATCGTCCAGGGCTACGGACTTACAGAGACGTCTCCCGTAGCCACTCTGTTTGACCCCGAAGACAAGGAACGACACATTAGGTCGTGTGGAAAGCTCGTGCCCAACTCGCAGGTTCGAATTGTGAACGAAGACGGCGTTGATCAGCCCGCCTACGATGTGGACCCCAACGAGCTGGACGAGGCCATCAAACAGGGCACTCTGCCAGTCGGAGAGCTTTGGATCAGAGGTCCCCAGGTTATGGACGGCTACCATAACAACCCCGAGGCCAACGAAGCCTGTTTCGTCAAGGCTGACGATGCTGAAGCAGATACTGCCTACTATAACAGACACTGGTTCCGAACCGGAGACGTTGCTCTGGTCGACAAGCAGGGCAGATACATGATTGTGGACCGAACCAAGGAGATGATCAAGAGTCAGGGTAAGCAGGTTGCTCCTGCCGAGCTCGAAGACATGCTCCTGGGACACGCACAGGTGGCAGATACCGCAGTCATTGGTATTCAGGACGTGGAGAAGGGTAACGAGGCTCCCCGAGCTTTTGTTGTGCTCAAGGACCCGAAGTACGACGCTGTGGAGATTAAAACATGGCTGGACAAGCAGCTTCCCAAGTACAAGCAGCTTCATGCTGGCATCGTGGTGATTGATGCCATTCCCAAGAACGCCAGTGGCAAGATTCTGCGACGATTGTTGCGTGCTAGAAAGGACGATGTTGTTCTGGGTCTCAACAAGGCCAAGCTGTAAGACGAGATCCGAGGATGTACTCCGATGGTCTACCAACAAGAGGCGTGTAAGTTGCAACATTTGTGTCATGGATACATGTATAATAATATATTTTGGATGAGCAACAGTTGGAGATGATTGGTGTCTAGGTGTATTGTTTGATATCACCCCTACAGCATCGTACCAAACGGTCTAGATTGCAAGTACCTGCTACAATGGTTTGAATACACCATTGACATGAAGATAGTAGAAAGATAAGTGGTGGAACTTGTTCAGTCTGATCATACTACGAGCACACAACAAAGTGCTATACTGTTGCTCTTTCCCTGACTAAGAGCTGCGTTTGTGGAGAAAACCTCTGTATACCCATAGTATAGTAACCACTGTAAAAACCGGACGCTAGACCGAGATATAACATACCCAGAAGATGCCCTCAATTAAATTGCACTATTTTTGGAGCTGCCTGAACCTGAAGCTCTCGTAGCATTAGTCCTAAACTGCAGCCGTCAAAACTATGACGTCAAGATACAAGTAAATCTGCACTATACCCCAACTGCGATACAGCGGTTCGAGACAACTTCTGCCAAGAATTAGTTTCCTGCTCTGGTAGTCGTCTTTCTGCGTCTTGTTGGGTAGTTGGCACAAGTTCTCGTACGACAGCAAATGACCGTCAATAGCTGCTCACTTCTCCGCCTGTTTCAGATTGCACATAAGTGGGGCGATGAGTGGGGTGAGATTGAGGGTGGGGTATACGGTACTACTTTTAAGATAATCCAAACAAATGATCAAATCAATCAATCAATCAAATCAATCAATATGAAAACAAATCCAAATCCTTCGTTCCCATTGACATTACTCCACAGTGAACACCGTTGGAACGTTGCCTGTCCCGTTGATTAAACTTCCGGGATGCACGGAGATATATTTGGAACGACGCTAACGGGGCTTCATGCTTGCTGTTATACGACGTTCAAGCATAGCAACCGACCAGGGCAGGGCTTGGAGGGGAACCATGACGTCAGTCTGGATGGTTGCTGGCATGGCGGCGATCCGAATCGCTACAGTACAGGCCGGTGAGAGCGCAAGTCCTGTCTAGTAGCTGCCAGTACATTCGGTGAGTTCGGCTAGTGACAACCTGAAACAGCCCCAATCAGGTTTTATGGCACCATACAGCCATAACGTTTCAGACTTCCCTCTGTTTACTTGACGGACTCGCTCGCTCTTCCAAGCCCGGCGCAGGCATATGGCCCAATGTTGCAAACCCACATCACTGTCTTGCGAGAAATAACAGTGCGCTCCATGCAATGCGGAACTTTCTGGTCCGCAACACAAGGCAAGAAAAAACGGACATTGATCATCGGGAGCAGGGTTATCCGTGGTCGACAGCGTTTTTCTAGTCGGTTGGGGTCGTCGAATACTTCTTGCGGCGTCTTAGATGGCTGTTTTCGGCAGTTGCAGGCTCTACAAGTACAAGTATCGAGAAGTGACACCGTCCGCCATAAGTTACGTCCAACCATCTCTTCTGTCCCTAAATAGCTGCACAGATTGGCTCAATGGAGCCAGTCTACAGACCGGGCCCAAGACTCCGGCGCCAGCTTGCTCAAAAGTGGGCAGATGGCATGTCTAACGTATGAGCGAGCTACGATCGTGCCTGTGTAGAGCGTGGTTGCGAGTCTGTTTTTCATAGGTTTTTCATTATACTATGCATGTCCTAACCCTGGAATTCCCAAACAGGAGGAAGGTGTTTATAGGTCTCGGAAAGAGGTGTTTTGAGCGTGTTTTTCAACAGGTATAGAAACGGGGTATTTGCTATAGCTCTATGACGTCACCCAGTGGTTCTTCTCTGTAGCTCCACGTCGAAGGTGGCTTTTTTCAGAGTTTGCCAAGAGCATCTACTGAACAAGAGCTTTCCTATTTTATTTTTGGACAGGCAAGAGCAAATGGCAAATGTGGGGAGACCACCAAGTGCATTCCTACAGTGAATTACGTGTAGCGTGACGGAGAGGCTGAGCTATATGTATCGGTACAGTACTCGGACAGACTCGCTCAGGCGCGATACAACTGGACACGCAATACGCTGGTGCACTCTGGAAATAAATAGATTGAATAAATAGCATGTTTAACAGGGGCCGTGCAGGTCAACTGCACTAAACAATGGTGTGTTTGCCAGAAGCGGGATGATGTCATAGGCATGGGCAGCAGCAAAGTAGTACTGTGCGAATATGAGAGCGTACTGTAGCCAGCAAGGCCGAGGAGCCATGGCTTCACCTTCACCTTGAGTTGGTGTGGGCAGCTGCTCAATGTCGCACGGTTGGCCCAGTAAACATTGACGGTTAGCATGCGAATAAATAATGCAAAACGGTAACACCAGTGACATGGAGGAGGGTGGTGTAGGGAGTCGGGCTACATCTGCAGGGAACCAGACGGAACTAGACGGAACTAGACGTTGTATCGGGGATCACAGCCTGTCCGGCGGTGGTCCTGGTAGTCGATTTGCAGTACGATACAGTCACAGTTGGGGCACTTGACCTGGTCTGCGGTTGGGGCATGGGCAACGGTGTTGACGGGCTCTTTGTGATGGCAGGGCATATTGTGATTGAGTGTGGCGATGTGGAGACGAGGAGGTTTGGTGGCACATGGTGGTCTGGGGGCGCGTCATTTATATATACACGGTTTCTAATAGTCACACTAAGGTGTGTGATTGCGGCATCTCCGTTTTGGGAGGGCGCGTCTGCATAAACTGTGTGACGTCAGCTCCACGATACGCAGAATAATGCACGTTTGAATTCTCTGCTGCTGGTCCAAACTGAGTCACTGATAGCCGTCTATGATAAACGTGCGGTGTTAATCAGGGGGTTGCGGTGAGTCATGTCCGTGTCATTCGGTCTTCCGGCGCCGTCTCACCATCATGATCCACCGGGGGAAGCCAAAAAAATGTAGTGGTTTCTTTAGTTGCACCCCCAAAGAGCCATGTCCCCGCTCCTCTACTGCTGTTGGGGCCCTGTTTCTGGCTCTTACGGTTTTGCTTAATTTTTTTTTCTTGGGTTTTTTTATTTTTTAATTTTGGTTTGCACTTGTCTTGAGTAAACTTTTTGTTACAATTGTTACTGCTGCCGCATTGCCCTAACCTATTGGAACCTTGAGCAATAGCTACAAGACAGGGGCAGAAGATGCGGATATTATGACGATATTATGATGGCTCCGCCAGGGACAGAACAGCGTCTTGCCGTGGTCGACTTGATGCAACTACATGCGATCCAATCCGCTGTCAAGAGACCGCAACGGTCTGTCACGCGTGCTCTTCCAAGTGTTCCTTATCTCCAATTCACCTACAAACCGGCCATATTCTACTGTCTACTGGTACGGAAATCCAAATCCGAAACACTTGTCTACTTACCCCACAATAAGACCGAAAAGCCGGACGTGCCTACCCCAGGTCGTAGACGAGCCAAGGGACCTCTTGTGCGGTAGCATGAGGGGAAGCCTGGGGTCTATGACGTCAAATAGGGGCTCTCACAACCATGTGTGCACACACGTGTGTCTCTCAGGTGTCCACCCACGGTATTATATCCATTGTATAGTGGTTCAGGCGCATCGGACATGATTGAAAACTTGGTACAAATACCCCTCTCAGTGAGGATTGTAATTGCAGTGTAATCACACATGTACTTTGGAAGCTGTTGGTTAAATGAGACGACAAGGCCATAAGAACGAGTCAAGAAGACCGGTCATATCAGTCTGCCGTAGAGACTCGGAATAATGGGGCTCAAACAACAATGAGGCTGGGCTTGGAAATGCTGCCAGACGGGCGGACCTGGTATCTCCAACTACCACCACCACCGACCGCTACACCGCTACAAGAACTGGGTGGAGCGACTAAAACGATATCACACCCAGCCCCAAAGTCGCACGAGACTCCTCCGCCGCTGCCCCCAGCCATGCAGAGAGATGTCAGAATCAAGTGTTCCACGTGTGGAATGGAAAAATGGGGCCGCGACTTTGCCTCCCATGTTGCTCTTTGCGACCCCGACAGGCTAGTCAGGACGGAAGCAAAGCGTGCAAGCAGTGCTCCCTAATGTCAACCAATAGATTGTTGGTATTTCACTGTATCTGTGCTGTGAGTGTAGCCTTTCTCATACAGTAGTATATCTTGTCCTTGTGCGTTACTTGTAGTTTGGCTGGGCAACGTTATCTCCAGCTCTATCGCAGTCTTATTTTCGGATTAATATAGCCGCCGCAGTGGGCTTGGATTCCTTCTCAATCAACGATATCTCCAGCGCAACCTTGAAGTGCTCGAAAGCGGACCGAACCACTGAGCGTCAACCGACCCCCACGCTTATCAAAGGCCGACTCCCCAACCCCCATTCCCCTGCATGCTCTAAGCACACAGGCTCTTGTTCCTGGATCAATAGGCTCCGATCGACAAGCAGCCATGACCCGGGAGATAAGAAAAAACGAGCGACAGGAAATGAGAGTCGGAAATGAAATCCAAAATCAGACACGGATCTCAGGGGAAAATTTTTCACATGAGCAACCCTACGAGTACTTGTACCTGTTTTGGGCGGTCTAACCGGCTTCCACGGCTCGTATTCCGTATCCAGCCTCGGGCTGCACATGCTCAAGACACATATGCGAGAGTAGGGGCTTAGCCGAACCACCAGATATTACGTTCATTTCCGCGAATGGCCAGTTTCATTTCGAGTGATACATTATCTTCCATATGTATGTTATATTATTTGTACAAATACTTGCAAGTCTCACCGATCTCATTTCAAGTATCGAGTTCAGTCTTAGTCAGTCTGATATCGTCCAGTCTGAAGTGTGTTCGGGTCTGTCTGGACTTGTTCAACTTGTCCAGTCTGACAATTCTTTGGGCGATGCCTTTTACTTTCACATGTCCCATGTCCGGTTTGTTTTTAACATGTTCAAGTCAACTCCTCCATGTATGGTCAGAATCGCGTATCTAGATCAAGCACATTTTCCCCTACTTGAGCAAAGGAAAAGGCAGCTTTCTGTGGGAATGGCAGAGAATGTCGACATATCCAGGCTGCTCAACTCCAATAACACCCCGTCGAATCAGAAAATCAATCGTAATCAGCGCAGTGTTGGGCTTGAACTTACCTTCCTTGATCAACGTCAGAACCCGATCCACAGACAGCAGCTCAAAGCTCTCGACCTCACCGTCAGCAGGAGCAGGGATGGTCGCCTCGTCCATCTCCAGATCCATCACATACTCCACTTCAGGCTGGATCACAGACAGTTCGTCACTGAGATCATCAGTGGCTCTGTAGAGGTACGAAACAACACCGGTAGAAGAAAGTCGAGGCTCGACATAAGAGGGCTCTAAACCAGCTTCTTCTCCACATTCTTTGACAGCAGTCTCCCACAACGAGGCAGGGTATCCCACTCCTCCTGCCACTGTGTTGTCCAGGTATCCGGGCCAAGTGGGCTTAGTAAGCGCCCTTTTGGGCACCCAGATCCGAGCATCTTTGGCAGTTTTTCCAGGTACAAAACCGACAATATGTACTCCATAAGTCACCACACCAAACAGGGCAGTGACAGCCCGCTCCATGAGAAAGTAGACCGTTCCAGTGGGGTTGTAGATGGCATATTTCTCGTTTCTCCAACCCTCCAGTACATCAAAGAGTTTTTGTGCTCGCCATTTGTCTCCCAGTTTCTCGAATGCCTCGGACCGCTTCTCACTCGTGTCCAATTGCGCCAGAATCGTCACCGTCTTCTTGTGGTCGTCCACCGAGACCGTATCTGTTTCCTTCTTCAATTCAGCCACCACAAGAGGCGTCAGGTATCCCAAAGGCGTTCCTTCGTGAGCAGTGAAGATGTAATAGTCAGTCAGTGGCGTGTATGGTGCCGAATCGCACTTTTTGATGATTTCCAGGAGGCTCATTGTTGTTGAGAGTGCGTTTGGTGTCCTATGTTTTCTTGCATACTGCTGTACTTATATTCAGCATGTTGGGACACACACATATTTTATATTTTTCATGATGTAAATACCAACCCAACCATGAATCGAACTGTGGACGGAGACCCAGAACATGCACGCCATAATACTGGGTCCCAGGCGCACTATAGTGAAATTGCGTGGGGAAGCCAATCTTGAATTCATCAAAAATCTACAACTCGATGGGAATGTGAGTACGAGTGAAGAGCTTTTTATGACAGGCAAAAACTAACACAGGCGCCGTCACGACTTGGCTAGAGCCATGGCTCTGGCGTTGGAGACTCCGCCCAACCAGCTGACGCCTCAGGTGCGACAAGAGGTGGTCCAGCAATGTGAGGCGTTCGTGGACTCCAACCTGCCCATTTCCGAATCCGAGTCGGCCAAGCTCGGCGAGGATCTCGTTCAGATTTACAAAGATGCCGTCATGGCCAACCCAGCGGCTGAGGTGCTCTTCTTGCAGTGTATGAGCCGCCTGGCTCCCTGTCTGGTGGTGGAGGAGCAGGTTCGAACGTGGGTCGATTTGTACTCCAAGCCCGCCATTGATTCTGCCGGCCAAAAGAATGATCTCGTGCGGGCTGCCCGTGACCTGCTGGTGGCGTGGATGGTGCCCAGAGACAGCGTGGAGGGCAATACGGCGCAGTACCAGGCCATCTCCCGAAGCACGGCCCTCTTCATGGTCCAAATCTACCTGCATGAGAGCCTGATTGTGGGTGAGACCAAGGGCAAAGCTGATGCGAAGGAGGAACGTCTTCGGTTTGTGCGTATGAATGCCAAAAACCTCATCCTCACATTCGCCGAAGAACGGCCCCAGGAGTTTTGTGTCATTGCCAACCGGTTCTTTGTACAGCCTGAGTACCGTGTTAGAATTCTCGTGCTTCTGTCTGCCTTTTTCTCCCAAACCAAGGCCAAAATTCCGGCGGATCTGGCCCGCTCACAGCTCGTCAAGCACCTTTTTGCATGCCTGTTGCACGACAAGTCCTCGCAGGTAGTCACCATGGCTGCTTCGGCACTCATCATGATGCTGCCTTTTATCTGCAGTAAGATCATGACCGACCTGCCCTACTTATTTGCAGTCTACGGGCGCATGGTGTGCTGGAGAGAAGGAGAAATAACTGACGAAGACGACAACCAAGACGCTTTTGGAGTAGCCAATGACGAGGAGGAAGAGGAAGAGGAAGAGGTGCACACAGACGACGAGGATAGCGCTAAATACAAGGAAAAAGAAGAGACCGAAACCCAGTCTACGCTGGACCCAGAACCTTCTAACGACACAAACACAAATCCACCAACCAGCGACACAGATGGTGGCAAAGAAACAGAAAACTCAACTTCTGTGTTTGCCGACTGGCACGCTCTGCCCCGGGACAATGTTCCGGACGCTCCCAGCCCAGACTGGGAACGAATGTTCACTTTTCTGTATGGACTGTTTCCTTCCAATTTCATCATGTTTCTACGGAAACCTACAGAGTACATTTCACAGACTCTGTCGTCTCCTGACGACTGGGACGAATATTTTATTTCGCAGCGGTCCAAAACTTGCTTTGACCGACACTTGTTGCATGTTCAACTGCTGACATCCTCGTCGGAGCAAGAACTCAAGGATGAGTACCGATGGGCTGGAATGACACCTGCAGACATTGCGTCATTGTGTTTGTCTCTTCTGACAGCATCGCCCGCTGAAAGATCACGCGAAGACAATCTTTCTGTATCCTCCGGAACTAAGGACAAGGAGAAGGACAAGGAAATTGTTACTCGATCACGAGGTACGTCTTTGAGTGAGTCGAAACGTCAGTTTTCAATCACTTCAATCCCTGACCGAGAATCTACTCCTTCCAGTCAAGTGACAACTTCAACAGAGTCCCAAGTTGCTGCTGGAGAGCTGCTCTCGCCTACGTTGACATCTACATCTGCCACTGGTCAGCTTATGGATCTTCAGGCCCGTCACCAGTCTCTGTACGGCAGAAAGGCCGACTTTCCTCCTCCAGTATCCATTTCCACACTTACTCTTGATGATAGCGATTCTCAGGGTCGAGAAGAGAGTCCTGTTTCTCCACTGACTCGATACCAGAAACATTCCAGTCTAGGAGCACCCTCAGCCTCTATTGAGGGTGTCCTTGAGTCAGGAACTAACTCCAGCCCTGCGATGAGCCCAACTCAGTTGCCTGTCGGTTCCCCCATTCTCAGAGGAGACTCTACTTCCGAACAGGCCGATATTTTGGCTTATTATCAGCGAGAGCTATTGCTGATCAAGAACGAGCTTGATTTTGTCTGTTACTTGGACTACCACAACCAGTTCCGCATCCGCCAACTCAAGGAACAGCTTCACAGTGCTCTTAGACAAGATATTGACGTTCAGAACCTCGTCACATCCAATCAAAAGCTCAAGCGTCAGTCTGAGCAGCTCAACTCGCAGTTGGTGAAGATGAAAGAGCTCGGAAACACGCTAAGAACACAAAAGGTACAGCACGAAGGTACGCTGACAAAACGTAACCGAGAACTGCGTCTTCAGTGTGACGCGCTGACTGAGGAAACTGCCAAAACCAACCTCGAGTTTGAGCACATGCAGGCTGAGAACCAGAGACTGTATGCTGCAGCTATGGCCAAGGAGGCTGCTGTCACACAGCTGGAGCTCAAGGTCGAATCTCTGGAAAATGAGAATCGATTGATTAACGAGTATAGAGACAAGCTGAAAAGCCTCGAGGCCTCCGCCGAATCTTCATCCGACAACATACGGGGCTCCGAGACACAATCGTCCAACTCAGATCTTCACATTGAGCTGGAGAAAACTAAGATTGACTTAGGAGTCCTGAAACACGAGAAGGAAACAATGGAGAAACGGTTGCGAGGCGAGATCGCAGAACTTGAAGAGCAGATGACAAACATTGAAAAGCAGACTCAGCCCTCACACAAGGTGCTCGAGATGCTTGAGACTATCAAACAGGAGGCTGAAAATCGGTACCATCAGCTGTCAGTTAGTCATCAAGAGCTGTCTCAGCGGTACCAAGATCTGGACGAACGATTCCGAACATACGCCGCGTCTTCAGAGGCCGAGAACCTGTCTCCTGGCGCTGGTGAGCTGTTCAACAACACTAACCAAAAGAGTCTGCTTGGTTACGACGTGGAGTCCATTGGAGAGTCTTCTGGGAACTCCCACAGAACCACCAAGCAGTCGTCAGCGTCTTTAGCCGGCTCGGACTCGGCTTACTACCGAGGAGTGCCCATTGGAGGCAACTCGAAGACACCTTCTCCTGCAGTTGAGCACTTGGGCATGAACTTTGGAGGCCACGGCAGCCACGCAACATCTGCTACTAACATCCCCCAACCCCAGCCTCCTTCGCATTCGCACTCTACATCTCAGGATGAGGACTCTTCTCGGCCACGAGCTCGAGGGCGGGGAGGATGGCAGAATGCTGCTAGAAAGAGCGAATCCAAGAAGATCAACTCTTTCCGGGGTTTCTTATAAGGAAAACTGTGGCGCACAGTGGCGATGCGAAGGAAAAGGAACGCGTTAGCTGTATATATAATATTATTGGAGGTATGGACATGAATGGGGGAGACCTTTGTAGACGATTGGGTGTTTACAGTAACACCGCATTTCGCCTTTATGGTTAAGCAGATCATCCAAGTGAGCATCGACGATTGTACATGCTCAATCTATCAGGTCAAGTATTACTTCGTAAGATACGTACTTCTAGCTGCTGTACTTGTGATATGAACTCATGTTCAACACTTTGCTGTAGTTGTACTGTAACAACCCAGTGTACACTCATCTAATGTTTCCTTATAGACGTGATGGTAATAGTATGCTCGTAATAGGTAACATGTTGAGCATATTCATTCTCTGCATTCCCATGCTCATTCTCACTCTCTACAGTGTTTGCTATCATAACATATCCTTTCTATATACAGAGACTAGTTTGTCTTAGGCTGGGGAATGCCAGCCTGCTTGTTCTTGGCCAGGTAGAAGGCGATGTTTCGCATCTTCTCCTGCTGAGCCTCGGCCTCGGCCTCTCGTCGCTTGGAGCCGCCAAGCTTGGATGCCACCTTCTGGGCCACGAAAGGTGATCCGGCCTTCTTGTAGGGGCCCATAATTCCCCCAAAGGCAGTAGAGGGTCGATCTCGACTGGACCCAAGGGAATCAAGGCCGGTGACCTCGTCCATGAGCTTCTTGGTCTCTCTTGCCGACTCCTCCATCTTGGCCAGAAAGCCGTCAGTGTCCTCGGGCCACACAAAGGGCTCCTCCATCTCAATAGTCATCTTCTTGATCATTCGCTTTCGGTATCGGGGTCGGGTGGGGTTTTCTCGCTCAAATGCGGCGGGGAAAACCACGGACCGCACGTTGAGCGCTCGCAGACCGTAGACGTTGTACAGGTAGTCTCGCAGTTCCATCTTGTTCATGTGCAGAGGAGTGAGAAAGGACGCCTGGTAGGGGGTCAGCTTGGCATTGGGTCGCACAAGAATAACCTGCTCCTTAGGGAACCACACCTCCCGCTTACCCAGCGCGAAATGGGCGTCGCCAGACTCGATGCCCTGCTCCAGCTTGGCAACTCGCTCTTCCTGGTTCAAGGGTCGATGCAGAGGCAGCCCGCCCTTGTACTTGTTGGCGTCGATGCCGGAGGCCTGCTTGGTGGGCAGAGTGATGGTAGGTCGCTGTAACTTGGCGACCGTTGCGCCGAATCGAGACACCCCGGAAAGTCGCATTTTGTGTGTATGTGTTTCGGGTGTTTGAAAGCTTTCTTGATCCCAGTCGGCCCAGAGCCATGCAGTATTTTTCACTGCGGTTAGGGTTTGAGGAGGTGAGGGCAAGTGCGTTTGGCTGTGTGGTTGTTGGTTCGATTACAATATATGCATATATAAAAATCTACTAATACTTCGGCTACTCAGAGATACTTGTACAACAAGTTAAAATTGTAATCATCTATTGTCACATATATAAATACTTGGCTCGGTTGTTTTGTCACTTCGACTTGGTCATAGACATCCATCGAGTTCCATCAAGATCAAACAAATGAACATCGACTGGGAACGTGACTCCCACAGCTTGAAGCATTCGCAAGCTCTGGAAACAGGCCAACAGCTTGTTGTAGAACCGACGATCCGTTGCTTCCATTGCGCACGACTTGCGGGCCATCAACTTACGCTCCTTTCGTGAGTACCTTCGCAGAGCAAACACTCCCTCGTCGTTCCATGCTTCCTTCAAGTACTTGACCACCCTATCCCTCATGTGATGGGCGTCAAATTCAAGTTTGGTGTTTCGGACGTTGGGAGACGTGGCCATGATTTCTATCCAAATGGCGTTGATCAGATCCGAAGTCTTCCACGTCTTGACCGCTCGCAAAAGCTCCTCCTTTTGGAACAGCTGGTAATGTGAACCGGTCTTGTTGTATCTTGCTCTCTCGTGGTCGGTAATAGGCACGTCCATCTCTCCTAACGTTTCTCCAATCCGCACAAACTCACGCACATGAGATGTCACAAAGTCCTTTTCGGGGAACACCTGCATCAGTCTCTGGGCACAGATCTCGTACGCCACAGATCGCCACCTTCGTCCAGCGTCAAAGGCATACTCAAACTCCTTGGGCTCACACATGACGGGTAGCAGCACGTATCCGTATCCATACTCGATCCATGCGTTCGCAGCTGTATGCATTAACAGCTCGTCGTGCTGTTGGCCAAAGATCTGGTATGCTCTTCGAGTGACAGGTTCGGCGAGATATTCGCCTACAGATGAGTAACTGGCCTTGGCTAGCAGCTGTTGTTGCTGTTGTGAAAACTCTAGGTACCCCTCTTCCTCCTCGTACTTTTTCGCTTGTGAAGGTCCCTTTCCACTGTGTTTCATGACAGAGTATGCCAGTAGGGTAGGTTTGACTCCGATCCAGTTGGCGACTGTTCGTGAGACTGGTAGGGCATACAGAACCGAGTTCTCCAACCCTCCTACCAGGGTGTTGACAACGTGCACGTTTTCCGGAAAGTCGAACGCGCAGAAACCTGAGTCGTTGGAGATGATGTGAACGGCCTTGTTGGAGTTCAGTTTGGCGTAGTTGAAGACCAGACAGGCCAGATCCCGGTCTGCCTCGCCTGGAGACACCAAGCACGGGACATTTGGGAACTTGGACTGGATCGTATCGAGACACAGAGCTCCACAAAGAACGGTCAGAGCGAGACTCTGGGCATGCAGAGCCGTGGGGAGGGACTCCATGGCCCGTTTGCGTCTGCCGTCCATTTTGTCTGTGGGCACCAGGCCGTCAAACAGCACGAGCTGAATGTCCCATTTGTGTTGGCCGATCCAACAGTTGAAGAGCTCCTCCAACTTCATGGCCACGCCACGCATGTCGTAACGGCTGCCTGGATCAACCATGTTGGCGATTTGGTGGGCCATGATGTGCCCGTCCACGAAGACAACACCTTTGCCGATCTGGTCCAACGTCAGCGGCGTGAACCGCTCTCTCATAGTGCTAAAGTAGCCTTTGATTCCCATTTTTCGTCGAGTGGAATCAATTGCAGCGCCAGAGACACCACCCCAACATTATAAACTGCCAGCCTCGGGCTAGACCTCCGGAGCTAGATTTTTTGCTTGCATCCCTAGCGCGCTACTAGGTCGGTAGTTTAATTAGAGCTTGTTGGTGGATGTGCAAAACAAGGGGCTCGGGGCTTGGCTGACTCTCTGGAGAGGCGGTGTGGGCGAAGGACAGACGACATGGCGCGCTTTGGCGTCTCCCCGACTGCCTGTGGCGTAGTTTGCTGCCAAGCGTCCTCTTATCTCGGACTTGTCTCTGCGGTATATCTTAGGTTACACTGTCGTTGGTTCGTAGGTTACGAATGTACCATCGGTTATTAGAGACGGGTGTATTGAGAGTGAATGGGGATATTTTGTGGTGATGAAAAGTCGATTATTTCCGCCTCCAGTATGCCGCGCGGTAATTTCAAGTCTCATAATCATGACTGTACGTCCCAATTATCGCAGCGTGGGCTATGTTCCTGGCTGTGTCGTGTACATACTGTACAAACAGTATATACTCACACTCACATTTAGTTATGCGTCTATATTTAGCTCGCTTGTGCATAACCATAAGTGAGATTGAAACGGCGTGACTTGATCATGTGGAGTGAGGAAGAAAGGAGTCTGTACAGGTTTTGGCGGGTGTAGACATTATGTGAGGGGTTTGAGAGCAATATGTTTGTTCTACAAATAGCGCAGAGCAATTTGGACCGCGTAAATCCCATTTCTTACTCAGCATGAACCACATCACCACTCCATTGCCTGTCTCACGTCCGTATGTAACCCCACCATGGTCAATACACGTTTACGTTAGACACGGTAGGATTGGGTTGTGGGGCACCCACGGGATGAAAATGGGGGGGTATGATTGAATGAATGAGGAAGGTGGGAGATTGGATGTGTGTGTGGGCCATTGGGGGGCCAACTAGTAAACCAGACAAGTAGGTGCAGATGCAGAATCTTCGGTACAAGTAGACAGGTTGAGTACATATCTGCACGTATTTACTGCAAGAGCGGGTGCAAGAATTTCGATGGTTGGCGGTATTCAGATCTCTTCCGTGACACGGCTAACGGTGAAACACGGACCGGAATTCGCCGATCAGCGTCGGAGAGCTGAAGAGGCCGACTGGAAGTACTACATTTGTAGTGTGTGATTAGATGATTGATGGGCCGTTGAGGGTTCAGTGGTGGGCCATGACGTCATTTAGGAGTTTTAGACAAGCGACTACAATATTTACAATTATGAGTGCCGTACTCGTAGTCAATAACCACTTTTACTTATAGGGAGTTCTATGGGGAGCCAGGAAAGTCGTTTCTGAAGTCAACTCGCTAGTTTCAAGCATCTCCAAGTGCACATCACTACATACTGGAGTTCTGGAGGGGCACCGTGGAATACACACTGTAGCAAGTAGGTGTTTGATGCGAACACATACCTGACAATAACAACAATAATACATAATAATAATAAATAATATTGAAATGCATTTATCCAATTGACGCTAAAATAACACTCTTTCAGGCGCTACCATTCTCGTACCACAGGTAGTGCAAGTAGCCCCAGACTAAGAGGGGATAATGCAACCACAAGAAACCCAACGTCCACCGCTCAAGTCGATTTTTGGACAAGTCGAGTTGAAAACTGTCTTGGATATTGGATGTCATTGGACAGTTGATGGAAAGTGAATGCCACCCTGGATTTGTTTTTTATGCTCATGTATCATAACCGGAAGAGGCTTAGGACTTACCAAATGCTGAGAGTCAGCCTGAGTAGCTGTAGGGCGATTGTGACTGCAAAACAAACCAGAGATTCGCGATATCAGTTGTTCATTTCGCAATCCTTGGTATTGAAAGATTCTAGACTCGTACACCCGTCCTTGCAACACCTACGAATCCCCTAATACAATCTATAGGCGCCCTCTGGCTCAACTCGATTCAATTATGATTTTTTGTTCATAGCAGCTTTTCCAAGAGGCTGGTTATTACGTACAATGAAGTGGCTCCCAAGAAAACGTCTCGTGCGCTCCTTATCTCTTTTATATCATCAATCTCTTTTATATCATCCATCTCTTATATCATCCATGTGACGTTACCCAGGCTGAGAGATGAGCCAACGGAACAGTTGGTAAAAAAAATGCCATAACAGTCATGGCGACAGGATATCTGACACTTGGTCAGATGTTTTGCTTCTATCGATGGCTACGCTTTCCACCATTCACAACCATCATCTCCATTAACAGTCGTACCCTGTCATCATCTGCCAGGCCATTGGTGGTCATGCACCAACTTTCATGCTTTCATGCTTTCATGTGCTGGAGATGATCCGAGGTGTGACCCGATTTTTTTGGGATGTGCGTTTTGATTACATCTGGGATGTTGCAAAGTGACATTAAAACCGTTTCCTCAATATATATATACCGATGCATCCAGCGCCCACTGACTCTCGAAGTACACACTCTGCCGTCAACTTGTCGCTCATTACACACCCACTCACCCCACGCTCCACTCTCCACACTTCCCCACTAAAGCTTATGCAGGGCTCTGCCGAAACTCTAGTACCGAGAACCTCAGTCTACATCAACCAGTAACACAACACATCCTCCCCCGTCCTCGCTTCTATCGACACCTCCACAATGGGCACTCTCATTGTGGTTGCTACCGCGGTGGTCTTTGTGGCCGAAATGGTGTTGCAGGCGCGCCAGCTCGTCTATCTGGGCGCGTCCCACACGGTGCCCCCTGAATTGACACACATGCTGGACTGTGTGGGGCTGCGCAAACAGAACCAGCTGGCGTGGGCCGAGCTGCGCAGCCAGTTCTACCTGGCACTGCTGCCGTTTGTGGAAAAAACGGCCATTTTCGGCTTAGGTCTCTTGCCCTGGATCATCTGGGCGTCCGAGTTCATCCAGGGCCGGCTCAGACTGCGATTGAGCCAAATCCACGCGCCCCAGACCCTCATTACCATGGCACTGAGCGACTGCGTCAACGCCTTTCTAGCCTCGGCCATTTTCTACATTCTCCAACGCATCTCGCTACTGCTACATGCCTACGAACGCGACGCAAACGTGCTCCAACTACACATTACAAAAATGGAATACCTGTCCGAGTACACGTCCGAAACTCTGCAAAAGGGTGTCGTTCAATGTCTCATTGTGGGGTTCGCAGAGCTCGCAGTATCGGCATTGCCCTGGAAAAAGCCCCACATGTCTCTCGTCTTCCTTGTCCCTCTGATCTACACAGCTACACACATGATGGTGCTCAAAATCCACCGCACAAGTCCGCCGCCCAATGCATATCCGCTCATGGAATGCCAGTTACGGTCCAAGCTCGAAAATGTGGCCCGTGACCTCAACTTCCCTAACCCAACACAGATCTACGTCTACCACAAGGGAAAACCACGGATTCACGTGGCAGGATGGACCAAAAAAACCACCCATATTTATATCCACAATCATCTACTAACAATGCACACACATCCGGAAATCTTGCTGTTTGTGGCCCATGTGCTAGCAGGGCGACTCTTCCCCATCAACACAGACACTTTCCCTCTGGGGTGGATGGCACTATCGGAATACACAAGAGGTGTGTTGACGCTGCTTCTGTGTTGGAATCCGTCCTTTCACACGTACCTGGGCTTGAAGAGGTGGCAACCTATCTTGTTGGCTGTATACATCATTCCCTGCATTCACTACCCCATCTACAAGGCGTGTCAGTACGCCAACAACTACTGGAAACGGTCTCAGACGTTTCAAAAGGACGCTGGACTTGTCTGTCTTGGCAATGTACACTTGTCCTACTATGGATACACGCTTTCGTCGGCCTATAAGCGCGTGTCTCCTCTGGATGGAGACCCTCTTTGGTTGACCGATCTTTCCGGTCGCTCCAAGCTGAAGGAGCGATTGGAGGCAATTGGCTGGGTTCCTCGGGGGCTAGCTGAGAAAGACACTGAGAAAGACACTGAGAAAGACAAGCGAAGGGCCTCTTGGTAGACTCATGTCTTTCGGACTATAGATTGTATTATACTCTAACGAATTACGACTTTTCTTTTATCTGTATTTGGTAGCATAATGGGAATCCCCGGCGGCGTTGATATTAGAAGCTCCGCCTTCCATGATCGTTCCAATTTTACAGCATTTTATTTCCAAATTTAATGTCGATTAATACCTCGAAAAAAATAATTAACTCTAGACTTGTAGATCAAAAATTGTGGTATTTTTCAATCATCTATCGTCCTTTTCTTGGCGATCAATACTTGTATAAGTACGAGTACTGATTGCCTACTAGTAATTAACAACCCAACCGGTATATTTTTTCTCCATCAGCCATGCGTCATGCACGTTGAAATTTAATTAAGTGCACGCGTAATCGGTGACGCGTTTTCACACAACACCCACTCACATCACACAAAAACAGCCATGGATAACGACTACGAATCGCCATGGGGTCTTTCGCAGCTTGAGGCGCCTGCAGACTCGCAGAATATCGATTCGCAACCTCTCAACGATGACGAGCTTGGAATCAATACTGAAGTGCAAGTCAAGAGAACCCGGCATGTGGCGAAACTAGACGATACCCGTATGATGGACGACAAGGGGCTTCCCGCTCTCAAGCATTTGTGTACCAAGGTAAATTTGAAGGGCAATGGCCACGAGGTTGGAGATCTGGGTCGACTACTGGACATGTACCAGATGTGGTCGCATGATCTGTTTCCCAAGGGCCAGTTCAAGAGCTTGTATCCTCTGACGTCCAAAGCCGGTCGAACTGCAACTGTGCGGGGACTGCGACTTGCTTGGATCGATGAGGAACAGCGTAAGAAACAGACTGCGGATGTTGCAACTGCAGTTGATGAGCTGGAGGACATTACAGACTTCAGAGATAGGGGACGACATTTTGAAACAGAGCCTCGATACAGTAGGCAATCGGAACCCCCCGTGGAGACTTCCGTGAATGTGGACAACCCCGACGACCTGTTTGTGGGTATGGACAGTGTTGACCATCGACTGGTATCCGACGAAGATGTTGACATTCAGGCAGAGGTTAGTCGACGAGAGGATGATGAAGATAGAGAGCAGGACGTGAGCGAGCTATTGGAGGGAGCTCGAGCCCAGCGTGACAAGGACAATTCGAGATCGTCCGGACGACTGAGTCTATTTGATCTGGGGGGGAGTGGTAGCCCCTCTGAGAGTGATCGTGGAGGCAGTACCTTAGAAGGTGATATATTCGGCACTGGTTCTCTAGACCCCACTCCTCCACCTGCATCTGAGACTTCCACGCAGGCACCTGCTGCTCAGCCACCAGCTACACAACCTCCTCAGGCACCTGCTCCAACTCAACCTCCCTCCAACCAGGCACCCGTTAAAGCGCCACCCCAGCCGATGCGACAAATGGATGATCTGGAGTTGGACATGCTGGCTGACTTTGAGCCTGATTTCGAGGACCAGGAACAACATGAACCCGAACCTGATCCTGAAGACTACGAGGATGACGAGGCAATGGCCGTCATGCGAGAAATGGGTCTTTGAATCCGATTGTAATTTATTGATGAGATGTGGATAGACGGTGATTATTACTACCGTTGTTATTTACAACTTTTATTCGCACACTTTATGCGTGTGCTTTCTCCATTTTTCTCAAGTAAATACCAACTAACAACCCAACTAATTGTCATAAATTAAAGATATTTTTCTGTAAGGCGTTAATTTAAGGTTGTGAACTAAATATCAGGCACAACAGCCACTGGCAACATCTCTCCACATCGCAACAGACCCATGAACCATGGTGTGAGTACTGCCACAGCCGCCAACTTCGGTCCACTGCTTCTAACACAGACTTCTGATATCGTCGACGTACAGCGTCCCGATCGGATACAAAGTACCACCATTTCCGTCTCTTTACTGGCCCGCAGGATCGTCAGAACGACTTTATGAAGTCTCGTCATTATATTACACATATGACATTTGGCGGTTCACGGTTCTGTGGACCATCATTCTGTTCTGCTGCTTCCACTTTATTGCGGGAATGTGGGCGTCGCTGGTGAAACGCGACTTCAAAAACGGACTCATAATCATGTTTCTGTACATTGGCATTGCCGGAATTGAGGCAATAGTTAGCGGGACTATTGTGGGACTCATTATCACGGGAGTCTATCGAGCGGGTCTGTGTAGTGTTAGTACATGGATTCCACTCGTTTGGGCCGTGGTCCAGATTCTCTGGATGGTCTTCACCAGCTATTCCATGATGAACGTCTTTCTTTGATAGAGACGTGCACGATACAGACTTAATGGCGAATAGCACCCGCCAACCCCCCGTTCAAAAAAACAACAAACGATAACGCTACTGTACGGGGGCAGCAGATACAAAAGAGCCATGCTCCCTATTTATTTATACTAATCTAATACATTTCAACTCTTACTGAGAGTAGCACAGCCCGGGGACACCTGTAGAGACCGCATAGCTGTAGGAGTTGTGAGACGGGAAAGTGTGTGACTCCAGTCAAACGCGCTAGTTGACTTGCCTCTTTTACAGCTCTTTTTGTTACCCCATCTTAGATCCCCAGGCTCCAGCTTCTGTGCCTGCATTGTCGCCAGGAGCGGTGAATCAACTAGACGACATTCTTCCAACCTGAGGGCTGGGAGAAGGAGTGCACAGATCTTCAAGTGAAGAAGTTGATCTGGAAGGTGACAAACTGACCACATTGTCTGCGTCACTCAAGCTCTATGAGAAAGTCTCATAAACATCATAAATTTGTCTGTATCACCCTCTGTATCACTGAGAGTAAGATCTTTTCTCAGATGGTTCCTTGACGTAACTTGGTACTTGTCTGGGAGCCACTTAGTTCGACCTCATAAAGATGAAAGCGGTTCCCCCATCAGTTCAGTTATCTTTTAAAACTCATCTTTCAACTTGCAGTCTTTTGATGGTCACTTCAGGAAGTGATAATAGTCGAGAGAGGTCTCTTCGACCCCTACCACACAACAACAAACATTGATCTCCATCAATACCATTGTTAAAACATGAATATTATATACTCGTAAGAAACACCAGTAGTGTGTTTATATTCTACATTTCTACTACCCTCGAAACACTTTGAAACGGTCAAAAACGTCCCTCGTTTTTTGTTTTTGCTGGGTTTTTTTTGTTTTATTCTAATGATTCATTACTTTTTTTTTTTATTCTAATGATTCATTACAGCTATATACCTACAAGTAGTAAGCCGGGTTATTGGCGTTCAATAAATCATACATTTTTTTATTTTTTTTATTCTAATGATTCATTCTATTTTTCAACATTTCTGAAAGTGGATGCCAAAAATCCGTGTTTTTAACGAGGGCGTCTGGTGTAGTTGGTTATCACATGCGCTTAGCATGCGCGAGGTCCCCGGTTCGATTCCGGTGTCGTCCATTTTTTTTGTATCTGTTGATACAGCAACGATAACCGTTTCATACTTGTGATTTTTTTTTCTTTTGTATCTTTCGATATCGTCATGACATTCGGTGATATTATTTCAGAATCGTGGACCTTCTCCCAACTCCTTTGTGAACGCTACCATGCGATAATACCTATAACAGCATTCAAAGACAGATGAATGGAGGCACTGTGGAAGAAGAATATATATAATGGCCAATTTCCTCAGTTCATGTTACTTCACGGATCCTCTATCCAATTTAAAGAGTCAACCTCTTCACTCTATGGATTCACGCTTCAACGCTAGATACGATAGGAATGACACTACCTGCAGACACAGAATACAACTGATACCACTGGCGCGGGCGATAAATAAATCTTTTCTGGAATAATGTCCCTGCAACCTGCTTTACTAGCGCTTTCCAACTTGGGTGGATGTGAGCTTCTGTTATGGATTCAGTAGACACGACTCTCGGAAAGCGAAAGGCTTCGAGAGAGCAGCCCTGGCTCAAGAATTGTGCTCTCCTATCTTCAGCTCCTCAAATCAAGAGCCCGGTCTACATCGTATAAATAAAACATCTATTAAATCATCTAGCATAGTCTCGACCACCTAGCCACTTTTCTACATCTTCTGCATCACTGCCTCCAGCTTCTGCTTGACCTGGTCGTCCAGGATCTTCTCTGTCTCGTCCTTTCGGGCAATCTCCTGAATCAGATTGGAGATGTCACCCTTGAGAGGCACAATAGTGGGGTCGTTGTGCTCCAGCAGAGCGGCAAACAGGCCAAAAATGGGCACATACTCCTCCTGGCCGTCGCCCAGAGGCAGACGAGCCACCAGGGCAGGCACCACCTCGCTGATGGGTACGGAGCCGGGAGCCTTGAGGGTCATTCGAGCGACACAACCGCAGGCGTTGGCCAGACATCGGTCGTTGTTGTCCTCGGGGTCGTCCGACAGGTTCTTCTTGGCCTGCTTGTCGACCTTGGTGAGCAGGCGCTGCAGCTTCTGGAGGATGGCAGGGTACTGAGAAGTGAGGTCGACAGTAGAGTTCTCGGCCAACACACCAAATGCAAATGCGGAGTTGGATCGCACATCGAGATGGGCGTCGGTGAGACCCTTGATGCAGATGTTGAGAATCTCGCCGGTGAACTCGGAGACGGAGGACTTCATGCCGACAGTCATCTCGGCCAGAGCACCAATGCCAAAGGCTCGCTCCTCATCCATCTTGGAGTTGGCGTAGTTCTGCACGTAAGGGAATAGAGCCTTGAAGATGGGCACAAAGTGAGCCTCGAGAGACTCAGACATGGCTGCGCACACGTCAAAGGCGTAGTCCAGCATGAGGGAGTCGTACTCGGACTGCTCGAGCTCGGCAGCGTCAATCTCCTCCTCCTCCATCTGGGCGGGGTGCTCCTTCTTGAGCACAAGGATCACCTGGGAGCAAATGGTTCGCAGGGTGTCCTCGTCGCCGAGAATGGCGGGTCCAGCGGCCTTCATGGCCTCAACAAGCACCTCGCAGATGGCAATTACCACCAGTCGAGAGTCCTCCTCCTCCAGAAGCTCGACGGTCTTGGTTCGAGCAAGCTGCAGGAAGGTGGACAGAGACTCGGGGTAGGCCGAGGTGTCCGCAGGGAAACCGGGCTTCCATTGGGGAAGGTTGGCCATGCTGTAGAGAGAGTGGAAAATCTTCCACACGGCGCCCAGAGCCTCCTTTCGAATACCCTCGTAAAAGTGGTCGAGAGCAGAGAACAGGGGATCGGTGATCTCCTCCAGGAAGTTGAGGAACTGGCCCTTGGTGGCGAGGATCATGTCGCCAAGCACCTGGAAAGCGGTCTCCTTCTGGGTAGCCAGCAGCGAGTTGACCTTGAACTTGGAGTCGTCGTCCTCCTGTCCAATAGCCTCATCATCCTCATCCTCATCCTCAAAGCCGAAGTCGTCCTGTCCCAGGAACTCGACAAGCAGAGGAATAACTCGAGGAAGGTACTGGCCAAACTCCTCGCCGTACAGCTTGGCAATGACGCCAAAGAAAACAAAGCCGGCCTCTCGCAGCAGATCCACCTGCAGAGTAGCATAGGCCTTCTCGGCAAAGGTGTTGACGTAGGGTCGGAAGGCCTCCTTGCCAATAGCGCCGGCAATCGCGCCGATAGTGTCAAAGGCGGAGCCCTTGACGGCGAGCTCGACCTCGGTCATCTCAGCGGCATTCTCGAGGTTGATAAGCTGGCCAAGACCGTTGATGCACTGCTCGGCGTAGGGAGTGAAGGCCTCCTTCGCAGCGAAAGCAGCGGAACCAACAGCAGCGATCAGAGTAGTTCGCAGAGAGTCGTCCTGGGCCTGGTCCAGCATGGTGATGAGACGGGGCATGAGCTCGGCCAGGTACTTCTCGGCGATGACGTCCTGCTCGAGAGTCTCAAGCACAGACTCCAGGGCAGAGGTGGCAGCCTTGAACTGAGCGGGGGAAGAAGAGGCATCCATAGCAGAGCAAATTAGAGGCACCAGAGTAGCGTGGTGCTCACCAATAATGTGGTGCAGGTGGTAGGCCAGACGGACAAGAACCATCAGAGCAGACACGTTGGTGGGGTTCTGTCGGAGAGTGCCAATGACAGACTCGAGAACGGGGTCCAGGTGAGTGGCCACGAACTCGGGAGATCCCTCAATGGCGTAGGAGAGAGCAGAAAGCACAGCGTCCGAGTTGGGCTGCTGCTGCAGAAGCTCAAAGATGGGGACAAGCACCTGCTTGGGAGGCAGCTCGTTGGACAGATAACCAATGACTCGCAGAGCAAGCTTTCGGGTAGTATCCTCATCTTCATCATCGTCGTCCTGCTCGTCGGGGAACTCGGCAATCTGCTGTGCAATGATCTCGACCATGGAGTTGGTGAGAGTGGGCCCAAGACCCAGAGCCTGCAGTCGTCGCTTCTTGAATCGCACGGCAGAGATCAGGAACCGTAGAGCGGCCATCTTGTTCTCGTCAGAGTCGCCTCGCTTGGCAATCTCCAGCATGAACTGGACGAGGTCGCCAATGTGATCAGCCACAAGAGCGCCCTCGATGAGAAGCAGGGTTGAGAAGACCTCAAACAGCTGCAGGGTCTTGTCGTCGTCACGCTGCATGGCACCCTTGAGCACATCGACCATCTGGGGCACCACCTGCTTCTTGAACATGTCGGCATTAGAGTCGGAAGAGTCAATCAGCTCTGAGATCATACCAGCGCACAGCATGGAGGTAACCTGCAGCTCGGCGTCGTTCTGAGCCATGTTGACGGACACCAGAGGAAGAATGTTGGAGGCGTTGGTCACAAAGGTCTCGGCACCCACCTCAAGCAGAATGTAGATGATGTAGGTAGCGACCTCTCGATCTCGGGCGTCTCCAGAGCTGATTGCGGTGTTGAGGCTCTGGGGGAGCTCATTCCAGGTCTGCAGACCCAGCTCAATCTCTCCAATGGCAGCCACAACACGGGCAGAGGTGTGTCGTACAAGGGCCACCTGTTCGGCCAGAGTGGACTGGAGAAGCGAGTTCTTGATCTCGTTTCGAACGGCCTGATCGTTCTCCTCCCAGTAAATGGGGATCTGCTTTCGGGCCTCGATTCCAGCCAGCTGCTTGATTCCAGAGTCCTCGTGCTTCTGCATAATGTGGATCAGAGACACGGCACACTGAGGGTTCATGTAGAACTCGGCCTGCAGTCGCTGAGACGCATTTTTGATGTCCTCAGGCGATTTGGGGGACGTGATTTGGCCCAGAAGCTGGGCTAGTTGCACCGTGAAGTCGTCCATCGTGTAGTGAGGTACAAGTTAAGAGGAGACTGTGAGATAGCGAGAGAAAATTTAAACTTGGAATTTTTTCGATTAGAGTTGGGGTTAGGGGGTGCATCTGTGCACTCAAACAAGGACCGATTACGATTACAGAGCCGGGGTGTTTTACAGCAATTGACGTCGCACTGGCGTAGGGACGGGACCGCGGTCACGTGCGGGGGGTCGAGTCTGTCTGGTGGTCACGTGATTTGGCAAGTCTACCGCGGCCCCGTCGTCTAATATCCCTCCCCCTTCAAAATTCCGTCGCAATCTCACTTTCAACTTGCACTTACTTTGAGCCCCTTTTTTTCCCGTATTTTTCGGTTTCTTTTTCCCTATTGTCTTTTTTGGCCCCCTTGCACACACTGGCATACGGTGGAAACAGACTGTATGTACACCGCACACCGTCGGAATGTAGTTACGTAAGCGCACCAATCATTAGGGAGCTCTGCACGCAAATCCAAAAAATATTTTTTTTATCCCTGTGCACACACCGCTCTGACGCAACTCATCAAACTCAATGTGGCCTGGATGAGCCGAAGATGAAAAAAAATATCGAAATTGAATAATTTAGCCGTCTACAGTATGAGTGTTTGGATTGGTTGTTCAAGTAACCAAGGAAGCGTTAGAGTATTATGCGTTAGTGTGCTGAATAACTGGTACAGTACGAGTACCAGTGCAAGTAGTGCTACAAGTAGTATATGTAGTATGTATACAAGTACTTTAGAAGTACAACATGGACAGTTGTTGATACAGTGTACCCAGTCCCTTGAAGGTATACACTGTCAAGGGAGCTGATCGATACGATATTTCCTGTCTGCTGAGAGCAATGCAGCTGTAACGTCTATAGCTACTGTGCTGTTCGCTCAGTAATATTCATAAAATTTTATTGGGAGATTTTACAACCGCCATGCTAACTTGTCTAATCAATCTTGATTGCGGTGTAGATCTTTCGCACAAAGAAGAAGGAACAGGTGTAGCCCACGGTTCCGAGCAGCACAAACATAATGAGGGAAATGATGGCGGAGTAGCCGAGATACAGAATGTTGGAGGTGAAGGAGCCCAGAGCCAGCTTGTTGATGAGGAACAGCAGAGCGTGAGCGTACACGTAAAAGGCGCACGAGCCGGCAATGAAGAAAGATCTCCACTGCCAGTGGTAGTTTTCGGAGCACAGCAGCAGGTAGATCATGAGCACAGTGACAACAACGGTGGACACCAGCATGAGACCGTACGACAGGAACAGGAAGCCGAACATGTAGAACATTCGGTGGAACCAGATGGAGCTGACAATGAAGTACAGCTCGACGAAGATGGCCACAAAGGGCAGAATACCAGCAATGGCCACAGAGGGGACCTTTTCCAGGTAAAAGGGCTGCTGAGGGATCTGTCGGGGGATCTGGTTGGTCTTGACAGGCACAGAGAAGGGAGTCTTGGCGATGAAACCTCCAGCAATGGACAGAGGAACAGAAATGGCGAACCACACGGCAACCAGAGCAAGCATGGTACCGAAGGGAACGGCTCCAGCAGAGTTGTAGGCAATCAGGAAGAAGTTGAGACCAATGAAGGCGGCAAAGATGATGGAGGGGATAAGCACGGGGGTCAGAAGAAGGTTCATCTTCACGTTCTCACCGCCCATGGTGTTGTAGAACTTTCGAGACACGTAGCCCCCGACAAAGCCAGACAGAGAGTAGAAGAGAATGAAGGCTGTTCCAAGAGCTCCTCGGTTGGAGGGCGAAAGGAATCCAATGACGGCGAAGAAGACTGTGAGGCCGCACATGACGAACATCTGAGCTCCAGAACCCAAAAAGGCACACAGAATCATTCGGTTCTTAGGAGTTCGGAACACGTCTCCATGCACGAGCTTCCATCCACTGTCCTCCTGAACCTCCTCAGACAGATCAATCTCATTGTAGGAGGCAATGTCCTTTCGCAGAGCTCGGGTCAGAACGGTAGCAACAGTAGTAGCCAGCAGAGTGACGACGATGGCGGAGTTGATGATGGCAAACCACTGGACCTGGGGGTTGTGGACCTGGAGGTACTTGTCCCATCGGGTGGCCCAGGGGGTGTCTGAGTGCTTCCAGGTGACCGAGTAGGTGAAAACCACCTGCTGCTTAGTATCGGGATCAGTCTGGAGATGCAGCTTGGGGTAGTCACCACAGAGGTCTTCCTCGGCGCCGGATCGGTCGAGAGATCGCGGCAGAATTTCCACGCCAACCACTCGGTGCTTGCCCTGCTTGGTGGTGTGGTACTCCACAGTGATGTCGTAGTGGTTGTTGAGGTAGGGGATGTCGGAATCCTCGTCTCGCTTCTCATTGTTCTCAGAGTCATCCACGTCGTCGGTGTTGTCGGCGTTTGGCTGCTCAATCTCTCCGAGCTCAAAGCCGGCAAAAAACTGTCCCTCCTGGCCACGCAGCTGTCGGCCGGCAGGAAGACCATCGATGAACCAGTTCTGCGCGTAACCTTGCAGAATCTTCTTGTTGGTGAAACGAGCGGAGAACACGTCGTAAATGGGTCGATTGGGACACAGCTCCTCGCACTGCTTGTCCTCCTTCATGTTGAGCTGGAAGGGCGAGTTGAAGATTCGGTCGCCAAACAGAATGGATCCCAGAGACTCGCTCTGCTTCTCGGCGCCTCCGACAGGCTTGCAGAAGTTGAACAGCTCGTAGTAGTAGTCGTAGGGAACAACAGACTCCAGCTGACCGGACTCGGACAGAATCTGTCGAGGAGTCAGCGCGTTAACCAGGAGAGGCACCTTGTCGCCCTCCTCATAGTCTGTGGGGGCCACGCCGGGCAGATAGAACGCGTGACATAGTGCCGCTAACAGAAGCACGACGTAAACGTGTAACATTGTCGTTGTGTGAAGGGGGCTGTATGTGTTGTGGCGTGTAGGTGGAACGAAGTGTGATTTTTCAAGCTCGAACCAAAACCAAAACTCGCCTCTACTGTTGTATGTACAGTAACCAAAAGTGTAACCATACACGACCAGTCCACCTTTTGGGAGCGGAAAAAAAAATCAATATCGGATTTACTTCGGATTTAGCGGAGATATGGGCGCTGAACCCCCGTTTTCCGTGGTTTTCGTCGTCACCTATCGCCAAACAGGGAAATTGAAGGCTCTTTGTATGACCCTGAATTGGACCAGTCAACCTATACGATGATGCCAAGTCACTGCTGTCTCGCTTCTGACAGGGGGGCACCCAAACCCTTGTTGATTAGGTAATATATATATATATATATATATATATATTGATTAGTAATCGGACATTTGTCTGTTTTGTTAATCGCGCTATCCGCTCTACTTGTACCACGAATTTATTGCCACCGCCACTCTTGTCTCTTCTGCGACGTTGGATTCACGCGTTGGACGGTCATGTATGTCCGATACTGTGTGCATTCTTCCGCTGCATAAATCCCTCACTACGTTATCTCCGCATATCTCCGAGGCATTTGATGAGATGATAGCTATAGCTACTGAGGGGTTTAGAGAGCAAGATCCCCGTTGTGTTTTCTTGGCCACTATCGCCATTATTGCACACGACATCTTCCGGCCTAATCTAAGCCAAGAGTGACTTGCGCTTATCACAGCCTAGTTTTGGGACAGGCATAGTTAGACTTTAGTTAGGGGGGGGCATGTTTTTAGTTGGGTGTCTAGTTGATTCAAATTGTGGGCCATGTTGAAAAGCTATGTGAGAAACATACTGGTACAAGTACTGTTAGAAGATTTTAAGGGCCCGAAACACGATCATGTGGTAAAGGCTTCCAATTCCATGTGTACAAGCGTTCGTCCAATTCTTCTAGTGAAGGAGCCACAGTGTTGTCCCAGAGTCTGATGCCTGAGATTGGAGAGTCATCATCGACCATAAGACAATTGCAATTGTTGATCTTTTTGTATTACCTCAACTTCTTGTACAAGTACACTCACTAGTTACAAAATAATATCCTTTTATTAATCTATTCTAATGGCATCTTCTAATGATGCTCTAGAACGGTTGATGCATTGTCTTGGTGCTCTTTGGATAAAGATACTAGTACAACTACAAGTAGGCAAAAGTAAGGGTACTCTTCGTGCCCATCTTCGTGTTGTTGCACTCTTGGCTTGTGGGCTATTCGCTTAGTTGCCCTCCTTCTTTTTTCCAAAATCCACTCTAAGTCCAGACTCCCTGTACTTCTCAGGAACCCGGACTCTCTGAGGAAAGTAGCCAGTCAGATGCTTCTCACAGTCGTTATTGTGGTTGCAGCCGGCCAGATGCAGTGCCAGATCACCCTCCTTGTAGGTCCACACGTCGTTGGGCTCACCAGTGTACGAATTGAACAGACGCTGGGGATAGATTCCAGTGTGCGACAAGATGGACTTGTGGCCTCGAATCAGGTTGTTAAGAGCCTCCTGCTCTTTGAAGATGTAGTTCTTCTCCACGTGGACGGGGTCATACCACAGATCAAGCAACATGTCTGTCCAAGGAGACCGCTTGATGAAGAACGAGCCGGCGTTGATACCGAAAAAGTCCTGTGTCAACAGCAGATTGAGGTTCTCGGGCTTGGGAGGATTGTCCTTAGAAGGGTAGACTTCTCCATCAAAGGTGGCATCGGGCTTTCGAATAGGACGAGCGTAGGTGAGTCGTTCCACCAGAGCTCGGTCACTCAGCAGATGCTCACCAAGCTCGATCTCGGGGTTCATGAGGAAGATATCAGTGTCCATCCACCAGACCCACTCGACTTCGGGATGTTCGTCAAAGACACGTTGAATAGCACCCATCTTGGCCCACACCACGTGATCCGAACCGGTGTCGACAGTGTTGAGATCCACAAACGCACAAATGTAGCCGTGGTAGTTGCAGTACTCCTGTCGGTTGGGTAGCACCAGTTCCAGCATGGCCATTTCGTTGTCCGTTTTTCCGTTGGATGCAGACAAAAGCGCAATCTTGGGTCCGTAGGGCTGGACATGACCGTCCACTTTCTCCTCGTCCGTGTAAGTGAGAGGCTTGTTGACGATGGATCCGATCTCCTCTCCTTCCAGCTTGTGGAAGATTCCCTGTAACTTTTCACTCTTTTGCTCCTGGGCCTTCTTTCGTCTCTCTTCCTTTCGTTTTCGTGCCTCCTCCAGCTCCTCCTTCATGGCCTTTGCCTTTTCTTCCGCCGCCTTGAGTTTGGCCTCTGTTTTCTTGAACTGCTCCTCGTCCTCCGCCAGCCGGTCGATTCGGCCGTTCTTCTCCTCCTCTCTGAGTCGCTTTTCCTCCTCCTTCTTGTCTTCCTCGGTCTTCTTACGGTCCTCCTGGACCTTGAGCTCGTCGGCCTTTTTCTTTTCCTCCTCCGCCTGTTCAGGACTTTGCTCAGGCTTCTTTTCGGGCTCTACCGCCACAGGCTCGGACTCCTCCTTGGACTTATCCTTGGACTCCTCCTTGGACTCCTCCTTGGACTCCTCCTTGGACTCCTCCTTGGACTCCTCCTTGGACTCCTCCTTGGACTCCTCCTTGGACTCCTCCTTGGACTCCTCCTTGGACTCCTCCTTGGACTTCTCCTTGGACTCCTCCTTGGACTCCTCCTTTATCTCCTCCTTGGACTCCTCCTTATGCTCCACATGTTCGTGATGCTCCTCCTGAGGACGCTCTTTGTGAACATGCAACTTTTCGTCCGTCACCTCTTTGGACTTTCGGTAGCCATGGTAAGAGGGCACATCCAGGTCCAGACGGGACTGTGACGCTGCCAGAAACAGCAGACACACACAGGCCCCCAGCAGAAGAAGAGTGGTGGAAAAGCGCCGGCGAAACATGGGTTTGGTATGCAGGGCGGGCGAAGCTGCTGGTGGAGAAAGAGATGCTGCGCCAAAGGACCGTCGCAAGTGTTCCTGATTAGCCGTGTCCATCTTTCAAGGTTAATTTAAATCAGACACGGTTTTCCTTTTCCAAACAAGAAGAAACTCGAGACACACTGTGGCAAGTTTGTTGCCAAGTGCTCATACTCTGGCTCGGTGAAGATGCTCCGTGAAAAAGAGCCCTACTCTGGTTGTTTTTTTTTCTATCTAACATTCTAAACTAATGCGCAGCCGTGGATCCCCAAAGGACCAACCGTTCTTACCGGCTACTGCACCCCTGGCTCCTATTATTCGCCCCTCCTAAAGCGTAAGATGAACCCTACTTTGTAGTTTTCCCAGACATTGTTATCAGCCAAAGAGTGAAAAAGATCGACACTGGACCTTAACCCAACTGGCCCATGTCTAAACAGCAACGTTTTGCAAACACAATACGTATACACGGACCATCACCGGGGCAACGCACGGCCTCAAAATGCTGAGTAATGTTCCCTTTCCCCCCCTGGAAGCCGACATTATAGATGGCGCTCATAGCTCTCTGCATCCCATTAGTTCACTGCACGCGATTAAGTTGTCAAAAGTCACGAGCTATTATTAACCGAGTCTTGGCGTCTCTGGTTGGCCACTTTTCATAGACACTAATTATAGGCAAAACAGAGTGTTTATTGATGGTGTTGCTGGGTGCCTGACTTATGGGCAAAGTTCATTTCATCCAAGAGCGGCAAATACAGAGACTATGAAACCGGCAGCGCAAAACAAGCTACTTTATGCCGCCGTTTCGGCATGGCTACTGTATGTACATGTTGGGCCGTTCAATGTTTAGCCCGTCGTTAGTCTCTCTTTCTGTCTACAGTACCGACTTTGGGGGGGAAATTGGCCACTTGTGGCGTGTTTGGTGTCTCTTTCGGTCTCCGTTTCTCCGCGGACTATCCACTGAGACGTGGGCTTTCTGGGCTTGATTCTGGGCTCGACTTTGGATGTTTCCATCTTATATCATAGAGAAGTCAACTAAACTATTCTCTAAGTACAGTAGTTGGCCCGGAGTCAGTGTCGGTTGAATTTCTACTTGGTCTCAAACTCTCGTTTAGTTGGCCCCTACTTGGATATTTAGTTGACATATCTGGCCACGTATCCCACCCAGCTACAAGCACCCTGTTGGGTCTGTTCGTTGTGATGACTAATGCTGACTAATCACGGGAGGGTGGAGAGTGTAACTCCATGTTTTCACTCTTGCTTCAATCGTTTGTCTGTTGTCGTTTTCTGTCTTCCCTTTGGCTCTCCCAGCACTCGGTCGTCTGTCTACTACTACAAGTACTACTAACACACATCACCATATCAAACTCACAACATAACACTCCCAACCCAACTATGATGAAGTCGATAGTGGCAAGGGCGTACTCGCCGTTCTGCTCCGTGTTCGCCACGGAAGACTGCGACAAACTCGCCAACGATCTCGGATACGAAGATCTCATCACTCTTCTGGCCCCCCATGGAGACTCGGTAGGAAGAGCCACAGTTCGAGACTCCCAGGGCATGACCAACACGTACGACGACTTTGCCATTCGACTGGGTGCCAAGCGACCCACCGAGAGAGACTCTGGCGGCATGCTCTTCAACCCGGACGCCATGGAGGCGCTTCTGAGAGAGTACATTGGTCACTACAACTCTGACGATTCTGCATTTGCCCGGTTTTTCGCCAAACTGGTGGCTGCTCCACCGGACACGGCATTTGAGACCTTTTCTCAACCGGCTGCGCATCTCTTTTGTGTCTCCAGCAGAAACGCGCATCCTCTGGACACGTTGCAGGCTTTGGCCCAGGGCCAGAAACGCGATAAGGACTGTCTCAACTTTTATGTGCTGGTGCACGATGCACGTGTGGAGGACGCCGAGAACTCGACGCAACGAACCATTGCGTTGCTGGAGCGGGCCAAGAAGCGGTTTGGACTGGCTGGTATGATCAAACTGGGCCAGGAGGGTGTTCCGGAGACGATCCCCACGCCGCAGTTTCTGACCGTGGGCGATGAGCTGGTCAATCTTAAGACTGGAGTGGGATTCGGTTCTCGGACCTTGTCTCAGCCTGACAAGGAGAGTATTCGGTCGCTTTTGAGAGAGTTTACCGTACAGCATCTTATTCCGCACATGGAACGGTGTATCATGACGTGGGATACGGTGGCAGCCGGAAAACGAGGACTAACAGGTCGAATGTTTTCCGCGGGCAAAAAGTGGCTCAAGTTCGGAGGAAGCGAGAAACAGGAGGCAGGATCATCCATCCAAGCATCGGGAATCTACCCCCAGGGGTCTCCAGAACAGACGATTCGACGTTTGGCAGATTATGCGTTCATGCTGAGAGACTACAGATACGCATATGCTACTTACGAGCTGGTAAAACGGGATTTCCTGTCGGACAAGGCGTGGAAGTACCTTGCAGCATGTCAGGAACAGGCAGCAGTGGCCCTTCTCATGTACACTACTCGTCTGACGGAGAAACAACGGGTTGAGGTGCTGAACCCATTGCTGGACTCAGCATGCTATACATATATTTCGCGGCTGCAATTACCACAGTATGCGCTTCGAATGCTGGTGGTAACTTCGGACCTGCAGTGTCTGCTTGGTCCTGACGCTGCTTCACAGGGGGCAACTCAGTGGTTCCAGAAACTGTTGGATGAGCGGCTGGTGGGCCGTTTGGGTTATGCTCTCATCATGTTGCGGGTATCGTACGCCTTTTCACAATCTCCCAAAGGCAGAAAGGCGGCTCTGTGGCAGTTGTTGTCTGCTCGTGAATGGGCTGATGCCAACCAGAAGGGTGAGATGGCAAAGTGTCTAGACATGACAGCGCCGGTTTATGACGAGTTGAACTGGCCAAACAACGAGGGGACATTGTTGACTAGGTTAAAGGGGGAACTTGCCAACGAGGCTAAACCTACGAGCGTGGCGAGCTGAGTAGCAAGATGACGTGACTTATCCAGTCCACTGTGGTGCTCTTCAACCGCATTTAATGAATTCCATGACTTTTATGATAGATAGAGAGTTCACATCTGCTCAGTGAGTTTTCGTATGGTGCTTACTTCCGAGAGTAGAAACTGAGTGGTATCAGTACAACACTGTATGTTTGTTTATACCATAAGCATTAGTATGAATGTTTGACGATATGGGAGACTGAAGGAGTGAAACCAAAAGAAAGGCACTAGATGTTCTCGTGCTATGGAGTTTCATCTTCAAATAATAGAAAGTAAATTTCGATATAATGCTCACATTAACATGACAATAAATAAACTATGTATACACGGACTTGGACTGTCCGACTCTCTCTTACAATCCCGTGAGAGACGAATCGTCGTCGTCAACAATAAGCTCGTTGGTGTTGAGCTCGACAATGAGTTGGCGGCCGTAAATATTGGGGTTCGCCATGCACAGCTTGATCTGGCCTTCGTGGTCGTCGAGAAGCCGCATATCCTGGCCAGGAATCACCTGCTTGAGAGTACCATCAATGTGCCGAATCTCGGCCATCTCGTCGTCCACAATCACCAGGTAGGGATGTTGAAGTGCCACGGCCTTGGCCTTTATCATGATGGGAATGGGCTTGGAGGCCAGGTTGCCAAAGTGATCCGTGTACACCAGCAGCTCGTCATAGCAGAGCATGAACTTGGAGTCCGAGATCTGGAACATGGCCAGGGGCCTGAGTCCTTCTAGTCGCTTTCTGAGGTCAGTGGAGCCAGAAGAGATGATGGGTAGTGTTCGAGGCACCTTGAAATCCAGACTCATGGCCTCGAATCCCTTGGTACAGTGCACCGAAAAGTAGTTTTTGAACACGGAGATGCCCCAGCACTCGGACGGCACGTAGAACCGCTCAGCGTCCCTGAAGTACTCGGTGGACCCAATATGCGACGAGAACCGAGACAGCGACATTCGAGATCGCTTCTTCTGAGAGCCCTTTTGCCGAATGGGCTCCAATACCTTGAACACCGAGTTGAGACCCTCGCGAGACTTGTAGAATACCAGGGTTCGGTTCTTCATATTGCCAATGGTGAAAAAGGACGCAGAGGAAGACAACTTGTAGCCCATGGGGGTGGCCGCATCCTTGGTCATGCTTCGGTTGAGCAGTTGGTCCAGATGGTAGTAGATTAGTCCACGGTGGCACAGGATAATAACCAAGTTGAGTGTCTCAATCACGCCAATCTGAGTCACCTTGTGCAAGTCGACACACCGCTTGTACTTGTTGTTTCCGCCCTTGTGACGGGTCTCGGGAGATAACTCGGACACAAAAACACCGTAATCTGTGCCGACAAAAACGAATTCACGCGAATCAAACATGAACGACGTAGCACAGTTGACCTTGCTTCGAGTAGTCATGCTGGTCGAAGACGGTTGGGTCTTCAGATGCGGCTTGCCGGCCATACCGGCCTTTTCAATGGCTCTCTGGAGAGTAGAGGCATTGTTAGGGACTGCCAGGCGAACAGGAATCTCGTATCCAAAGTCGAGATATGACAGAACTGTCAGCCGGAAGGGCTCGGCGTTCTTGGCATACACCTTGCTGGAGTACTGACGCTTGGCCTCGACCATGGCAGTGTGCCATCTGTCTCGATCAAGAGAAGACGGACAGAACAGGGTGTAGGTGATGTTCTGGCCGAGATGGCGAATTCGGAAAGGATACGTGGTCTGATCGGAGTCCTCGTTGAGCACGGTGACTGCTCCGGGGTTGGAGGAGCTGCTGCTGTGATGATCTCCGCCAATGAAACTCATTCGCTTGTCTCTGACTTCTCGAACATGCGACGTGATGTTGTGAATTCGGCCCTTGGTCTGCTGCTCGGCCTCGTCAATCTGCTCAACGCACAATAGCTCCAGAGGAATGGGTTTTTTCGTCACATACAATTTGGGACCATGCTGACCTGTCTGATGCTTGCACAGCACCAAAAAGTTGTCCAACAGCACCAGATGAGCGTCAATCCACTCAAAGCCGTAGTCGGACTTTCGCTGTACGTCACCTCGTCGCATAATCTTTCGCTGAGTGCTCTCAAGCTTCAGATCAGCACCACAGTCGGGCTTAAACACAAACTGGCTCTTGAGATCCAACAGCTCCACCTGCTTTTCGACGTTGCCAATCACCATGTTACATTGTCGAGTGACGTCATCACACTCGGCGACAGCACGTGATAGAAGCTCCAATTCCATCTCGTTGGTAGTATGCTTCGAAATGGTGCCCAAAAGAAGCGAATATCGAGCCAGACGGGGGATAACTCGATGAAAGTAGATCGAGTAGGGCTTTCCGAGCGTCCGAGGGTCCTTCGACATGTCGCCCAGCCACTGAGAAAACAAAACATTGTCTTCGCGCTCCTTTCGAATACGCCGGTCAGCATGCAAGTACCGGTTCGCATAGGCAAGAAAGTGTGGACGAGCAACCTTGATCCACTCGATGATGATGTCGGCAATACCAGTCACAAAAATAATGTGTCTGGCCTTGAGACGGCCCTGGAGCAGCTCCTTGGAACACTGGATAATATCCTGAACAGCAAACATGTCCCGAAACTGCTTGTCGGGCATGTGTGACTTGAGAGATTCGCCGTAGACGTTGTGCAGAATCTCCAGGTCACGAATGAAGTGCTCCTCTCCCACGATGAGTTCGTGCATGGCGTACTGCCGCTTGATTTCTCGGGGGTCAATACGAGCCAGCTGGTCATCGGTGAGCTCCCAGTACTGCGCCCAGTCCATCTGGTCAGAGGATGTAGATTCGGTGCGCTTCTTGTCCTCTCGTTTCCGAGTGTCGGACTCATATGGGCACTTTGTGGAATAACAAGTGTATCCAGAGTCATGCGACGACTTGCTATAGCACAGGGTGAGGGCTGGGATAACTCCTGAAACGACACCTTCGTCGCTGAACATATAAGAGCCTCTCTCCTCATCATGTCGAAGCACGTCGCCTCGTCCAAGGGCTCCGATTACGTGTTTGGCGTACTGTTCAGCATAAACAGGAGACATGGTCTTGTTGGCGGCAAAGAGATTCGAAACGGCCGTATGCAAATCCTTCTCAGGCACCTCCTTGTCGCCTGTGAAGAAAGGACGGATCCAGTTTCGAACGCCAGACAGCGACCACATCTCAGGACATGCGTACGTCACGTTTGAGAGATCCACCTGTGGTCGTGTAGGAATGGACGGGAGATCCAGCTCCACCCAGGCGGTATCCGACCGCATACTGTCCGACAGAATATCGTACTCGGGAATGTCGAGCTGCTTGACGGGAGTGTTTCCTGCAGATACAGGTACAGGTCGCTTGTTGGGCATAGAGTTGAACCGCGACGGGGACACAGAAGGTGACATTGGCTGGTACTTGGGCATTCCGTTGGGCAAACTCATGCGTTTCTCCAGTGTGGGTCGCATATCGACTGGTCGAATGTCCATGGAGGGGCGCATATCAATTCGATCGACCATAGGACGAGGCTCCAATCGTTCCATGGCAGGACGCATATCCAGTCGCTCCATTCTTAGAGCCAAATCTCGTTCCGAACACTGCTGGGGAGTCAAGGGAGACGACTGAGACGTCATGTAGTTCAAAGACGACTGCGAAGAGTGGTGATGCAGAGGTGATTGCTGAGACGGAGCAGGCGAGTATGTCTCTGTTTTCAACGGACTGGGACTCCCAGGCGACATGTAGGCATCTGCCACAGGCATGCGCACCGGAGACTCGTATGCATGGTCCGGATACATGTTGTCTGTTTCGTATGCAGACGCCACATGGCTCCAGTCGTTGGTGTCCAATGCAGGCAGGTCAGCTGGCGGTTGGTACGAGCTGTGGCCTGGACTCAAATGCGGAGGGATCTGGTATCTGTCCTGGGCGTTTGGGGACGGAGTAAAGTGACGCGCAGGGTGCTGGGGCTCGGGGGTACGATATAGTGATTGCTGGTCGTAGAACCCATTTTCCAGGTAGTCCTCATATGCTTGCTGCTCCATGTATGTGTCGTAGATGGGAATCTGTGGTGGCAGTGGAGGGGGCGTGTTTGTGTTTTGTTGTGAGAAGTGAGCTCGTCCTGGAGACGCGGGATTAGATCTGTGAGAGGTGTTCAATGCGGGTTTTTTGAGGGGCAGAGGTGGCGGTCGTTCGCTGTCGGGCCGCCACGACTGCATGCTGCTGGTCCGGCTAACGTCCGAGTACTGTTGGGCCCAGAACTTATCGTAGTCGGTGCCAATGTTGTTGCCATTGTTGGGGTCGTTGTAGTAGCCAGAGACGCCGCCGTGGATACTGGTTCGGTCGGTGGAGTAAGATGAGTAGCTGGCACGGTCGGTGGCGCTGCCGCTCGTTCTATCAGACGAATCTGTGTTGCTTCTTTCCACGCTTCTCTCTTCATCTCTCCAGTTTGGCGCTTGCGGCGAAGAGTAGACGCCCAGGTACCGATTGGTCTGTTGTGGCGCGTCCGAGTTGAGCTGGCGTGGTCCTTGCGGGTGATAGGACGGTCGCTTGTCCACGAGCGACGATACTCGCTCAGGTAGTTTGGTTCTGAACTCATCCGTCACCTGGGTCCGTCTGTTGATGACCTCAGCAGGCGGCTTTGGAGGTAATGGAGGAGGATGCACTGTGTTAGAAGGGCGCTGGGGGTGAGACGTGGTCCGCTGCGGGTACTCACTGCCTAAATGGCGTTTGTTTTGTTGCAGAAAGTGAATTGTGAAGGTGAAGATGGCACCGACTGTCTGTACGTATGAGTGGCACGCGTCACGTGCTCACAAACACCACACAATACAAAAATCTAAAGGCAAATCTGTGGGGCTGCGGAGTTGGGAGTAAAGGTTACTTTATGTGAAGTGCGAGAGCTGGAGAAGATGACAAGGCAGTATGGGTTTGGGGGCTTGTCACGGGCGGAAAGCGCGGATTTCCGTAATTTTTTTTCCTGCTCCAGACACTAGTGCTGTCAGCTAATAACCCACGAGTCTCACTGTTCCTGGGTTGGGGCCAGTTTTTGTGGGTCGAGTTTGAACTCAATTGCGCTGCAGTATTGCACGGTACTTTTTTTTTTTTTTTTTTTTTTTCTTGTTATACTTACAATAGAGTCTACTTTAGAGAAACGCTCCATTGTTAGTTGGCCCACTCTTGTTTAAATTACTTGACTGCGACTTCGTCAGAGGTGAGAGAAGAGGCCTATCATCAGCAGTGTATACAGTATACCGTTGAGTGAGAGGTGCGATTGGGTTTGATTTGGGCCGTGTGCTGTAGCACTCTTGACTCGACCACCTATGGCCAGACAAGCCGCTAACCACCCTGGCCCACGGAACTGATCCACCTCTCCTATTCATGTCGGAATGCATCCTCACCCATCAACTTTTCCAGATTAGCTTTGATTAGCCGATTTACAGTAGACGAGTAGCTAATCTGCAGGCTGCTTAGCCCTGTTGAGGTGTTGCTGGGCCCGGAGAATCGGGGGCTAGCTCGGCGTGATTGATTGAAACGCAACCGGCTTGTCAAAAGAGCTTGCCAGGGCTCGAGAAAAACTGCCTGCTCAGCCAGACTCACTTCTTTGTCCATTGTTTCTGACCTCCGTTTTAGACCCTTGTTTCAGCATTGTACCCACATGGTGCATTGTGCTGATGCTTGTATGTATTATAGACAACAGTGTATAGCAGACAATGGGTGCAAGTAGGAAACAATATCGTGCCATTGTACAAAGCCCAAGAACTGGCAGTGTAAATTTGTCTTCATATACAAACTGTCATTGCACAAACAGTGGTACGATTGTCTGTATCGATCAGTACTTGGGACTTGTTGGTATCGCACAGTATGTACTTCCAGTATAGTATCGTACAACACGTCAGAATGGCTTAGTCATAATGGCTTAGTCATAATGGTTTAGTCATAATGGTTTAGTCACAATGGCTTAGTCATAATGGTTTAGTCAGAAGCATGACGTGATCAAGAACAAAAGAACTCTCCCCAACGTTTGCTCTCCGCAAAATGCTGACTCCATCTGTCCATTTCCGTCCGTTTCACATCTTGTTTGGGCCTGCCTATTAGTGTGGCAACAACTGACCATGTAATAAGCTCCGGGGTATATGCTCTCCAGATGAGCAAATTGACCTCCAAGGTATGGTGGTATAAAAGGTGCTGGTAGCCCGCGCTACTTTCCTCCTTGTTTTTGCTTTCCACTTACTTGAGCAGTACCCAGGCCCGCCAGAATGCGGGTATTCGTCCCTCATTGACCGCACACTTGCTCTGATACCTCTCCACGACCACCCACAACGTGATATCCGATATTGCATCCTAATTGGGAGATATTCCAGAATCCGTTTTTGGTATAATCTGCCTTCCCGATAAGGAATGTTCCCCACCATAAACGGACACCATGTGCTTCCGCACGAGATATTACACAATACCCAACCCAGGCGACAGTATACCGCAAATGGAAAAAAATTGACTCTGGCTCTCAATTAATAAGCCACTTCGGCTCAGGCTCCAGCAAAATATATAAAGTGCGGAACCTGGCTTTGCTCTCCTCCACACACTAAACACACACATCAAAAATGGTCAAGGCTGGTGAGTACGAGAGCAAGGCCCGGAATCGGGCACATTGAGCGGCCAGCGGGTCAATTGAAGGCCGCTCGACCGGTCCACACCCACAGGTTGGCCGCTACGTTGACTTCGACAACCGTCTGGAAGGTGGCGGAACGTTGCGCCGTGTGAGGTGGCAGGTGACTCAGAAGTTGCTCATTGTTTGTTGAGATCAGACCCCACAAGCACAATTGCATTTTAGGAGGGAATTGAGAGCCCTACCTCACGGAATAGTCCATGTCGTTGTTCGCCACTTGCCCACACTGCACATTCTAACCCAGTCGCTGTTCTTCGAGGAGATTCCAAGGTCTCCGGTACTGTCACTTTCGAGCAGGACTCTGAGTCCGGCCCCGTCACTGTCACCTACGACATCAAGGGCAACGATCCCAACGCTGAGCGAGGATTCCACGTCCACGAGTTTGGTGACAACACCAACGGCTGCACTTCTGCCGGCCCCCACTTCAACCCCTTCAAGAAGAACCACGGTGGTCCCACCGACTCTGAGCGACACGTTGGTGACCTCGGAAACGTCAAGACTGACTCTGAGGGTGTTGCCAAGGGTGTTCTCAAGGACTCTCTTCTCAAGCTGACTGGTGACAACTCCATTGTTGGCCGAACCGTCGTTATCCACGGTGGTGAGGACGATCTTGGAAAGGGTGGCCATGCCGACTCTCTCAAGACCGGAAACGCTGGCCCTCGACCCGCCTGCGGTGTCATTGGTCTTACCGCCTAAGTTATGTTTAGTATTCCTGAGATACTCTATGAATGAATGACTTGTTATATGTGATTGTAGTAGTGTGTGACTAATACGACTAAAAAAAATAAACAGAGATGGGTGGACGTTGAAGTACTGTCCAAGTACGAATCCTGGCCGGTCAAGAGTGACATTTTGGCAGTATTGTACAAGTACAAGTACAAGTACAAGTACATTCTTACTTGCAACTTGTACTGTAATAATACATGTGTAGAATCGAGCACATATGCCGACGATGGAAGGCATTGGAATCGTGAAATGACATTGACGAGACTTGGGCAGGAAAATAAATGTTCATTAATCGTCCACCACGATCATAAACAGTTGTAGCGTCCCTCTTGGTATTTCACTTCGTTGTGCTCGTGTTCAATTGTTGCGTTCTTTCTTCTGTTTCGGATAAGTTCTAGACTCACATAAAAAGAGACGCGAATACGTGCTGTCTCAGTCGCTATAAATGGCTCATTAAGACGGGGTTGCCGATCCCGCGGAGACATTAATAATCAGAAAATATGGGCCGCTTTTCGAACATGTCAGCCGACGGACTCAGCGGCCTAATGGACTTCAGAACACTTCACTCCACTATCGGCCCCGAGGTGCGCTATCACGCGCATGAATTAAGCTTTACCGTCGGGGTTACCCGGCTGACATTTTAACAGACCGCGGGGTACAGTCTAAGGTTAGGGGTTTATCAGTATGGGGTGACAGGGGACTACTTGTAGGTGGAGGGGAGGGGGGGGAATGGGGTGTGTTAAAAGGCGGTTGGTTTGGCGAAAGCGTCGATTTTTTTGGCAGTGGGGCCAAGCTCGGCGTTCTCAGTAGATTTCCACGCCGGTTTTGTTTATTTGTTGGATAGTTGCACGTTTAATTGCCGGTATTACTAGCCCCAGCCGGTCAGCTCAGTTTGACCACCACTATACAGCACATTGCATAGCAGAGAGCCTGCAAGGGACAGAGTCCCAAAAAAAAAAAAAAAAAACACACACACACATACAGCACGAGCAGTATAGCCGCAAGTCAGCAATGCAGACAATAACGACAATGCTGGTGTGTATGATAGAGAAGCTGTTACCACTTGGTCGACAACTTGTAGCGCGGGTTCGAGCACTGGTAGCCGCTACTGGTGGTGGCATTCCAACCTTGCTTCCCCACAGGCATGTCCAATCAGCTGAGAGTTTGCAAATGAGTGAAAGGAACGATAATATTTCGGGCCATGTGAGTGACAGGCTGGGGTGGGTGGGTTGATAGACAGTCGTATAATTAAAGGGGCGCGAATGACAGAAGAGTGAGTGTGTGTGTGAGGGAGAGAGAGGGTCCAAGTTGAAGGTGCGTTCGAAGGGCTCTATTCGCCGTTCTCGTGCTCCCCAAACTCCCACTCCTCCGCGTTCTATATCTCCCAGTCGTGTGTCTCTCTAGAACTTGTTCTCGCCAATACGTGTTTACCTAAAGTAGTTTGTCTCAGGACAATTAAAGTTCACACAGTGCGAACTTTGACACAGCGCCTTAAAAGTACCGTTGGTCCCAACCCGAGTGTTCTTCTCTGCAAGGCTACAGCCCACCACCACCCGGAACTCCACCACCTCGCAACCTCCTTTAGCAGCACTCTAGACCGGCGGCCATTGTAAAGACACGCTCTGCAGCAATGGCCTTTCTACGATTTACCGGTCGCCAGAGCCCAGCCCGCCACGAGGACCACAAGTACTTTGTGTCCACCCGTCCCGGACGACCCCAGTCGGTGCTGTCCGACGAGACCCTGGTTTCCAGGACCATCGTCAGCGCCGACAAGGTTGCCGGACGGCGGCGTAAGTTTGGTGATAAGCTGAGGAGTCTGTTGAGAGGGGACAGGGACAAGGCCGACAAGGCCCCAGTCGCAAGCAAGAAGTCTTCAATGACCTTGCCCAAGACCAGCCCAGTGTCGTCTTGTGTCCCCAAGAAGGCGGCGGCCGTGGCTGCTGCTGCTTCCAAACCGGCAGCATCCACTAGGCCTGCCTCCCCCTCTCCCTCCCCGGCTTGCTCCGACGGGTTCATGTTCTGGCACGACCCTTCAGACAACCTGACCCCCGTGACCTCCCACGAGTCGTTTGGCTCGGTCGACCTGTCGATCGAAGACACCGACGTGCTCGAGCAGCTCGCAGAGGTCCCCCGATGCTCCAACCGCATCTCCAAATCAACCTCCCAGTCCTCCATGGCGTCCCAGCTCACTATCCCGAACTCAGTCAGCTGCACGTCTCAGCTCAGCGCTATTGCCGTTTCTGCGTTCTCCGACTCCGGTTCCGACTCGGGCATGTCCGATTCGGCCACTTGTTTCGGTGCAGAGGAGCTGGACTTCGACGTCAAGGATGCCTACAACCTCGGAGACTGGGGTCTTCCCCGTGGTCTCACCGATGGCTACTCGGACAGCGAGGACGAGGACGACCTGCTCGACGACATTGTCGACTCGGTTGAATCCGTCTACGCCCCTGTCTCCGCCAAAACCGTTGGATACACCTTCTGCCTTGCCATTTGGGGCAAGCCTGAGGTGCGATCCAAGTTCCTTGCTCTCCAGGACCGAGTTAACAAAAACAAGGAAAAGGAGATGCCCGTCCACGAGCCTGTTACTCTGGCCATGTTCTGGTAATCTAACATAGTTAACGTATTGTGAAAAGAAGTGCAACGGTTGGACCTTCCCTAGTTTCAGTGATGTAGAGGAATATATTTAATGACTGTACTCATACTACAAGTACAAGTACTTGTATTACTCCTACTTGTACCGCGTGTTCGTGTTAAGAATGCAATGTATTGAATATCTTATGTGGTCTAGTGTATTGTAGTTTATAAATTACTGAAGAGCATCCCACTGTTCTCCCAGATCGCTCTTGAGGGAAGTGTTTGCTGTGACGGTCTTTTTGGCATCAGTGCCAAAGGTCTTTTTCACGTGGTTGATGATGTTTCCCACTCCAAAGCCCACCACCAGCACTGCGACCACGTCCACCACGATGAGTGTCAGGCCTCCCAGCATGTATCGGGGTGCGAAGATCTTCCACACCATGAGATGTCGTCGGAAGTGAGTAGCAAACACCGCTGCGGACAGAGTGACAGCAGTCTGGTAGGCGACAGACACCAGCATGGATTGTCCACAAGAAGCAAAAAGCAGCGACGATTTCCGCACGGGAGGAATCTTCCACAGAACCAATAGAGGAGTGGAAACAGTAGACAGAATCTGGGGGCCCAGAGAGTTGAGAACAAGGGCTAGATGCGTCAAAGGGAAAGAGATGGTGTTTGTGGCCACAAACCCGATATCCCACTGGACAGAAGGAATGGTGGCTTGGTGTCCAGTGGAGAAGAAGTAGGCGTTTCCAAGCACAGCCAGAATGACGGGGCCGATGCTAGCGGGGGTCTCGAGGATGTGCAGCAAATCAATGGTGGTCATGATATGGTACATTTGGATGATCATCATGACTCCTCCAAGAGGCTTGGAGACAAGTAGAATGGCTCCAAAGAAGTTGAGCACCAGCAGGAGGTACTGCGCACCGTAGACGTTGCTGTAGCCGAGAATCTGCGCCTGGTTGACTCCGTCCTTCTTGGTGTACTTGACCTCCACACACAGACCAAACATCCACGAAACGTTGGCAGCCAGCAGAGTGACTCCCAGAACGATTCGGGCAATGGTCAGCTTCATGTTGGACAGCAGCTCAATGTCGCCAAACAGAGGATCCGACCATTTGAGCTGCTCAGTGACAAACAGGTCTAGGAACCAGTAGACGGCAACAGACATCATGACGCCAAACAGACCCCAGATGTGGAACTTTGCCGACCCATGGTCAGAGCCACTCTCAATAAGGAAGCCTTTGACGAGTAGAGGCAACAGGAATGCGCCCAGAATAAGCAAAGCCACAGTGTAAGGAGCCGATACGGAGGAGGCATCCGAGGAGTAGAAAGTGGTAGAGCACTTGTCTCCATGCTCTTCTCGACACAGTCTGGAGACAGCCGACGTTCGAGTGAGAATGAGGAACATGATGGAGTGTGAAATGGCCTTTGCTCTGTTGGCATTGGAAGAGGGCAGCTGGGCGGCGTTGATGAGTAGGCCGAAACCAATGGTGCTTAGAAGGAAAGACAGAATATTGTCTTCCCAAATGGTGAAGGAGTTGGAGGTGAAGAGAGCTACATGGATGAGAGTGATGAGAATCACGGCAATAGTTCCAATCTCAGCTCGTTGGAGCTTCTTGCTGAAATGTCGAATGTAGTAGATGGAGTAACCGAGAAGCGTTCCCACACAGAATCCAAGCCCGCTAGTCCATAGAGCATCAAAGGGCCAAGACTCTCCGAATGCACCGTAGCTGGCAAGTGCGTAAAAGGCAGGAGCAGTCATGAACGCACTAAGACCAGAGTAGTTGCACAGCTTCTCGAGTGATCCTTCCACGTCCAAAATGGGCAGTCGGCTGTATAGAATCATGAGGATCAGAGAAGATCCAATGATTGCAAAACCGGCAAAAATGGATGCAAAGTCAAACTGGGCCCAAAGAGACCGACACTGGTCGAGGTTGGTTCGCTGAAAGTTGTAGTGATTGGACACAATGGACTCCCACATGCCAGCCTTAGAAGAGTCGACCTTCACAGTCTTTTTATACAGTCCTCCAAGATCATCAAAGCCGTACTTTTGTCTGTAGTTTTCAATCTGAGCAGAAGTGAGCTGGAGGACGTTGGCAAGAGCCTTGGGGTCCTTGTTGGGGCCAAGGAAGGCCTCAGCAATAGGAGACCCCAGATTATTGAAGGGGATAGGGAGACCCATAAGAAGAGACAGGGTTGGAACCAGATCAATCTGAGGAATGGAAGGGTATCCGCCCTCACTAATCTGATCGTTCGGAGCAACCCAGTCCTTCTTGGAGTACATAAACAGAGTGGCATCCACCTCCAGATCACTTTCTCCTCCATGATCTCCCTTGGAATCCATTCCATGGTCACCAAACACAATGAGAAGAGTATCGTCGTCTAGGGAGTCAATGATCTCTCGAATGTACTCGTCCATTTCCTGGAGCTTCTCTGTCATCTTGGGAGAGTCGGGTCCGTATCTGTGTCCAGCATGGTCCACGCCAAGGGTATGTCCAATGCTCATTCTGTAGTTTCCGGACTTGTAGGCGGGCAGAAGGTGTTCTTTGACTCCATTATCGACCGTGTACAGATCCCAGACATTGAGAGAGTCGTAGGGGTTGGCAGCAGCAAAGTATTTGCCGAAAAGCGCGTCCCAAGTATCGTCTCCACACTGGTAGACGGTCTGGTTAAGAGCCCACATTTGGTAGACCCAGTTGTCTTCGTCGATTTCGGAGCCCGCAAAGTTGCTTCCAGCGTCGATGAATGTGGGCAAAGAGCCTGTGGTAAGTCCCTTGAGTCGCTGGAGGGTTGTGGTAGGCGGATCAGCCACAAACTTGGACAAGAACGCCTTGTTGGGCTGGTTCTGGTTCAGTTCGCTCATGACGGTCAGGGCGTTGTGGTAGGGCTTGTTGGAGCCGGGCTGGGGCGTCGAAAAGTCGAATCGCAACGCATCAATCACCAGCATGATGGCCTTGTCGAACTTGGGCTCCGTCCAGCATCCATTGTCGATATGGGGAGGTTCGTGGAGCTCTGTGAGCTGCCAGTCGCTCGGGCTGACGTCGGTGAGCACACTGCGGCTCAGCAGAAAGCCTCTGGTGAAAAACCCCACGCCAATTGCGTCGTACAGCACCATCCACAGAAACAATCCAATGAAGTACTTCCACGTCCACTCGAAGCTCATGGTTCGAGGAACGTAGGCCACGGCGGGGGTCTCAATGCCCTCGCCTCGGGACGCTGCAGTGTACGCACGCTGCGCAGCGGCCATTTGGCGCTCTTCGGGTCCCAGACGGTCGGTCATGTTTCCGTCTCAAGTGTTTTTCCAGACTGGTATCCGTGAGATATTTTTTTAGGTTGTCCGAGGTGTGGTTACGCATCTGCGAGTGAGCGCATCGCACATGGGGTCACACTTGGTGGTCGGGCGTTGCCCTAGCAACTCCGGTGACGGTCAGCACTGATGACTGTGAGACATTTACCCGGATGTGGCTCTGTACTTTTTCTCACCACACTCCTTTTGGGTGACCCACATGTTTTTGGCACGCCTCTCACTCTCTCTTTCCTATCACCTCTAAAGTTGCCTCAAACTACCGGAGTAGCTACTCTATGGGCTGCCAACTCTACTGGGCAAGTATTATGGAGGGGGGCAGTTGTGGGAGTGACCCGGCCAGGGGCCAAAAAGAGGCGAAGCTTAATTTTTATTTGTGTGCACTGTGGTTGACTGGTGGGTGGGAGGAAACAAACCGTGTGTCTATGGGAGCAGTGTGCAGTGCGGTGCAGCTGGAGTGCGGTGTGTAAGGGTAACTTGGTCACACTACGCCCGGAGCGCCACAGCTGACAAGGTGCATGTTGCGCAACTGATAACCCCATTATCCCACATAACCACACACATATATCGACAATCATGAGGTGAGTAGAAAAGGGACGGAGAGGAGGAGACGGAGACGGGGGAAGAGCATCTCAGGGCCCCAAAGAAGCACAAAAAACACAGCCTCGGACCTCCACGACGCCAGGTGGCGGGTCCCCCCTCACTCAGTTAGATAGCACCACTAGGGGAGTGGTACTACAGCAGACGCAGACAGACGGGAGAGGGACCAGGGGCGAAGACGGACGGAGTGATATGAAAAAGACATGTAGGTGAAGGCTTGGGAGTCTCAAAACACATCCCAGTCTGCATCGCAAACTGGACTGGTCCGACTACCTCCGGTTATTGCTTGGATGTGGCCACCCCCAATAAAATGCGGGGTCCAGACTGGATAGGGTGACTGGGAAGGTGACAACAGCACTTGATCGAGGAAAAGGTCGAGAGAAAGGGTCTCCCAAAGCGCCGTAGGGCGTCGTCTGAGCCAGATACGATACCACATCGATGGCCTACTTTGGAATGTGATTCTGCTCTGTAACTCACACTCCGCTTGGACCCCACACCTCTGCCTAAACCTGTCTGGTCTGCCTGAATGTGCCTCTACTGATGGGTTGACGGAACTTATGGACTCAGCGACGCTATCCGGAGCTATCAGTGACATGTCTGTTGCTTGGATTTGAAGCCCCATCTTTTTCGGGCAGGTTATCCCCGAATATCTCCCTGAAATTGCTTATGCTCATGTGCTCAGTGACTAGAGAGCTGGTGTTGGGCTGCTGCCATACTGACCCCATTGGTTCGCATATCTCCACCCTCATTACAACCTCACCACCACTCTCATACACAAACTAACACAGTTCCCCAACAAGAAGAAGAATCGAGACTGACGTCATGAAGTTGTGAGTATCTTTCCAGCGACACCCCGCCTCCACCACTAACACAGGCTAATGAGCGACTACGAAGTGACGCTGGTCAATGATAGCATGCAGGAGTTTTACGTGCGGTTTGAAGGACCGGAAGAAACACCGTTCCAGGGAGGAATATGGAAGATCCACGTGGAACTGCCAAACGAGTACCCATACAAGTCGCCCTCCATCGGCTTTGTCAACAAGATCTTCCACCCAAATATCGACGAGCTCAGCGGGAGCGTGTGCCTCGATGTCATCAACCAGACGTGGTCCCCCATGTTTGACATGGTCAACATCTTTGAGGTCTTCCTGCCTCAGCTGCTGCGATATCCGAATCCCAGCGATCCTCTCAACGGAGAGGCCTCGGGTATGCTGATGCGAGAGCCCAAGCAGTACGAGGAGAAGGTCAAGGACTACGTGACCAAGTACGCCAGCAACGACTCTGTGTCGGCAGAGAAGGACATTTCTGACGATGACGATCTCAGCAGCATTGGCTCGTTTTCTGACGACGACGAGGAGCCCGCCGGAGAGTTGGAAGTCTAGTGCATATTTATATAACATTAAGAGTGCGACTGAGAGTCGTTTACTGTCTACGAGCAGAGGCTACAGTAGGCTGTTTAGGTTGATTGGTGACTTACTGGCGGATGATTTCGATTCTAGAAGAGCAGCAGTTGTGCTAGAGCTGTCTCAGTGGCTGATTTTGTAATGATTACATGTTCTGATTTAGATATGGAGTTAATAGGCGTTGGCAAGGGGACAATGAGATATGAGACGTGCGAACAGGTTCCGAGGACCGCTCTGTAAAAACTGCCGTACACATACCGATGTGTAGTGTAAGTACGATTACACATGACACACCTGGACCACCTGAAGACCTGTTAAATATACAAGAACCACCCCTGAACGGCTGTAAAGTACCGGTAGAATGATCCATGTCTCATATCCACAATCATGTAATATTAAGCGGGTTAATTAAGCCTCTGCCCCCGAGCCATGTGATTAATTTCCCAGAGCAATATCAGGGTCGAAGCCTTCACACGTTTAATTTCACACTTGAAGTCACTTGACTCTGTCTCTAGACGGCTGAGAATAATATTTCGATGCTTCTCTTTAGTATATTGGATACTAAACCTGAACCATTCATGTTCCATGCCATCCACGCTAGTTGCTGGCCTTCAACAAAGAAGCGTACACGTCCAATCTCTGCTCGATGGTAGTGTCATTCCACAGCTCTTGTCCGCGTTGGTAGGTCAGAAGAGGAACTCCAACCTGCTCGACTGCCAATCCAGCTGCGACGTTTCCATACGACGCAGCAGTGTCCAGGTCTCCGTCGCTCTCAAGATAGCCGTACAGGAAGCCTCCCACAAATGTATTTCCCCCTCCAGTGGGATCAATCACCTTCTCCGAGCTCTGGTGGTACGCAGGGTACCATTTGAGCTTCTTGTCACTGTAGACCAACACTCCGAGCTTGCCACATCGCAGCACAAACACCGTTTTCAGCTTGTCAAGATGAGGAGCCCAATAGTCGTAGACTAGAGACTCGATTTCGGACACTGTCGTAGGTTCAGGAAGACCTACAAACAAAGCAGCCTCGTGGCAGTTTGGAGAAAGTACCTGGACGGAATTGAGAGCCTGTAGCATGGTCGGAAACGTTTCCGGACAACAACAGTCAGGCACAGGTTCCCATAGGAACACCTGCTGGTCTTGTCGAGGTCCATTGGCCAAATCAGAGCAGATTTTCATGCATCGATCCGGAGAGCAGATGACGTGGATGCTACGAGAAGAGTCCAGACCACATTCCTGGAGATCCGACACCTCTATCCGTTTCTTTGGTGTCAGATACTTGAAGCTTCGAAGGTCGTTATCTCCATAAGAGTTCCATCCCCTGGTGGTTTTTCTACTCGGATCTCTTCGCATGACTAAACCTGTGTCCCAGCTTGTAATCTGTTCCTCTACCGACTGCGGAAAGTCGTTTCCAGCGTCCACAATCCATCCAATGTCCTTGGCCTTGTCTTGTTTGGCAAAGAAACGCGCTCCAAGAACCCCGTAAGTTCCCGCTCCTCCAACAATGTCGTATACCGAGTGAGTTCCAAAGTGGATTTCATCGATGATGAACATCCCCATGGTGGTGAACCAGGTCATGGCTGTAGCTGGGTTGGTATCGTAGATGTCAGATCATCTTCCTCATGCACCTTCAACTTTATCAGCGCATGTTTAGTCAGCAAAGATTAGTCAGCCCAAGACGTGTCTGCCCTAGTTTATTTTGCCTCTGAAGCGTGTTTTCAAACAGCACCGCTCGATATCAGCTCCGCGTTGCGACGTTCTAGTGTCTCAGAAACATCAAGCTGTCGTCGCGTTTTCGTTGAGATGAGACAGCAGCAAGTTTCACACTGAGCAGGGAGCGATTATGAGACATATGTGAGACATTTAACGAGCTACTGGGTCTTTGATGGATCATGTACACACCCAGGAAGGTATTATCACGTATACAAGTTTTACTCACACCTCTCCAAGACTAATGGACGTATGGGCAACGTTTGAGAAACGGAATTTGAGGCTTTAATGAACAGTTAACCTGAGGGAGGGTTTGCAAAATAAAATAAACCGACTTTTCTTGTACTCCTTCTTTCCCCGCCCAAAAGTAAGTCTCGAGGAAGCTTGGTGGTCGTAAAAGCAATGTTTGAAAAGCAAATACTTCCTAAACGAGAGCAGTTATGAACAAACCACTTTGTTGGTGCATAAGAAGCAAGTACCAAGTAGCGCGGGAGGCAAAACTCTCCCCAATTCAACTCTTGTTAACGTCAAACTACATCTCTGGGCTGTCTCCACCGTCATTTGTCCGCGCTCATTTACCAATGTTTACAACACACACGCATAACCACCTTCGCTAGTGGAAGTCTATGTATGTCAGCGAGTCTAAGTGTACGAGACAGAGATACGCCGTCTGTTTTGCATACAATGAAAAAAGCAAATCCCTGGTGATATAGAGTGCGGTCTGACGTCTGGCAGCTCCGTCATAGGACCATGTTGATCAGGGGTTCTAAGATTCTCGTCACGTCGTAATTGTATCTTGATTCGCGTGCCATACGTGACACTGCCCCGCTGGAGTGCATTAAAAGTAGTTAACGTGATCTGAGACCTCTCGTATGAAGTCCTTGGTACGAGTATGATCCGAAGACTGCACATGTATGAGCACTCATGTGTGAGTAGCAACACAGCAAGCGATATTGAAGAGCCAGAATATCACTATCGGGGCGATTCAAAGACGACTAACAACTAACAACGAGTATTTCTCCGTCACAGCAACGTGACTAATACACCACACGCCATACTGCTATCAATCCATACCATTGTCTTCATGTGTGTTGTGTTTCTATGGAAACGACGCTTAACTCAAAAGATACAAGCGAAACCCAATATGGTTCCAGACATCCCACAGAAGCTGGAGACAAAGAAACAAGCTCGTTTGGACGACGATCCTTGTCTGATTGGGATTCGACAGACAACGGCCAGCATAGTTGGTGTTATGCCCAGGATGAGTACACTTGTCGTACTTTATGTCCATGGCACGAAACCGACCCTGCGTAAAAAAGTGCAGTAGTGATAATGAGCGGGTACATACGAAGCCGACCTACTGTAGTCTACGGATGCAGTAAGTCCTTTAGTCAACGGCTCTCACCTGTGTGCAGAGCCCAACAGGTTTATGGCGTGATGTCGACATTATTGTGGACTCTGCGCTTTTCTGGGCTGGGCTCGTTTGTAGAGAGATTGTTGTCCGGTTTTGGCCTACTGCGTCAGTACTAATTAGCACGAGTACAGAGGAATTCATGTTTTTATGAACTGTACTTGGACATACTTCGGGGCCCAACGGAAGAAAAGATGGAGAAACGGCAAGCTATGTGCTTCTATAGATAACGTGAGGCGCGGCCAAGAGAGTTGATGTGCGTGCTGGAGGGTGTAGACAGAGACCGAATGGGGGTAGCCGGGTGGATTGGCTAAATACCAAACGTTCGAATCCGGCATTGGGTAATCACTACTTCCGCTTTAGAAGGTGACCCTTTTGTCTGGTCCCATCGAGGAATAAGACTAGATCGCGATCGTAAACACGGGAGTGCCTACTTGTAGTCTTTTGCACGCCAGCATTAGATCCAAAATGCGACGCTGGAGGAGAATGTGAGGTGAGGACTGGTTCCGGAAGCAGAGACGCATAGCTATACTGTACATACACTTGTAAGTACTCGCACTTACACCGGTACTCGTACTACCACCAGGGTGATAAATCAACCGAGGTACGTACATCCATCAAGCAAGTCTCTCCACCAAAAACTAATATCCTAGTAGCTGTCTGTCCCCATTCGCCTCTCTGTGGCCTTTGCTTCCACACAGCTTAGGGAGAGTGTCCCGACTAATGTTGTTGGTGGTGTGAAAGGGCTAGTAGCGTGCTTGTAGTTGAATCTAGAGATACATTCCATGCAAAGCTAACCTCTATTGAGTTTGGCATATCGACGCGTTCAACCCAAACAGACCTGGTTCCAGTAGCTGAAAATAAATGTCTACAGACGGCTTCGGCTCCAGGCTGATTACCGACGACTCCACTAAGCTATAGGTGCTCTTCTAGGTCTTCGCCTGGCACCTTTTCTCTCCAGCGGCCATGCTCACACCCAATCTTGCAGAACCTATGGACAATGGCAGGCGAGCCATTATGTGTGTACAAGCTACAGGTAGGCCGAGTCTAAAATACGGCTCCGGCACCGTGGACCAACGCAGAGAACATGGCGATATTGGCGTGCTAAAACCCACCAGGCTTCAGGAATGATAACAAACAATATTGGAGTCAGTTGGACGAATGCAGGCCTGTTGAATCATCTGCCCTCACATTCTCTTTTCTTGCACACTATTCCCTATTGTTATTCATCGATCGACACCCCTGGGGAAGATCAGATGATGGACGTGTTGGACGTGTTGGACGTGACGATGAAAGAATGGCGGAGACCTACAAAGCCGCATGTTTGTTATTCTACATTGTCCGCTTTGTTGGCTTTTTTCAGGCCTAATGTTTGTTTTTATGGCCAGATGTCATCTTAGGCCACCGTTGAGAGCCTCACCTATGTTCCACCTAAAAGGTGAGAATCGACAGGGCACCGAAAAAGACTGTGATTATGGACAAGTGGTCCAAAACGCAAAGTGAAAGTAGCATGTAGTCTGCAAAATGCAACTTGTGCAGCCATAGACAAAGAAGAAAGTTACGATCTTGCAACTATAAACTCTAACCATGGAGTCCCACCTGCCTAACTGGGAAACAGTGCACTTTGGAGTGATGCTAGCTGATCGGCTAATAATGGCTGAATCCACCACTCTAGAGAGTCGGAAACATCTCGTCTCATCTCTCATCTCTCATCTCTCATCTGTCCCCAGACTCCCACGGTTTTTTCTCCTTTCGACAAAATGTCCTACAACTGTCTGCCTCCAGCAGCCCCCAAAGTTCTGGTGGAGATCTGTGGACCTGCCCTGGCTGTAGTAGAACCCGACACTGCGACTGTCTATACCCACGACCCCTCCAACCTGACCCGAGTGCCCAATGCGGGCTACCAGGTGTCCGACCAGACCAGTATTCGGTTTATGACTGCCCACAAGACTCAGCTGGCGACTCTCGACACAGCCAACGTGCTTCATCTGGCAGTATTCGACCTGACCAAAAAGAAGGACCACTTTTGTCAGGTAGCCGAATGGAAGCTGCCGAAATCGGATATCTTCACCAGCGTGTGCTGGAACCATGATGGAACAGCCCTAGTGCTCAGCACAACTAACGGAACCCTCTATAGAGTCAACACTCTCACTCATCAGATGGATCCCTTTGGTGCCATGATTGGAGGAGCAGTGACCTCGGTTTCGGCAGCTCCCTGCGGCGACAACATCTTTGCAATTGCTCACAAAAGCGGCTCCATCTCGGTGCTCAGAATTACACACCAACTGGAAGTTTACCATACATTCAAGCTCAGTTCACGAGGCTCCGGTACCGACTTCTCCAAGGACAGCGAGTCCGAACCTGCCACAACTCCCGTCTACGCTCTTACAACGGCATGGCACTACTCCTCAAGAGACCCCTCTAACCAGTCACTTGCCGCCATAGACTCAAACAACAAGATCCAGGTGTGGTCTGTGAGTCTCAAGTCCATGGTGAGAAAGATTCGGTGCTTTGGACTGCCTGATGGAGCTCACACTGCGTCTCCCATATGGTGGACAAAGGGCGGATCGCTGTTCCACGCCCTCAATGACTCCCGAGTGTGCGTCCACAACGTTAAGACATCGAACGTGTCAACCAAAATCATTTCGACCGGGAAAATTGTGTCTTGCTGTATCAAAAGCAACCGAGGCAAGGCCTGGATGGCAACCACCGGGGGTATCGAGTTCCTTGACCTTGTAGGAGGAGATAAAAAGATGGAAAACAGAAAGAGAGGAAGCGATAGCAGCGAAGGGAGCGTCGAGCAAGTCAAGGAACTCGCTCTTCCTACACCTGAACTGCTACCTTCACCTCCCCGACCTCTTCCCAGACGAACGCCCTTGATTCCCATTCCTACAGAAGCTCCCCCTCCCCCTCCTCCTTCAGCTGGAGCCCAGTCCGACTCTTGGGACGATGAATCTGATGGACCCTCCTCAGCATTCTCAAACACCCGCAGCAGCAACACCTCCGCAGATACTCTTCCTGGCTCCGAATATGATGTGCCAGTGAAACCTCTCCTCAACTGTCGACCAAAGACCCGATTCTCAGGACAGACCACGCCTACTAGAAACGAAATGCTGCCTATCGACACCTCGCGTATCTCGCTTTTCCACATTGTCATGTCCGTACCGGACCCAATGGCCGAAAAGGCTCTATCTCCAAGCTTGTCTTGGGAATCCCAGGCTCTCCGGGTGCTGTTTGACTGGGAGTCGTCTTGCTACGAACTTATCCAGAGCCAGCGAACTGAAGACAACACCATCGCCAACTTCTACCTCGGCCAATGGCTCAACGACAGCGACTATACTCTCAACATTGACTCTCTGGAAAGCACTCTGTCACCCACACAATCCACAGCTCTGCTATGTCTGTCTCTACTTGATAGAGAACCCACCAAGGTCGACAAGGCCATCTCGGTGCACATTTCCCGTGTCCGAAGACGCCTTCCCTCGGCTGCTCTCGATACTCATTATGTCTGTACCACTCTTCTGTCTCTGGGACTGGCTCACCAGGCGATTCATGTCTACCAGCAGCTGGGATTCTACATGGAGGCAGTTATTCTCGGAATTCTCTACGCCCAGAGTATCGAGGAGACGCTTGATCTGTGGATGTACTCTGCTGCCTCCAGTGACATGTGGCCAGATGGAGTTGTTCATCGATGCTCCGTTCTCATGTCTCTGGTCAACCCACAGGTGTCCTACCCGGTCAACTTTGACGACACAGATCTAGGCGGTAATCTCCCCCCTAGCCTCAGAAAGCTGTCTCTAGATGATCTCCTCAAGTCTTCGCGAGACCAAAATCTGCTTCTTGACTCGCCCATGATCCCCCATGAGGAGTTCTCGGTCGGCATTGACTCCCCTACCCTCATGCCCATTGACTTTGATTTCAACAAACCCCCCAACTTCAGCAGACGGGGCCGAACGCCTAAAACTTCGCCCAATCTGATCTGACCCTTTTATTTATTGCCACTAACGCTTCTGACTTCATCTAGTTTACTATATGAGCATTGTCTAAGATTTACTCCTTGTACTTATAATTACTTGTACGTACTCAACTTGTATTAATGCTATGATATTGAGTAATGCCAATGCTCGCTGGAAGAATGCAAATTCCAGCCTTTCCTCGCACGTCTCCAAGTCTACTCTCCCTCTCTGTAGACACGAACGGTCCCCGCCCAGTTTTCGGCCACCTTTAGACCTCCCTCGCTTGGCTGAGTGAATGCCACTTGGTTCTTTTCAAGCTCCATTCCGTAGATGAAGTCACTTTTCGCCAGGTCCAGCAACTTGGTCACGATGCCCGTTCGTCGAAACAGCTGCGACACGTACATTCGAGACACTCCCATGACTGCAGGGTACTCTTTGAGGCCCAAAGTACCAGTCTGAATGTCCACGTGACGGCATTTTGTGATTCTATCCACTAGCACGCATCCTACTGCCCGCTGATCCACCACGTAGACGTAGACAGCTGCCTGAGAGGACAGAATGGGCTCTGGCGCATTGAGTTCCGAGTTGACGAGTTTCAGAAACTGGCTGACACAGGGATGACTCAACAGCCGCGACTTGTACACTGTGTACGTCTTAGATTTGTCCACCACGACTGCCGACACTGAGGGCTTCCATTTGGGTCCGTTGAGGGCCGTGCTGTGAAAGCTCTTGTGAGCAGAGATATCAGGACCATAAGCCACCTGGTAGGTCATTCCACACGTCTTGCAGGTGGTAGAAGTCGTCTGTCCCAGCGACAGGGTCATCTGGACCGGTGCTTTTGTTTTTGCTGGTTTCTTGACGACCTTGGCTCGTTTCTGACATGGCGAGACGGCTTGAGCTGCTTTTATGTTGAGTCGTGACTCATTGGGGGGCTGTAGAGGCGAGGTTTCGGGTGACTGTGTTGGTGATGAAGAAAACACGTCGTCTTCCGATTCCGACAGGTATTTTCGCTTGGCTCGGTATGTTTTCATGCGTAGTTGAAGAGGGAGAAGAAACCAAGTCGCGTCGCGTTCTGCATTAACTCAGTGTGCATGGTGTGCGTGTTACTAATTGTGTACTGTAGTGGTGGTGCGTTGGGATGATTAGTAAGCATGAGTGAGAAGTGTCGGTCGTAGCAACTGAACAAAAAAGGCGTGACTTTAGCGAACGTGCACGAAACCGTTGCGCATCAATGATGGGCAGTGTCAATCCATTCCATTGCGTGTCTTGAGACAGATGTGAGCAACAATGAAATAAGCATAAGATACCCACAGTACAATAATAGTTGAAGAATAGGGGATGTAAAATCATGTAAAAAACAACATCAAAAACAAAAAAACAAACAAACAAAAAAGCCCAAAACAGGGGGAAAAAAAACTACAAAGACAAACCACGACATTCTACCGCATCTACGAAACCTATCATCATCAAATAAATAGTCGGGTCCTTGGTTTTTCACCGATTCTGAATCACCCCTCTTGTCCATCTCTGTGGCTTATCCATTGTTATATATCGAAGCTTATCAGGATCTGCAAGTCCTAAATATAGGTGATTAATTAGATATACTTAGTATCGTAAATAGCACTAAATGGAAATGGACAAATGGGGCCAAAAGGGTCTTTCAATGTATTTTTCTGACTATTAACGCCGCTTCTCCTGTGGCTAGAGTCCCATATGCCTGTATGCTGCAGCCGAGCAACCTGCACCACCAAAAAACGAACACATGCGGCATCTGATTACCACCACATTTATACCAGTGTCGTGCGAGTATGCTTTGGTGCGCAGTGTATTTATGATTACAATTTGGGTATTGATTACTGCTGATTACCCATTCGCTGAGTCATCGTGACACTTTGGCCGCCGGTGACGCGGGAGCCAAGCCGCAAATGGGTCTAACAAGGCTGCCCACCAGATTACGTACACTCGTACCGCGCCTTTTGGGGGGTAAGAAAGAAATAAAAACTGCATGCCGCCTCTTAAAACGGTCGTTTCATGCACCAATTGCGAAATGAAACCATGATTATGTAAACGAGGCGTTTATTATATGGGTTTTGTGATTGTCACAATGTCGAGACCCCGGCACACTCGCATCTTCCATAACCCGAGCCGCTCGCACCACACCCGCCATGATGAGGGGAAGCCGTCAGACACGCCCTTCGGTATTGCACCAGCTAGTATTGGGCTAGAGGCGTAGCTAAGTTTGGCTTCCGCTCATGTGAGTAAGCGCAGGAGAGTGAAATGAAGCAGGTGGAGCTGGATGGTTGTGGGGGCGGGGCAGGGCGAATACGCGGGGGAAAAAAAAGACCAGGGCACCCCTTTGGGGCATTTGGAGCCAATCCATGCCGGTTTCGACCGGTCAAACGTCCACTCCCCGCTCATTACCGGGTACTCTATGTCGGACCACCCTAACCCGTCAATTGCACCATCCAAACTCTAAGCCCGCCCTTCCAGCACACTACCGACACCACTGTGGGAGTAAAACAGAAGCAGACCCTAAAGGCGAAAAGCTTCCGTCTCCACCGCGATAGTGAAGATAGTACTGTATTCATCAGCCAACACACGAGGACCCGCAACCCCCCGACGCCCCTCAGCTGACCGACAGCTCTCGACACGGCGCAATTCGCGGACCCGCTTTTGAAAAAAAAACTCATTCCCACGCCCTCCAAGACGTTGCATTTTCCACCCAACAAAGCAGCTCGGAAAAGTACGCAATCCCCCAGCTCCCATAACCCCGGGCCCCATAACATGGCGAGCACCACCTACACAGATACAAATAACCCCTACCAGGTGAGTCCAGTCACTTTGTTCCTCAAGCAGCCCCATCAGCATCCACCGCCAGATTGCTCGTGCAACCCAGTCACAACCCCACTAACAACAGAACATGACCGGCCGCGCCCAGTCCAACAATTGGGACCGGTCTCCGCCCTCCCGAGGCATATGGGGTGAGTATAACAAGAGCCACATAGTCCCGTACGGGCCCCCAACTAACACAGACACCCCAACATGGTCCCGAGCCCCGTCCTTCCAACAAGAACGAGACCTGGCCCCCGGTGGCGTGGGCCGCAAAAACTCGCAAGGAGAAGAAATCAACCCCGCATACAACCCCATCCGAAGCGGCTCCTTTTCCGGCGGCATTTCCCTCATCCGCTCTGGCAATGATATCCGCAGAGACTCCTCCATGCTGCCACACCCCGACCACCAGTTTGCCTCCAAACACTTCAGCTTCAACGACGTGGAAATGCAGCGGCCCCACCTACAGGCCCCGGAAATCTTCAACCCGTCTCAGGCCCACGCGCCCATCCCTGCCAGTGGAAGCTCATTTTTGTCCCGGTTCTCCAACATCGGAGACGCCACAAGAGACGCAGAGCTCAACCTGGGCTCTCGAAAGGCTTCACCCGAAGACGCTTCTGGTTTTGGGCTGGTTTCTCGACGAACTTCCACCTCGTCCGCCAGCCCCATCTGGAACAATACGGGTTCTCCTCCTGCCCAGCAGACCAAGCTGCACATTGACGAGGTCACGGACCAGATGCAGACCTTCACTCCGTTTGTGCCCTACGAGAGATACTATGACTACGGCGCTGACATGGGCGCTGCAGGTACTGGTGTAGGTGCAGGACTGCCTAATGTTGCGGGTGTTGCTCCCAGTGGTCTTCCTGCCTCTGGTGCTCCCATTGGACCCGCTAGTATGACCATGGGAGGCATGCCCAGCATGGGAGGCATGCCCGGCATGGCCGGACTCACGCAGTCGCCACAGGCTCCCACAGCCGCTGTTTCCAACGGCCACGACTTTTATGGCTTCCGAGGCAGACCCTCACCCCGCAAGTACGGCGTCAAGGAGTTCTTCCCCAACGGCTTGGACGACGAAGTCGAAGTATCCAAGAAGAAGGGCTCTCCTGAGCAGATTGTCGCGAAGCCCGTCACTACGCGCACCCCTACTAATAAAGCCAGTGTGGTTGCTGCACCTGAGGCTGACATTGCTTCTGTTCCTGCAACCACCGCGGTGCCAACCACCCCTACTCCTCCCCGAGTTGAGTCCCGAGACACCAACAGTGCTGCCAGCGCTCCTCCCTCGTCATCGTCGCGACGAAAGCGAGATGGCTACCGATCTCCCCTGCTTGAAGAGTTCCGAAACAACAAGTCCAAGAAGTTCGAGCTCAAGGACCTCCAGGGCCATATCGTGGAGTTCAGTGGTGACCAGCATGGATCTCGGTTCATCCAGCAGCAGCTCGAGTCTGCCAGCGGTGAGGAGAAAAGCGCGATTTTCGAGGAAATCCGTCCTTCTTCTCTGCAGCTTATGACCGACGTGTTTGGCAACTATGTGGTCCAGAAGTTCTTTGTGCACGGTAGCAACGCCCAAAAGGCTGTTCTAACCAAGCAGATGGAGGGTCACGTGCTCAGCCTGTCGCTGCAGATGTATGGCTGCCGTGTCGTCCAGAAGGCCATTGAGTACGTCGACACTGCCAAACAGGCGCACCTGATCAATGAGCTAGATAAGCATGTGCTGCGATGTGTCAAGGACCAGAACGGAAACCATGTGATCCAAAAGGCCATTGAGAAGATTCCCCCTCAGCACATTCAGTTTATTATCAACGCGTTCAACGAGCAGGTGTACCAGCTGGCCACACATCCTTACGGTTGCCGAGTCATTCAGCGAATGCTCGAGCACTGTGAAGAGGCCCAGGCGGCCATTCTGGCCGAGCTGCACAACTACGCCTACCACTTGATCCAGGACCAATATGGAAACTATGTGATTCAGCATGTGTTGGAGCAGGGCGCTCCTGACGATAAGGAGGCCATGATGCTGGTGATTAAGCAGCACGTGCTCATCTTCTCGCGACACAAGTTTGCGTCCAACGTTGTGGAGAAGTGTGTCATCTACGGTAACCGACGGCAGCGTCGGGCTCTGATTGAAGAGATTGCCACCGAGCGGGAGGATGGCACTCTCCCCATTACCGTCATGATGAAGGATCAGTTTGCCAACTACGTGATCCAAAAGCTGCTGGATGTCAGCGAGGGAGAGGATTTCGATCTTTTGGTGAGCATCATTAAGCCTCATCTGGCGTCGTTGAAGAAGTACAGTTACGGCAAGCATCTGGCTTCCATCGAGCGTCTAGTTCTTTTGTCCGAAGGTGGCGAATAGTATGTAAATAATGTAAATATGTCTAAGTATGGGTCAGTGGGTTGGTTTTGATCGCTTCTACATTATAACACACTACGAGTTCATTCTACTTGTACAATTATAATACTTGTAGTTTTTTAGCTAAATGTCCATTAACAGTTTACAACTTACTCACATCAATGCCCTGAATGAAATCGTCCTTTCTGGTTCTCAGAATTCGTCTCAGGATCTTTCCAGAGGGATTCTTTGGGATCTGTTCGTTCTTTAGCACAACCACTCCTCCGTAGAGTCGTTTATACGAGGGCACTTGACCGTCCAACCAAGCCTTGATCTTTACAGCATCATAAGATGGGTCCTTCAGTACCAAGAAGGCACGGGCACTCTCTGTAGCCTTAGCTTCTGAGTTGACTCCAATGACGGCACAATCAATGACCTGGTCGTGGTTCAGCAATAAAGATTCCAGTTCAGCCGGAGCCACCTGTTTGGACATGGATTTGATCATCTCCTTGTTCCGGTCCACTATCATGAGTCTGCCCTTTTGGTCGACCATACCGATATCTCCAGTCTTGAGCCACTTGTCTTGCCAATGAATGAGTGTTTTGGGGTCCTCCTGCGACCGGTCAAAAGACTCCTCTGAAGACTGACGATTCTTGTGATATCCGTCCATAATCATGGGGCCCCTAATAAGCACCTCTCCCACAGGCAGAGGCTCATCTCGTTTCAACATGCCGTCCAGGTGGGACAAGTCGTCGAGTTTGAGCTGAGGCTGGTCAACTCCGTCTTCAGATACTATTCGGATCTCGACATGAGAGGTAGCTTTTCCAGCAGATCGGAAATCAACGTCAGGATCAAGGGGATCGAACACAGCACATAGAGGGGAAGTCTCTGTGAGACCATAACCCTGAGAGATGGTCAGTGGAGGTCTGCCAGACTGAGAGTGCCGAATGCCTTGAGGGTTGCCTGTGATTCGAGTCAGCAGGTTTGTGACGGCAGATCCAGGAAGAGGGGCGGCTCCTGTAGTTATGAAGTCGACATGTTCATACAAGGAGGGAATGTAAGGCTCCACGGCCGGATCTTTGGCCATCTTGACAATCACAGGAGGCACCAGCATGAGTCTGTTGAGTTTGTACTTCTTCTGGGACTCGAGTAGTTTGACCAGATCGAATTGGCGATGAACAACAGTAGTAGCATGAGATGAACACATGTTGAAAATGAACTTCGTCAGACCATACTGATGGGTCATTGGAACGATAGCTGCTACTCGAATATCATCTCCCGTAGAAAAGGAAGGAGTAGACAGGGTTCCTAGAGTATCACAGCTCGACATGTTGAAATGGGTGAGTCTTACAGCCTTGGGGATACCACCGGTGGTTCCTGACGACATTGACAAGTAGGCAATTCGCTTGGTGCATTCTTGGGGCGAGTATTCGAACTTTCTGGCCATGGCCGAGTTGATCTTTTCTTCCGAAATATTGCAGGCCATTGTGAGTAGATTCTCAATGAGCAGAATTCTCACTGGATGGGTGATTCCCGGGAAGGCAGCATCTTTTTGGGCTTCTTTGATTGCTTGTCGCACGTTGTTTTCTTTTTCCTGGTAGCACAGGACAAGACTAGCGTCCGTGACTCGCAATTGATGAGCCAGATCAGCTACATCATAAGACACGCTTGCAGAGGTGATAGTGCATCCCATATCGAGCATTCCATAGTGCAAGGAGGGGAAGAACCGCGAGTTTGGAGCATGCAGCATCACCACGTCTCCGAGAGTATGATCCGAAGCTACAGGAGCTCTGGCGTGTCCGATACCATAGTGATGGTACAATACGGCCGAGATTCCATTGGCCAATTTCCACAGCTGTTTGTAGGTGATTCCCTCGCCCGTCTCTGCGTCAATGTAGCCGATTTTGTCGGATCCAAACGACTTTTTACTCCGGAGATAGTCCGTCACGTTTCCGTAGAAAAAGGTGGATAGAGGGATATCGCCCCAGGCAGATTTGTGAATGATTTGGGGCATCAAGGGGGGTTATTTGAGTCGAAGAAGACGATGGAGAGGGGGAATTGAGCAACAGGAACAAGACCAAAAGTATATATACTCCTAGTCCGAAAATGTGGGGTAAAAGTAGGTTGTATGGCAGGTTGTATGGCAGGTTAGGTTGTAAGACGCATCTCAGGCTGCAAGGACGGAACCCCGCCGTAAGATACAAAAACGGCCACTGGTGAAACACAGAGTCGAAAGTTGGACATGGGGTCACGTGGGGGGTCACGGGGTTACGGGGTCACGGGGTCACGTGTGACACAATACGACAGTTTGAAATTTCGACATTGTGACACCTTCCTCTTATTTGTACTGGTGCAACCTCCTCCACCCAACTTACGATGAACGGACATCTTATCATGGTTTGAGTGTGTCTTGTTGGGGTTGTTAAAACGAGACGTTGTGTTGGTGTAATGTACCGTGGTACTTGTATTGTAGTCATTGTAAGTATATAGCACAGTAGATGCACACCGGTAGCAGTGCTAATATTGCTCCAGTTGATGTTTGGCTCGGCTTGTGGTGTGTTTCTGTGATTCATGTTGCTCATCCAGGCGTCGCCAGACGACCTACAGTAGCTCCAACTAGATGGTTACCTGTAGCTCCCACACGGCACGATCAGCATCAAATAGGTGGAGGGGGAACTGTATCACGTCGATACGACGCCATTACAAGGAGTCGGTAGCCTAGGTTTGAAAGTGGTGCTTCTCTCGGGTTCAGGGGGTTCTCAGATATGTTGCAAGTTTGCAACAAATGATCATGATCATGAGGGTGAGAGGTGAGAGGTGAGAGGTGAGGTGAATAAGTAGTTTGTCTGAGTACTGTATCATACTTATGTCGATTGTTATGAAGTGGTGGTTTATAATTAAACTAAACTCCCAACAAAAGCGGAGCTCTATAACTAAAGCTAAGTATAGCGCTTGTAATTTGGTGAACGCATAAAAAGATAAATGAAGAAAATAGTTGATGAAACAGATCTAGGAATATCACAATGTTTTATAGAGCATATGTGTTTGAGAGAAAAACTCCAATGGTATCCTATTGTATGTACCGGCGAACTTATGGGCCAGATGAACAGCTCTTTGTTGGTTTCTTGTACTAAAACTGACGACTGGTGCAGTGAATGGTTTATTAAATTCTCTCATTAAATTGGCTAGTATCAAACTATCAGTGTTGAAATTACTGTAGCCCTTCCTCATCTGTCGGTGCGTAACTCAGATCAAATATTGGAAAATTCTAATTAACCACGAACAAAAAACACCACTGACACGAACGACGATGGACGAGATACTGAAAAAACAGGGGTTCCCGGACATGGGAGAGATCACCATGGAACAGGTGTGGGACGTGTTCAACCAGCTCAACCCGATGGAAAAACGATCGCTTTCATCGGCTCTGGAGGTGCTGGTGGAGCACTCCAACGGCAAGATTGAAGAAATGGATGAGACGATACAGTCAGGCGATGAGGAGGGCGAGTTGACGCAGCAGGAGATGGAGGAACTCACCAACTCGATCAAGGCGAGCGGAAATGACGTTCCGGATCTTATGGGTCCAGATCGCAACTCCAGCATGCATTCTGCCTCGGATGGAGAGGCTATTCTTGGCAAGACGATAATTATCCACGAAGACCAGCTGGAGAAGACCTTTTCAATGGTCAAGCTCGACAACGACGAGGCGCCGTTTCCCGCAGATCCCAACAAGCTACACATTCCCTTCACATCCGAGCAGTTGAGTGAGACGTCCAACCTCATGAAGTGGGTAGGAGCTACAGATATGCGTACTTTTATCTGGGAGTACGAGGCGATCATCCGAGCGATATTTGCTGCATGGAACGGAGATCATGATGTGGAGAACCTGGAGTTTTATCTTGTTTATTACCTCCCATTCTTTGTGTCTCTAGGAGTCATCTACAGTCTGGAAGCCGAGTTTGGATACAGAACGTTTGAGGTGGAAGGCCTAGACAAGCTGGAGATTGAGGATGACGCCAAGGAAATGCACCAACGGGTGTTGGCAGGCTCGTGGCGCGAAATCAGACGGTTTGTGGTCAGCGAGTTTGCTGCCATCAAGGACGACGAGGAGTTCGTTTCTCACACAATGTCGTTGCTTGAAAACGTGGCAGTTTCGAAACGGGGTGGACTCAAGCGGTATCTTTCGTACGTGGCTCGTCTTGTCAGCAGAGCCCAATCTGAGCGAGAAATCAACAAGTGTCTTTACGGGGAAGCTGGCACTGGAGGATTCATTGATATCCAGGACGTGTACAATGTGGTTGTGATGCGACTGCCGTTCAAGTGGCGCTTGGAGGCTGAGAATCTCGGCAACAAGGCTACTTCGGCCGTGGAGTTTGCTACTATTTTGGAACACACGTTCAGCAAGGATCAAGACTTCAATGCCCGCAATGAAGAGCTCATGGGAGGGTCTCTGTTTGAAAAGAACAGAAAGAAGACGAAAACGAACAAGAAGGAAAAGGAAAAGGAAAAGGAAAAGGAAAAGGAAAAGGAAAAGGAAAAGGAAAAGGAAAAGGAAAAGGAGACTGACGGTGTCAAAAAGACGAGTGTCAAGGGACCCCTGAACGCAGAAACACTGGCACAAAATAACTCAAAGGAGGTACTCGAAGAAAAACTGAGAGTGCTCATTACAGCGTTAACCAAGGAGTTTGGACCTTCTTCAAAGGAGTGGGCTTGCGTTCAAGATATGAAGCTACATGTTCCCGATAAGGCTCCTTCTGCCCCTCCTCCCAAGAAACATGATCCTCTCGAGAGTCTCAGAGGCAATAATTATTTCTAGTATGTACAATACGATATTTATTTATAACAACAATGTGTATTTCTGACTTATATACGCCACACCATTGATACTCCGTAACCCTTCTTCATTTGTTGTATCACAGATTATGACCTGCAGGTTCATGCACGACGCGTAACATAGATCCCTTGGTGAAGTGACACGACTATCCGAAACATGTCACGAAAGGCAGCTTTGGCACGATGTGTACAAAAAAGCTACGAGTGGGAAACACGCACGGACACGACGTTGAGTGGCGTATTCGGGTCTGAAGGACAGGAGCTGGACGAGTTTCTCGACACTGTTCCCGACGAGTATCATTCAGAGAGGACCCGGCCATTGCTGCAAAAGCTGACTCGCCAATGTGAAGCTCTCAAAACGGCTAAGCCGATGCCGAAAAAGCATGGCGATGACTTTGGGTTCTCGGACGAAGAGGAAGATGAGGGGGGGTCAGCCGAGGCGACGCCCTTGAGGGAAGACGACCCTTTGACCGCTCTCCAGAAACGTTATGTGGGTCTCGAAAAGGCACTGAGGCATATTGAAGGCATTGACAAGGAAGATGTTGGTACATTGTCGTTTCTGTTTGCCGGCAAGGCCGTGGAAGACAGCATTAACAACAACATTTCGCTGGAAAATGCGCTTGAGAAGGAGGCCAAACAACTTAGGAAAAGCATCCGTGCTGAAAGGAATCTCAAACAGGAACATAAAAAACTGACAGAAATGCTTCAGGCCAAGTTGAGGGAGACGCGTGAAAGAAGTCGCAAAGGCCCCAACTACGAGAAGGAGCTTCTTCAGGCTCAGTTGAAAGAACAGAGTCAGTTGTCAGGAAACGATATCTCCAGTGGTCTGAGGTTCATCAAGGGAACATTGGCACGTCTCATTGCCGACTCGTATCTCAAGAAGAGTACGAAAATCACGGAGGGCGAGTACGAGGATCTGGTAGACATTTACGGAGACAGAATCAAGATGCTGATCGATGATCTGTTTTACGCTAATCTGGTGGCAGATGAAGAGTCGCTGGCTCCAGACGACGAGAAACGGTACATTGAGTATCACAAGGAGGACATTCCTATCGTTCAATTCTTTCTGACGTCGAATTTTGTGGTTCCGTACCCCAAAGACGGATTCAAAATCAAGCTGAAGATGCAGCTGGAGTTGTAAACATAGCAGTATTTATATTAACGTATTTAATGAACTACCCGGAGGGTATATACATGTGTTATTTAATTGAATAAGTTTCTATTATGTGTACCGTGGTGCTTTCACCATTGTTATCAAGCACTGCACTGTCGCTCGTGCTCAATGTAGTCAATGAGTTCAGCAATGATCTCCACCGTTTCGGAAGGATTGGCAATCCAGACGGTGGTTGCAGCAAGACGGGCCTTGAAGTCGTTGGCGCCAAGGGCAGCAAATTGATCGCCCACATGGAGAGTCTGAGTGCCTGTGATGTTGCCCAAGTAGGCCTGAAGGGATCGAACACCCAGATCTTTGTCTCCGATATCGACCCAGACGTCGGAGCCGCCGTTAAAGGCGCAGAATTGCACGTTTCCAGTCGCCTTGGATGTCTCAAGGGTCTTCTGGGCAGCCAGAACCATCTCCTCAAGTTGTTCTCGCATAATCTTCTTGCCTGGAAGAGGAACGATACCCACTCCTCGCACCTTTCGAATGATGGTGGCAGGCAAACTGCATTTGGTGAGGGCATTGGTAAACACCCGCTCGCCTATGTTCAAAACACTGGTGATATCTTCCTGCGACCAAGTTCGAACCTCAGGAAGAGTCCACTCTTCAGGATCGATCCATTCGAATCGGTTTTCGGCAGCAATGAACTTGAACAGAAAGTTGGACTCGCCTCCCATTACCAGCAAATGGTTCTTCTGTTGTTCGGTCAGGGTGTCAGTCTTGACAATCGCTTCGAGAAGACCATAGAGACGGACTCCGTACTTTGAACCGTCCTTCTCGGAGTATCCGGCAGCCGTGACAATTCCAACATACACGTCGTTTCGCAGCAGCCCGAGTAGCACGGGGATGATAGGGCTGTCAGGGTCAATGTTACCTCCATCTGCATATAGTGTAACATCTCCGTCAAAGGTGACCAGTTTGAGTGGCTGACGACCTGTAGCTAGTGCCATGACTTGTGCAGTATTGAGAATCATCCGCACGTCATTGAAGCTTGGAGACACAAAACGTCTGTGAGAAATCGACCGGATCTCGTCCTGGGTGTAGAAGGCCCGTTCCAGAGGCAGCTTGGTGAAGAATTGGCCAATGGTAGGCACCAGCTGTCGCAGTCGAGCCCGCTCTCCACTGTCATTGTTGTCATGATACAGCTGGTTTTCAATCAGCTTTTCCACATCGTAGAAGATCTCAGCGTATCGTCGTCGAGTTTCCACCACAGATCGGTTTTCGTCTCCAGGACGACCGTCACCTGTAGATCCTGCATGAAGAACAAAGGGTGTAGCAAGCAGAGTCTTCACCCACTCGATGAATTCATCTCGTCGGTGCTGCTTCAGTGAGTACTCCACTCTGTACCGTGAAGTCATATTGTGTTGTTGCGGAGGTCAAGATGGACTCGCCTCGGTTATTAGGTTATCAGCTACAGTATGTTCTGAGGCAGGGTCGAAGAAGAGAGAAGAGTTTATGGATAAAATCTGAACATTGTAAGAAGCTAACGATGCACACAATACGACACTCGTACCTACTTATACCGTACTTGTTCTGTATTCTATATTATATCTGATGACCGCCACTCTCACTCACTCGGGCGTCCAATTGTTGAGGTGGCACAGCCGGCATTAACGACGGCTCTTTCAGAACGAGCTACTGTATGCGCCCCGCAATATCCACAACACTATTAGCCATTTGGTGGGGGTACAATGCCAGGTTTGTTCTCCTTAACTCGAAATGAACGTCAGCTTTTATTTATTACACCGTAGATTTTGCTCTTCAACCTGAGAACTATGAAGCTACGAGTAGTTGTACTCTCTCTCTCAACATGACCCATGCTGAAGTTGTATACGATATGGTCTCTGTTCAATCACTATGTTCTCTGTTGACAGCTTGTCTCTTATACTACACCCCAAACCAATAGCCTTCATGGGTCTCGTGCGTCTCTATTACGCGAATCTCTTTCTCAGCGTTACTCAATCATCTATTATGCTAGTTGGGGGCCTCGGTGGCAGTGGCAATGGGCACGGCGTTAATTCCTCGGCCCTCACCAAGCTGCTCCACGGTCAGGGACAAGGGTCGTCGGTGGACAACCTCCCAGAAAGTTTGGTGAGCATCCTCCTGAACGAAGCCCTTGGGAGACTGCTCCAGAGAAGCCTTTCGGTCGGCGTTGAATCGGGCGCCGGTCCAGCCAAACAGACCGCAGGCAGCTCCGCAAAGCACCGTCCAGCCGATAAATGCGGGGACTAGCTTAGTTCTGGCTCCAAGTACGGCACCGGTGGCAGCACCGGCCCACATGTGGTTCCAGCCGTCCTTTCGCTCTCGCAGGTTGGCAGCAGAGCAGTAAGTGAACACGTAGGCGATAGACGCGCCGGTGAAGATGGTGACGACTCCTCCAGACTTAGAGAAGGTGGTCAGGATGTTTCGGGGGCCTGTGGCTAAACTGTTTCGCGCGGCGGCGGCAACGACACCAGCACCAAGACCAACCATGGCGCTCTGGGTGGCCAGTCCCAGGGTGTTGTAGGGGTGAAAGTGGCCAGCAGAGCTGGTGTTGAATGTCGGCGAGGGAAGGTGAACGTGTTCAGACACTGGGTTAGTATGAAAATGGATAAGTAGTTAAAGATCACGAACAACCCTACAAGCAGGACCCATTGGAGGGTGAGAAGGTGAGCATATGTATCAAAGACATGTGAACTGTTTGTATACGCACATCTAGAACAGGTCATGAAAGGTGTCTGATGCACATGAATCAGGTGTTTCGGAGAAGTGAGCAAGACAAGTGGAGAAACGAATGAGCTACAGTGATAAACAGCAAGAAATAGCTCTCTCCATATGCAACAACAATCAAAAACAACAACAGCCCATCAATTATGCCAAAGTTGCATGTCTCCGTAGTTATTGTAGTCTTTCCCTTGCATTCTCACATTGATCAGTAAAACAAATGTTGTGTTTAAACAACTTGGGCACTCTGACACCAACCGATAATCGATCATTAACACCTTCCACAATCCACCATTCACTTCGTCTTTGCCGTTCCGACCCATCTCCCATGGTTCGTGATGCTCCATGACAACATAACTCCTCCGCCGTCATGTATCGATCACGAGTCGTTTCTTCCCGTTACATCATGTCGTGTATCGTCGCTTCATCTTAGCACCACATCCACTTCGTTTCCCGTAACGCTTTCATCCTTCTCAATACTCACTCTTTTGTCGTTCCGTGCTTGATCACTGTTCAGAAATTCCAGTAGTATGTGCAGATATTGACCCACGGTGATTGGCCCTCCCAACTCGGGGTTAGGGCACGATAGGTTGGGACCACACAAACCTCCGAACTTTAACTGGTGACCAGCTGAAAACGTGAGGGAGGATGACCGTAGACTGGGTCAATGGGAGAGTCTGTATTGTAATGGAAACCAAAAATATCCCGCTTCTGATTTTATTGGTAATAGAGCACATTTGGCTGTAAAAAGCACCACTTTGGTTGTATGTCAACTAATTCTGTGTGTTCATAGTTACGATACTTCGTTGTGAAGTCTACCTAATTAGCTAGGACAATCCTGCACGGTACGTACAAGTACAAGCGAGTACGGTATGATAATTTGTTGTACTCGTGCTCGTGCTGTACTGCATTAGCCAATACCCCATGAACCCAGACAAATACCTCTACAAGTACTAGTACACGCACAATTATTCATACCAAACTACAATACAACAGTCATAATCAATAAGTCCATTAGTATACATAAATATCTCCTCCACATTAACCGAAAATTGCAGCCATATCCACAAAGGCTCGTCCAGAGTCCTTGAGATACTTGTCCACCACCTGGCGAGGGTACACGAACCGCTCCCGGTTCTGACCGGCCAGAACAGCCAGCTTCATATCCTTATCATTTTCCTGAGCTGCTTTGTCCATGTTGAACAGAGTGTCGAAGTACAACAGTTGTCGGTACAGGTCCTGATCGTTGTACTCATAGTCCAGAGTGCCCCGATTGCAAGTGTTGAAGCGGCCATCGGAACCCATGCATCGCTTTCCAAAGTTGGTCAGCTGGGCGGTTCGAATACCACAGGCGGAATCTGAACACGTGTACCAAGTCTCGTAGTACTTGGAAATGTGTCGTCGAATTGATGTCTCCAACTGGGCACACAGCCGTGTGAGAGGGAACATTGTGGAGCAAGAGGGACAGATAATACCGTGCTCGGTGGTGTTCTGCTTGACTCCCTCGTAGGCAAAAGAGTGGCCACACTCACAAGTCAGCTCCAGCTTAACCGCATCCTTGAACCGCTCAGCATCGGAGATGGTAGACTCCAGCGGATGGAGCAGCTCTCGGGACTCGTGGGACTGGTGGGCCTTCTTGATCTCGATGCCAAGCACCTCTCCAAGTCGGACAGGATCAGTACCGGTCACATGAGCGAGGAGTCGCTCGATCTGAGGGTACAGCTGTTTGGAAATGTAGTACTCGGCATCCGGCTGAAGCTTGCCTCGAGAAAGCTTGACATCCATAGTGGTCTGGGCCTTGGCAGACTCGTCGGAGCCCACAGTGGTGATGACAAACGACATAACGTCGCCCTCTCGAATCACCTCTCCTCGCTCCAAACGTCGAAGAGCCACAGCCACAAAAGGCTGGATGGGAGGGTTGTAGGCCTTAGGGTCCTTTCCGAGCTGCTTGAGAATCGCATAGTGCTCCACGGGGAAAGGAGCTGACTCGTCCTTGACGGGCCCAGATCGTAGCTTCTCAGCCAGCTCAAAAAGGTATTCGTGGACATTGTTCAGCGCAGTCTCCTGGTCGTCGGGACCCAGAACTTGCTCCAACACATAGGTACAAGCGTCCTTGGAAATCTGGCACGTCTCTCGTCGTCTCAGATCCAGACCCTTGACCTCAATCTTTCCCATGCCCTCCTCAGTAGCCAGACGAGCAGCGTACTTCTTCTTGTTGGTGAGCAGAAGACGAGCAAAAACACCGTCGATATCAATCTCAAGCTGCTTGTAAAGACCGTTGACCTTCTTCTTGAAGTCGTTACCAACCTTGATGGCGTCCTTGTAGGTGTCTGTGTTGGTGTTGATCATGACAGAATCAGTGTCACCGTAGACAACCTGCAGGGACTCGGCCTCGGCAAGCTCCTTGGTGGCTCGAAGAGTGTCTCGACCGATGGAGGTGGTGAGGTTGGCCAGAGGCTTGGCGTAGAAACGAGAGCCCTCAAAACCCAGACAACCGTACATGGAGTTGGCAGTCAGCTTGAGCGCCATCTGCTTCACGTCCCACTGCTTCTTCTGGGCAGCAGACGCCTTGGGGTCCTTGATGAGTCGCTTGACCTCCCGTCTTCGCTGCACAAGAGTCCTAATGAGTCGAGGGAGAATGCCCTGCTCCACGGAGGGTTCGGGCTGAGCAGGAGGCTCAATCTGGTCGTCGGGGATAGACGCCCAGTCCACAGTCGAGAAGCAAATGTTGTACTCCTGAATAATGGAAGGGTACAGTGAGTTGAAGTCCATGACGAGCACGTGGCGGTCGTACAGGCCCTTAACGGGGTCCAGAACCAGACCTCCCTGGAATTTGGCCTTGCCTCGCTTGTTGGTGCCTCGACCGGCTTCCTTGTCGGGAATAATGTAGCCCTGACGAGTGAACTCGTGCAAGAGAATGGACTCGTTTCGGCCAGATCGGGTACCAGCCAGAGTCTTGTTCCAGGCGTTTCCGGCCAGGTTGGTGAGCTGCTTGGACAGAGGAATGGCCTGGGTCTGGATCACAATGCCGGCAACAAGGCCCGTGTCCTGGATGCAGTGCATGAGATAGCTAAGCAAAGGCCGGGCAGAGCTGACCATCTTGCTATGAGCAGCATCTAGCTCAATGTCCATCCGCTTGATGCCCAGAGTGTTGAGCGACATTTCAGTCAGATCGAACGACTGACATCCTTGCACCACAGACCGACCGTAAGAGTTGTCCATATCGAGAATAAGCCGGCCGTCAAGAACTCCGTAGTTCATGTGGGGCCATTGTGTTCGTCGAAGTCGGCCCATGGAAGACCAGTCCTTGACATTGAGCTCCTTGAGTCGGTGCAGCAGAACATCCAGATGCAGAGCTTCCAGACGATGGCCGCAGATGAGATCGGGGTCAACACGCGCAATAAGCCGCACCATATGGCTCAAAATGTCCAGTTCAGAATTGCATGGAATGATCTTGTCCACAGCAGTGCCAGCATTGTGTTCCTGCAGAATCTGCTTGAAGCCAACAGGTGCAACCTTACTGGGGTACCGGAAGAAGGTCATAGATCGGTGCTGCAGCTCGCCGAGCTTGGATGTGGTATCGTGAGGCATGTCCTGGAACATTCGGAGAGTCACGGCTACCACAGACTGAGACTTGCCCTCGGTCATGGTTCGCACAGCCAGAGAGATCATCGAAATTGGAGGCATGGGAGCTTCCTGGTTGGAACAGACAGAAATCTTGGCCGACGACTTAGCGGTGATCTCGATTCCGGTGTGCGAAATACGTCCCTGACCAGCCGAGGCGAAGTCAGGCTCATCAATCTGCATCCAGCATGGACCCATGACCTGATGAGAGAGCACAAACTGCTCAAACAGCGACTGATTGGCTCCAAACACGTGGGAGAAGGTAGCTCCAGAAGAAGGAACGTCGAACTTCTCCTTGGGAGGGGAGTACAGCACCTCCAGGTACTCGGCCTCGGCAGGGACACCAGGCAGATGGAAACAGTACTTTTTAGTGACAGGCTTGGCTCGCATTCGAATACCTCGGGCCTCCATAATTCCATCGAGCTCCTCGTGCACGTCAGAAGTGCTACACTCGTTTTTGGGCAGCACAAACATCTGTCGTTGGGTGCTTGCAACCTTGATGAGACACGATACAAACTGGCCCTTGTTCTTGCCGGTCAGCACCATGGTCTTTCCAAACAGATAGAGTGTGTCTCGCACAATGGCGTGTTCCATCCAGAAGAACTTGAACTTGCCGTCCTCGGTGGTCACCTCGTTGGGCTCCACAGAGATCTTGGCAGTATCAGCAGATCCAGCCTTTGAAGTCGCAAGCTGGATGTTACTGGTGATATCGGGAACCAGTTCGGGCTCTTCGATGTCCTCCTTTACCAGCTCCTTCTTGACTGGCTCCGTCTTGACAATCTCCTTCTTGACTGCAACCACCGGCTTCTGGCCGCGCATGTTGACTGCAGCTGCAGCCTGGCCGGCCTTGGGTCGAACCACAACCTCGTCCTCATCGTCGTCTGACTCCGATTGAGGCACTTTGTTAGGAATGTCGGGCTCGCCCATATCAATGTCCATGTCATCAGCAAAATCCATGCCGTCAGCAATGGCCTCTTCTCTGACAGCATGCACAATCTCCGCGGGGGGAGAAGACGAAACGTGCTCCGGACTGGCCATGTCGTAGCTGTAGTCCATGTCCACAAACACGTCTTCCTCCTCCTTGGCCCGGGCGGATCGCGACTTGCGGTTCATGGGTTTCTTCTTGTCGGCGCTTTTGGGCCCGGAGCCGCCAATCACGCCAATCAAGTCGTCCATGAAGTCGTCTGCCACTGCTGACGCCGCCGTCTCCGTCTTGACAGGCTTGGACGCCAGCGCCTTGAAGTTGAGCTTGCGGTTCTTGATCACGTCGCTGTTTTTCTTGGCCCGCTTGCTCTTGGGCGAGCCGTCCTCGTCGCTGGAGCCGTACCGCTTGCCCGTATCCTCCCACTCGTACGCGCCCGTGTCTGCGTACCCCTCTCCGTTATCTCCCACCACAAAGTCGTCCTGGAGCAGCTCTTGTTTTCGGTGCTGCTTGAACTCGGTTTCGTCGAGCTCGTCGTACACGTCTTCGGCGTTGAAGGTGAGTTCTCGCTTCTCACCGGCTCGAGCCGCCTTGAGGGCCGCCAGAGCGTTTCGTCGCGACATGCTGTGTAATGTGTCTAGTGTGTAATGTGTTAAGAGTAAAAGACGGGTCTCAATTTGATAACCCAAAAGAGCCTAATTGAGACGCATCAAGGTGAAAAAACGCGTTACCAGCCCCGACGCGTGTTAGAGTTCGGGGTTGGGGGTGCAGTCGGAGACTGAGCCCTTTGATAAAGGGTGAACAAGGTGAGCAATTGAGAAGACAAAGACACAAACGGCTTAGAAATCAGCAAACATACTTGTGTGTGAATTTTTATTATTCCACAGAGTTGCCGCCGTCGCATATTGGGCTTACTTCTTTTTGGCCCCCTCTCGAAAAGGTGCATGACCAGGTTGCAAATTAAGCTGCAAATTGTTTTTGAAAAAGTCTAATACGCGTGGTAGGAGACACATCGCATCCAAATGCACACACTGTACTGTGTAGAAGTGCTGGTGGGTGCTGTACCGTGCCATGTGCCGTGGGCGGGGTGGCATTGTTGTGGGATTTGGGATGATATTGATTCTTTTTTCGCTCTCAGTTTTTTTCTTCTCATTTTGAAGCCCCTACCTGAAACCGTGTCGAAGAGGTGATTGCTCACCTCCTACGTCGTGTGAACTTTGCTTGTTGCCAACGGAGCCGTTCCTAGGCCGTGACAGTCTCTGGTGGTGGTTTACTTGTAATTACAGGCTTTACATGCTCTTGAAGACCATCTATTGATCACTGTAAAATCAAATAAAATAAAAAAACATTTATGGTAGTACTGGCATGGTCGTGATAGTTCTACTACGTAGTGTACATAGTGATCTGACTACAGTGCCGACTCTCAAACACATCTGTCACTGTATCACAGTATGTACCTGTCGCTACAGTAATCACTACTTGTGAAAAGTTCCTGTTCAATAACATCAATTGTGGTCAAAATACCTACTCGCCCAAAGGCTGAACAGTGCCCTGGAGAAGCTGAGCCACCTTGAGCAGCAGAGGCTCCTCAAACCGAGGGCCGATAATCTGAACTCCAATGGGAGCATTGTCGAACTTCTCCGGCTCGTACATGCCCAGGAACTTCTTGTCCATGTCATTGGCAGGCTCAGGAGTAGGACCGTAGTCCTTCTTGGCGTCCATCTTGGTTAGAGGAAGAGTCACTCCCGGGTAGTCCACCACGTTCCACAGCATGGTGTACAATCCATAATTGGGTGTTCGGATCACAGACGAGGGCGAAATGTATACAGGATAAATCACCGCATCGATCCCCTGCTTCTTCCAGTCCTCCCACACGGTCTGTCTATACTTGTCTCGCTTGGTGTTGAGGGCAAAGACATCGCTAATTTCCAGCTTCTTGGCCAGAGCCTTGACCTCCGGGCCAGGGTCATCCAAGGGCTCTCCAAACTTCTCGGACCACTTTTTGATTCGCTCTCCAGCGTCGGGCATGAACATTCCAATGAGCATGTGGATAATATCTTCAGGAATGACAGGGGTGTACTTCTTGAAAGTGATTTCCACTCCGTCCACAGTCTTTCCATCGTTCTTCTTGACCAGCTCTTCAATTGCATGTACAATAGGGGGATGAGGATGGGCCACCCCGTCAAAGGTGGTGTATCCCAGAGTCAGCTTCTTGGGCTGGATGGAAGACACAATCTCCCAAGGCACAGCCTCCAAGGAAACATCGTCCTTCCACGGCTTTTGCTTGATGATATTCTCCATGAACAAATCAATCAGACGCAGGTCTCGAGACATGGGACCTACAACGGCCTTGATGAAGTCGTTTCCTGGGTTGGACCCCACACAATTGAGCATCGAAAGGCGTCCCCTGGTGGGCTTGAGACCGTAGATTCCACAGAAAGAAGAAGGAGCTCGAATGGAGCCTCCAATGTCGGTTCCCAGACCAATGATACTCGCTCCAAAGGCCGCCAGAGCTCCTTCTCCGGAAGAAGAGCCTCCAGTGGTCAGAGAAGTATTGTAAGGGTTGAGAGTGGAACCGTGGACAGGAGAGTAACTGTCGAGAGAATTACAGAGCTGCGGGCCGTTTGTTCGCACAAATATGGTACCCCCCTGGCTCTCCAGCTGCTGGATCAGCACCAGATCCTTTTCCATGGGCTCCGAGTCCAGAAAGAAGGAGTTTTCACAGGTGGAGATATGTCCCTTGACGCCCAGCAGCTCTTTGACGGAGAAAGGCAAGCCGTGGAAGGGTCCAACGGGCCCCTTTTGGGCCAGATGTTCATCAAGGAACTTGGCTCGGTTGTAGGCCCGCTCTGCAAGGAATTCGGTCGCGCAGTTGACCAGCTTGTGGGCCAACACGGCAGCTCGAATGTACGCACCCGTGACTCGAACGGCAGACCATTCGCCCTTGGCCAGTTTATCGAGCAGTTCGATTCCTCCTAGCGTCACAACCTCGTAGTCTTCGTCATGGAGCAGCTTGAGCAGTGGTCTGACGTTGGAAGGGATAGTATCGGGCAGGGGTTTGTGGCTTCCGGGGAAATACTTGTCCACCTCCTCAATTGACTTTTGCAGACGGTTGTTGTAGATGTCCTTTGCGTCCTGGAAGGTCATGCTGGTGATATTGCGATACTCAGAATCAGCCCACCGAGACCCCTCTTATCTTATATAGCCTCTGCCAAGTACACGGCATCGATGCACGTCGTATAGAATCCCCAGAGTTTACCAGAGTTCACTTGTCAGACAGCTTCGCCGCTTTATATTCATCGCAGAAAGAGCGCAGATGTGGACTGGTACCAGTACATGGAGATTTAAGTCAAAGTCAAGAGATGTCGGATAGTTGTGCGACGGACTTAACACTGATGATTCTCAGTCCTCTATAGCTGATCCACCCTCTGTGGCTGATCCGCCCTCTGTGGCTTGCAGGTGGCTTTGCCATCGTGGCTTTGTCATGGTGGCTTCAAAAGGCGGTTTTCGGACACCGACCATAGTCTACAAGGCTGTACATAAAGTAGTTGCGGTATGCACTGTGGTTCTCGGTCGTTTCTGTATATCCGATCGGAGCTCGTGCGTAATGTCGGCATTCACCGGTCCGAGTACGAGTACACTAAGTACTTGTAACCAGTAGCACTTGTAGTATGACAATGTATCGTACCAGTACATAGAGTAATTACACGGACTAATTATGATGTCTCATCTGCATGAGAAGATGAATCGAGGGGCACGAGGGGTACAGTCATACGACCAGTATGTACGAGACGACACTTGCAGACTATCCCAGTATCGCATTAGAATGACTAATCAAATGAGTCGACATCTCCTGACCCGTGTGTCCTGCTATAGATACCGTGGTTTTCCGTTTTCCGTTTTCCGTTTTCCGTTTTCCGTTTTCCGTTTTCCGTTTTCCGTTTTCCTACGAGTACGTCTTTTCCATTGCACCCATCTCCACTAGCTACTGAAGGTACAGCCAGCCCCCGTCGTGGCGTTCCTTAATATAGTGTGTGCCACTCGGCTGCGGCTCGTTGCGACTCATTCACGTAGCGAAACGAATACGCCTCTTGTAGGGATGCCGGGAGTGGAGCATTCTCTAGGGTCAAAAAATGTGTCACGCGACGCCAATATAAAGAAAGCTTCAATCCGCCCTCTTGCAACGGCCATGACTCGTGGTCTATGGTTGTGCACTATTCTCCTATTACTGTACAGTATGTACATACTTGTATAAATGTAATGTATAGGAGGTCCCTTGATTTTCCACTTTTCTTACCCGAGTCAATATCCAACTGTGGCTTGGCGTCAATCGCTGTCACGTGGAGGAGGGAGTAAGACACTTTGTGATGGTCTTCTCACTTGTACGGGAGGAGGGTTCATGTTTGTAGTGGATACCCCACTTTTGCGAGTCCCTTTTCTTCTTTCTCCTTTTTCACGAGACGTTTGGCTGCTCCTTCTGCCACTCCCATTTATCATAACCCACCTACAGCCCACACTCACACCCTTGACTGAGAGTTTCCATTAACCTCTATTAGTCACCTCTGGCCTGGAGTAAGCTAATAAATTATTTTTTTTTGACTCCTACACCTCCAACCAACCCCCCAAAACACCGCCCGACAGCATGGATCTCGAAAACCAGAAAGTGCCGTTCCAGCAGGTGACCACGGAGCTGTCCGATTCGCTGCAGACCATCTCGGCCGACGTGGCGAAACTCGACCGGTTTGTGTCGTGGATCGGAACCCGAAAAGATGGAGATACCAACCGTGGCCGTGTCACCGATCTGGCGGAGAAAATCACCGCCGACATCAAAACCATGCATGCCAACGTGCGCCGGCTCAACATGTTTCCCGAGGCGGAGCTGTCCAACACGGAGCAGTTTGCCCAGAAACGGCTGAGCAACGAGTTCGGCCTGCTCCTGAGCCGGTTCCAAAACCTGCAGCATCAGAGTACCGATGCGTACAAGAGGCAGGATACTGCAGCCCGAGCGGCCCTGGAGGAAGAACGGAGCGAACAGGACCGCCTGCTGGCAGCCAAGCCCATGGGCATGAACAACACCAACTACGGAGGACTGCAGGACCAGCTGCTGGACGTGGTGGACCAGTCGGAGGTGGACCTGCAACAGGTGCTCATTGCTGAGCGAGAGGAGGACATTCGGGGCATCGAACAGGGCATCAACGACATTAACGGCATCTACAGAGACCTCGGTGCGTTAATAGCCCACCAGGGAGAACAGATGGACTCTGTGGAGAACAACATCTCCACGGTGGCGGATCAGACCTCCGCAGCTGCTGGAGAGCTCGTCAAGGCCAACGATTACCAGAAAAAGCGAAGAACTTGTTCTCTGATTGTCCTTGGAATCATGATCCTCGCCCTCATCATCATTCTAGCAGTCGCCGCGTAACGATTCCAGAGTTAATGGTACCTACGCGCCTCAGTCAACACCTTCAACACACCCCACACTAATAATAAGACATTCGCATCTAAATGTCGCCCCCTTCAACCAACCAAAAACAAAAACGCTCAACGCGCCTACTAACGATATCAACTATCAGAATGCATCTAGTATTTAGTCAAATTAAGACGTGAATATATACATGAACAAGTAGTTTTTTTCTGTGCTTATTATGAGAGCACAAGACGCTACTTATGATAGCTCTACTACAAGTACAAATAGTCACGCAGGTTGCTTACGGAATCTCCTGAAGATTGCAGTCACGTTGAATCCACCTGCTTGGATATTGAGGTTCTTGTTCTAGGTCTTATCGGTCAACCTATGCCCATGTGTGCGTGCGCATTCTCTACGCCCATCGTTGTGGGTACTTGTCACATGCTTGTCTATAAATAATGAATGCTGTTAGGTCTTTCTGTTGGCAATGAGCCACTTTAGCACGGCGCTCAGATTGTTGGCCTCCTTGACGGAAATGGAGTAGCACGAGACCTCGCGGTCGGTGATTTCCTTGAGTCCCAGCGTCTGGATCACCTTGTCTACCGGAATTGCGTCGGCAATGTCGTTCTTGTTGCCCAGCACCAACAGCGGAATTCCCTCCATGCTTTCCTTTTCCAGCAGTGAATGCAGCTCTGTTTTGGCGGTATCGAACGTCGACGGGTCCGCAGAGTCCAGGATGAACACCACCGCGTTGACTCCCCGGCAGTATCGCTCCCACATGCTTCTGAATCGCGGCTGGCCGCCCAGATCCCAGCACTTGAGCGTCACGCGGCCCACCTTGACCCGCTTCATAGCAAACCCCACAGTGGGTATCGAGTCTGGAGTGAAATCTGAACCACAGATGGCCTTGAGAAGCGACGTTTTGCCGGCGTTCTGGAGACCCAGAAGCGTAATGTCCAGCTCCGTGGACCAGAACAGCGACAAGAGCCATTCGTAAATGTTCTTGAACCACTCCATTTGCGACTGTGTTGGCGTGAGAGTGAGTGGGTGAGGGTGGAAATGTATCAAAGAAGTCGGGTGGTCGTACAAGTATTTGCAGCTCTCACTTGTCAAGCTTCTGTTGTCTATCTGTCTGCATGTAAATATAGCCACACCCAACCTCTGCAAGGGTTGGGAGGTCCTGCACAGTGTTGGTGGTACGGTGCGTGATGACGGCCGGGTAACCGCAACCATAGAGGCATCACCCGCCCCTCTTGTCATACTTTGACAGTACAATACAGTATATTTTGAGAACGTGATTTTGATGTTGCCACCACAAGTGTCGAAAACACAGAGATGGGGCCTCCGAGAATCTCTTGTAGCCCTGTTTTAGCCCGAAATACAAGCTGAAAACGCCGCAGGCACCCACAATTGCGCCGGGCTAAAATGACACATGTTCATTCTTCCGCATTTGTCGCAGCTTTACGATACGAGTAAAACGAGAGTGTCTCTCGTCAGTCGTCAGTGCAAATCACAATCAGCACTTGTACGAGTACAACACTTAGACAACTTCTCAAACAGATCTCGAACTAGCTACTGTATACAAATACTCTACGGTTATTACTGTATGACATGGCAGGCTCGCAAACACATACATCCTACAGCACTGGTATTCGATACCGGTATATTCACCACACCTACCAAGCCAAGTTTGCTTGAAGCAACCACTGCATATTGTGCCGTATCGATGCGTCCCAGCGTTTAGGGGTTGCAAAGCAATACAGGAGACGTATCGTGAACACAGCGATATCAATCTTATGATGAACGAGAGTCGCGTCATGTGTAGATACATGTATTCTCGGAGAACTGCGCCGTTTTGAGGATGCTACTATGAATACTTTTAAGCACAACTAATTATGTCTGAATACCCTGATCGTTTCAGATCTAACTTTGGACTGGAACAGGCCAGTCGTATTGATGAGGAATGTACAACAGGAAGTGGATTTGGTGGGGAACAATGTGTACATTTTTGAGTGGAGACTGAAAGCTGTTAGAGCTCTCATCCGAGCCACTTTTTCTTGTTTTTTTTTTTGCCAATCACCCACATACTTACTTCCTTACCCCTATGGTATGACCACCACCAGCGCACGTCTTACCCCTGAAGGGACCCTCTGCCGATCATCACCCCTATTTATCAGATCATCAAAACGGAACATGAGCAACAGCCATAAAAACAAGCCTCTCGAGCGTCAGAGATGGCCAAGCAAATACTTATCATAGACTTGATTGTCACCCCAATCCCTAACTTTTCTACAAACCAGATAACCCATCGTCCTCATCAGTTTTAGTGGCCTGTAAAAAAAAACTTAGTCACGTGACCCTGTCTATCGGTGATATAATGAACTTTTTAAAATTTGGAAAAACTGGCAATTTGTCCGAGTGGTTTAAGGAGTTTGACTTGAATTTCTATTCAGCTATCAAATGCGGTTTCCGCGCGTAGGTTCGAGTCCTGCAATTGTCGCCATTTCTTTTTTTTGCATTTTTTGCTCAAAAATGCTACCTTTTGGCCCCAAAATCTTGCTATAAATAAATCAACTCACGTATATGCTATCTGTCTATCATTTTGTCTCTTCTGTCCACTCGGTGGCCTCCTCGTACGTCGGTAGCCCCAGTTCTGCTCCAGGGGGCGGCGGGGAGTGAGCAGGAGGAGGCGAGTCATCATCTTCTCCCTCGTCTGATCTGCCAGGATAAACAGGCAGGTTTTGGTTGGCGTATAGCGCCGGGTCATATCCGTCCAGCAGCTCCTGTTCCCTTCTATAATGGTTATCTCGTCGGCAGAACCTGCACTTATCGGGTACGGCCAGTGGAGCTGGGATGCAACTGGCATGTGCTTTATGGCCACAGGGCATGGTCCGCACCTGTGTGGGCGGGTTGACGATGCCCTGGCACACCAGGCAGTAGGTGACTTCGCTTTCTGTGGGCAGAAAATGTGTGACGGGATAGTCTCGTTCAAAGTCCTGGACGGTGAGAATTACCTTGGGCAGAGCCATATTGGGCGAGGCATCAGAAGATGTAGACGTGTTTGAAGACGGCGAGCATTTCTGAGACATGCACTTGGAGGGCAGCTGGTTGTTTCCCGTTACACACTCAGTGTGTATTACGTGGTCCTTGCACGGTAGAGGTCGTACCTGGACGCCATGCTTCACCACCTTACTACACACTCCGCAGTGCAGCACGCCTCTGTACTTGTGCACGTTGTGGGGTTGTGAGGGCGATAACAGCGGCTCCGCGTCGTTGTCGGACTCCGTCTCCGTGTCTGAGCCCGCGTCTGTGTCTCTCTCCTGCGTCACTGTGTCTCCAGGCGTCTTGACGTCGCTCTGATCGACATCACCATCCACCTGTGGGGAGGTGGCGTCAGTGGCGTACAGGTCGTGTACGTCGTCCGTCATGTCGTCCGTGGCGGTTGTGTCGTCGGGGGTGGAGTCCGTGGAGTCCGTGTCGCCGTCCGTTTTGTTCTTGTCTCGTTTCATGCTGAAAAGTGAGAAACTTGGAAGCCGTTATTGTATTTGACGTTTTTTACACACACCGTTATTTGGCACCCACTCTGCACAGCGCCTGAAACCTTGGGACCATTTATGGAACCCAAAAGTGGGGGCGCAGGCTGGAGGTTTATGGAGAGAGCGTGGAGGGCGAGAGGTGTTCACAAGATGGTCTTCTGAAGCCTGGTTGCTCTCGAATCAGCTTCATTTCTGGTTAAAATGTTTCAGCCTAGCCCCTGCCACTCTACTTGTTGCTAGACCCGAGTGCTCAGGGTCGCTTAGTCCATCAGCGCGTAACAAGGCTCAACGGTCAAAAAGTTAGATGTGTATGGAAGTAAGGAATGCTGACCAATGTTATGCCCTTGGCCATGAGGAAGAATGACCAAATATTTTTCCACATAGAATGTCACCTGTTTAAGTCTTGATTCGGACTGCCAAGGATGTGTTTCAGATAGCGACATTTCTGCATTGAGCCACCTCTTTTGGGCACCCAATTGATGCTACCCGTTTTGGCGACCTCAATAGCACAACCACAGCAGATGATACCACACCAACAGACACAGAAATGTATATAGATGGGGTTTTGGAAAGGATGAGAAGGAAACAGACGCCATCAGATCATCATCAGCCATGAAATCCACCTTCTTCCTGTCAACTCTGACTTCTCTATCTCTAGCGTCAGCCAACTACCTCCGAGCTGCTGGGGAGTATGAGGATTTCCAGTTTCTAATGCTCAACATTTCCGTGGGAAATCCCGCCGTACAAGTGTCAATCGAGGTTGATACCGGCTCTTCCGAAACTTGGTTCAATCCTCTCTCCACTGGCTTCAAACCCGAGTCCTCGGCCTCGTATGTCAACACCTCCGTTCCTATGCATCTGGAGTACGCGGATGGTAGAAAGTTTGATGGCTTCATGGCCAAGGAGAGACTAATTATTGCTGGAGGAATCATCAGTGACGCTAACATTGGAGTGGCAGAGTACCCCCATCCTACCCATCCCAGACATCGCCCTCAGACAGGATTCATGGGCTTGGGTCTTGAGGAAGGAGAGATGGTGAATCCCAGATACCCCAATCTTCTCTCTCAGATGCGAAGTCAGGGAATCATTCGGCGACGGTCCTTCGGTGTCTACATTGATGCAAACCAAAGAGCAGAAGTGCTTTTTGGAGGCTATGACCAGGACCGAATCAAGGGTGAGCTCAGGTTCACCAAGATGGTCAACAACCGACTCAACCGAATCAAGGACTCCCCCAAGCCCTACGAATACGATACACTCATCACTTCTATCATGCGAAATGGAAAGGACATCCTCAGACGTCCCGGATCTCGTCCCAAATGTGTGGAGACCTTTGATGCCCATTTTGACACGGGTTACACCTTGATTACTGTTCCTCGGCATGTTTTTGACGTCATCCAAGCAGACTTTGGAGCTCAGAATATTCAACAAGAAGGATTCGCTGATTATCAAATGGATTGCAATGTTCCTGCTAGCAACTTCAAGTATACTTTTGATTTCAACGGCGTCTCTGTCGACGTGCCAGCCAAAGCCCTGATGATGCCGGTGGAGCAGCATTCAGACGACAAATGTCGACTGTTGATTGCACCTTCGCTGAACAGCAAGACCGATAACCGTCTTGTAATGGGTCTTCCCTTCTTCCGAGCCGCCTATGTGTACTTTGACCCTGAGGACTACCGCATTGGTCTGGCTGAACAGAACATACATGCCACTGGCGATCCTCATATTGTCACCGCGGGCCCTTCCTATGGTCCTTCCTGCTGGATCAATGTGAATGGTCTTCGCAAGTGCAACTGATGTATTTTTATTGTATCATTGCTTAATTCTCTACAAGTAGCCAACTTATAAACGAGTTTTTGTAGCCTGGCCTCATCTCGGTGTTATTTCTTGCTCGCTTTATCTAAAGCTTATCATGGTCTCGAACCCTACTGAGTTCTGAAACTGAAACGTCTCTTTACGCAGTTGCTGACTTGCTTCTTTTGCTGGCTATCTCTCTTTCTGTCTCTGGTCGGCCCGGGCTCTCCCGTGCCCTTCCCATTGGCAGATGGTTTAGATAATCTACATGCGTGTCAGCTGCACCTCCATCTCTTGGTTCTCAGCGTCGTCTTTTCCACCCGATCCGTCTAAGCAAATATACCGCAAAAGCAAGACAACAGCAAGGTGGCAAAAAGAAGCGAAAAACTTGGTCCGGTGGTGAGCAACCATGAGCGCAATGTGCTGTTGTACGCTCGACATCTCATGACCGCCGCACCATGCTGAAACACTAGACGGCCACATTGGCTCCTCGATCGATCAACAACCCCCTCCACCCCACCATCTGAGTGCATAATCAACGCTAAAACGACTATCCGAAATATCCCGCAACGTGTCTTTCTCCTGTATTGTGGGCGGCCGTCCGAGTATCCCTACTAGCTGTACTTGGTAGAGAGTAAATTTATATAGTGTGCAGTGCATAGTCACATTCTGGGTCGTCTGAATTTTGTGTTTTTTTTTCACCCGTGCATCCCACAATACGCACAATAGGATTTTTCAGTTTGGTTTAGCGTAGAACACCAGTGTTATCGACCACGACCTCAACACTCTTTCACACCCGCTGCCATGACGCCAATACGGTCGATAGAGCCGCAACCGGTGCGACCGTCCCACGGACCGCATCATGCGCTTCCACAGCTGGCCATTCACCCGCAGCTGCGCTCAAACGAGCAGGCTCCTTCTCGGCCGATAGCTCCTCCAACCCAGCAGTCGGCACCGCCGAAGCTGGCCCTCAAGCCCGTGGCACAAACACCGCAGGCGTCGCAGCCACAGATCCAGAGCAACGGACCGCCTCCGGTGCTTCAGCCCCGACCACTTCCCCGGCTAGGCTCGTCTTCGTCGTCCTCATCTCCTCCGCCGGTATCTGCGCTCAAGCCGCGCCATGTGAAAATGGAGGACGACCTGGACATGGGCATGCTCTCGCAGAACTCGTCCATGTCGTACTCCATCGGCGTGTCGCCGGAGATCACTAACATTGTCACCTCCAAGGAATGGGTACTTCCTCCGCGGCCGAAACCCGGCCGAAAGCCGTCCAACGACCTACCGCCAACCAAACGCAAAGCCCAGAACAGAGCTGCTCAGCGAGCGTTTCGAGAAAGACGAGCAGCCCGGGTCGTGGAGCTGGAGGACAAACTGCAGGAGGTGGAACAGGAACACGACGAGGTGGAAAATGACTTACGTGCGGCGCTTCAAAACTCCAACACCGAGAACAACAAACTCAGAGCCGTGATTGAAGAGCTGCGAAGCGAGGTGGAAATGCTACGGGCACTCAAAACCCAGGACTCGCGCGAATCTCTGTACGGCTTCGTCGACGCCAACCCGCTGGCTGTTAGAAGTTCCATGTTTCCCATGTCAGAACGAGCACGGCAACAGAGAGAGATGGAGAAGGAACGCAAGAGCAACTTGGACAAGGAAAACGAAAACGAAAAGAAACCAGTAGCTATCCTCCCCAAAGCCCGACCGCCCCGAAAACGACGAGAATCGGTCATCACCATTGCTGACGATACCCCAGGTGCCCAAACTGCGAATAACAGCACTGGCCATCATCACCATCAACATCAACATAACCACCATGATATCACGCCAATGAAACCGGACGAGGAACCCGACGACTGTGGACTGTGTGAGACTGGAGGAAATTGTCTCTGTGATACCCTGGGACTCAAGGCACCTCTTCCAGCTGAGGACCAAAACACGTACATTGTTGGCGGCGTCAATCTCAGTGAAATCAAGCCTGTTGCTGCTGTTCCCCTCAAGAAGCGCCCTGCCTCAAATGGGACGTCTATGATAATCCGAAAGCGGTTCAAGCGCGTGTCTGAAGCCAACGAAATCGATTTTACAAAGACTTTTGGCTCCAAACCCACGACTCCACCTGTTCCTGAGCCTGTACACGTCCATGGTCCCGATTGCAAACATTCAAAGACCCAAGTCGCCAAGATCTCGCGAACACCGTCCATCTCTAGTCTCAACAGTCCTGTGGACAGCAACTTTGTAGATAAACCCTCCCCTCAGGTGGATCCCTGTGGGTTCTGTTCCAACGGCACTCCTTGTCTCTGTGCTGGTCTTGACGAAGAGGAGGGAGCTGAAAAGCCCTGCTCTAGTGCCCTCAAGCCAGACAAGCCGGAAGTCATTGAGATTACAGACCACGCCGTCGACCAAGTGGCCAACGAGATGGCAGAGGTCTCGGTCACCGAAGAAGATCTGTCGTCCTGTCTGTGTGCTAAGGACCCCAAGGCTAACCTCTTTTGCACTGTGTTGAAAACTTCTGCCAGGCCCTGTGCTGAGTCCTCTTCTCCCGTCCTGGTGCCCTGTACAGACGCCTACAACATTCTCAGTGGCCATGCCCGATTTGCCAACTCTTCTCTCGGCACTCTTGTGAGCATGCTGCGCACCAGGAATGGAAAAGTTGACGTTGATTCGCTTTATGCTGCCCTCGGTACTCTTGATGAATGAAGATCGATATGATACACGACCAATACTACAACTACAACTACAACACAACACGACCTGACGATACATGCTATGAATAAACTACGATAATAACGAAACGAGCAAACGACAAATACCTACGACAAATAACCGACGAAATGACTGTATATAAAATAATGAATTATGAGTGTAAAGAATAGCAAGATTGTGTAGCTACTTCAGATGAATACAACTTCAGATGAATACAACGTCATACTCGTCAATGGCTTAATTATATCTATCAGATCTCTACAAGCAAGCCATTTCGAGTCAACGGCTCACATTTACCTTACTGGTTCTATCATACTCATCCATTCAATACATCTAGATCTTGGAGAGGTTGACGCCCTCAACGGCAGAGTCGGAAACAAACCAGAAAACGGGTCCGGTAGCGACCTTGTTGACAATGGCAGAGGGAAGAGTGGGCTCGGGCTCCTCGAAGATCTGCTTGAGGACAGGGGCCTTTCCGGCTCCCTCGGCGACGAAAGCGATGGCCTTGGCAGCCTTGAGAACGGGGAAAGTGATGGTGATTCGTCGAGGAGGAGGCTTGGGAGAGTCCTCAATGGTGGCGACAAACTTGGTCTCCTCCTTGAGCAGAGCGTGTCCAGGGAACAGCGAGCAAGTGTGGCCATCAGGACCGCATCCGAGCAGAATGAGATCGAAAACAGGCACTCCCTGGCCGTTGAGAGGCACATTCTTGACAATCTGCTCCTGGTAGTCCTTGGAGACGGCATCAGAGTCGTTCAGAAGAGACTCCTTGACGGTGAAGACCTGTGGTTGCTGATCCTTGGGGATGTGATCGAGCAGATCCTTCTTGAGGAGACCGTAGTTGGAGTCGGCATCGTCCAGCTTGACCAGCCGTTCGTCGGAGAAGAAAATCTTCCACTTGGGGAACTTGGTCTCCGAGTTGTTGACCAGACCCTTTCGGAGAGCAGACACCAGAGAGCCTCCAGATACGGCAACATGGAAAGCTCCAGTGGCAGCAATTGACTCGTTCTGGAGTCGAATGATCTCAGCGGCAGCAGCCTCAGCGACCAGTTGCGATTCGTTCTTAGAGATGACCTTGGGCATTGTTTTTTTGATGTTTCTTTGTGTGAAGGAGTGATCAAGAAGCAGATATTGTACGTCAGAAACGTTGTGCCTTCATATGTATGCGTGTAATCAAGGTTCGATCTGTTCTTTCGGAGCAATGAGCAATGGACGATTATGTAAGCGGAGGAATAATAAAACCCCCCCAGGCCCATTGCGTGTCCAAGTAGCTGTTTCCGTTTATCCCTCATGACATGCCAGGATGACACTCGGCGGCTCGGCTAGCTCACCCAACAGCAGCAAGCAGCATATACTATTTTAGAGTGGTCTTTATTAGAGGCTGTTTTGGGGCTGTTTTGGGGCTGTTTTGGGGCTGTTTTGGGGCTGTTTTGGGTGCCGTTTGTGAGGTGGGACTTGGCATTGGGGCATGTCAGAAGGCGATGACAAGTTACTGTAGCGTTTACTGAGTGGGTTATAGACGTGAGCGTGATTGGTATGGAGGTTGATACAAGTCCGTGAAACATATGACATCCTCACTACCACTACTCCACTGCGCCATGACGTCACATGCGACCCAAGAGACCTACTGGTGCAGCATTGTAGCTAGCGGAGGGTGTACCGGTATGGGCACAACTACAGGTAGCACAGTGGTGGTATAGGTTTTAGGCCTTCGTATAGCGGCAGCATAGATCCGTATAAAGCCGATTGATGGTGTGAGAGCCCGGTTAACGATAGAGGAACGTGGCGGGAGCAATTAAAACCTCCAAAGGTGTAGTTGCCTGAATGCACGAACGAGACGAGACCGGTTCTACCACAGATGTCCAAACACGACCGGGAGCAACATGCTCTGTATCTCAAGGACCAAATTCAGGGGCTGGAGGAGGTGATTCCGGACCAGCAGGAGGAGGTTGATAGCAATCAGGAGAACTACGACGAGGCCATGGAGAAGGTCGAGGCTGCCCAGCTTGAAGCCGACGAGTACAAGGGCCATCTTGACGATGCTGTGGCCCGCCTAGAGGGCAGCCAGGAGGAGCTGGATGAGTACAAACGAGAACTTCGAGATCTGGAGCATGAGGGCAAAAAGAAGGCCAAGCTCGATCACGACCAGGACAATGACGACTCAGACGACGAGGAAGAAGGCGACGAGGAAGAAGAAGAAGAGGGCGACGAGGATGAGGAGGACATTGAGGGAGCTTTTGTCATCAAGTTTTAGTTAGAAAAGTATTACAGTATATCATGGAATAGATGTGTTGAAGTATGACTCCAAGTTCTCAGGATAGAGTTCTCTATGTGGCAGAAGGTGCATGAGTGCAGGTGGGGGGGTGCATGTTCTTGCACTGACGGTTGAACCACGATGACAATACCCTACGGCCGCAACTACTATATGGTGGGTTTGGTAGCCACTGAATATGTAGCCGGACCGTATTGTGTCACTTAAAATCACATGTTTGATCCTCTTCTCGTCACCTGACCACCTCCAATCGAGGGAACCCCCGGCAAGTGCATCCACCAGCACTTCATTCAGCCCCACATCCCAAAGAGGATATCAATGAGGCAGAGTGAATGGAGTCTTCGGCTCAACATATAATTATGGCGCTGTAACCCCCCTCAACTTCCTCCAACACATCTCAAGCCATCCGCGACCACTTAATTATCTGAACGCCCCTACCACCCGAACAATGGGATGTGTACCTTCGAAACCCGAGTACGGGGCTGAACATGACCAGCATCTACTGATTGAAGAGAATATGCGATTTAGAGTCGGAAAACTAAGCAGCTCCAGATCGTTTGACGACTCCAAACCCCCCAAGCTACTGCTTCTGGGTACCGGCGAGTCTGGCAAGTCGACCATTCTCAAACAAATGAAGCTCATCCACGGCCAGGGCTTCACCCATCAGGAACGCAGTCTGTATGCTCAGGTTATGTGGGAGCAGGCTTTCGTCCAGATGATGGAAATTGTGCGCCAGGCACGGTTCTTGGGCATTTCTTTGGATTGCGACGATCCACACAGCGTTCTGAACAGTCATATGACCCTGCTCACCAATGCAGACCCCAACGACTCCGCTATGCCTGACTGGGATGCGCTTTATGAAGACATCAAAAGCCAAAGGAGGTTTATGGAGGGTGAGAATCTTCCCATGGTTTATACAGACTCGCCGCTCAAGTTTGCCGACAATGTCCTCAAGGTGTCGCCAGCCGAGCGGCCACAGATTGCACACGCCATTTCAGAGCTATGGACTAAAGATACAGGAATTAAGCAATGTTTTGCCCGCTCAAACGAGTATCAGCTGGAAGATGCGGCGTCATACTACTTTGACAATGTGCACAGTCTTGCCGACCCTTATTACCTGGCCTCAGACGAGGATGTCATCCGGGGAAGAATCAAAACCACAGGTGTTTCGGAAACCCCTTTTCTGGTGGGCGGCCAGATGCTCAGCATTATTGACGTAGGAGGTCAAAAAAGCGAGCGTAAGAAGTGGATGCACTGCTTCGATGACGTAACCAGTGTGCTGTTTGTGGTTGCACTGTCGGAGTACGACCAGGTTCTGTATGAGGACTCTGGCGTGAACCGAATGCAGGACTCCATCTGCCTGTTTGACTACATCTGCAACTTCAAAACGTTCATCGACAAGCCGATCATTCTGTTTCTCAACAAATGCGATCTGTTGGAGGCCAAGCTAAAGAAATCGCCTGTTCGCAAATACTTCCCTAGTTTCAATGGACCAAATGAAGTCACTGCGGTTAAGGCTTTCTTTAAGAATCTCTTTCTGGCCCAAAATAAGTGCGGACCGTCCAAAGAGATTTACGTCCACTTTACCTGTGCCACGGACACTGAGAACATGCGTTTTGTCATGGCCGCCGTGACAGACATGGTCTTGTCTGCCCAGCTAAGAGAGACGGGTATTATTTAGGGGGGAGAGGAGAAGGACGTTTTTAGATATTACTAATCATGTATGTATACGAACAACTTGACCGAAATGCATGAGATATTATCCCTTGCTACAGTGATGGTACAGTTGTGCAGTATGTCCGAGCCCGAGTATTTTCGGTATTGTACTTCAACTGTACTTGATTTTTTACTTTAATCTTCTTCTACAGTAACTAACACCAGTGCGTCGACGCAACTACAGTAGGATACAAGAGCTAAGTCGTAGATACCTGGGACCAAAAAAAACCGACAGACAAGTGATTAAATGATCATTAATTATGAAAATGTATCTATCTAGTGGGTCACGTGATTATACGCACTCTACACCGGCTCGTAGCCGCTATAACATGGCAAATCACTCATAGGCTTATTCAGCATTTGGGAGGCAGTACAACCCTGAAACACAGCTTCTTAAAGCACCACTATAGCTACAACGAGCCCCAATCAAGTTAAGTCATATCTATTCCTCTCAATAGCTCTCCAATTGAGCAGCTTTGGCGTCGAGAAATATGATCCCCGTCATTCTACAAACATCCACCCAATCACAGGACGCCATTCGTGTGGTTAGGGCAGATCCCAAACGGGAAAACTCAAAGTCGAACATCCCACAGCACATTAGCAAAGTGAAAGAAGCCCGAGACAGAACAGGAGTCTGACGAGACGAGATACACAAAAAATCACACAATGATCCGAACCATCGCCCGATCTACCCGAGTGGCCCGACCCGCCACCCGAGCCTACTCTACCGCTCCCCACCCCGTCGCTGTGCCTCCCGCCCCCACCAAGATCCAGCCTGCCGCCAACTACTCTGCCCAGGCCAAGACCGCTGCTGTTGAGAACGCCGCTGCCAACACTGCCAACAACGCTGCCAACACCGTGAACAACGCTGCCAACAACGCCGCCAACGCTGCCTCCAACGCTGCCTCCAACGTGTCGTCCGCTGCTCAGGGAGCCTCCACCGGTGCCCAGGCCACTGCTAAGGCTGCCCAGGCCGGAGCTACCATCGGCTCTTCTGCCCAGAAGCTCAAGCCCCGAAAGAAGTCCAGCGTGCGAGGAACTCTGCTCGGATTCCTGCTCGGCACCACCCTCACCGGCTTCGGCGCTTACTCCTACCTGGTGGACCAGTACCGACAAGCCAACAACGTGATCATTGCCGACGTCATCGCCCTCAACGGATCCATCCGAAACCTCGAGGAGCAGGTCAAGCAGTTGCAGCTCAAGAAGGATTAGCATGTAGGATAATAGATGGTTTGATTAGATTGAATGAGTGCAGAACTGAGTGTGTAGTATGAGGTTCTACATATGGTGTTGGAAAAGTCGATCTTTGTCCATGTCAGAATTACGTACATGTCAAAATACTCATACAATGATACCATATGGGTATCAAGTGCCATTGTAATCGTTATCTGCATTTCCGTAGTTGAGAGATCACAGGCAATCGATGTTCCAAGCTCCATGTATAATTGAAGAAAGTCTACAACGGCAATATCATTGTCTGCCCAACAATCTCACCCCCTCACAAATACCCACTACACCCAACCCCAACCACCAACCCCTTCCGCGTAACTGTTTCTCTCGACCAAGTCATATTTACCCTGTCTACATAGGACGTGTTATCTCCGGAAAAAATCCAATAAATCACGCTTGGCCTTTCTACCCACCCCTTTAGCGGAGTCACGGTCCTGACCCTTTCTGGTGCCTTTCTCAGTTCCATTCTGGGTGTCGTGCTTGGAACGCTTCTTGTTTCGATAGGAAATGGTATCCTTCATATAACGTGGCATGGAAGCAGTGCTCTTCATAGTGTAGCTTTTCTTGTTGCCGTAAGGACCCCAGCCACTGTCACCCAAATGGATGCTCCCCCCATACTCTAGCATGTGAACAGGCGAATATGATTCCAACGGGGTAGGCGAGCGGTACATCTTGCTCAGGAACAGGGAGTTTTCGAGATGCGAGCCCTGTTGCTCCATTCTGGCCGCACCATTTTCAAGTCGTCTGGGGACCTTGGATCCCGATCCCGGAGACGGGAAGAACGTGTTCTCCGAATGCTCTCCAGTTAGAGGCTCGTAGATTCGCAAGTCTTCCACAGGGTGAAACGTGACGCTTCTTATGGTGGAGTAGTCCTGTTCTTCGACTGCTTCTTTTTCCCGTCGAATCTGGCTACGGTACTGCTCCATGATCGACTTGGAGACACTTGTTTGGCGCAAATCAGACGGCTTGACCATACAGATGCTTGTAGGCCCGGGGTCGTTGTCCATACTGGTGAAGTTCGTTGATAGATCTACGGGGTCCACTCCGTCACCATAGGTCACGTACTGGGGGCTCGTCATCTTCTGCGCCGTGGTCATGACTGCACTTCCGTCCCATCGAGTCGAGGTAAGCGAGGGTTGGTTGATAGGAGCCGAGTTGAGCTGCGGTTTCGTTTTGTATACAGACTCGGCAGTCTTGCAGTTGAGCCTGTTGCTGGAGGGTTGTAGCACGCCCAGAGGTATCGTTTCAGGCTGCCCGTAATGGTTATGATCAATCGCGGATCGATACGATGTCATCGTAGCATTGTCCATGACAGCGGAGTCTACCAATGTATCAACTTGTATCACGGTGGTATCTCACTGATCGAATGAATGGGTCGGTGGTATCTAGCGATATTTGTGTAGCAAGCTGGTGAGTGTGTTGAAGGCGTGTTACAGAGACTTGTTTTAGCGAAGAGTACAAATTGGATTAGGTTTCGGTGCACGTTATCGGAGGTATGTGGGGTGGGGTTGAGATAATGCTGTACACTGAAGGTAGCTACGAGAGTGGAGAACCAAGGAACCAAGGATATAGAGAGCCTTTGATCAGTTCGATGGTATTTCCATTGGACCGGCGAAAGTAAATGTCTATCGAAAACACTGATAGTGTATAGATGAACTGTGTCTAACTTGAGTAAATAAGTAATTACTTGACAAGCCTACATCTCCTACTTGGTGCGTTTGTTAGAAGTGATTATTACATTATATAAAAAGTTTATGCAAAAAAAAAAATTGATTGTTATTCTTTATTATAAAAAATAGCTCATTGTTACTGTACAGTACATACTGTACTATTATTGCAGCTCCTACAAAGTTGCAAACACGGACTTGGGGACATTGACCCTACTTGTAGTACGATACTGTACACCACATCCTCGTACAAGTACTCGTAGAATCACAGTATCTTCGCAAAGATGGTTGAGTAGCCATATTGTGGGGGGATCGACGTTGTCAACTGTCTTTCATGTCGATCTTTGGAGTAATGAGACAGGGTAGAGTGGGGTGTAAGGAGGTTGAAAAGTGTTTTAGATCCGCACAGTGCACTCTAACTGAGATGATCTGCTTAGTTATGCTACATTCCGCCTTCATTATCTCATGGTCATGTAAGGTATCCCGGTGTGCACACTTGTTGTATGGGTATGTACTCGTACCTGGTTGTCATGTCATTCACATCTCTCATATTATCCTAGTTGAATAGCTTCCAGGACATCTGTCACCCAATCACGTCCGTAGCTGACAATCAGTACATACTGTTCAGTTCATAGCGTGTGATGTCTCGGAGAAAGAAACATTGATGCAGCAACAATAGCCGGTCTACCAGTACATGATATCTTACCTCCGTGGTATAAGCCTGAATATATACGAGTACATACGATACAAGTGAGATGCACCTCGTAATTGTACAGCACCTTGTCTTCTGAGACATTGGATGCGCCATTTCAAGTACCATATGGGTACATACTTGTACCTTGGTGGGTCTGGATACCAAACCACCAATAAGGAAAAAGGTGCAACTACTCGATGATATTCGTAGTTCACTACAAGTCTCTTTTCCCCTCAGATCTACAGATCAGCCTATCTACTCGACAATGTATATTCCACATCCAAAAGAGGGAGAATCACATGAAGTCAATACGTAGTTGTAGTTGGCTGCCAACCCCGCGGTTCCTGCTTTTAAACCTACACGGTGAGTTGTAAGACATTGGCCCAAAGTGGACGTCTGATAATGTGCCAACGGAGTTTTCTATTTCCGCTCTATTGGCATGTGAAGATACTTCTGTGGGGGTGATTAGGACCATCTACATACAAATTATCTCATATATTGAACCGGGTGTACTCCCAGTCTTATGCGGCGTCGGTAAAAATAGTCGTATATTGAACACAATGCCTTAGTAGGACCACACAGGCTACTAACAAGGAAGCCCAAAGACGCATCAATTCTTCCGGGGTTAACGGTGGCAGCGGCATTGCAAGGGTAACGTCGCTGGGCGCCTCTACGTTTAATCCTTGTGTCCCTTTATGACATTGTGGGGTGCAGTTCAGCTGCGTCCAAACGTACGCGCGGACTATTCAAGAGACCTTGGCCCTGTCGATTCGGTGAAGTTTAGTGTCCTTTTGGGTGACTTATACGAAGCAAATTTACTGGAATTGTTTTGTTTTCTTGCGCCTTGTCCGCGACGACAGTAAACATAAACATCATCAGTCCAGAAACATACCAAGCAATTGACGACCGACTTTATGACACCTTTCAAGGAGTCCTGTCAGATCTCAAGTTATCGTTCCTGTACCTGATGCCCTCTAGAAACCGATGCCCTCTCATCATCTAAATGATTAATTAATGCACATCACCTTTCCCTGCGACAGACGTCCTCTGTAAGGTGACGATCGTCGTGCCGATCCAGATGAGGTCCCCTCACCTTGAAACAGGCCTAGATCTGTAATAACTCTGAAACCAGAGGTCTTGTGACAATGGAGAGTTGAAATTTGGACTCGGAGCATGTCTTAACCCCACTATCCTGATTTCCTCCAACTCTGTACCTGTACTCCACCCGTCTCCACCTTTACACATTAATGAGACATGGGGGTGTCATAAGTGGACAGATCTATACATGGACCGATGAGCCCTATATAAATACTGCGCAGTACGGTGATAAATGACATTCACTATTGGCATCATGAACCTCACGCTCGGGCAAGTGGTTGCGTACCTCTATGCCTCCCTCTTCGGCGAGCCACCAGCGACACTTTCAAAAACTCGAGTTCAAGCCTCCCAGGAGCTGTACAACTTTACGGCCAAGTTTTCTCGGATTGCAAACATCGCCTACTGTGTCAATGCGCCAGTCACTCCTCTACGAACTGATTTTACATGTGGAGAGAGTTGTCGGTATTTCCCGAACATGACGTTGGACTCAGTCTTCGGAGGAGACTTCTATTCCACTTCAATCACCGGATACATAGCTTATGATCACCTCAACAAGGAGAAATATGTTGTTATTCGAGGAACATTCAGCATTCCAGATGCTGTTACCGACATCCAGTTTCAACAGTCTCCGTGGTTGGTCGAGCTTCCTAAGCACCTGATCCCTACCCAAGACGATATGAAACAGAGATGGGCAGTCCGACCAGACTTGGAAGTGGAGAACAAAGGTCTTGACAACCTCAAAGAGCGGGCTCTGGTGGTTGAAGACCCCCGTCTTATTCCCATCAAAACTAGTGAGTGCAAAGGCTGCATGATCCATGATGGGTTCGCCAAGGCCTTCAACGAAACTATGGTCAATGCTGCTCCTCAGTTTGAAAAGTTCCTCACCAACCACACTGACTACAAAATGTATGTTACTGGTCACTCGCTGGGCGCTGCTCAAGCTCTTCTTTTCGCAACTCACTTCAAATTACTTGGACATGATCCTACCATGATCAACTTTGGCCAGCCGAGAGTAGGAAACTCAGAGTTTGCAAACTACATCAACCAGCTGTGGTTTAATGACACAGGCCTTGAAGTAAACGACAAGCGACGAAACTACAGGCTCACCCACTGGAACGATATCTTCGTTGGACTGCCAGATTGGTCCAATTACACACACGCCATTGGAGAAGTGTACATTGACCAAGAAAGCGTCTACCCTGCACTCGACAAAGTGTCTGTCTGTGAAGGAGGAGAAAACGAGGCCTGCCATCGAGGCACTTTCAATCTGTGGTCTCGAATCGACCTGCTCCAAAACCATCTGGCTTACATCTACTACATCGGCTATTGTGCACTTAACATTGGTCGGCGAAATGTCTTAGCCATGCCCAAATACCACGGGAACAACTCCTACAAGTATGCCACTGAACCTGGTTATACAGGACCCGGTCGTACACTGGTTCCCACCAACTAATATACGCCTTGGCTTCTAATTTCGGAAATTTAAATACACATTTCAGTTATTTTCTATATCCACACCTATTAATAATAATACACACTGTCAACTAGTTCAAATTTCCAACCCACTCCCACACTCGGGTAACCTCTCCTCGGACCTCCTTGGTCTGAGACTCCACGTTGGCGTTCTGCTCAACGGTGTCAGCCACCTTCTTCCACAGCGAAGCCTTTCGCTTGGAAGTGGCGGTGTCTACCAGCAGCTCGTCTCTAAGTTGGGGCACAGGAAGGAATCGGGGTTGTTTAAGGCCAGTAGAGTCAGCGTCATGTTCCCGTGCCTGGGTCATCATCATTTCGTTGACCTGATTGACAAGCTCAGACACATGCTGCTGCTCTCGCTTTCGCTGGTTATACCATTCCTTTCCAACAATAGCAGCGGAAGCGGCAATCAAAACCCCGAGAATATAGAACTGATTTTGAGCCAGCCATCCTCGAACAAACTTGTCGCACTTGCATCGGAGAGTGAAGTAGGCGTCGGAGATTGACTTGTACGTCTCCTGTGCAACCACGACGTCCTCGTAGTAGACTTCCGGTTCTCCTTCAACCAATCGCGTTGCTCTTTGGGATTCACTGATACGAATTGATCCGATCTGGGTTAGTAATAGTTCCTCATTTCCGTCTTCAACACAAACAAACCTTACAATAATATCTTCCTGCTCACCGACGGCCTTCATGGCCTGTGCCCACACCTTGTCGTCAAAGGCATGCACGTTCTTTCGTCCATAGTCGTACAGTTCGTCGTAGGTAAACTCGGTCTTCACCTGGACGTCGAAGCCGGTGGCCTCAGACTCGGGAGAGCCGCACTCGGCGTAGGAGTTCTGCAGCCGCAAGTAGTCGAGCACCTGCTGGGCAACAGAAACAATTCGGGTATCGTAGACACACTTGGGGGGGAGAGGCAGGAAGCCGTTGAAAGAGAGAGGGTGAGCCTCAGCAACAAAGCCCTCGTGGCACTCGAGCTCAAAGCCCCGATAGCACTCGGCATTTTCGGGACAAGGTGTGCAGGGAGGAAGAACCTCCTTCCAGAATTCAATGAACTCGTCATACTTTGATAGAGCCTGGGCATGCTCACCGGTGCCACAGTATCCAACGGCAAACTTCTCCTTTCGATACCAGCCACCAGCTATCACGAGACCAGAGATGAGAGCACCAATTGTCACAAGCTTGAGAAGGTTGAAAATGACAGCCTTGAAGTCAATCTTGGACAAGACGGACGGCTTCTTGGCCTTGAAAACCACAGGCTTGTTTTTTGTCTTGGTCTTGGTGATACTCGTTGTCTCCTTGCCCTTGGACTTGACATCAACCTCCTCTTCCTCGTCGTCGTCGTCATTGAGCTCTTCTTCCTTTTGCTTTCGGAGCTCCTCAGCAAACTTGCTGCTTAGGTTGAGCTCGTCCAAACCAGGCATGAACGACTGGCGGGTGTTTTGGGAAGAAGAGGCCACAGGCAAGGGAGGGGTGGAGCTCACCACATTCACGTTCTCGTCATCTCGCTCCTCGGGGGAAGAGAACATGAACCGGTTGATTCGAGAGTTGGAGGTGGAATGGGGAGGAGAAGAAAACTGCGTCGAAGACGAAGGAGTCTGAGAAGTGGCAGTAGTTGGCTGTTGTTGATGTGAGAAGAACGACGCAGGAGGGGACAAAGAGGGAATCTGTGCAGCCCCTCCAAGACCAGAAAAGGCTTCAGGAACAGAGGCAAAGGTCTGGTCAAGTGAGGCATTGAAGTCGTCGTCCTCCTCGGCCTTTCGGACCTTTCGAGCACTGTTTTCGGCCACTTCGGACTTTCGCTTTCTCTTCTTGTCGGGGGTTCCTCCAGACTGGAAAACGTTCTGAGACGTGAAGGGAGAGTCTGCTGAGTCCTCCTCCTTCTTGACCTTGAGAGGAGTGTCGACCTTCTTGTACTCAAAGTCGGCAACCTCGTCCTCTTCGCCCAGCAGCTTGCTCTCGGCAGTCTCGGCGTCCTCAAAGGAGAACACCTTTCGGGCCAGAGCCTCTTTTTCCTTTCGCTTCTTTTCCTTTCGCAGCGCCTTAGCCTCCTTTTCCTCCTTGGACAGCTTTTTCTTTTTCGGCCGGGCATCTTCATTGTCGGACCGTTCAGGGTCGACCACGGGCTGTGACAGCCGCCGCTTGTTCTTCTTTGGCGACTTTTTTGGCGACTGGTCTACGATGGGGGCAATCAACTCAGCGACTTCCTGTTCATCCATCTCAACCACCTCATCGTCATCCACAGCGTATCCGGACGGTTGTCGTTGCTGCTTGGGAGCAGCAATGACGGGGATATCGTCCAGCTCCAGCTTTCGTGTAGTCTTAACCTGCTCAATAATCTCCTCAGCCTCTTCTTCCTCCTCAGACTCGGGTTCAGGAGAGGGCTCCTTGATCTTTCGTGGTCGGCCAACCTTCTTCTTGGGGGAATCTAGAGACGCCTTCTTCTTCTTGGGGGAGGCTAGAACCTCGTCCAGATCAAGAGAAATATCCTGCTTGGAAGGAGATCGTCTGGGCGACCGTCTAACCTGGATCTCGTCGGGAGCCTGAAGTTCGGGGGTCTTGTTTCGCGAGGTAACCCGTCGTTTTGCGGGCGCTCGCGTGGTCTTTTCCTTGTCCTCTTTCTTCTCCTTCTTCTCCTTCCCTTCCTTCTTGCTCTTGATCTTAGGGGCTCCGGCGTCGACAATGCCCTCGCCTCCAGGGGTGGCGATTTCCCTGGCATAGAGCTCTGCTGCGCGCGGAGAGATTTCGTTTCTGAAGACACTGATCATCTCGGCCTTCTTGCCGGAGACGTTGTACTCAATGTCGTGGTGTGCGAAGATTCGTCGCAGGTCTGCGATTCGCAGAGACTTGGGGTCGAAACCTGTGTTAGTGGCTGAACCCGGGGAACCTCCCTTTCTTTTTGTGTCTGGAAACACGTCCTTCTGGTCGTTACTCACCCTCAGTCAGATATTCGTAGCTGTCCATGACGCGTCTGATTTCTGGGACACAATGGCACGTGCAGTGTGGCGGGCTTTGGTGGCGGCGATTAGTTGCGGACCGGACGGGGGCGTGAGGTGAGAGCCGTGGTTGCGTGCGATCCAAACGGGGTCCTGAAAATCACCGTGGGCAAAAGAACAGAGTCGTGGGAAGAATTAGTTCGTAAATCAAAACAAAGGTTTGCAGAGGTGCACGGGGTCTGCACAAATAAGCTTCCTGGAAGGAATGCGTCTAGCTAAAGTAAACAAGTGCCTACAAGTATAGGGGGAGTTGGAGTTAGACAGCTACTTGTAGGAGTACGAATACTGGTATGGGAGCTGGGTTGGGCGTGGTTTCTTGTCACGTGGCTTGCATCTTGTCTCGAAACCGTTTGCATCTTCCCCCACCCTGCCCTTGCATCGCCACCCATGGAGCTTATAGCTCCCTCTCTCAGGTTTGAGTACGAGTAGCAGCTACCACCTTCCAGGGTTAAGTTTTCAGGCACGTTGTGGCCTTCGATATTGGAGTGTTCACGGGTTGAAGCCGAGGTTACAGCTGAAGGAAAATAGTGCCGGAAGAGGGTTTATATAGTGTGCACAAGTGCATTTATGTTAGCTGTGGACCGCGGGTCTATTTTATTCCCCTCCCTTGGTGCGAGAATACGGCTTTTACCATAGACCGTTGACAGATGCAGAACCCGTTGGAGTGCATCGAATGTGCGGGAAAAAGCAAGCTGATGGCCACGAGCTGTTGGGGAAAGACCCGGTTGGGGAGCAGAATGTAGGTCCCTTGTCTTGGTGTGCGAGCACGGTGCGGGTGCGACGATTGGTTCGCAAGTGTCTGTCGAGTTTGATCGGGACGTTGGTCACGTGGACATAATGTTTGGGGAGGCAGTCTTGTGACGCGTTGCCTGGCAACCCTTACATCAAAACAAACTGAAACCTTGGTTGGTAAAAGTACGGATGGGCGTGCCTCACCAAAAGCTCAACAAGGTGTTGAACAGTGTTTGACATTTGGGAGGGCAGAATGGGGTCTATATATGGACTTGCACTTGAACAAGTATACAAGTACATACTGTACCATCATATTATGTCATCCGGAATGTCGTTGGGGGATGGCCTGCGGTACTTGTACTTGTACTCGTACTCCTAGTGACACCCGTAGCTAGTTGTACCGGTACTTGTGAGTGGCTTCTCACCATCAGTACACCTGCTGACACTCAACAACAAGCAACGCGTTCTACTGAAAGACTTCTATATACACACAGAGCCCGACAGGGCAACTGATTACAGGTGCGAACATGACAGTGATGATCCTATCAAAGCACGTCTGGTGACATACGACGCTTACGAGCGTCTGTATGTACGCCTGTATGTACGATACTACACTGTCGGTACTTCGTCACTGGTACCAGAGCGGCGCTGGTATGTACATTACTTCAGCAATGATATCTTATCGCGTGAAAACTCGAACAACCCAGTTATCCATTCCACACTCTCATTCCAGTTCGTCTCACACTCACATCACGTGTGCCCTGTCTCAGAATGTTAGTCTGTCTCAGCACCCTGTTGCCGTGTCTTGTTTCTGAAACGAGAGCTACAATAGTTGGAACCAGCTTGCACAAGGAAAGCACTGAGACAGACAACGTATCGGGTCTTCGCTACAGAATGGATACATGGGTCATGTAGAGGAACGTTGACGATGGTGGAATAATACCCATAAGCCCGTTCGAGGCATATGTATGAGGTATGATATCATGATAGAATCATAGCTCCACTCATAAGAGCAACCGTGGCTGCCATGACAATGATTTCAAGGGGCACACATCGTGTAGGCACTGTAGTTGCGGCGGTCCAACCCCTGCTATTTGCACATTCTTGTAGCCACCGGAATTTACTATGCCTATAGATGCAACATTGCTCTCTCCCGAGTACTGTACCGTACCTCGCTTAGAAGGCCCTTGCTCTCAATCAGGGGATTCCCCGGATGTCGAGTGCATCATTCCGGCACTTCAGCCTCTTCCTTCTCTTACAGTAGCGGTCTTCCCTTTTTGGGAAACGAACCTCACTGTTTGGATCTCCATGGCGATCGCAACCTTATGGACGAATAATCAGATGAGGTCGCTACTGTCGCGGCGTGACCGACAGACGGACCAAGAAGGTACCTAGAGTCGAAACGAGAGTCGAACGAGAGACGAAAAGTCAACTGTTTCGGGGCGTGGGAATTGATCAAAAGCAATTCTTCCCACCTCAGAACGCTCTCCTACACCTCGAGACGCGAACGGTGACAATTGGCCCTTGCTTCGTGCCAAGCATTCCAATCTTCTCCCACAACGCGTTTATAGACGAACAAACTGCGAAAGTTACTCGAATCGGACGCCTTAACCAGGCGGAAGCGATGATTCCAGCAGAGTTTTTTACCCGTTTTGTTTTTTTATTAACAACAGGCTCAACCGACAAGTTCCGCAAAATAGACAACTACAACCAGCCGCTGTAATTCACCGTACTTGTAGATCGTGAAGTTGACCGGTATAGAAGGAGCTGTCCATGGACGAACGATGCTGGATTAGAGTGGGTATCAACTATAGACACTAGAAGCAGCGATGGGGGGAACAGGTGCGCGCTATAGAGACACGGCGTGACAGTAATGAACTCTGGCTGTCGTGCCGTGCCACCAAAAATAAACAGCCCCTATTATTGATTTACTAAATCTTTCTAAATTATACGTTCTATTATTGTCCCCAATATGATGTCATCTATGAGCAACTCATCAGAAAAAGAAATCCCACTCAACTCTACTTGGGTGCTCACGGGCGACAACACTATTCTTGGAAATGTCGACCACATACAAGTCGATCTAGGAATGGGGGCAGCGAAGGTGAGGTTTCAGGCCTCAGCGCAAGGTCTGTGACACAAAAGCAACCTGAATTACACGAAACCTGGTCTGGTCTGGCTAGATTGGGGGCTAGAGGGCCGAAAACAAGACTTGGAGATGATTTCCACCAATCTATCATGGCCTCGCCGTGATTGCCTATTTTTAGCTCCACACTTACGATAGTAGCTTTTTTCACCTCACTAAGGGAGTTTATTCGACCCGCAGCGTTACATTGGGGATTGAGTTAAGTGCGCATTGGCGATGAATCTAATGAAAACCATGTCTGCAGTGGAGCGAAACGGGATGTTCACGGGAATGCTTGATAAGTCCCTGCTTGCAGAGAGCAGCCAAAAAACAACTACCCCTGGTGATCCAACAAGATACCACCCATACGATTCCCGAATCTGATGCCCAAAACACGGCATTATTGGCTCTCTTCGTGTCTAAAAGCTCATTCCACACGCGTCGAGAACGAGTCCATGACTCGAGCCGAACTCTGAGTCTGAGTCTGAGTCTGAGTCTGAGTCTGAGGCTATTGTAGCCTTGCGTGTCAGGTGCCCTGAGGTTGGGGGACCGTTTTCAAAACATATATAACACCCTTCGGGCTACCCTTCTCAGTTCTCTAACCAACTACAACCACACTCGCTTAACAATGAAGTTCTCCGCTGTTCTCCTCGCCTCCGCCGCCGCTCTTGTCTCCGCCAAGAAGTTCACCATCGTCGCCATCCGATCTGGCTCCGACATCCAGAACTCCCCCGTCGTCTCCGACGGTAAGAAGCTCGTCCTTGGCGGTGACGGTGGCATCCCCACCACCTACGAGGTGAAGGATGGTGTCCTCTACGCCAACGACAAGCCCGTCCAGTTCGGCAACGGCGCCACCATTGAGGATGGCGAGGGCCAGGGAACCGACGGCGTCACCGTTGACGGTCAGGACCACCTTTACGTCCCCAACTACACCTTCACTGCCTGCGCTGCCCAGGGCCGAGCTTACAAGTACACCGTCACCTCCTCCGAGGACTGCAACCAGGGTGCTACTCCCTTCGCTGCCCGTGTCATCTACCAGGATGAGGACTCTAAGACCGAGTCTGCCGCCGCTGCCGGAAACGGTACCGTGGTCACCAAAACCGGTGTTGTCACTGCCCAGTCCACCGCTCTGGTCACCATCACCTCTTGCGAGGATGACAAGTGCCACAAGCCCACCGGTGAGCCTTCCCAGCCCGCCCAGGCTACTGAGCCCACCACCGGCCCTGCCCAGGCCAACGGTGCCGCTGCTTTCGGTGTCTCCGTTGCCGCTGCCGGTGTTGCCGCCGCTGCCCTGCTTATCTAAGTTGGTTAGTTGATACTATTATTACCCCCTAATGAATTGAAAAAGAACTGTAAGCTGTAGTATTTTAGTTGCCACTTTGTAGTATTCTTGTCGGACTCGGAACATGTGTAGAACATGTAGGACATGTATCGAGGTTTTTTTTAATATTTATTTTTTATTTTTATGCGGATTCAGCCGAAATACAAACAGCTTCGTCTTAGTAGCATCCGAAACTAGTTGCGGCCATATCCTGGTGAAAATACGGCTTCCCGTCCGATCAGCCATAGTCAAGCACCAGAGAGCCCAGTTAGTATTGTAGTGGGAGACCATACGAGAATCCTGGGTGCTGCAATTGTTTTTTTGCCGATTGTGATGCTCAATCTCCTTCTTTCCATCTCTCCCTGCCTTCATCATGTTTAGTCTCCAACCAGCTTCGAGCGTTTAAAAGTCGCTACAGCATGTATGCCGACTTTGGGGGCGCCAGGGGCCAGAATACCCCCATTTTCCCACCCGACAAACATCGGGCAAGTTTTTGTGTCAACGGTTCGAGAAAAGCGGCGTGTGTTCACTATTTTGCTGTTCCCCTGTGCTCCTTGGAGAGACATCTTGACGGGGAGATGGAAAAAGAATGAGTACATGCAAAGGACCGCAAATCAAGTGGCATATACGGGTAACACTAGAGCCCGTAAAGTGGTTTTACAGAGCTACTTGGACCGATGTTATCTAAAGTTATTAACCGGCGTTTCCAACTTGCAATTCCATCTACAGTAATATTTTAGTCCACCTCATTCCAAGTCCTTCTCTTCGTTTCGTATCTATACACAAGAACCAGCATGCCGTGCCATTTATTTGCAAGGTGACGAACTTTACAAGAACTATATTCATCTTCTCCAGACCCCGGGTTTCCATAGAACAAGACCAGTTCACTATGAGTCGCTCTGAAGACGGAAGGTGCCTTTAATGCCGAGCTGATAAGCACAGTCTTTCACGACAAGGACACAGCCCCAAGTGCCAGGGTCAAGTCCATGAGGTTGACCGTTAATGAGTTGAAACACTCCATGAGCAATGGACAAAAAAGTCGCCAGATTACCGACGGGAGACTCTAGGGTAGAATCCCTGTTGATATACTCCTTTTCATACTCGAAGGTGGAGTCCCGGTTTGAGAGAGCCGCCTAGATACTGAAGAGCAAAGCAGATGACCAGAGCCACCAGTGCTGAGTTGCTAGAGCAAAAATCAGCATCGACAGACGGTTGCAGGGTCAAAAGAGCAATAAGTCAGAGCCAGGCTGTAGGAGCTGCAATTGATCTGAGAAAGAGCCAGTAAGTCCAAGAGCAACAAGTGCCAATGCCAGAACACACAGACAGAGCAAAGAGCCAGAGAAATTGATCCTAGGCCTGCAAAGACTTCACTGAAGGAGTAGAAGTCGAACCCCACAGGAGGATTGGGCTATCCAAACCTGTATATCTAGTTTTGAGAGGAGTATGCGAAAATCCGAACCTCTGGGTTACTGTAATAGATTCAGGACCATGGAGTCCGATATTGAGATTGCATTTGTAAACTTGTAGGCCTGCAGAGTATAAGTATTTGGTTTCTTTTTCTTGGTATAAGACATGAGTTTGATAGACTGATGAGTGGTATATCACCAATACTGGAAGAGGTTGTCTGCAAGCATCCCTTTGGTATCGATCCTAGTTGCCACTTGTTACAGAACTAGGTGGAATATAATAAGAACGTGTTTTAGAAGAATTACATGTAGTAGTGCGCTCACCGGACTACAGAGCTTGATACTCATATACAATAGCCTCGACTTCCACATCCATCTGTCGAAGATACTGAAATTAAATTGACGCAAATCATAAGAGTTTAATCGTGCCGCTTGTCCTGCTCGATAGCTTCCTCAAGATGAATCTATGGATCATTTTTTTGAACACAGAAAGGGATGAACAGGAAATGAAGACATTGTCGCATGTATCTATACTTAGTAGCCCTGGGTGGTGCCAAGAAAGTACCACTCACCGATCAGGAACTAGTCCTGTCAAGGTTCAAGCCAAGTCCGATTTAAGCGAGAATGCAGGTGTATGAAACACTTTTCTGAAGTCCGTAGTAGCCAGTGAATGCACTGAATAATGTAGCATGGTATATTATCGTTATAAAAAATCTCAATTTTCAGAATCCACCAGGTTATTAGCCCCTCTTTCCCCCTTCCTCCTCTCCGACTACCCCTGTTTGTAGTTTCGAAGCATCTCCTTGGTCGGGTTTCACTTTGACGCGAGCTACTGTCTCTAGACAGCTTACTATTACAGTAGAAGTACACTAGACTACATACTCGTATCTCCTTCTCGCTGTGCTACTTGTACTTTTGTCAACTCGGAAATGCTACTGACTATGAACCTTCAACATAGTTGCCCCATCCATACCAACTCCGCCGTCGCCACACGCCCCATTGTTCCATCACCATCTTCCATCGGATTTTCTCCAAAGCTTATCATCTGGAGCAGTGCTGCATTGATGACAGACTCTGAGCTCCACCCTGAACAACTTGTGGGGCTGGTATTCATTACCAAGCAGTCAAGCATGTGACTAACGTATCAATCTACAGAATACAAAAAAGCTCCCTAAATAAATAGTGCTCTCAATCCACAAACACTTGCGCCATATAGCACTTGTACCCCATCGCACTCGCTACTGTCGCTTAAACCCTGATGAAGTTTACGTTGCTGTGCATGTTGGAGATAGAGCCGTTGGAAGGACCCGCTAATTCGTTTGATCTTGACCTCCTCTCCACACTACACCATCACGACATTGCCTCTGTACCATGCCGCAGCAAGCAATGGATATCAAGGGCAAGGCCAAGTCTGTGCCCATGCCCGAAGAAGACGACCTGGACTCGCATTTTGTGGGTCCCATCTCTCCCCGACCTCACGGAGCAGACGAGATTGCTGGCTACGTGGGCTGCGAAGACGACGAAGACGAGCTTGAAGAACTGGGAATGCTGGGCCGATCTGCGTCCACCCACTTCTCTTACGCGGAAGAACGCCACCTCATCGAGGTTGATGCCAAGTACAGAGCTCTTCATGGCCATCTGCCTCATCAGCACTCTCAGAGTCCCGTGTCCAGATCTTCGTCATTTGTGCGGGCCGAAATGAACCACCCCCCTCCCCCACCCTCCAGCCACACCCACCAACAGCCAGAGGACGATGACGCATCTTCCACTCGATCTCGATCGTCGTCTCGAGCTTCTGGACGCAAGTTCAACAGAAACAGAACCAAGTCTGGATCTTCGCTGAGCAAGGGTCTCCAGCAGCTCAACATGACCGGATCGCTCGAAGAAGAGCCCTACGAGAGCGATGACGATGCCCGACTATCTGCGGAAGACGACATTGTCTATGATGCTACCCAGAAAGACACCTGCAAGCCCATATCTCCTACTCTCAAACGCACCCGCACCAAGGACGACATGAAGAACATGTCCATCAACGACGTCAAAATCACCACCACCACAGAAGATCCTCTTGTGGCCCAGGAGCTGTCCATGATGTTCGAAAAGGTGCAGTACTGCCGAGACCTCCGAGACAAGTACCAAACCGTGTCGCTACAGAAGGACGGAGACAACCCCAAGGATGACAAGACACACTGGAAAATTTACCCCGAGCCTCCACCACCCTCCTGGCACGAGACCGAAAAGCGATTCCGAGGCTCGTCCAAAAAGGAGCACCAAAAGAAAGACCCGACAATGGATGAATTCAAATTCGAGGACTGCGAAATCCCCGGACCCAACGACATGGTCTTCAAGCGAGATCCTACCTGTGTCTATCAGGTCTATGAGGATGAAAGCTCTCTCAACGAAAATAAGCCGTTTGTTGCCATCCCCTCAATCCGAGATTACTACATGGATCTGGAGGATCTCATTGTGGCTTCGTCTGACGGACCTGCCAAGTCTTTTGCTTTCCGACGACTGCAATATCTAGAAGCCAAGTGGAACCTCTACTACCTGCTCAACGAGTACACGGAGACAACCGAGTCCAAGACCAACCCCCATCGAGACTTTTACAACGTACGAAAGGTCGACACCCACGTTCACCACTCTGCCTGCATGAACCAGAAGCATCTGCTGCGATTCATCAAATACAAGATGAAGAACTGCCCTGATGAAGTTGTCATCCACCGAGACGGTCGGGAGCTGACACTCTCCCAGGTGTTTGAGTCACTTAACTTGACTGCCTACGACCTGTCTATCGATACCCTTGATATGCATGCTCACAAGGACTCGTTCCATCGATTTGACAAGTTCAACCTCAAGTACAACCCTGTCGGTGAGTCTCGACTGCGAGAAATCTTCCTAAAGACCGACAACTACATCCAGGGTCGATACCTAGCTGAGATCACAAAGGAGGTGTTCCAGGATCTCGAGAACTCGAAGTACCAGATGGCGGAGTACCGTATTTCCATCTACGGTCGGTCCAAGGACGAGTGGGACAAGCTGGCTGCCTGGGTGCTGGACAACAAACTGTTTTCGCCCAATGTTCGGTGGTTGATCCAGGTGCCTCGACTGTACGACATTTACAAGAAGGCTGGTCTGGTTAACACCTTTGCCGACATTGTGCAGAACGTCTTTGAGCCTCTTTTCGAGGTCACCAAGGATCCCAGTACCCATCCCAAGCTGCACGTGTTCCTGCAGCGAGTTGTGGGCTTTGACTCTGTCGATGACGAGTCGAAGCTGGACCGACGTTTCCACCGAAAGTTCCCAACTGCAGCATACTGGGACAGCGCACAGAACCCTCCCTACTCGTACTGGCAGTACTATCTATACGCCAACATGGCCTCCATCAACACCTGGAGACAGCGTTTGGGCTATAATACTTTTGAGTTGCGACCCCATGCTGGAGAGGCTGGTGACCCAGAGCATCTTCTGTGCACTTATCTGGTTGCTCAGGGTATCAACCACGGTATTCTGTTGCGAAAGGTGCCCTTCATTCAGTACCTTTACTACCTGGACCAGATCCCCATTGCCATGTCTCCTGTGTCCAACAATGCGCTGTTCCTCACGTTCGACAAGAACCCCTTCTACTCATACTTCAAGCGGGGTCTCAACGTGTCCTTGTCATCGGATGATCCTCTGCAGTTTGCTTACACTAAGGAGGCTCTGATTGAGGAGTACTCTGTGGCTGCGCTCATTTACAAGCTTTCCAACGTGGATATGTGTGAGCTTGCTCGAAACTCGGTACTGCAATCTGGCTTTGAGCGAATCATCAAGGAGCATTGGATCGGCGAAAACTACGAGATCCATGGCCCCGAGGGCAACACCATCCAGAAGACAAACGTGCCCAATGTGCGTCTGGCCTTCCGAGACGAGACTTTGACCCACGAGCTTGCTCTGGTGGACAAGTACACCAATCTTGAGGAGTTTGAGCGGCTGCATGGTTAATTATAAGCATGTACTTGTATTGATGTAATAGATGTTATTAGAAAACAGTAACATGTATTGTTTGTGCGTGATTGGGCGTCAGAAGCATCACATGATGGATTCATAGAACGAGGGACATTGTCTGAAACTCAGTAGACATTTTCCTGATGCAATGCACCTTTGAGATATAGACAGACTCCCGCTCTCAACTGCTTCCGCTCTCAAGTTCCGCTTTCAGACTCTTTTTGGCTGGGTGAAAAAAAGAAGGGAGAAAACTAAGCTTGCAGTTAGAGTGTGTTGTATTAGCCACTCAGACTGTAGGGTGGGCAATGTATGGTCGTAGTATAGGAGAGCATGATATATCATACAGTGGATCAAAAACACGAATCTCAACTTCACCTCTCCATACATGATTTCCCATCTTTTTCTATTCTCCATCTCCATATCTCGCCCATCTCACACTGTTTTGCTATCTGGTCTCATTCAACACTCATTTGGTACGATTGAGAATGTTAATCTCTCGTATAAGGGCTCTGGGCGCTTTTGTTTGGCAGCTAAGACGTGGGTGGCCGACTTTCTCCCACCCTTTTCACATATACCCTGGGGTTTCCGGGTTGTCCTGGTGATGTAAGGGTATGGGGAAAATGAAAAAAATGGGGAAAATCCGATTCTGGTGAGGTTGATGTACAACAACCGAGGTCATTTTCTACGCATTTCTCTGTGTGTGATGTTATACTGGTCTTCTTCGACACGCTCCTTGGCGTGAACACTGTGAACTTGAGATCCAGCTGTACCTGTACATACAGTAGTCTTGGGCCCTTTAATGACTGCCTGCGATACGACAAGGATCCAGGCTGTGCAGTAAACACACGGCTCCGTGCGCATGGGAAGCTACTTTTGCTCAGTAACTATTATCACGACGACTTCATGGTCCACAGGAGAAACCGATCTTCGTGTTGGGACCAGATGCAAACACAAGCTTTGGGCTGGCAGAGGTGACATTTTTTACATGACGTCAATAGGGTTCACCACACGGCTTTTATAAGCTTTTTTAACGCACATTGTGCATGTCAACAGTACCTAAGATGAGTGGAGTATGGGGTTCAGGTTGGTGGATAGTGGGTGGATGTGGGAGAAAAATTGAGCGTCAATAAATTATCATGATAGTGATTATATTATCTTTTTAGATTTCGATTCGCCCCAAAATTCCGCTCGTAACACATCCCTACTTTCTCGCAGTCGCGTTTAGCTCTCGCTCTGAAACTCTCAGCCTCGCCTCAGAAAGTCTACTCGTACCAAACGAGCGAGAATCAGCGGTTCGTGTCTCAAACACGGATACGCCCATGTGGAAGCATGTGCTTTTGTACCCATGGTTAATGGCTTGTGGATTTCGCACCTAGTCTATATAAGAATGGCGATCTCCTTACTATGCCTATCATTCAACCGCCGTTTATCTCACTATCTCACACATGGCTCCCGAAGAACGCGAAAGAGCGACTCTTGACAGTGACGTACCTGTGGAAATGATCAACGGAATCAACTACAGGGACGTGGAGTCCCACCAGGTTGCAGAATCGACTACTAAGCGAGCCATGAAGCTCGGAATGCTGGCATTCTCTTCGCTTGGAGCTGTCTATGGAGACCTGGCCACCTCGCCTCTGTATACGCTCAACTCCATTTTCCCCGAGGATCCGACCGAGAAAGAGACCATGGGCGCCGTCAGCTGCATTTTCTGGGGTCTCACTATCGTCGTGCTCTTCAAGTATGCCATCATTGTGTTTGCCTTTGGACCCAACAACGGAGAGGGAGGTATTGTGGCCATCTACGCCAAAATTGCTCGTGAGTTGAATCTCGGCCAGCGAGGAAGTGCGTCCACAAACCCCGAAGATGATCTCATCCAGCTCCAAAAGTCGGAAACCCAAGGCTCTTGGGCCGCCAGCGGAAATCACAAGACCGATGATATGTGGAACAACAAAGTGTGGAGAGCAGTAGCTCCGTTTCTGCGAATCATGCCTCTTTTTCTATGTCTCCTAGGATCCTCCTTTCTCATGTCTGATGGTCTCCTTACTCCTGTCCAGTCCGTTCTGTCTGCTATTGAAGGTATCGAGATCCCCCAACCCAGCATGCAAAAACACGTTGTGCTGATTTCGTGTTTCATCATTGTCTTCATTTTTGTCTTCCAGCGCCTGGGAAGTGCCAAGTTGTCCATGGTCTGCTCTCCTATCCTCTTTGTCTGGCTCATCTCCCTCGGTGTCATTGGTATCTACAACATCACCTACCATCCTGCCATTCTCAAGGCCACCAACCCCAAGTACGCCATTGATTACTTAAAGGCAGGCGGCATCGACTCCATGGGAAACGTCATCCTGTGTCTGACTGGAACAGAAGCTATGTTTGCTGATGTCGGACACTTTTCGCCCTGGGCCATCCGTCTATCAGTGCTAGTGCTCGTCTACCCCATGTGTGCTCTTGCATACTTTGGTCAGGGAGCTCGAATGGTGCTGGAGCCTTCTCTGATGAAAAACATCTTCTACCTGACCATTCCGGGACCCCAGAACGGAGGTCTGTACTGGTTCATTTTCGTGCTTGCTCTGCTGTCCACAATCATTGCCTCTCAGTCTATCATTCTCGGAGTCTTTTCCATCTCCAAGCAACTCATCCAACTGGACTGTATGCCCAACTTCCCCGTTGTCCATACCTCGGAGAAGATTTACGGAAAGGTGTATGTGCCCATTCTCAACTACTTTCTTCTGGTTTGCTGTGTTCTGGCCACCATTGGTTTCAAGAACTCCAACAACACCGCCTCGGCCTTTGGTCTGTGTGTGGCTGTCGACTTTTTCATCACCACTGTCATGATCTCCATGTCCATTGTTCTGGTTCACAAGCACCACTGGGTGTGGGGAATCCTGATGCTCTTCTCCTTCGGTCTTCTTGACATGACATTTGTTGCTGCAGAAATGAAAAAAGTGCCCTCAGGAGCCTGGTTCCCGCTCATGATGGGAGTCATCTTCATCTCGGTCATGCTGCTGTGGCGATGGGGTAACGGAGAACGAATGAAGTACGAGTTTGACCATCGAGTGCCCATGAGACGTCTGTTTGAGCGAAAGAAGCCGCGACCGTCTCACATCCAGAGCCTGAACCTCGGCACCAAGGAAAAGTACGCCCAGAACTTTGACGACTCCATCGAAACAGTATCGGATGACAATGTCTCTGAGCTCGACTTGGGCGTCAAAGAGAAAAAGGACGTGCAGGTGCGACATCGGGAAATCAACGCTGCCACCAACGCCGCCCCTATTCCTCGATATCCTGGAATGTCCATCTTCTACAATAATCTGCGGTTTACTCTTCGATCTCCAAACACTGTCCCTGGCGTCTTCAAAACTTTTGTCGACTCCTTCCCCACCCTCTCTGAACACGTTGTTCTGCTGGCTATCAGAATCGCCACTGTTCCTCGAGTAAAGCCTGAAGACAGAGTCAAGATTGTTCCAGTCCCTGGGGTCGACGGTCTCTTCCGAGGAGTTGTTTCTTTTGGTTTCGTCGAGTCCGCCAAAATGACTCCTGAACTCGAAGACGAGATTGCTGCCCGTGTTGGATACACCATTGACGGGTACAACGAGGACAGAAAGGTGGTGCACGTGTTTAACAAGCAGCTGTGCTACGGAGCGGGCTATGATAAAGACGACTATGCTAACCGAGGCAAGGTGGCCCGAACAGCAATTTACTCGGCCATCTGGTGCCGAAGAATGCTCATCGACTGGATCTATGGACCCGCAGAGTACTTCTTCAATGCCTCCGATCGAGTCGTCAAAATCATTGTCAAGGATCCCAGCAGCACTCCCATCAGCGTCACCACTGCTGCTTATATTTAGAACTTTTGAATAGTTGTGTAGCTAGACTCCTTGCATCAAAAATGCATCAATTAATGATATAATGAGTTATGAATTACCGTAATGGGTGGGCAGTTGTACAAAAAAGCAGTAGTCCAACCACAGCTAGTCGCAACCGGTATCAACGACATTGTTCCCCATTCCTGTTATCATCCTGGTATCAAATTTATCGGTATCTCTCTCGCCTCCCTCCCCTCTCTACAAATCACAGTATCGAGAATGTAATAAATATATATGTATCAGTCGGAAGATGGGAAATGCAACTAGTTGGTGACGGAGGGCTTGAGGCTGTTTCCGCTGCTGCCGCCCTTCTTCTTTTTGCTGCTCTTACCCTTGAGCCAGCCCAGACCCCACTTGTGGGACGACTTGGACGAGTCGGACGACATGGACGAGCTGGATAGTGTTCGGGTCAGCGACAGAGAAGGCCGCAAATTGTCCTTTCCTCGAGACCGAGATCGCTCGGGTTTCTCAGGATGCACAATGGAAATCGTTCGGGAAGATGGAGGTTGAGAGCCACTGTTGTCTCTTTCGGGAGACGAGTCGTCAAGGGCGTTCTCGTCGTACCGGTCGGCCGGGGTAGGTGGAGGCTTGGGAGGCTCGTCGTCCAACAGCAGGGTCGACTTACGTCGCTGCTGCTGCTTCTTGAGTGCACTGGAGTCTGGTGGAAGCTGTAGGAATCCATCGGCTTTATACATGGGGTGGGGTAGGCCTCCCCCTCCGACGGAGTTTGTGCGCATCTGGGCCGGTGACGTGGGTGCCGAAAGAGTCTCTGGCGCTGGCGTTCGCATGTTGGAGGGCGATTGCGAGGCGTTGCTAGACATGCGTCTGTTGGGGGCGGTAGAAGGAACCTGGAGCGACGTGCCGGTGGGCTGCTTCTTGTAGTCGATCTGGTAATGCTGCAGCAGCTTGAGGTCGTCGAGTTTGAACGAGGGGTTCTCCAACAGGCCCTGCTGGGTTTCGTAGTCCTTGGGTACAGTGATTCGGGGGTCGTGAATCAACCAGGGCACGGTGAACGGCGGCTGGTCGTTGGCGTGGGCCTTTTTGCGCTCCTGCCACTTGTCGATCATTGGTGGACGCACCACAATGACGGGCACCACTGACGAACGCAACAGATAGTTTGTGGCGGTATCCTTAGGCATTTCACTGACTCGAGGATCGATGTAGTTGGTTCGAGCGACCACAGCCAGAGCAGGCTGGTACAGATAGGTGCAGTGCTTGACGACCTTGGAGACGGAGCCCTGGCCCAGCTCAACGTCGATGGTAAGCTTTTTGCCGACCTTGTCTGCCTCCGCGACCACGGCCCGCAAAATATCGGCCGCCTGCTTGTGGTACTTTTCCACGTCCTTGGCGCTATGTTTGTCGATGATTTTGAGACACACCAGCTCGTCATTGTCCTCGATAAGCTCGTCCATGAGCCATTTCAATGCATTGTCGGCCTGCTGCTTGCCCGTGTACGAAAAGAGCACCGTGCGGGCGTGGTACGAGAGCTTGACGCCGGGGTGTTTGGCGGCGAGCGAATAAAACGGTAGATCGAGCGACCGCTCGGGACCATCGGGAGCGAGTTGTGGGGGCGAGATGGTGTCGAAGGCCGCTCTGGTTTTGTACATTAAATATCTTCCTCTAAAGGTCGTGGGGTGTGAGGGTGGTGTGTCTGATGACAATGGGATGTACAGCAGCACTTAAGTGTTGTGGCGCGATAGACTTATTTTCTGCGGGGATAGTGGGACGTGCAGATGTTTTTGGCGTATACTTGTGAACAGAATATGATTGTGCTGTATCGGATCGTACTCGTACTGTGTGTTGGAGAGGGCGCACCAAGCAGCGCGCGGTTGAACTATATATGTCCGACTGAGCCGTATCATCATGTCATTGCTACAACCGCCGTGTGCACTGCCTCTACGTACGTACAGTACGGATCCATACATATACTGTAGCTACTGAATCGATAGTGCGCGTGTGTCTTGGAGACACTCTTTTAGTGTTGGTTGCTAACAGGCACACAAGTGGGGTGACAGCTTATTTAGTTGACCCTGAAACGAGACCAGGCGAATGTGATTTGGCGCAAAAAAAACAACAGACGACGACATCCATTTTTCAATTGAACCAAGTAGCCCCCTACACACTTGCAAATCCCTTGCTGCTGTCGTCCACATCACGTGTCGCCAAGCCTCCCTCCACTGGCGCCTTGGCGTTACCCTGTCCTCAAAAAGTTAGAGTACAAAATACTCGGTTTGCGTATTTTTTTTTGGACAGACAAAAAGACGATAGAACCAGACCTGCAGATATCCTGTCGTCGGTGTGCCGCATTGGATGGCAAGGCTGCTTCTATGGGATGGTTAGGGGTTAGGGCGACTACCAGGAGTATCAGCATTACAGTACTTGTGGCGAAAATGCACTGTAGGTGCATCTCATCCCCGGTGTGCCGTTTCATGTAGTATCATGGTTTAGTGCGCATTGAACAGCCTGGGTTCTAACCTGAAATGTCACGTTGTTTCTTTTTCCCACCGGCTCCATCTGTTCCGCATCTTCTTCTTGATCCGACAAGCCTAACTCTGTAGACGAGGGGCCAGATGGCTGGTAACATGAGGAGTCCGATATATTCAGCATGAACCAAGGTTGTCTATAATATCTCAAAGCCGGAATATAGGGTGTTTGGTAGGATGATGAGTTCTGATTGGTGATAAGCCGAATCCATCATCATGTGCTCCCTCGTACATCGTACATACAATAGCGTTTATCCTACTTCAAAGTATCGATCACCAACTATTAGTTTTACTTGTAGTCGTGCTCTTCGGACGGAACTGATAACGTGCTCCCTTGTGTACAGTATGTACTCGCCCAGCAGCTTCCGCACTTGTATCAGTCAAATATACTTGCTAAAATATCAAATCATGGGCGTCTAGACCCCATTAACCTTCGATTTGAGACCATTAACATGCCCATTGGCCTTGGGTCCATCTTCAATATGTTCGTCAGCATTGTGAGAACAGTTGGGGGCATGATGCCGAGACAATGACACCCAGCCCTCATGGACGTTACGAACAGACACCTTACCGGGCTCGGTGAGGTAGAAAGTCTTGTCTCCATCATGGTCATCAATCCACGTCTTTCCAGATCCAAAGTACGAGAAGGGATCATCAGGATTGAGGTACTCGTAGTCGTAATCTTCCCATCGAGGCTCTCGCAGCATACTCAGAGCATGGGTCATGGTTCCGGGCCAAGAACCCTTGAGACGCACATTGCCCTCAGTGTCTCGCTCAGTGTAGTATCCATCAATGCCTCGACACACACATGACGTCTTGGAGAACTCATTGATTCGTCGGTTGAAGAGCACAGAGGCTCGCACCGAGGGAACAAGCGACTTGATGTCTTCCAGCTGGGCCTTTCGAATAGCCTTGGCGATGTATGTGGCCTGCAACTCGACTCCAAACGGAGCTGTTCCACAGTAAATGTAAGAGTTGACGGACAGTGTGTAGAAGAAGTTGGGAAAGTGAGGAGCTGCCAGTCCAAGGTAGCACGCGGAATATCCAAGCTTGGATTCGGGAGGGTTGAAATGCTGGCGAAGAGTGTATCCTTCCTGGCCGTAGATTTCGTAGTTGGGGGTCACTCCAGCTCCATCATCTCGAACATAGCCAGTAGAGGCAATAATGACATCAACTTCTCGTTCTACGCCATCAGGACCAATGATACCCTTTTCAGTAAACTCCTGAATGTCTCCAAGATGATAAGAAACATTTTCTCGAGTCAGAGCCTCGAGATATCCGGGAGCAGGAAGAAGACGTCGGGCTCCAGGGGGGTAATTAGGTACCACCTTCTTGAACAGCTCCAGGTCCTTACCCACTCGAATAAACATGATTGCCAGTAGCTCCTTTATGAGGCCCTTATAGGATTCTGTTCCAAAGAAGGAGCCGCCGTAGTTACCCAAAAGAGCCTCGTCCAGCTGTTTTCGGAACTTGTGGTACTCGGAAGACTGTTGAATCTCGTCAATCTCTTCCTGCGTGTAATCCACGTATCCAGGAACTCGAGATCCATATAGAGAATGGCCGATCCAAACACCTCGTTTGGTGTAGTGATCAACATGAGCAGCCTGGAGTGCGATCTGGGGGAGGAGCTGTACACCAGTGGCTCCATTTCCGATCAAAGCCACCCGTTTGCCCTCAAGAGAAAGTCCCTTGGGCCAATTGACTGGGTGGAACTTTTCGCCCTTGAACTTGTCGTATCCGGGCTGTGTGGGAGGGTATCTGGGCTGGTTGAGGGTTCCTGAGGACGAGATGAAGAAGTCGGCCTTGACTGTGTACTGATCCTGATGGGGTTTGGTGAGATCTTCTACCAGAATGTGCCATTGGCCGTCCTCCTGGTCCCATTTAGCTTCGAGGATGTTCTGTTGGGTTTTGATCTTATCTGAGATGCCGTACTTTTCAGCTCGACTCTGCCAGTACTTTTTGATGTCTTCTCCGTAGGCATAGACGCTCTTCCAGTCTGTTTTGGGATCGAAGGAGAGTTGGTACGAGTGGGAGGGAACATCGCATCGCACGCCCGGGTAAGTGTTCTTGAACCACACTCCTCCGGCCTCTTCGTTTCGCTCCAGGATGGTCAGATCGACATCGTCCACTTTGCCGTTGATGAGGATACCGGTGGTGATTCCAGACAGCCCAGCGCCCGAAATGACCACCTTGACGGGCCGTCGGCCGTGGTACTCTCGGTTGAGAATGGTTTCGGCCCATTCACTTGGAGGCTCGAGGTTTTTGAGAAAGTCAAACTCGTTCCAGAGGGCTTCTTTGTCCACGCCGGTCACGTTGGTATGTCCCCTACCGGCCTGGCTGGAGGAGGTGATTCCGGCATTGTCGAGGTTGTTTGGCGATGGAGGCTTGGAGATAGTCATTAGTGGTGCGACTGGATAGCAGTGGATGCTGGTAGGTGTCTTGTGCCCCTGCTAGTGTGTGGTTCGGTCTAGATCTGAGACGCGGGGGTTCTGATTTCTGGTGGAGTGTCAGACAGTTGGAGGGGAGGTCACCGGGACAGGGTGGGTGAGGTGATAACCAGGTGGTAGACGTCAAAAGACACGCTTAGGGCCGGAGCCTCGCGGTCACCCTCTCCAATTATATTACCCATTCAAAGTATAAGACACATGAGAGCTGCAGACCATGTCCATCTTGAGCACCAGTTGGGCATTAAATTGGCTCATACAGAAAGCCACACATCCGAAACAGCAGGAGAGAAGGAGTTTGGGACCGCCAAATCCGCCTACTGTGGCGTTCTCGGGAGCGTGGTATGAGGGTGGTATGAGGGTACCCTCGGGGCTAGGGTGATTAGAAACTGTGGCTTGAATTCGACACCGCCGTAAATAGTGCTTCAAGCCAGAGTTGCTTTCGTTTCTTTAGGGAATATATAATTGGATCGGACGAGACGATAACCGGCCAACAGACAAAAAGAATCACAGTTGAGAAACAAAAAACGGAAGAGGGCAAGAAAAGAAAAACGGAGTTGACAACAAGCAACTGGAGCACGATACTTGAATGTCGAGTATGCACGTACGAAAACCCCAAGATCGCATAATGCCACAGCTACGGACCCACAACCAACACAACAATTAAATCACACTAATAACAAAATGGTCTATGTGATTGCCAATGTCAAAACTACCACCACCCTCTCTCTGACAGCCCACCTCAGCCACGGTGGCTTGTTATCTTTGCCACACTGTTGCCAACTCTAAGCGTTCCTGAACTGCAGCGCTGCTGAAAAAGTTGGGTGCAAAGTGTTGAGTCATTTGAGTCATCGGCTGTTTTTTTTTTTTCTTCTCTCCGACCTCTACAGATATGCATGTGGTCCAACATAATCGGAGATGAGGGTCTGGTTGTTTGCCCTCATTCTTTTTTCGTTTTCAACCGTATCCACCCAGTCTCATCCACCCAGTCTCACCCCTGGTGGCTGTCTACGCCACGTGTGTCAGCTCTATCCCCCCTCAAATCTTCAGCCACACTAGATTTGTTCTATTTCCTTTTGGCCCCAATAGACGAGAGATGCGACGTTACCCTGATAGAAAAAAAAGATAAGCAGAGGTTTATTCGATAGCCGCAGCACCGCCACGCAGATGGAAGGGTAGAGATTGGCGTGTGTTGTTACAGTTGCCCACACTGTGCTTGCTTGCAACTTTTCGACAGAGACCGTGTCTCAGAATGTTCAACAAGAGTTTACTTAACTGCAGGGTGGGGATTAGTTGAGCGAAATTGTCTCTTCGAAGTTTGTCAAAATAGCTCGAAATCAACAGCAAAGGACATGCTCCATCAATTGTCCCTCCACGTCTTGTTATGAGGGTGTAGTATCTTCCATTTGCTGTTCTACCAATATTGTACAGTACAAGTAGAACAGAACTACAAGGTGTTGATTACGAGTACAATTACTCGCAGCACCCACAGTATCGTATATACTCTCGATTAATAAACAAATACCCTTTTCAATACATAAATTATTGTCAAACCTGCGTTTAGAGACTGACCTCCTTGGCCTGCTCGACGTCTTCGTCGTCATCTAGTCCCACATGGTGGTTCTTGAGGAAGTCACCGGTTCCATCATATTCGTATCCTTCGGCAACATGGTCTCGAGGGATAGTCAGATACTCCTCGTGGAGGAGCTTGGGAGGCACACCGGTCTGCACGAAGAAGGTCTTGTCTCCCTTGGGGGCAAAGTCCAGGAAGGTGTGTCCGTTTCCAAAGAAGGAGAAGGGGTTGTCGTTGTCCAGGTATTCGTACTCGTAATCCTCCCATCGAGGCTCTCGCAGCAGAGTTACGGCATGGGTGATAGTTCCTGGCCAGGCAAGGGCAATTCTGTATTCTCCATCCTTGGTTTTCTCGACGAAGAAGCCATCGATACCTCGAGAAGTAGACGAGGCCTTGGATAGCTCGGTGACTACTCGAGAGAAACCAAGCGCAGCCTTCTCGGACACAACCAGTGACTTGATGTTTTCCAGCTGCACCTTTCGGATCACCTTGGAGATGTAGGTGGACCACAGCTCGGCAGCGATAGGAGCAGGGCCGCAGAACAGATAGGAGTTCTGAGCCAGCACGTAAAAGTAGTTGGGAAAATGGGGAGAAGTGATTCCGTAGTAGTTGTTGGTGTATCCGAGCTTGGAGCCAGCTCCAGAAAAGTGCTCCTTGAGATTGGTACCGTCGAGACCAGTGACCTCAAAGTTGGGGGCATGCGACTCTCCGTTGGCTCGGGTGTATCCGGTGGAGGCCACAATGATATCTGTAGGTCGCTCAACGTCGTCGGCACCAACAACACCAGTCTTGGTGAACGACTTGACGGTTCCCAGATGGTATGAAACTCGAGGGTCAGTCAGAGCCTCCAGGTAGCCGGGAGCAGGCAGAAATCGTCGAGATCCGGGAGCATAGTCGGGAACAACCTTCTTGAAGAGTTCCTCATCACCGCCAAGCCGCTCGTACATGAGCAGCAGAAAGGCATTGAGCTGCTGTCGGTTCTGCTCAGATCCGTAGACGTCGGAGGCAATGTTTCCCTGGCCTCGAGTCTCGAGGTCCTTACGGAACTTGTGGTACTTTTCCGTGTTTCGCAGCTCTGCAATCTCTTCGGGAGAGTACTCTCGGTGGGGAGGAAGGTGCTTTCCGAAAACGTGCTGAGAGATCCAGGTTCCTCGCTTGGCGTAGTGGTCAACGTGAGAGACACCCTGGGCAAGCAGCTGGGGAAGAATCTGGACACCTGAAGCACCGTTACCAATCAACGCGACCCGCTTGCCCTTGAGAGATAGGTCCTTGGGCCACTGAGAAGGGTGGAACTTGGGACCCTGGAAATCGTCAAAGCCAGGCTGGTAAGGAGGGTACCGTGCGTTGTTGAGAATACCGGTTGCCTGGATGAAGAACTCGGCCTCGTCGGTGAACTCGGTGTTGGTGTTGAGATCCTTGATCTTGAAAATCCACTTGCCCTTCTCAGCGTCCCAGTCGGCACTCTGGATGTCGTGGTTGGTCTTGATCAGCTTGTCGACGCCGTACTTCTTCTCAATGCCCTGCCAGTAACTCTTGATCTCCTGACCGGGGGCATAGGTGGCACTCCAGTCGGTCTTTGGATCAAAGGAAAGCTGGTAATTGTGAGATGGAATGTCACACTTGACTCCGGGGTAGGTGTTTCGGTGCCACACACCTCCAGTCTCAGGCCATCGCTCGTAGATGACAAGATCCAGGTTGTCGAGCTTTCGGGGCAGAATGGTTCCCAGGGTGATTCCTGCAAGGCCTCCTCCGACTACCACCGCTCTCACCTTTCGGTGACCAGCAAAGTCTCGCTTGAGAATCTCCTCTGCAGCGGTGTTGGGCTCATCGGGGAAGTGCAGATTTGGCAGCGAGTCGTAGAGCTCCTGTCCAGTAGGCATTTTGGTTGTGGAAAACGTGTAAATAACGAGTCGTGGGTTTCCAGAAGGATGGGTTGGATGATCTGGCACGTGATGCGCAAGCCAAATGTAACCGATCGGAGTGGTAGAGGGTGATATGTGTTTGAATTGGCGGAGACGCGTCTGTATATATACTGACTGAAAGTTGTATTTCAATCTCCGCATTCGCACGCTTCTTCAGCCGCGGAAATGGCGGAGATCAGTGCTGATTCTCCACACTTTCGTATTTCTTCAAGCCACACACTGGGGCCAGAGTTGTGCAACTCTGTTGATGCGGCGAAATAGTTGTCATGGTGGAGGAGTGCATGGACATACGTCTGTAAAGGCCAGTGGGGTAATTTTCAATGGGCCAGATGTGTGAAAGACCCAAACACCTTGAATCGCTGAAATGACCATCCCCACCAATCGCCCATAACCACTCTCACTCCTCCACTTACCCCAGTTTCCTGTGGCTTTTGGATCGACATACGTTCAAGGTTTGGATAAGGCGTGATTTTGCATCATTTTCCATGTGTCAAGGTTACGGGACATCTACCACCACGCTAGTGGAGGCAGGGAAGTGGCTTATCGGTGGCATATGCGAGACCCATGTGGGTGTTGCCACATAGGGCTTTCGGTTGAGGGTGAGGGGCGGAGATGGCGGAGTTGTAGGGAGCTGTAGGACGGTACATACATACCCATATGGATGGTATTGATATCGTGAGAACTAGAGTGTCTTGCGGTAGTGATAAAGCTGCCATAGACCTCAAAAAGGTGATCAGAAGCACAATGACAATGTCACGTATACTTGTACAAGTAATGTTTCTGTCATTGTCTTCAATCAGTCTAGAAGTTGATACTGTAGCTCCAAACGTGTTTGCGTATTCGAACACACATCCTCAGCACTGCAGTGACCTGTACATCGTTGTAGTATTATGAAGGATGACAGAAAGATGCATCGCTCGCGCACCCGAACAAACAAGAGCAACTATGGTGCAATGCTATGCTGCTCGAAATGATTACTGTGGATTGTACGGATGCTTTGTGACTCGGGCACGCCCACCTTGTGGTTTCGGTTCAAGGGCCTTTTGAAGGGACTCTAAATGTGACTGCCGACCTCGGCTCAAGCCGCTTTTGAGAATTTTCAAATCGACTCATTGGCGTCGTATAATCGGTACGATGCCTGTAGGTACAGTGCTTGTACATGGGCTTGTTTGGTCGGTTCAGTTCCAGCTGCAATTGTGTTGTGTACGTAATCTCGCAGGCACGTGATCTAATACAATATTCAAAGTTCAGTCGTGATGCATGCAGATACACTATCTCCATATGACTGTCGAGATCAGATCAAGCTCTGACATCTACACTACACACTACAGTGGCTACTTGTGCACACCAACACACACAAACAAGATGGCGGAGACACAAAAGTTTGAAAAGGTGCAGCCTGGAGGATCACTGATTGTGGCGTGGCAGGCAAGGGGCAAGCGATGTCTGGTTGTTGGAGGCGGAGAAGTGGCCTCTGGACGGGTGTTGGCTCTGCTCAATGCTGACGCGGAAGTCGTCGTGGTGTCGCCTGCTATCACAAACGCCGAGCTCGAGAACCGACGTGAGCTCAAGGAGTTTATCTGGATCAAGGCTCCGTACAACGATGACCATCTGACTGCCGAGGACAACTACAACCTTGTTCTGTCGTGTCTGGACGATCCCGAGGTTTCAGACCAGGTGTGGAGACGAGCCGTCAGCCTCAAGATCCCCGTAAATGTGGCTGATGTGCCGGCCAAGTGCGACTTTTACTTTGGCTCCATCTACCGAGATGGCCCTTTGCAGATTATGATCTCCACAAACGGAAAGGCCCCTGGACTGGCTCGAAAGATCCGAAAGGAGATCACAAACATTTTCGAGGACAAGGAGGCTGAAGAGGGTGAGGGAGAGTCTGACAGTATGATCACAAAGGCCATTGACAACGTTGGAAAGATCCGACAAGCTGTCCGAAACGTGGTCAAGTGTGACATCAAAGCTCGAATGGCCTTTGTCAGTGGCATCTGCGAGAAGTGGTCCTTCAAGCAGATTTCTCTGCTCAACGATGACTCCATTGCCGACCTCATTGCACATTTCCCCGATATCCCCAAGTACGAGGATCTGGACAGCCAAACCGCGGAGGTACCTATCCACACTCTGAAACTTGCATAGACGTTCACATCATACCAAAACTACTAAAATATATATACAATAAATTATATGCTATTGCTTTCCTTCCTCTTGTGCTTTTTCGAAGGCGTCCTCTAGGCCGGCCATGTCGTTGACAGCTGAGTCGGCCAATGTTTTGACAATGTCAGGCATCTCTGGTTGTCGAGCACTCTCCTCTTCAGGAGCTGAGTCAGAGTCATCATCAGAGTCGTCATCTGAATCGTCCGAATCGTCCGAATCATCGGAACCACTGTCGCTGTCGGAATCACTGTCACTGTCACTATCGCTGTCACTCGCAACAATCTCTTCGTTGGTGTAGTAGATGGTAGGATATTCCACGACAGATTTGTCTTTCAGATTTTCAGACAGAGGCTTTGAGGGATCTAACAGAATTGGAGATGTGTTCTTCGACTTGATTCTCTTCATGTAGAATGATCTAGGTGTTAACGGGACCACTTCTTTTTCTTCGTCTTTCTTGTCGCCATCCTTCTGTTTTGAATGTTCATCTTTCATCTCTGTTTGCTCGGTGTCGTTCTTCTCGACCTTCCGTTCACCCTTATTATCACCATTCCCACCCTTCTCACTGCCTCTCTTCTGGAAACACTCGAGAAGTGACTGCACAGGGTTTACCTTGTCCACAGTCATGGTCTCGTTAGTGTCAACATTCACCCATTCGACAGTCCAACAAAACTGCTTGATGTTAGGATCCCATCTGCTATGGTTCCGCTTCTGCCGTCCCATCCCTTGAGCCACCTTGTGTATCTTGACTCCGTTTCGCTCCATCACACTGCCATCCTTGCCGTCTTTTCTGTTCTGGTTGTATCGAGCCCGCTTGAAAATCGGCATGCTTTCGCCATCCTGTTTGCGCACTACAATATCTCGCTCCAGCCGCTTGAGAAACCGGTAGTCTCTGTTAACAGATGTGTCTGTAAAGAGAGCCTCTCGGTTCAGGTACTTTGTGGGATCAGGGAGTCCTGAGCACTTCTCGGAGGCTTTGTGTTGCTTTGAGCATGCCAGCGAACACGTGCGCGCCGAACATGCTGGGCATCTGTATTTGCTCTCCTGCTGACAGATGGAGCAGCTCATGCTGTGTGTTGTTGTTTGTGTGTGTGTGTGTGTGTGTGTGTGTGTGTGGTTTTTTTCTTTCTTCTGGATGGTGAATCTTTTTAGTTCATGCATACGATAACAAATTTCAGGTCTAAGCCTATCTTGGGGTGGTTGGAGGGTTCAAGTAATAAGTCAACTATAAACTTTAACTTTAGATGAGATATTATTTGTCCAATTAAATGTGCGTGGGAGGGACTCGAACTGCGGCTGCCGCAACTGCCCGTGCTTGTTATCTGGCATCATCGTCGACGTCGAGACTCCAAAACTCCAGTCAGCATCACACACAAAAATGGTGAGTACGAAAGCAAAAAGAGCGATTGTTTCACCGTCTCAGAGCAGAGCTATTACAGATAATGCATCAGCGACCACCTGCCAATTGCTCTGCAAGTCCCGAGGTTGTGTTGTCGTTGTTTGAACCAGCATGTTGACATGACGACGATACACCAGAGAGACGGGACGCAACAAGCTGTCGATAGAATCAAGAGCCGAGTTTGTATCTTGTACACAAACTGATTCGGGAGCTATACCGTTAGGGACCGACCCAAATACGCCCCCGCCTAACCAAACTCCAACATACCAACCTGACAACTCCCGCACGATCCATGACCCTGCTAACACAGTCCGCCCAAAACTCCAAGGAAATCCAGAAGCTGCTCCAGGCAGAGAAGAAGGCCCACGAGATTGTGCAGAAGGCACGAGGATGTGAGTATACGCCCGAATTAGACGATTCTGTCTCCAAACACCCCCTGTGCATGTGCTAACACAGACCGAACACAGAAGCTCAAGGACGCCAAGACGGACGCTGCTGCCGACATTGAGGCCTACAAGAAGAAGAAGGAGGAGGACTTTTCTAAGACCAAGAACGCCGACAGCGGCAGCAACACCAAGGCTGAGGCCGAGGCCGAAGAGTCCGCCAAGTCCGAGCTGGCCGAGATCAAGAAGGCTGGCGAGAAGGCCGAGAAGGACGTGCTCAAGAAGCTTATAGATGAGGTTCTGACCCCCAAGCCCATTGTCCACATCAACGCTTAGGTTTTAATATTAACATGTTTATGGTAGGGCTGGTATTCGTAGTTGAGAGCTGGTGTGAGCCAGTGCAGCGCAGTCGCAGGAGAGACACAATGACACCAATCAGATGGTGTCGTCTTTATCTTGACTTTGATCAATTCCATGTGGTCAATCACCTCTCAATTTATCTCTTTGCACTTCTCATTCCCGCTTACAGTAGGACATCATGCGTCACAGCTATGCTATATAGCTTACAGCTTCCAGTAGCTACAGTAACATTCACCGTCACCAGTGTCAGTCAATTTTAGCTTTCGTCAAGGGACAGTGGAGACACCATGGGTGTGGTGTTTTCAGCTGCTACAAGGCAGTAGTGTTGGTTATTCTTCTCTAACAAGAATATAAGCAGGACTTCTCCTCCATAACGTGTTTTTGCCGTTCTCTCCTCTTTCCCCAACTCCCTCAACCACTCCACAGGTACATATAGTTGGGTGCTCGATGCATACCAAAAGGTTGAATTTACCACCACCTCAGCGCTACATCTCCAAGTACAGTACCGGTATCAACGCCCCCCCCGTCTCATCCGCCCCCGCAATGGAATACGCCGAAACAGCATGGTCGGCGGTCGAGGAGGCCTGGTTGGACCTGGACCAGTACATTAACCTCCGCGACCTGCAATCGCTGTCGTCGGGGTCTCTACAGTGGGAAAACATTCTGCTGGTTTCCACCACAATCAGTGTCACCGTGACGCTGATTCTGGCGACCCAGCGGTGGTTTTTCGGCTACAAGAACGCCGCCGAGAAGCCTGCGGTGATCCACGTTCGAACCCCAGACCAGGCCTTGCCCCACTGGAAGGGCATTCGTATGGACCCTCCTACTCTTCGATCCCAGGAGGAGCCCGACATGATCCAGTGCTACTGTCCTGCGACCGGCCAGTTTCTGGGAGCCACACCGGCCTCGACGCTGCTGGACATTGATGCAGCGATTGAATGTGCTGCAGCTGCCCAGTGCCAGTGGAACCCGTCGTTCAGCGCCCGAAACAAGGTGCTCAAAACCATTCGAAAGTTCTTGCTTGAAAACCAGGAGGTCGTGGCTCGAGTGGCTTGTCGAGACACCGGAAAGACCATGATCGACGCATCCATGGGCGAGATCATGGTGACGTTGGAGAAGATCAACTGGCTCATCAAGAACGGAGAACGAGCCCTTCAGCCCAGCTCACGACCGGGTTCCTCCAACCCTCTCATGTTCTACAAGGCCGCCAAGGTGGTCTATGAGCCTTTGGGCGTCGTGGCTGCCCTTGTGTCGTGGAACTACCCTCTCCATAACCTCATGGGGCCGATTCTGGCGTCTCTGTACGCTGGAAACGCCGTCATCATTAAATGCTCCGAGTCCGTCGTCTGGTCGTCGCAGTACTTTGTTCAGATTGCTCGTGAGGCGCTCCAGGCCTGTGGCCACTCGCCCGATCTCGTACAGCTCGTGTGCTGCTGGCCCGAGACTGCTAACCACCTCACCAGCCACCCCCAGATCTCGCACGTGACTTTCATTGGCAGCAAACCCGTGGCCCACAAGGTGGCAGCTGCCGCTGCCGAGTCGCTTGTTCCTCTTGTCGTTGAGCTTGGAGGCAAGGACCCATGTGTCGTCTTTGACGATGATGGACTGGATCTCAAGACCATCGCTCATACCATTTTGAGAGGCACTTTCCAGGCGGCCGGCCAGAACTGTATTGGTTTCGAGCGTGTCATCGCCCAGCCTAGCGCTTACAAAACTTTGCTCGACATCTTCCGAGAAACCATCCCCAAGCTGCGTGTTGGAGCTGGAATCGACCAGCAGGACGACGTGGATGTCGGAGCGTGTATTTCCAACATGCATTTTGATCGTCTGGAGGAGCTCATTGCCGACGCGGTTGCCCAAGGAGCCGAGCTCGTTGCTGGAGGACACAGATACCCCCACCCCAAGTACCCCCAGGGTCATTATTTCCAACCCACTCTGCTCGTTGGGGTCACTGCCGACATGGAGATTGCTCAGACAGAGGTGTTTGGCCCCGTGCTGACCATGATGCAGGCCGAGACGGTCGACCAAGCCATCGATCTGGCCAACTCTACGATATACGGTCTTGGAGCCGCGGTGTTTGGAGCCAACACTGTGACGCTGCGAAAGGCTATCAACGACATCAAGTCCGGAAACATTGCCGTCAACGATCTGGCAGCCTTCTACGTGTGCCAGCTGCCGTTTGGAGGCTGCAAGGGCTCTGGCTACGGCAAGTTTGGAGGAGAGGAGGGTCTGCAGGGTCTGTGTCTGGCCAAATCTGTGGCGTTTGACTCTGTGCCCTTCTGCAAGACCACTCTGCCCCGGCCACTGCAATATCCAATTCCCAGCGCCGTCAAGGGATGGGAGTTTGTCAAGAACGTGAATATTGCTGGCTATGGTGTGGGCCTGTGGAAACGGTTTAAGAGCCTGGTCAGCTTGGGTAAGAGTGCCTAGGGGAAGAGGATATATTATACGGAGAAAACGAACGAAATGCGCATAATCTAATAGATACATAACCGAGCTCCGCCTGATATACGAGACTCTGCCATGTGTTGCGTTTCATAATAGCCTCGAGGAAATACAAGTACAATACCTGGATGGCGTGCGTACAGATAAGAGGGTCACATGGCGCTATGTAATTAGAGAGATATTATATACTGGTAGCTGATGTTTTTGCGTGTCTCAAATATTTGAACAACGCGACATAATTAATATTCTTGTATTTGTACGTTATTGTAAGTTTCACCTTGGTGTGGGTGACGTCATTGGAGGCGGGGAAGGGGTGCTTGTTGTCAGGCACAACGGGCAAAAATGCAGTAATAGCCTCTTCCGACTGATTGGCAGCAGTATCATATTGGGCCAGTGGAGGTACGATACGTAATCAATACAAGTTGTTGTGATTGCTCTTCAAAAATGCGTGATAAATAAATTGGTAATAAATAAAGGGCAGATACACGAATTGCGAGTCCCGGGAACCCGCCATGACGTCATGGGTTTAGGCTCCACCCGACTCTCCCGCACTCGTCATTAGCTCGCGACGCTGAAGGTCATGTGTCAGACCAACGAGTCCAACCGTGTAAAGGAAAACCCGCCGGGTGGGTGATGCACGGCAGTGAATAGCTTTTTTGCTGTTGCTTGCTTGAGACTTGACCGTACCAGAACTGAGTCCGACTCCCCTCAAAACAACATTCCCTCCTCCACCCACACCCAGACTCTTTGTTCAATCTCCGCAAGAGTTCGACTTTTGAAGACATTGGCGTTGGCCAGCTCCTGGGCCATCTGCCGGACCGTGTAGGCCTTGTGGTATTGCTTGACATGCACGGAAATGACCTGGTCTTCCCAGATGGACCAGGCTGTCATGGTAACGAGAGGCGGTTGCAGAGTGGCCCTTGGCAGAGATGATTCGCGGCTTATAAGTGCTGAGATTTGAGTTCGGATAACGCTATGGTTTTGTGGGGTGTCATGGAACTTGGGGTTATAGACTAAGCTAAGACTATCTAACGTCCGTCAACGTCAAAATGAGGCACACTTTTGGACGCATCACGTAATGCCTCAAAGTGAAAGGTGGAATTGTCTGGATGTGATTAATAAAGATAACTGTGTATAATGACAAGTAAAGTACGTACGAGCGATACAAGTACGATACTCGTACATACTGTTCTACAACATTTTGTAGCGATACCTTACATACTAGTTCAAGTATGCACTCGTGCCAGGCCCTGGTATCGTATCGTACCCATACTGGCGTGTACTTCATCGTACGCCTCACAGCTACTTGTAGTGTTTTAATCCATGCCTTGGCTATGTAAATGCAATTTTTGTGTCGTGTAATGATGCTGTCTGCTCACAGGAGGTCAGACGGTCCTCTTGGATTCTGGAGCCACTGCAGAATGCGGCGCTGAATAGACGAGTTGTCGAAACCAGGCAGTTGTGACTTGAGTTCGTCGGCCATTTCGCTGATCGACCACTCGCGGCCATGCTCCTTGACGAAGCTCTTGACAATGTTGTCGTTTTCGGGGTCCCACTTTGTCATCTGTGTTAGTACGAATACTTATCTTTGCCTGCTGTGAGGGTCCTGCTGGATATGCACGATATGCAATCAAGCCACTCCAACGGAGATGGTCCCATGTGCTCCAAAGACACAGCCACATGTAGACAAGCACCTCTACACTCGTTTTTGTGGACCCTGCCTCGTATCAACTTGCTCACGATGTATCAAGGCGTGTTAATGTGTTGTATGTGGAGGGAGGCGGAGAGGCGAATGATCGAGATAAGCAGATACTCACTCTGGTCATAATAAATAAGGGTCAACTTGTTGCTGTCGGGGAGATGGGGCAAGTCGAAGCTGGAATAAATAGCGTAGAGTAAATAAAAGTGTCGGAAAGAGAGAAGGAGAAAGAAAAGATGGCCATGAAGCCAGTGGGGGCCTTATATGTGAGTCTGATGGATGTGACTAAGTCAGGCTCCAGGCGGATTAGAGTTGATGAGTCTTACTCTACTAATAGAGTTTGAAACTGTGCAATATGTGGGGAAATCCCTTGAGAAGAAACGCTGGATGGAGATAATAGGAGGTTTCACGACGGATTAGGGGACTCCAGAATGCTAAGATGCGCAACGCGACGGGTGCAGCCAACAACAAGAGCAATAATAAACACAAATAAATAAATGCAGATGCTACAGGGGATTATAGAGATGGGGCAACAGACACATCGGATGCAGGAGACGACAATGCAGAGGGAGTGGTGGGAGTAGAAGTAGCAGCAGCAGCAGTGACTACTGGAGTCTTTGGTGCAATAGCAGCCTCTTTTGTAGTAGGTTGCAGCCGCTTCTCCCCCTCCTCAGAACTCATGACCCTGACCACGTCAGTTTCCAATTCCGGAATGACGTAATACTGAGCCACCATAGTTTGGACCCGCTCCACTGGATCTTCTCCTTCGCTGATGCCCTCCAGACATTCTCTGATCAGTTGGTCGCGTACGTCGCCTCGCGGCACCACCATACGGTCCACGCCATTGTCCACTCGGAACAGGTAATTGTCCTTTTTGGCGTAGGTGCCTCCGATGGCGAGAAAGTCGGCCACGATGCTGAGGTCTGGATTGGACTCTGTGGCCCGCTCCAGAAGCACCCGATGCTCAGGTGCCCAGCTGGACGGATCGCGGCCCACAATCTTGCACTCTTCCAGCGAAGAGGCCGAGTCTGCGTCCGAGATGATTAGTTCCAGCAGCTCCTTGGGGTAGTCGCGGTTGGCGTCAGGAGACGCGGTTTTTGAGGCTTCGTCTGTGGCGGCGGTCTTGGGCAGTGCCATCCACTTGCCCGAGCCCCGCGCCTTGTACACATATCCGCCGTTCAGCAGATAGGTGACGCCCTCGTTGAAGTAGGAGGCCACGCGATTAAGCACGGGGTCCTTGAACAGGTCGCCCCTGAGCTTGAACTGGGTCAGCACGTTCCAGTCGTAGAAGTCAACAGAGTGCAGTGGCGTTGTGGGTTTTGTCATGGGTTTTTAATGCGGTGGCGAATATCGAGAGACTCGCGATATTTTGTCTGGTTTGATTTTTGCCGATTTATTTAATTAGGGGATCTGAGATCTAGGGGATGGGGGGATGGGGGGTGTAATGACGTCAGAGTTGGGATGAGGTATCCTGTCGAAGCCAGTTCCACGTCGCCAGTGTATCGAAGAAGAGGGTATGGAGAGATGTCTGTAGTTTCCCAGCCGGTAGTTGTAGCGTGTTGCAAGCACAGGTTTGAGGCTATGGCGCTAGAGAGACTTATAATATATATACCACCCGGGACTTGAGGCCTGTCTAAATACGAATCGCAGTGACGACGCACACCTCAACCTTGTAGTGACAAAGAAGCTTAACCTTGTTGGGATTTGGAGTTTTAGGCTTTTTACTTTGGGGCTAATAATCGTTTGCAAACGGTGGTGATGTCAGACAGAGACACCAAGAGGGTTTATTTTGTAGTGTTTCTGGGGCGGAAATATGTGTTGACTGGCCCGAGATGCCCCGCGCATCACCGTGCTTCCCGGATATTATCCTCTAACCGAGTCAGGAATGTCGCATTTTCTCTCTCTCTTTGCCCGGGCCTACATGCGCTTCTGGAGCGGGTCGTCCAAACGGTTTTTTTTTTGTCCAGCTCCACTCGACTCGCCACCGACGAGTAAGGAGCTTGTGGATACATGGTCCTTAGCATGATTTCTGCTTGCTGACCTCCATTTCGTCGGAACTAATTTTGGGATATGCGGCTCGCAGACCCAATCGCCGATGCGAAGCGGACAGGGCACAAAATATGACGTCAGCCGTTCCCTTGTCTTGTCAGGTGGCCCAGGCCCTATTCACGGAAGGGCGTCTGCTTATTAAAGAGGGCCGACGGAAATAGACGGGTATTTTGGGAAAAAACGAGAAAAAAAAGCACCTGTCTATTGCAGGGGCTGACACAGGCCCTAGGGCCCTAAGTACTCGTACCGTACTTGTATAGGGGTGGATTCGGCTGCGATCTTAAAATAGCTCCTGTAGCCCTACGAATAATACATCTACAGCACAAGGTCGGTAGGTCTTCCAGTGCACCGGTTAAACCGGCCTTCAGAAAGGGTGGACATTTGTGACGCTGGTGTTCCTGGGTTGGGGCGGTCTCACTTCAATTAATTTACCCTCTTTCCCCCATCTTTGCAACTACAGTACGAGTTTGTAACACAGCAATTGGCCTGCTAATATCGTAATATCGTCCATGCCAAAAAAGCCAGATAATAATATTCGGCCCACTGCCCTCACTTTGCGCCCAGGCGACTTTCGATTGGCGGGCCGCACAAGAGGGCACTTTGAGGCACACCAACAAACAAGCCAAGGAGCAGGCGGATTTGCTGGACCGAAATTGGGGGGGCTGCGCAGAGCCCAAATGGCCCATTCTAGCAAAACGTAGCTCGGTTTGTCTTGTTAGTGGCCCAGCCAAGCAGAAGCAAGACTCACACGAAATCCATTTCGGGCTAACGCGAACATGCTAAGCCAGGCAACACGTAACGCAACTACAGTACAGACGGACCAAGCCTCCAGTTCCACCGGATCCATAATGTCGCACACAAGCCCGTGGTGGTAATCTGGGCACATGGCCGAGGGCACGTTTTTGCATTCCACGAGTCCCCGCGAATTGATCTTTTCGGGCAACCAAATGTCCCATTTAGTCAAGAATGAATGCATCACCAAAAGAGCGCATCAAAGAACCGAACCTTGGCTTAAACCCTCAATTGCCCTCATGGTCTGAGTCTCCGCTAATGACGCAGTCATGAGTTTGGTACAAATATGACGCGTCCAAATTAGTGTGATTATGGAGGCATGGTGATCTGATAGCAATCTCATCCGGAGCCAAGGACCCAAATAGCTCATTTAACGCCGTGCACACCTCTCCAGATGGGAAATAAACACTCCTAAATTGGCTCGCAAAGCCCAACCTCGGTAAAACGGAAATTGCCACTCTGGGCTGAGACTGTCTTGCCCCCATGTTGAATTACGGCTTATACATGCGAAACCAAGGCACCCGAAAACTAAAGAGCAAAAATAAACCCCTGGAGTCATACGATCCCACAGAAAAAAGACATCTCCCGGGGGCGAGTCGAACGCCCGATCTCAAGATTACAATATGATACCATTACAGTCTCGCGCCTTAAACCAGCTTGGCCACCGGGAGATTAAAGGATGGGGCCCAACCGGGAATTGAACCCGGGACCTCTCGCAAATTGCTCAGGAAACCCTAAGCGAGAATTATACCACTAAACCATCGGGCCACAATACTTGTCTGTTAGAACCCAGGCCCCGTGACTAAGCCGACTGATGACTCAGCCGGGGTGGCCATACCGAAGGTATGGTCACTGCCGTCACTCTCAAGAAAGGTGTATTAGAATACATGGAATACAGGGGTTTATATGTTATCCAGGGTTGCGGCGCAACCCTTTGTCCGTGATAGCAGGCTTGGCATATCGATATTAATGATAGCGTAATCCCACTGAGGGCCCACGTGGTGGCCCCTCGTGTAGTCTCCGCTAGCGGTTCACGAGAGACTAATCAGGCGGCTATTTCTTAGCCGCTGATCCCTAACATCATCCTCCCCTAAGATGAAGTCGTGGAGCGACTTCCATCTTACACGATAAAAGCACCATGATTCGACGTCGAGATGTCCAAGACAAACATCTCCGTGAACAACAGATCTTATGGATCAGACTATCCATACAATAGGTGCAGCTCTCAGCGACCGAGAACTTACACGAGCACGTTGAACTCCTCATGACCAGAGAACAATCACAGCCGACGACATCAACCCGGGGTCAATGTCTAGAATAACAAGGCAAAACACAGCCAACTTCGCAGCTGACGGATCAACACCGACAACCACGTCGACTAGGCTTCAACAGTTCCAGTGACAGGAAACTCGCCTCGGAGAGCAGACTCTCACATCTCTAACATACCAGAGATGGCTGTACTGTACCAACGTAACCTCAGCAATAACACTGAGCCGTTCATCCCAATCCACACCGAAATGAACAAACCGACATACGAGAAATAGAAACATCAGAAACCGTTTCGTTCCTTTCTCACCCCACCTCAAGATGATAGCATCATCTTCAATGCGACTTAACACACTCCAAGGGATCTACCGACACAGACAGAAAGAAAAGTCTGGTCTAAACCCTTAGAACAGCAACATGACGATAACAACACGTCATTACTCACCTCAGGACGACAACCTAGTCGAACGTAGCGGAGGCTTTGGCAGTGGAAGCGACTACTTGTAAAGTCCACACAACAGACTTACAAAACAGGGGGAAACATCACGAACGAGCCATGACCAAGTTCAGTGATAACGGGTATGCCGCGACAAGTTCTTGTCTCCAGCGACACTAACCAGCAGGTCGCAGGGAACTTGAGCTGACCAATACCGGTGACTGAGTTTAGAGAGAATCTCAATCGTTGGTACGCCAACCGTGTCATTCGAAGACACTCTTGAATTGCAAACTCTTTCTCACGAGTCCATATGACGTCCCGGACCGCTCTTGAAGACGACGAGACAATAGTCGTCAGAGTTCCATGTGTTATGCAGCTGGACACAGCCCAACACAAACCTTATGTGGCAGATAATGCACACCTTGCAGCAATTCAACCGGAAGACACCAGCAGGGAGCCTATCTTCCTCAACCAACATGTTACTGTACCATTGCACTCCATCGACTAGGATCAGTCGTCTCATGAAGCCTCCTTTAAGCAATCACAGACACACGCCAGTTCCGCAACATAGTGGCCTCGATGCGTCGTAACCGAGTATGACGACAACGCTGAACGGAATCCTTCATGGGGATGCCCTCCACCGCAGCTGAAACGACTCTCGAACCGTTCCTATGAAGCGCAGCCGAACCAAAGACCGTCGGCTATTCACTCGGAGCAACCATGCTACAACGAGTGCAAGATACGTCCTCTTGTCGAGCGCGCCTCCTTGGGGAGAAGACGTCACTCCTGTGAACTTGACTGTCCACCTTATGGCAGTAGGAAGGTATGGAAAGCTGGCAGAACCGCAGCACCTTCGCTCCTCTCAGTGCAGACGCCACGTCTGATGTCGCACTGCCGTGAGCTCCATCACCGACATCGTCACTCTGGGATACATCATCCACAGACATCAGCCAGCGATACCATCACTCACTCAGCCAGCTCCTCGACAGCCGGAGCGTGACTCCCACGACGACAGGATGAGACTGCTAGACGATATGACACCAATACATGTCGATAGCCATCGCCATTCTTCTCACCTCTCATCCTTGGAGAGTAGTCATAGTCATGCCAACTCTCCTACCACTCGTGCATACTCACTCTCCCCTCCTCCCACGGAGGCCTTGTCGATACTGCGACTCCAGGGTGACACAATCTTCACCCCTCAAAGAGACGCCGACAACTAGAGAGGCTCGTCCCCACTCGCCTCTACCTGTACCCAGCCACCCCTAAAAAAATTTCCGGGGTTTATATGTTATCCAGGGTTGCGGCGCAACCCTTTGTCCGTGATAGCAGGCTTGGCATATCGATATTAATGATAGCGTAATCCCACTGAGGGCCCACGTGGTGGCCCCTCGTGTAGTCTCCGCTAGCGGTTCACGAGAGACTAATCAGGCGGCTATTTCTTAGCCGCTGATCCCTAACATTGTCACTGTTAGGAAACGATCTTCTTTAGTGGTTCTTGTGCCTATGGCACAAGGACCATCGACCGTCGTCGGTGCTCAGTTGCTGTCTCCCGCGTCAACTGTCAGTCCTGCACCTCTCGGTCACCGTCTGTCGGTAGACGTCCGGACGTCGCGATGATCGCGACTGCGGACGTCCAGAAGCGGTGACGTCTACCTGTCAACTCTCAAGAGTGGGTCCTTGTAGTTCCCGTTCTGGTCAAAGACCCACTATCGTAGGGGTCTGTCGAGTCCTTCAGGACTCGACCGTTGAGTTACAGATCCGTCAGTTGGTCCGTTGTCATTATTATATATAGCTCTCATTTCCCATGTATTTAGGATATCGATTATTGACCCTTTCAACACGAGTATTTGCTCAACGACTTGCCTATGGCAAGTCGCCAGTATTACCAGTCAAACCAACCGAAGTCCGGGCCTGTGTTCTAACATATGGTAGCGATGCTTCGTTGCATCTCGATCCGGGTGAAAGGACCTCGCCCTTTGGTCACTGACTTCGACGAGCAACAACTCCTCATTGCCAACGTCCTTTCGCTGCCCCGCCATCGTCGTGATAGCGACTCCCCAGGAGTCGATGCCTGAACCCCTGGAATTTTTTTAGGGTGGGCTGGTAGTGGGTGGTGACGAGTAAGGACGAGTCTCTCATAAAGGTGCTAAGTGTTCTCCGAAGGAGGAGATGCCGCCACCGCAGTCGTCTCAGAACACTTCGACAAGCAACGGCCTCCTGAAAAAGGGGAGGTGAGAGTGAGGGCTGAGTGAGGAGCGGAGGAATGTGTGTGAGTACTCTCGAGAGGTGTAAGGTGGGAAGGTAGTTGTTGATGGACATCAACACTTCTCGCGCGTTAATGGTTCTCACCGTCTCTCGAGGTATGAAAGGTGGGAAGGAAGGCTGATAGTCATCAGCCTGAGTACGTTCGTTACGTTCGACCCATCGATGACCCTGGTGGAGGGTTGGACTCATCTCTGTCGTCTTCGGAGGAGTCATGTGAGTTCTAAGGACACGAGCTCACGGCAGTGTGGAAGCTGGTGGTATCCAGTTCCGTTCTCCCACTGCGAGGTAGCAAGGCCGGCGTCTAGCCATGTGGTATAGGGCCTTGCCAATTGTGTGAATACCTTCCGAGCCTACCGAAGGCTGAGGTATCCTGGGACCAGTCAGCGTCCATCGACGTGGATTAGTCCAATCCACAGGGGTGTCATCCGTTCCTTGTGACACTCGGAGAGTGTGTCTATCATCCCAATCCACAGGGGTGTCATCCGTTCCTTGTGACACTCGGAGAGTGTGTCTCTCATCCCAATCCACAGGGGTGTCATCCGTTCCTTGTGACACTCGGAGAGTGTGTCTCTCATCCCCGGACTGCCTTGAGGCAAGGCGAGTCCGTGTCGGGACTAGTCAGTGCCCGCCGACGTGGGCCAGTCCACGTGAGTGTTATCCGTCCCTTCCGACACTCAGAGAGTGTGTCTCTTATTCCCGGACTGCCTTGAGGCAAGGCGAGTCTGTATCGGATCAGTCAGTGTCCGTCGACGTGGACCAGTCCTGTCCACGTGAGTGCCATTCGTTCCTTCTGGCACTCGGAGAGTGTGTCTCTCATCCTCAGACTGCCTTGAGGCAAGGCAGGTCTGTATTGCTTGTGACTCGATGTGTTCGAGTAGTTGCCCTGGTGTTCGCGGCACCATTGCGGGTAGCAGCGGGTCGCTCACCTTGGTGAGGTAGACAACTTAATGAACTGGCTACCTCATCAAGAGTCCTTCGCTGTCGAACTTCGCTAAGTCGCTTCCACTGTCGTCGCTGAGTCTTTCCATTGCTGGTAGACTCTTGTCATCCATGGCGTTAAGTCGCTACCGTCGGTATCTTGAATACTGTACTCGTGACCTGTCTTCTGGTCACGGTCAGTAACGGTTAGCCTTGTCCTCCGCCATTCGTGTTCAGCAGTATGGGATGTGTGGTCCTGTCAATCTCAGGTCACATCTCGTGCCTGACTCTTCGCTATTGAGTGCTTTGTCTGTTTTGCGTTAAAGTTTTCGCTGCACATTCGTATCTCGTGTCGTTCCTTGTTTCCGTGCGTCGCATCCTGCATGTAGCAGCTACACCTTCGCCTGACCCTCGATTCTACCGCTTCGTGCCCGTTCGTTTTGATGCGATACCGGTAGTAGGGTTTCGGATGGAACGACGTCCTTTCTGGACCCATGTTGGAGTGCTAGCCCTCACGGCTGGCATGGTGAGTTCGCCCAGTGGTTCTGATGGCTTGCGAGTCGTGGCCACTATTGTGGGCTTGTTGCCTTAAGTGGTTTCGCTACGTCTGCCAAGTCTTGTGTTTCGATGGATTCCGCCACTTCTCACCATTTCGTCCTTTCGTTAAACACGCTCCGTGGTGTGTTTCCAGTTAGTTGGTCTGTGTGATTAATCTTCGGCGTCTTCCCGTTGGTTTCGTACAAGTCAACTCTGTTGAGGCTGTGTTGCCTGTGTTTCAACTAGCTCATAGTTAGTTCCCGTAACGGACTATTGGTCTGTTCTGGTGAGTATTCGAACGGTACTGTTTGTTACTGTTTGGTTAAGATGACGTCGTCATCTTGGGGGAGGATGGAAGGAATGAGACCTTTGTTTTCGTGTTCATTCCTGAGTGCTGCTTACCGCCTGTGGCATTCGATATTGTCGTTACGTGCCTAATCGCTGTCGATGTGATTCCGTTGCTGAAACTGATGCTGAATGCTGATGTAGATGCTTGCACTACTGTTACTGAGGCTCGTGGCTACGTTCACGTTATTGCTTTCGTGTTCCGGCCTCATTGCTGCTTCCATGGCTGTCCATGTCCGTCTGCGCTTCGTGGTGTCACTGCTGAGTCACGCTCTTCGTGCTCGCTTTCCTGGATGTTTTCCACACCTTCTATCTTGGTGTCCGATGCTCTCATGTGATCACTCTCCCCCTACTCCCGCTCCGTGCTGCTTCGTGCCGCTCTGTTCTCTGTACCTTGTCGGTACTCGTCTTCTCCGCCCGTCGCTTCGCTTCCGCGACTGGGGTGTCTCTGTACTTCGTGCTCTGCTCTTCGATATGTGTTATCAGCCGTTGTACTTCGTCTCTGACTGCTTGTTCCGTGTTCGTGGTCTGAGTGCTCTGTGTCGACCCACCCTCGGTAGTTTATGCTCCTGTGTTGTGGTGTTCAGAGCTTCGGTGGCATTGTTATTGCCGGTTCCCCGTGGCTTCTTGCATCTTGTATCTCTTGTACAATCTGTCTCAGATCCCGGGGAAGACTAAGCCTGTCTTTTCGGTGGTATGTCTGTCTTCATACAGACAGTGACTTAGTTTCAGTGCTCTTCTGTTCGATTGCTCTACCTTCGTCAAGACCAATTCAAAAGTCTTGTTGGCCTGCTTGCGCATGCACTTGGTAGTCGCGTCGAATGTATTGTGGAGTTGTTGGTTGGTGTCATTTGATGACCCTAGAGATTCGTGCTCTGGTGGAATCCTCCCGTTCACCGTGGCCATCTTGTCGATGGGCTACTCGTTATGTTCCACTACCACTTCAGCAGTGAACTGCTTGATCCTCTTGGTTCTTATTTTATTCGGATCTTGAACTTTGTGTAAGTCAAGGATGAATTGTGGTGTTTCCGGACGGAGTCCCGTCGACTCTGTCTCGTCCTCATGGCGATGAGAGTCCCGTTTTGGCGTTTCCTATCGAGTTTATCAGACAAAGTATTTCGATGTTTGATTCGAAATGGATGCCTTTGTCTTAGGAGGGGCTGATGTTAGGAAACGATCTTCTTTAGTGGTTCTTGTGCCTATGGCACAAGGACCATCGACCGTCGTCGGTGCTCAGTTGCTGTCTCCCGCGTCAACTGTCAGTCCTGCACCTCTCGGTCACCGTCTGTCGGTAGACGTCCGGACGTCGCGATGATCGCGACTGCGGACGTCCAGAAGCGGTGACGTCTACCTGTCAACTCTCAAGAGTGGGTCCTTGTAGTTCCCGTTCTGGTCAAAGACCCACTATCGTAGGGGTCTGTCGAGTCCTTCAGGACTCGACCGTTGAGTTACAGATCCGTCAGTTGGTCCGTTGTCATTATTATATATAGCTCTCATTTCCCATGTATTTAGGATATCGATTATTGACCCTTTCAACACGAGTATTTGCTCAACGACTTGCCTATGGCAAGTCGCCAGTATTACCAGTCAAACCAACCGAAGTCCGGGCCTGTGTTCTAACAGTCACGGTGATGCGTTAAATATACCAAATCGAAATTTCAGAAAATCACGTGACCAAAATTGAAACGGCGACTTGGGGCATAAATAATGGAGATATCTGCAAGCGAGTACATGGATATTATAAATGTGGCTTTAGCAATTATTCTGGGGCTAGTTTCAAGCCGTATTTACAAGCGATAATGTCTTAGAATATCTAATATGGATGTTGCCCAAGAAAACTCAGATATCCGACATTGTGAAACATGGCATCATCATCTGGGTGAGACCGAGACTGAGATAACTAAAAAGTTGGACCATATTATCGGGACGGTAAATTGTTGGGTTAGTGCCGTCTACAACAAATATGAATCAATTCCGTCGTCTGCCGTATTATTATACATCACAGTGCCATTATGTCAGTAATAGGTTCCAGGAGTAGGGCCAGTCATCAACGCATTCATCGAAGCCAGGTTCCAAACCACGAGGTCTGAATTGAAAGGATCTGGGCCTGCCGAAAGATCTTCTGCGTTGTAGATATCCAACGCCATCTTCACCAAGGTCTTTGATCGGTCTGGGAAGTCAGTTTTGGGAAGGCTGTATCTGATATCTGGAAGGTCAACTTTTTCCATCTTTGTTACAACATAGACAACGTGATAAGCTGTGTGTGTGATTGCGGATGCTAGAACGTCATCGTAAGTGATGAACACCTCGTCTTTCTGGCCCATCCACTCCCCTAGGTCTGCCAGCCGTTTAGCAGGAACCATTCTGTCTTTTCGTTTCGAGATCTGTTGTCTTTGTGCATCAAACAGATAATCGATAGTCTTGTCTAACGCCTTTTTGGCTTCCAGAATGAGAGAACAGGCGCACGCCAGGTAGAACAGGTTGACCTGGTCATCGTATGACTTGTTGGCATACTTCCAGAACTTTTGGGTTCTGATCACGTACTTCCTCATGTAAGCCACTCTCTTGATTGGGCACTCAATATTGCTTCTGTTGTTGATCAGCTTGCGGCACTTGTTATACTGATTGGTTCCGCGGGTACGGAACACTGCAGCAACCACATGCATCCAGTCCAACCCTAGAGTGGTTTGTTTGAACGCATCTAGCAGTTTCTCTGCAACCTGTCGGTTCCCCTTTTCTCCGTCGTATTCATCTAGTAGATGCTGCATTTCTCTCATCTGGGGCATGACAGTCACGCGAGAGTAGTCTCCCTTGGTGCATTTAAACTGATATTCAACTTTGGCTTTCCCCTGTGTCCATCCTGGGCGTCGCATGATGTCCAGGGATCTGTTTGAAATGTCCAGAGGTCCAGCAGCCACAGCAATCTCTTTCATCTCTTTGAAACAATTGACTATGGTGCTGAACGCAGGCATGTCGGCAACCAGAAACTTCAGTCTGTCCACTCCAAATGAGCCCAGAAGAATGTCGACAGCATCTATATACTGAATGTTGCGGCACTGGTCGAAAAACCGCTTATCTCCGAGCTTCACATACTTGGCTCGGTGACTGGGGTTTCTCAAGACCTGATAGGCATCAGACACTGCATAAAACGGATCGGAGTCCGATGGCAGGAGTCCAAGCGCAAGAAACGTTCTGTTGCGGTACGCCTGATCGATTTCAAATGGGCTGTGTTCACGATTGTCCAATCCCAGTACTTCCAGTAGTGTAGACATGAGTGGCGGGGTGGGTGCGTTTATAGAGTCCAAAGTTCGTTGATATGCACGGAAGATGGCATGGATATACAAGTACACGGCATGCATTTTGGAAGCAGATGTACAATTCTACAAGTAGAATGATGGAAGTGGAAATGTCGTGGACGTGGAAAGTACATGTACTTGTACAAGTATTTTTGAGTGCCTGCATCATGCTGACTAAACATATACTAAATGATACGCTTTTCTACGTTGTGGGCTAACTCTCATACATAAACCGGTATAGAAGTACAACTTCAATATCTGTCACGCCGACCACCACAATATCTAAATCATACTCCCTACAACAGTCAACGTCAATAAATAAATTTAATGCACAGTACTTGTACCCTCAACTGCATTCTTGAAGGTCGCATGACCCAAAATGATACTTCAACAGCATCCCTCAGTACCCCACACCAGCGAGTGCTCCCAATTCACTCATGGAAGTGCCTCAAGCTCCATTAGTCAAGTGCACACGAGCTCACACATTCGCTTCGGTCATGTGGTCCACTCTACTCTGCACTCAAACCCATGGTGGTATCACCCAGGTCCAACAACGGTTCTTGACCTCGCATCTCGTACGCATCCAGAATCATTTCGTACGTCTCATAATCCATTTCCAGCACAACGGGACACCGCGAATCTCTATCATTCACAAGTTTAGCAGTTTCCTCCTCGGAGCACATATCAATCACAGGAGTGTTGTCTTCGTATTCAGACAGCTTAGCCATTCCTCCAGCCACCAGGGTAGAGAAGACAAAGAAGTTTTGAACGGTCGACTCGAAGCTTCGAGGGTCAATAATGGCCTGAAGCATGGGCAGAGGTTCTCCGCACTGCTTTCGGTAGTTGTATTCGGCCGTGAGTCTTCTTCTCATAATTCCTCCGAATCTCTGAATGTTGTTCTTGGTACTGTCGATCTCGTCGCCCTTGAGTTGCTTGGCCTTTTCTTGGGTTCCCACCTCTGTTGGGTCTTGTCGCGGCTTCATCTGGCGCACCTTTTGCGGTCGATCCTTCTCCAGAGCGCCAATCAAATGAGACGCTCCACGAGCCACTCTTCCGTGCTTCATACCGACCCGGCCCAGAGCTGCGATCCGCTTGAAATCAGGAACGGCCTGCGGATCCGCCGAGAGCCCCGTAAAAGCGTCCACCACGCGATCAAAGGCAGGGTCTTCAATCTCGGCGGCGGTGTCGATAAACCTGGTCACCATATTCTGCACTTCCTTGAGATCGATGGTGCCGGGCTGCGCGAGCGCGTACTTCTTGATGTGTTTGGTTTTTTTGGTCGCCACCGTTTTGAGCAGATCTGCGTCCTTGATGAGAGCTCGCCGGTCGTCCTTGTACTTGTTTTTGACCTCATTGGCTCTCTCGATCATCCCCAGCACGTGCTCTCCGTCGGCGTCCTCCACGTCCTTTTGGAACTCGTCGTAGTCCGCCTGTAGCTTTTGCTGCCTCAAGTACTCGTCTTCGTCGGACATTGTGTCTCTATGGTTGTGTCGGAGTGGGTGCTGCGACAATCACATCAAACACCAAAAAATTAACGTGCGATACTGCAGCATGCAATAAACGCGAAACGGCTTAATTTAGTTTTAGACGTGACGGAAGGGGAAATGGCAAGAGTACATACCAGTCGACGCAGTTGTAGAAACAGGCGAATGTATGAGAGGGCATGGCACAATATATATATGTTGGGACAGCTGTTTGTGCCACCACGTTTGATTTCGTAGAGTCCTTTTTTGCACATTTCACAAAATCGAGTTGTAGACGTTTTTAGCCCCCCTTGATACTGAGCCATACGTCCGGGTACTGTAGTACATACACTACAGTATAAAAGCTACTGGTAGTGTAGTGTAGCGCCGTACAATCGACATACAAGTTAGTGCACTAACTGTACGAGTAAAAATACCACTGAAAAGGGATATTATAACACTGATCACACTCCATTGTCCCTCTGAATCCCCTATTGGTGCACCCACGCACATTCCCACATGCACCCGGATGTCCCACATCGTATCTTTGCCGCACTTACAGATCGCCCCTGACAGCCGTTAATTCCGGGTCAAGTGAGCCCTAAGTATCGGGGATGGGGTCGTGTGACCGGGACGAAAATAGTGGTAAATGTAGACCAAGCGGCCCAAACAGACCCCTGGAACTCCGCCCCCATCCCCCAGTCGACTCCGCCCCCATCTATATTTGTCATCCCTTCTTCTGGCCCTTCCTCTTCCTCCCAACTTAGTCAGCAAGTTACTTACACGTACGAGTGTACTGGTACTACAATAGGAACCGAGACCGCAGCGCATATTACCTTTAGAGACCACTTGGAGGGAAAAACCACGCATGGAGTCCATCAGATATGAGCAGCTGTCGCTGACGGAAGACGAGATCCGCGCGTACAGCCGGTGGTACACAGATTTGCTGCTGCGCAAGGGCAAAGAGAGCATTGTTGTCGGCGATGTGCTGACGTTTGTGGACAATTTCGGCGTCAAGGACGAGGACAAGCAAAAGGTGAGTCAGACGGAGGGACAGCAGACATTGCCATCATATTACAGTGATTCTAACACAGATTCTCAATGCATGTGGCCAGCACCTGGTCAATCTGGACCCTGGCCAGTTCTACGGCTTTCTACGACTGGTGAGCCATGCGCTCAATGGCAGCAATGTGTCTGCGGCCATGATCTACCAGCCAGCTCCTCTGTTGCGGCCCAAATCGATTCTCAGCCGCAAGCGCAAAAACTCGGAGCCCGAGCTCGCCGTCACCCCCACAGGCACCCCGCTGGACATCAACTCCTTCACCAGTCTACTGTTGACCGGAGATAGACGCAAAAAGAGCAAGAAGAAGGTGCAGTTCACTAGCGAGCCTCCGCAGGTGACTGCTGCGGCCGGCCGGACGCTGGAGGAGCTCATGCGACAGCGCCAGAGCGGTTCGGCCCCTGTCTATTCGCAGAGCATGTCGGATTTGTTGGATGATGATACGGCCCAAGAGGATGAACCCAAGCCTCTGGAACGCCAGCAGACGGGGCCTCCACCTCGAACGTCATTCATGGCATATATGCACCAGACTGAGCAGGATCTTCAAGCTGAAGTTCAACCTCAGTCTCAGCAACAGCAGTCGCAGCCTCCACCTCCTCCTCAGCAGCATCAGCAGCCACCACCTCCGGTGACTGTGACTGCTCCGATCCAACAAGCCCCTCCTCCGAACCCTTCGACTGGTGAGGACGACGAAAACGAGGTCATTGAGGCTCTGGAGGACAGTGGGTTCAAGAACGTCAAGGTGGACAGTGTGCTGCACCACGGCAAACCCCAGGTGGGACCTCCTCCCATCACCTTTGGAAGCACTTACGGAGAAACGCCCGGCGATGCTTTCAGAAACATTCTGCAGAGCCAGGCGACCGGATCTCCTGCTCCTGGAGGATCTCCTGCTCCAGGAGACGCATTCAGAGATGCTCTGGTGTCTCAGGCCACGGGCAACAACAACAGCAACAACAGCAACAACAGCAACAATACTAATAACAATCTGCAGCCCTCTAACACAGGCTCGTCGTTTAAGCCTACCTTGGGCCGACAGGCTACAGGAGCTCCTTCCACGTCGTTTGCAGGATACATGTCGTACGGCGACGGATCAGCCAACTCGTCGTATTCGCCTTCGCCGGCATCCACTCCGCAGCCTCAGACTCAATCCCAGCCATCTGCAGCCGCTACAAACTACTCTGGTCTGTCTGGCGTGTTTTCCACCCCGCACACCCAACAAGCATATGGCCAGCAACAGCAGCAGCAGCAGCAACAATACCAACCACATCAGTACCATCAACAGCAACAGCAACAGCAGCAACAGCAGTCACAACACCAGCAGCATAATATGAACTCGGTCTACAATCTCATGGTGCCCGGAGTGTCGCGTTCACAGAGCGTGTCTCCCACACCCACCTCATTTGGAAACGGCGGTGGATACAATGCTGTAGGAGGCCGACGGGTGCCTCCGCCTCCTCCGCCGCCCCGAAACAAGTCTGCATCTCCCCAGCCACCGCCCGTGTCATTTCAGCGAGAGGCTCCCGTTCCGCCTCCGCCAAGACGAGGGTCTACGGCGTTGCATTCTGCGCCCCCGCAGACTTCCTTCAACGGCAACGGGTATTCGAGCCAGACGAGCCCCGATCTTCTGGCTGACCTGCGGGCGCTTCAGGACGAGGTGGACAAGCTGAGTGGCGCCAACCGGTGAGCAAAAGGTGGCATAAAAGGACATTGATAGAGTATAGTAATAGAGCAAGGAAGTGATGTGATGTAGATGAGATGTATGTAGCGATGCGGGAACGGGTGGTGCTGGTGCGAGCACCCGCTGATAGACGTGCCATAAGCGACATGTGGTCATTTGATATTTTTCTCTCCACTGTGTTTCAAGTGCTGTTTTCAGGCACTTTTCTGTTGCACTATGCTTCTTCGTGCCTTTACTCATAATTAACGCAAGATTAAAGCACGCAGGTCCGGCTATTGTATGTGAAAAAAATCAAAAAAAAGGGGACGGTACGTTATCGGTTGAGACAAGGTGAAACGCTGAAGTTGAAGACCCCTGCTTTGCTGAGACGATCAGTTGCGCTTGCCATCTCGGGGTGACTGTAGCCTTCCAATATAGATCTTTTAGATAAAAACAAATGTACAATGTACAAGTAACATGTGAGAGGGTGTATCCTATGATGGTGCTGTGCTGTAAGAATGGCACTACAAGTAGCAAATGAATACAACTACACAACTATACAAGAACACTGTAACTATGGGCTTGTGTGTATTGAGTCGCACTGCAGCTCCTTGGGCTCCAACTGCTTCTCCACAGTGGATATGTATGGAAGCCGTCTGTCTATCAGTGAGGATCAGAGCAACTTTCAGGGGCTCAGCAGAGAGCAATTGTCAGTGGTATTATGCTGTATGGTTAGAGGGGGTAGCTACTTGTAGGTGCTGTAGGTGCGATTTGGCGGCGGTTGTGCTCGGAATATATCTTTGTGTACTTTACGAGCACGCAGATCCAATGTTACACAGACTGGTAGAGACTCCACGGCCCTCATCGGCACATGACACATGACATTGTCACCTCGTTCCAGCATTCCGTGCTTCAAATGTCCGCTACTTGGTGCTACGGTAAGTTGCTCATCGCGCCCTGACACTGTTGCACATGTTATGGTGCGTTTAGGGTTGGGTTTGTCTGGGAGCTAAACAGGTGAGGGGCAGAATTATTGGGGTGTTTGAGCAGGAATACTGCAATTATGAGTCGAAATATCTGATATTAAACGGCTTAGTATCCATTTCAGACGTTTTTTGCGTCAAAATCCGCCCCGAAATGCCCTGATATATCCCTCCACAACCCCGCTGCTCCAAACTCAAGGTTCCTCCCACACACAAGGGTGCAGAAGTAAACAATACAAAGGCTGTCTTGAGTCTGAAATAGTCGGGAAAAAACATGGACTGTAGGCTCTCAGGCCGAGCTGAAACCAGGCGGTTTGGGCGCATGCTGGCCATTAATAGACTTGCACAATCATGTCCAGGATATATAGTAGGCTCACAAGGCTGATATCTCCGTAACGTCTCTCACGATAACAGCCTTGCCGTGTTCATCGCCGGTATTACACTCAAGTCTGACGATATACACCCTGACTTCCAGTCACACCATCCCGGATCACACCACTTGTGCACTCATTTCCGACAAAAGCCCGTCTCGTCCGCCAAAAGTGCGCCTACTTGTAGCTCAGCTCATTCTTCAAGGCCCTTGCTCTAACCACCATTCTCCATACCTGCCCGCGGCCAATCACCCCATTCTGCCCAGCCTGCATAAAAACTGTATACAGTGGAAGCAAACAGGCACACTAGCGGAATTCTTCTGAGGCACTAACAGGACCGAAAACCGTCTCTATTCCGGGCTAATTGCTCTCCAAGCCCCTCTAGCTGCGCAACGGTCGCCGAATCCGACCCCTCCCGGCTCCAGAACCACCACCCTACTTGCCAAACCAACAGTGTCTTTCATTCCGCTGCAACAATCCAACCTAGTCTGAAATACAGCTGAAAGTTGAAATAACAAACAGACCAGACGCGCGCCCCGTGCATACCACACATATCAACAAAAAATAAAACGCTCCTGGGACCATACTCTGTGTCTGTCCAGCTGACCCTACCCGCTTTGATTGTCTGCCGCCTCTAGGTTCGTCCGCTAATCAGCTCAGCTGCGTTTCTGTGCATAGATCTCTGGTCATTCGCAACTGCATATACACCTAGACCTTCTCAGCCGGGACTCTCTTCATTCCGTTCCCCACTCACCACCTCTCATTGCGACCTCTCCAATACACACTCGACAGCTCCCGCTCGCCACAATAACGAGTCATACCGACCTAGTCGTCCGACATATCTCACCGACCTATACACTCCTTATACGCACACATATCTCCCACAACCCCCCTCACTCCTTACACAACACACATTCCCTACCCACCGACAGACACGGACGACGACAAGTTTATTGCCCACAACAATGACAGGACTATTCTCATTTCTATGGCCGTCTTCAACGACCCCAGCCATCACCATTCCTACATACTACCAGGGCGACAACGAGGACCACATTGACCTGCAAATCAAGTCTCTCACCTTCATGTACAAGCGTTGCAATCGCCAGATCCACACTCCGTTCCGCAGAGACTCGTCGGAAGACATGACCAAGGACGTCAAAGAGTGTCTGATGCGCCACAAGCTCAACAAAAAGCGGTCGCATCAGGTGCTTCCAACAGCTCTCAGCAGCGAGAAGAATAATCTGCGACCATCACGGTCCGAGGAGGACTTTACAGGCATGACTGCCAGCGAGGTGGAAAAACTCGACATCATGTACAACCGCAGCGAGTTTGAGCGCCAGCTGTTCAACGACCAACACAGAATCACCATTGACTGGGCCAAAAACAAGTTTCGAAGCGTCTGTATTCTGACCGCCATGCCTGCCCATTCGTCCACTCTTCCAGTTATCGACAAGCTCAACAACTGCAAGTTCACTCTGCTCCGAGCCGACGCCACCGACGAAGAGTACATCCGCACCCTGGCCGACTCAGATCTCTACCGGGAACACAACATTGCTCGAAACACCCGAATGCGGTTTGCGAGAGACTGCATCGACCGCACTCGGGACGCCAAACAGCCCAGCTCCGCTAACTTCACCAAGGATGAGCGTGCCCTCATCATCCGCACCTTTCTGCAGAAGCTGGCAGTCGAAGTCCAGGTCCAGAGACTGTACCGAGGAGCGTTCAGAGAACGACTGCGAGAAAAGGAGAAGGAGTCGACCAAGGGAACTCTCAAGCTGCACAAGTCTGCCTCTAAGGAAAATTTCAAGGACTTTGTCACCTCGTCTTCTAGAGACAGTCTCAGAGACACCATCTTCCAGCTTGAAGAGTCTTCAGCTATTCCCAACGCCGCTCCCCGACCCTCTACACCCCGATCACCTAAACTCGAGGTGCGATCTCTTAACATCCCCACTCACACCCCGTCGCTCAAGGGAAAGAAGTCTCACGCTGAGCTGTTTCTGCTCATGTCTCCAGAGAAGCAAAAGTCGTACTTTGACCCTCCTCTGAGTCCCCCCAAGCAGCAGTCATCTCCCAGTCCCAACAGCTCGCCCACCCGGTCTCCTCGACGGCAGTACAACACTCCGAACCTGCCCATCACCAACAGCGGCACCTCTTCTTCGTCTAACCGGCTCAAGAAGAAGGCCAGCACCATGAGCCTTGGCAGCGGCTGCGGTGCGCCTCACATCCCTCCTCCTCCTACATACGCTCCTTCTACCTCTCCCGAATCTGCCAATTCCATCAATTCGTGCGTCTCCACCGCGACGTCCACAACCTCCATCAGTTCTCGCACCACAGCCGTCTCCGAGGCCACTCTGAGCGAAGATACTAACCGCGAGCTGCTCGCCCAGGCTCGTATTGCCGTGCGGTCGCGTCTGGAGAGCGAAAAGATGCGAATTTTCGGCCCTTAACATGCATTATTTATACAATAGATTAGATCAGTTCTTTACTTACTATGACTTGGTGAGTGCAAGTACCAGCAGTACATTCATATGCTCAGAAGAGTCGCACCCTGTACGTAGTTGTACCACAAGCTCACCATGATACAGCTCTGTATCCATAACCGCCTTGAAGTCTACAATGTGTCACCCCATAGACTGTATGTTATAGCCGACTAATTATTCCCATGCTAAATATAGTCTACCAGATGGTCCATATTTTTTTTGGTGCCCAGATTATTATCTACAGCGGGAAACTCTACAGTCCCCGTAGTAAATATTTTCTACAGTATGAGAAGGGCATGCGGGACAGTCAGAAGACATGTGAAACTGCTGCACTGCAGTCTGAGATCTTATCAATCTGATCAACAGTACATTTCCACTTGTACCGTTACTGGTACTTGTACAACAAAGAGGGTTGCTTCCATAGGCATCACTACTTGTACCATGTGTACATATACTGTATCCCCCCAACTCAAGGTGAAACATCTAATCCATCTATACATAAATAATCAAGGCCGAGAACCACGTCTACCTCCATACAGCTTCTGTTGCTTGATGCTCTTGGGAGTGCCGAGATCCTGCATCTCCAGGTCGTTGAGGTCTCGCCGACCTTTGGACGGAATGGGCCGGAACGAGTTGGACAAGAAGGAGAACAGAGACGGCTTGTGGTAGTTGTCAAACCCACCCTCCATTTCATCAGGGTCTTCGTTCACCTCAGATCGAACCCGGGTCTTCTGCAGAGTGATGGCAGGGAAATCTTCTTCGTCAAACAGCTGATTTTTGGTTCGTGACAGAGGCACGTAGGCCATGTTATGCCCAAACCAGGTGTTTGTGGGTCTATATTCGCCAAACAGACGTTTGAACAGACCAGCTCGATTGCCTCCCTCGTTGCCCAGTTTCTGGTACCGCGAAGTCTGTCGTCCTCCTCCAGAAGCGTTGGGGTCGGATCCCTCTTCGTCGGCCTCAGCGTCAGAGTCCTCAAAGTGAGGGTACTGCTCGTTGAAGGTAGCGTCGGTTTCTCGTCGCTCGGCTATCTGGGCAGCCTCCTGTTCCTGTTCTCCTTGAGATCGAGCTCGCTCGGCGTTCTCCTGCTTAATCTTCCAACGGAGAGCTCGCAGACGCAAAATCACCTGGTCCTCGTTGTCTCTAGCCAGACCAGAGAGGTTACCAGCAATGGTGATGGCCCAAAGAGGCAGGTAGACGAGAAATACAGGCAAAACGACGCTGGAAGACGGGTAGAAAGGGGAGACGGTCTTGTCGTTGACCACCATGACGGTCACCTGGTAGATTTCCGTCAGCAGATTCATGAACACCATGAAGGGAAGAACTAGAGGCACCTGGGGCACCTGGTAGTACGTGATAGTGACTCTGAGCGAGTTTACTAGCTGGATGAAGGCAAACACCTCGCAGATGCCGCCAATGACCCACCGAACATCCAGATCAAAGAACGTGTTGTAATCCAGATGCTTGCTCCAGTTCCGCAGCACCATCATGAACATTGCGAAGAAGCAGCTCACGTAGAAGACGATGGGAGGGATGATTCGGGCCTTGGATTTGAGGTCTGTCTGGTCAATTGCATAGGGGTCTTGTTCCAGCAGTTTTCGTTCTTCGAAGAAACCCCATCTTCGAATGAACTCCCACGAGACCATGAGTCCCAGAACAGGGCAGACAGACAGAAACACGCCGTACATACCCGCAGCAGTGCCCTGGATGTAGTTTCGGTCAATATCAACAGCAAAGAAGCCGGTGAGGATCAGCATGAGTCCCAGGACCAGGAGCAGGAACCAGGGCAGTCTTCGGCCTCGAATCCAGCCAGGTTCGGCCGTTTTGGTTTTGCTAGGCCGTCCGCCCTGGCTCATGAGCTCCTCGGCCTTGGGCTCGTGCATGAAGTTCATTCCATGCTTTCTCAGGTTGAAGAAGGTGACAAGTGTGGCAGCGGCGATTCCCACGCTCAGCATGACGCCCAGGTAGCCCTTGTTTCCCATCGAGTAGTAGGGAGAGTCGCAGGTGGTTCCATTGATGGCATATGTGTCCAGATACTCAATGTGCACAAAGGTGGGGATGTGGTCCCCGAAACTGAGCCAGCACTGGGGTCCGTTCGTGAGAGTGCCGTTTTCAATGTCCACGTGCAGGTTGAGTTTTTCCATGATGGCGGGGTCGTAGTCGGTGTAGACCGGACCGTCCATTCCGGATCCAGGTGGTCGTCCCATAGTGCGGTATGTGTCTGTGGAGGGTGTGGATGATGAGACTACTTTTTTGTTCACCGGTCCAAGACGCGTACTTTAGGCTTCCACCTGTTGCGTCATTAAATTTAGCGCGCATACTTGGGCCCAGCGTAATCTCGCATGATCTGGGGAAGGGAGAAGAAATACGGGCACCCGACAGGGACAGCCTGAGACGCCCCGCAAGCAGACTCCATGACCGACACAAAAACACGCCCCGCAACAAACACACTCATACACAAATAACACATGCCATGATTGCTACATGAACAGGGTTAGCTCCTTGATCCAAACTTATCCAGACCTCGGGACCCTTTCCAGCACTACAGTTTAAGGGTAGACTTTCGGCAAGGCCAGAATAGGGAGCCTGAGACAGCCAGACTGGGATAAACGTTTGCCAGAGAATATGTGCTCGTATCAACATGTGTACTTACAGTATGTACATACGAGTACATGGAAATGCGGTCGTCTTAGCCCCTTTTTCATCGTACTTGTATATAAAGACGGTTCGTTTACAGTTGTAAGGATTAGTTGTTGGGCTGCAGCCATGCATTATCTATTCGATCTGTTTGCTGTCCTCTCGTCTGTGTGGAAAAATCGAGACAAAGACCAATCGGGCTTGTCATAACTTCATATTCCCACCGCTATGATCTGTGCTGTGTCCACACTGGCAGTGGTAAAGGTGTCCCGTTTACCCTACCTCCAAACCTCCCAAACCAGTCTGACAATTACCAACCCTAACCTTTTGCCAAAGTATAAACCGCGCGGTGACACCCATCTTTCTTCTTGTCACATCACCGACCCTCAACATATCGACCGTAATACACTTTTGACGACACGAGATTGTAGTTTAGCTCGACCCATATCTTTCGGCACCTTCGAAGATCCACTCGCTCATGCCCTATAGCGGACTGGATTCAAAAGGGTGCCCAGAAAAACGTGAACGACCCATAGGAACCGGATTTTACTGGGGGACCCGTTAGCCCTGCAACTCGCTTGATTTCTAGTCAAGGGTAATGCTAGGGCTTACATTCTTTCAAATAGTTATTTAGTGTGTGCAAGTTCTGCGAAGAGAAACAAACTAGAACTTGCACACGATTTCATTCGAGAAGATACCTCTCTCTGATGGATGTTGACCCATCAGACTGTGATCAGACATCTGTTGTGTCTGAGTGTCTGAATGTCGACAACATGTATACCATGTCTCCATTACCAACCGACCATGTCTTTGCCAACCGACCAACCGACCATGCCCTTGCCAACCGATCACGCCTTTGCCAACCGACTTGTCTCCAACCGGCAATGACTACTCACCCTTCAAGTCATCTCTTGAGGCACTTGTTGCCATACTGTACTGTTTTCCTTAACGAGTATTAACCAGTACTTGAACAGGACGTACTCCTTCAGTATGTACTGTACTTGCTCAAGTATCTCCGTCCAACGCTGAGTGCACCATCTGTAGTGAGCCTACAGGGAAGTTGTTGGCCTATATATACACGATTTTTTTCCATTTTTTTCCATTTTTCCATTTGTGGCCGAGTGCACCGCATATTATTATCTGACCAGTCAGAGATCATCGAATTACCAGAGCCAACGACATATATATCTGCGGTGATCCCAGACCACCCGTGAAACAGTGTCTTGTTACTTGGCCGATATTGGGAGTGAAATTTGGCGTGTCTTAGATCACTTCCTTCCAGTCAGTATGACAGCCAACTTTACGTCTTGGGAGAGTGTGAAAATAAAAAAATAAAAAAAAATAAAAAAAATCATGGAGTGGGTGAAACTTTTCGGCTCTCCAACCTGTGAATTAGAGCGGAAATTATAGTTGGAAAAAAAAAAGATGAACATGATGATTGGCGTAAAAATGGAGCCGCCAATACTGCTTTATAGGACCAAATGACAACATAGAACAACGGAAACCGCAATAAGAACTCACCACGCCCTCTTTACCCAGTCATTGACACAGACCCCAACTCCATCTGCAGCTCTCCACACTTCCCCACATGCAAATCACGCTAACGTCTTTTCTCGCCCACAGCTCTCCGCACATGTGCCGATCAAGATCGGAACAAGTAGGAACGAAAACAGACGGAGGAACGGTATGTTTCGGTCACGTGACGGAAAAAGGGGCGGAAAACCGGCGACTCAGCTCGATTGTCATTTTCAGCAGCGCGCCTTCGGGCACATCACGTGACCATGGTCTCCAGCCACGGCAATTTTACTCGCGGGCGGTTGGCGGTCCAAAAAAGAAAAAGAAAGTCCGACTTGTGCCTGGGAAACATGTGGAGCAGGGTGTCGGTCGGCATTAGGCAAGGGGTTATAGGAGGGCCTTTTGGTATAAATGCGACACAAACAGGCTCGGGACACAAATACAAATGTATATATATCCTCCCAAGACACTCTCTCAGGTTTCTTGTTACATCCCTTTATGGTATATACCATGTACAACACCCGCTATTCGTACCCCAGATTCCCCCGAAAGTTTGCCGAGCCGACCGATACCCGACAAGGTTCGGAACAGGGCCGACGCAACCAGGGAGCTAAAGGACGGGTGTTCTGGGGAGACAGTGCATACACGTTACCGTTAGTGGGTTATACTTATATACCTCGGTCCTTCTCTTTCTGCCATCCACGTCACATATCCTCCCCACACACACACAATGCGACTCACTCTGCCCCGACTTAACGCCGCCTACATTGTAGGAGCCGCCCGAACTCCTGTCGGCAAGTTCAACGGAGCCCTCAAGTCCGTGTCTGCCATTGACCTCGGTATCACCGCTGCCAAGGCCGCTGTCCAGCGATCCAAGGTCCCCGCCGACCAGATTGACGAGTTTCTGTTTGGCCAGGTGCTGACCGCCAACTCCGGCCAGGCCCCCGCCCGACAGGTGGTTATCAAGGGTGGTTTCCCCGAGTCCGTCGAGGCCACCACCATCAACAAGGTGTGCTCTTCCGGCCTCAAGACCGTGGCTCTGGCTGCCCAGGCCATCAAGGCCGGCGACCGAAACGTTATCGTGGCCGGTGGAATGGAGTCCATGTCCAACACCCCCTACTACTCCGGTCGAGGTCTTGTTTTCGGCAACCAGAAGCTCGAGGACTCCATCGTCAAGGACGGTCTCTGGGACCCCTACAACAACATCCACATGGGCAACTGCTGCGAGAACACCAACAAGCGAGACGGCATCACCCGAGAGCAGCAGGACGAGTACGCCATCGAGTCCTACCGACGGGCCAACGAGTCCATCAAGAACGGCGCCTTCAAGGATGAGATTGTCCCCGTTGAGATCAAGACCCGAAAGGGCACCGTGACTGTCTCCGAGGACGAGGAGCCCAAGGGAGCCAACGCCGAGAAGCTCAAGGGCCTCAAGCCTGTCTTTGACAAGCAGGGCTCCGTCACTGCCGGTAACGCCTCCCCCATCAACGATGGTGCTTCTGCCGTTGTCGTTGCCTCTGGCACCAAGGCCAAGGAGCTCGGTACCCCCGTGCTCGCCAAGATTGTCTCTTACGCAGACGCCGCCACCGCCCCCATTGACTTTACCATTGCTCCCTCTCTGGCCATTCCCGCCGCCCTCAAGAAGGCTGGCCTTACCAAGGACGACATTGCCCTCTGGGAGATCAACGAGGCCTTCTCCGGTGTCGCTCTCGCCAACCTCATGCGACTCGGAATTGACAAGTCCAAGGTCAACGTCAAGGGTGGAGCTGTTGCTCTCGGCCACCCCATTGGTGCCTCCGGTAACCGAATCTTTGTGACTTTGGTCAACGCCCTCAAGGAGGGCGAGTACGGAGTTGCCGCCATCTGCAACGGTGGAGGAGCTTCCACCGCCATCGTCATCAAGAAGGTCTCTTCTGTCGAGTAGTTAGTATATAGATGATTTATGATTTATGTTTGGAGCAAACTCGGACAGAGCAGAGGGCCTGGAGAGTGTGAGAGAGACGAATGCGTAGTGAAATACTGCCACAATAGGATATTGTAGTAGTATTAGGTGACAATTGCTGTATGGAGAAGTTATGAGGCGATTGCAGTACATACCGGTCAAAAGAGACCTCGCCTTCATTCTGCCTGCGATCATTTGGGTTTCTCCGCTACACTAGTCTCAGAGCAGTGATACAAATGGGGCACATTTTTGTAAGTGACGAGTGACATGTTAAGATGCCATTGGATTCTTCCGACTCTCAGCTTGATTTCTGTATCATAATTTTCACGAAATATTTCTTATTCATTCACAGGGTGCATGGATAATTAGTTCTTAGAGCTTGGTCGGCAAATTCTACACATTTGGCCTTAGAACGCGACAAATTAATTGTCCCCATACCCAACCTTAATAGACATTAAGTTTCGAAATTTTGATGTAAAATCATATAAATTCGACATAACTCTGTCATATTTTGTGAGACAGAACAGGCTGAAACTTGTAGTTTTTGCAATTACAAGTACTTGGTTCGGTGTCAGTCCTTTGCGTTCGCCATGAGCGTGAGTACGACACAAATCCCACAAAGACTCGGGCATGATACAGTTCCTGTTCCACATCTATGTGATCCACCATAGCAATGGCACTGAGTTGTTCTAGCTAAAGTATTCATTATTAAATGAAAGGAGTTCAACACTTGAGAGCCTCTTCCAAGATGATTGATTGTCCAAGACACGTTGAGATGCCTGACTCCAAGACATGGCCTGTTGACTACTTGTAACGAAATGCTGTTTGACAAAAGTGCAGCTTAGGCCCCCTAGCCATTGGCAAATAGTGTGGAACTATTTGCAAGTACAATCAGGTGTTAAGGGTATACACACTAGTATTCGGACGTCCATCCCCTAAACTGTGCTTCGCCTCACAAAACAAGTCCACGATTTCTCCACCTCGGCCGTTGTGCTCTACACCGTTCCTAACGCCACGGGAGATTTGGTAACTATTGTGGGCACGAGCTTTTTGACGAGCGCACGGTGTACGGAAAACGAGTCTAAGATCCTCTACAGGGCTGAGGTCCTATCCAGGCGTCTCTTCCAGTCAATCAGAACTCCTCGAACGAAAGCAGATTCGTCGAGACCTGCTCCAGGCAAGGAACCAGAATGAGAGGAGAAGTACTCCGAGGAAGTCGAATTTACCGAAGATAAAACCCGGGTGCGATTTAATATTGAGACACTATTACACGGAAGCAATCAAAGGAAAAGGTAAGTGGGACTCCTCGACTCCTCCAAGGACCCGCAGGATGTGAATATATACATGACAGGAAACGAGTCGGAGGACGTCAAGACAAGGTGCCAATATGTTTCCACCCGACACACAGGTGGACAGGGCGCCCAATGCTACACACAGGTCAGTTCCGACGCCTTGGAAAAGTAGCGGCAGCTTGCCATTGGACACAAGAGTGATATTGTTGGAAGGATCTTGGAGTGATCTATTGGAGGAACTCGGGTCTATAGTGGAATGATTTCGGAGTAGGCACAGTAGTCTCCCTGTCAGAGCGTTTGATATAAGAGCACAATGGATGATATGAAAGCACTAAATATAACATGCAACACTACTCCATGCCGGACTTGCACCGAGCGAGTCCAGACCAACTATGATAGATGCACTTTGTATGATAGTCAACAGTTATGGATCGTGGACTATAGATGTAGTGCATAGCCGCACGGCTGATCTGCCGATTTTGAACACACTTGAAGACTGACACATGTCCGCAGTGAGCCTATGGCCCTGTTGAATGCCGTCGATGAGTTGGGCTGTCATGAATGCATAACAGTGCCTGAAATCGTTTGTGGGATGTCGCCGATGGTGCTTGCTGATGGTCAATATACAGGATACAAGTACTCGTACTCGTAGTATAGCTTTGTCTGTTGCAGATGCCTTTTTATCATCGGTGTATACAGCCACTATGTATTTCTCGTGTGTTGCAACAAACACTGAAGCTCTGGACACCACCATACAAAGCAACCTCAGACCAAGACCACTTGTAAGAGGTCTCCAAAAGCAACTAATCCACTCGAGCAGTCTTTTCCACACCCATTTTCAACTCTTCGCTCTTGCGACTTCTACAATAGCACTCAGAGCCTTGTAGGTCTATCGTGGTATATCTCCCCCATCATCACAAACCATGACTAAGGCCAACAGCTTTGTGTTTCATCAATATATCCCTTTTTGAGCCGGTATGAGGACGGAAGCTTTGAGGTTTGCGCTAGCGGCTCGGAATCCGTTGTGCTAGCTGGACAAGAATCACTGGTCCACTTCTACATTCGCAGCTTATTTGATCACGACAGGCTAACCGAACTTTGTGCATATCACCCGGTCTGGTGTGCCATGGCCCGAGGTGGCAGGCAAGTCTTCACGGAGCGCTCGGCTCGCTGGGGGAGTGGAGTGGGTGCCAGGAGATTACCAGCCAGTACGTACGGTAGTCGTATGGTATTGACAAGGCGCGGGGTTTCTCAAATGCACCCAACGAAAGCAGTGGTTATAAGCGAGCTCTGTTCCAGGCTCCTCCATCTTGTCTTCTTCTGGTCTGACACGCTGAAGTTGAAGCAGGAACTGCAGATGCACATATCGGCCCTGCTGGTCCTGACACCTCGGGATGGTGGGCTTGGTGTGAGTTGGAGTCATGGAACAATATAGTGGCTCATCACGTGGACGCTGCAAACCTGCCACACCACCACCGTTCTTGCCACCGCCGACCCCTTCACGTGGCATCTTTGCTCGTTGCTCGTTGTCTCACTGTCTCAGTTGCGGCTCGGAATATCGTTGCTTTTTTCATTTCGGTTAGCACTGGCCGAGCCTAATCGGACACTTGGCCCCGCAGTGTCAAGAAAAAAAAGAAAAAAAAAAGAAGCGAAAAACAAACGGAAAACACGAACACGTATAGACGAGCTGCAACGAGGTGTCACGGATGAATACGGTGGGGGAAAACATGGAAGACCAAACGCCGGCGCTAAAATCCACAGGCCGCAGCACTCACGTGACACACCCACTGCACACCTGCACGTTGCACTCACACCGTTGCTGTCTGGATTCTTGGTTCCACTAGTGGCAGATTTCTGCAATGAGCCAGGCTAGCGAAACGGTAGGTTTGGCGACGTGCCGTGCTTTGAGGGACAACAACAACGCCGATTGCTGGGTGAACCACCACGGAACTCGTTTAAGCTACTCCAAAGTCCGACAGGGACTTGCAACGACCGACGACAGCTGTCACACGTCACCTCTGGGGCTTCAAAGTCGGACCTGAGCATCTTTCCAGGCAGCCTAATGGTAGAGTTGACAGCTCCATGACAGGAGTTTGTTTTGAGAGTTGTGAGGACGCGATTGCGAGTGTGGGAGGCAGAGGTAGGGCCGAACCAACCTATGGATTGACGCATCGAGTCATCCACGCATCCACCCATATAAAGAACCCTTGTTGTATCCCCCCATCCGAGCCATTAGTTGAACATCAGATGGTTGCTGAAGTTAGAGTTGGGCTAGCAAAAAAGCACAAGTGAAGCAGAGCGGTGTGTATCTGAGGCTGCAAGGGGCGTGGCGTTGCCGGAGGCCCGCGGAATCGGATCGTATGTCTCCTGGCCAACAATCACGTGCATATCTCCTGTTTCTCTCTCTCGCGCAACCCCTAATCAACACCCACCATCATCACCGCAAAACCTTGCTTAAATCATACGCACCTAATCCACACTACTGCACGCTTGACCGCATAATAGCAAGTGGAGCAATTTGATAAAAACGACGCTGCCGGCCCCTCGCTGCTGAATCTCGACACACAGACCCAAATGGCGACCTCAACCGCCCCGCTCAAACGCGTCCAGCCGACACCCTCGAAAATAGCGAACCCCATGGACTCGGACGACTCGGACGACATGTTCGACCTGGCCTCTGATACAGACAGCCCAAACAAAAAGCGACAAAAGACGGAGGCCGACAAGCCGGCCCGCAAAGGCCAAAAGCTCGACCAGAAGCTGCTCGACAAATGGGACGACGAGGAAAACTACTACAAGACCATCATTGGCGAGGTGCTGAACGACAAGTACAAGGTGGTGGATCATCTGGGCAAGGGAGTCAGTGCTACCGTTGTCAAGGTGGAGGAGGTGGGGAAAGAAGGAAACGAAAAAGAAGACAAGAATGGCAGCTCAAATGGCCACGAAAACGACGGCCTGGCCGTGAAAATCATCCGAAGTAACGACGCCATGCGCAAAATCGGAGACAGAGAAGGCAAAATCATCGACCGCCTCAACAAACACCAGTCCACGAGCTCGATTATTGGCCTCATCGACCGCTTCGACCACAAGGGCCATCTGTGTCTGGTATTTGAAGGCATGCATTCCAATCTTCGAGACATTCTCAAGGAGTTTGGACGCAACCAGGGCATCAACATCCGGGCCGTCCGTCTCTACGCTCGGCAAATTTTCACTAGTCTGCAAATTCTGCGTGAATGCCAAATCTTGCATGGCGACTTCAAGCCAGATAATGTGCTGGTCAACGCCAAACGGTCGTCCACTCGCCTGTGTGACTTTGGTTCGGCCGTGGAGGCCAACAAGGACCAAAAGGCGTGGACGGAACCCATGCCGTACCTTGCATCGCGGTTCTACCGGGCCCCCGAGCTCATTCTGGGCGCGCCCTTTGACTACGGAGTCGACATGTGGTCCGCTGGATGCACTCTCTACGAGCTGTACACCGGATGTATTCTGTTTGCAGGCTCGTCCAACAACCACATGATCAAGTGTATCATGGACGTGCGAGGCAAGTTTAGCCACAAGCAGCTTAAAAAAGGCAAGCTGACGGAAAAGTACTTTGACGAGAACCTCGACTTCAAGTCCGACGAAGTGGACCCCCATACTGGACGAATGATCACACATACACTACGATACACACAAAACCAGGCTCCTCTGCCTGTCAAAAAGCTGCTGGGCAAATGCAGAGAGACCGGATCAGATATCATCCTACAGGGCCATCTGATCGATCTATTAGACAAGCTCTTTGCACTCAACCCCGAAAAGCGAATGACCCCAGAACAGGCACTCGAGCATCCCTTCTGTCATGATAGAGAGGCTGACATAGACCAGCTCGACCCCCAACACAAAGCATAAGATACAAGAGAGCAGCCACTTTGGGCATGTAAAATAGACGGAGGAAAGGCACGCATAGAAATAAGTTATTCCAGACTGTGTGATGTACACAGCTTCAATCAATTTCCCAAGTTTACTGTAGCCGAGGTTGATGTTACCTTGCACCTTGCTGAATCTACTACAAGTATCCTTTTGACAACATTCAGGTTGCTTCTGTTTCCGTTTTTGTTTCTGTTTCTGTTTCTGTTTCTGTTTCTGTTTCTGTTTCTGTTTCTGTTTCTGTTTCTGTTTCTGTTTCTGTTTCTGTTTCTGTTTCTGTTTCCTTTCACTCCCTTTTGCTTCCAGTAGTTGTGTTTCTGTTCATCCCTATAGTAATTGAGTGACTTCATACAAGTTGGTACAAGTTCTGTACTTATGAGTACTGTACTCGTACGAACACTTGTAGTACAACCGCTTGTTTGCCTCGTACAAGTACTTCTCACTTGCGCTCCACGATATATCGTAGTTAGAGATCGTCGGAGTGCCGCATAATTCAACAAACGAGCTTCTACTGTGTCACAACTGTTATGGTATAAAAGCCACTTGCACACCACCATTCGCTCCATACCTCTACTATGGCGATTCGTATCGGCCATTGTCCTTCGCTCTTTCACCATCTTTCGCTATGCTATAATTTACTATGTACATTTAAATCTTGTGTCGTGCCTTGGGGTCGGTATGGTAAGGAGACCAGATACCTCGGACACTCTCGTTTATACTTTCAACGGGGCTCTTCATCTGCTTTCGGGGAGCTCCGTCGGAGCTCTTGAGCATCTCAAACTTGCCGTTGATGAATCGGGGATGCTTGTTCTTGCAGCAGATGGTCTTCTCGGCACCGTTGACAAACTCGCCTCGGATGAAGGGGTGGCCAATGTCCTTGACAGCCACAAACTCGATCTCGGGGTTCTGAGCAGCAATCTTCTGCAGGTTCTTGTCCAGGTATTGTCTGTGTTAGTGTGATCTGAGACGCGGTGGATGTCTGAATTCAAAGACCAAACAAAGATGACACGTCACACCACACGCACTGGGTAGCATTCTGCTCTTCATCTAGCACCCCACTTGTGCCACTGGCATGTCTGTACCTCCATCTATGTCCGTGTCCAAGTCACAGTTCAGTTCCCCGTTGTGATACTCACCTCATTCCGTCGGAAGAGCCACCCCAGTTGCAGTACCGGAAAGTGACCTTCTTGCACTGAAGCACAAAGTTGCCGACACCGTTGAGGTTTCGGGCAACAGTCTGGTAAGCTGGTCGAGCCGACATTTTTGTGTGTTGAATGTAGATATTTCAGATTGATCTGTGCGTTGCGTTTAGGCTCCTGTAATTTTGCAAAGGTAGGGTAACTGTGGAGGCCCGAAGGGGGGGGAGGAGTAATTCTTGGTAATGAGAGACAATTAATATGAAGGAGAGCATTTTAAATGGAAGAAAAACAACAATGGAGACAGTGTGGATTCTTCCATACAATAATTACCAATATTAGAAGAGCTTGAGGGGGTATTGATCTGCCCTTCAGAGTTCAACTAAGCCAAATACAGTTACTAATGTTGGGGCATTTATTAGTTAGCTAATTGTCAAACGTTTACTTAGCCTTCTCCCGCCTCTTTCGACTACCGCCACTGAAGTCATCAACAAGGTTCCAATGCAGAGCGAATCAAGACCAAGCTGAAGTCGTCTTGAACACCACAACTCACTCGCTCTCACGACAAAAACAATGCTGCGAACACGAGCCGTCGGAATCTTGTCCCGCTCGATCCACACCTCTCGGGTGTGTGCGAAAAACGTCAAGCTCGAAAACCCGTGGTTCAAGGGCGAGGGACCCATGGAGCGAACCAAGCGAAAGCTCGAAAACACGGCTGCTCGTCCTGGAGGAGCTCTGGCCGAATACGATCTCTACGGCGATCTTGAGACGGCCCACAACAACGTGGAGGCCGTGCTTTCCAACGGCTTTGTGTTCAAGGACGACAAGGTGCTCAAGAGCAAGTCTCCCAGCGGAAAGAAGCCCGTTGGAGCCATTCTGATGGGCCTTTCTGAGGTGCTGGCCTGGAACCTTACTCCCGAGTGCGTCAAGGGTCTCGATACCGGTCTGGTTGAAATCGATCCTGCTGCACTGGGTGTCTTTGAGGTTGTCTACCCTCGTCCTGAGCTGCTCATCTTCGGCCTGGGAAAGAAGTCGCGAGTGCTGTCGCCCAAGACCCGAAACTATCTCAACTCTCTGGGAATCTCCGTCGAGATCTCTGACAGTGCCAACGGAGCCAAGAACTTTGATCTTCTGGCCACCGAGCGTCCCGGTCTTGTTGCTGCTGCTCTCTTTCCTCCTGACCTGTGATTAGAAGGGACAAAAGAGCAGCAATGTATATAGTAAAGTATTTATTTGTGTATCAAGGGGAGGGTGGAGACGGTAGTATGAGCGGATGGTCAGTATAGTACAAGTACAGTGTACTTGTTATTGCAAACAGCCTTGTAGCTCGCTGATTCTTCCTGGGGCACACTGTGGGTCTGAAAAACTCGATCACGTCTTGAAAAGTCTTCTTCAGAAGAATATATCCAAATAAAACCTAGAAAAACAAACTAGTGACGATATTCTGTTCGCTTTCCCCTTGTATTTACTTCTTCTCTACCTTTCTTGTATAACTCTCTTCAATGCCATCTCACTTCACCCTACTCACGATGTCAGATAAACTTCTGATGCACAACACTAATATTTCAAACCAACATCACGACCATCAACATCACTACACACACTAACAGCATCCATAATCATGGTGAGTATCTGCGCGACATTTGCTCTGCAATCAACAACAAGGCTAACCCAGGCTGAACTGGAACGGCTACCCCCTCACATCCAGCGGCTCTTCCCCGAGTGTCCCGAGCCACGGTACCTGGAGCCGATCGACTATGCTCCTGAGGACCGAAGAACGCAGAAAATCTCAGGCGTTTCGGCGTATATGGAGCTGTTGAAGCAGCCCGATTCGGAATACGTGCCGACCGAGTCGTGGCTGGTCAAACAGCAGCGAGAGAAGCGGCTAAAAAGTGAGCGCCAAAAGGTGACCCAGCAGGAACGAAAAGAGGCATGGGATCCCAAGAAGGACGACAAGATTGTGGGCGATCCGTTCAAGACGCTATTTGTGGCGCGTCTGGCGTTCGACGTGACTGAAAACGACCTGGAGGAACATTACATCAAGTTTGGGCCTGTCAAACACGTACGTATTGTACGGGATCTAAAGAGCGGCAAGAGCAACGGATATGGGTTTGTCGAATTCCAGGAGGAAGACGATTTTCGAAAAGCATTTCAGATGACCAACGGATCGATCATCAAGGGCAGAAAAGTGGTGGTTGACGTCGAGAGAGGCCGTACGGTCAGTGGATGGCTTCCTCGACGACTAGGAGGAGGAAAAGGCGGAAGACACTACACAAAGGAGTCTGAACGCAAACCGCTCGGTCCACCAATGCCACCGGGAGGAGCTGGAGGACGGGATCTGTTTCCAGGACACAGAGACCGAGGTGGGCCCAGATCAAGAGACCCTAGAGGATCCAGACCTCCGGAAGACTACAGAGACTCGTTCAGAGGACGGGGCGGAGGTCGAGGAGGACGAGATTTCAGAGACAGGGATCCCCGAGATCGAGATCCACGTGATCGAGACCGAGAACGAGACCCTCGTGACCGGGATCGAGAACGACGACCTCAATACAGAGACAGAAGTCCTCCTCGAAGAGAAAGAGATAGAGGGGACTTCAGAAGAGGGCCAGCTGACAGAGGAGGAGACAGAGGAGGACGAGAGCCTACAAAGTATTATTAGGCTGAAGGTATACACGGCATGTAAATATATAGCTGTATTATTCAGATGAGATGGTAATACTAGTATGCACATACTGTAGTCAACTGATGGTAATGTAAGTAATAGAGCATGGAAAAGATATGCCGGAGGAAGTTCAACACTTGCTTCTAGGGAAAAGGTATGATACGGACGAAGACTGCTGGCTCCACTCACCCTAGTATATCAGCCTCTTAATATCTTTCCCATTACTACAGTATTATCCACACTTATGAAAGAGCTGCGCAGTAAATGGCCTCAAAAAACACCACATTAAATGTCGTCAAACAAATTGCATATCAAACACTTCTGACGGATATTTCTGTTCTTCTGGCTGTTATACTTGTCCTCGTAGACCAAAATATATTCCCAATTACAGAAGTTGTTTTGGCGCCCAAATCAAACCTAGTGAGCCTCGGTCACACAACCAGCCATCATAGTATAGTGGTTAGTACACCACGTTGTGGCCGTGGAAACCTCAGTTCGATTCTGGGTGATGGCAAGTGCCTATTCTTTTTGCTCCAGCTCTGATCTGGATCAGACATGTTTTGTAGGCGAAATATGGAACCACTTTTTAGAGGGCTACATTTTGAAGTTTCATTTTCGCCCTAACCCTGATTCAGATTTTGGATAATGTAGCACAAAAATTAGCTCCACTAAAGCTTTTATTAAGCCATCATAGTATAGTGGTTAGTACACCACGTTGTGGCCGTGGAAACCTCAGTTCGATTCTGGGTGATGGCAGCATCATGCTGTTCCAAACAAGCAGGTTTGATTCCTGCAATATGTTTTTTGTTTTTTGAAGATTCTTTTCATTTTTTCCCCTTGTTAACTGTGGTAGAAATCAAAATGAACCAGTCTTACATTCGTAATATTACCAATCCGCTATTAGTATATGAAAACCGTCAGAGTAGATTCAATCAAAGTTCGGAGATGCATGAAATTTCAATATCGGAGAAGTTTGAGATCGTCTTGAACTACAAAAACCACAATCCATGTCTGACGTTGAGCAGCTCACCTCGTCCAAGCTCGGTACCAAACAGTACTGGGACGAATTTTACAACCTCGAGAAGAACAACTACGCCGAAAACCCCAACGATTCTGGAGAATGTTGGTTCAGTGACTCTGGAGCAGAAGAGAAGATGGTGGACTTCCTTGTTGACGAGGAAGAGCAGGGCCAGGGCGAGTCTCTGATTTCCTTGGACTGTAAAATGTGCGATCTGGGCACAGGAAATGGACGACTGCTGTTTAGTATCCGAGAGGGGGGATTCACTGGTCACTTGACTGGGCTGGACTACTCTCAGCCTGCTGTGGAGTTCTCCACCAAGATTGCCGAGCAGGAAGAGATGGAAAACATTACTTTTGAGCATGCGGATTTTCTGGGAGATGCCGCTATGTGGTCGACTGGCAACCGACAATGGGACGTTGTGCTGGACAAGGGTACTTTGGACGCCATTGCCCTGTCTGATATTAAGTATGAGGGCAAGACTGGCGTGCAAACATACCCCCATGTCGTTCAGCATATGGTCAAGACTAGGGGTGTTGTTCTTATCACCAGCTGCAACTTCACTTCGGACGAGCTCGTCAAGATCATGACTACAGACACCTGTCTCAAGGAGTGGAAGCATGTCAAATACCCTTCTTTCCGGTTCGGAGGCACCGACGGATCCACCGTGTGCACCATTGCATTCAAGAAGGAGTAGATCCTGGGACAAAGGAAAGTAAACAGCAGCTGATATAAAATCTACGAGTACGTCATTTCAAACCAGGTCTCGTACCACATCTTCCTACAATACACGAAATAACACTCTAATATTACACTATATCATTATTCGTTAAACAGGGATGAGACCCTTGATGCCTGCCAACAACTGCTTGGCGGCATCGGGATTACCGGTCTTGAGCGCATACTGGACCGGCTTATTGTCCTCAATGGTGGAAATACGAACCACCTTGTCACTGGACAGAGAGGCTCCCATACCTGCCTGGACCTCCAGACCCTTAACCAGACCCATGTTAAGCACCACTCGATGAACGGCGTCTGTTCGCATCACGATGCGGCCGCTGCATGTCTCGGTCACGTCTTCTGGTTTGAGCTTGTTGATGTGGACCTGACCAACTCCTCGTTCCTTCCATCCCTCAGTGGTATTGGTCAGGTCGAAGTAGTACAACTTGGCTCTACATGTGTAGATCGACTCTTCTCCTTCCTCTCCGGTCTCCATAGACTCCTTTTTGGCCAACGGGGCACTGACACCAATGTAATGTTCAGCCTCCTTTTCCTTTTCTAGCTCTTGCTCCTTTTCCTTTTCCTTATCGTCCGCATCCTTGTCCTTGTCGTTCTTGTCCTCACCATCCTTATCTGTCTTCTTGTCCTCGGTCTTGTCCTCCTTCTTCTTCTCGGCCCATGGGTTGTCAGACTTGGTATCGTCCTTCTTCAGGTTGTTTAGCACCGAGGAAAAGCCCCCAGAGTACTTGGTGGCCGAGCCAAACACATAGCCGGAAGAGCCTGTAGAAGCAGCTGCAGGAGCAGGAGATGCAGGGGTGGTAATAGAAGAGGTGGTGGTTGAAGCAGGCTTGCCCCACAAAGATCCGCCCTTGAAGGCTCCGAATCCGCCCGAAAACTTGGAATTGGTTCCAAACACGTGCTTTGGCTTCGAGTCGCCGTTTGTGTCCTTAGTTTCGGGTGCAGATGATTCTGTCTTGGTCTCTGCTGCCTTGGCCAGCTTGGTCTCAGTAGCAGACTCAGTCACAGTCTCAGCCGTCTCACCAGCCTTAGTCTCAATGGTCTCATCAGCCTTAGTCCCGGTGGTCTCATCAGCCTTAGTCTCAGTGTTATTATCAGCATTAGACTCCTGCTTGGATCCAGCATCACCAGCCTCCTTCCCAACCTCCTTAGACTCCTGCTTGGTATCGTTTTCATCAGCCTTCACCTCTTCCTTGAGCTCCTCGACCTCCTTCTCAGCCGCCTTGATCTCATCAGCAACCACCTGGGTCTCGGCGGCAATCGCCTTGGTCTCCTCAGCAGCCTCGGCAACGGCATCAGCCACATCCTCCTCACTGGGAGTCCACTTGATGCCGGTCACAGGCTTGGTGGGTGTAGTCTCCACCTCAGCGGCATCAACAACATCCTCCTCACTCTTGCGACGCTTGATATCAATTTTCTGAGGGGTCGCAATGGACTCTCGCTCTTCTCGCGTTCGTTTGGACATGGTCGGGATCGAATTGTGTGTGTATCGTAGTGCAGTATTCAACACAAATTATTTGGTGTGGTTCTGCAACTGCATTGTGGGCGGCTTGCGTCTGGGATTATGTAAGCACTCCGGGTAACTGGCAAGTCGCAAGAAGAGGAAGGTGCTGTTATCTGGATGGGGAATGAGCAGAATGACAAAAGGAAAAAGTGAATGAAATGCGATAGCATGTAATATTACCTTTTCAATCTTCGATATTCTATTAAATAATCGCAACACAGTGTTTTAGACACACTCGAAGCTATCCACAGCTATGTACATTACATACAGGAACTCCGTGAATGGAAGAGAAGAACGATCGATAGAGATCTCTAGAGATATCTTATAAGGGACGTAACAACAAAAGAAGAAAAAGTGAAGCTCCTCGATTTATCAATCCAAATCACGAATACCCAGATCTTGTGTTTACTACTCCAGTACCACATACTTGGATGGTCTGGAGTCTTTCTTTAAAAATCTTAACTAAAGCTAAGTAAAATCGTCATCGTAGAGCCCATTGAGATCTGTTACAGAATCAGCTAAACTAACCCGAAAACAAAAGATTTTATTAATAAAAACATCCGACTGTTTTTTCTGTAATGGAAAATACTTCTGAAGTGAAAAAAAAACAACCCATATCACTTTTGAAAGCACTTCAGCTTGACTGTTTCTCGTCTCAGTAAAGTTTCGTAAGTATCTCTTCTTAACAAACATCAACACCATAACAGACCATTTATAACACATAATAAAGTAGATGAGCCAAATAATCTAATGGATATCACTTCTGGATACTTTTCAAATTGTTTCTCCCTTGACAGACCACAAATTCATCATTCATCCACCCCCATAATTTCCGTTGAGCCGTTGCTGGGACAACCATCCTCCATCCAAAAGGGTAATTCAAAACCACCCAAATATAGACCCCTAACTGTATACCCAAGGCTAGACCTAAACACCCTATTGCTGTAACAGAACGATCACCACAGCTTCAAAAATGTCTCTACCGGTATATTTGCGACTGCGCAAGGATGACGAGCAGCCCAGCTCGCGGCCCAGCTCCGCCACTGACAAGCCGTATCTCGAAATCGCCTCGGACGACCCTTCCACCATCATCACCAATCCTCCAGAGAAGAGCCGAACCAGGACCAAAGAGAAGTTTGCATTTTCGGAGGTCTTTGACGGCTCGACTCAGGAGGAGGTTTACAAAAAGGTCATGCTGCCCATGGTAAAAAATGTGGTGACAGGATCGGGAGACGGTCTGTTGTTTGCCATGGGAACTACCGGGTCAGGTAAGACACACACTCTGCTTGGTAACCCTCGGCTGGGACGTCCTGGCATGGTGCATTATGCACTCAAGTCTGTTTTTGATGCCATTGGTGACCGCCTGTGTCTATTTGACGAGGCTGAAGCGGTTGCCGAAAAAAGCGCAGGTCCCAACAGAGAGTCCCATGTTCTGGAAGCCATTCCTTTCATTGACAACGGCATTCTTACACAGAGCCAACATCAGCTCAACCAGTTCATTGAGAACGCCGTTGTTGCCGAAAACGCTGACCTGTACTCTTCTGTCGGCCAGAGATCTTCCCATGGAGTGTACATCTCCATGGTGGAGATTTACAACGACAGAGTTTTTGATCTTCTGGACAAACGCCGACCCGTGGTGGTCAAGTGCGACACAAAGGGCAAGTTTGGTATTCCCTCGCAGACTAAACTCTTCTGCGCAACCATCCAGGAGGCTTTCCAAGTGCTGGAACAGGCCCATGCACTACGAAGCACCCACTCCACAGAGTCCAACAGCGTGTCTTCGCGGTCCCACGCTCTTTTCACAGTCACCGTAAAGAGACTGGGTCGAACAATGCTCACCACAAGCCTTACAATCGGTGATCTTGCTGGAAGTGAGCGAAACAAGAGCACTCGGGCCGAGGGAGAACGTCTCAGTGAAGCCTGCTCCATCAACCAGTCGCTCATGATGCTCGGACAGTGTCTTCAGCGACAGAGAGAAGTCAAGGGATACAAGTTGGATCGATCCATTCTTCGATCTTCGAAGCTCGCCCAACTTCTTCTTCCAGTTGCCTTCTCCAGAGATGCCATGACTGCTCTCCTTATCACAGCGAACCAGAACGCCGACTTTTCATCCACCATCCAGATCATGCGATACTCTGCTCTGGCACGAGATACCATCAAACCACCCGTCACTCCTGCCTACCTCAAGCGAGCTGGTTCTGGACCTTCCACTCCCGCTCAACGCGCGGTTTCCAACTCATCCATCTCCTCTACAGGCTCCACCATGTCGCATATGTCCTCCGCATCACATACTTCGCACGATGACACCAAGGACAATCTCATTCGAACCATCGCTGCTCTGCAGGAGCAACTGTACCAGGCTCAGCAGCGAGAAGACGCCCTGGAGATCCAGATCCGAGAAGAGGTCAACCAGGAAATGGAAACCCACATGGAGCAGATGCGCCAGTGGTATCTGGACCAGCTAGACCAGGCTACCGATGCTGCTCAGAACTTCACAGACAAGAAGATCTCCATTCTGGGACGACGAGTCAACAGCGACAATGTCAGCGACGAGCTGGTAAAGCTCCGCAAGGAAAATCAGTTACTTAAGCAGAGACTCAACGTTGACAAAGAGAACGTTGAGATTGCACATGGTCCAGACAGCTTTCGTTCAGACTAATCAAGAGAACAGACATTACTAATAATTACATAAATAATCATGATATCATTCAAGTGGTAGATGGAAAGTGGTCCTAACAGTTGATCTCATACCCACCTACAGTTTTTACTAGTCAATTGGATGATCATATGTAAGAAGACAATGTCAACCCAAGGGGCATCATCTTAGACGATGCCATGTCGTGGAGGGAACGTGAAGGTCCATACATTAACAATATTGATAGTTGGCAGATCCACTGTGTCTATGACAAGTGAACTCACACATTATTCACCGTTGGTACTGGCCAATGGACGACATAGACTGAAGCAGCTCTTCGATAGGCTCTACACAAGAACACTGACTTGCAGTCTACACTTGATTTTGTCCAAACAAAGATGATAGTTTACATTCATTTACATCATTAGCACTGCTACCGTTATATGATTGATCTGCAACGCTTGTAGTTTACAATTGCGAGAGAACCTCATAATATTTACCCACATCCATCCGCTGTTCGAGGGGCTTGTAGTCGCTTAAACTCGCTTAAACAGTTCGTCGATCAGACATGTATCGAACGACGGCTCCCTGTCCGGTGATGTCCACGGTCTTCTCGTACCAGGCAAGTAGGATGGCGCCGACTCCCTGGGACTGGCCCTGTGGCGAGCCCATGGCCTTGTACAGGTACTTGATGAGCACATCCTGCTGTTCCTTGTTGAGAGCCTTGACCACGGATGGGATCTCGGCCGATTTGGTTGCGCTCAGAACCTCAATTACAGACTTGAGGTGGGCGTCCTGGGTTAGTACGTGGGGTCTGGCGGTTGTTACATTTAAAAGACAACTGATTGTGTCCCCAGATGTCGGTTGATCACGAGCTGATGGGGGTTTCACTTGCTGCCAAGAGCAATCGTTTCCACCGCTCCATACTCACCTTTACCTTGTCATCACCACCGTAAGGAGCAAAGTCCAGCGCAATGGGAAGGGCAGCCTTGGCCTCTCCTCGAGAAATGGCTCCTCGGATTTCCGTGGCCACCTGTTGCTGCTCAGCGGCAGAGACGGGCTTGCAGGGAGGAGTGAGATCCTCCTTAGAGATGAACGAGTCTGGGTCGTACTGGTCGACGTCAATTCTTCGGAAATCAATCTGCGACATGGTGTGTGATGTGTGGTGTGTGCTGCTCGTGAGTTATTTGCAGGTGAGTGGGATTTGGTGATGTGCTGTGCTGTATGCATTATCAGAGTTTGGGAGGATGAATGGTAGGGCAAGTTAGAGGTGATATCCGATGACTTGAAATGGGGGTAGATGACGCATTATTCCAGATGTGATTATACCAGCGGATAGCTCGTGACATGAGATTCACTGGGATATATTCAAATCTCTTGTATCTTTTCCCAATCAGGTTCTAGGTCCGATATTGTCCAAGATTGGAGTAATGAAGGCATGTGTACCAGAGAAAGTCGTATTTGAGCACCTGTACTCGTTTCCAAGTCAATTGACATGGAGCTCCCTCAAAAGCTCTAGAATCAAACCATCAAACCCCACAAATACACCACAAAGGAACCCCGCTCGGCTTCGAACACACAACCACAAGACACACAGGATGGCCCGAGTCATCAACCGCAGAAATAAGCTCACCATAGTGCATTTATGAACACCATCCAGGACCAAGCGATTACTGGACTACAGAAAAGCGTTGGCGCATCATGTGATTGCGGAAGGACAGCAGACGGCTATCAAAATCAATAAAATACACCCTGCGTGTGAAATAAGAGCACGTGACCGGGACTGCCTTTTGCCACGTGACCTGTCAACACGCCAGATAAGCTATCTGTCTATCTCTGTTGTCTGTTGGCTACAAAGTAGCTACTGTACGATCTCTATTTCGAAAGAGGCCTACGCATCAACAATCACGTTCTTGCTAGTGAGATACAACCAACAACTACTGCTAACGGCAGCTCTCTCTGTGAAGAGCGAAATTGCGCAGTGTCGGCGGGTATCTATCTGAGCCGGCGTCTCATCTCGCTAAGATACTCCATCGAGACCATTTGCAGGCCTCTCAAAAAGGAAATCAATTCCGAACCAAATAAGCATGACGTGCATTTGGCGGTGGACTTCGATGTGGAGAAAAAGGTGGCAGGAGAAAGCGGTGAATGTAGGGTCAAGATGCGTGAACACATTGCCCACTGAGGGGGAACAGAGCACCACCAAGGGTGAAATTGACCTGATAGAGCACAATAACTGCCCTATGACCACCAACACCCGATCCAGCAAACACAAAAATCCTTACCAGCTGCCTTGTCAGACTCAGAAACACACCTCAAAACCCCAGACGTTAGACTCCGACGCTAGCCCGAGTATATATATTGAAGAGGTTAAAATCATGTGTACCGAGCAAACATGCCAGTCAGACTCTACTGTGGGGTGCGCGGGATGTAGCAAGAGTGGAGGTATAGAGCCGACTTCTCTCAAATTTATCGATTGCTCCAATCGCGCAACTCGAGGTCATGTGACCCACCTTTGGCAGGCCCCATGTCTACTCGTACGTAGATGTACTGGTAGTCATTCATTGGAAGGTCCCTTCTATTCGCAACCCAATCATACAGTGTCTATTCTGTATAGGGTGTGTCTGTCGATGAGGGGGGGAGTTGATGTTCCATACAACGCGATGATAGGGACGGTTTGGCGACATGTCACGTGATCTATTCGAAGGGATACAGGGTCAAGATATGATTTTCATGTTTTTAATTGTATATTTGCTCCCCTTTGGGCCCCTTTCACCCCACCAACCACTTACATAACATGGTTTGCATTTGACTTCTTTTTTTGAATTTTCTTTGCATCACCACCTACACTAATACTCCACCAGGCCTCAAGAAGCAACGCTACCAGCGACCAGGAAGCAAGAGGCACGAGACCGAGGCGAACAAGGCGAATACCACATCCCCCGCTTTACACGCATAGAGCCCACGTGACCTAGGAACACGTGAATTTTTCGGGCAGAATCGGAACCAACCACTCACAAAAAAAAAACACACCTACATTCTACAGACACCACACAATGACGGAGCCGACAAAAGCCGCCGAACACACACACAAGAGCGCCGAGCAGGCCCAGGCACAGCTTCTCAAGGCGGAAAAACAACAGCAGCTGGCGCTTTCGACCGGAGAAACCCCGGAACAACGGAGCGCACGCTATGAACGCATGTTCCGCAAACTGGATCGAGAGGGCAAGGGCCAACTGTCCAAGGAGGACTTTGTGGCAGCCTTCAGTGGCTCGCTCGGTGGATCTGTGCCCGAGTCGCACACGCTGCGAAACGCAGACTCGCTGGTGGGCAACCTGGTGAATCTTATGGACACAAATGAGGACGGTCTCGTGGACCTGTCCGAGTTCCAGTCGTACCTGGAGCTCACGGAACAGAACCTGGTCTACCTGTTCCACATCATCGACGACAAGGGAGACGGTAAGCTGGATAGAGAGGAGCTGGCCGACGGAATGGCAGCTGTGGGACTGGGAGACATGGACAGCGACACGATAGACGACTTCTTCAAGGCCCTCGATCGAGACAAGGACGGATACATTTGTTTCGACGAGTGGCGCGACTTCCTGCTGCTGGTCCCAAATGAGGCCGGCTCTACCCTCAAGGCCGCCTACAAATTTTTTGTAGAGGAGCTGGATCTCAGCTCCGAAGGAGACGTGATTTTTCACAGAGACGTATTACAAGGTCTGGGGTACTTTCTGGCTGGCGGTCTTGCCGGAGCCATCTCCCGAACAGCCACCGCTCCTCTGGATCGGCTCAAGGTCTACCTGATTGCCGATCCTATCACTCCCGCAACCACAGCCGCTGCTTCAGGAGCCTCGGAGGCCGTCTATGAGAGCATTGCCAAGAACGCATCCAAGGCAAAGCCCCCGTCGGGGTTCATGGCCCGACACCACGTGCTGATCAATGCCATCAAGAACATTTGGGCCGAGGGAGGAATCCGGTCGTTCTTCATTGGTAACGGTCTCAACGTGTTCAAGGTGATTCCCGAGTCGGCCATGAAGTTTGGCTCGTTCGAGACCGCCAAAAAGTTTCTGTGCCAGCTGGAGGGAGTGGAGGACACTGCTGACTTGTCCCGTGCATCAACTTTTCTGGCCGGAGGTATCGGAGGTGTCGTGTCGCAGTTTGTGGTCTACCCCATCGATACGCTCAAGTTCCGAATCCAGTGCGAGCCCCCCACCGGCGCTCTTCAGGGCAATGCGCTTCTGTGGCACACAATGAAGCAGATGTGGAGAAACGGAGGTCTGGCCACCTACTACAGGGGTCTGTGGGCTGGTCTGGGAGGCATTTTCCCTTATGCCGCGCTTGATCTAGGAACATTTGAGGTCATGAAGCGAGGATACATTACCCGAGAGGCAAAGCGACTGGGCTGCGAGAACTCTGACGTCAAGATTGGTAACATGGCCGTTCTGACCATGGGCGCATTATCCGGTTCCGTCGGAGCCACGGTTGTGTACCCCATCAACCTGCTGCGAACCCGTCTCCAGGCCCAGGGAACTGCTGCTCATCCTCAGACGTACACTGGCATCATGGATGCATACCACAAGGCGGTGACCAAGGACGGTTACCGGGGTCTGTTTAGAGGTCTGGCTCCCAACCTTGCCAAGGTGGCTCCTGCCGTCAGTATAAGTTATTTGGTCTACGAGAATACCAAGACCATGTTGGGGTTGGAGTAATGCTGGAGTAACCATCATTGCTCATGTACAGCACCGGACCTATAGTAGAAGCATAACATAACGCATGTTGAATATAATAGAGCATAGAACAAGTACTTGTAGGAATGGACTGAGGGTGTACGAATAAAAATATTAGATTGCAATATGGACGCATAATGTATATGACGAGTCCCCTTGTGACCGACTGTTGTAAGGATCATCATCGGTGAAGTGGTCGACTATCATCGGTGAAATGGCCGATTATATCACCAGTAGCCCAGTTACACATATTCCAACCAAGAAACAACCTCTATGGGTCCTGTTTCGATCTTTCTGACCACGACATCTTCCAATCCTGGGACTTGTTTGCTACTTTGAGCCTCTGATGATATCCAGCCCTCCAGAGTATGGCGTCCTTCCAGCTCACATTGGATCTTGAACGTATGTTCCAACTTGGAAGGGTTGAAATTTGGCCCGTAGTTAGCCAGACGTGTGAAGAACGCGTTGAATTCGAGTTGGAGGTCCTCGATCAGTGTGGGAGCGTCGGTCACTGGCACTGTTTGGTCAGACTCCGGTACAACAGGAATGTTGAACTTGATTGGTATCGTAGCAACGTGTTTGGAAGCCGAGTTGTGAATCGATATTGCCACGGCGGCGCATTTACCGTCCTTGAGCAGGTTTACGCACTCGTGGCTCGCCTCGTCAATGTATCCATTGACTACTGGTGCTCGACAGAGCCACACCGCGGAGTTGAACTGACGCACCTGTTGAAAAGCGTCTGCGGGGTATACATTGAAGTAATAGGCAATGTTGTGGATGAATACGGCTAGAAACGTCCGGATGCTCTCCAACACGGCAGCATACGTAGTGGTATCTGGTTCCTGTGCTTTCATGTGTGGAGAAAGAAGCAAGCTTTCTGCTGTCGCTGCGTGTGGTGGGTGGCAAACGTCAGAGAAGGGGTGTCTTTGTGGCGACAATTCAAGTAAGTCAGGCAGATATCAACAGTTTTCTTCGGAGGCAACTTTGGTCATAGTCGTTATCTGAGCTTTTGTGAGGTGGTTCTGGTAAGCAGTTCAGATGGGAGTGTTAGTTGACTGGTTTGACCTATACTTGGAAAATGGACGTTATTTTATTCACTCCCAACTATAGCTAATGTAAAAAGATAACTAAATAAGGTTCGGGATTTCTCATCCTAACAACTTCGCGTAGTATAGCATAGTATACAGACCACACTCAAACACCCCTAGCACGATAGCCGGAGAGCAGGATGTTTGGCAGAGAGCAGCTTCTTCCATCATAGGTAGATTTCCCGAAACAGCGCTTCAACCACCCGTCTACAACCGGTCCACAACCCCCGTATTACCACCTCTCTCAACCTTGTTCACTCAAGCAGCTTAATTGCAACGCGTACGCTACACGACAACACAACACAACACCTGTCTATCACCGCCATGGCTATCAAGGCGATAGACACCGCGTCAATTCGACAGATAACATCGGCGCAAGTCGTTACGGACCTCAATTCCGCCGTCAAAGAGGTCGTGGAGAACTCTCTGGACGCCAACGCCAAGAACGTTGAAATCAAAATCTTCGACTATGGAAAAGATCGTGTGGAGATCATTGATGATGGAGACGGAATCCCCAAGTCCGAATTTGACCACGTGGCACGCAAGCACATGACGTCGAAAATCATCGAGTTCGACGACCTGGCCAGCGTTCTCAGTTATGGATTTAGAGGAGAAGCCCTGGCATCTATCTGTGAGATGGCAGAGCTCGAGATCGTCACATGTGGCAACACCAGTGAACCCGCCACACGTCTGGAGTTCAACCGTGACGGATCTATCAAGAGCACAAAACCTGTGGCTGGTAAACGAGGTACAACTGTGACTATCAGGCGGCTGTTCCACAGTGCCATTGTTCGTCGGAAAGAGTTCGAGAAGAACGCCAAGAACAGTCACCCGGGGCTCATTCGCATGCTGGAGACGTACGCCATTATACGCTCAGATGTGCGGTTTAGTATCGTTCATGTCACCAACAACAAGAACCGAAACGTGCAGCTGACCACCGACGGATCAGGGGACATGATAAAGACTGTTGGAAGAGTGTTTGGAAACGAGCTCAAGGCTCATTTGATGGATGTGAACTTTTCTTTCGATGTTAATTACACGAAACGCGGCTTTCTTAGTTCTGAAGAGCTGCCCAATTATGTCGTTCGAGTTACGGGACTTGTTTCCAAGCCTGTGTTTGGTATGGGACGTAATGCCAACGATAAACAGTTACTTTTTATCAACAAGCGTCCCTTTACAATGAAGAAGCTACAGAAGGTGTTTCAAGACGTTTATACGTCGTTCGTTCATTTACAAAAGCCTGTCTTGATCATCAACTTGGACATTCCTCCTAGTGCTTATGATGTTAATGTTTCTCCTGATAAACGGACCATTATGCTGCATAATGAGGTGGACGTGATCAATTGTATTCGAGAAAATCTCGTTGATGTCTTTGAATCTTCTGGTCAATCTGTTCCTCGGCACACTGTTGACGTAAAGGTGCAGCCCATGAGCAGTCAGTCGTATTGGGGCGTGAAGGACGATGTTGGTGAGCAAGAGATTGAGGAAGTTGAGGACGTTGAAGAATCTGGAGAGGTAGGACCTGTTGAGCTGGATCATAATGTTCAACTTGATGAAGCTGCCACTTCCGACGATGTTCCAAACCAGCTCGAAGTAAGGCAGGCCGCTGCTGGTCAGATCGAGAGGGCTGGACTGTTTGTTACTGATCAGGAGCAAGAGGAAGATGTTTCCATGACTTACGTTGAGGAGACGGAGTCGCTGGTAATCAATGATATGACTACTGATGAAGCTGATCATCCACGGGAGCAGGAGGATGAAGGTATGGTTGATGACGAGGCTGAGGAAGTTGAAGAGGAAGAGGAGGAAGAAGAGGAAGAAGAAGGCCAGGCAGAAGAAGAAGACCCCGAAAAAATTCCTCCAGAGTATGCCTACATCGACACAGCTGCTACCTTAGAGGATGAAGGAGAAGACAGAGGGAATGATGATGAAACCAACGACGACGACGACGACGACAACGACAACGATCCAACTAGCTCACTGTCGTACTCTCAGTCGGACACTTCTATGAACTCTGTATCCGACACCTCCATCTCGCTAACTACCCCAATCACCAGCCGAAGACGAGTGACCAAGAGCAATGTGAACAAACTCAACTTATCCCAGTTCTCTGCTTCTTCGCGACCCTCGTCGTCTTCTTCCACTCGGCCCTCCACTGCATCATCATTACCATCTCTTCCTGCATCTCAACGAGCCTCTTCCAGAAAGCGAACTTATGCCAACCTGCCTGAGTTTGATACATTTGGACATAGAGAGTCTCTCACAATCACGGCCGAGGATCTTGAACGAGGCGAACGGGCTTCTGAGACTCTCTCTACGTTCAACACTTCTTCTAGCACTTCTCAACCGCAGACGTCTGCTCTAGACGATTCGTCAGCTGAATCTAAGCTCAACCTGACCATTTCCAGGAATGACTTCCTCAATTTTAACATCATTGGCCAGTTCAACGAGGCATTCATTATTGTTTCTGACCCCGAGAACCTATTCATCATTGACCAGCATGCGAGTGACGAAAAGTACAACTTTGAGCGACTTCAAAGAGACACTAAAATCACTCCTCAGCCATTCGTGAATCCTCTGACGGTGGAACTGACGCCTCTTGAAGAATCTGTTGTCAGTAGCAATCTCGAGCTCTTGAAGAAGAACGGCTTTCTCGTGACCATTGACAACTCTCTCCCTCCTGGCGAAAAGTGCCAAATTCGAGGCTTCCCTCAAACAGGAAACATTGTGTTTGGAATGCCAGATTTCCGAGAACTCGTGGTCCTGTTCGAAGATAACCCCGGAAACGACTCTGTTCGTCCCAAGAAGGTCAGAGACGTGTTTGCGTCTCGAGCCTGTCGAGGAAGTGTCATGGTGGGCACTGCTCTCAAGGAAAAGGAGATGGATCGCATTGTGAGGAACCTCGCAGGTCTAGATAAGCCCTGGAACTGTCCCCATGGAAGACCCACTATGCGCCATCTGATGGAAATTGATAAATGGCCGGTATTCACTCAGGATTACGAGTTTTAATTGTATATAAGAATGATAATGATACTACGGAGGACGCTCCACCAGTATGTACAGTATGTACGGGTACCCCAGACAGCATTCATAGCATGTAACCATTTAACACAAACAGAGTGCACACGTCTACAATCAAAAATCGAATGTCATTCAAACGTTACATACTTACTCCCCCTCTCCCTATATATATCATGCATAGTGCTTACTTTGCTGCTCCTAGAACGTCAGCAATACCCACAATCAGATTCAGCATAGCCAGAGACTCGTCGGCTCCATCAGCCAGACGCTTGTCGGTGACAGACAGCAGCTCGGCAATCTTGCTCTTTTCCTTACCTTCAATCAACACGTCGGTGATAATCAGGTCATGCATTTGCGAGGTGATTTGAGCACTGCTCCATCCAGAGTAGGTCAGTTCCTTGACAGCGACGAGAATGTCGGGCACAGTGTCTCCAATGGGTCCCTTGGAGTCTTTGCATGCCTTGATGATGGCCTTGAGAGTCTCTGTGGGGATAACGCCAGCAGTCTCGTTCACATCGGCAATAGTGATGGGCCTAGTTTCAGCCATGGTTGCGTCTCCATCTTCGTCGTTTTGAGCAGCTGAAGACTCTCCGCTGAGACGCGAACATGACTGCAGAATGGTAATGGCTCGACGCAAATCTCCGTTAGCCACCTCCAGGATCTTCTCCAGCACTCCGTCCTCCACGGAGAGCTGTTCAGCGTCAGACACGTGCCGCAGACGGGCCAGGGCGTCGTTTCCGTCCAGCAGTCTAAATCGGAACTTGGAGCATCGAGACGCTAGCGGGTCGATGATTCGGGTCACATAGTTACAGATGAGGCAGAACCGGGTCTGGGCCGAGTACGTCTCCATAGTTCGTCGCAGAGCACTCTGGGCGTCTGTAGTCATGGAGTCTGCCTCATCCAGGATGATGATCTTGAATGGCGGACAGGGGTACTTTTCGGCAATATGGTCTTTGGGTGCAACCACCTTCTGCGCCGCAAAATTCTTGATGCTGTCTCGCACGATGGCGATTCCTCGTTCGTCCGACGCGTTGAGCTCCAGCACTCGATCCTTCATGAGTTCAGGTCCGTACAGCTCTTTGGCCAGGGCGAGCACGGTCGACGTTTTTCCAGTTCCGGGAGGGCCGTAGAATAGCATGTGTGGCAAATTGGCTGAGCCGAGAGTTCGTTTGAGAACAGTCACGGCATGATCCTGTGACGAGACGTCATCCAGCGACTTTGGACGGTACTTTTCAACCCATGGAGGAGGGGCTTTGTTTTTCGACGTCTTCTTGCCGTCTGCCTTTTGCGCCTGTTGCGACTTTGCAAAGAAAGATTGCATTGTGTGTGTCTTTGTGTCTTGGGTGTTGTTGTGATGTGAAGTTGATCCCGCTGATGTTCTTGAGAAGGACTAATTTTACTGCATGAAAAATACGTGACGCGTTGAAACTCTACAGTAGAGACTGACGCATTACGATAAGCAGTTGTGATCACGAGAAACAAAACATCTCATTAACTTCAGCATGTCGAAAAAAAAGAAAACTACGCAGTCAAAGCAGCATTCTTACCGGATGTGTACTCTTTCGAAGTGACCGAGCAACGGGTCCAGGGCTACAGCCATTCGGATTGGAATGGGTTCAACATATGAAAGACGCTCTTAATCACCTGAAGAAAGCCCAATCGCCAGCCAAATCACAGTCTCGGAACAAGTCCAAACCACATTCAAACTGTGCCCCGAGCTGGACCCCCGCCAGCAATGGCATGCGGCCGAACATTATGTCACTTCCTGGAGTCTGAAGAGACTGTAACCAGCACCATGGCCAAGATCGAAGTGTCAACCAAATCACTACAGGAGGCAACTGCTGACGCGCGGAGAGAAAGACAGCGCTTTGCAAAATGGAGCTTCCTCTTCCAAGCCTTTGCGGCCGAAACTCTAGCCCTTTATAAGACAGAAATGCAAAGGCTGGCACCATATTTTGATGACCAGACTGATGATAATCCGTCGACACACTCCAAGATGCACTTTGTTGTTGATAACACTGTTATTAAGGAGCTGTCAATTACAGGAGAACATGCCATAGGTAGCAGCATTGCAGTATGCGCAAATCTCCAGCATGCAAGGGCAACGGCTAGCCAGGGATAGCTTCAAACGTAGAAAGAGCTGTCTTGAGAGGACTTGAGCTACGTGGATGTGTGTGACGGAAAGAGGATATACCAGGTGTTTACCGATTGCTCTTGTAAAAGGCTCTCAATGTGATATCGGCGTACATTGGCAGAAACAATCCTTTCAACATTCCGGAAGCCTGCTGCCCACCAATTGACATCAACTAGAGAGCAGAGCTGGAAGCTATAAGAAGGGCCTATTGTCAGCTTGCTTTCAAGGGGGGGAAACGATCGGTCTTATGGGATCTGTTCAGATCCAGCCTATGCGTTCACCTCACTCAAGTGGCCTACACTCGGAAGAAGAACGGGTGGAAAAACGTGGATGGGTTTGTCATGAAAGACCAGCATGTGTTTCAGCAACTTCGACGTATGATAGCAATTCCTGACTCTCGAATGTCACTTTGAAAACAGTGAGGATTATGCGAGGGAAAACATTCCGGCTTATGGGCTCCCCCCAGCTTATACTGCCGGACATATTTTGACCAGTGATGTGCATGCATAAGCTGTTTATATTGGGGAACGCGGTGGATATAAGTATGTGATATCGAAGAGCCGAGCAATCATCGTGCGGCTCACCTTTGTGTATATTGATTTACTTGATTAATTTGGGAGCCCCGCATGCATGTGAGATGGCATGAAATATGTGCCCCTCTTGCCAGATCGGATCGACTGACTGCTCAAGGGAAGGTGTTAAGACGGATGTCAGATTCTTCGAAGAGGCCAGGGATCGCAGCAGTAAAGAATCAACCAGAAGGGGAGGGTTTTGACGACTTCCTACGAGTAACTGCTCTCGATCATCGGAAGCCATAGTCCAACAGGTTCGGTATCAAGACAAACCGTCAGTCCCAAGGGAGTCGGTTTCATGAATGCATGCGGCTAGTAAGAGCCAGAAGCTCAGCACCGGTGAGGAGCTAGCTCGGCAACGTAGCCACGGTGAATGTACTATATATTCACAAATACCAGGTAGAATCCATGAGCCCCCCTTGGTTTCAGTTAATCGTTAGCTGCTTCGTAGGAGAAATAGATTTTCGAACAGATAGCCAAAAGGACGACTACCAGGACAACCGTGTCATACTCAGTCTGGTGGACCCACCGAGACCCCGAACTTCGCGGAGGAGTTCTTTCCCGAGCGATGGGACATCAATAACGGCAGTATTGGACGAGGATGAGAGTACCTGCCGTTCAATTGAGGTCCTCGAATTTGTTTAGGTCAACAGTTGGCCTTGACAGAGGTGGGGATACGTTTGGAGTCAGATGGTACAGACTTGTTTCTCGCACCATCAGGACCATATCGGTTACGTCAAGTATGCCCATCGCTATAGTCAGATCATCATCAAATGAGTACAAGTGCGGCCGTAGATGGCTCGATGCTGTGATTGATCAGTCACATCAGTCTGGCTACTCGAGGCATCTATCATGGTAAAAATCCGGGGGCTGACCGTAATATCATCTTTCTGAGGATTTTTTCTTCTTCTTCTGTTGTTGTTTTTTTGTCGCATCATTCCATTAATTTCAAGTGCAAGCATTCGTACTCGTACTCGTAATATGACGAGTTCTTTATTATCGCCAAATTGCACACACGCGACCTGTCCCGCATGCTGGATGCAACGCGCAGAGGCAGGGTGGGAGCTGAAATTTTAATTGATTTAGACCAGCTACAAATACAAGTACGAGTACAGTACGAGCACTCTCGGAAGAGACTATACGGAAAGCGCCAGGTCAAATCTATCAGCCTTTGAATCGACATGCCTAAAAAGTTCTACGCGGTCAGAGCTGGGCACAAACCAGGTATTTACGACTATGCGGACGCTCAAAAACAAGTCCGAGGGTACAGTCGTTCTGACTGGAAGGGATTCAATGTGCTTCAGGATGCTACCGACTACCTCCATGCGACCAAATCAGAATCCGAAACACAATCCAAGCATCAGAAGCAACTAAAGACTCAACCCAAGGTGAAAGAACAGACCAAGGTGAAGGAACAGACCAAGGTGAAGGAACAGACCAAGGTACAGACCAAAGCTCAAAACCAATCCAAGAGTCGGCCAGAGGCCAAGTCCCAGCCAGAGGCCAAGACTAAGACACAGTCCAAGACTCGAGATCAGTCTCAAACTCAGTCAAAGCTCAAGTTTCAGGATCAGCCCAAAACTCGAGATCAGTCCAAAAGTAAAGATCGGTCCAAGACTGCGGTCCAATCTCAAGTCAATCATAAGACGCAATCTGGTGTCCAGCCTGAAACTAAAACCGGAGCAAAAGCCAAGACCAAGGCAAAAGGAAAACCCGAGGCTGAAACCGACATTGAGACAGCGACTAACGAGCTGCTTTCGGCTCAGGCTGATGTCAAATCTCTGACCAAGGCCCTCCTTGAAGCACAGGATAGGGTCAAGTCTCACAAGCAAGCTCTACAACTGGCTCGAGACAATATTAAAGGAGGGGACAGCGCCGAACCTAAGCAATCGTTCTACATAGTGGATTGTTTCATTTTCGACACCCGAGAGGCAGCCGTGATGTACTACGGTGGGTCCAAGGGTGTGGTGAAAGCTGCGTCTTGGGATGAAGCTACCGAGAAAGTGCGAAAAGCCGGTTATGATCAAAACCACAAGGCGTTTAGCGAGGACATTTCCTACGTGAACAAACAAGGGAACACAGTCTACCAGGTGTTTGTCGATGGAGCGTGTTCCAACAATGGTGGTCCAGATGCAAAGGCTGGGTATGGTCTGTATTTCGGAGAAAACAACCCATGGAATGTTGCTGCCTCGGTTATGGGAACGGTTCATACTAGCCAACGGGCTGAGCTGCAGGCCATAATGAAGGCATATCAAGTGATTGAGAAAAAAGACAATGGTCACTCTTACGAGATCATGTCTGACTCCTCGTATGCCATCAATTGTCTCACCAAGTGGCGACATGACTGGAAGAAGCACGGATGGAAAACCAGTGAGGGCAAGCCTGTGGAGAACGTGGATTTGATCCAGGATTGTATAAAAATCATGGACAGGCTTGTCAAGCGTGGAATTGCGCTGAAGAAGGTCCAGGCTCATGGTGATAGTAAGGGAAACAAGCGGGCTGATGTTCTTGCACGACAAGGAGTCCAGGTCGCACGTGGACACGTTGGTGGAAACGATGCAAGCAAGAGTTGGTCTGTGCTGGGACTTTCTCCAGTCTCGAAATGAGCCGTTGGATGAGTGACGATGCTCTAACGAACAGTCTTCCAACAGTACATACGGTGGCCTAGCTTTCAGATATACTTGAAGGGATCACAAGCGACAACAACAATGAATATACCTAGTTGAAGATGTGGACTACATTGTACCTGCACTTGGGGTTCACTAACAGGAGCGGACAAGCCACCAAATGGTACCTACTGTACTGGACTGAGAGTACATCCTACGAACTCGTCGTCGAGGAATTTGGGGTAGCTATAAATGAATTACCTGCGTAGATGGGCGTGTGAAGAGAAGCAAGATGTCTTCAACTTTGGCTCATTGCAACGATTTACCACGCGGTCGCCCCAATATCTAATACCTAATACAAAATGAAGAGCGGCAAGTGTTGAGAAGATGGGCATGTGTCTCCACACAAGGGGACAAGGTACGAGCATTTCTGGCTATGGCTGTGAGACAGTGTCAAAATGGAACGGTGGGCTCGCAGCTAAGATTAGTCGTGTGAGACATGCAAGTAACGGCGTCCATCGAGCGGCTGGTGGACAAGGAAGGCAGCCTGTTAGTTTGCAAGCCGAAATAAGACACGCTCAACGGCCGTTGGCAGCTGGAGTATTGTATCAGCTACCCAAACCCGCAGGCTTGCTGGGTGGAAAAGAAAAGAAGCAAAGACGGGTCTTTTGTCTCCACCAAGAGTCCCGCCATTTAATTACGGGAGTTAGCAAGCGAGGGATACGCAATTGGAGGTTGGGTGGCATAAGCCTTAGGTAGGTTTGGTTAGCGTGGAGGGGTTCAAAGTCTAGGCCGCTTTGTTCTTGGAGGGTGTGCGTGGAATGACGTACAAGAAGTACGAGTGTTCATGTATCGGGACCACCAGCGGCATGTACAATTAAAACCGACTTTGCTACCGTGTCTAGAACGCATGTCTTGTCTTGCGACAGAGACAAAAGACAATATATTATAGGACACGGCCGCCAAGGTCGCCAAGTGTCAGATCCAAGCCGGCAATGCCCTGGCACCACAACCATATGTAACACTCGCTCTGGAGAGTTAGTCATCCGACAGGGTAACTCTAATCTCCCAACACCTTATTAACTCTGCGTAACTGTAACTCTTCTTGCCACGTCGATCTTACTCAATTTTCCTGCTCATCATCTGCTGGATTGTTGTCTATCGTCTGGCTCTAATACATTTATTGTTTATTGCCCAAACAACTTTCATTGCACGTAAGTGAATTGTTTTATAACAGCGTTCGCCAATTGCTGCGCCATCGTCGTCCGGCTGTCCTACCGTTAGGGGTAGTGTGTCTCACACTACCGAGGTTACTAGAGTTGGGAAAGCGATACTGCCTCGGACACACCACCTGGGTCTTACGACTGCAGAGAGAATCGGCGTTACCTCTCTCACAAAGCCCTTCAGTACCGCCGCCTGTCGGGAACCGCGTTCAGGTGGAACAGGACCACCTCCCTTGCACTTCTTGGTATATCAGTATAGGCTGATGTATTCATAGTGGGGTTTTTCATAATAAATTTACTAACGGCAGGCAACATTCACTCGGCTTAAACGCAAAACGGACCGTCTTGATATCTTCTGACGCATTGACCACCGAGAAATAGTGTTAGTTACCGGGTGAGTTATTGTTCTTCTACACAGGCGACGCCCATCGTCTAGAGTTGATGTACTAACTCAGATTTCACTACCTACCCTATCCCTGGTACGCACAAAGCACTTTATTTTCTCACACATAGGTGCAGCTTCGCTGTCAGTCAATGCATAGAAGAAATATGTGTCTGTGCCATACAAAGTGTCTATTGGCACGGTACAATTACAACTACCCGCAAGGCTTGTTTGTGTTATTTAGTCCAAGTACAAGTACAAAGCACCGGACTCGGTTTTATAATAGATGCCGACTGTGGGAGGCAGGCTTCTCCAAGGTTATCTTGGGCGTGGGCCGGTGGGTGGAAAGGGTGCAAGAGAGCCTTCTTAGGGAGTTTGGCCACGATGCATGTCTCGGAGAAGCAGCCAAACTCCGATCTGAGCTACCGCCGTTGCCTCTGGGTCCCCTACGTAAGAATATGTACGATTAAGTCTCACACTGACGATTCTGGAGTTATGATTGTAAAAGCCTATCTTTTTGCAAGATTTCACGTGTGTTTCGGACATGACGTATTCCAGCAGGAGGGCGACTCCGTGGAGATAACGAGCTTTTTCCAGCGTGTTTTTCGCATTTACAAGAACCCATTCTCCGAGGAGACCCGGTCGTGCATCTACAGAGTCCCGGGTGTGCTATCGATCCGCCAGGTCCAGCCTGTTGCATCACATAGGGGAACCTTAGTTGACGGGCTGGTATTGTTCTGTCGCTGTTTTTCTGCATGTCAGGTAAACTTTGGCTCGCTTCCATTGCAACTATTTGAAGGTGGGGAAGGCACTTTCCAGAGGGTATAAGATTACTCATCGAGTCCAACAGAAAAAACGACCCGACTTCAGCCATTATACCCCCCGACGCCGCCATGGACGAAAAATTGCGCCGTCCGCGGGCCTGCGAAAACTGCAGGGCCCTCAAGGTCAAGTGTCTGCCCAGCGACTCGGCAGATCCAGGTGGGCCTTGTGCCCGATGCGCGAGGTTCAACAAGGAGTGTGTGGTGAATAATGCGCGACGAAAGCGGCGGCCCAAGACGCGCAGCAAGATTGCGGAGCTCGAGGAGAAGCTGGAGATGCTCAGCCGAGGCCTTCAGGTCTCCGAAGCCTCAGCCGCGGCTGCAGGCGCTCCCCAAGGTCAGCCCATGATCCACCAACCCTTACAACCACAGCCACAACCACAGCAACAGCAACAGCAACAGCAACAGCAGACGCAGCCACAACAGCATCAGTTACCTCCGCAGTCTCTGCCGCAACCAGGACCCATGGGCCATATCATGTCTATAGGCCAGGGCCATGGCCACATGCAATCGCCGCAGATGCACGGACAAACGCCTCCTAACGGTGGCATCCCCCCTCAGATGCCGATCAATGGAATTGCAGGCATGCTGAACCCGTCTCCCACAACGCAGTCGGAACGAACGCCAGAAAGCTCTGGAACCCCGACCTCAGCATCGTCCTTCTCAGTCCGAAACAAAGACCTGCAACCAAGACTCCCAGCAGCTGCAGACCGACTGTTCAGAGAAGTCCAGAACTCGTCAGGTAACAATCCCCGAAACCTCCAGACCGGAATCGATGGCGTGGACGAGAAGCAGAAGACGCTGGCGACATGGAACGCTCTGGTTCAGCTAAGTGCAAAGAGAACAGAGCTCATCCACAGCACTACTCATGCATACTGCGGTCAGTTAGGACCTCATAATGATATCATTGCGAGAGGAGTCATTACCCAAGAGGAGGCGGATATGAGACTGCAACAGTACAGATCCGTTTTGCAGTGCCTGTATGGTATTGTGGTGATTCCAGATGACTGTTCGGTAGACGAGCTTAGATCAACTAAGCCGTTTCTATTCTTGGCTATCATGAACTCGTCTTCCAACGCTATTCTCGGACCCAAATTCCAAAACACATCCATCGAAATCAATGTGGAATGCTACAAAAGTATTACCTCAGAAATCATGGTTGTAGGAACCAAATCGTTCGAGCTGGTGCAGTGTCTGGCTCTCATGATGATCTGGTACAACAACTGCGAGCTTGCGTTCAACCAAAAGTACCACCTGCTCATCTCCATGGCCGTTTCAATCGCCAATGATATTGGTATCAACGACGGCCCCTTCACGCGAGTGTCTTCCCTTGACTCTTATGAATCCATCATGAGACCCAACATTGTCATGGATCCCAAGTCGCGAGAGTGTCGAAAACTGTGGCTCGTCATCTACTTCCAGCAGGTAAATATGTCCTCTCTGTTGAAGAAACCTGTCACAATCACATGGAATGCCTATCTGCAGGAATGCTGTGACCTCTTTTCCACACCTGATTCAACCATTAATGAGATCAGATGTGCCAAGCTGGCCAAAGTGTTCAAGGAGTTGGAAGATATGATGGCCATGCTTAGAAGTGAGGATTACAAGAAGCCTCTGGATATCAATGATGAACGTACTCAGCGGCTGGTCAAGCATTTCGACCGTCGAATCGACGAGGTGTTCACCTTTGACAAGCGAGGGTTCCCAATTGATCACGTTCTCGAGTTGTTCAAATCTTCTCTCAAGATCTCTCTGCATGAACTATCTCTGTTGACGAACGTGTCACCCACTGTTCCTCGAACGCCCTTCTCCGAGTTTGGTCTGAACATCTTCGATCTCAAACTGACCCCCGCAGTGATCAATAGTGCCATGGCCACTGCCGATGCGGTGCGAACATCCCTGGAGGGATTCTCGGAGCTCTACACAATGCAGATTCTGTCGTCGAGTACTCTCTACCTTGCTCGAATGACTTATTGTGCTACTACTGCACTCATGCTTCGATCATGTGCCCTACTGCACCCCAAATTTGGTGATCTGATTGAGACAGAGTACCCTCTTCAGCTGATTCAGAAGATCATCAGCAACATGAATGATGTGGTTGACCAGGCAGGCTGTTGTAGTCACGTCCTTCACTTCAAGTTCATTCTTCATCTGCTTCTGTTTTACTTTGACAGGCAAATGAAGACATGGTACGACTTGATGGAGGCCAAGAACGCCATTTCACCCCGAGACACCGAAGTGCCTGAAATCCTGGCTGCCCCCATTGATAACATCGGAAACTACGGTATTCCGGAAAGTGTATATAGAACCTTTCCCCAGCTTGTGTCTGTGGATATGGATGGTGTAATCCCCTTTGAGTACTCGTCTTGGCTTCTCTCCGAGCAGTATGAGGCTCTCTAATCTAGCGCATTTAATATCTCAATGTATTTATATATTTATCTTCTCATGAACCCTACAACGTGTAGTGACCCTCTCCAGTGTACTTTTTCGTGAGTTCTCCAAGCTCTTCGGCTGAGAATCCCAAGAGAAACTTGAGGGCTGGAACGTTGCGGAAGTCGCCAAACTGAGACTTGTCTAGGATCTCAAACTGGTTATCGTGGACATAATGGAGCTTGTCGACCGGCCAGGGGTCTTGTCCGTAAACAAACTTGGTCAGAGTGTCCTGGTACTGACGGGCCACTGCATGTTTATCTTCAGGCATCTCCCAGTTGTCCCACATGTAATAGAGATCCACGGCATGGTGGCAGAGACGACTGGGGTCATTTGGATGAATCTGGTCGAACAACTGTCTCCAGACGGGGATATTTTCCTGCTCAAACAGAAGTTCCAGCTGCTGGTTTCCACGAATAAAGGTCTCGTCTCCCTTAAATAGCATCATCTTATAGTGGTAGTCCTCCCATGTATCTTCGGTAGATATGTTGTAGAGCTTGAAGACCTTGTGGTCAAAGTCGTTCTCTGGAGTTACTCGTACCGCTGGATTGATCTTGTTCTTGAAGTTGGTTCCATCCACAATCACGTCCGAGAGTAAAACCCGAGAGACTTTGAACCGCACGTTTCTCCAGTCTGGAGGGAAGAAGTCGTCTTGGAGGTAAAAGCCGAGGTCGAGGCCGGCTTTGATTTGAGCCTCCAACAGCTCGTCCGCAGAACAGGTGTTGATATCTCCAACCAGAGTTTTGATACCGTCATAGATGGGCTTAAAAGCATTCTCTGAAATTGTCCCCGTACCCATTCGATCCATGGTCCCTGACGAGAGGATAACATTGTGGATAATACACTCTTCCTTGGGCTTCATACTCTCGTGCACCATGAGAGCGTGAAGTCCAATACTTCCTGCGGACTCTCCTCCAATGGTGATCTGGGAAGGGTCGCCTCCAAACTCCACGATATGTTTGGAGATCCATTGCAAGGCTGTGTATTGGTCTCGGGCACCCCAATTGCCAACCCAGTTGCCATTTGTGTCCGGAACAGCAAGATACCCAAAGGCACTGAGACGGTACTCGATCATCACATGAAGAACGGGTCTTCCAGCCACAATGGAGTGCTTGACGAAAGGAACGGGGTTGTGATCGGAACAGTACCCATTTCCAGCCAGATTTCCTCCTCCGTGGATCCATACAAACACAGGAAGATTTGTAGCGCCTTGGGGTCGAGTGATCATGAGATTGGAGCATTCAAACTCATCAAAAGGCATCTCCTTGGGCCCCTTTTCAATGTTGTAGTCGAAAGGAAGTACTTGCGGACAAGCCATGCCTTCCTGAGTGCAGTCGAAAACGCCATTATCGTAGTCGTCGATTCGCTCGGCATACGCCCATCGATACGGAATGTTTGCGTACTTGATACCCTTGAAGATCTCGATACCGTCTTCAGAGATACCGTTGAAGGTTCCATTGAGAGAAGTTGATGTGACAGACATGATTTCTTGACCGGAATTGATAGTTAGTAGACAACAATCAGAACATCTCCCTCCTTATATAATCACACAGGCCAGAACGCGCTAAACTAAAGCGCTTTGGACACTATGTTACATTGGCATTGATTGAACTGAAACCACAGTCTCCCTCGCCTGAATCGAGCAATGGATGTTGTCGGAAGTCAACTTCACTAGAAGAGCGGTTCTATGCCTTGTCAAGATCATATCATAAACTCACTCTGTATTACCCCATCTATAGAACACTTGTTATGAATGGGCGGAAACATTCCGCTTATATGCACCTTTCCACACTAATGCAAAGATGTGCATCTTCAACGGGTAGTAAGACTGGTTCCGACTTCCGTTGCATGGAGAGCAATGACCTCGATAATGCGAACATCCCCCACATATACACTCTTACACAGGCCAATATAATCTGTGCATTTACTAAATATTTAAGTCTATGCACCTGCTTGATGAAAAGCGGCAGCGGATGGTATCATCTAGTTTCCGCCAATCCAAGAACCAACTGTGTTGGCAGTGGTGTAGCCCATGGCACACAGACCAAAGATGAAAATACAGACATCGGCGGTTCGAGCCGTGGTGCCTCGAGCAACACCCTTGTAATGCAAAAGAGGAGGGTAAATGTACACCAGAGGCACACATGCAAACGATCCGGTGAGAGCGACGAACCGATCGAGATCGTCGGCACCTCCCCATGCAACAAAGGCGGTGACAAACACAAGGAAGAACCGGAAAATGTTCTTCTGCCACTTGATGGTAGAGTTGTACTTGCCTGATCGGGTGAAGAGACCATTCTCGATGATTCGGATGGCAGGGAAGAGCTGCAGAGGAGTGGACAGCAGAATGGCAGCAGAGTACAGAATCTGCACACCATTGACAAACTTGGAGTCCTGGGGCAGGTTGGAAATGACGACAGTCTTAACCTCAGAGCCAAAGGCCATGTAACAGATAGCTCCCATGGACACAAACAGGGCAGTGATGCCAACCATCACTCCAGCAAGGACGGGGGTGAACTGCTCGGGCTTCTTCATAGACTCCTGGATGGGGATAATCAGACCAATTCCTTCAAAGGTGAAGATAGCGGTACCGAGGAACAGCGACCAGGAGTTGGGGTTGAACATCTTGACATCAGCGACACCCTCTGTGGCAACAATCATTCCAGACCAGTAGTACAGGTACACGAGACCCAGCAGAATGAAGAGATCAGCTATCAGAGCAGTTCCGGACAGCTTGGCAATGTCTCGAATCATGGACAGAGGCAGGAAAATAATGAGCTGCAGGAAAATGAGAGTCTCGATCTTGACAAAGGTCTCTCCCTTGGTCACAGATAGAATGAAGGCCTGCAAGTTTTCGGACGTAAACACAATGTAGGCGGCAGCAAAACCAATCTGGGAAATAACAATGGAGAAGAGAATCAGAGACCGCATCTTGGGGCCGTAGAGGGCGCCACCAATGTCACCAAAGGACGACACGCCAGTCTTCATTCGGCATTGGATCAGCAGCAGGAAACACCAGTAAGAGAGAGCAGCCACCATGGTGAGCACGCAGGCTGAGAAGAGAAGACCTCCGTTGAAGAAGGCCTTGGGCAGGAAGAGCACACCGGTTCCCACAAAGGACTTGAGCAGCAACATGACAGCCTTGGTAGCAGATGCATTACCCTGGGGAGGATGGCCGGGCTTGGCACCTCGCTGCTTTCGGGCTCTTCGACGCAGAGGGGTTTCTTCGTCGTAGTCGTTCTCGTCAACCTCATCGTCTCCGTCGTAGTCATCATCATCGTCGTCATCGTCGTCCTCCTCGAGCTCCTCGCCGGCAAAATGACCGTAGATAGACAGGAACTCAATGAAGTTCCGAGTGAGGAAGGTGGGGGGTTTGTCCTGGCCGTTTTCTTGCTGCACCTTTTGAGCAATGAAGTTTCGTCGGAATCCTCCGGGGGCCTTGATAGAGTTGATATCCTGTCCGAGTTCCTGGGTCGCAGAGGAGGAGGCTCCCTCGCCGGCATCGAACGACTTGGATCGCTTGAGTCCGCCCTCCTCGTGCTCCTTCTGCCACTTGTACAGCTGGCGGGTGATGTCTCCTCCCTGCAGTTTGAGGGAGTCGAAATTTTCGCTTTCCGTGGCTCCGTAGTTTCTGGTCTTGTCGTCAGACACGAGATGTCGGCCGACAGCCTTGACCACCTCGGGATTGGGGTTGTCAATGTCCACAGAGTGGATCGACTGGGTGTCTGCGTCTGCGGGGTTGGGGGGGTTTGCAGGAGAAGCAGATTGATCCTTTTTGGTGTCGTTGGACGAATTGCTGTTGCTGTTGTTATTGGTTTTGGTGTTGCTGTTGTTTTTGCTGCTGTTAGACGGGGTGGTCTTGGTGGTTGTGTTCGTATTTGAGTCTGTCTTGTTGCTGGCATCGTCCTTTTCCTTGCCCTTGTCCATGAGGCCCTTGAGACCTCCCTTGGAAGAGTCGCTGCCGTTCTTGTGCTGCTCCTCGGGCGTTCGCTTGTTGAAAGTCACCTCCTCCACGTTTTTGTTGGCGTCGGCCTGCTCCTCGAACCGCTTCATGGACTCTCGCATCGAGTCCTTGAAGGAGCCCGTCACCGAGCCTGGGTTGGAGTTGGGCGAACCGACCTGGACGGGGGTTCCGAGCCGCTGGATGGCAGACTGCCGCGGTGACGAGCCGAACGAAGCTCTTCGATCGGGATATGACATTTCGCGATGGGTTGAGTTTGGTGAAAAGAGAAGAAAAACAAGCAGTGCGTTAACAAGTGGTAGCCCTGACGGCGATCCAAACTTTACTACGCTGCGTGCTGTGCCTTGGGTCTAGTTAAAGCAGTATATCTGGGCTTATTAGGTTGATGCCGTATGTAGACCAGACGGGGGGTGGCGGATAAAATGTCCCAATGGAACCACGGGGATTGATGAGGATGACTGGAAGAGGAGCCCAGGAGAGAGAGATTGAGTCCTACTTTGACTTCTTCCTTTAAAACCTGTAGAATATTCTTCTTTTGCCGCTCTGAACGGCCCCCATCTCCCAAACACACTCCTCAGTCATTGCTGTAATCGGAGCCCGCCACGCGCATGACAACAGCAACCGCGCAGCAAGTTCGCCACGAACGTATACAACAGGCCGCGCACGGACGCGCTTGTGTGCACACAGAGACGTTGTTACGAGGCTCCGCGGGCTGCTGACCGCTGTTGGTCCTTGTGTGCGATCCGCGGTCATGAGCCCAACCGGTGGTTTCAGACCTTCCCAAACTGAAACACGCTGCTCTGCCGCTTGTATTAGAGTGTCTGTTAGCTACTCGCTTGGAGTATGCCCAATTGCAGCAGTCCTAAGCGGGGAGAAGTGCTCACATGAGCGCCGTGCCCGGTGGCAATTAATTTCCAGAGCAGTCAATGTGACCCCATCACGTGACGAAAAAACTCTCATCTCCCTCGACCTGCCCTTTGAACAACCTCCACCGCACCATACAGGCACGAGTATCGTCGTACTGTATACATCCACACTATACTGGACAACCTCGCGCTCCGAAGCGAACCTCTTAAGGTTGCGGATCCAAATATCCATTATTGGAAGGAATAACAGCTACCACTTGAACCTACCGTCCAAGTACAGAAAGCCGGCCGGGTGGAGGTGGAGAAAGCGGATAAGAGCGGACCCGTGCAATCTATGGACCGCGTCCGGGGCGTTTTCAGTTTGACACCGAGTCCTGAATCCTTACAGTACTGTATGCTTCAAGTGTCGTACTCGTACCGGCTCGCCTTGGCACAACCTCCACGCAGGTTAGATGCAATGGCGTCTACAAGAGCCCCTCAAACGTGGAAAACATGTTTCTGGATGCTTCTGGATGTATTTTCGGAGTAATGTATGTACGAGTGCTCGTGGGCGACAACCGCTGTCCCTGGGGTGGAGTTTTGGAGAGGTATGGCGGTAGGGAATCGTTATGGTTGTGTTCAGCAGAGGCATGATATGAAGAAAAAAAAAAGAAAAAAAAAGTTTGACCAGAGATGTGGGAAAAAGTACAACTATAAGTACTCCTACAGTACCGGTACATACAGTATTGTGGTTGCATTGTAATGTCAAAGTCCCCCATAAGTTCGCAAGTTCAACTGAATTACGAGTACTTGTTCTTGTGTCGGTATTCTTCTATGTACTGTGTGGACTATGGTAGATCACATCGAACTCACCATCAAACTCAACTTGGGAATATCATGTGTGCTCAAGATATGTAGCTAAAAGATACCACCAACAAAAAACATGACTGTATGATATACACACACATGAACTAGATACCAAATGACAACGCCAGTCATGTGACCGGGAGACCACTGCCCCGACTTTCCCGACGGTGGCAAATGAGGGCTGGTTCCTGTGGCTCTTATCCTGCTCATCTGATCAGTCATGTTATGGTCCTGCCGTCTGAGAGCGAGATGAGCCTCCTGTTTGAGGTATCGAGAACCAGCCTGATGAGTTCAAAACTGATCCGCACAGTCTACAACGCTATATCTAACAATTATCACGGAGAAACGCCGATTTGCGAAGACCAACCAAACGACTAAACTAAACCACCGAACGACAAACGACAAACGACAAACGAAAACGATTAATCTAGGACATCGCTGTCATGACTGGCTGGGAAGAACAGCCTCCTCCGTATGGAATGGACGAATCGGCTGACGTGACTGCCAGTGTGACTGCGACGTCCGAGGCAGACGATCCGTTCCGCATTGTGGAGCGATTGACTAACGAAAACCAGTTGCTGAGCCAGCAGGTAGCCCATCTCGAACGCCTAGTCCAGGCCTTGTCCGACCCAAGCTCCCCCGAGTGCCAGCAGGTTCACCAGACTGTTTTCGCAGAGGCTGCTCGGTTCAAGGAGAATGCAGAAACGTATTGTTTCGAGCTTCTTCGCGACTCGGAGCAGTCTGAGAAGGCCAGAGCTGACGCCAGAATCGCTGAGGTCGAGAAAGAGATGCTGGCACTTCAACAAACCCATATTGCTGGGCAGCAGGAGCTCAGTAGAGTCACATCGGTTCTGAACAGCATGGAACTGGCCCACGAGGACGAAACCTCGCGACTACGAGCCATCAATGACCGTAGAAGAGATACAATCAAGCGTCTGAGAGGGTCTCTTGACGACAAAAAGTTCCAGCGAAAAGAGAACCGCAAGAAGATCATGGCGGAAAACGCAGAACTCAAGAGCAGTCTGGGGAACCTGCAAAAGGACATCAAGAAGCTGGAGAAAACCAACGGAGAGATCCAGAGCCAACTCGCGTCCACTCAGAGATGGGCTGAACGCCTCGAAGAGACCGAATCGACCTTGCAGGCAGAAGTGGAGGAACTACGTCGCGAAAACGTCCGTCTCAATTGCGACGTGGAGGACCTGCAATCGGACCGAGAAGACGAATATCTCATGGACGACGGTCAGCGAGACTGGCAAGCGCTCAGAGACCAACTGCATACACAATACTGCGAGCTGGCCGCAGTAGCCAACATCATCAATCTGCATGTCAAAGACACTACTGTTCTGGAGGCTCTATCCAACGCCGTCAAGTCGGTTCAGAATGTGAAACTCAGTGATCGAAAACGAGCCAAGCGGAAACCTGTGCTTTCTACTTCAAAGAGTGATGCAGACAGTGAGATGGGGGACTACGAAGGTCAGCCCAAACGAAGCAAAACGTAGCACACACATAGACCTCATAATACATGCATTATATATGGAGTAAAGTCCTTGTAAAAGTACATTGCGCCTGCCTGCTACAAGTACTTCGAGTGAAGATCTACATGAAACTTGTTCTTCTATCATTCAGGAGATTAAATATATATGTCAGTTAGGTGGAGTAAGCCGGAGTAGTTTAGACAGCCTTGGCGGCATTTCGCTTCTTCAACACGTTTTCAATGAACACCTCGCCGGCCTTGTACGAAGATCGCACTAGAGGTCCGGATGCACAGTAAAGGAAACCCATATCCATGGCCCGCTTCTGCCAGTAGTCAAACTTCTCGGGTGTCACGTATTCAGCCACCTTCAGATGTCGGATTGTGGGCCGCATGTACTGTCCAAAGGTGACAATGTCGACACCCACGCCCCGCAACTGCATAAGAGTGTCTTCGACCTGTTCGTCGGTCTCTCCGAAACCCAGCATGATAGATGTCTTTGTGATGAGGTCGGGCACGGCCACCTTGGCCTGTCTGAGCACGGATAACGACTGCTGGAACGTGGCTCTTCGGTCTCGCACAAAGGGGGTCAGAGCCTCGACGGTCTCCATGTTGTGGGCAAAGACATCGAGTCCAGACTCGGCGAGAGTAGTAACGTGGTCCAGATTGCCTCGGAAGTCTCCAGATAGCGTCTCGACCAGAATGTGGGGCGCCTTCTCCTTGATTCGTTTGACGGTGTCTGCAAAATGCCACGATCCTCCATCGGACAAGTCGTCTCTGTCCACAGTAGTGAGCACCACATAGCCCAGACCCCACTTGGAGATGGCCACGGCGGTGTTTTCGGGCTCGTTGGGGTCCAGAGGGCCGGGGTTTCGGTTTGTCTTGACGGAGCAGAATCGACAGCCTCGAGTGCACGTGTCTCCCATGAGCATGATGGTGGCTGTGGCCTTGCTCTTGTCCGATCCACCCCAACACTCTCCAATGTTAGGACATCGGGCCTCCTCACACACAGTGTGCAGACCCAGACCTCGCAGGTCCTCCCGGATGTTGTGCAGGTTCTTTCCCTTGGGAATTTCTGTCTTGAGCCACTTGGGCAGTCGTTTTCCGTCTGACGATGCTGCCAGGACAGGATCAACGGCTGCTGCCTTTCCTGCTCGTCCGGTCAGAAAGTCATCGAACGAGGGGCCCTTGTTGAGTGCGTCGGAAAAACGGGTGGCCGACCGTTTGCTGGCGGAATGGAGCTGTCGCTTGAGCATCTGAGTGAGGCGTTTGCGTGTATGTGTGTGCGAGTGTGTGGTGTAAATGTGTTGAGTTTTTCCGACTGGAGATTATGATTTGAGCTTGCAGTTTACTCAGTGAAGAACTGAGTAAGACGAGGTTGGGACAAGAGCAATTGCTACTGTTGTGGCGACCGTGAAGCAGATGTAATGGCAGAATCTGACTGGTCATGTGATACACCGTCGGATTGAAACGAGTCCCAAGGCCAACAACTCCCGCTACACAATCCAACCACCTCCTACTTTTCTTTCTCTACATCATCTCCTCAATAGAAAAGCCGCACGGTTCACGTGACCCTGTTGGGACATGTCGTCAGCGTCAATAGCCGTCAGAAAATATTTTAGTTGCCTGTCGACGAGAAATGTCTCTCTCGGTAGGGTAAACTTGGTTGACAGAATGATGGAGTGATAGTGTCCATGATAAGCCATTGGATACACCCATTTGTACTTGTTTTTTGTATGCAATGACCCACGACACTCCTATATGCGTATGTTAAGTATTTCTGTTAGAGTTCCCTGAGATGAGCTCATCGCCAAGGGGTTGCATCATTGTGGCGTATTGTACAACGTAATCGAGTATGTACTTATCTGATGGTACAGTAGGGGCTTTTTCATGACTCCTGGAGCTGAGGTGATTCATATACACACTTTTCTAAGCTGGGTGGTGAGATTATGAGGTACATACCGTAAGTACTGTACAAGTACGTATGTCAAGTGCAGTAGCTAAATCACTAGCACGTACTCATGTACTTACACACAGAAAAAAAACTTACAAAAATTACTAAAAAAAAAAATTACCACGACACAAAAATGCTACAATAACACTACAATTGAAAAATTGGGTGGGGACTCTTTGGTCCATGATATATTAACCCAGAGGTTCGGATTTTCACCTACTCCTCTCAACTAAATAATAGGTTCGGTCAGTTTACATCCTCTTGCTAAGAGGTTCAACTGCCTACGTCCTATACACATCTCGACTGCAACATCTTGTGTGACTCTGGCTCGTGCTCTGGCTCTTATTGGCAACTGGCTCGTTGTGGCTCTGGCTCTTAGTGGCATCTGGCTGGCCTCGGCTCGATGGCCCTGGCTCCTTTGGCTCTGGTACGTGTATCGCTCAGGCGTTTGGCTCTTATTGCATCTGTGGACTCACTGGCTCTTGCTCTGGCTGGTGACTGGCGTTTGGCTCTTATTGCATCTTTGGACTTACCGGCTCTTTGCTCTCGTCTGTGGCTCTGGATTTGGCACTTATTGCCTCAGTGGGGCTGACTCAGGCATCATGGTGTGGCTCGTTGGCGGCTCTGGCGTTCGCTCAGACTTGATAGTCGGCGTGTGGCGCGGGCTCGTTAACTGTTGCATAGCTCTTTTGACCATTGGAATGGCGTCTGTCATAAGCAGATCTTTGCTCTAGCGCGTCTCAGCCCGCTTCTCGGCATGGTAGCGTCTCAGCAGCTTCTCGGCTTTTACCTGGCCGTCTCTCGACAGTTGGCTCTTTGGGGCGGCTCTGGCATCGTGGCTCTGGCGCTTTGCTCAGGTAGGTTAACTAGGCGGCTCTCGTGAGTGTCTCAAAAAGGAATTCCACCCTGTGAGTTTCTCAACGGTCGAATTGGTGGCTCTGGCTCGATGGCATCTGGCGCTTGGCTCTGGCGGCTTGCTCATGTGTGTTACACAAGGCACGGAGGCGGGCTCTGGCATTTCAGCCGGCTCTAGACACCTCGCTCTTGGCTCATAGCATGTTTCAGCGTATGGCGGTCAGCCGTGGTAGGATTTATTGACTCATGCAAGGAGGTCAACCCGAAGGATTTATTGACTCTGTCACAAGCGGTCAACCCGTAGGACTCATTGACTCTTGGCTCAGGCGGCTTCACTCTTGGGCTCATGCGTGTGTCTCAACGCGTCATTGCTCTCAAGGCATTGGCTCTTGACCATGTGGTGATGTGTATCTTTCCATGCAGGGGAAATATCACAACCCTTGGGCGCTACCCAAACTCAAGCGGACGATCTCGTGCGTAGGCTGGCTAAGCTGTGTATGGCACGTCATCAATCAAGTCCATCGTTGCATGGTGGGGTGGGACAGGTTTGCTTCTCAGCTCCGCATTTCAGCGGGCTCTACCGCACCTACCGTCCATCAGAAGGTACCGCATCCTTTGCAGTTGCTGCTGCCCAGAGACTGGTCGCTTCTGCTGTTCTAGGAGGGGTCTAGGGGGGGTTTATATATTTTTGGAGAGCTCAATTTGGGTTTCGAGAAGAGCCCAGGTAGAAAGATATGTGCGTTTGTCATGCGCATTTGCAATTAACATGCATGAGGAAAAAGGGAGCCATAAATAACAATATCACGCGTCAAATGAGCTATGGTAATGGCAGAGCGAAAATACACGTGTGGTATCGTTTAAGAAGGTGTATATTTTAGATTTTTTGGAATTTTCCTGCTGAAAATAGTCCCAGTACTCGTCTACTTTGATATTTTGCGGCACGAAATTTTTTTTTCCAGACCGAACCCAAACTCGCTTAAACCTTGTCACTTTTCTCCAACAGGAGAATTTTTCAGCTGTAGAATATGTCCGAAAATTCCACGGATTTCCAAGGCGGCTCGTGTCGATTACCGATCAGCTGGTGTGGGAGCCGTGGGAAGACACCTGCTGTAGTTCTCGGCCATCGGCGGTCTTTCTGGGCTCGTCTTCTCAGAATGGCTGCCTAGAGGCACTGTTAATGCAAGTGTGGGCTGGTTAGGTTCTTTGCTTGTGGATAATGTATATGATGGGATGTACGTAGGACTTTGGTGTGGCTGGACGTGCCCCATGTGCGTAGAGAATGCGTAATTCCGTCATGTCCATACGAGACAGTCAGAGTTGACGAACGAACTGATGACTAAGAACTTAGAAGCGCAATACGAGATGAATTGTACAGGTAGTACGAATACAGGTACCGGTACTCAGCTGGGTTATAAGTGAAAAGTTTGGTTTCCATATCCACAGACCTACAGTTGACGGCACCGAGATGAGTGTCTTGCACTCCCCACACATTTACCATACTGGAAGTTGTTTACTCCAGATGGGTGTGATTACATGACTTGAAAAGAAGAAGTTGAGACAAGTGACCATTCAACTGAGATACTGCAGCCAGAGCAGAGAGCATCGGAAGCCTATGAGCATGTTAGAACACTCTCATGTTTGTTTCACATTACTCCCATGCACCACAGACTCGGTATTTGGTCTCTATTTTACTCCGTTTACAATTAATGAGCTATTTAATCGTTAGTTCGCTGAAACTACAAGGCTGGCTGTCACGATATTCACTATCAGCTACAGTATCACCATGCAGGCTTGTAACTAATTGTCGATAACGGGTTAAGTCCCTGTGCTTTAGCGAGGCGGAGCATACGACGGGTCAGGTCGACGTGTGTATATCCACCCGTCGTATGCTCAGCCCGGATTGATTGTTTTCCCTGATTCTCCTTGTCTCTCGTACTCCACCTTCTTGTCGTATGATTGACCGTTACAGGGCCAAAAAAGCGTTCGATGGCTGTGCTAATGTTAAGGCTTAACCTGGTCTAGGTGCGTGAATCGACTTGTTCTCCAGAATCCAAAAATAGATGGCCTGGAGGATGTGGATGGAGGCGCAGTTTTTAACCCCCAAAATTCTCACATTCCCGACATCTCCCTTGGCCACAAATCCTGGGCACCTTCTGAGTAGCTTCATAATAAACCCCCTTTGTTGTCTTGGTTGCTATCTTGGAGACTCTTTTCTTTGTATTGTCTCTCCATCGGACCCCTGAGATACCCCCATACGTCTGTCCGAACCCAATAGAGGAGAGAATGCACGAATCAGCAACACTCTATAGTGCTGACTCCAGGTCAGTATGGGCCTTTGGCAAGCCGGGGAACGCAGATGACACAAATGCAGGTTTTGCGACTGTCAACGAGCCCCCCGCGGGACCGAGTCCCCTCTGTCTTCCGTACAAATGTCATGTTAATAATCGGCCCCAGTTGTCACATTCCCCAGACCCAGCCCAGCTTGTTTTGCCCAAATGCATAATTTAAGGTTGCAGCTCATGATGGGTTGTTTAACACTCCGAATGCAGCAGTATTCATTATCACCATTGACATGAGTGTGAGTTGCTATTGGGGGTAAACCCACCGCGGATTGAGTGGAACTTGTCCACGATACAGACACGCTTCTTCAAGCGCGTCTCGCTCCAGAACTCCCCGCTAACCCAGACCCTTACCAACGAAACCAGCCGGCCTCCTGTTGTTCGTAAGTTACCCTTTTTCTGACCGTACAGCGACTCTGGCGACATTGCCAGTGTCCCAATGACCACTTACTAACGCAGCTCGAGGGTCTCCCCCGCTCAAAATCACATGTGGCCCGCTGCTGCGATATCTCGGCATGCGCGACAAGGCCGCAGACGTCTGGCGAGGAACCATCATGATCTGCACCGAAGATATGTCGTCAGACCTCTCCACCACCCCCTTTCTCACAATCACGTCCACCAATGGCTTCCAAAACACTCTTGAGGCGAAAAACATCCTCTCCGAAATGGGCATCTCGTTCTGGAGATGGTCCGTGGAGATCCCCATGACCAACGAGGAGCAGAAACTGCACTACCGCATCAACGAGGAGGCTGCTGCTGCCAGCTTCTTCGTGCCTGCTCTCGAGCAGTCCATGAACGTGGTTTTCCACTCGTGCAACGGATTCTCCATGGGTGTGGACCCCTCTGTGTTCAATGGCTCCCTCTGGACAGACGTCATGAAGGAGCACGAGAAGGCCCACTACCACGTTATGCTCGGAGGAGGAGACCAGATCTACTGCGACTCGGTCAAACAGTACACCGAGCACTTCAAGGAGTGGATCGAGGCCGAACATGGCCACAAGGACCGAATCAAGTGGACGCCGGAAATGAGAGACGAACTCCACCGATTCTACCTGTTCCACTACATGGCCTGGTTCGGAGCTGGATTCTGGAGAGGCCCCAAGGGCTCGACCCAGCAGACCAACCTTCCCCTTGCGTTTGCATCCATTCCCATGATCAACATTTTTGATGATCACGACATTATCGACGGTTTCGGCTCCTATCCTGAGAAAACCATGACTGGACCTGTGTTTGGAGGTATCGGACGAGTCGCCTACAAGTACTATATGTTGTTTCAGAACCAGACGTTGGTTGACATTGAAGGAGGGGCTCGAGACAACCTGACTGACGACGTTGAGGACCCCAGTTGGGTGCTTGGAGCCAAAACAGGTCCCTACATTCACAATCGGTCTCGATCCATCTATGCTCGTCTTGGAAAGAGCATTGCCTTTCACGGTCTGGACTGCCGAACTGAACGAAAGATTGACCAGATTATCACTCGAGAGACGTACCAGCTCAACTTTCAGCGTATCGAAAAGGAGCTGGCAGCTGCCAAGGGCGAGATCAAGCATCTGCTGCTTATGATCGGTGTCCCCATGGCCTACCCGCGACTCGTCTGGCTCGAGAGACTGCTAACCTCTCCGCTGTTGGCCCCTATCAGATACCTGTCTAGACGTAAAGTCGTTGCTGCTGGTCTGGTGAACGAGTTTGATGGCCGAGTGGAGATTCTTGATGATCTCGATGACCATTGGTGTGCTCAGCGACACAAGAAGGAGCGAAATGCGTTGGTTGAGCGTTTGTTTGAGCTTGCCCAAAAGTACTCGGTCCGAATCACGATTCTGTCTGGAGACGTGCATCTGGCTGGCATTGGACGGTTCTATACCAAGTCTTTGAACCCCACCAAGCACCACAAGGTGTCTGTCCCCGTTATCAACGACCATAGAAACATGCTGAACGTCATTTCTTCAGCTATTGTGAACACACCTCCTCCGGACACCATGGCCGATTTCCTTAACAAGCGGAACAAGGTGCATCATTTCGACTTCAAGACCGACGAGAACATGGTCTCGATTTTCCCCTGCGACGTCGATGGCTCTCACAGAAACAACAAGCGCCTGTTGCCCCGGCGAAACTGGTGCTCCATCATTGAGCTGGATAATCTACAAAAGTTTGATCCCAAGGCTGCTCGAATCGGCGAGAACCGACGTCCGGGTCCAATGGGGCCCGACTTTAAAACCTCCGGAGACTACACTACGCACATGGGTGGAGGATCCAAGAGTCAACATGCGGGTAAGAAGGTGGAACACATCAGCTCCAAGCCTGTCGAGGAGGAGCTTCCCATCGAGGCTCTTCCATCGTCTCTTTCTTTGGCTCTGCGTATTGAGATTGATCCCAGCAAGCCCAGTGGAGACACCAACCCCTACGAGATTCTCATTCCCGAGCTTCAGCTGCGGCCGTCCAGTGGGTTGTCATCCAAGCTCAGCAGCAAGGCCTGAAGGGGGTTCTTAGGGACCGAATCGAGGCATTCTAAATATAATCCACTCTGTACTTTTACCTTTCTTAATATTGACATTATATCTCACTTGTGCCTTGTATCGTGAAACCACCACCCGTGTCTGTAGACAATGGCTGCGTCGAATCGATTGTTTGTTTCTGCTGCTAATAATAGCACGCCCTTGCATGTTGATGGAGGTTCGATTCTGTGTGGAATGAGGGCTGTGGAGAGGGCGACCGCAGTACATACTCTCTTGTACATGCTGTACTTTGCACTCATCTGAGACAAGGTCTAACGTGCGTGCACCGTTTACATGAGAGCTGCCTGTCATAGTCACTCTGGCGCCGCTTGCCGAACCATGGAGTGCGTCCGCCAAAAAGACGGTTTCATCTGTTGGCAACTGCAAAAAGAAAGCGCCGGGGACAGGGTGAAACAGCTGGCTGTGGGTGTGCGACACGGCGCTGCGACAGTCTGACAAATAGATCATGGGGCAGTCGGATCGAAGTTTACTACTTGGTGGCGATGTTGATCTGGTTGCAGCCGAGTGTGAGAATACGAGCAGATGGCTCGGGTCAATGGTCCTTTGGGAGGCCATGGTTACACATGGCACCCTTCTTGTGGTTGGCCAAGAGGAGCCAAGCTCATCTAACGGTGTACTGTACAGAAGCTGGCACGAATCATCGCCGGAACTTGTTGTACTGACACCGGTACATGAGACAAAGGGCCCACGTCATGTTGAGACCAAAGTCAATTGACCGACTAGGTTTGCCGCCTTTTGCCACCGTGGGAGGGTTGACTTTGGCGAGCGCAACGAATACGAAGATTGGAGCGCGACAAGACGACCGAGTCCAGCGGCCCCAGGAGGCCCGGATACAGTTTCGGCCCTGTCTTGTCAGATTTCCGATTGTGCATTGCTAGATCGACATTAAGGCTTGGCTGCTTTGTCACCTTGTCTTATCCAATAGAGTCTACGGTAAGTAAGTAGTGTCGAGACGACGATATAACACAAGAGACGATATTATATCTTTATGCCACCGAGCTTGGCTTCAACGGTACAGATGGTTTGGTGCGCTGGTTTCATTTGCCACACGCGAGACCACGAGCGAGTCTACTTTAGGTCTTGGTTAGCGTCCTGCTTTTGCCACCAAGTGATGATGAAAGGCTCTTGACGGGAGCAGTGTGGGCACAAGGTCGGTCCATGCCGAGACCTGCATAATAGACACCTAGAGAGGGCTCATCACGAGAATCCTCCGGAGGCGAACACTTTGGGCCGTGGCTCACGGGGTGCGTTTGAGAGGCATGTCTTTGGTCGGCTAAACGGGAGGTTGTATTGGATCTTGGATATGGTCTTGGGGTTCAGTATCGTACAGTATGTACAGTACACAGCCCGAGGCCGAATCTAGGGTGGTGGCCAGCAGCAGGGTTATAATGGCAGTCAATGGTTTGTTTAATTCGAGACATTCGAGATGTCTTTCACGAGCTACAGTGCGAGCCCAACTTACTGTTGGTATGACTAACAAACGCAGTTATCCAACCATCTATCGAAACCATGTAAGCCATTTATCATACCTCCCACCCCACCAGATTAAACTCTGGCCGCCGTTGTGTTCTATACCTCTTGGTAGCTTCGATAATACATTCTAAAACGTGGGTCCTTTTGCCTTTTGAGAGTCTAGCTGTAGGCGGAGCCTTGGACGTGACGCTCTTGTCCAGCACCGAATAATAACAAGGGTTTGGGGGTCCAGGGCTGAGGGCCCCGTGCATGACGTCAGCAAGTCCATGCATCAACCGCCGTTGTGTGTTTGTGTAGGATACGGGGTACGTCGACGTCTTTGCTGATTAGTGAGACAACAGCTGGCTCCAGCAGAGGAGACAAGGGCGGTAATTAAAACCGCCAAACAAGGGCCCCATGGAGAGAGCACGACGACGGGATGGTTTCGGTGTGTGGTTTCGTGGTCGGTCGCTGATAAATGCGGGGTGGCCTTCTCTAGGAGACGGCCGGTTCTAGAGGCCCAGAACCGTTGTCATGTCTCATCAAAGGCTTGGTTGCCTGTTTATGGGCTTGTTTTCCCCGGCTCCAAATGGGGTTAAACCTGCTTCAACAAGAAAAAAATGGTGTCTTATTTCGGCTTTTGGCTTTTTGGCTTTTAGTCGACTTTTTAGTTGACTGCCCAACTGTCTGGGTTTGGCCTTTAGCTCGCTTTCCCCAGCTAACGAAGCCTCAGACAAGACCTCACCGTCTTTGTTTGGCCCTGGCAACAAATGCCAAAGGCTCGATAGACCCCGTGATTCAGCCGTGCTAGCTCCAGTCACGAGACGGGGCTGTGTCGCCCTACGAGCTTGCTGTTGCAAGGTAGTGCTGTGGACGGTAGTAGTACGGTAGCTAGTACAGGCGGTCCAACGCCCCTCGGTGAGTGAGTTTCGGGGTCCGAAACCCATGTCAGTCACGGAACTAACCAACGCAATTACCTCGCAGCCCTGTGACACAATCAACAACCGCAAGTTCGATCCAGCCGTGTGCCAGTGCCGTTGGTTGTAGCCAAGACAAGACCCCGCCATGAGATATCAGATGCTCGTATAATCGCCCGTCGCTTCTGTCTATTAATAGCCCGGCGCTCTCTTATGTTTAAATGCCTACTTGTATTGTACATATTCCATCATTCTGGCAAAAGGAGCCTCTGGGAAAGTCAAGTCCCTCTCAGGTTCCGTCAAATCCTCCGTCTCCCTCCGTGACAGGTACGGAATCTCCGAAACCTTTGTCACGCTCGTATTCCTCATGTGGAATTCGAATATACGCTTAACTTTTCCAGATTGGGAGCGTGAAATTAGGGTCCTGACAAGTTCGGGAGGGAGGCAGGGGAATGCAGGATGGAGTCCAAAGTTTAGTCGGTGGCGACTCTTGTCTCTGCTCTGTCTCTCAGTTTTTGTCTACTCGGACCGTGGTCTGTTGCCACAAGGATCGGGGGTTTGTTTGGAGTTGACTCACTCGCGCTAGGCCCATGTTTTTGGACGCTGTCACCGTCATCGCCATGCAAGTATGGGTACAGTACGAGCAAAAGTACAAGTACGATACTTTTAGTTGTCCACTAGTTGTACTTGGCAGATTCTCGTTCCGTTCCGTTCAGTTCAGCCCGTTCAAACACCAACCTCACCATGCTGCGGTCCACCCTGTCCCTGCCTAGCCCGCCTAGACACAACCTCAATCATGGTCTGATGTTGAATATTGATTAGCGCGCGGTGTACGGCTGAAGGAGTGTGGATGCACTATTTTTAGGGTCTTTTAAGTTGAATCCTAGATCCGAGTTGTTTGGGCAAGGTTTCGAAAAGTCTACAACCACGTTCGAAATGCACCCTCTCCGTGTGCTTTGAGACTTTTTAAACGACGTCATTCTGGGCAACCAGGGCTACGACGATGGAGTCATGTGACGAACAGCCGGTCTAACTGACAGACACCTCACTCCCGTCTTGACACACGCTGCACAAGTCGCTACTCTCATTCTCCCCGTTCTGAGAGTCTCCCGACCCGCCAGACATCCTCCTCTAACCTCTTCCAACCTCCTCCACAGTCCTCCAACCGTTTCACGGTGGAGGGCTTTGGGTTGAATCGCCGAGAGGCGCCGGAAAGAGAGCTACAGTACGAGTACACAATATATGTGAACCGACGCGTACGAAAGGGCGGACCACAGCACCTAGCCCATAGCCCACAGCTAGCCCACAGTTTGGCAAGGTTAGCTAACCACGACGGCTCTTGACCTTTCGAAACATGGGCCTTTTTGCACATATTACCCCTGTTCTCTCCATCGTATCGCACTCTGCGCCCCTCTCTACAAGTAACCCAGGCGTGTGCCCGTACTCGTACTCGATACACTCGAGCACACCAGACGATACCCCGAGTCGACTCGCTAAGAACTCCCTCTTTCCTCAATCACACCTTCGGTTCACTCGGTCTCCGCGCACATTGTCACAACAACGTTTTGGCCCACATGCCATCTACAGCCGGGGATACAAACAGACTCTGGATCCAAACCCTCCCTCTCTGGCGGGGCCGTGGATTGCCGTCACCAGACTGGGATAATAATCTCACCCGCGGTCTGTATCGAGTCTCCAGACTCGCCATGGCCTGTGTGTGGGACGCTTCGCGATGTTCGGTCCAAAGGAGTGTGGACCAGCAGCGTCTCTGGCCGCGTCGTCGGAGCTTCTGCATGTACCATCGGCGACCATGCTTTTCCACCAGCGGGTTCAGTGCATGTGTCCAACCGTTTTGTGTTTACTGGGGGGGGGCTCTGAGTAATGGCATCCGACGGAGGGATGTGCAACATGTGTGTACAGTAGTAGAGACTGGAGACGAGTGTGGTGTTGGCGTGAATGTGGGTGATATTTTTTCAACCGTGCCTGTTTTTTCGTTTTTTTGAGCTTTTAAGCTGGCAGAAAACTGACTAAAACCGTAGATTTGGCAAAAGCAAAAGAGGTCAAATTTATTTTTTTATTTTTCCACCGAATGAATTTTGCGATTTTCTAGGTTAGACGCACAACCTTATGTATGACAACTTTGGGGATTTCTTTGTTGCACATGCACATATCCTGCCCTTGTGCGCAACGCAAATAGAGCTAATTGAACTAACAGCACTAACAGCACCTCTTTTGTTATCCAACTATGACCATTGATATAAGTAGAGAACGGTTCCTGTGGAGGCTGGGGATTCCCAAGAACGAAATACTAACCTCGAAACCAGCCTTTAATCTGGAGCTCAAGAAACATCTTCCGACACATTCACGAGCCTCAATCACACACCCACGCACAATCACACTCACACACACCCTCTCAATCTCTCTTCTCTGATCACCTGCCACGATGATGCCCTCTCATTTTGATATCAATGAGGTGGTGGCCTGTGATACTCACGAGCCGTGTCTGGGGTACGACATTCTGTCGCCAGTACCATTTGTGGTCAACCCAATGTACTCCCCTCAAGAGGAAGAAGATGACTGTGATGAATTTCCAGACATACCCCAATCCCTAGACCATATCACACAGCAGCAGCAACAGCAGCAACAACCACAATTAGCAGTGCCACAACGCTCGTTCAGCGACGTGTTGAACGGCCCACAGTATGATTTTTCGCTCTTCCCGCCAGACCAAAGCTTCCCCGATGTCAACTCTTCTGCTCCTTATGTTGAGCCCCGAAGAGTGTCTCTTCCAGCGCGCAACCAGACGGGAAACATCAGCAAGCCCAACGTGGCCACCAACATTGCCAATACCGACTATTCTGTGTTTGTTCAGCAACTGATGGCTGGTTCCAACACCATGAACAACAACATGAACTACATCCCTACCACCGTGATCAAGGAGGAACAGCACGCGTTCGGCAACTATTCGTTCGACTTCACCCAGGGCCAAATGCAGACACAGTTGCAACCGCAGCAGCACTCCACACAGCTATTGACACAGAGCATTGATATCCCTCTACCCGATGTGAACCTGTCAATCACCCCTCCCCAACCGTCCACGACCCCACTGCCGGCGACCGTGACCATCAAGGAGGAGCACGAACCACCGAATGTATCTGCCAAGCCTGAGGTTGTCCCAGAGGTCGAGGAACCCGTGGAGGTGGACTTCAACGGCCGAAAGCACAGAAAGTGGAGAAACCGAAAGTACAAGTGCAAGCACTGCGACGAGATTTTCTACGACAAGAACCTGGAGGAGTTTGCAGCACACATCCAGAAGGTGGAGAAGGAGACGGGCACCACCGAAGTCGCCGGACGACACTACAAGTGCGAGTCGCCTGACTGTCTGTGGCACATTATCGGCTTTGTTCGAAAGCTGGAGGCCCAGAAGCATTACGACCGACGCCATGGACACCCCAAGTTCCAATGCCGGTTCTGGTGTGAGGGAGACATGGAAAAGTTCCCTGGAAGCAAGACTTGTTCCACGCGATGGCATGTGGACAGTGGAAACCGGGCTCGACACGAGCGTGCGGTCCACGGCCAGGTTTTTGAGCAGTCCAAGTTCTCTTCTTAGAGCACTTGACGACTCTGTGATTATTAGGGCTACTGTATGCCCACCGTACATACTAACTAACCAACGAGATATAGAGTGTGTAGCTGATGACCCGAGTCTCGAATCTTCGTGACTCTATATCGGTTTAATGGATTTTATTTATTGTCATGAGTCATTGGTACTATGTACGAGTAAGTTATGTTTTGTTGAGAAGGATGCACCATCAACCTTACTGGACGTAGAATTGTATTCTGAGTCATAGCTATAAGCAAGCCACTTCCAGTCAATGTACCCATTGGCACGTTGTATGAATTGAGTAATAATTCTGAGCTTGAGAGGGATGACTAAGAGCGATGAATATTTCCGGCCGGAAGAAGCCGGGTTTCCATGCAGCTCCGTATTATCTAAGTCAAGACCCTGATCAGCATTGCTTCTTACACCCTTTCAGAACGTGCTAAAGTGTTATGTGAAAAGCAATAGCAACGTGATTCTTGGCGATGGAGGGTCTGTTGAGGTTGGGGAGAGTGTCTCCAAGTTGTGGCCGTGTAAAGAGAATCTTGTAAAGTCCTGTAGAGTCTTGTAAAGTCCGGTAGAGTCTTGTAATGTCCGGTAGAGTCTTGTAATGTCCGGTAGAGTCTTTTAAGTCTGAAGTCTCAGATACCGGTGATTGTCAGTGGGGTATGTAGATCCTTGAGTGTGAAAAAGACCCAGTGGACTTTGCTGTCATGGTTCCCCTCTCGCGGCTGCAATTGCTACTACAAGTGAACATACTGGGGACGCACGGTTCCATAATAATGCGCGCTTCCTGAGGACTGTCTGCTTCACGCGATATTTTTTCTCGCGTAATATCAGACCACATGTTGTGAATAATAATGATGCTGTGTGTACAGCAGCGGTGAATTGGCTTGTTTGGTTACTTACAGTTTCAGGGGTGCTGAGGGTGCTCACGAGCCGGCGTCTGGTGGTTTGTGTGTCGCCGGCGTTGGAGGTGGCAGACATGGCAGATGGCAAAAGTATGGTCACTCTACCGTGGACTATCTGACAGCATGTATAGTCCTTTTTAGTCAACCACCACTTGTGATTGGCTAACGGCATCATTCCAATGAACCATGTGACGCTGAACACGTGATGAACTACTGCGAGTCAGCACTTCCGCCACGTGACCAAACTGCGATGTTTAGAATCCACTTATTTTTCCCGCAAGCACTTTTATCATCACAAAGCCGCTATTCACACCCTTCCCCAGACTCTCACGTCTCGTTTATGAAAGTGTAAATATTTTAGCACCAGATTTAACCCTGCATAAGGTTCAAGATGTGGTACATGTCACGTGGGGATCACGTGTAAAAGCGCCAGAACGCCTTCGGATCAGCACCTCTCGGGACCATTTTTGGCCGTAAGTAACGTGGTGGATGTCGATAAGCAATTATTCCAACGGTTATCACTGCCGGTAGCGTCGTATTGCGAAAATGGAATAGCTTGCTCCTGCCCTTAGAGGACAACTCAGAAACTCTCTTTGAAATAAGCTATTTTACCCCCACAAAACACGAGCTACCAAAATGCGTGCACTTGCTTCAATTTGGGCGCAAAAAAGCCCCAGTGACTCGGATTCCAAAGATTGGTGTCTGGATCTGATTATTTGCCGCCAGACCCGCTCTTCTCCCGTCTAACCGCCAAGGTATCGGTGAATTTAGCAAGCCTCGAAACCCAAAATAGAGCGGCTCGCTACAACCTGCATATAGCGAGGAACGGCGCGGCAAAAAAAAACTCACAGAGTGCAAATATAATGGGTTGAGGATCAGCCACCTTGTAGAATCCACTTTCTGCCTTTAAACACGCTCACTAACCACACAATAACGAGTATGAGAGCCCTTCTGAACAAGGCAGACGAAACGTTCGCGTCCACTGGCGGCTCCATTGACATTGAGCTGGACAGCATTGACCAAAAGCTACCCAGAGTTTCTGTGTCCTCCGACTTGGGAAGCGGGAGTGACACGGCGGGAGAGGGAGATGGACCGGTGTCGGCAAACACTGACGACAGCAACACAAACACGCTGGACGTGGAAGCTCTCCCTGCCACAGCCCCCGATGACGATGTCAAGTTCAACCGGTTCACTCTGTCGCAAAAGCGGATCATGACCGCAGTTCTGGCCTTTTGTTTCTTCCAGCCCTTCCTCGTCACCTACGCCATGTTGCCTGCCGTGCCTCTGATTGCCGAGCAGTTCGACGTCAGTGGCACCATTGTCACTGTAGGTAACGCTATCTTCTTCCTCATCACCGGTTTCTCGTCCTGCTTCTTTGGACCCTTCAGTGATGCCTACGGACGAAAGGCCGCCCTCATCACCTGTTGCATAATCTTTATTGTCTCCAATATTGGTATTGCTGCCTCTCCCAACCTCGTTTCCTACTACATCTTCCGAGCCACTACCGCCATGGGAGGTACGGCGTTTTTCTCGGTTTCGGGCTCTGCCATTGCCGATATTTGGCGGCCTGAGCACCGAGGCAAGGCTGTGGGCGCCTGCCTTCTCGGCTCTCAATCTGGAATGACCATTGGTCCCATTATCGGTGGCTGGATCGTCACCAAGACTTCCTGGAGAGTCATCTTCTGGATGCAGGCCGGAGTTGCCCTGGCAAACCTGCTACTCGTCACCTTTGTGCTCCGGGAGCCCATGGCCACCACCAAGCACCAAATGCTATGCGCTGAGCAAAACAAGCGGTTTGTCTGGATCTGGATCAACCCCTTCAAGGTTCTCATGGGTCTCCGAAACATGCATCTTCTGCTGGCAGGTCTCTCCATTGTTCCAATCATGTACGGCATGGACTGTCTGCTGACTCCCCTTTCTCTGGTTGTCGAGCCCCGTTTCGATATCAAGTCTCCTGTCGTCGCAGCTCTCTTCTACCTGCCTCAGGGTGTGGGTTTCCTCATTGGATGCTACTTTGGAGGCATGTACGCGGACAAGACTGTTCAGCGATGGACCAAGATCCGTGGCCGACGAGTTTGCGAGGACCGACTTCGATCCCAGCTCCCTTTTGTTGGCATCTTGCTCCCCGTCTGTATGCTCATCTACGGATGGTCTCTGGAGAAGGAGTTTGGAGGAGTGGCTGTTCCGGTGGTGACCATGTTCCTGGTTGGCTTTGGACTGTCCATGTACTTTCCGTCGCTCAACGCCTACTGTGCCGACTCCAGTCCTGAGCTCGGAACTGCTGCTGCTATTTCCGGCAATTACGCCATTCGAAACTGCGGCAGTGCCATTGCTGCTGCCTCCACCCTCAAGGCCGTGGAGAACATTGGCATTGGTTGGACGTCGACTGTGGCTGCCTTTGGCTTCATTGCCAGCACTATTCCCGTCTTCATCCTGCTGTGGAAGGGCGAGGACATGCGTCAGAAGGCGGTCCGACGAATGATGAGATGAACCAAATAGTTTTCAATTAATGAATCATGTGAGTATGTACACTATACTGAGATGAGATTCGTACCGTATGCACATACTGTACTTATTGTAGGTTACACGAGTCGAAGAAGAAACGACTGTCCAGAGAGTGAACAGTAGAACAAGGAAGAAGGAAGATCGAGAATGTAAAACAAGCTTGGTAATTAAGCCAAACTGTGTCCTGGAAAGCCCTCCCTTCCCGTCTCCACTACTTTATGTCCAACAAGCGAGACACAAGCGAGACACGAGACCCTTTTCGGCAGGGGTCGTCTAGAAGTAGATCTATTAGACGAGCATGCGTGTTTGTACGGCTGGCCAGCTTTTAGCGACTTGGGGAGCTTGGCGCCCATTGTTGGGGAAATGTAGCACTACGGGGTCCATGAGGGCGCTAATCGGTCAAGCACCAATCTTGGCTGTTATTTTGACGTCATAATGGCGTGTTGCTTAACTGTATGCAAGGATATTTGTTGTCTACCAAAGTGACGGATGTGTCTGTCTGTACGAATATGTACGGTACCAGTACGGGCGATTCCAACAGAAACGTGGTCTGGTATGCCTTGCGGTCTCTGTCCCAGTTGTTTTTTGGTACACAATGTACTTGTACTGTGTATTGGCGGTTCCATACTTGTATATAATTTTATAATTTATAATTACTACTCGTACCATTAAGCACACTGTAGCTACAGGGACGATAATGCTCTGTAGTCGATCCAATAGCCCACACTTGTTCTGGCACTAGACGTTGAGTTTGGTAAACGTGGCCCGGATATTACCAGACTAGGGCTGCATTCTGGCAGGCGAAATTGACGTACTTGACCCCTGCTTGCCCTTCGTATACAAGTCAAGAGTAGATAGTGCACGGGCGGTCCGTATAGGTTCGGCAAGAGTTTCCGACGGTGTCGAATGGCGGGCATGCTGGCTGTGGATAGCACGCCTGAAACATGTTCGTCCTGCACGCTTACCAAAGCAAAGACACAGACAAGCCAGTACCGGGCGTGTGGCGACCTGGAAAAATGCGGAGAGAGGCCATTTCCGTCGGTAAGCTTGCCCGTGAGTCCTTGTTACAACTCCAACAAAGACCATTAGCTGGGTTTGATGGTCTGAAACCCAAGGTTTCAAACCCCAAGGTTTCGGCGTTTGAAACCGTGTCTATGTTTATGTGAGCGCAGTCTAAATAACACGTCTAGCGACCCTTTAGTAAGCAGCTTCCCATTGTAGCATTCACAGAGGGCGTACAGTAGCATCGAGAGAACCCACGGGACAAGGACGACAAGAAAATAGACTCTTTTATGGGTATGGGGAGTAGGCTAACGAATACAAGGTCAATCTAGACTTCGATGACTCTATTCTGGGTTGGCGTTGGTACAAAATACACTACCGTATGTACATTCGTACATGGAGGAAATGTTTGTTCCACACTTTCTCCAGGGTTTCCTTGTCAATATAATTACATGGTTCATTGATTGAGGGGTTATATTGCCCAGACTACTGTTTCATTCTGGCGTGGAGGGGGAGTTCGATACGGAAGAGCTATGCTTAACTTGTTATACGATGGGCGTCCATCCAGCGTGTTACAATCGAGTGGAGTGCAGTCGTTACGATTGACCTAGTTATGAGTTACCCACCAGTGTACTTGTGCTTCTCTCTACTGTACCCAGCAATAATAGTGCATTGTCATCGAATTCCCAGTACTGTGAATACAAACACACCCATGGTCACACTACAGTTGGATCGTATCTACGGTACTACTTGGGCTTCTACAATGCTCCAACAAGAAACCATTAACATGTTTATTTTAGTTAGTCTATCCCAAGAGGTAGTCGAACACTACCGAGTGGTGCGTATAATGTACAGAATACTGGAACCACCTGATATAAATATGGCTGTAGGGCAGCTAGTCCGTTTGGAGAAACGTATGCTCTCTTAAACCAGCAGAACTGCATTGACACAGCCATCTCGATCGGGCTCGTTGGTGATCTGGGCGTACTTACCCCACACCACCTTACCTCCAGCAGTCACGAGACCAAGCTCGGACACGTTGACCTCGATGATGGTTCCTCGGGTCAGCACACCCAGTTGAGTGTACATGGGAGACTGGGGGTTCTTCTTGACGCCCAGAATGGGCAGGTGGACAGTGACGCCGAGCTCGGGGTGGGTCACGTTGGCCTTCTTCTGACGCAGAGCAGAGGGTCGGATGATTCGCTCCAGCTTGACGGGTCGTCGTGTGAATCCCTCACCAACAAAGGTATGCTTAGTGATCATTCGCTTCCAACTCTTGTTTCGTCGCTTTCCAGACTTGAGAACCTTGAACATCTCCTCCTCAGAAATACCTCGCACCTTGGGCAGAGGCACGCTGAACTTGTCGGCCTTCTCCAGACGCTTCTGCTTGATGGAAGATGACAGAGCCTTGGCAGAGTTAGGCTGCTGTCGGTCCAGCAGATACGTGGGCAGAGCATCACCATCCTCGGGGTTGTGTTCCTTGGGTGTGCCGTTGACCTTGGACTGCTCATGCTCTCGGATCTTCTTCTTCATTGCCACCTTCTCGGCGTATCGCTTCTTGGCGAACATCTTAGCTCGGAAACCAGTCAGGTTCTGGGCATCCTTGGAGATTCGGTGGCCCTCTCGGGCTTCTCGCTTTCGCTTTCGCTCGTCATGATCGAGTCTTCGACCATGCTTCTTAATGTGAGCCTCAATATACTCGTTCTGAGGCATGTTGTGCTGTGTATGTTGTGTGAAGGAGAAATTTGTTTTCCCGCAGAAAGCCTTGGGAATAAATTTCTATTAGAGTTTCTTATCTGAAAGGAGGGTAACTGAGGTTGGAGGGCACAGAGAAAGGTGTAGAAGACAATATTTGAGGGGGAGATAAGCGGGAATTACCACTGAATAATGAAGCTCCATCTACAATGATGGTAAATTCGCCGTTATTCGCTCACAATTGCCTACCATTGTCCTGTTACCCTTGTCATTGAACTGCACTAAGCAATTTTAGTCTTCCATTGAGAACGCCTTATGAGAAAAAAATACCATAGTCATTACGCCACCCGGTAAAGTGATAGACAATGAAAGAAAGGGTGCAAATGAAATGCCACCTGTTTTTATAGACTGTTTGGTAGAAATCTTTTTCCAATAGTCCCGTTTTGTCGTCCATTATTGGTCCAAGTACTTTTGTTGTATTTTAATGAAGGACTGGTTGATGCATGCAGAAATAAATTGTTGAAAATGGTACAGTATATCATGAATTGAAGCGGGTAGAAAGATAGGTATCTATACATACACACTCTTTGGCCCGTAACATGATGACAAATACGATACAAGTACAATGCTGGCAGTCAATAATCCCCTATCCCACCTTGCTGACTAAGCATATGCAAGATTTTCCCACCCTGCATGACGAAGCTATTTTTTTCCGGGCGCAGAAAAAATGTTCAGACGGGAATTTCATCTCAGATCAAGACAACACAAATGGAGGCTTTGTTGAAGGAGATCACGACGGCTACGGACAACTCGGCTACCAAGCTCAAGGAGGAGCAGCAGGCGTACAATGCTCTGGACGACGACGTCAAGGCCCAGATCCAGCGGGACTCTCTGTCCTTGCTGGGACTCAAGAATCACACAATGCTGGCCTACCTCCATCACCTGGCGGTTGTGACTCTGGCACAAGTTCAGCGGGTGGAGAAGGAGCAGAAGGACGACGCTCTTGAAAAGGGGCGACAGGCCGCGATCCAGGGCACCGTCAAGAACCGGGTGGTGCTGGAGAAGGGTATCAAGGGTCTGGAGAGCAAGGTCAACTACCAGATTGACAAGATGCTCAAGGCATACACACAGGACAAGGAGCGAAAGGCCGAGCGAGAAAAGCAACGGGCTGAGAAGGCGCTTCTTGGCGAAGAGAAGGACGACGACGATGAGGGCGACAAGGACGATAGAGACGACGACGATGAGTCCGAATCTGAGGACGACAATCTTGCATTCAAACCCAACGTTTCCAACCTCACACGAGACAAGAATGCTCGACCAGTGCGAGATTCGCGAGGAAAGAAATCCGAGCAGGACGACGACCGAGAGTCCGCCTCCAACACCATCTACAGGCCCCCCAAGATCTCGGCTGTGGCTCCCGAGTCCAAGAGCATGCGAAAGAGCAAGAAGAAGAACGCCACCATGGAAGAGTATCTAAAGTACTCTTCTTCTGCACCCATGGTCGAGCAGTCTATTGGTTCGGGTATTCTGGAGCACGGTCGAGGAGGAGAGAAGACAGACCGAGACCGAAAACGAGAGGAGGAGGTCCAGCGATACGAAGAAGACAACTTTGTGCGTCTGCCGGGCGCCAACAAGAAAGAACGATCCAAGCTCAAGAAGGCTCGAGCTGGCGCCTTCTTTGGTGAAGACTGGGGAGTTGGAGGAGATATTGGTGAGGCCACTAAGCGAAAGCGGGGCGGCTCGTCCATGTGGGAAAAGTCCAAGAAGCGACGATAAGCAGGAAAAAGGGAAATGTATAGTTACAGCTAATAAATTTATAGACTTGGTTATGGAGACAATGTCTGATACTATAGAAGAGTCATATCAAACTACCTGTACAAGTAGTTGTGCTTCAAGACGATCTGTGTACATGTTCTATTCGGGTCTATACTGTAGTACATACACGGTTCCGTGTGATATCGCAGGTACCGCACGTTACTAGTACTTGTTGGCCAATTAACTTGACATACTATGCTATGCTTGTACGATAGATGTTCTCCATGAAAAACTTCCGTGGTGACTGAGAAATTCAGCCATTGTATAGATACCGAGCCAACAATCATGAGGGCCTACTTCAACTTCTGTATGCAAAGATACTACAATTATTCTCCTTGGTAAGAGAAACTACAATCCTGGTTCAAGTGCAAATATATTATAAATAAACAAAGAGTGAGCCTGCTCACTATGCTTGAGATTAGAAACCGGTGAAGCCCGACTGCATGGAGTTGTGTCTGTCTCCAAGCTGAGAGAAGCGGTTGCGACGGTGCTCGATGAGCTGCTCCTGCTGCTCCAACAACGACATTCGGTTGCTTCGCATAGTGTTGGTCATGGTGTTGGTATAGAAGGTTGAAGCCCGGGGGGTGTAAGCCGGCTGGTCAAGGTAGTCTTCGTTGTATACAGTGGCTGTATCATCGGGTGCGAAGATGGGGAGGTTGTTGCGAAGCGCATGGGACTCCCAGGTATCCAGGGGGCATAGGGCGTTGAACTCCTTGTCAGACAGACGGGGAATATCGCTCTGGACGAGCTGTTTACCGTCCTTCTCGACCACGATTCGGGTGTTACCCCACGAGAAGTCGTTCATTTTCCAGAAGGAATAGATGGGAAGAAGGAAAGAGTGGAAGGGGTAGGCGCAAATGTAGATGATCATCCAGAAAATATGCTGCCATTCCTGCTTGATGATGTAGATGATGGCCTGCAGACCGTAGACGGCCGCAAACATGATGACCGAGACCAGGGGGAAGGCTCCGGCGTGGGCGGCAATCACGTAGATGAGGTAGGCGAGGTAGACACATACAGAGGGCAGCATTAGGGTGCCTGCGAGATCAATAAAGACAATGAAACGCATGCCAAAGAAACAGAAACCACACATGGAGTTGATTCGCAGAAGCTCAACCAGGTTATGAACAGTGGAGTTGATCCATCTTCGTCGTTGAGAAACCAGTACGGAGAAGGAGTCAGGAGCAGTGGTGTAAGCCATGGCTCCTCGGCAGAAGGTGAATCGCATTTTAGGCCATCGCTTAGTCATGAGGGTGGTCAGGAATCTATCTTCTCCAAGAGAAAGCAAGTTCTTCATGTGCAGAGTGTTGACCTTGTTGGTGGAGTACTCCTCCAGAACCCGGTTATCAATCAGATTCTTGAGTCGGTACATGGAGAAACAACCGGGCAGACAAGTAACAGAACCAAACAGAGACTCGAAAGCCTTGGACAGGTGGTGAGAAATGAAATACTCGTAGACCTGGACCATGGTCCAGATGGACTGGTTCTCGTTCTGAAGAGCGGTCTCTCCACAGATACCCACCACGTTGACGTCAGAAACACAGTCTGCCACGAGGAAGTTGAGAGAGTCCTCCTTGACACGCGTGTCGGCATCCACCATGAACATGTACTCGTAGGCTCCGGGGTCCACTCCAATCACGTTACCAATATGATGGAACATTTCGAGCTCCAGGGGATTCATGGCTCCGTTGGAAGCAACTCGGTTGAAGAACCGCATGAGCAGAACCTGGGAGTCTCGCTTACCTCGGTTTCCGGGCTTGGAAGTCTCTGACTCCTTACCGACCTTCACAACTATGCAATAGGGGATGTTTCGGCCATCGTAGTGGTAGAGACCAGAGTACACTTTACCGTAGTTAAGACGAGCAGCACCATCGCCGATGGACTCAAAGGCGTAAGGAATGACTTCGGAAGCAGCTCGAGGATCATGGCCAACAATATCAAGCACAATCTGAGGAGTGGTCTGGTCGTTACCCTGTCCAACAATCATACCGTCACAAACAACAAGCAGCAGCTTTCGAGAATCAGGGTACTCGAGAGCAGCAATGGAGTCAATGGCTCGTCGCAGAGCCTCCTCGTCCTCAGTGTAAGCAGGGACATGGCACACAACGTACTTGTTTTGAGTGTCGGGGGTAGCTAGAGAACCGAGTTGCATGGCAGCGAGGAACTTGATGAGAACAACGGAACACAGAAGAATAGCAACAACCAGCAGAATGTAATTGGACACCTGGCATCGGGCAGACTGTCGGAAGTCAGGTTTACCGGCATAGAAGGCGTTCTTGAGACACTCCATGTTCTGAACTCGCTCGGACGGCTTGAGATCCATCCGCTTCCAGATGTCAGTAACATCCTGGCCGGCATTATCATCAACCATTGCCTTGACATCCTTGTGCAAAAAGTCGTAGGCGTCCTTGTTGGGGTAACCCTCGACCTGGTCGAGAGTGTAAAAGTAGTTGGTCAGGTCATAGATGGAGCCGTCGATAACAACCCACTTGTTCCAGCCCTTTTCTCCATTCTCCTTGAGCTCCTTGCTCTTGGCAACCAGAGGACCCTTGTAGTACTGAGCGATGCTGGGCTGGAAAACATCATTGTACCAGGTGAGGTTGTACAGAGCAGATCCAGTATCAGAGGTCTTGTAGTCTCCAGAGTAGTGAATGGCAGTAGGGTCGTAGATGGTGTTGTTGGAAGCCAGCCACACGGTAGGGTCGTCAACAAGACCCTGACAGGCACTGGTCAGAGGATTGGGGAAGTACGAGGTCATGTCCTGGCCAGCAAAGGGAATCATGTTGGCGGCAGAGGTGGTGATGGAGGTATCAGAATGCTGCTGTCTGTAGAACTTGGTGATATCGTAGACTTTTCCCTGGATGGACACAAAAAAGTCGTCTTCTCCTTGGTGGTATCCCACCTCCTTGGCTGTCCATGCTTTATCGAAATCAGGACACAGAATTCGACCGAGAAAGATCATGTAGAAAATGACGACACAGTTGAGGAAGAAGATGAGCACGAAAATGGCAAACTTTTCTCTCCATGCAATCCGTTCTTCCTTTCGCTTGAGTCGTCCAAGATGATGGAGGAATCCAGAAGGTACCCACCAGGTCATGGCCCAGACAATAGTCATCCACACCCGTCGCTGTCGCGTCTGCTCTTCAACATGAACATTTTCACCAAGCTCCGGATCCACATCCTTGAGCAGAGATTCGTCTACAATCTCCTTGTCATCGTAATGGAGCTCATGAGAGTGACTCTCAAGCATAGCCTTCTCGTCACCGCCCTGAGCAGCCCATTCACCCTGCTCTTGCACAGGAGTGGTCTGAGAGAACTCCGCGTACTTGGCTTCGAGTTTTCGGTAGGTGTTCTCGCTGATCCAGACTCGGTCTCGACCGACGTAGATCTCAGAAGCAGATCCGACGTTGTTTCGAGCCCATAGTCCAATATAGTAACTCAGAGGATGCTCGCAGACGTCCAGGGGCAGAATAGACTGTAGCGACGGGTATGCATCGTAGTACCGATCGACAAACTCCTCATGATCAAAGTCGGTGGTGAAGTTGTTGCCCTGCTTGAAGGCGTTCCAGGAGTCGATGGGGGGATGGTCTCGGGTGAATACGGTCCACAGACGAGAGGAGGCAAACAGATCTGGCAGAGAGTAGGCCTTTCGTGCCTCCTTGGTAAGTAAATGAGACTGTGTGAAGGATGTGATGTCGGAGATATCAACAGGTCTATGCAGAGACAGTTCTCCAAAAAGTTCAGGAGAAGACTTAAGTTTGAGTCCGTCGCCAACCATCTCGGCATTGATACCCTGGTTCACGTCGAACATTTGTTGTCTCACAAGCGAAGATGATTTGGTAATGGACAGAAAGTGGACCACAGCAGCGATGGAGTCGTCAGCGTCGTTGAGAGTGTCTCCCGAGTGAATGGAAGCCGAAGACGAGTTTGTGGTACCCTGGGACAGCTTGGCATTTATCGATCCCACAATAAAACGCAGCAGTTTGTCGTAGATGGCGTAAATAACCTGTTGTCGAGTCATGCCCGCGTCCTGAAGAACATGGGGATCGATTTCGATCAGAGAACAGGCTTCCAGGTCATCCTGGTCGTGGATGAGCAGAATAAGACCCGAGAGAATGGAAAGAAGTTGTCGAATCTGTTTTTTGGAAAACGCCTGTCGCAACATGTGTCGCACGTCAAAGTCACACAGCTCGTCAGCCTTGGTGTAGTCGTTGAACTCGGGCTTGACATTGAGATACTCCCGTTCCTGGGGAGTCAGAGAGCCATATAGCTCGGCAAAAGCGCCCTTGATGGTCTCGTAGTTATCGTAGTACATTTCACCGACATTGACTCGGCTCTTGAGCACTCTCTCGTCTCGGTCAATGGTAACCGAGACCATGGGCTCCAGGCCGTGTGTGAAGGGCAGAATCAGCTGGATGAGCTCAGTGTCGACGCCCAGGCCCTCAATGGCGCGCATGAACGAGTCATCCACGATTGCAAAAAGCTGGTCTTCGCATCTCAGCCGTCCATGGGCAAAACATGTCGACACGAGCGAAGCGTAGTCCTCACCGATGTGAGATGATGAATCTTTGAGCACTGTGTTAGTTTGGTTTGTTGCCTCCTGAGAAACTCGACTCATCGTACTCACTCTCAATGATGTATCAGCGATTCAGCAGTAGTTTGTTAGACGAGATGAAACTGCTTCTTTGGCTGTCTCTTATACATTGTCCATGGCCCTCGACTCGTGTGTTTTCCCATGTCTCGATTCGGCCATAAGTGAACCTTAAAACGCCGCTAACGCAGGTTCCGTAAACTAACCGACTCTGGGGAAACATAATAATATCTCTTTTCAGAAGCAAAAATGGTCCAAATAGAATGGCTTTGTCAACTACGGAATACATGTTCCATTTCCACTTCGTTTTCCATCCCCAAATCACCTACACGCCCGCTGTACACCCCACAAGAAGCTGCTCATCTCACTATGCAGGATGCGAGCCCTGCGGGTCCCAAATAGGCAAGAGCCAAACAGCGAGACCGATCTGCAGATAGCCAGCTACCTGTAGCATTGTCAAGCAAACGCCCGAGGGTACGGAAGCTCATTAGACTGGAGAGAATATATTAGGGTGACAGAACTACGCTGTTGTTTTTTTTTCGTTGTCCGAAAACTGGGCACTTTTCGATTGTCTAATGATCACTCTCTACTGCATGTACAGCCTCCACCCACGGCTTCACACGGCTGAAGCAATATGACAACTTTCTCGATTAATTTTCTTGAGACATTTTCCCGGCGTTCTACAGCGTCGCTGTATCTTCAGCCATCTGCTACAGTGTCGGAACCGTCACTCAGAGGGTGTCACGCTGTAGATACACTAGTATAAGTACTGGCCCTGAGCTTCGTCTCTGTAAACATAGTCTCTATACTTATAGCTACGACGGAAAACCTTCACCTACAGGCCACTGCTAATATACATATATCTTACACTTATAATACACTAATAATAAAATACTCGGGCGTCGACCTTGGCCTGGATGCGTCGTCCGTAAGGGGTCTGACGGATCATGGGCAGCACGGGCCGGATACGATCAATGAGCTGTGCCCGGGTGTACTGGTTGGCGGTGTCCAAGGCGGTCTGGACCACGTAGTTGCCATAGCAGTCGCTCAGCAGCTTAGGCAACAGGGGCGAGGCGCAGATCTCGGCAATCAGAACCGCTCGAAGCTCGTAGGACGCCACCTTGAGCGACTTTTCAATCACGTTGGACGAAAACTTTTGCATCGACAGCGCGACAACGTGGCCGACAAACTGGCGGATCACCTGCTCGCCTAGCACGTACTGAGTCACGTAGTTGCCGAACGGGTCGCACACGAGCTGCAGAGCGTGTTTTGTGATAACACCAATGAGCATTTCTCGTTGCAATACGTCCGCGTAGTCAACGCACCGCTGCAGCACGCAGCAGCCGTGTCTGTGTGTAGCGACTACCACCAGATTCTGCGACACGGCTCGGTAGATGAAGTTGGTATCGCACGAGTTGAGCCGGTTCAGACACTTTTGGATCACGTGGTTACCGTTGAGGTCCTGGATGAGCCGTACCACGTTTCGCTCGAGGGCCTGCACAATGATTTCAATTTGCTCGTCGTTGGTGACGTAGTCAATCATCTTCTGTAGCGCTCGAGTGCCGTGCTGGTTGAGCGCCACCTGGACAAGGGAGGGAGCAGCCGTTCGGATCAGCACGGTGGTCTGTGCCACAGAGCAGTTTTCCAGCAACTTTTGGCACAGGTAATTGCCAAAGGGATCTGTCATGAGCTCTACCACATGGCTGTGGGTCTGCTCAAAAATCAGATTCAGGTAGTACGGCTCCTCCTCGAGCTTGCGCTGCAAGTACCGGCACCCGTGCTGGTCCTTGCACAGCGCAAAAATGTCGCAGTTGTTGAGATCAATGGAGGAGATCTTGGACGAGGTGGTGGAGGGGGTCTGTACTCCAGACGACGCAGTGCCGTTGGGGCTTCGCTCAGGGGTGAATGCCGGAGGAATGCAACTGCTAGCGGGCTGGGACGCTCGTCGGTAGTGGTTGTTGCTGCCCACAAACGTAGGAGACAGATTAGTATGCAAATTGGGGGTTAGCGGAGAGGCAGGAATGGCCTGCATGACAGAGTGGGAGTTGTTGTTGTTTGCAGCGGTCGAACAATTGAACTTGCCACCGGCCTTCTCGTAAGGAGGAGTCAGGGGCTGGTGCATGGGTGGAGATCCGTTGCCATTGTAGCTGCCGTGATTGCCATGATGATTGTGGTGCTGCTGCTGGAAGGTCTCTTCCAAGGGCGGGGAAACGGCAGAGGAGGGACGCCGGACAAGAATAGGGAATTTGTCTTCGTTTTCCACAAAGACAGACTTGCCGAAAATGGGCGATCCGCCTGCTCCCGAGTGGGTACGGTGATGCTGGCTGTGGTTGTGGCTGACGGGGAGGTTAGGATGTCCGTTTTGAGACATGTTCATCTTTCCGTTTTGGGACATGGGCATGTTTCCGTTTTGGGAGGGAGCAAGATTTAGCCGCGACACGTCACCCACCAGGTCGTCGTAGCCTCCCAGCATGAAGCGGGAGTCGTGGGTGGCGTAGCCGGGCAGGTTCCAAGCCTGCTTGGGGGTGTGAGGCTCCTCGGCGGTCGAAATAGACCCCACGGATAGAGAGGAGGCGTGCATGTGAAGGGGGTTTTGGTAGGAGGTCTGGATCAAAAGTGGCAAATAAGATTATTCCGAATTAGGCAATGTGTTTTACCCCGCGATTAGGGATGGCAAAAAGTCTAACGTTAGTAAGGTGTTGGGAGTGCAGTAGGAGCTTACACACACACACAAGGGGATCATCTTTCTCTTGGGTCAAAGTAGTGAAACTGTAGGTGAAAGAACTGGACCTTGTGGGTGGTGGTAAGTGTAACACGGGGCAACTAAAAACGCAAGTGTGGATCGGATGTCGCCGTGGGTCGGGCTCGTCACAGACGCTCTGTGGTCGCCACGTAAACGCAACGTCAACACATCATCCCGCAATTTGCTCTTGATCAATCAATGTCTGTAACCCTGTAGCTAGCTCCAACCATTAACTACCAAAAACCAAGGCCGAGGTGTGAACCGCTTGAAATTGAAGACTGGTGCAGCACAGGACGTCCAAGACAACCACCGCAGCTGGTCCATCAGGGGCACGTGGCGGTGCGGAAAGGGCCCGGCTGTGTGTGTGGGCTATGTGTAGTCCGTATGGAGTCGCGGTCATGGCAGTTTCCGGCTTGGTGGCTCTGGAGCTGTGGCGCAACCAGGTTCAGTTGTTGAGTGACAGAGACCGGGTGTGAACCGGCTCCTGGCGGGGGGTTTTGTGGGCTGTTTTCGCTGCTGGCAGGAGTGCTGTGTGTGGGCTCTGTCGTCGCTGTGATACTCACCATAAAGGCCCTCAATGTGGTCCGAAGGTCTACAAGAGGTCGGTTTTGAATGAGGCAATACAAGAAGATGTGGTCAAGTTTCTAGCTAAGCCCGTGGGTTTAAATTCGGTAGATATAAATAAGCACAAGGTCTGCAGCCCTCACCTCACACGGCGAGCAAAGACCGGTTGGCGGTGGGCCATGCGGGCGAAGGATAAGGGCAAAAGCGGTATGGTTGTGGTGCTGGAGACCGGGCGAGCTGATCTCTGCTGTTTTCCGAGCCCGGATCCTCGCAATCAGCCCGCGACTGTCACCTCACCTCCTCCCCTCTCTGGATATTAGGGGGTATTAGGTTTAAAATATATTTGAGCCCTAGCCTCGACTCTGTTGGCAAATAACGCATGAGGCGGAACAGCACAAACCAGAGTGCTGGAGTCTACCGCAGGCTGTCAGGGAGGAGACCTGGGGCGCTTGTTGGCTTGTTTCGCGGTCTTCTTTGGCTGCCCCAATCGCGCTCCGGGTCTCCAACCTCTCCATCGATAGCCCCACACTCAGTCTATGGAACATGGGTCTCTTTCTCCTTCTGTCTCGCAGTCTCTCTCAGTCTACAGTAGTCTCGCTCTGGATGGTTACTCAAACCCAACCTGCCAAAAGATGCAAAGTTCTGCAAAGGGTCGGATCGGGGATGTGCAGTAGCTTCTCTGAGTCTAGGACCACGGGCAAAGGGCAAAGAGGTTACTACAGCGGGCTGGGGAGCGCCGTGGGCATAACGAAGGGGACCCACGCGGGCAACACGGGCTACCTGGGCTACACGTGTCCTTTCTCGACCCGGCAGCCGCAAACCCGGGCCTCAGAGGCCCTTACACCCTCCGCCAGACGACAGTGAAACATACACATACGTGGTGGATGTCAATTGGGGTCTTCATTAAGCGCAAGACATGTTAGAGTTGTGCGGGCTGATTGGGAGGTGTATATGGACAGGTCAGTGTTGAGGGGACTTCTACGGCGGCCAATAGTGGCGTTTTTCCGATTCTGAAAAGAGATCCGGAATCAGCGCTCCAACGCGACCACAACCATGCCCCCATATCCGCCAAACTACCGCCACAACCCCGTCGTCGCCCCGTCCCCGTCTCACTTGCTAAAGAAGCCTATTTGCAACCTCAGTGACAAACTGCATATTTCATCCACCCCTGCGGCTGGAAAGGGAGCCAACGGACCTGAGGCGCAATTTTCGCAATTTCCACGCCAGCTGCAGTTTATGGGGCAATTTTTGGCCCGCAAGATTGGGGCAATCTCGGCAATTTAGGCCATATTCTTGATCCGCCACACATGTACAACAAGTCCACAACAAGGCAATGGATAGATGACGTCATAAACAGCAACAGCAACACACCGACAACAGCTACACTGAGCCGTCACACGACCGTGCGCCGCCCGTTTACCACATCTTACATCTCTCGGCCATCATTTTCGTCTCACCGCCGTCCTCGCAATAAGTAACCGTGACAACAGAAATCCTTGGCGTTGACGGAGCCTAATTTATCCCAACCGCTTTGTGTTGGTTGGCGGGCTTATTCACATGCACTCTAAAATAAGGTGTTGCGATAACAGGAGATGCATGCCTCATGCAAGATATCCAGCTGACTCCAAAATTTGTCTTGTTCATCTCTTCGCGGCAGATTCCAGCAGCCACGGACCAGTGCCCACGCTATCTTTTTTCTCCGACGTTTTTGCTCGTCCGGGCGCTGCTCGTGGCTACCGTGGCGCCCGATGTGACCGGGGTGGGCCCAAAGTGTATTTTACAGGCTGTGGCTAAACTTTGGCCACTCCTGCAACATAACAACCAACAGACCAGAGAGTGGCCCACACACACACACACACTTGTTGATCCAAGACATGTCTATCCAGGGTAGACAGACACAGCCAAGATGAGGCACCCGCTTTAGCTTCAATATGTTGCCTAGGAGATTGGTTGTAACTTGTCATAGCCCCTCCCCTCTCTACCCGCCCCCACTATTTGCTCCAGCTCGTATAATCCAGCAAATACATGCCACAGCAAACGTTGATCTGAGGCCCGCACAATAAGGTTTCCGATTACATAATCACACACGAATGGACCAGGCTGTCATGACTGTACTTTCAGTGGTATTGGTACCGACGAACATCTTTCGCTTACCGTATTGGTACGAGTTACACTTGGCACGCTGTATGATTTATTTTTTCATGCAGCGTGACTGTACAGCTTTATTATCACCAGCTTCAAACAGGGTCAATACGGAACTTGCCATTCGTCGCTGTTCAGGGGTCGGGGATATTAATAGGAGATTTGTTACGAATGTTTTGTACAATATACAAGTACTGCACTCATACTGGACTTGTAGTGTGACCAGTCCTTAGGCTGTATCGATACGGTGCCTGTAGCTACCTGTAGTTGGGGCTAGCTACTGGGCCAATCAGCGGATGGAGATGGGCTGGCTAGTTAGGATGGTATGAAAAAATGGTGGTTGGTGGAATATGGAGGGCGGGATTATCGATAGCACCGGTATATAGACGGGATGGGGTCGTCAAAGATACCATGAGAGACAGCTCTAGACTTGTCCATACAGTATTGCTGAATATGCACTCACTTGGTTCTCCACTTGTCTCATTATAGTTCAACTAACCCTGCGCGTTTAGTTAGACTCTGACTGTGGTCAGAATGGGATGAAATTTCCCGATAGCCGAAATCATATCGGGAGATTCGGTCAGAAGGAGATGATCCAACTGATGTTGATCCATTTCATTCACAAGCGGCATCTTACTCGCTATGGTAGCGGCGCACAGACACCAGCAAGTCTTTCAAACAGTAGCTACTGGTTAGTTCTCTGGTCCATGGTCACACCCACCCTAAATCCGGTTTCTGCTGTGTTTTGTAGCTTCAGAAGTCACTCTACAGTCACCCTGCCGCCCAGCCCACTCTCATACTTAAGACCTTGTCGAATAAGTACATTAGCTTACGAGCGGTCGCTCATAAAATATAAATTAGTTCCTCCACCGGCCACAACGCCGCCTTCAGTCCATCGGATGCAGGCCAGATTGTCAGCAAACCGGTGTCCGTTGACCGAGCTCACAAGGTTGGCGGCAGATCCACCCCAGTTCTCCTCTCCTCCAGCCAGATTAAACAGCTGGACTGTCTGATCGTCATTAGCCACCATCATCAGACGTCCACTAGGATCAAGAGCAAAACCATGTCGGAACGTACAGTCGTTCTTGTAAGAGGCCGTCCATAAAGACTGCTTCTCTATCCGCCGGTCAAACACAGTGACAACCCCTTGCAAACCCGTACAAGCCACAAAATTGCCCTGTGCTCCAATATTGGTCACGGGAGAGGAGATTCGAAACGGACTCCTGACCCGCTTGCCTTTGCGATCTTCACGGAGATCAATCTGACGTAGATTTCCGTCTCGGCAGCCGGCAAAAACCACCTGCTCTTGCTCATAACACACAGAAGTTGCGTCACTCTTCATATCAATGGCATGGAGACGATGCAACCCAGCAGTACCTGTAAACGTCTGTATCTGGCTGTTGAGACCCAGAAGAATATCTCCTTCGGGGCTCTGTGCACATGAAAACACACACTTGTCGTCCCACAGCTGCAGCCTGGTCATGCTGTGCAAATCGTAGAACAGGGAGTCGTTGTAAGTGTCTTCAGATATCCCTCCACAAAGCACAGAATGCATACCTTGAGATAGAGACCATAGGAACCGGGTGCGTGGATTGTAGTTGATGCCAATAACCGTGCCTATGGTGCCATTGTCGGGAATGCGTCTGATATACGACTCTCGAATCAAAGAGCTGCCTCGACGAACAGCATTGACGATCCCCGAGGCTCTGCCAGTAAATACATCTCCATTCTCCTCGTCCAAAGCAATGGCGGTCACGTCGTCTCGTCCACTCACCTGGCCCACCTGTTCCACGTCTGTGACCCGAATCAACGATCCCAAAGCCCGAGACTCAAGACGGCTCTGAAAGCCAGGCTGTAAAGTACCCATTTCTCGACAATGCAGATACCGCTGGAGCTGGGTATGGAACGTGTCGCGACTGGTCACGTGGACCGAGTGTTTTGGAAGCACAATCTTGTCGATTTTAGGAGCTGTGGGTTTTCGAACATGTCGTTGCTCCGTTCTGTGAAATTTCCGTTCTCTGGTCTTTTGCCGTTTGGTGTTTTCCACCGCCGAAATCGAGTAATCCTGCGATGCAGATGTCGCCTGGCCCGTCTTTACTATCTTGAAGTACTTTTTGCGCTCTTCATCGTAGTAAAAGCCCGGCAGTTTTGGTGGCATGGGTGTAACTAAATTCTGATCAGTACATAGTGTGGTTTTCAACTACGAGTGGGCATATCAGTATGGGTATAGTTAAAACTGCAGAGGAGCAAAGTTGTGGTACTACGACCAAGCACAGCAAAGTAGCGCTGCTAATCACGACAGACGTCTGACTTTTGCTCTTTTGTGGGAATTGCTGACTACACAACCAACCCACTCATAACCTGTCCTTTCCGGCTCCTTCCGTAGCGTGAACATTAACACAGTAATGTGAATCAGGGTTACTCACAAGGTTTTATTAGGCTACTTTAGCGGTACCCACATATCCCCGATAAGTCCGTGAGCCGGGTAATTTGAGTGGAAAAAGAAAGCACAACGAAGAAGGACGAAAAGAGACCAACTCGCAGTGTTTGTGTACTTAAGGCTAAGCTTGGAGATACCCCAGAGACAACCCCAGAGATGGTAACTGAGATGGATGTGGCGGGGTAATTAGAGTGGGGTCGAGAAAAAATATATTTTGATGGGCCGAATCACGAGTAACTGTAACAGCTCGTCCGCAGCCTCCATCGAGCTCCCCCCTCTGTCTTATCTGCCACCGCCACATGTCTCCCTGCTTCTAAACGTCCTTCTGCAGACGGAGGTGCTTTTCGTTTTTCGTTTCCCGTTTCTGTAGCGGTCGCTTCTTTCACATTGCGATTTTCCCTCAATACGAAAACCAAAGTCAAACCCGTCAACAAAGCATGAGATAAGAGTCATCGATTGGATATGGGCGCAAAGTCAAGAGAAAAATGGCCGCTGTCAAACAAGAAACATGGAGTGCTGAAGAATGGGGTAATATGTTGGGGTAATTGGTGGGGAAGTGAGTCTGTTGAAGTGAGTCTGCTGAACGAAATGCCGTTCCTGAGGGGTGTTGAGCCAGAGTACCGGTGCTTGTATATTACTTGTACTGTACAATGGCCATAGGCCTTCTAATGGGTAATCATCATTTATTCAGTCAGTATGGGTCTATTACAGATGGTAATGTACAATCTCTCGTCGTCAATCGTCCATGATTCACTCTGAATCATGCGTTTCTTTTTTGGGGGGTGGTTTCATGCTTAATGGTCTGGTCAAGTGCGCTTGGACCGCTTAGACCAGGGCCTTCTTGATGGTTTCAGAGAGCTTTCCGGCTCGCTGCAGCTCGAAAATCTCCTCGGAGGTGCCCAAGTCCTTGCCATTGACAAAAATGTCGGGGGTCACGCAGTGGTCCGTGATGTTTCGGAAGGACTTTTGCAGCTCCAGCTTGTCAAGAGCATTGTCCAGCTTGTCAAACTCCACCACAAAGGTGTCAGGGTATGCCTTCTTGGCGTCGGCGACAATCTCGGCAAAGCCAGCGGCCCAAGAGACACCAACCACCAGCACCTTGTGCTTCTTCACCAGGTCGCGTGCCTTGTTGTTTCCCTCGTGGATGGTGTTAACGTAGGATGTGTCGGTCATGATGGAAGATGGATGTGTAGAATGTGAATGTGTGCGGAAATCGTCTTTGTGTTGCGAGTGGGGGCTGTATTTTTGTGCGCAGAGGGCCAAAAAATACGGGGAATGGGGATGCGGTGGGGGAGAAAGGATGCAGACCGAATCGAGGGCAAGGTCCACGATATATACACCCCCAGTCTCGGGACCACAACACACAACATTGCATTAGAGTTAATGCACAGTTTGGATTCAGACTTTTTTTTCTCCGCGATTTAGCTCACGTGGATTGGGGAAGATGCTTGGGGAACCAGCTGGTGGGGGCCGAGGTGGAGAGAGCCAGAATGGTGACGAGACGGCGCACGGACACGCCGGAAACGCGAATCAACTGCTTACGTCCCCCAGAACATTTTCCCGTTGCTTCCACCTCCTCACCTCTTCTCCAGCCCGTTTTGGACCCATCCTGTTTTCCCCGGTAATTATGCTGTTCTCGTCGGCTAACAAAGACCTCTAGCAGAGTTGGGTCTGGGACAAACCTACGTCAGTGTGAACCCAAAAAAGGCATCCACACTTTTTTTTTTCTTCGCACTCTGCAGTAGACTGTAGCCTAAACTATTAATCCGGAATGTATGCAATGGGCCTCGGCGTTTGTCATGTGGGGCTGGATGTGGATCTTGTGCGGTGCTGCCCATGCCGCGCCTGTATGTGCCTGGTTTATCCGTTTTTATCCGTTTATCCGCCTGTCCATTTATCCGAAGAATATCGCCTAATTACATGGCTTATACTTGAACGGTGTGCTAACCCCATAACGCTGTGGGCACCAGACTAGCGCACAGCGCACGCCCAGTGGCTCCAACAAGACCCAAACCCGTTGAACCATGCAGAATTCGGAAAAACTTGAGCAAAAAAAGCACAGTGACTACGGCCCGGGCAAGCACGTCGAGGCACGCCGGATTAAATAGGGTAGTGGGAGCTCCTTGACAGCTGCCGGCCGCTTGGACAAGTATGTACTGTCTTTGGTTTAGTGCCTTTCTCTCTCTTCATATTTATCCGACCAGATATGAGGGAATTTTCGGGAGTAATATCGTGCCTGTAAGCTAATATGAAGGGGGGTGGGGTTCGCGCCAGCTCCAGATAATAAAATATCCCCAAGTCACTTGAGAAAGACACGGCTCATGACGTGCACATCCGGGGCATTGTTTGCAAGCCAGTCTTTACGCTTAGCTGAAACGACTACCTTGTAACTTGTGTCCCATGACCGCTGGTCACGGACGTCCGTGTGGTGCGGCATGGTTTCCCCAGGCTGACCAAGAAGGCTAACTGGAGGTCTAGACTTAATGACGTAAATTGGCGTTGAGAAAAAAAAAAAAAAAGTGTGAAAAAAAGTGTGAAAAAGAAGCGACAATGAAAAACGGAGATGGCCATTTAGCGCGGTCCAAAAACCTACTCACCGGACTTAACTGACGTCACAGGCCCTGTTGCGGACAAGTGCTGGGATGGGGGTCGTCTCAACAAGCGGGCAACACCGTCGCATGTACAGAACATGTCCATTTCCGAGCCCCCCCTATACGAGTTGCTCCTTGGTATAGCTAGGCCAAGTGCAAGCCGCGTTGTTTAAGCGAGAACCGTTGCCAAAAGTAAGCCCAAACTAAGTCTGTCTACACAGTCCTACCAGTACCTATTCGAGCCGACCCGGAGCCGACCGGAACTCAACCTCCAGCGGAGGAAAGAGAGCAAAGCGAAAAACTAGAGCCACCGTGAAACCGACTTGGTGACGTCACAGGAAGACCGCGATCGTCGTGCTCGGCAGGAACACCGTCGCTGAAGCAGCAAAGACGGCACAAGAGACCCACAACGTTGCCATAGCCGCTCCGTTAAAATCCGGCCAATGGAAACAACTGTGATGTAGGTCTGTCTGCACAGACTCGTAGTCTGTCTTCCCCGAAAAGACACCGAGTAGTTGCGACAAGTACGGTTAGAAGCATTTGTTAGACCGGGTCTCAGACCGAGGCATTATCCAGGTTACATCCACTGTTACACTGGTCAATGAGTACGATACCGTCGGCCAATCTCTCGTATACTAGTGAGATGGAGAACTGAGCTATACGAGGGATTAAACCAAGAATTTTTCAGTTGGAAACAGCTTCCAAACGAATCCTTAGGATGACAGATGGTCTCAGTATAGTAACTGTCACAAGTAGCTCTACAACTTAGATCTGTTTGTTTGCTACAAGTCCATACAGTCATCTACAATACGACTATGTAACTACTGTATATCATGATAAAGTCAATAGGGATCGCATCTATTATACAAGACTGCATCTATATATAGTTCCCACTTCATAAACATCACATCTACTGTACCCGCTGGTTACCTATAGATCCAACTAAAAGTATACATCGCCTACAACCTCGTCCAACTGCAAGTATCTCTTCCTTATGACTTCTCCCGGCCTTCCATTCATGCAGGGCCGACTTGTACATCTGGCTTGCCTTCATACACCTATGAACAAAATGTATTCTAGAAACAGTAGGAACACTGTGTATATAAATAATCGTAGAAGAGTGGTTCGATGAAGAGTACATCGACCAGCTGACGGTGTAACTCCAACTGTAGTGTGCCTTCATGCCATTCAGCTCCCAGTGTGGTCACACTTGGTTGGCTCTTTTACAGTGCTTAACCACCTTCGCCGCTTCTACTCAGCCAGAGGTACCAGTAACAGGCACCCCGAACTGTCGCACTATCAGCACGTTTGTACAGCCTCAGCCACATGGCGAGGTCTCAGTAGACCCCACAATACGCCCTCAACTGTACTAATCTCACTTTCTCTTGCGCCGTCTCTCTCCGTCGGTATCATCGTCTCCCTTTCGCTTGCGTCTCGCCATCGGGGTCTCTTCGTTGTTACTACTCTCCCTTGCTGACTCCGTGTTGTAGCTCCTTCGCACCGACAGTAGTCTGTTGCCTCCGACCTGGGGACCAATTCCGGGCTTCCCAGGACCAGGCATACCCAGCATGGCCGGGTTGAATCCGGGAATGCCCGTGCTGGGAGTGGCGTCAAAGTCCAGACCACGTGACAGCAAATCTCGATCGAACACAGACAGCGACTTGCCTCCGGTCTCTGCCAGAACGGGGTCTCGGATGATTCGAACCAGTGATGGCTGGGACGGAATGTCAAACTTGCCCGTGAGATCTAGCAGTTGGTTTTTGTACGACTTTCGCAGCTTGTTTTTTTCGCCGGTCACGGGGTCGAACCGCGCCATCGAGTCCGCCAGGCCCTTGAGCCCACACAACTCTGTGAGATTGGACATGGCCGACGTCGAAGGACGGGTGTACTTTGTGTCGTCAGCAAGGTAGTAGTTGGGCATCGATATCGACGGTATTGTGAATGTGGTGAGGGGGACGGATGGATGTTTATGTGTATGATGATGCAGAGGGGTTGTGTTTGTGTGAGATGCTGTTCGATGTCGTTCTGTGTGCGGTTGCTAGCGATAGTGTGATGATGCTGAGGTGCTCATGGCCAGGATCGTGCGACCCTGGAGTGTGGAAAAGGCATGCATAAAATAGAGTTGTTAGTAAGCAGCTTTTTGGAGGAGGGGGGTGGGGGGCCAGAAGGGGTGGAGAAGAGATTCAAAAGGGGTAATATCGGTATTATAGAAAATTGAAGTTGAAGATACAAATAACAACACGGTAAGGATTTGAATTGTATGTTTAAAATCTCGAAATTATGAAAAACACGAGCCGTTTAGAATGAGGTACCGTTTCACCATCATTGATTATACAAGCACTGGCGTTATGTATTTTGACGATGTAGGTGAGAAGGTGGATACTACTGTAAGATAATAAGTGAAAGAGATTAGTTATAGTCGAGGATAATTGGAAAAACCGATTATAACAACTTTCCTGTTAATTCTAGCCGCCTTACTTGCGTACTACTTACAACTACTGCACTCGTTATGACAAATCCCTCAAGATATCAACTAACTTAACTACACTACATATTGTAGATTGTCTAACGATACCTCCGCAACCACCCAGTCCACCAAGCCTTGAAACTACAGTATGCCACAAAACCAGCAAATAATAACCCGATCGCCAGCCTGGTTCCCATATAATAACAACAACTCTTCCCCTTGTACCTACCTGTGCTGTAGTATCGCACACCAGAAGAGTCAAACGATGCATAACTCAGAGTGGGCTTCAGGAGTTCCAGTATAGTTACAAGTAGGAGCACCATAAAGAGGCCAAAGACTCCTCAATCTCCTGAATCACACACATTGTACAAATGTAATCTTTCAACATCTCTTGACGTGAACAACTGCTGTCTCTACTTGTACACTATGTACTTGTACACTACAACTTCTTCAAACAGATCTCCGTTCAAACCTCCACACTCAAAATGTCGACGTCTAAAAATATTATCACCAGCCCCTTGATACTGTAGTCCCAGCCCCATATGACCCACTTCGGGCACCAGATATTAAATGGCCGTGTTTATCCAAGTCCTATAAGGGAATTGTGTGGGATTCCGGCTTATATAAGCAGCCCATATCCACTTTTCGCTTGTCCATTTTTCGTTTGTCAATTTTTCGTTCGTTCGTCGTTGGTCGTTCGTTTCTCGTCCTCGGCAGATCCATAAATAGGTGTGACGAAAATAGCATACAGTGTAGTGGGCCCTACGAGTACGAGTACATGCAACCATTACAAGTACCGTACTGCCAGGACTACAATGGTCACAGATCTGGAGCGCAACCGCCGCAATGACCACGGCTTCGATTCTGGAGCCTCTTGTGGTCTCTCCTCCTGATACATGGCCGAAACCGCCATCTGCAGACATGTTTCATGGACCTCTCGTCTATGGCCAAACACGCTTTTCGTCAGGCGCACATTCCGGAGTCTATTAGTGTGGTGGTATGCAGGTTTGAGTTCTGGGGTCCCAGCCGCGTCAGGTGTTGGATATTGGGGTGGTACTTGTATGGACCACGAAACGGGATAGAGAGGCAAAAAGGAGCCGTTAAATGACATATCACAACATGGTCCCCGTAGCAACTTTAGAGCCGCCTCAGATGCTCATTTTTCCCTCCGTTACTCGCATAATTATCTCCGTCTCCTCCAGTAACATGACGTCAATCTGCTTTGGGACTAAAGTAAACAAGAGAGTTGGGCGCTGTATTTATCCTACTTGCGAATGTCATTCACAGGTACACTGTACTGGACACTGTTTGGACGTGTAGCTCTAAAGAGGCTGGCAGCGCAAATATGAGCGTTCGGCGACAAATAAATGGACACTAGCGTCTCTTCCATACCAACTCTCGTCTCTCTCGCTCTCACCACTGTCTCACTCTTCCGCCCCGGTGTCTCATCCTGCCCCCTATTTTTACTTTGCTTAAGCTCTTTTTATTTCCAGTCTCGTAAAAATAAAGTTACAACTCACCAGCCAGCATTTCACCCGACCAACGTGTGACACCAGTTGAAAAAACGTCACGGACCACCAACAACAGGTGTGCGAGCAGAGTGGTACAGCACTACAAGTCGTCATCGACATCACCGGTCCAAACACGGACACACATTCCCACCACTGCTCAACACCGCACGACCAAAGACCGAGCCAACATCTGACCGTCATAACGCGATTTCCAGGAGAAGACACGACCCAAGACACACATCTCCACAATGAGCCTCACTCGACTCCCGCAGGACGAGCGCAAACGGCTGCCGACGCTGTTCGAGGTGCTCAACCGAAAATCGCTCGCGCCAGTCGACCTGTGGTCGTTCTACGTCTACACGCGGGACCAGCACCGAGGCGTGGACTACCTGGACTTTTGGCTGGATGTCGTCCAGCACCTGTCGCTGTGCCGCCACTACATCCGCGGTCTGCGCCAGTCAATCCTCGCCAGCGAACACACAAACCTCAGCATCAGCAACATCACCGGGCAGGGCCTTGCCGAGCAATCTCGTGAATCATCCATCCTACTGGAGACACTTATCCACGACCACAATCTGCTGGAGGACGGCGACTCGCATCGTCTGTCCGAGTACCTGCGGGGCGAAAACCTGCTGAGCGACCATGACTCGTCCGCAGCCTCGCGTCTCAGTGCCCTGCTGGGCGCCATGCATGTTCGGGAGTCGCAAATCAGCGACGACCATGCGCCCAGTAACCGAAGCGAGCGGTTCATGATGAACCTCGAGGAAAAACGGGCATCACACCTGTCCAATGCATCTTCCAACCTGTTCCAGAGTGCCGCCGCAAGCCCGATTGACGAGGAGGACGCGGGCGAAGAACACGGCATGGTCCGTCCGGGGTCTCGAGCATCCATGACCCACTCACTGCAGGGCTCTTCACGCCTCTCACTGAACCGCAAGTCGTCACGTGCATCACTGGGCCTGGCTGCCCAGGCACAACCGTCGCTGCAGCAGCTGTACGACGAGGAGCAGACCAACCTGTCCATGTCCAACGTGTCGCAGTCGCAGATTGGTCCGACTCTCCAATCCCAGCTGCAGTTCCCTTCTCCAGACAACTCTGGCGAGCAACCACAACAGCAACCACAAACGCCACAGCCCCAGTCTGCGCTGCCACAACAACCGCAGCCCACAGGTCCCAATCTGGCGACCCGCAGAAACTCGCAACTGTCGCAGATCCTGCCGCAATCGCCCAACGCTAACTCGCCTCTTCTGGGCACCCAACCTGCATCTCCGCTACAAACACAACTCAATGCGTTGCCCCAGACGCTGCCGCAGCCCCGTGGCCCCATTGGCGTGGACTCACGAGCGTCGTCGCAGCCTCTGACCCTCGAAATCATCGAGAAGCTCTTCCCCAAGAGAAACGAGCACGGCGTCATGAGCGACGTCAACTCGCCCAATTTCATCACCCGAGAACGGATCCGAGAGTCGTCACAGCAGATCCTCGTCACATATTTCATGCCTGGAGCAGAACGTGAACTGGCCCTGCCCGCACCTCTCATGGAGTCAGTCCGGACCGCCATCGAACAGCAGGGACGAGACGACCCCGAGGTGTTTGACGAGTGTCGAGAATACGTTTTCCAGATTCTCGAACGAGAGGTGTTCCCCGGCTTCCTTGCCACCAAAGCACTAGGCAACCTGGTGCCTCTGGGAGCGCTGGTGAGAATGGTGGCTGGTCTAGTGGCGGTGTTTGGCGCCGTGTGGACCGGCTTTTGTCTCATCTTTCTCAATTACTCGCGAACAGAGCGGGTCTGGGTGCTCTTGCCGTTTGCCATTGGATGGTATCTGGTGATTGCCGGGCTTTTTTCTCTGGACCCCATCCAGGCAGTGCTGGGCTTTTCCGAGTCCAGTCTGACCAAACGGGTTCGAATCAAGGAGCCGTTTGTGCGACGACTGTTGCTGATCCGGTCCTCCTGGGTCATGCTCTGGGTCGTAATTGTCACCGCCTGTTTCACCGTTATTTTTGCATGTGTTCCCGGTCATCGATTGTAGTAGATTCTTAATATATTTAATTATTGGATAACCAATAGAGCTGAATTACCAAGGTACCATCAAGTATGTACATACTGTACATACCAGTATACCGTACAAGTGTTTGTAACCAGTTGCAAGTACAACTACTCATACAGAGACATGTAAGACGGTTGGTATGTATCACCCTTTTATAGCGCTCAGCCAGCACATGACTTGTATACAATGTGCGTCTAGCGATATCTTGGTATGCATTTGGGGGTGTGAGTATGCAGACCAGACCAGTAGATCAATCATTATGGCTGACGCAAAGTAGGTCTATTGACAACGAAAAAAGGGGTACAGTACCGAGCGACCAAGTTCCCATCGATTCAGCATTATCTTTTTGTGTAACTACTCTTCAAACCCCATGTAAATCTCTCAGGTATCATCCATCGAGGCAATCCGTATTCCAATGGTCTTACATACTACAAGTACCACTTGAGTAGTGCATATCTATGAAAGTCTGATCTTATCCGCAACGTCTACTTGCACTTGTTCACAACACAATGCGACCAGGCTACATTGAAACACCGCTGCTGAAGAACGACATCTTCTCGCACCAGGTCGGGTGCAACGTGTACCTGAAAATGGAGAACTTGCAGCCCTCAGGGTCGTTCAAATCCCGAGGCATGACCCAGGTCATCTCCGATGCGCTGGACTCAGACCCCCAGGCTTCTCTAGACACTCTCCACGTGTGTTCCAGCTCTGGAGGCAACGCAGGGCTCGCCGCAGCAGTCACCTCGCGACTCAATGGTGTCGCGTGCACGGTGGTTGTGCCGGAATCGACTAAACCTCGAATGGTGGAGAAACTGAGAGCTGCAGGAGCAGAAGTGATTGTGCACGGAAAACACTGGTCAGAAGCCAACGACTTTCTGCAAAAGGAAGAGATGCCGCGGCTCGAAAAGACGGGAAAAACGCCAATCTACTGCCATCCCTTTGACGCTCCAGCGGTGTGGAAGGGAAACTCGACTCTCATCGACGAAATCATCAAGCAGGGAATCACCCCAGACGCCGTCGTGTGCAGCGTGGGAGGCGGAGGACTGTTCAACGGAGTAGTCGAGGGCCTTAAACGACACAAGCTCAACTGCCCCGTGATTGTAGTGGAAACAAACGGTGCTGATGCTCTGAGCCGGAGTCTACAGAAGGGCGAGCAGGTCACTCTACCTGGAATTACGTCAATTGCCACTTCTCTGGGAGCCGTTCGAGTCGCTGACAAGACGTTTGAAAACGCCCAGACATACCCTACTGTGTCTGCAGTCGTTTCAGATGACGACGCAGTATCAGCTCTGGTGGAGTACGCTGAGACCAAGCAGATCATCGTGGAACCCGCCTGTGGAGCTTCCCTCGCTGTTCTGCCTGCTCTAAAGGATCTGGTTGATTTGAAACCTGATTCTAACGTTGTTGTTGTTCTCTGTGGAGGCTCGGCTACTGGCATTTCTGATATCGCGCAGTTCAAGAAAGACTTGGAAGCAAAGGAGACAACTGAAGAGAAGTAGCACATGTTTCCATGATGAAGTGGCTATAATATGCTATAACTAGATTAACCATTTAATAGATCGTGGATCCCTAACCAATACACCTTCCCTTTCTATCAAATACATGGATGTGACTGCTTGTATTATATACAGCTATTTCATTACTTAGTAGTCATCATCGTCATCACTTTCCTCTTCCCATCCATGCTCGTACTTGGAAGCCATGTCGCCGAGCTCCTGCTTCATCTCCTCACGCTCGTCTCCTCGTTCGTACACAGACACAAACTTGGCCATGTCCAGAAGAGTTCGTCGGGGCTTGGTGGTTACGGCCAGACGGGTCTTGGAGCTGACAAACTGTTTAGTGAATTCGGGCTGAGAAGAAACCTCGGGCATGGGTTGGTTCAACCGGTAGCTGTTGGCATCGTCATCCTGATCCTCCAATCGGGCAATGCTGAGATCAGAAAAGACATGGGGGGTCTTTGGGGGGATTCTGGAGGGCAAGAAGAGCTCCTGGAACAGCCTGGAGTCATACTGAACGGTTGATTTGTCGCCATCAACATCAGTGAGAGTGCCTCCTACCTCGGAAACAATGTTTCTCTCCCCAGTGGTGTCCAGCAAAGCAGCCATAGCGTCCAACGACAAGCCTCCGGTTCTCTGGGTGGCCATAAGCTGAACAGGCTCATAAACTGACAAGCCAAAGAGAGCTGCCTGATGCCAGGGACTGGTAGGGTCGAAATCAGCATCAATGGGTGTTTTTGTAGGGAAAGACACGGGAATGTAGATGGACGAAACCTGCGACAGAGCCACAGTGGTTTGAATGGCATTCTTCTGTGTCTCTCGGGTCTTCTTTTCGGGCTTGGCCTCCACAGACCATGTGACCACCGTTCCCTTGGCGTCAAAGTCGTCTCTGTAGTTTGCCAGGATCTTGGCAGCCACTCCTGCCCAGGCTGAGTCGTCTACCACGACGTTAAGGCCTCCCAACGAGTCGCATTCTTCAACCCATGACCGCAGAGTCGAGTCGAGATACTCCTTATCAGAATTGAGCACATGTTCCCATTCGTTGACACCCACGTCAAAGCCCGTCCACTTTTGATCGCCTCCTCTATGGATACCTTGGGGAGCAGTGTCAGGGTCAAACAGCCAGTTGTCGAGCTGGTGGCGGGTTTTGGGGTGATGGAACAGTCGATTGTAGTCGGTCCATCGCTTGGTGGTATCTGTATTGAGCTGGGAGGCGTTTTCCCTGCCCAGATCAAGTGCCTTTTGGTACTCGTTCTTGTCCACAGGCTGCTCCTTGATCTCCTTGATCTCTCCTTCGTTCCACACCTGCGGCTGGCTCTTGTCGCCCTCTGTATAGAATTGGTTGAATGCCTGGAAAGCTCCATACCCACCTTTGAGCTCCCACGTCAACAGACGGGGGTTGTAAGTCTCAGTTCTGCTGTCGGTAGCCACTCCTCGTCGAAACCGCACAGTAGGGTCTGAGGTCGATTTGGTGGCGAGAGGAAAGTAGTGCTCCTGCGAATTGAAGTAGTCGGCGTTGATATGGCCGGCGGTCTGGCCAAACGACAGCGTGATGATTTCTCTCATGGTTGAATGGTTGTGAATCGGAGACTGATATTTTGTTCCGCCTTCTGCACTGTGATTGGAACTTTATATTGGAGGGTGTTGGAGCAGGGGTCAGTATAAAAGGCGTGTTCCTGACGCTACGTGAAAGATAGCAGTGTGGACGGCCAATATGGGGGCATTAAATATGACTTTTCAATTTCAACAGATTTGGTAAGCTTTTGAATAGGTATGAAGTCCTCGTTTGTAAGTGAATCTTCAACTAAAAGTTCTTCCATAAGCTCTTCACATTCCAACTAAAGTAAGTATTGTGGTTAAACAAAGATCCTCCATGATATCCGCTTATAGAGCACATAAAACGACTATAAGATACCTGTAACGTACAAAAATGACCAACAGAAAACTCATTATACTGTCAATTGACCTCTTGAAACCCCCATATCGGCACCTAGGTTATTGCATGAGTATTCCCTATTACTTACATACATCACCCATGATTATCAGTACTCATGGATCATCGGTCTCACATCTCATCTTGAGTATCTCAAACCGAATCAGGTGCTCGTGATCGTCTAAGAGGATACAGCTGGCAATCAATATGACCTACAACAAGTAGTAGTCATTCATGTCTCTCATACGCCCTTCACATTCTGTAGTAAAAACGACTTAGTGCAACTCTGCTACCCTGGTTGGAATGTCGTCCATAGACCTACTATCTACCAGGGACTAACCAAGCCCCTGTCTTAAGTTCTGTCCAATCCATATGAGCGGCAAAAGCACCCAGTTTCTAAAGACGAAAATGTGACATCCAAAAAGTACATATATAGAGCGTGCCGCACTTGTAATCTCAAGTACTTGCACTCGTACTGGGACACCTCGTGCTGTCAAGTTGTACCCGTCTTCTCCATCTTTTTCACCAAACCACAACCTTAACACGAATAAACCCCCATCTCACGTGATGGGATTAACGTACACCGTGGCTCGTGCAGAAGACGGTAGCGTTCCAGAGATCCATTACCTAACGACACAATGCGACTGGCAATTCAGGCCGTATTTCTTCTAGCGACGCTGATGTGGCTGGTGGCTGCGCAGGCGGACTTCTACGCCGTTCTGGGCCTCAAAAAGGGCGCGTCAGACAAGGATATAAAAAAGGCCTACCGAACCCTCAGTAAGAAGTACCACCCCGACAAGAACCCCGGAAACGAGGAGGCCCACCAGACCTTTATCGAGATTGGAGAGGCATACGAGGTGCTGTCAGACGAAGAAAAACGGGGCAAATACGACAAGTTTGGCCACGAGGGTCTCAAGAACGGCGGAGGAGGAGGAACCAACCCCTTTGACTTGTTTGCACAATTCTTTGGAGGCGGAGGAGGAGGCCAGCGACGAGGCGTGCCCAAGGGCCCCAACACAGAAACCCATATTGACGTGTCTATGAAGCGCATGTTCAAGGGCTTCGACATGGATCTCCAGGTCAATCTGCAGGGAATCTGTTCCAGCTGTAAGGGCTCTGGAAGTGCTGACGGCGTGAACCACAAGTGTGATGGTTGCGACGGAAGCGGAGTGGTGATCCAGGTGGCCCAGATGGGTATGATGATCCAAAAGTTCCAGCAGCAGTGTCCCAAGTGCCAGGGCAAGGGCCATCTCATCTCCAACCCTTGTAACAAGTGCGGAGGACAAAAGGTGCAGCGGGAGGACCGAAAGTACAACGTGTACATTGAGCCCGGAACCCCACGAGTCCACAGCTACTCCTTTGAAGAGGAAGCTGACAAGTCGCCAGATCACGTGGCTGGAGATCTCATTGTGCAGGTGAGAGAGGCACCAACGGAGAACATGGGCTACCGACGACGGCGCAACGATCTGTTCCGAACAGAGGCTCTATCGCTCAAGGAGGCGCTTCATGGAGGCTGGACCCGAAAGATACCGTTCTTGGATGAGGAGTCTGAGGTGGTTCTGTCACGTAAGAAGGGCGAGCCTACCCAGCATGGCCACATTGAGGTGATCAAGAACCACGGCATGCCCCAGATGGGCGTCGATGACTCGCATGGCGACTTGTACATTAAGTACGTTATAGTCATGCCCATGGGGGCCAGCAGCAAGGTGAGAGATGAGCTCTAGTGTGTTTGAGAGATGGAGATGGAGATGGAGATGAAGATGATGATATGACGATGATGATATGGTATCACACACCTTGTAGGTTCATGCAAGGTTAGAAGGGAAGCTCGAGTATATCGGTGGAAGCTGGGTATTCAAGCGGGTAGAAATGTATGTGTAATATATGTTATAGAATTATTGGAGCTGCTATGAAGAGTCCAACAATGGTTCTTGTATTTATTTATGGCCATAACTCCGCTTTCTGTGGCGTTTACGATAGTGTCTGTTTTTCCTATCCTCAACGCCTTCATCTATTATGCACACACATACATCATTATAACTTAGTAGCATGCTCAGCAACGAACTCATACGCCTGATTTTCGAGTACTGCAACCTCGAAGGCTGTGTGGCACTCAGTCAGGTATGCAGTTCGTATTGGTCGGTATGGACCGAGTTGGACGAGTCTCTGATTCGTGAGAGAGTGGTGGAGCGAGCTCCGTGGTTCATCGCCTTGGATACGGAATGTGGGCTTGACTCATGGCGGAAATGTGCCTTGCTGTTGACGAGACGTTCCTACAGGGCATTGGAGGAGGATGGAACCGGGGGAAATGCCAACAAGCATCTCTACGTGCTCCGAAACCTCTCAGTGCCGGTCTCATTATGTTGCAACAAGGTGGAATTTGTGGATTCTGTGGACTTTTCAAAAGACAAGGAGGTCAGAGAAACCATTGAGCCCATCTTCGACGAGCTCTACCTCCTTCCAATTGATGTTTACGAAGGAGGAGCCATCCAGGGCACGAAACTACTGCTTCCGGGCGAAGAGCTGGATTTCAAGACCATGGAGGTGTCCAAAAGCGACTTCCCAGGCACACACCGGCTACAATACACGTACAGGCGAACCGATATGGCCATGTCTCCATCAGGACTGAGAGTTGTAAACGACCACGAAGGATACAAGATTCGTGTGGTGGATGAGAACGACTCATTGCTGCATGTTCGGTACTGGTCTCAGATTGGCGGAGCAGACGCAATCGTCCACAAGACATCACATCCTAGGGACCAATCAGGGGCTTGCATTGTTTCGGCCAAGGATGGAAATGCATGGCCACTTCCCGACAACAACGCTGTTAATAATCCTCTTGGAACTCTTGTCAGTCTTGTGCCAGGGCCTGGGGGTGCCTTGGTCGTCTCCAACACTGAAGGTGGTAAAACTGCACAGTACCTGGCGTACATAGAGCCACTCCCGAGTCTCCCGGGGGTCGTATTGTGCGAGCTACCCATGGGGATGGGATTCAAGAGAATGCATAACCATCTGAGCTTTCCTTTCTTCACATTTTACAATGGCTACCTATACCTTTACTTTGAGGGCAGGTTTCTGCGCTTATGGGTTGATCTTGGTCTGAGATCAAGACAGCATCCTACTGGAGGGTTGATGAGTCATGTTTACTCAAAGGGTTTCCGAGGACAGGTTCTAACGGTGTGGGACAGAAGATTCCCAGCCATTGGCACGTTCAACGAAGGAGAAGCCGAGTTCCAAGGAGCCAGAATACAGAGAAAGGGTCAATTCGTGACAGTGGGAGACGCGAAGGGACTGGTGGTTGGAGATCTGAAGACTGGAACGACCTATTTCAACCCCAAACAGGTTTTATCTATTCCTTTTGCTGCTGGCGATGGGTCTTCCGTGGGATTCTTCTCTGTGGATAACTGGGTCTCCAAGAAGGTGATTAAGAAGATATCGAACGGCTCGTCAGATGGAGACAACATTATTAGATGGTGGGATGAGGCATGCATTCCCCAAACTGTTCGTGGAGGGGATCCTGTTTTTACGCGTGTGATTCATTCTGAGGACGTCTCTGACGAGCCACACAAGTTCGAGGATAGCTCCAGAGGCACACACGACGCGGTTCGGATCCCTGATGCGTATGACGAGCGCCAGAAGGTGTATCGGCGTATCTACAAAGGACGGCCTCCCTTTTCGTTGGATGAGACTACCTTGGTTGCAACTTTTCAGTTTGAACATTTTGAGGACCACGAGTTGCCCAAAGAGATGTATCAGGTAGAGGGATCTGGATCGAGAGGGGAGGATTCCAATGGAGTGGTAAACGGCGGCCCAACTGATGGCGGTGACACAGACATGTCTGACATTCCCCGTCGTGCAACTAACTAAGTAGACCATGGAGTGGCTTCTGTTTTAAGTCATTTCTGTACTACAGTAGTACGTTCGAATACAGTCTCATAACCACAATCAATTGGCTAAGAGCTGCCGATAATGAAACCGGATGGGAAGGATTTGGCGTTGAACATCCTTTTTCGTTTCATACCAGCGCAAGGGGGGAGGACTTTCAGACCAGCATTACAAGTACTTGTACAGTACAGTACATACGGCAGAGAAGTAGCCGGGCAGAGACCGGAGGGGTCCGAAATTGCGGAATTAGACTGAAACAGACCAATTTAATACTACGGCAACAAAACCAGCTCTTCAATTCTCAAATAGCGCCCTAAGAGTCCACTTCTTTCGGTCTTCCGGACGTACAAAAATAAGGTGATGCAAAGTCAATGCTACACTCAAGATTAGAGTATCACCTTCTGGAGATAAGAGGGTCGATCAGGTCAAGGTAGATAAGGAAACGAAAAGACGAAATGTTGGTGTCGAAAGGTGTCTATGTATTAGCAGTTGGAAAAAGAAATCTCCGAGATTTGTAAAATTTATCAGAATTATTAACGCATGACTTATCTGGGGGCAAAAGTCGATTTTTGATCTGCCTACAAGCCAGCCCTGTAGTTTCAGCATCAGCAGTATCATGGAATGGTCATACTGTGGCAACATGACGACCCCCTCCCATTGGATGAGGTAATTAATTGAATCGATTAGACCATTTTGTGGCTTCTCGAAACAAGTTTCATTTGGCCGCCATTCTAAAGCGCTGCTCGTGTAGTGGTACTCGTACATAACACACAGTCTCGTGTACAGTAGTATAGCAATCAATCATTAAATAACTAGCAGACACCAAAGGTCAACATTATATGAGTATATAGAATGGGGATGGAGTTGTGTTTTTTGTCTAACACCAAAAGTTGTAAAGTCTGTACATGAAGTTCTTCTGGCTGAGGGCGTATCTCTCCTCAGCCATCTCGGCCTTGACTCTCTCGAGATCGGGCTCTCGTCTTCCAGTGTCAATGTCCAAGTCCTTCAGAAGCAAGAACAGGCCATCTCGTTTCCAGATTTTCCAGAAGATCCAGAATCCGAGAATGACAGGAGCAGCCAGGTAGGCCTGGAAGAAGTCAGAGGCATTGGGAGTCTTGACTCCCAGGGGGTAGAGAGCGATCCAGAACTGGGCCATGAGGACCAGGCAGTTGAGAACTACACCAATGACAGATCCCCAGACTCCAAAACCAGCCACAAATGACAACTCGTCGGTTCCTCGGCCTCGGTACTTGAGAGCCATTCGGAATCGAATATGGGCAGCACAGATGGAGCCCCAGATGAAGACGGAAGACAAACCAGACAGAGCCAGCAGCCAGTTGAAGACTTCGTTTCGGGTTTCAGCACCGGCTGCAGCAATGAAAGAGAACAGACCAAACGCCAGAACGACCAGGATGCCGAAGATAGGTCGACCTTCTCGGTCAATGTAGGCGAAGATCTTGGGGGCCTGTCCGGACTCTCCCATGGCAGCAATAGTTCGAGAGAAACCGTAGACGGCAGCGTTACCGACGGAGAGAACCGAAATCATGATGACCACGTTCATGACCGAAGGCAGACCCTTAACACCAGCCACTCGGATGGCAATAACGAAGGGAGAGGCAGCTGCGTCGGCAGAAGAGGATCCGTTGAGCAGCTGGTCGTTGTTCCAGGGCACGAGCAGGCCAACGATGGTCAGGGAAACGAGATAGAAGAGACAGATTCGCCAGAAAACCTGCTTGGTGGCCTTGGGCAGCATGACTCGGGGGTTCTCGGTCTCGGCAGCAGCAAGACCACACAGCTCGGTACCAGCAAAGGCAAAGGCGGCAGTGACAAAGACGGAACACACACCCTTGAAACCATGGGCAAAGGCTCCCGGATGCTGCCACAGTTTACCTCCCTGGTACTCGTGGAAGGCTCCTCCCTTGGGTCCTCCTCCGGCAGCCATGACGATTCCAAACAGAATGAAACCGACAATGGCAGCAACCTTGATGATGGAAAAGACAAACTCGGCTTCTCCGTATCCCTTGACTCCAAACAGGTTGATGGCGCAGATGATGATCCAGAAGATGGACACCCAGGCCGCTGCATTGATGTGAGTACCGTTCATTTCGTTCCAGAAGTTAACTGTCATGGACGCTGCCACCAGTTCTAGAGGAAGAATGACAAACCAGCCCATAATGTAGTTCCAGGACATGGCAAAGCCCCATCCGGGATCAAGAAATCGAGTGAAGTAAGTGCAGAAACCTCCAGAGACAGGGAAACAGACAGCCAGCTCTCCAAGAGCATGCATGGTCAGCAGCAACATGATACCAATGACTCCATAAGCAATGAGAAGGGCGGCAGGACCTCCGTTGGCAAGAGTACTTCCAGATCCAACAAACAGACCCGTACCAATGGATCCTCCAATTGCAATCATTTGCAAATGTCGACCCTTGAGGTTTCGTTGAAGAGGTGCATTGGCAGTCTTGAGAGCAGTGATCTCCATGGGTGTCAGACCCTCAAGATCGAGGTGTGCCACATCTGCCGGACCAAAACCGTGCTTGAATCGACCCCAGTAGCTGAGGTGAGAAGTGTCGGGGGGTCCCTCGGCCTTGACCTCGTGGATCTCGCCCACAGAGTTGTCGGACTCGACGTTTTCCGTAAAGGATTTTCGCTCGCTCATTGATAGTATTTTTCTACTCGATCACTGTATTATCGCTCGCAGTACTTATACTCCCTCACATTACATAACCCCCCGGTGAGCTGGAACATGTTCATTTCACTTATCTTGACTCAAGGTTCGAGGCCGAAGGAACTCTGATAGGGGACCTGGAGTAAGATGAAAACGCTGCCAGCCAATGGTGTTATCTGGAGGCTCAGTTAGACGTGGAATTAGCATTAGGCTATGTTGAATGCGAGAGTCGTCTGTATCGTGATGGGCCGAGGCGTGTTAACAATAGAAGGCCGACCTGGCCACAGTTGAAAAAGCCCTTTCATCACAAGAACGCAAAACAACCAACAGTGGGGAAGATGTGTTGATATCGATGAGGGGGAGAGAATTAGAGACATGTCGAAAGGGCTTTCAAATAGCCGCTCTACAACAACGACAACCCCCAGTTCATTATCGCTGCGCAATTGTGGCTTATCATACGGCCCATGTCTTGTCAGAGAAAGAGTTTCGTCTGTTCCTGAGGGAAGTCTGTCAACTGGTGACTAATGAGCTTGGCAAGAAGGGATTGGCAGGCCAGAAAAATCGGATGGTGTCCATTCTGACGGCTTGGCGCGATGCGGGGTCACTTTCACCATCTCTTGCACCCCTTTATTACCTCTCTTGTACACTCTCCCCTAGAGGTTCCCAGTTTCATGTAAAATACGGCTAAAAGTATATCAGCGAGAAAAATGCGAGGGCTGTCTCAAAGTATGAGTCCTAAAATGATTAACTGTAATGGCTCATTTTGGACACCTTTGAGTCGTCCCAAGTGGGGCGTACGGCACTCGATGCAAGATGTGATCTGTCTGTCGTACTCGCTATATGCAAGATAACGCAGCCAAGTGGAGATGTGTCAGATGCCGGGACCTAAGCGAGAAAAGATACAGGCACAGAGAGAATCCCGAGGTAGAAGTAAAGTGTCGGTCCTAAAGTCGGTCTTCTCAAGTCACCGCCCCATCTTAGACTGCTTTAAGAACTAAGTAACTCGCCAGCAAGACTGTAAAGTACGCTTTTTTACCTGGGTGCTGAAAGTTCGGCAACTGGACCCACAGTGTTCGACCAGCAGGCAGGTGCTGCAGAAACCGTCGGACGAGCAAGAGGATTGGGCCACCCGAAAAACAAATTGGCCTCGGAGAATCAAATCGACAAGAGTACAAAGAAAAGGACGCCAACGAGATAACAAGTGCTTGTTCTAGAGAGACGTGATTGAAGCTACCCAATCTACCTGTGTCCTTATTGGGGACCCTGAGCGTTGTCAATGTGAAAATGAGTCCATGATCGCAGCTACAGTATCTCTCGCGTGAGGCAGTTTCAAAGTCGACTGACTACGCCACAGAAACAGCCACCATACACTAGTGTGTCTCATTGGGTCTACTTTCGTTGCTTTTGGAGGCACGAGGGCTGGTTTGCACAACCGCTGGGTAAAGCAAACATTGGCCTTGTTCTCAGGAACACATTCGAGAAATCCAAAGTTTGCTCTTATGAAACTCTTTCATCTCAGAACTGCCATAGATGTAACATTGTTGCAGCTCCAATCAGCGCAGTACGACTATTTGCTATGGTTAGGAACGCTGATAACTGAGTGGTCGAACAGACATTGAAACTACAAGCAGGAACAAGTTCTCCAACACTGCCAGCAATTGAACTGCAAGTACTTGTATCTTACTGGTCCAGATTCAAGCTTTCGAATGGTGTCATTCGTATCTTCTTCAAATGGCCATGGGCTGTGCGACTAACGACTTCGAACAAAGATATTCCCCTCATCGAGGCACATTACTCAACAGTTGGATACCCCACAACAAAGCCACAGCGGTTATTTATTCGACAATGAAACCGTTGGATGATAGCCCCTCTGTTATCATCGCCTGTGCCTTCTGATTGCGTCGATGCCAGTGTCCCGGCAGAAGAGGCTCGTATCAAGATATTACCTCCAAAATCGGTATTATAACACTCCCATGATTTTGATGAGTATCATTTAGTAGTTTTTTCTAAGATATGAGCACAGCTAAGATGAATGGAAATCAAAGGGGGAACATATCACCCCATATACAGTCTCGTAGGATTTTGTTACATAAACCAAACTTTATCTCCTTCGGCCCTCTCATTTCGTAGGAGCGCGTTTTTCTCGAGTCCATGTCACTATTATCACTATTACACGTGTCATTTTTTGATATCTGGTTTTGTTTGGTCCATAGCGTCACATTTGGTGTTGTGGAATGTTACATCATGTACTCGCACGAGTACTTGTACAAGTACGTCCCAGGTTGACCATGAGTTGTCATATAATACATCATCTATAATAAATAGTCTAAATCTTGAGGCTCTCCATGGCTCCCTTCTTGGTACAGACCCAAGTGGAAGCGTACATGTTGACTCGGTCAATGGAAGTGCCAGATTCTCGGATGGCAGCGGGTCTAGTGGTGAAGCCCTCCTCCTCATAGACGCTGAGGTACCAGGGCTTCTGGGAGGCTGATCGCAACATAACGTTTCCACCTTCGGTAAGAGCATGGTGCAGAGACTTGATCTCCTCTCGAGCGGCGTTACCGTCCTTGGGGAACCAGTCCATGTGGTCCATAACGATGGCGTGGTTGACTGATCCGGGGTTGAGTCGCTTGACCACCTCGTTGATCTCGTCGGTGTGGATTCGGATTCCGTCAAGAGCTCCCTTTCGCTTGGCCAGGTTGGCGTGGCCGTGCTTGGTCAGGAAGTCGGGACAGTTGTTGGCAGCGTAGCAGCCCTTGAGACACAGGTAGTAGAAGTAGTTGTCGTCCGAAATGAGCGATCGCTTGATGATGGGCTCGAAGGTGTCGATGACAAACTTGAGCATACCGCCCTCGATCATAGAGGTCTGCTCAACGGGAACACCGAGAGCCTTCCACAGGAAAATGGGGTTGCCAACAAGCACCTTGGCGACAATGGGGTTGGACAGACAGGGTCGAAGGGACTTCTCCCAGACGCTCCACTGTTCGTCGAGAGTCTTGGCCTCGCACAGAGCGCTAATGTGGGGGGAGACACCAGAAATTGCAAAGACCCAATGGGCAAGTCGAATGGCCCATCGGGAAGAGCCGGTATCAAACAGACCCTTTCCGGTGAAAGAGGCGTGGCCTCGCTTGTGCCAGTACTGGAAGGCGTGGGAAGACAGGTGGGGGGCCAGCTTGGTGGTCAGCAGCTCTTGGAACTTGGGGTGCTTGCCTTCACCAAACAGCTTCCACATGTCCTCAAAGGGAAGCACTCGCAGACAGGCCAGCTTGAGCTCGAGCAGATGGTTCTGGCAAGGGTTGAGGTCGACACAATGGATTCGCTTGGGGGGAGCGTCCATGGAGGCGTAAGACAGAATGTTGTCACCGGCAGAGGTGATGGCAAGAACGGTATCGCTGGGCTTAAACTGTAGAATGTTCTTGTCCTCTCGGGGGTCCTCCCAGGTGAAGGCGTAGATGTACTGGTTGGCAAACTGGTGGTACTTGGGCAGCTCCTGGTTGTAGAAGATTCGCCAGATTTCGGTCTGGTAGAAGAATGAGGGAGCGGGGAAGTTTCGCTGCATGTTGACGAGAGCGGCATCGTAGCCCTTGGATCGGATAGCCAGAGTGTTGTTAGCGGCGTCCTCGTCTCCAACAACAAGCTCGTTCTGGGGGGACAGGTAGGGAGACTCGGTAGCAAGAGCGTTGGCTCGCTGGAGAATGTTGGTGGATCGGTCCTTGTCACATCCAATCCAGTAGTAGTAGGGGATTCCTCCGAGTCGGGTGTTTCGGCAGTTGACTGACTTGATGGTTCCGAATCGGTACTCGAGATAGTCTCGTCGGGCAGAGTCGAGGTAGACCCGGTCAAACTCGAACCACAGTCGCCAGAAAGTTCGGGAGAACCAGTTGACATGCCGGAGCAGCTCGCCGCCCATGGTAGTAGACTTGGCGGTCAAGGTGGCATGGGATTGGACGTAAAAGTCGATGACAGTGACCAGACCGTCCTTGCCAAGCAGGGTGGAGAGTCGATCGATAACGGCATAGTAGGTGGGGATCATAGACAGAGAGTAGGACATGGTGAAGAGATCAACGGAGGATCCAGCGGGGGGAGTGAAATCGGCAGCGTCGATGCACAGAACGTGCACGTTCTTCCAGTTCTTCTCGGCGAATCGCTTTCGGGCCACCTCGCACAGAGAAGGACTCAGATCAACCAGGTAGATGGCCTTGAAGCAGGAAATGGGAAGGTAGTTGGTGGTCATGTGCTCAATGTTCCAGCCGGTTCCTCCTCCAATGTCGACCCACACGAGATCATGCTTCTTTCGAAGCTCGGCGGCGGTGGTGGCCAGAGCCTGCTCTCGGCCCTTGAGCAGAGTGGCTCGGGTTCGGTCGTAAATGTTGGCCTGGCCCTTGTAGAAGGACTCCAGGGCGCCCTGCTGGCCGGCCGCCACGTCCTTGTGGCCGGTGAAGGGCTTGATGAAGCAGTTCCAGGCAAAGATGGCCAGGGTCTTGGCCGACGAGTTGACGAAGACTAGGGCCAGTCCGAGAACAAGAAAGGCGGGGATGGCGTATTGTAGCATGTTGAAATGGTAAAGTGAACGGAAACGACTACACGAGACCTCAGCACGCCGGGGGCTACGGGTATTTATAAAAGTTAGTTGGCTTTCGGGGTGCCTGTTGAAAGCGTCACTGTTAGCACGAGGGCAAACTCTACTGTCATGCGAGCAGGCGATTGAGTTGGGTGGGGTGGAGAAGGGGTCTCTGGCAAGTGAGAGAGGTGGTGATGGTGGTCTGGGTGCGAGGAGGAGGGGTGTGGGCAGCCATTGAGGGCTGTGTTTTCGGCGTTCGATTCGAGCTGGTGGGGCCCCCTCTAACGCGAAATTTCACACCGCTCGGCTCACACGACCGACACGTCACGCTCTAAAGACATGATCCACGTTGAATGAGAAGCCTACCCAACCGCCCAGGAACCAATTACAGCTGAGTTTGGACACATGTCCCCCAAACCACGCCGCTGCATGGACAATGCTGATATCAACCTTGTGGAGCAAACTCAAAGACGGTACGGATTGACTGTCAAACTCCATTTACACAAGCGCACGTTTGGTCGGCCTGGCTGTTCCTCTTTTGGGTCTCGAGGAGGCGTGGGCCCATGTCGGGGGTCGGGAGGGTGGTGGTGGTCGGTCCCGCCTTCACCCTGTGTAGCGCTACTCAAGTTACACACGTAGCTGGGTGCAGCGCCTCCTGTATGTACGGCCGATGAGACCGTATACGGCGGTACACTACTCTGAGCTCCCCAGCACAAACATGTTTTTCCAGGAAATCAAATGATCATCTAAACTGAGATTTGCCCCGGCGCAATTCGGCAGTCGCCCTTGCCGTCCACAGTACCACCATGATTGCCCCTTTGCATGCTGAAATTCAAAAAACGCAGTCCAAAAACGTGTCTCTTGGAGTCTGGAGCTACTTGTGTGCCCAATATAAGCTTGTGGAATGAGCGGTCGGGGTGTATTAAAGATGGTGGCCTTGAAAAAGGAGCCGACAAAAATACACTCAGCATAAACAGCTCAATGGCACTTGGTTCCGAGGACCCCCAATCCACATAAAATAACCACAAAAAGACCACACAGCCTGGCCCATACACCACCTGCCCCCACACTTGTCTCTGATAGGCCTGCAGCGCTGCAAATTAACCTGGATTGACAAACCTAGTTTCCCCCCAAATGTGTCTCCCGTGCTCACCACATGCACCTCCCTGCGTGTCTAGTTTATCTGCTATGATTGGCCATGGGAAAACCCGTCTTTGCCCCAACCCCACGTCCGGCGAGCGAGCTATACAAGAGACCGTGTCGTGCACGTGTGCTTCTCCTATACCGCCCAAGGCAAGACCCGACGCGGAATCCCACAGAAGGATGCACAAGACTGGCGGCAATGGCAACCACGTCTTAGACGTCGACCCTTGTCGCCCTGGAGAAAGAGGAGAAGCGGCTTGGCCATGGTGGGAGAGGCGGCTTGGTCATGGTGGGAGAGACGGCTTTGTCCCTCTCTTTGATGGCAATTCATATACGGGTGCGATTATGACGTAAACATACCCACTCCACCTACAAGTACTGGTGCTTGTTCCTTGTGTCTCAGCGTCGTGGTGGGGTAGTTGGCAGCGATATTACTCACAACCCCTTTCTTACCCTCTCTAAACAATCTGCTTCACATGGTGAGACATGTGTAGAGTCATCGGGTGCATGTTTTGCAACTGTGTACAAATAACCAGTCCAATCAACGGCATATTCCCTATATGGCTCTCTTCTTGTCTCGCCATCTCCGGTGTCGACACCCCTGTCTCAGAAAGGTGGGGCAGCGTTATAGAAATCATGTCTATCCTGTTGAGTGGCGGTGTACTTGTACTCTTACTGTAGGCTTTGCACAAGGGCAGTCATGGCGTCCAAAATTAGCACTGATTGTCGTCATGGGCCTACAAGTAGCCTGAAAGCTGCCTAATTGATAGGAGAAAGTTGGTGAAATTTCATTTTCCGCACTAAAATCCATTGTCTGTCGCACATACAGCAAATTGCTTTTGATTAAATTCCTCACCACTCTCTTTCTACATCCCAATTGCTATAACTTCTTTCTATGAGACCTGAGGTCTAGGACCGACACGGGGCGGGGCCCCCACCTGCTCTGTTGGTCTCTTTGCATTATCTTACATGACGCATGCGGAAGGGCGATGAAGTGTACCTGACAGGTAATTTGGGGAGGGGGGGGGGGGGAGAATCCAGATATCTGTCGGCAATTATTTGATATCCGTGGAGCACGTCATTTACGCCAAGTCTTGATCGGGTTTACCGTCTCGTCATGCCTCCAAATCAACTCCTCGGTGGAGTTCTCAGTGTCCCTTCCTTTCTTGTATAACCTGAGTAGGTTGTCTATATGGCGTACTTGTACAGTATCCACAAAACGTTCATTCCCAGAGGACATGGACACTGACACATGTAGAGCTCATACATATCGCACCGGCCACAATACTTGTACTAGTACTCGTACTCGTACTTGATCCACACTCTTAATCTTGCTACTGTAACCATCTGACAGTGCAGTGGGCATACGGAGGTGACATAGGCCAAGCTTAGGGGCAATTCCATAGAATTATGGAGCACACATTGCGTACCATTCAACAAATGGTTTTATGCCAGCTTACTATAACGTACATTTTATTACTGTATACTGTAGCTGAGCAATACCTCTTTTTGCGATCCGTTACTTCCTGACCTACTCTTAACTAACACCGCAAATTCGTTCATATTAGTTGACATTTAGTTTAACGATATCCTTTGAAGAAAAGGACTGTTTCTTGTACAACTGCGAAAAAAATTGGTTTCACTTTCCAGCAATAATCGAGATACTTCAACGTCTCACCCACCTTTGAATCTCAGCTTGAAGTTTCGGCTGCCCTATACCTTTGGTACAAGCTGTACACACTGCGCCGCTACTTGTAGTGTACATACTGTTGTGTGAAGATACTTCGACCTCAACGCGTTCCTGCAAAGCGATGCAATCTTCATTAAAGACACCAAATACATCATCATTCGTCAACTGCCAACCATTAGCCCGTTCAGTCGCCCGTAGCTCGCGTGACCAAAGCTCTCACAGTTGCACGTTTGTTCTGGCGATTTAGCCCCAATCGGAATGCTCTCCAGGTCTCACCGTACTATCAAGTGTGGAACCTCGGACCATGTTTGAACTCGTGTTTCGTATTTGGCTGCTCCCCCAAACCAATTACCTCACTGAAAAGGGGCTACATATCACCGACAAAAGTGGCCATGGACGTCCTCCAAGTATACTGTACATGTTCTCTCTGACCACGTGCTCTGAACAACTACATTTTCTGACTAACTGCTCTCCACCCAGCTCATCTCACATCAAAATCCATAGGTGGTCCAACATCAAGATAGGACCCTGAAACAACCCCTTAGTCCACCTGCTGTGCAGCTGAAACACTTGCTCGCAACCTTTGACTCTGCTATTCATACCGAAGCACCCCTGCGACCCTACATGACTCGTACAGGTCGTACTCGTACATACAATATTGAGTCTCTCAATGAAGTGATGAAACTCATGGAAAGCACTGCGCACTGCCAATGTACTGGTTCTTGACGCTCACAAGCTTAAGGCTCAGTCCCTCATGCTACTCTCATTATCCTCCCATTTATAAATTCTATTATCATACTAAATACATAGTGGACATGCCAGGAACGTGATGAACATGCCGCAGTGAGTGGGTTCGCCAGACAAGGTGCTTTTGCAAAGACTTGCTTGGAAAGACTTGCTTGCAAAGACTCGCTTGGCTTATCATGCTGCGTTTACATAAGACCAAAGCTGGCCATGACAACTGCGACGGCCAGTCCAACGATACTGAGCTCAAGACCAGCAGCATTGTTCTTGCCCTTACCGTCACCAGAAGAGCCAGAAGAAGCACTGGAGCCGGCAACAAGACCGCCAGAAAGTGTGGTGGAAGGGTTGGAGTCAGCAGAGCCGGGAGCTCCTCGCAGAATGGTGGTCTCGGAGTTGACGTTAGTGAAGGAAGAAGAGTACTCAGGGGCGGGATTGGCGTTCTTAACTCCGTTGCTGTCAATCTCGACAATGTTGGTGTCGGTTACTCCGTACTTAGTCTGGCCCATGGACACCTCGTACGAGTCCAGGTTGTAGACCACGTAGGCGGCTCGCAAGAACGAATCTCCGAGAATGACATGGTCCTGGGAAGCCTGCATAAGCAGCAGACAAGCGTCGTCTCCGTTTCGGAACTGTGCGTTGACCACTCGTCCAGACTGGGACTGCAGCTGGATGGGGTAAGTGAGCTGGTAGAGAGGGACAGAGATGTTGGCGCCGGAGAAGTTGTAGTCGAGGTGTCCGGAGTAACCGTTCTTACAGGGGCACACGTATCCGTTCTGGGGGTCGTAGGTGGCTCCCATGGCCCGAACAACGTAGTTGAAGGCGTCCTGGGGCAGGTAGGTCAGGGTGGTTCCTGAGTCAAGAAGAGCAGGAACGGGCTGCTTGGTGATGAAGCCAGAGACGCCCTTGACGTCGGTGATGGAGACAGAGTCCAGGCCAACGTAGAATGCAATGGGCTTGGAGGACACGGATCGCTGGGGGTTCACAAGCTTGACGGTGAAGAGGTCTCCGTCAATCTTGGCGTAGTCGACGCCACCAAACAGCACGTTGCCGCTGTCGGAAGACAGGTTGTTGAGCCACAGAGAGTATGCATTGGCCTTGATGAGACCCTCGGCCTTCATCTTCATGGGCAGGTTTTCGTAGGGGTTACCAGAGATCTGGTCGTTACCTCGGTAGGTGATGGTGGACTCGAGACCAGCGAGACCGATACCCATGACTCCGTTGGATGAGTTGGTCTTGGAGGCCACAGCGATGGATAGGCCAGACACGTTGGTGTTGCCGAATGCAAAGGTGTCTGTGCCCCAGCCTCCCTCGGCGGCGGTCTGGTCTCCGTACTGAATGAAGAAGTCCGTCTGGTTCTGGGACCACGATGACGACTTGGAGGTATCAAAGGTGCCCGAGATGGAGCAGTCGATGATGTTGGGGTCTCGCTGGGCGTCCTGGGCGGAGCCACAATCGGGATTGCCGCTTCCAATGACCCAAATATCCGACGAACCGGTGTCGATCAGCAGCTTGACCGTCTGGGCGGGAGTGCCGATTTTCACCTCGGCCTCGTAGTATGTGACGAGATTTTTGAGCGGAAGAGTGGCGGTCTGTCGCTTCATGAGCGCGGCGTCTCGGGGAGCAGGCTCATCTCGGATGGATCGCACGCCAACCGTGTCGAGCTGGACGACCGAGTTTTCGCTCAGCGATCGTTTCTGGTTGGTCAGTGGCGACCCGTACTTGTTGATTTGGTACGTGTTTTTGGCGGCCGCAGTGGCGGCCAGAGCGCCCAGCAGAAAGTTGGAAAAGTGCATGTCTGGGTGTGGTGTGGAGGAAGAGTGGGTAAATATCTACCTAGCAGTGGTCCCTCGAGAGTGTATCTGGAATGTGCGGCTGTAGGTTTTGAACTTTTGAGCTTTTGAGCTTTTGAGATGTGACAGCAGCAGCGATGGTCGTGTGTTTTGTCTGGTTTTACCTGTGTTTATAATCTGTGCGCCTATCAAGGTGAGATGACTTCAGTATCGTCAGAGTAGCAGTTGCTGGTTTGTGTTGGCGGTCGTAGGGGCACGCGTCGTGTCTTGTGATCGAAATCCGTCTGGAGAACCGGTCCTTCAATTGCTACCAAGGCTCCACCCATATACTTTTGCAAAAGGCGTATAGTTTGCACCATTTGAGTGACCAGCGGCTGTGCAGTTGCTGTGCATGCTTGCACTTGTCTTTTTCCCTCAAGCGCACCTTATACTATAGGGGGAGGGAGTTGAGCAGACGAGGGGTTAAAGGGGTATTTATAGATTCCACGCGCTGCTCCGGGACCACAACAGAACCAGTGTAACAGGAACAGGCGGTCCGTGTCCCATCCGACAGAACCCAGCCATCCAACGCCCTCCCGCAGTGCCCCGACATCCACTCCACACAATGTATACACCCTGCACATGGTCTTCCTTGCTCCGCCATTTGGGTTTGCCTGTGCCTCTACCAGGGCATAGTTAGTTATCATGTGTGTGCTAAGCGCCTCATAGATCCACCGATAGATCTGCCGGGTCGTTAATTAGTCGGATGGCAACCAGGCCCTGCAGGTGCCGCGGCCGTTTTATCCAGCTTTTCTCGTTGCAGTTTTGCTGCTCTGCTCATTTGTCATTGTCATCGCTACTTGTTCATAGTGTACTGTACAGTAGTACAACTGACTGGTGTGTATGGTAGTGTATTTATAATTAGAACAATAGACTGTGATTATTACTATTTGGTTTGCGTGGATAGGGCGATCGGAGGGAACAACAGCGCAAACAGCGGTAGCAAACAGCGGTGGAAAAAGGCCTCAAAGTCCGGTGGACGGTCTTCTCAGACCACACCCGGTCGGCACTACTCCTGGTTCCAGCCTCCGTCCGGCAATATTATCCTTCTGAGACATTTGTCGACGTTGATCAGCATCAGCCTTGTCCACTAGACCAGAACTTTGACACTGGTGGTCATGTTTGCACGGAGGAGCCCCCGAGCGTCACTGTATGCGCAACGGGCCTGTTGAACAGTTGAGGGTCGTCCTATACTCAGACCCAGGCAAGCACCCCGTCGTGGCAGTCCGTCGCGGTCTGTTGTGGCAGTCCATCGTAGTCGGTCGAAGTCGGTCGCAGTCGGTCGCAGTCGGTCGCAGTCGGTCGCAGTCCGTCTGTTGCCGGTTTCATTACCAATTATGACGGGCTTGGACGTTGTCTAATTACTTCTCAGCCCCGTCTAAGCCCGTCTAAGCCCGTCTAAGCCCAGCTAAGCCTCTGGACATGTGTCCACAAGCTAGAACCACTTTTAATGTCATCTCGCACGATTAAATACCGCCACTGCCCGCATTAGAGCAAGCTAACGCGGAAGAGGCGCCTACGCAGACAGATTGAGCAAGTGTGTAGCGCAAAGGAGGTTTGCTGTAGTATGGAATCGTCAATCTGTGTCGGTCAGTGCGACCAACGTCGATTAGGCAATTGCACAGTCACATATTACAGTACACACAGTCCACACCCAACCGCGAGTGTCATCTCCATCTCTGTTGACATATTATGCTTCCGAGACTACAGTGCGTCGATCTCGAAGGAGTGTGGGTGACGGCAAATTGCATGGAACAAGACAACAAAGAACAGACCATGTAAAGAAGGGTCGTGGAAGAGACCAAGACTGTCCTCGACAGACAGCAGGGTCCTCCAGGTCCTCTTCCGAGGGCCTTCTGTCTCGTAAATGGCGGTCTTTCACCTACAAGTAGCGCTGCCACCCCATCGTCCTCAACCCAATCATTTTTTTTTTTTTTTTTTTTTTTTTTTTTTTTTTGCCAAGTAAAGGGGGGTTGGCAAAACAAACGTTGTTAAATTGGACAGGAGCAGTAGCCGAAAACAAACGCCGAGCAATGACCGCGATACTTATGGTAAATGTCAGACGAGAACAAGAGCGAATGCGCGATACTTGTACAATACTCGCGGTCGTCAGATCAAATGCATTCGTTATTCATTATAATTATATATATGCAACGGGACACGCCCTATTATTGTATACCGGACAACCTGCCAGTTTTGGCGGAATGAGTGGCATTGGCCTACCAATACTGTTGTGTAGCGTGGAGAAACAAACCCCTTTCCTCATGCCTCCTTCCAGAATCCGTCCTGACGCTTCTTCATATCCTCCAAACGCTTGTTCCATCGCTCCACCACCTGCTCGTCCACCTGCTCCTGCTTGGCGAGCGTCAGAGCCCACTGAAGCCGTTTCTTGTCACGCGACGCTCCAGGAAGAGCAACTCGATCAAACAACGAGTCCACGAGCTCCTCACACACCTCAGGACCCACCCGCTCGTGCTGCAGACGTAGCTGAGAGATAACCTCGGAAATGTACCGGAAAGACATGCTGTTGGTGAGCTGTTCTGAAGTGGCAAACCCGGGCACCATGGCCCGCAAGATTCGAGGCGGAATGGGGAACATGAAGTCGTGTCTGAACCATCGGATGAGTCTGTAGGCCAGAGCGGGGTCTTCAACAGACAGCGTCTCCAAGTTGGGTTTGTATGTTTCCACACTGAGAACGTCGTAGATCCACTGGTCCATGTCCACAAGCTGTGAAAATGGCTTCTCTTGTTTGCCAATGTGCTGTAGTAAGAACATGTCCAGATCTCGAATCTTCAGGTACTCACTTGGGATCTGAAGCCGTTCTAGCTGAGCCCGTGGAGGCAGTAGGCTCAAATCGAGGTCAGCGTAGGGGTTGGAAACGACTAACCTGGTCTCTGGCTGATCATCGCTCTCTACCTCCGACTCCTCCTTTTCAGCTTCCAAGAAATGGCCTCTTTGGAACCGCCTCCTTCTGGACTTGATTCTGATAGCCATGAGAGCAATAGTGATCAACTGCAGACGTCCGCTTCGATCCACATCGCCCGTCACAGCCTCCATGGCCTTGGATAGCTCAGTCTGAATACACAGCCAGATGGCTCGCACAGACACTTTGGGTAGGAAGTAGTACTCAACTTTTTCAACAGGAGGCCGAGTAAAAATCGCCAGAGCAAAATGCTTCTCCAGAAGCTGAGACCAATGGGGCAGCTTACTAGCCTCGAAGGCACGTAGCAGGTCCCATAGAAGCACCTCCGACTTGTGATATCGTTTGTGAGGCCAGACAGCGCCCACAGCCTTCATGATTACCGAAGGGTGGCTCGAATATGCATCCAACAGACGTGTAATCAGATCAAACTTGTCTGACTCACGCTTGTGTAGACGGTTGTTAAACAACAGATGCAGGTACTGTTTAACTAAGGGAATCGGAGTGTTCTCTCCAAGCACCTTGGTGATGCTACTGGCCGAATGAATATCTCCCAGGGCCACTGCCTTCTCCAGAAACGTCACCATTGTCTGTTTGACAGTCTCATCTTCAGCCAAATGGGCATATTGTGCAGTATATCTTGCCCAGAGACTTCGTAGAGACTTCTGATCGGTCACTAGAGCCGTTACTCGAGCAGTACACCACACTGGGAGGTCATTCTTCTTCTCCAAAACGTCCTTGACCACCCCCAAAAGTCTGGAGTCAGTGATAGCCATTCGTATCACCCTCTCAATGCATGCATGGATCCATTCCTGATGTTTTTCAGCAGCCTGGTTGAAAAACAAGTTGCGCAAAACCTCCGTGTTACCCAATTGCACGTACTTTTCCAACAGCCTCATCTTCTCATATGGCTTAAGAGCATCTTCCAATATGAACGCGCCACTATTGTACTTGGACAACCGGTAGTTGATCCGGTCGTTGTGGTACAGAAAGTCTTGAAGCTGCTGCTCCGTTGCACAGCTATCCAACCCCAGACAAAAATGCAATCCTCCGTTGATGTTACCTATCCAAAACTCCCGGGCCAGCTGTTGGGCAAACCCGTGCTTATCAAAAGCCCTGCACAGTTCGAACGCCGTCACCACTTGTTTCTGTTTATTTTTAGGCCCTCCGTCGGCAATGACCCGGCCGCCCAGCATAAGAATGTCTCCGAACGAGAACTGGTTGGCTAGAAAGTCGGCCACCAGCTCGAATTCTCCATCGGCCACCATCTGCTGACCCAGCAAAATAGCTGTAGAGAGCGGAAGCTGCGGATCTCCTCCATCGTCCATTGAACACGTTTCCCAGAACTGCAGCAGGCTGGAATGATCTATGAGTCGGTTTGCCGCCACCATTCTCACCTGTTCCTCCAACCCCAGATTCATGTGTTTAATCCGCGCCAAAACACGCAGCTTTTGCATCTGCAGCTTGTGTACCGCGCCCTTGGGGCCCTTCTTTCCCTCCCGTATCGGTTGCTCAATCACTTCCTGAACCAAATGCAAAAAAGTCGGCTCTTCGGCCAAGAGAATGTCCTGAATGAACTGCAGCCCTCCCTGAGGCGCCTGAAGCGCACTGAATGCCCTTCTGGGCACCCGAATGGACACCCGCGGCATCTGTATCGATGGAACCAACGCTTTGTAGTCATACCGGGGCCCCAGACCCACGGTACGAACGGCCACGTTGATCCGTCTCATGTCATATAAACACTTTGATCTGCTGTCGACGAGGCGTTTTTTCACGGTGAAACGGCAAACGAGAAGTGAGTGCGCGTGAAGCAGCAGTTTGAACGTGGCTCGGGGCAGTACTGATTCGCTCAGCGTGTTTTGACCTCCTCCGCGTATTGGCCCTTGATTTTTCACCAGAATAATGTCTGCATGCAAACTATGAATGTCGGGTCACGTGACTGCGGAGGATTGAATCTGAAATTTTTTGGAAAATAAAAAGAAAACGAAAAGAATACGAAAAAGAATACGAAAAAGAGATAAAAACAGAAAAGAAAAAGAAAAAGAAAAAGAATAAAAGATCAAATGAGATGAAATCGGCTTGCACCGTGCTGCTCTGATCGGTCTACTTGTACAAGTAGACCCATTCATCATATATATTTGCCAAGTCCTTGTCAATATGTTTTCTCATTCACTCACTACCAATGACTAAGCATGAGCAAATAATGCACCGATATATCTGCTCAATCGCGCATCGTCTAAAAGTGCACTCTTACTCTCCAGACACTCTGACACGCTCTTGTCAGCTTACAACCCTCGAAATGACCTGGCTCGAAAAACAGGCCACCAGCCACACCAGCCACAGCTGACCGTGCATAGCTGACGGCTGATTGGCCAGTTTGTCCCAAGCCCGCATACTGTCGGCAAGGCGGGCTGAGAATGTTGTGGAAGCGCCCCCTAGGAGCGGGTGGAAGTGGAGATGGAGGTTGGACGGCAGAAGTTGCTCTCAAAGTTGTGCGGGGTTCTGTGTCCACCTTGTTTCTGTGTCACGGAGCTCAAACGAGCCCCATCATCCCCCGCCCGGCGATTACTAAAGACTCGTCCCCTATGGCCCATTCCCAGGTATTGGGCCATGACCAAATGTACTGCACATGTCGAAACCTTAATGTTGTGGTGGACTCCTCCAATCAGCTTGCCGAAAAGTTTGGTTGACTTTGCATTTTGGAAAACCAGACCACTTTCGAAACGGTGATATTTACACTCTCATCAGCACGTCACTACCCCAACATCACAATGGTCTTTGCTTCTGCTTTCCGATCTATCGCCCGAGGCTCCGCCCTCAACTCCGCTGCTCGACTGAGCATTGCCCGACCTACCTTCCAGGCCGTGCGAGCCCAGCCTCTTGCTATCCGAAACTACAGCGCTGCTCACGAGGAGACTTTCGATGAGTTCACCACTCGGTGAGTACAACCACATGGAGGATGCGGTTAATGAAACGACGAGATGGACGAGTGTGGACGTGGGAAACGGCTAGTCATACGTGTGGTACAGTGAACACGTGATGACGGTGTTTGCTGTGGTGTCGTGTTTGCTGTTCGGCTATCAGGCGTCAGCTGGGACGAGATACAGGAATCGGCTCAGGGAGACACAATCACAAACGCAGGGAATTGGGAGGTGGAATGAAGACAAGATGACGGTTTTGTCGTCTTTATCCGAGACATCTGACCCTTGATGATTGACCTATCATTCGAACTACAACGTACAATGACACCTCACAGCTCATCACAGCACTCACCATAAACGGACATGACAGAACACCAAGTGGTACGACCAAGACTCGTTCACACGTCACCAATGAGCTGCTGGCCAGTTAAATTCATCTTACTAACACAGATTCGAGAAGGAGTTCGAGGAGGCTTACGATCTGTTTGAGGTCCAGCGAGTTCTCAACAACTGTTTCGCCTACGATCTGGTCCCCGCACCTTCCGTGATCGAGAAGGCTCTCCAGGCCTGCCGACGAGTCAACGACTTCCCCACCGCCGTCCGAGTGTTCGAGGGTCTTAAATACAAGGTTGACAACAAGTCCCAGTACCAGGCATACCTTGACGCTCTCAAGGACGTTCGAGAGGAGCTCGGCATCACCCTCAAGGAGGACCTTTTCCCCAAGCTTGCTGAATAAACGCACTAAAATAGCTAATTGATCGCATATACAAGACACCGCTTGTTTGGTTTCCCTACAAGTACGATAGTGAGCGGCGCACCTGTTGAGGGACATGCTTGTGGAGAGTTGGTGTAGAGCCGGACCATTCTGCTGTATCGTAGCTGTCACGTCACAAGCTGAATAGATCACATATATACTCCGTTCATATCCCTACAAGTACAGTATTCTAATGACTGTAGCATTGGACATCCCGAAACTCGAGCCGCTCTCAATAACATCGCAACCCTATCATGACTGTCATATCAGGGATCGTGTACTGGATGAGTAAACATGCTCTAATGGAAAAAGAAAGCACCGAGAGAAAATGGCCCGACAAGAGTTGTCAGACAAGTTCCGGAGCAATTATTCGGACTTTGTACAAAAAATGAGTACTGTATTTGACAGCTGCACAATGTATGGGTACGTACTCGTACCCGTACATACTGTACTGTAGATACTAGTGATGCCATAAGAAGTCCTCGTCCAATTGTACGAGTATTAGACACTGCGGCTCATGCCCTTTCTTTGGGTACCCTTCCATTCCTACAGCAAGTCAGCATGCCCCCCTTCCACCCCATCCACATTTAATATACATTCTTTTCTTATACATGCACTGTTTGTTCGCCCTGTGAGTTCCGCCTTACTCAAGATCGGAAAACTCATCGTCCTCCTCCTTGGGCACGTGGTCGTCGTCACTAGCATAGCCTCCGTCCTTCTCAATGAACTCGTCATCCTTGTTCTTCTCCTGCTCCGCAACAGCCTCACAGGCGTCGATCCACTCGGAGTAGACATCGATAGGCGCAGACAGAGCGTTGATGCTGGCCTGGAACGACTGGCCACACACCTTGCACGATAGGCTGCCAATGCCCATTTTCTTGTCCATTGAACACACAACCGAGTCGTTGTGGTTGCAAAACAGGCATGCAAACTGGGTTGCCAGCGTTTGTTTCACCTTCTTGGCGGGGGCAGAGGAAGACTTTCGTTTTCCCTGTGTTAGCAGATGTCAAAAACGAGCGAGAGTAGGTGGAGTGGTCGCGGCACATCTGTTCATGAATCATACCAGACGTTAGATTCGACCTGATGAAAGAAGCATGTTGAGCGGCGAATCGAACAATGTAGCAAAACCAAAAAACCGTGACCAGACCACCATCTCGTGCCTGCTTGAAGCGGCGCCCAGATATTTCAGCGGCTGTGGATAACCCGAACGGAAAAGTCAGATGAGCACCACGATAAATACCAACACGGTTCAATGGGGCCTCAGGGTCAACCTCTCGGTGAGGCCATGTCGTCGTGCTTCACTACAGTCGCTGATGAGAAGCCGATAGTATCGAATCGACTTCATAGGAAGACACTCCTATGGGATGGTCGAACCGAACCAGCCGGAAGTACATCCTCGTTCGTGTCATGTCTCGAACCACCCTTGTAATGCGTCTCATGTATGTCATCGCGTAGAGTGATGTCTGAAGTCCCTCTATTGCCGATGATACCACATTCTGTAGTTGCTCTCAAACTAATCAGTCGTTTGTCCAAACCATATGTTTCTCTCCAGCACTCGTACTCACCATGATGTGTTTTTTTGTGTGTATGATAGAGACGCTCTGCAGAGCTTGGATTCTGCGATATTGTATCGAAACTCAAAGTCACGTGGTGCAACGTTGAGGGCAATCGCAATCGACCAGGAGGTGATCAAGACGGTGAATGAAGGTAGCTGGAGAGTAATGTGAGATATCAGGTGATCCGAAACGACCGTTTAATTTAGTCAGCAGAGTTTTAGATAAAAAAATCCGTTGTACTGTACAGTTTGTAGATTGTTGACATGTAGATTTCCTCACTTAGTCATAGTTGACGTTTACTTGGGACAAAGTTATAGTCAACTGAACTGGTCAAGTAGAGTCAACTATACTTAAACGTTTATTAAGTGAGTTCTTCAAAATTTTACCTCCAAATAGATCACACCGTCCCATTAAAAGACAAACACCGCCACAATACACACACAGAACGCCACCCAGACACTGTCGGCACATTCGTAACATTCGACACATTCGACACATTCCTCTACTCGATATGCCCTCCCAATGGTAGTCGGACTTCAGTCAGAGTAACGTTCAGTTGAACTATAGACGACAGGGAGTAGTGAGAACAGGACCACCATATCTAGACCAATAGGTGTCGGATCGACAAGCGAAAAAGTGGGTTTTATTTAGAACAAGTATATATGCGAATTAATGATCTCACAAATGCTATAATCCCAGTCAAAATCTTTGATAATACCTCAATTGGCTCTGCTCAAATCCACCCGCCAGTTTGAGTTTGAAAATCTGCAGCTCTTAAATTTTTTTAGGATTATGCCAAAATTATTTTGCCTGCGATCCACACCCAGACACCAGACTACACAACCCAACAATGGTCGCCAAATCCGCATCCAAGGGAACCCCCAAGGGCACTCCCGTCAAGTCCAAGGTAGCCACTCCCAAATCCGCTGCCAAGGGAACCCCCAAGGGAACCCCCAAGGGTACTCCTAAGGGCACTCCTAAGGGCACTCCTAAGAGCACCAAGTCAGCCAAGGCTGCTGTTGACACCCCTACCAAGGGCGATACTCCCTCAAAAGCCACTCCCACTAAACGACGATCCTCCGTGTCCACCGCCGAGACCTCGTCGTGCCCTCTCGCATCCTCCGACAACACAATCAACGCTGCCCAGGCCCTGCTGAAGTTCACCCAAAAGCAGGCCGAAGAGGACGCCAACAACCTGCTTGCCGACGACAACGAGGAGCAGTTTATCTACCTGGTCATCACCTCCAAGCGGTTTGTGTCTTCCGAGAAGGCCCAGGTCCCCACCTTGGTCCAGGTCCCCCACGGTCTGTGGACCAAGAGTGCAGAGCAGCCCTCCATCTGCCTGCTGTCCCAGAACCCTCAGAACTCGTACAAGCGAGCTCTCAAGGGCGCCACCACCCCCGCTCTGTCACGAGTGGTTGGAACACAGAAGCTGCGAGGCAAGTTCAAGCCCTACGAGGCCCGACGACAGCTGTTTGCTGCACACGACATCTTTGTGGTTGACGAGGACATCACCGAGGAGATGCCTTTCTGCCTGGGCAAGACCTTTTACAAGAATGGAGCCGTCAAGCTGCCTCTGCCCATCACCGTGCTGCACAAGAAGGAGGAAAAACAGACTCTGATCAAGTCCAAGGCCGAGAGAGTGGTCGAGACTGAAGACATTGATGTCGAGGCCACCCAGCAGGGCCTCTCCAACATCATGACCTCCACCTGGTACCTCAAGAGCCAGTCCAACCACACAAACGTGCGAGTGGCCACAACTCTGTTTACACCCAAGGAGATTGCCGCCAACGTTTACGCCGTGGTTGACCAGTTCACTGCCGATCTGCCCAACGGCTTTGATGGCGTGCGATCCGTCTACCTCAAGACCGGATCGTCTCCCGCATTGCCCATCTACTTGGCTGACAACCTGTACACTCAGGACGATGTGTTCAACGAGAACGACGAGGAGGAGGAGGAGGAGATTGGTCAGCAGTCGGACGGCCGATTCGTCATGCCCAAGGGACTGAAGATCGGTGCTGGTGAAGAGGATGAGGAGAAGGTTGTCGTGGAAGGACACAAGCTGTCTGCTCTGGATGCTGCTCTTGCCGAGGTGGTTGACGTGGAGGACATTCTCGAACACAACAGACGAGCCGACAAGGCCTTGCAGGAGCGAAAGCGAAAGCGAAGCGACCAGGACGGTGGAGCCAAGAAGGCTAAGACGGAGTAAGGAAAAAGGCACAGCTCCACAATATATAGATGGTGCTCAAAAAGAGCTACATAATGGTATAATATCTTGTTTACGAAGATGTGTACACAGTACAATGTCGTAACGGTTTGGTTGATAGAATCGCAGCAATGTCAGCACAATAGTGACGCAGCCTGGTGTCTTAACGGATGTCATTGTATCCAATAGCAACACGGAACTAGTGTGTCAGTATTGACATGCATTGTAACTTTTGATCCACTATCCAAGATTCCAGGACCCAGCGGCCAAGCTTTTTGCCAGGTTGACAAGAGTTGGTCTGGGGGGTTGGGTCTGTGGAAGAATATTTGTCAGATCTTCCAAGCACCTGACATATTCTTTATCTAGCCAGTTCCACGCAGGACTTGATGTTGAGGACGAAAGAGGAGCAGATAAGTTCTCCTTCGAGACCATTGGACGAATGATTCTCCACCAAATGTTGACCTACAATGATAATAAAAACATCTTCTCTTATATATATATATATACAGTGTAGAAGCTGGAGGCCAATGGCAAGCCTTCGACATCGAGACGTTTAACATGGTAGTCTCATCATGCCTCTCTCTCTGAACTGCAGTCCGCTCAGTCTGCTTATGGGTTAATCGGAATGAAATTACCCACGATACAGCTAGGGATATTGTACCGATCACGTCGAATTGTAAACGAGAAACAACATAGCTTTCTCTTTCGCCCGTCCTTAGACCGCAGGTTGCAACTTGTCAGGACGGCCTTTTGTCCCGAATCGAACGCAATGTTGCCGTACTTTTCCCAGTAGTTGACCGCCGAATCCTCACTCATGAGCTCGTAGATGGCCAGCTTGCCGTTTCGAAGATCTTCCACAGGAACACCCACTAGGCCGGCAAACTCCTTGTTGCCTCGGTAAATCTCACCTGTACGTCTCCACAGACACGCTGGAATGGCCATGGTTGTGAAAACTCGATCGTAGTCGAGTAACATTCGCTCAAAGGCCTCCTCAACAAGAACCAGATCGATATCCTTCAACGACTGTGCAATGGCTCGAAAAGCTGGCCGAAAGATGGACAACGGCTTTAGAATTCGTTGTTTGGACGAAATGTTCATGTAGTTGTCCATGTACTGCTGCAGACGGGCGTATCCCTTGACATAGTTGAACGGCTGAAGAAGCCCCGCTTCGAGTTTGGCGTAAATGACCTGTTTGAGACGCTCCTCGGGCGAATTGTCAATAGTGGGATCGGCCGCAGTCAAAAAGAACTTGTTCCTAGCAGCTTCCGAAACCTGGGGAGGGTCTTCGTGTGTAAGGGATGCGTTAGAGAGATTTTGCGATTGAGCTTGGGCTTGGCTCTGGCCTTGTTGCTGCTGCTGGGTAACAGCTGGATGTGCCATACCAGGACTCTGCAACTGCTGATGCTGATGGCCCGGTTGTTGGCGCTGACCCTGAGACATGGCCTGTGCCTGGGTTTGCGTCTGTGACTGGGTCTGGGAATGGTTCTGAGATTGTGTCTGGTGCATACCCTGTCCTTGGCGATATTGGGTCCCGGTCCCGTTTTCACTCTGTCCTTGGCTTTGACCCTGACCCTGCTGCTGGCCCTGGTTCTGACCCTGACTCGGCTGTCCCTCATAAACTACATCGTCGAACATGGTCAGAAAGTCGTTAAGCGAGGAAAATTCGGATCCGGCATGCTCGGAGAAAAACAAACCATTCTGAATACCTCCAGCGTTCATGAACTGAGCAGACATGCCTGCGTTGGGGGTATTCAAGCCACTGACTTGTCCTTGGCCCTGTTGTCCTTGGCCCTGCTGCTGCTGTTGTTGTTGCTGTTGGCCCTGAACTTCCTCCTCATCGTCAGACTGGCTCTGTTGTCGCTTCCCTCGTACTGGCTTGGCTTCATCATGACACAGGTGAGAAATGTTTCGTTTCACACATCTCGAACACGGGCGGTTGTTGTCACACGTCATGTGACTTCGTCGACAGTAAACACAAGCCTGGTCGACCTTTTTCCGCTTGGTTCGCTTGATGGGCTGCTGTTGTGGCTGGTGGTTCCCATACATGTAGTTCTGAGGACCCGTCAACATACTGGAGCCCATGTTGAACGCCGCAAAGCCCTGCGAGCTCATGTCGTACATGGTCGACTGTCCCGGAGCCGCCAAAATGCTCGGTCGGAGCGGCTTGTACTCGTTGTCCATGGTGTAGGATGTCGTTGGTGTGTTGACTAACTGGCTGTGGAACACGTGCTGCGGTGTTGTTGTATAGTCACGTGAAAGGGGTATTGTCACGTGAATGGAAAGAAGTACGCCACGTGACCGGTGTTGTCGTCTTACTGCTGGGGTACTGTCGTGCTGGTGAAGTGGGGTATCGCTGTCGGTCTAGACTCTCTGTCGTGAAGGTCGTGTGTTTGGGACAGAGTCGCGTGGATGTGTGTTGAGAGTCACGTGCGGTGTATCGCTTGTGTCACGTGAGGTGTATATATCACGTGATCCGTCGTATCTTTGCGCGAGTGCCGGTTGTTTCCAATATGGCGTCGTCACTCTGGTGGTGGAGAAAAGTAGTTTTGGTTTTGGTTTTGGTGGTAGTGATTTTTGGTTCAATTTTGATTTTGAAATTTGAGTTACATGTGGGGATTTCTGACACACGTCAGAGAGAGAGGGAGGCTGACGGACGTAGAGGAGGTGCAAAAGAAGCGGGGAAGAAGAGGGTGGATTGCGTGTACTTATAGTATTCCAGGAGGGTGCCTTTTACGTGGCTTTTGTGGTGTGCCTAAGGGTGTCCACATCACAATTTGAGATTCGGTAGCATAGAATGGGTAACCCTCTGAACTTTAACGGAGGGAGATGAGAGGGAGATGAGGAGGGGTATATTGCGGGCTACGATTGTGGGAATGAAAAACCGAAAATACCAGCGAGTTTTACCGATCAATGCGAGTTGAGTCATATAATATAATGTCCCTTTTAGTGTCTCTGAGACAAGCTAGAAGCACCTTTTATTTCTGTCTTGAAATTAGTCACAGTTTAGACTCTAGTCTCCAACGGGACTTTGAGCCTAGCAGTCTCTCCACGGATGCTATTTGGGCATGAAGGAGATGACATAGAGCGACAGAGATATCTTGAATCAAATACACACATCCAGTTACCCCATATTACGTGACAAAACAGACCGAGTGCCACACAAAAATACCCTCCAAGCCCACCCCTGCGTACACTCGTTCATTTCACTCTAAAATTAAGTGCCTGAACCGGTGCCGCTCGGCTTTCACACCAGTGCTGTACAGCATTCGCTATCTGGTCCTCCAGACCAGCTACATTTCCAAAGGAAAAGCCTGACTGTACTTTCAGTCGTTGAAATGGCAGATTTCGCTTTCTCAAGTCTCTAGAAAACGCTCCTAGTCTGCTCATCGCGCCTTTCACACTTCCTTCCACCCGCGATGCTGCTGCAAGAGTTTTTCCGAACAAACTGGGAGTCATGTGCATCGGAAAATTGGGAGAAAAGAAGTTCAATACCTCTCAATACGCACAGATCGACTTGGATAAGAGGGGTAGAACGCCGCCTTTTCGGCTGGAAAAACATATACGCTTTTGTGGCATCTGTTCAATGTCTTTGCCCCTGTACGTGATACTGTACTTGCACGATACAGCAAAAAGAGATGGTACAGTAATTCTAAGACTATTGCTCCATAACACGGATAAGGTTGATAGACCAGGTTATAGACGTTTCCAAAAGACGCTGAAGAGCAGCTACAAAGAAAATAATACCATCATTGAGCTTGTCACGTGAAGAAATTTGTCACCATATTCTCTTTTTTTGTTTTTTTTTGTTTTTTTTGTTTTTTTTTTCCAAATCCACCAACATCGCAAAAGTTGACCAAATCTCAACGGTTGACGCATACTCTACATACTCATCGAGTTAGCCGCAAGACCCGCCAACTTCGAGAAACGAGCAGAACGAATGCGCCCTAACCCTGCCCCTGTTCCATTGCTGTTCGAACAATCACGTGACCTTTCGAGACGAAGACAAAACAAAAAAAGACGGAAGCGGAGACTGGATCGGAAGTGTCTAAGCTTGTGGGGTGATGTATGGACCAATGATACGAGCCGGATTGGAATTGGCAAGTCACGTTACCAAACAGACTGAAAGGGTGCACGCATTGTCACGTGACTGCAGGCACCTATCTCCGCCTTCTCCGCCTTCTCCAGACATGTATTCTGGCCGGGATGTATATGTTCAGTCAAGTGGTCGATGCCAGGCCCTAGAGAATGAGCTGATCTCCAGCCACATCCATGTGGCTTGGGTGGATTAGGGTTACTTAATTGGGCGCAATGTATGTGGAGTGAGGCGGGCTTGAAAGGGGCATTTTTGGAGGAGTGTATTCGATTTTTTGGTATCATTCTGCTGAGAATTTGACGACAAATAGATTTACATTACTTATTTTTCAATATCTTCCCTATCATCTCGGCAAGACTCCCGATTACTGTTTTCCACGCAACTTTAATTAGCCACAGGCAGCGAACCTTAATACTCGAAAAGTTGTAGTGAAAGCCATCTTTTTGACTTAACTGCTGAACAGCCACATTTTCGAGTCTTCACGATCCCGTTCGAAAACGAGCAAATTAGTCAGAAACGACTCTCACGACCATGCTACAGTCTCTACCCCGAGCCACACGACTCCGGTCGTCTCTTTTAACTGCCCGACTGGTTTCTTCGCTCGCAAAGACCTCGTTGACGCAGACACAGACACGCCTCTTGAGCACCTCCAGAGCAGTGTTCAACAACCGCAAGCCATATGAGGCGGCGCGAGACGAGTTTCTGCGGAAACGAGACGCCAACATGAAGAGGTTGGGCGTTTCCGAGGAGGAGTACCGAGAGCTGTTTTCCAAGGCCCGAAAACAGCGACGTCAGCAGGATGTCAACTCCACGATTCTCTACGGCCTGTCGGTGGTCATTGCCTTCCTGGGTCTCTCATACCTGGCCGTGCCCGTCTACCGAATTGTGTGTCAGCAGATGGGCTGGGGAGGACAGATCACTCCCGGAGGAAATATGAAGACCGGCGACTATGAAAACCCCAGATTTGCCGCCGAGCGACTCAAGCCCATCGAGCAGGGCCGACATATCCGAATCACGTTCTCGGGCGATGTCTCCGGCATTCTGCCCTGGGACTTCCGACCCCAGCAGCGAGAGGTGTCTGTTATTCCCGGAGAAACCGCCTTGTGCTTCTACAAGGCCAAGAACCGAACCGACAAGGACATTATCGGAATGGCCACATACACCGTGACGCCGGCCATTGCATCGCAGTACTTCAACAAGATCCAGTGCTTCTGCTTCGAGGAGCAGCAGCTGCTAGCCGGTGAGGAGGTGGACATGCCTGTTTTCTTCTTCATCGACCCAGACTACGCCACCGACCCTAACCTCAGAGGCATTTCCGACATTGTTCTGCATTACACCTTCTTCCGAGCCAAGTACAACGACGACGGTGTTTTGTCTCCCGTTGCCACCGCCGAAGCCAGTGAGCAGGAGCTTGCGTCCCAGCTCCAGATCGCCAAGGAGGTCGAGGCCCAAGCCGCTGCTTAGACAGCACTGTTAACTTTTAACCATTAGTTACTACTAGCACGCTAGTACTCATATTGTATATAGGTCGAGATCGACAATAAATTCTACTTGCTAAGGAATAACTGTTTAGCTGAGAACATTCCAACATTGTCATCCCATCTCAGAGACCCAGAACAAAACGCCATCTGTACGGGTACAGTAATCATGACTATAACGCACTCCTACATTTCGACTACTGACACATTCTATTTTGAGATTTCTTATCATTCGTCTCATTTCCTATAATTCACCTCGAGTCACTGGTATAGATAACCAGGTGTCAGTGCACCAACCTCCTCAATCTCGCGATCATTTTGATATTTATTCAACCTCTCTTGAAAACTTGATGTCCTCCTGCAATGCCAAGCACAGCATGCACCCATGTCGCTCTCCTTTCCTCACATCACTTCCATGGTTGAAGGGACTCACTATGGAGACTCGTTGACAGTGTCTCTTGCTGACAATACCACAGTTATAATCACACTTGATGGAGGAGTTCTGACCGCAGAAACTTGCGGAGAAATACCTGAAGATGTGGGTTGCGACAGCTCCACTATCCCCACCAAAATCGATACCTTGGCCAGATACACGAGGTGGACATATCTCTCCGACAGAGTGTTTCGACGACTGACATTTGCACTGTTCAACCTCTCGTGTTCTCTGTCGTCAGACTATTTCGAATACACCCCAAGCAAGGGGCTTTCAAGATGTTCTTCTTCTCAATACAAGACTCTGAAACACGCCATGTACCAGCTATCTACAAAGCCTCCTCGGCAGTTGCGGCCTCCGACACGCAAGATAGTGGACGAGATTGTTGACGAGCGTTGATTCATGCTAGCTGGGGGACTATGAAGACGGGTGACTATGGTGACTATTGAGAATGAAGAGCGTCTTCATGAACATGACAACCATTACAACCCTTTCAAGTGCAATACATCTACCAGAACTGGCAGGGCTTCTTCCCATCACTGTGGAGGCACGTGTTGAAGTGTTGTATCGCAGAGTCGCACGGCCACTACGGTCGGGCCAGTACCCACAAAAGCGTTAAATAAAAAGTGTATTAATAAATGATTAGTATGTATCGTGTTCTTCTATTGTGACCACAGATACCAGGATGATTGTTGCCACGGAATGTAGGATGTTGTGTTGCGTTGTGGCTATGCACGGAATGTAACGTCAAGTCTACAGCTCGACAGGGGGTCTCTCGGTCTTTGCAAAGGCGACTCCCGGCGACACGACGTCACCCTCCTCGCACTCGAGGATGATTGTTGGCGAGTTCATGCCGCTGGAAACGCCCTGGTTGGTGTCCAATTTGAGGCCCTCGTGGAGAGTGATTTTTCGGGTACCTGCGCTCACAGGAATGTTGATGGGGTCGTTCTTTTCCTCCTTGGGCTCAGCCACGTTGCTTAGTTCCTTGTGCAGCATGTCGTAGAACTGCGAGTCAAAGGCGTTGGGGTTGGGGGTATCTTCGAGTCTGGAGGTCCATCCAGCCGGAGGAGAGGGAGGGGGCGAGATGAAGAAGAGCTTGCCAGCGTCGGGCAGTTGCAATCGCTGCTTTGTGTCGCCGAGAGTGGCCATGTCTGTATTATTGGGGGCGTACTGGGCCTTCAAGGTGGAGTAGTTGAGGAACTCCTCGTCCACGTATGCTGCCTCGGCCGCCTGCTTGATGTACTTCTTCGCCACCGAACACGAGTCTGGGGTCACAAAAACGCAGACGATTCGGCCCAGCGACTTGAGGGGAGCCCAGCACACCAGATCGTCGGACTCTAGCGCCTTTTTGAGCTCGAGCATGAACGGCTCGGACGAAAAGTGCGCTCGTGAAAGCCCGGTGATAATGAGGGTGTTGGTGGCCATCTTGTGTTTCTTGGAAGCGTTGTTGAGAGAAGCGAGAGGTACTGCGACGGTGGCCATAGTTGTCTTTGTGTCTGTGTCTGTGTCGATTGGCGAGGTGGAGGGCGTTTCCGAGGGCTCCGTCATGGTATATATATAGGAGACGGTAGTGAGAGGTGGTTGACTTGTCGTCAAGTGTCTTAGATAGGGTTCCAATTACCACTAATAACTCACCTTTAGTTAGGGTTCTCAAATAAGTTTAGACGTGCGTCAAAAGTGCATAGCCTTGGGCTGATCGAGCCGTGTGGAGGACAAAACATGTACCAGGGTACGAGTATGGGTAGGCCATTGACATGACGTCAACTGGCCGTGGAGGGGGAGATTTCGGCCGTGATGGGGTCTGACTCAGCCCGGAGCTGATTGCGTCTTTTCCATCCTCTTTGTTTCTCCTCTCTTGGTTTTCCCGTTCCAGCCGCTTTCAAACGCCTACGGCTCGGTTATTTCCAACGTCGGTCGTTGTCGACAATAGGATACGTAACTTGCCGAGTAACGGTCCGATTTTGAATCCAAGTATACAAAAAGAATCGCTGAGCTTCACTCATCCTTCCCACCAAAACCTGGTCCAAATAGACCCACTTTCCACCGCAACTACATCTTCCCTTGTCGACTCAGCCCGAACCTTGGTTGACAATGTGGGCAGTTGTTACCCCCCGGACCCCTCCTCTCAAGGTTCCCGAAGCGGGCATTGGACGCGGACCCTGCCCTGTCTAAATTGAGTATCTGCACTTGGCCCTTGCGATTACATAATCTCCGCTTTCTCCCTCCTGGTGCCTTTTCTCCTGCTGGTCGTCAACATGCGTCCCACATGTTTGATAGCACATGAATACGAACCGGTGCATAGCCCTCCGTGGTTGGGCACGTGGACACGCACGTGATGCACAGCCTGAAGCAGGCTGAGTTGGAGGCGAAGTGCGGGCCAAGGGGCGGCTCCAGCAGATTTTGCACCTCGCAACTGCTGCGCAATTCCTGGCCACCGTGCAAATTTTTTTCCCTCTCCAACCCTGAATCTCCGGCTAAACCATGTCTCAAGCCAAACCCAACCAGGCGTTACGTTTCTTGCACAGCCCCAGAGCCGCAGACTTAGCGGACTAAGAAAGCCCAATTAACGCCCGCAAGACGATTGGCGGAGGAACAAACAGCGTTGCTGGCTTGGCACGCGACCACCGACGCTATGCTCTGTAAAAGCATGCCTTTTCGCTTGTGCACGCGGACTCCGAAACCCGAACAGAGACATATTGGGGCCATGGCGGGACAATTTATGGAAACAAAAGACACGGTATAGTAGGGAATCGCACCACAGTCTCCACCGTCAAGTCCCTTCATCTACAGCAGCATTATTGGCCAGAAGCGAGCGGAACTCGTACTCGTCCTCGTAAGGATCACAGGCATTAACCATAAGCTAACTCGCTGATGCTTTTCTTTTCCAACCGTTTCCACCAGATATGACTAACAGCACGGTAGCGTGATTCTTCACGGCCGTAGCTTTAACCAAAAGATCGCTTGATCAACCCTGATTTTCTTTTCCAACCCTGTCTTCAACTCTGATATCAGCACGGAGCTTCGGCTTCTGACTGCTGCACTCAGGACCGACAACTATAAGAGATGAGCCACCAAGCAAAGACTCGGAGGGCTAGGAGCGTATCAGGAGTCGTCTACTGCCTCTGGACACAAACTAATGGGCCAATTGCAACCCTCCAGAGCCTGCCACGACGCTCGCCACGACGCTCTGTCGGACGACGCTTTGTCGGACGACGCTTGGTCTTAGCCTCCGTCCGTATGTGGGGACATCAAGGTGATTAAGAGTGCCATCTGGGGGGCAGTGCAGGAAAAAAGGGCAAAACAGGACAAAACCAAAAACCAAAAAAACCGAAAAAAACCAAAAAAAACCAAAAAAATATTCAAAAACAAACAGGATTGCCGAATATGCGAAAAACGCAAAATAAAAAATACGACAGTTGTCGGTCTGCCCAAGACAGCTGATAATGTCACATAGCCCTGAAGATGAAGGAACGGATTGTTCTCGGTACGATCTTCTCACGTGACTACCTCGTACAGCCCTCAACACAGGATACAGGATCCAAGTCGACATAGCCCGCCGTCATCCGACCCCAATTCCGCCTCTCGGTCGATCCAGAGGTCGTTCAGGCGACCAAGAGGGCCCGGGGGTTTTGGGTCTGTCACGTGATTACAACTGTGGCGACGACGATGTTCATCTGGCGAGAGGTGGGTACTTGAAGAGTATGTACTCGTACTCCCCGCCAAGTCTAGGCCAACTACATACTCGGATCATATCAATATCAAGACTTGGTTTCAAGATTCGCATGTTTCAGTCTTGCAAGAATGTATCAGATGAAACACGAATGAAGAAGCTGTTTCCGGTTGTTTGAATTGCTGAATAATTGCAACAGAATTCGAAGCTGGAAGAACTTCTATCGTTACTTGTTTTCGTGCCGTACTTGTAGCAAATTGTCGTGGATATTTTTTTGGATATGACTCCCACTCCACTCCTCAACTTCTGCTCACTAAGAACTAACTATACTTCTAAGTAGGACTTTGGAATACTTGGAAGCAGTTACAACAAACAACCGCTTTTGTCTCACGCTATAACCCCTATAATAGATCTGAAAAAACTCACAAGTGAACAGAATCTCATCAAAAATACCACAAATCTCCCACTCTCTCGAAACCCCTTCCCAAACCCTTCTTTTCGTACCCCCAAAATTTCCCCTAATATTTTATCTACAAAGCCTAACACTTGTGTGCATGTCAACTGCACCTCTCACGTCCCGCAACATGGACCCATCTTTACCCGACGAACCACGCGAAAACGGATCTACCACCCCAATGAGAGTGTTCTGGCCGCTGGAAGAGATGCACGTGATGCGCGGGAGGAGGTACGACGACTGCTTAGTCATTGGCTGGCGCAACGACGGCTGCAATGTTGTTGTCATAGCCACATGTGTCGAGCTGCCCGAGGTCGCCAGGAAACGGGGGTTGGAGATTGTTGGATATGTGGGTAAGGCACGTGATCTGTGCGACTTGTCACGTGAGACCAAGAATGAGTCGCGCTCGACGCCATCACGCCATCTAATTCCTTTCACCTACACCGCTGACAGTCCATTAACATGCTCTCTTCCCGACGTGACGATAATCACATACAAGACGCCAAATCCACAGCGGATGCAGTTTTACAGCACAGATCCGATTTCGTTGGGAATTCTCGGCTGGTCGGTGCCAATGCGGGTCATTTCGCAGGAATTCGAGCAGGAACTGGTTCACGAACAGCAAAAGAAGCAGTGTTTGATGGACAAGTTGGTACAGCATGGAGGAGTGGAGTTTGGGGGTGACGACTACGTGGAGGGTGACAAGGAGATTGTGGTGGAAACCCTGGAGAAGACAGACGAGCAAGGGGACTGCCAGTTGGGGGTTTTGTCATACACAGAAGAGACCGAAGCTCCGAGATTGAACGGAACAGTCCATGCAGAAGGTGGTGCTCCAGAGTGTCAGTTAGAACGGATTCTTGCACAAATCAACTCGGCATACCGATTGCAGAAACTGGTACACAACAACAAAGAGAGTCATGTGATTTCAACGCTTCTATGCACTCTCGTCAACCCCTTGATTCCGCTCTTCACGAATCTGGTGATATATTTCATCATGGGGATCCGAATCTTCTGTGAGGCATGTCTGCTGCTAATCGAGTTCCGCGTGCTCGGAAAGAATCTTAAACAGACGTCAGCTACAGCCATTCAGCTTGATTTGAGACTACAGCAAGTCTGCTACTTGCCAGTGCAGTGGATGCGTATTCGAGGCCATGACAGTCATACCCAGTCACCTAGTCACATTGCCATTGAACGTCGTATCAGCGAAAGTGGACATGGAAGTGCTGCCAAGCGACACGTTCCTCCAGAATACATTCGAATGTACAACACCGTCTGGCTTGTGTTGAACGATCTCATCTTGGGATTCGCTCTAAGTGCTTATCTACTTGATAACCAGACTTGGATAGCTGAGAATGGACCTCGCTTGGCCAGTTACATTCTTGTAACATTCCCAGAATCAACTATTATCTGGTTGATGGACTCCCCGGCTGGTCTAAAGCTCAATACCGAGTTGGCCAAGTTCTTTGGACAATTTCTGCTGTGGGTGATCCACTTTTGGTCTAGAACAGTGGTGCATGGTCTCATCATCCCCGCAATGCCCTACATGCCAGCTCTGGGAAGCGTCATCTCTCGTGTTGGTGGTATCACTCTGACCATCTCTGTGCTATGTGATCTTATCTCTTTTACCACGCTGCACATTTACGCATTCTACATTGCATCAGCTAAAATCTTCCATTGGCAACTGGGAGTAATCACCTCGTTGTTCCACCTGTTCAGAGGCAAGCGTCAGAACGTGCTGAGACACCGTATCGACTCTTGCAACTATGATCTCGACCAGCTTCTGATGGGAACCATCTTCTTCACAGTCCTGGTCTTTCTTTTGCCGACAGTCATGGTATTCTACGGAGCCTTTGCATTGGCCCGGCTGTCCATCATCATTCTCTCCGCAGTCCTGGAAACCATTCTGGCCTTCCTGAACCACTTTCCGCTCTTTGCTCTGCTTCTAAGAGCCAAAGACAGAAAAAGACTGCCAGGGGGCATCAAGTTCGTGGCCAATGGGGTCACTCTGGAGCTGCAGAACATCCCTCTCGGCTTCTCCAAGATCTTCTACCAGTATTCGCTTCTTTCAGACCGAATCCGGTTCCATTACCTCAGCGTAAGGGTTATCAAGCGGCTGCTGACAGGCCAGTTTGTGCCTGTTCAGAGAAACAGGCTGTACATTCTACTGTACTCGACTCTGCCAGAGCAGAGAATTGATATTGGGTCACTGTGGAAGTTGCTGAGAGGGGGAGAGTGAATCGGCCATCTGAAGGTGGCATAGACATACAAGTGTACATTAATAATAGACGCCAACCAGTAATAGAGTCATTGCACAGTGAACTCAAGCGAGGACTTGAGAGAGAGTCATCTATAGACACAGTTGTACATACAGTACCATGTCGTATTATATCTTCTAGAACTATCGTGCTATCGCGCTGACCTTCCGCACACGAATAGGCTTTCTTTGCGACAAACTCCGAATCGCCATAACTAGTGTGATTGGAAAGAAATATGTGATTTTATTTGGTATATTGCTTCTGTGTAACTCCTGCTACACAATAATATATTTTACCAAGCTACAGCTTTTTCCCTCAGCTCGTTCGTGTACCATTAATATCTCCGATATGCACGCGGCGCACTCCTCTCAATACGTCACGATAGGAAGTTGGGTGCGAACTACTGTTATGACTCTTGGGACGAAGCGTTAGTTGACAGGTATTCGTGTCTCCCTCTTGTATTGCACACAAACCAATGACCGTGTGTATAGAAAAGCCAACTAGGCCATTCACCGAGACACTGGCCGTGACGCTGAAAGATGGCAGTCAGGCCGCGATTGTGCCTGTGAATGGGTACGAGGAGGCGGGCAAGTTACCCCAGCGTCTGGTTGAATTCATGTTTAATGAATTTAACAAGGAAATCGAGGATGGACAGACATACCCGCAGTTGAAGCCGTTTGCGAGCTCGGCCGAGTTTGTCAAGTACTGGTTCGTTGGATGGGTAGGGCTTCTTGTCAGAGGCACTGAGCTTCCCACGAACAGCGACTGGTCTGAATGTCTCCTGGGCCACTACTACATCAGGCCCAACTACCCTGGCCGGTGTTCACACAACTGCAATGCAGGATTCATGGTCAATCCTCGCCATCGGGGTCTGGGAGTGGGAAAGGCGCTGGGAAGAAGCTACATCTACGTGGGTCCTCGGCTGGGGTACACATACTCGGTGTTCAACCTGGTTTTTGTCACCAACACGGCCTCTCGCAAGATCTGGGACTCCATGGACTTCGAGGTGGTAGGCAGAATCCCCGGAGCGGCTATTCTCAACGGCTTTGACGAACCCGTTGACGCTTTGATTTATGGAAGAAAGCTCGATGTGGAAGAGACAGACAGTTGGAGATTGACGGCGGCTTGAGGGAGCCTGAGGGAGATTGACGGGGGCCTGTGAACGCGGAGAAGATGGACTGTGGCGACGGCATGTTATGGTTGAGGAAACTGACATCCAACTAGCCCACCATGGTCTCATCTCGTCTTGTTTGCCCACATAATCTGCACCATCTTGAATCGAGTGTACTACAAGTACTTGTACCATAGTTCCGTAATAGCACAATATCGAGACATTGTCACACTAGATGCACTTTCCAGTCAAACGCTTGTGGATACAAGTTCAGCATGCGCAGATGAGACGGCTACTCGGACAGCAGTTGCAGCATGAGCCAGTCTGCAAACGCTGAACAGAACATGTTATACGAGATGGATAGAAAATAACCCTGGAAACTCAGACATACACACGATACGAAAGCTACTGACTGTCTTCAAATCATAGTCCGCCACGCACAAGATACTCTCCACTGAAAACCGGTTCATGTCATCTCTTCCCTCTCCAACCCACCTACTACCGTACAGTACGGCTTAGTAACACGCCGTTCGAGAAAAACTCTGAGACATGGACCGATCATTAATTTTTGTCCCTAAAAGGCAACCTGCAGCTGGGAAGTTGGAAGAGTTAAATGGTGAACCTTGGTCACTTGCAGCTACAATATTGATGGAGGATTTCGGAGGGTTTTGGGGCATTTTGGAGGATTTGGGGACATTCTGGAGCACTTTCAAGTAGATTAACGTCGCAATTTGAGCCTAAAAACCACCAAAAAACCACTCTCGTCCCCTCTTATCGCCGATAATATCACATTCAAGACATTGTCGGACCCAAGTACCAGTCCCCCCGTTTAAACTTCCGGAAACCTTATATTTGTTCCACCCGTTATATCTCGACCGGGTAACCCGGACAAAATTTCTCGCCTCCTCAGAATATCTCAGCACACACCACACCTCCCCTAAACAGCCAGTGTGCAGCTTTCAAACGGCAGTACAGTACGCGACGCGTCAGAGCATCTCGGCCCCGCCACCCACGCGTATCCACGCAGCTTCCAGCTCCCCCGAACCGGAAAACCACACCTGCCACAGGGTCTTTTCCTACTCCGCTTTCAGGCTGGGGGTTCTTTTTTGGTATTTTAAACTGCACCGGCAATTGCAGCCAGACACGACATATACGAGGCGCCTATATTGAGTCTACGACCAGACCTTCAACCCGTCCAGTGCTCCGACCAGACATTCGGCCAGTCGAGAGAGTCACAGAGATAGGGCGACAGTAACGACGTCTTGCACACATCAATTGAGTATCTTCACATCACACGGCTGATTACTAAGCACATCACATCACCACTTTCCAACCCGCACACAACCGACCCGCTTTCAAAATGATGACGACCTTTGAGGACACGTCGCATCCCATCCAATTGCGTGGCGACGAGCTGAATCTGGACTCGGCCGCCCAGGTCGAGCCTCTGACCGTGGTGCTCAAGGACCAGGTCACCACCGCCACCATCTACCCCATCCGGAACCTGCAGTCTGTGCCCCAGACGTTACAGTACTTTCTGTTTGACGAGTTCAACATGGAGCTTGAGCGTGGCGACACTTTCCCCCATTACCATCCCATCCAGTTTGACGACTTTCAAAACTTTTGGTTTGGGACCTTTTCCGCCATCATGCTGCTTGGCAACGAGCCGCTCATTCGGGACGACCGGGCGTGGGAAAAGGAGTGCCTGGGCTCGTTTTTCATCCGCCCAAACTACCCTGGCCGCAGCTGCCACATTTGCACTGCCAACTTTCTGGTGAATGCCGGAATTCGAGGTCAGGGCATCGGAAGAACTCTGGTGGAGAGCTATATCGAGTGGGCCCCCAAACTGGGATACACCTACTCGGTATTCAATCTGGTTTACGAAACCAACGTGGCAGCACGCAAGATTTTCGATGCGTTGAGTTTCAAAAAGGTGGGAAGAATCAAGGGCGCAGGACACCTGAAGGATAATGAGAACGGGCCTGTTGATGCTTTGATTTACGGAAAGGAGCTGATTGAGGAGACTGACGAGTCCATCGGAGAACTTCGGTTCGATAAGATCAAGTACTACCTCGAAACAGGCAAGTATCCTCCTCAGTCAGACCGACAAGAAAAGTCTCGACTGCGATCTTCGGCAGCTCACTACCGTCTGAGAGACGGCAAGCTGATGCTCAAGGACCGGGAGGTGGTTTCGGACCCTGAACGACAGATCCAGATCGCCACAGAGGTCCACAAACAGAGCCATGCTGGTATCAACAAGAGTACGTCGATCATCACAGAGTCGTACCACTGGACCCGAATCAAGGAGACTGTTGCGGCTGCTATTCGAAATTGTGTCGAATGCAGAGAAGTGGCACGACCTCCTATCAAGCGAATCAAAAAGGACGACTTTGAGGACCTGTCTGCTCTCCAGGTGCATCAGCATGTGCCCAGCTCCTCGGAGCAGCAGACGCAACAGACCCAGCAGACCCAGAGCCAATCACAGCACCAGAGCCAGCAGTCGAGAAACACCGGAATGATGAACCTCGGCTCGCACATGCCTCTTGGATACAATATGAACCAGATTGGCCGCCTTCAGGCGGATCTGGGTCTTGACACGGAAGATGGACAGCAGCTGATGGCTTCGGTGGCTGCTCAGAACCGTGAGAACGAGAACGCTGCTAACATAGCCTCCAACAACCAGCAGATGAGCCAGTTTGACGTGGACCTGGCGTCCTACAACCAGGACGAGCAGCTCACTCGACACGACAATATCCCAGTTGATCCGCAGGTTGAGAACGCCTTTGAGGAACATGTTCACGGAGGCGAGGAGATTGCTATTGCCCGGGCGCTGATCCAGGCCAACGAGAGCAGTGAGGGTAAGGATGACCCCAGTGACTTTTTCTCTCAGTAGTGTGAAGGACACTGACGAGCCCTCGGACCTCAAGTCCCATGCAACTGCCATCTACCGGCACAGGTGCTTTTGAATAGGTGTTTGTTGCCATGGACAAAAAAATATTTCAACCGTTCTCTGCTCCCCCTTCTTGTGGAGAAGAGAACGCCCCAAAACTGTGTTGTGCAGAAAACGATGTCAAACATAACGACGAAACGATTATATTTAATGTATTATAGTAATAGAATGGAGAACGGTAAAACTGGTACAGTTCTGTACAGAGTAGTTGTATTACGTTTTAATTGGTCTATAAATATGTATATTGTCATCTCAGGCTTCATCCTTTACTCGGCGTAAACTCGCTCTCCAGCGGCATTGGCGTCGAACGCACTCTTGGTCTCGTATCCAGCCAACTCGCACAGCTTGTTGAACAGTCTCTGAACCAAACCCTCCTCTCCAGGCTTGCTATCGGGCCAGAGAACAGCAGAAAGACTGCTGGGGGTAGGTCCATCTTCAAAGATATCTCCCAGAGGACTCTGGATGGGAGTGCTCGCACCACTACCGGCATTGGCAAGCCCCCCCTTACCAACTTCTGTGCATGCCACCTTCATGGTGGGGATCTTGAGGGGGGGAGGTCGGTGAGTCTCGAGGGGACTGGCCTTGTGTCCTTCATGGTGGTTCTCTTCCAACTCGCACTTCTTCACATTGAACCCTCCAGAGCCGTAACCTCGAGCAGCCGAGGCCTTCTGGACTCGTTCCTCCAGCGACTGGACCTTACCAACAAAACTTTCCATGGTCTCTTCCACGTCCTGGATTTTGGACTGCAGCATCTTGGACTCGTATCTGATTCGAGAGCTCATGACTTCGACCTCGTGTAGAGCTGCCTTGAGGCGAGCCTCTTCTCTGTATGAGTTTTTGAGATACGATGTCAGCTTGTCGAACAGCACGTCATCTCGCATCTTGGCCTTGCCCAGCATTCGACTTTCCTGGTCAATCTGCTCACAGACATCCCGCATTTTCTTCACATGACGCTTGAAGAGGAAATGGTACAGTTGCGACTTTTCGTACGATCGCCGGATACGCTTTTCACTGACAAAGGATTTCTCCGGGGGCTGGCGGAGAATGAAGTTCTCAATCAGACTGAAGGAATTTCGACGCATAACTGATCGATGGTGCTTTTCCAGCTGCTCGGGAACAGACAGCTCGTGGTGGAACTGATCCACAGACTTGGATCGTCGCCGGAAATGAAGAGCAGGGTTGCTGTTGTCAAACGACGTAGCCGAGTGGTTCGTTTTCGTCGTTTTGATGCTATCCTGCCGACCAGGGCGCAAGTGGTGACCGTCATCATCGTCACTGCTGTCATCTCTGTATTCCTGAGGTAGAAGACGATCAGTGAGCATGTTGTCGAGAGGAAGGTCAAGCTCAGGAGTCGAACTGTGGCCTCGGATAGCGATATCGTCATCGACCGAGTCGTTAGGAGAAGTTGATCGAAGTCTACCTCGAATACCTCTGTAAAGTCTGGAAGGAGGTACTTCAACCACATCTCTGGGCTTCCTGAGCTTGAACATGGCCCGTCGAGAGGTGTCTGCACCTCCAGGAATATTGTTGTTGGTTGACACTAATGAAGTGGTTGTGGAAGAGGCTGGGTTTCGGATAACTCGTCTGATATCTCGAGCAGCTGCCAATTCGGTATGTCCAGCAGACGACATGGGAATACCTACGCAGTTGGATACAAGAGAGGCATCAACAGTTCGCTGGTGGCCCTTTCCAGCCCAGAGGTATTTGCATCGAGCTCCCTGGAGCGACTTGGTGAGTTGCTCCAGGTTGAACGTCTCGGAAGCAGTCATATGAAGATGCTGCTTTCCAGACACTTCCTTGATGGACGATTTGAACAGATCGATGATATCGGAGTTATAACTGCCCTTGTTGGTGAGCAAGTAGAGTCTATCCATGGTTCTTTGGTCGATGATTCTGGTCTTGGGAAGCCGTTCGTGTTTCTGAAATCGACTCAAGCCAGCAACAAACCCCTCGCAATCAAAGGGATCTTTCGCCACCTTGGAGTTGAGCACATAGGCCATTCGGTTTCGGACTCCAATCACAAACCCAATCAAACCAGCAACGGTTGTGGGTCCCAAAACACCATCTTTGGGCTTGGTGTTGTACTTTCGCACTCCCCACATATCCCACCACGTGTTGATGGCGTCAACTGTTTCGTTACAGAGAAGGCCATCGCAATACTCGGGTTGTAGTACTCCAAAATAGAAGAGAGATAGCTGCACAAGAACCACCAATTCCTTGGCAGCAAAAGTAATGGGCACACTGTCATGGATCTTGTAGATGTTCTTGAACTTGGCCGCAGCAGTTCCGGACGGCTCACAGATGGCCAATGATGCTCGACCTCCACAGCCCATTCGCTTTAGATTCTCATTGACATCGAAATACTCCCATGTCTTTCGTACGTCTCCGCCAGGCACGGATACCAGGGTCAAGAAGGAAGGGAACGAGGACAACGAAGTCACAAACAGTACTCCAAGTTCGGTCTCCTTAGCTCGAGCATAGCCCTTGAGAAGCTCGTCGAAATACGCTTTAGTTCGGGGGGTCCATAACGAGGGGTTTCTGGGCAAGGCCAAGACACCGACACGCACGGTGTTGGACTGGTTTCCGGTGTATGATGTGATGACGGTCACTTTTCGTCGTTCACACACCCACTGCTCGACCATGTAAGATTCGTAGCCATGAATCACTGCCTCCTCGCTCACCAGGCTGCACTGCTGTTCTTGTCTCAAGTAATGGAATGCCTTGAAGTCAACAAACAGATACCGCACCGTTTCTCCCTGAGGAAGCGTTCGCTTGGATGTTTTCTTTTCTGTAGTCACACACTTGTCGCTGTCGTCTGGACTCACTGCTGACGTCGAGCGAGAGTGTGTGCGGTGCATCATGTCCCTCAAATCATGCTGTCGTTCCTTCTCTCTGTCGTGGGCCACTATGTGGTGCATTTTTGTCGGAAAAGCAATAAATCGACTCCAGTTGCGAAATGGGTCAATAAAAAGACGTCCCCAAAGTCACCAGTCGAGGCTGTGCTCGTTTTTTAAGCGTCTGGTTGAGTCTGATGTGAGAGTCTGTTGTGAGAGTCTGTTGTGGGAGTCTCCCGGTTTGGGCCCTGTCGTAGAACCTACTTTGGGAAGGCTGGGTAAGACAGTGAGCTGGAATATCGGCTTGAGTTGTCTGTGCGACTTAATTCCGGGCAAATCCCTCCTGTCCGCGTCTGTTTGATGCTGCCTGGTGTGGGACTGTATATCGTGCAGAAGGCACCTATAATTAGTGCGGGCTGTGTGATGACGTAATATCGTCTGTGGGGAAATCACGTGTTTCAAAACTGACGCTGAGAGTCAATTGTTGAACAAATTGAGGTGAAACAGAAATCTGGTTTACTTACTAACTACAAGTAGTCACGTGCAACGTGCAAAAAAATACCATCCCCAAAAACTATTGCTCATACTCATATCCACACATACAGTTGCCACCAGCACCCGCCACCCAAACCGCCTACAAACTGTACTTTGCAACATAACTACTTCCATTGCACTACGGTTTTTTCTCGCAGCTTTACAGTTCTGTTGGGAGTTGCAATTTGAGAGAAGAACAGGAGCTGAACGGCGCAGTTTCCGTCGCATCTGAAATATGACAACGGAAATCGATTCTCCCAGTCTCGGGGATTCCGACGATACATTTTCCTGTCTCCTCTGATCACTTCCCGTCTAGATATAAGTATCATCCAACATTTTCTTTTTTCCTTTTTTATCCAGTTTTTTATCCAGTTTTTTTTCTTTTTTTTTCTTCTTCATTTCATACTGAATTTTTAACATTAAAATACGCCGACAGTCGTATCGTACTGTTGTAAGATTGCATCAAAAGTAAGGGCCCTATATGATTCACGAGTTGCGCGAAATGGGCGGAAATGGAAGCAAAAAAAGTCTCGAAAACGGACACCATTCGCTCCAGCTACACAAGATGACCCCAAGCTGCATCCCAGAGCTTATCGGAAAGAATCTGATAAGCCGCGGAGCCGACCCTAGAGTAAGATTGTACACGTAGTGCCAAGAAGCGGTGAAAAGTTGGTGGTGGTGAAAAATGCGGGGTTTTGAAGGTGCAACGAAAGCAAAGGGTATTAATAAGCCAATGAGATCATGTGACTAGGCTGTAGCACGGTCGTCACCAACATTTGTACCACCCTGGGACTCCTCCCTGTTGCATCTTTGGTCTCTTGCAGTCGGTCGTCCATGCAGCCAGACCTCTGCCACTTAGTAATGTTAAGGTTGACAAGTGGCATATCATCCTCTCGTCATCTACTCATACCGCCATCATGGAAACAGCTGCGATGGAACGTGAGGCGATATTTCGGTCGGCTGAAATGTCGCTGGTCCAATTGTACGTGGCCAGTGAAATCGGCCGAGACGTGGTTGCGGCTCTAGGAGAGTTGGGCGTGGTCATGTTCAGAGACCTCAACACCTCGGTCAACGTTTTTCAGCGGTCCTTCATCAAGGAAATTCGCCGCGTGGACGGCGTGGAGCGCCAATTGCGCGGCCTGCGGGCGCATATCGACAAGCATGGCGTGGCAATCGATGAGCAGCCCGAGGGAGTGGCGGCTCCGACTCTGGACGAGGTGGACAACATGTGTCACCAGGTCGGGGCTTTGGAGGAGCGCGTGGGACACCTGGACACAACCTGGAATGAGCTGGTTGACAAGCGTGCGCTGATTCTGGAACGTCGAGAAATGGTCCAGACGGCAGGCATCTTCTTTGCAGACGCCAGAGAAAACAGACACGAAATTCGAGCGTCTCTAGAGGGCGACCGAGCGGGCCTGTTGTACGACCTGGACGACCCTCAGCCAGACGTGGAGGCCGCAACAGTCACCTGGAACTCGGTGGCGGGGCTCTCGTTTGTCACCGGAGTCATCCCCTCGACCAAAACCGCCATTTTCGAGCGGATCCTGTGGCGATCTCTGCGTGGAAACCTGTATTTTCGACACCAGGCGATCGAAAAGCCGCTGGCGGGCGTTAGAAAGGACGTGTTCATTGTCTTTGGACACGGAGAGTCGCTGCTGGCGAAAATCAAGCGAATCGCCCTCACCCTGGACGCCACTCTGTACCCTGTCTCGGAGGACTTTGATACACGACGAGAACAGGTAGAAGAGCTAAACATCAAGCTTGCGGACGTGGACAACGTCCTAGGATCCACTAACAATGCGCTCATGACCGAGCTGGCTCTCGCTGCCAATACTCTGCCCCACTGGGAGGTTCTGGCCAACAAAGAAAAGGCCATCTACCACACTCTCAACATGTTCAACTACGACCAGACCCGTCGATGTCTGATCGCCGAGGGATGGATCCCCAAGGCGGACTTTAGAGCCGTCCAGGAGGTGCTCCGCGATGTGACTCTGTCGTCCGGAGTGGCCATCAATTCGATTCTCAACGAAATCAAAACGTCAAAGACTCCACCAACATTCCACAGAACCAACAAATTCACGGCGGCTTTCCAGCTCATTGTCGACGCGTACGGTATTGCGTCGTACCAGGAAATCAACCCTGGTTTGGCGACTGTTGTCACTTTTCCATTCATGTTTGCTATCATGTTTGGTGATTTGGGTCATGGTGTTATTCTGGCCCTGGCAGGACTCGTCATGGTGCTCAAGGAAAAGAGCATTCTCAAGATGCGAAACCGAGACGAAATCTTCGACATGGCCTTCTCGGGCAGATACATTGTGCTACTGATGGGCATCTTCTCGCTCTACACAGGTCTCATGTACAACGATATCTTTTCCAAGAGTATGACACTGTTCAGATCGGGATGGGCCTGGCCTGAGAGCTGGGAGGAAAAAGAGCGTATCACAGCCCACCAAACGGGAGTCTACCCCTTTGGCCTGGATCCCGCATGGCATGGAACAGACAACAACCTGCTGTTCACAAACTCGTACAAGATGAAGCTGTCGATTCTCATGGGTTTCACCCACATGAGCTACTCCTTCTTCTTCTCTTTCCTCAACTACAAGTTCTTCAACTCGCAGATTGATATTTGGGGCAATTTTGTACCTGGCTTGCTGTTCATGCAATCCATCTTCGGTTACCTTTCGCTCACCATTGTGTACAAGTGGTGCGTAGACTGGATTGCCAAGGATAAGACCCCTCCTGGTCTGCTGAACATGCTCATCAACATGTTTTTGAGCCCAGGCACCATCGATGCTCCTCTGTATCCCGGCCAAAAGTTTGTGCAGATCATTCTGGTGCTTATTGCGCTTGTCTGTGTTCCGTGGCTGCTCCTTCTCAAGCCGCTCTACCTGCGACGACAGCATAAGCAGACACAATATGACGCCATTCGACAGCCCAATGCCTACCATATTGGTGACACTGACGACGACGCAGACTCGTTCGATATGACCATTGAGGAGTTTGAAGAGGAAGGTGAGGGACACGAGCAGTTTGAGTTTGGAGAGGTGATGATCCACCAGGTGATTCATACCATTGAGTTCTGCCTCAACTGTGTGTCGCATACCGCTTCCTACCTGCGTCTATGGGCTCTGTCTCTGGCTCATGCCCAGCTGTCTACTGTGCTTTGGGACATGACTATCCAGGGCGCCTTTGGACCCACGGGACCCGCCGGTGTAGCCATGGTTGTGATCATGTTTGCCATGTGGTTTGTTCTGACGGTGGTCATTCTGGTGATGATGGAAGGAACATCTGCTATGCTTCATTCCCTCAGATTGCACTGGGTTGAGGCCATGTCCAAGTTTTTCGAGGGAGAGGGGTACGCCTATGCTCCGTTCAACTTCAAGGACCAGCAGTAGATGTTGGCCCATGAGTTTGGGGTCATTCCCTTGATCCAAACAATACAGCCGCAGCTGTACGTAGAACTATTAGAGGTGACTAGACGAGCCTACGATAATGTATTATGTGATTATGACTGACTTTTTGGTGAGACCAGCGACACTTGTCTGTACTTGTACTGTACCTGTAGCTCATTTTGTTGGTGGGTCCAGCAATCAAGTCAAAGCCATATTTCCCGAGCTCCGGCATTATATTATTCCACGCTATCGTACGCACCAGTTGGTTCTCACAGTGCTTTGCTCATACTCTTCCATTGGAGTGTTTACACTACTAAAAAGTCTCTGCACAACAGCACACAGCATCCGCCGGCGACCGTGCACCGGTCTGAAACTTGAAAATGCGGCCCCAGAAGGTCCATCCATACTCGTTTTCGAATCTGGCGCCAATCGATCAACTTTTCCGGCCCCCAGCGGCCTCCTCAACCCCTATCGACACTCCAGAGATTAAGATTCATGCACATGCACTACTTGTAAACATGGCGACTGGTGATGTTTCCAGTGCACCCGCAACCCCATCCAGTTCAGCCTTCGTGTCTCCTGAAAGCGATCCCATCAAAGTCACCGACTACCAGGTCGCCGATCCCCAATTTCCCACTTCAAACAACCAGCTTCGTGGCCCAAATCTCCACCTCCGACGCACCCCAAACAAAAGCAGCTCACACATGTCACGAAGAGACAGTTTGGAGAAGCTGGAACGCGACCTGCGCAAAACGTCCAGCATATCTTCGTTCAGCGAGCGCAAATCGCCGACCAAACCGCGCTCGCGCCGAAAAGATACAATCGAAAACTTCCTATCAAAGACTCCCATCATTCTCAAGAGCTCACTTGGACAGTTGCGATATCTCGTTCTGGTGGAGGGGTTGAAGGCCAACGACCAGGCAGAATGCACCTACCGAGCAACAGTGTGGTCTGTTTTGCTCCAGGTGCCTCCCACCCGTGCTGAAGACTACATCAGACTCATCAAGCTGGGCCCTTCGCCCATGTACGGCAAGATCCGAAACGACACGTTCAGGACAATGGCCACAGACACGGTGTTCAAGCAAAAGGTGCCGGAAGACGCGCTCATCCGAGTTCTCAACTCATACGCATGGAAAAATGAAATGCGCGAGCAAAAGGCGAGTCTGGAAGAGGGCATTGACCACCTGCAAAAATCACACCGAGATCAGTACGTTCAAGGTATGAACGTCCTCGCAGCCCCGTTCCTGTACGTCTGCAAAAGTGAGGCAATGGCATTCAATCTGCTGGACGTCATGTTGTCTCGGGACTGCCCTCTCTACGTAAAACCCACTCTGGAGGGAGTGCATTCTGCTCTGGCCCTCATCGACAAGTGTCTGGAGATCATTGACCCAACTCTTTACAAGTACCTCAACTCCAAGATGCTCAAGGCCGAGTTGTACGCGTTTGCATCGGTGCTCACGCTATCTGCTTGCACTCCGCCGCTGTCTGAGGTGGTCGTGCTGTGGGATTTCCTGTTTGCCTACGGGGTTCACATGAACGTGTTGTTTGTGATTGCGCAGGTCAATCTCATGCGAGACAAGCTGCTGGAGAGCAAGTCGCCCATGTCTCTTCTGCGGTCCCTGCCTCCATTGCGAGCCCAGGAGATTATCAAGCTGGGCATGAGTTTCGTTGCCAAGTTGCCCGAGGACTTGTATGATTTGTTGGTGAGGCATCCATATGACGAGGCGATATATGAGGAGGTCAAGACCATTTAAGGCGAGACGAGAGCGACAAGAACCAAGAGACAAGTCGCCAGAAGCGAGAGACAAGAAGTGGTCACAGCAAGGTATTTTACCACCTACAAGTAGGACGTTGACTGAAACGACCCACACTGCACATACAACCACGGTATTGTGCCCAGAGCTCGCCGTGCATACCTATTTATGATATACAAGAAATGCTTCATGACTTGACTTAGCTACAACGCGTTTACTGGACATGATCGGAAGGTGGAGTATTAGCACCACCAGTATCTCTGATGCAGTCCTCGTTCTCATGGATTCATCCAACCCTACTACAAGTACTGTAGCATACACTTCTCTGTAGTTACCCTGCCTGTGACGAAACACCTGACAATCGTTGAATGTACCAGTCGTTCAGGCAATGAGTGAGATGGACGTGATCTGAGGTCGTATCTTCGTATCTTCGTATCTTCGTATCTTCGTATATTCACGTCTTCACAACCCACCTGAAATGCTCTCTGTTGACTACCAAACTGATTCTTGGGTTCTCGCATCTCATCGACGTAAATTCCAGTCTGCAAGTTTTCCATTTTTTCCCATTTTTTATTGGTTTTTCCGGTTTTTTTCTTCCTTTTTTTTTTTCTTCTTTCCTTCCAAACACTATATTTGCGTGCATCAACATGATGAAAGCAAAGGGGGCGTGTGAGAAGTAAAATGATCCGGGGTAGACCTGGGGGCATTTGGGGGTCCAGAAGACGGCGAAAAACGACCGGCGGACCCTCGGTGTCGTTTCAGGCAACCTCACGGTCTCCAAACGCCGCTCCCAGCCCCAAATATCCACCTCCAGCATGGTTTCAGAGTTTGGTGCCATGTGGTGCGGTGCAGTGCAAGTCGAGGGCGGTCCAATAGAAAGCGCCATTGCGATCGGTGGCTAAAAACAGAAGCGCCAGTTGCCCCGAAAGTCAGGGTATATAAAGCGGGTGGTACGCTGTTTGGATTCTGTGAACCCCAAACTAACGGTAAGTACACCTGGAGAAAGACCCGATCCGCACAACCAATGATGAAAAACATTATGGTATTAGGAAGAGCCAACCTACAAAGAACATGGGGATACTCAACGACAAAAGAAAACAATCGTGATGTGATATCTGAACGTGGTCGCTTTTTTCAACCACCTTGCTAACCTAGCGTGAGGGAGTAGGGTCATGTCTGTGGGCTGAGTTTGATGGTGGGGGAGACGTTGCATCTCTGACTCGGCCCTCAACTTTATGCCTCGATACGAGTCTGAGAGTTTGGTGGACCATGGAGTATCTGTACCATAGAACGAGCAACGTTTCTCTCGTGGTTCATGTTCAACGTGTGGAATTCTATGTGTACGTCTTTTTATTTATTTATCTTTATTTATTGATCTTTATTTATTTATCTTAATTTATTGATCTTTATTTATTTATTTATTTCATTTTTATTTTTAATCGCATTATTTTAGAGAGAGCTGGGTCAGAGTTATCCGTCGATCACATCCAGCGTTTACTACAGTACAGTACTTGTCTTATTAAATATAGAGTTTAATGTATTATGTTATAATAAAAAAATTAAATAAAAAACACAATAATCTAAGATTTATTTTTATTTTTATTTTTATTTGTTTTTATTTTATTTTTAATTATTTGTTTGACATTCCACGAGTGTTCAGAACTGCGACAATGTGAAAATCGCGCTCTTCCTACTCATTTTTCTACAAATTGCTTTCTTGCTGCTCATACCCTTATACAAAAATCCAACTATTCAAATGTACAATTAATGTAAAGACCTATAACCCCGAAGGAAACTCGGTATCATTATATCCAATCCAGCCAAAATCCATGATGACAAACACAATAATGATAGATGAACCTTCATATCAGAGTAGAGAGCGTCACAATGTCTAGCTCGTTCGCACTCCACTGCTCCGATTGAGAGTCCTGGAACAAGTGTCTCTCCGTTGCGCTCAACTATCTAAAACACATTCATGTCAAAACACTCCTCCGAGTAATAACTCGCAATGACACTTCTCCTGCTAAACCGCAGGCCCGTCAACTTCTGCATCGCCACTCGACTCGTTTCCACACTGGCAAACTTGACGTAAACCTTTCCCACACCTGGACGAGTCTCAAAGATTAGCCGTCGATACGACGCCTTCATGGCCTCGGGGTCAGGTCGTGGGATCTTGATTTGGACCTCTTCTCCTCCTCCATATTTGAGACACTCGGACTCGACCTGCTCGGTGATTTCTCTGTAGGCCACATCATCCAGCAGCTCGTCCAGAGTCACCAGGTTGAACAGAACAATGACCGACGACTCCGGCCGGCTCTTGACGTCATTCATGACCGTCACAATTCCCTTCAACCCGTTGTTGGACGAACACGACAACTGCGTGGGTCCTTCACATGCTAGCATTACCTTGAGGTTCTTTCCACCAATCACCTGTCCTGACAGCCCTGAAACGGCGTCCTTGACCACCTCGGGGTCCTTGTAGTCCACCAGAGCAATGCCCGCCGACTCCCGAGACGGCAGCTGTCGAATGAGCTGGAATGCAGAAAGCTCACCGAACGATGCTGTCAGCTGTCGCACCTGGTCCTCTTCTACGTTGAACGGAATATCCCACACAATGATTTTCGTGTTGGAGTCCTCCACCACAGAAGCCACCTCCTTCTCCTCGTCCAGCGATCTTCTTGAAACTTCGCTTCTCTCTGGCGTAGGACAAATGTAGTTGGACGGTCGTCGTATACTAATGGGGGGTCCCGAGTAATTGATACCTAGACCAGACAGAGCCAGGGCTAAGGTTGCCATTTCCGCAGAAAAGAACTCCACTAACACCTCGGGGAGACGAGGATGCTTGTAAACTCCGTCCACAATCCGTTCCTTGGATCCCTGCAGCTCCAGACCCTCGATGAAGTCTGTGAAGAAGCTCTTGATGGCCACCGTGTCGATCTGATCGGCAGGAATACCACTCAGAATCAGTCTTCGCGCCACCCGTGAAAACTCAGGTCGAACAGATCCCTTACCGTTGTTGATGGGTCCCGTGTCCACCAGAGGCATCATTGCTGCCGTCTCGTGGTCCGTGGGCTGATCAGGCAGACCTTCCACCAGTCCCCTCAACACATTATAGTTGACTTGGGTGGGACGTCCCGGTAACGGAAACAGACCCGATCGTTTGGCCAGCTCAGAACTGACCCGCTCATATCCTCGAGCCTTGACATCCCAGCCCGTGGGAGCAGACAATGGACGCTCGTCGAGAGGCACCACGCTATCGTCGATCGAAACGTCTCGATCTCGTTCGCGGGTTCGGTCACGTGCCCGTTCTCTGTCTCCTCTGTCTCTATCCCTATCCCTATCCCTATCCCTATCTCTGTCTCTGTCTCTGTCTCTGTCTCTGTCTCTGTCTCTGTCTCGATCACGTGGTCTGTCACGTGTGCGATCGTCGTCCCGTCGGTCCCGTCGGTCTCTACCTCCATCTCTGCTGTATCTGTCCCTTCGATCTCCTCGATCGCCGCGATCTCGATAATCTCGATCTCTGTGTCGTTCTCGCTCCCGCTCACGGTCCACCGAGTCGTCCCGTCGACGCCACCGCTGGTTACGGTACCGGTCCCGCTCGCGGTCTCGCTCACGGTCTCGGTCTCTGAAGTCCCGGTCCCGCTCTCGTTCTCGATCTCGGACATCTCGTTCGGTGTCGCGCGAGTCGTGGGAACGAGGTCGCGGCGGCTGTTGCGTGTCCAGCCCGCGCTGCGTCTGCGCCAAAAACTCCTCCACGCTGTTATTCATGCTGAAACAGACGGTTGGAGGGTGGTGATGTGGTGTGTGTACAGTTCAAACCAGTGAGTGCTGAGTAAGTACGCTGCAGGTGAAGAAGGACAAGCTTCACATCGGGTAGGGTAACCCAGGCAGGTCTGGTGGCAACCATACAACCCAGGGAGTAGACCGAGTAGAAGCAGATGCTTGGGGTATTAGGGCTTGGATGTCTTTTAAGGTCCACTTTTTGTGTCTGTGCTACTTTTTTTCTGCCCATTTTCAGAACTCACGTCCTTTCCTGGAAAAGTCTTCTTTACTTGACATTTTGTTAAGAGCAAAAGCATGCTGGGGGTTCATATTCGGTGTTCTAAAGATGCTAGAGAAATTGTAGATGAATAAATCGATAGACCGCAAACATATTCTAAGCAAATGTTTCTTTTTTGGCACAATTCATCTCCAAAAATGTCTTTAAAACTCCATCATAAAACCCCATCCCTTCAATCATTAGTTAGCGTTACACTTGGAAAATGATTACCTTTGGAACGAAATACTTATCTATTAGTTGGCTCCTCTTCTACACGACTAATCATCTTATCTTGACACATTTTGCATAGAAACAAACGAGATTCAAACGAGATTCAAGTACTCATCCACGCCCTTCATCCTCCCTACAACTCCATCCTCCCTACAACTCCACACCATCACCGATCCAAACTTCTGTTTTCCACGCCTGATTTCTGCATCGTCGATGTGTGGAAGTTGGATGGAGTGAGACAGAAGAAACAAACAGAAGGGTCCAGAAGGGTCCAGAAACAGATGATGCACCGCGTGATACACAAGGCTGTCCTGTAGTGATTTATGAATGGTCTAGCCACACACCACTGATCCAAGATCGAGTACGAGTATGTACTGCATGTGTGCCGGAGCACCCCAAATTGAAATAATAAAATAATATAAATAAATAAATGTCCTTTTTGTCCCCCACACTCAACCGCTCATATCTTTCTCTTCTTCTTCCTCAAACTCCATTATATCGCCGTCATTACGCTCCAAGAACTGTAAAGTATGCAACTTCAACCTCCTTGACCAAGCCCTGAAGACCCACAATCACCACCTGATGAGTCAGACCGGGGAACCGCTGTCGATGCAGACCAATCCACTCAATGGGAGGAGTGGCTTCGCCCATATCTCGCAGCTGGGGAATCTCAATGTTGGGAGGCTCCAACGCCACATAGACGTACTTTTCATCCAGAGCCACATCCTTGAGCTTCTCCTCCAGCTCGCCATCCTTGAGCACCGACGGGTTGGCCACAAAGTTGAGCTTGTAGGCCTCTCTTCGGCTGGCAAAGGCCTTGGCGTGCGAGTTCCACATTTCTCGGATGAAGGTGACTGAGCCAAAGTTCCAGCCAATGTCCACTTTGCCGGCGAATTCGGACGAGTATGTGAACTTGACCTCAGTAGGGTTGGTGTCGTACTGCCATGTGTGCATGTTGATGTCGACCTTGGGGATCCGCACAATGGTGCCTCCCTTGGCTCTGCGAGTATGAGCCACAAACTCGTCCACAGTGAGTGTCAACAGATCCTCCTCGTTGATCTGGGTCTTGAAAGTACTCAGAGCAATGATAAACTCGTGCATACCCAGCTCCAGATGCGACTTGACGAGGCCACGCTTCTGGGTGTCACAAACAAACATGGCATGTGTTCCAGACAGATTGACGTAGAGGACCTGAGTATCGAGAAGAGTGCTGGGGTAGACCTGCAGCGTTCCAGAGTTGATGGAAACGTCCACAGACGTGAGAAGATGAGGCCGGCCAACTTTCTTCTCCTTGGAGGGAGTTTCTTCGTTGGAAGCCCCGACTTCTTCCTCATAGGCTCCCTCAATACCCTGCTTGGTTCGAACCAGAATCTGAACGAGATCCAGAATGTTGGACGGAGCCAAAACAGTGATAAAGACACAAATCTGTTCAATGTCGACAATGGCGGACAGGTAGTCCGCCACTTCTCGCTGGTTGGAGACACTGAACCCGAGGTTCTTGATACTGGCAATACCAAACTGCTGGTAGTCAAAGGCCATCCGGATCTCCGCAGACGCCAGAGACGCCACAAGAGTCACCAGAGGAACGTCTTCTGGCGTTACCTGAGCATCTTCGTCAATCTCCCACAGAAGAGCCAGTTCAAGCCGGAATCTCGCCAGAGAAACCATACCTCCCAGTCGGCCGTCCGAATGGATCTTGATGAGCTCGAAACCAAGAGTAATGTGCTGGTCCAGGTGCTCCTTCTTGTCTGTGAGCAGCCAGAATCGATCCAGACCGACAGTTACCTTTCCGATAGATTGACCGAGATCGGCAGAGAATTTGACGTTGGAAACTGTCGCGTTCCAGCAGATTCGCGTACCGGAAGTGGCTCGGTGGTACTTGAGGACGAACCGTTCCGGATCCGTGTTGACCTTTACCTCCTTCTCCTTCTCGGGCATCTCGCTGAGCCACAGCTCCTGGAACAACTTGAGGTCCTGTGTGTGTTTGACGTTGATGTCTGCAATCACATCGACGATCGAAACAGCAACGTTCCAGGTATTTGCCAACGCAGGGTCTACCTCCTTGTCCTTGTTGACGACGCACAGAATCTCATCAATACCGACCATGGCAGAAATCTCACGCGAGTAAGTGTGCTGCAACGAGCAGTTGAACTCGTGAAGCCGACACGTGAATGAAAAGAACTTTCCGAGACCCTCTTCACTGGCATCCACAGTCGTCATGTTCAGAGACAGATTCTGGTACGACAACGAGGCAGACACTCGGGCGGTCGGTTCACAGCTCATAATCAGCTCCTGGCGCTCAATTTGTATACCGGCAGTGATATCCCACTCGGAGAAGGTGAGGTCCTTGGAGGGCTGCTGGGGCTGGGGCGTCTCAATCTTCACCTTCTTGATCTCGCTCTTAAGATCCAGCTTCAGGTCCTTGTGCTTGTCGCTCTTGTCTTCGAGCAGCGTTCTCATACCAGACACAATATCCAGTACCACAGGAATCATCCGAGGGTAGAGAGTGTTGCTGCTGGGCTCCACAGTGACGCCAAACTTGAGCAGCTCCTTGTTGGCGGATCCAGTGTTATGTCTGAAGTCAACCTTGGCCTCGAGAGCAGGAGCCTGGAGATAAAGCTCTGGAGATGACTCCACCACTCGAGCAGTTGATCTGCGGCCTCCAGAAGACGCCTGGATGTGACGCGTTTCGGCATACATCTCCATGGCGTACTCAGACTCACTCCAGAGAGAAACAACGGCTCCCTGGAACTTGGCGTCGGCTCTGAAGACAAAGGAATGATCAATTGACAACAGCGACGAGTCGGACGGTGCGGTATTTGGCTCAACAACCCGAACGCTGCTGTTGCTCTTTTCAAGCCGCTTGTTGCGCTCCTTTGACAGCAGCTCGAGCTCCTTAACCGTCTGTTTGATGGTAGTAGCCGTGCAGGAGACGATTTCGACAATGGACGGCAGAATCGTACCCTTGAGTTCCTCACCAAGGATTCGAAGATGATACTCTCGAGTGTCAAGAGTAGCAAACGTGACCAGCAGACGAGGAAGATAGACGGTGTTGGCATGAGTAGGGAACACCTTGTCCGGGAAAAAGTCTGTGTCCTTGTTACCATGAGCTGGTGTGATGTAGACACCCTTGAGCCGCAACTGACCGTAACCAGAAAGTGCCACAACAGCCACATTATCACAGCCAAAAACAATACCGTTGAAACCCGAGTTTGGTGGGAACAGCCAACCAAACGTGACCTGCTCGAAAGACGTTCGAATTCGCCAGTTTTGGAGAGGAGAGTCGGATGATGTTGAGTCATCATCGCCCGAATCAATAGCTGGAGAAGCCGTTTCTTGACGTGACTCAGGTTCCTCCTCCACAATAGCGGGTTCGGACTCAGCCGACACAAATGACTCATGTGACACCTTTGAGTCGACACTGTCACGGGACATCTTCCTCTTGGGACTCTTTCTCTTTGGCGACTTGTCGTCCGACTCCCATTCAAGCAAGGAAATGTCACCCTCAATGTTTGTCAGAATCTCCATCAGCTTGAGCAGTGACGGAGAAGACAGACAGATACGAATGAACTCGGACTCGATATCTGCGCCTCGCTTTCTCTCGCCAGACTTGATGTATTCGTACAGAGAAATTCGAATATGCAAGTCTACAAGAGTAGCCACACCTCCAGGCAGACGTTTATTCTGGAGCAGGAACCGTACGTGATCAGGGGTGACAGCTCCAGTGAGAGCTGTATGCTCAATGGCCTTGGTCTTTTCGCTCATGACAAAATTGTACGCCAAAGCAGATACCTTATCGCACTCAAGACAAAGAGAAGAATCTAGAGCGGGAATAGTGAACGAGAACCTGTCAGCCAGAATCTGGGTGGTGAAGTGGAGAGGGTAGGAAGGTGTGCTGGGGGTATTCTGCTTTGAAGAAACAGGGATTTCGGTGGTCTCCCCACCCCCCTTAGAAATACGCTTTTTGAGGATCTCCTGAAGATCATCAATGGCATCAGACATCTGCTTAACACACTCCCGCTCATTCTCAGACGCTAGGTACCTCGTCAACATGCTAGGAGACACTGTCTGGGCATCAAAAATGCCAAATCGAAGCGCACAGTCCAGTAGAGCAAACTCCTCTGTGATGACCGATCCTCCGAGGGCCGAGACAGCTGAAAGAGCAATTCCAAGCACAATCTGAGAGTCGCCAGAAGAGTGGTTTCGTACCTCGTGCATCTGCTCGCCCACCTCGAACGAGCCGTTAAGAGTGGTTCTCGAATCAATGCCCGATCCAACCACCACCTGCATGTTACGGAATTCGTTGGCATACACCCAGTTGGGCATGAGCATGGACGAACATTGTAGAGAAGTGAGAGAGTATCTAAACGAGACTCGGTCAAGGAACGGAATGATATCCTTGAGAGGTCCAGGCTCCTCGCACAGCTCCTCCTTCAGCTCATCCGCTGCGTCTGCTGCTGCGGCGGCTGCCGATCCAGGTGTGTGATGGGCTTTGATGTCCTCCTCTCCACTAAGTTCTTCGATCAGTTTATCGATGACCTCCCAATCGTGCTCGAAAAATTGCGTGGTCAGTTTCACGAGCGTCAGAAGGTCCTGAGACACTGTAAGCAACATGTTTTGCGTGTCACAAGTCACGTGGATGGACTTGCCGAACGCAATAGATGCCGCTGTCGAATTGATGGCGTACGAAACCACCTGCTCGTCGGTCTCGGTGGCAATTAGCTCCATTCCAGTGGACCCAAAAGTGCCAGTAAGAATGACAGCCACATCGTTGATTAAATCGTCGCCCGTCTTCTCCACAAACACAGAATTGAGAAACTCCTGGCCAGAAACAGACAGTGTGATGGCCGACGATTTGATGGAAACCACCCACGACGACAACAGAGTATTGACCATGACCCTGATAGGAGGTGACTTGGAAGCAACCTTCTCCGGGCCAGGCGAGACCGACTTATCGGGCTCAGGAGTCGTAGTAGACTTGTCAGAGATCATACTAGTTGACATCGAGAGGGGAGATTGAGGAACTTCAATCTTGATCACGTCACCGGTACTTGGTCTAGTCGTATCCTGGTCAGTCTCATCATCACTGGAGGGCTTGGTTGCATCCACATACCGAGCAATTGTCTGAATGGTGTCCACAATCTCGAGCGAAAAATGTGTACGGATAGAGGCCACGCACACACCGGCATCGGCATCAATCACATGGTCATCACCCTCGCTCACGTCCACATACACCTGCACGTAGTCAAACAGAAGATAGTTCTCGCACTCCGCAAACAGCAGACGGAGACCAATACCGTCGACATCCACCAGCACGCGTGTAGTCATGGTAATGGCCCTCTTGCTTTCGGGAGGGAACACGTGCAAAAACAAGTAACTTTTCGGGATACTGTTGATCTCCCAGAATCGCCACTTTTTGAAGACGTTGATGACCTTGGTTCTAGCGTCCACGGGCACCTTGCAGTCGCCATGAATCAGCTGCTTCTCTTTGTGAGCGTACCAAGCAGCAGGAACCGTCTGTAGAATGTGTCGCAGCCGAATCAGAATCTTCCACGAATCATGGGCTCGCACATGCTGCTGAGACAGACGGATAATGTATGCAGGCTTCGTGAGAGTTGAAGGATCGGACGTGATATCAAACTGCTGGCCAGCTAATGCCAGCGAGTAGACCACGTCTTTGGTTCTGTCAGACTGGGTAGCCTTGTTCTGGTTGGGAATGTCATCCAAGAGCAGTTTGAGACGGTCCAGCTGCCGATCTGTGTTCCGCAACAGCCACTCGAGCTGCTGGTTGTCCAGACTCACGTCTAGCTCCTTGATCTGAGCAGAGGCTGAGTTGGAAACGTCCTGGTTCAGCCAGAACTCAAATTGCGTCAATCCCAGAACCAGAGGGTTAGGAGACGGACCAATCGTGTGGCTGCTCTTGACAACCTCCAGAGTCAAGTCCATAGAACCATACACAATCAAGCTGTTCTCCCGCGGCTCATTACCATCCATGGTATCCTGAATGTAGTCCTCAATAGACTGGGGACGCTTGTGCACATTGTCACGTACCATAATGTCAATGGTACCCATCTGCAAATGAACGTACTCCTCCGAGCCCCCTGGACTAGCCTTCATCTCAATATCCACGCCGGGAATCACCACACGGATGTTTTTCGTCTCTGGCTGTCCAGACAAGATGTAGTTGAGCTTCTTCATGACCTGGATCTGCAGTTTATCCAAAGTCACGTGGAACCCGTCCTGCGGGGTCTGGGCCATAATTGCCAGAACTACCGTCAGAGCAGCCGGAGTAAGCGTTCCTCCAATCTTACCCAGCTGCACAACAATGTTATCCGTCTCCGTGTCTTCGTCAGGTGTCTCACGTGATGCAGACATGCCGGGTCGCATTTTCGACGCGAAAAAGTCTTGAGCAAAGTCAGGGTCCACGTCAATGTCGGACACGGCTGTTTTGGAAGCCTTTCTCCAAGGTTTGGGCGCCAGAAACTTGTTCTCAATACGGGGACGTCGGAACTTGCGAATCTTGTAGCTGTTTCGAGACCGACTTATACGAGAAATGCCACTGCTTCGGGTCATGAAACTGCTGTCTATACTCAGACGGTGGGAGTTGGTGGATGCAGACGATAAAGACGATTGGGCAATGTCGTAGTTTTCACGCTTCTTGTACGTAGAAAAGATACCTGCTGTACCCAGAGAGTTGATGTTTTCGTCAGTCAATGGCTCTGCAAGTGGAGGAAGAGGAAGAGTGGGAACGATGGTGTATGGCTTTGCGTCTGGGGCATACTTGTGAGTCAACAAAAAGTCACATCGGCCAAACGAGTCGTCATGGAGCCGAATGTGCTCTTGTTGCTTGCCTCGACGGTCATCCATGTTCCTCTTCTGAATGTAATCGGTGACGAGAACAGAAGTGGTCAACTGAGAAAGCACCTCTTCGTTGGTCATTACAGACAACTGGATCCAGGGGATCTTGACTGAGGCCCGTGCTGTATAGTCCGAATTGTTCAGATCGTTCAGTTTGAAGGCCACAGCAGATGTAAGAACCTCCACGGCTCCTGGATCGGTTTCCAGTCTGAATGTCAGAGAGTTAATCTTCGCAGAGACAAAGGTGACGTCAAACAAGAGTGGAATCGCCATCAGAAGCTTATTCTCCGTGTCGTCAAAGCCGTAATCAAAGCAGTCGGCAGCCTGGCCGAGAACTGCAATAGCACTCATGGGACCTCGGATCTGAATGTCGCCCAAGTGGAAGTCCCACTTGCAGTAGTAAGTGGGTTCTTCAGGGGGACGACCAAACAAACGGTGACCATGCACGTCAATGCCATCAATGTAGATATGAGGCTGGACCTCACCAAGAGTGCGGGAATGCGACTCGCGGGCCAACATGTACGCCTTGGTGGTTGCCTCTGTGACACATCGACCTCGGATGGGAGCAATGTTCGACTGCAGGTCCATGTAGTAGTTGGTGAACCGACAGTCGATATCGAGAGACGGGAAATCCAGACGCAAGTATTCTCGGGTGGAGTACAGATTTGCCGGCAGCACAATCACTCCGTTGGTGATAAAGGTATCGACCACCACGTCCATATCGTTTTTTTCCTTGATGAAGTTGACGGGGTCGACCACCTTGGGAGCGTCTCTTTGAGCATACTCCTCCATGGTCTGGAACTTTGTGTTGATGCCAAAGTAGTTGTCAATCACCTTCATGAGGTAGCACACAAAGATTCCATGGGCAACCATGGTCACATCTGTTCCGTAAATCTCCACATGCATCGAATCGGTGTGCTCCTTGTCAAAGGAAGAGTAGTACGAGTAAGTACCGACAATGGCAAACTCGTAGGCTCGCCCCATTTTCTCCGTCTCCAGAAACGAGTCCAAGGTATGCCAGGGAGGCACAGACAAGTTGAAGTCCATGATAGGAGCGGAAATCTTGAAAGAGGCCTCGTTCAGAGACTGGTGGATCTGGTCCAGAGGAAGAGAAAAGTCTATGTCAAGAGCATCACTCTCAAACACCAGAAACGTGTTATCTTCAAAATCAGTGGGATTGTTGATAATGTTGGCGTCATTGATGTTCAGATAAATGTTGCAGAAGTGCGAAACTCCCCAGTGGAAGGTGTACTTGTAAGGAGTGAACAGAGTGTACGGAACAGGTGTGTCAGAGCCAAAGTCATTGGTCAAATCGGAGAACAAAGTGATGTGTTCGTCGAGGAGAAACAATTTGACTGACGAAGACTGCAAATCAAACTTCCAGTCACAAAGCCCGTTCCACTCGAGAGGAGTGGACAAATCACACTCAAGAGAAACATGGTCGCCGGTGAACAAAAGACCATGGTTGACACTCGTTCGAACCTCGGTTTGGCCTAGATTAATAGACACGGTATGAGCCCATCCATCCTTGGTGGCCTCCATGCTCTGAATCTCCTCCACAGTCACCGTATTGTTTGTCTTGATTTCCATCCACCCGAACGGGCGCTTCGTGTTGGCACCAGGGTCGTCTCTGAACAGGTTGGCAAACTCGAGATTTTTACTTTCCTCCCGGATCGGAACTCGCAGAATCATCTCTTCCTGGAACTCCACATCGACCCGAAATTGCTCATAGGGCCGCAAATCGCCTGGAAGAGGTTTGGGAGACGGAACGGCATCAATGCATGTGCGGGGAATGAGCATCTGATGCAGATCTGTCCTTTGTCGCTCAGTGGAAGGGCCGTAGTTGATCGTGGCATTCGTGGCTGTGATCTTCATGCCCCACTGGGGTGAATCCTTGGCTCCAACACCTTCAATCTGAGGAACCTGTCCCTGAACATCGTAGTACATTGTCAAGGAACCACTTGGAGCATCGAGAATCTGAGGAACTCGAGCATAATCCTCAAAGGCTCCCTCGTTCTTGTCGTCCTCGACATAGTACTCAGTGTCCTGCGTCAAGTACCGACTCAGACCCATCCAGGGCATCCCTTCACGAGAATGCTCACTCTCATTGTCAGGAAGAGCACGGGCGAGAAGAACAGCCCGAATGGCCCGCAGACTGCGCCGCAACTTGCTAGTGTTAGGCTCATTCTCGTACGTCTTGGCCCACAGACTCTTCTTCACCTTGGGCTTGTGCTCAAACTGCGTCGAGTCCATGCCCTTGTAGTCGATATTGGGCCTCATCTCAACCACAGGATGCTCAAAGTCCGCACGGTAGACCTGTCTGTATCTGTCCAGATAGGAAGGAGTGGGCGCCACATCCACCAATCCGGTGGCATTCTTGAAATGAAACATCCACACACTCTGAGTGTCCCTGTTGCCAACCACCATGCTGCCCTTGTGTACCTTGAGGTCAATGGGGAACAAATCTAGGTATATTTGCTCGCCAAAGGAAAAGTTTTTCGGCTCGTAAGATGTGGTAGTATGCGCCGTTTGGAGGGTGTCGTTGTTTTCGCACTTTGATTCGGCGTTGGCCTTGTGGCGGGCCTGAAACTGCTCGAAAACAGCATCATAAGCAGGTGTACGGTTGTACACAAACCACTCAAGGCCATCCACCTCGAGAGCCAGTCTGGATTGCAACTTTTCCGGGGTCACATTGCTTTCCGAGTCCTCGCTCATCTGGAGCTCACTCTTGCGGCTCTTCCACAGCCAGTAACGCCATGTGAAATGGCCCTTCAAAAAACATATCGTCTGGTTGGTGCCGATATATGTGAGGTTTTTAAAGAAGATTCTTCCTCCGAGGAGCGAGATCTGCACTGATTGCACCTTGACTCGTATCCTATGTTTGTGCCAGAAGACGAAGCGGAGTCCGAAGTTTGTGACCCATGCAATGAGCCGGTTGAAGTAGAAAATGACAAACAGCGACACCAGCAGGATCATGATCACGTCCATGAGAAAGACGGGCGAGAAGTCCACACCGCCAGAAATGGCTTCCGGTTGGAAGCGCGAAGACGAGTCCCTGAGTTAGTATCATGTGAAACCGAGGAGGGGGTTTCGTAGTAGTTGCCAAATGAACACTTGGTATGTTCCAGATCAAGGGTCATGTTTGAACTTCAGTAACCCCAACACCTGTACCTGAGCAAGTAGAAGGCCGCTAGACCGCTTAATCGTAACCCCGCCAATGGAACACTGAGCTCCAAACACCCAATATCCCAGACACACATGGCGTCCACTCATACCATGACGATCTCGTCGTAGACCCCCAAAAGAGAAAACAATCTGCCACAACCTCCATAGATTACTCACATTTTGTGTAACGAACGCCGTCTGTCACTGGTTTATAGACGTTGTTGGCCGTTCAAAAATGCCTGGTCTGTTGTGTATCTGTCGTACAAGTAGCCTTAGTCTGAGTTAGCAGGAAACCAAGAACAGAGCCAGAGCCAGACCGGCCCCGCTCACGACAAGTTCCATCCATATCACCCCTTCTCTGTCACTCTGTACTCACCTCCTCCTTGCTGGTATCCGTCTAGCCAAAAAGTGGCGTGTGAAAAGTCGTGTTTTTTGTGGTGGGCGGTTGTTGCTCGCCAGTAAAGATGTCTGAGTTAGCTCGGCCCGTGTCCGTGTCGCGTGTCACGTGACGTCCTCTTGTGTACTCACCACGACGCCTGGGCAGCTTTGCCGTATAAATAAGTTGAGCCGGGGGGTTTTGGGGTAGAGGTGTTTTGGGGGAGAGGTGTCTTAACTACGCTCTAGTTTAGAATCCCGCAGTGGTGATAATGCTTAGTTTGAAACCTTGTTTCGCGATGAATATAAAATGAATTTAAATATAAAAAATTAAATTAAATATAAGAAATGTCAAACAAATGGGAAAAATGGGGAAAAATGGGAAAAAATGGGGAAAAATGGGGAAAAAATGGGAAAAAATGAGAAAAAATGGGAGAAAAAAGTGGAGGAGTGTTTTGGGGATGGTTGCGCGGTTGGACAAGTGTTTGATTTGTGTTTTCGATTATCAAAATTTCGATAGAAGTATTTTACTATGGTGTCAGTGGTACGATGTTGCACAGCTTATAGAGTGTGATTGTTTATCAGTTAAAAAAAGGAAAAGATCGAAGAAAAAAAAATACTGAAAAAAAATACTGAAAAAAATACTGAAAGAAAACCGAAGTACTTGTATACCACTGTACTTGAATCAATTCTGTATTAATGACACTTGGGAGACTGTTTTTCGCTTAACCCGTACAAGTTCGACTTCCGACTTTCTCAACATATGAGACTTGAATTGTAGGAACATGACGGAAGGTCCATGTTCAACTTCAGCCCGGCAAAGAGCACGGAACCAACAGGAAAGGAAAGTCACTCTGGAGATTGCCATTCCGGAAAAGAGAGGTACTTTTACTTGTATCTAAAGGGTTCCAATTACGAGAGACCCGACATCTGCCGCCATTGGAACATCCTTCAAGTAGGGAAGTTCGAATCAGAAGACAATGTGGGGTCTGGAAGATGGGCCAAATGTGGAGTTCAAGCAGTGAAATAACAAATTCTGTTCTGACGGCCCAATCCGAGTGTGTGTGTAGAAAAACTTGCCAGTTTAGTGAGAAACTTGGGAGTTTATGTGGTGAGCAATACTTGGGAGTTTAATGGAGAATTACTTGATAGTTAAATGATAGTTTAACTAGTAATTCTGAGTTTAATGAAGAAATACTTGGGAATTAAGAGATAGTTTAACTAGTAAGTGTTTCATCACCTTCCAGTTACCACTCTTACCTCGAACAGCAAACCGCAGTCTCTTAGATGATCAAGAGAGGCGGTCTAGATTCGAATCGATATACCGACTGCAAGACCCATGTGCGATGGCACCTGTTTGAGACCGTACCGGCAATTTACCCCGTACTGTACTTGTACTCTACGTTAATATCTATCAATTAATTATAACCATCTCATCCTCCATAACAAACCATTTTCTAACCCCGACTAAGGATCAATGTTGTACTTCATCTTAATACCCATGGCCGACAGCTCCGAGTTGAGGTACTTGAGCACAAACGGAATGGCCACCGTGGTGGTATCATCTCCTCCCACAAAGCAGTTGCCAATGGCGTCCTGCCACATGCCCTCAGGAGGCGAGTCCCAAGAGAAGGAGTCCTTTTCGAGCTGGGTGGCACATCGTCGACACTTGACGCCTCGTCGATGACCGGTGGTGCTTTGGGCCTCCTGGGTAGCAGTGAGAGAGCCACATGTTCGACACATGCTGGTCTGGGTGTAATCGGAACAGTTGAGCAGACGGTCCTGTAGCAAGTATGAAGTTCCGTGGCCAATGAGCGCGTCTCGCTCCATTTCTCCGACTCGAATACCTCCAGATCGCTTTCGACCCTTAACGGGCTGCATGGTCAACGGGTTGACCGGTCCGGTGGATCGCACCTGGAACTTATCGTTGACCATGTGACGCAGTCGCTGGTAGAAAACCACGCCGACGTAGATATCACATCTCAACTCCTGACCGGTGACTCCAGAGTACATGGGCTCGTTTCCGTGGTAGTTGTAGCCGGCCTTGAGCAGCTGCTCTCCAAAGTACTCAGCGGCGGTGTTGGTCTCGGAAAACTGCCAGGGAGTAGCATCCTGAGCCATTCCGTGCAGAGCTCCGGACTTTGCCGCCAGAGACTCGACAAACATACCAATGGTCATTCGCGAGGGGAAAGCGTGGGGGTTGATGATAACGTCAGGCTGGATGCCGGACTCGCTGAAGGGCATGTCGTAGGTGGGCCACTTTTGCGAACACACACCCTTCTGTCCGTGTCGAGACGAGAACTTGTCTCCAATGACGGGCGATCGGGGGATTCGCAGCTTGACGGTGATCTTCTGAAGCTCACCGAGGGAGTCATCACCCAGCAGCTTCACCTCCTCCACAAATCCAGTCTCACCAGACTTGTACTTGAGGCACATGGTCTTGTTGGAGTTGGAGTCGTAGTAGGCGGCAATGGGATCACCGTTAGACAGCTTGGCGCCCACCAGAGGAAGACCATCAACGTCCAGAGTCTGAGTCCACTCTCTGGGCCAGTTGTCGGGGCCAAAACCAAAGTGCAGAAGAGTAGGGTCGCCGGGTTTTTGCTTCTCGGTGAGATCCACCTTTTCGGTCTTGTAAATGGTTCCGTGGCCAAATCCTCGCTCGTGTGCAGACTTGTTGATAATCATGGCATCGTCCATATCGTATCCCGTGTAGGAAATAACGGCGACAACCGCGTTCATTCCGTTGGGGAAGTTGTCCAAACCGTACTCATCAAACAGGCCGGCTCGCACAATGGGCGATTGCCCGGTCTGGAGTCGGTACATCTTGTTATCACTTCGGTGAGTCAGGACACCGGGAGTGCCCATGGCCTGCTTACCCATCTGGCACTGGTACATGTTTCGGGGCGACTGGTTGAAGTCTGAGAAGGGAGTCATGTTGGCCAGAATCGACAGAATGTTGGTGGGCGAGTACTCGACATGGGAATGCACGTTGGTGATCTCGTCAGGGGTGACGGCCACGTTGAGGTAAACCTGCTCAAAGGGACCGACAATGTCCTCCTTCTCAGTTGCCAGATGCTTGACGGGTCGCATGAACCGAGAGGCCTCGGCAAACAGATACAGACCGGGATACTGACCTCCTCGAGAGGGAGGCACCAGACCGACCTCGAGATCCTGGGGCAGTCGGGCGTCTCCGGTCACCTTCCACTGTCGAATGGTGTTGGCGGCCTGCTGGGCAATCTCGTGAGTACACCATCCGATAATCTTTCCGTCGAGCATGACGACAGACTTTTGGGGGGTGTTGGCCAGGGCTCCTGCGGGAGAGATTCCGAGCTGGTTGAGCACAGAGTCAATGTCTCCCACGTCGCTCTTCTTGACGGAAATCAGACACTTGTGTGCCAAATGGTTCAGAAGACCACAGGGCGAACCATCAGGGGTATGAACGGGACACAGGAAGCCCCAGGACTCGGGCAGCAGCTTTCGCACGTCAGTGGTTTTGAGCTCGGCGAAGAAAGAACCTCTATGGATCATTCGGAAATGGGCAATGAATCGGTGGAAGTTAATCTTCTCGACGATGACGGTGTAACCGGTGGTCTGCTGCAGATCCAGACCCGTGTGAGACACCAGGTTTCCGGTGGACAGGAAGTAATGCAGTTTTCGGCCAATGTCCTCGTTAATTCGCGGGCAGATTCGCTGCATGATTTTGGGGTCATCCAAATGCAAGGATTGCTTCTTCTTCTGCAACTCGGTTCGCACCGTGGCGCAAAAGTTGCTCAGGTACTCCTCCATTCGCTCCTTGATGATCATGCCGTAGAGGAAGCCGCCGAGCAAAACCTCCTGATGCTGGACGGCATCGGGGTTGTCGGGGGAGCACTCAGACGCGACCAGGGCGTACAGTTTTCGGATCATGAACAGAAGCATTCGGAACTTGTCAGTGTTGTCCTGCAGGTGGACCAGAATGACCCGCTTGAGCATGAGTCGGCCGACATCTTCGTTGGACATGTCCTTAGGGGCGTCCATGACGATTCGGAACTTTTCTCCCAGGAACGCCAGGTTCTCCTGCTTGGAGGTCAGCTTGTAGGACTTGTAGTTTCGCAGCAGCAGTTCCAGACGGTCGGTCAGGAACGAGTTGGAGCCCTCGGAGGCGACAATGCCGTCAAAGATTTCTCGGTCGTTGGTTTCCACCAGAGCCTTGAGAATCATCATGACGGGCACCAGATACTCGTTCTTTCGCCACGAAAATCGCATTGTGATTCCTCCGTCGGACAGGTAATGCAGCACGTTGGTTTGGGACGACTGGTCGGGTCGCACCGATCGGATCTGGACTCCGAACGTGGTGTAGTTGCTTCCACGCTTGGTGAAACTCTTTCGAATGATGGCCAGGGGGTGGTTTCGTCGCTGGACAATCAGCAGACGGATGAGCTTCTCCAGACCGTTGATGACAAAGTATCCTCCTTGCTCCTCGCTCTCCTCCTTGTGGGCCACCATATCCTTGGGACCCATGCCTTCCAAATGACACCGGTTGGAGCCCATCATGATGGGGATCATACCAACATCTCTGCTTTCAAACTTCTCGGGGCCACCGTTGACCGAGTAGCCCAGAGTCAGCACCATACGGGCTCGGTAGGTGGCCATTCGCTCACGGCACTCGCTGGGAAACACCTTTCGGTTGATGGTGGTCTTGTCATTGGCAGACACCGTGGGTCGGCCCAGTTGCACGTTGGCAACCCGGATCGCCAGCCGATTGCCCAGATTCTCGTCGTCTCCGTCAAACACCACCCGCTCGCCAACCTCCTTGGCCGCCAGGTTGAGCAGAGAGTCCATGCCTCCCTCCGTCAGCGCGTTGAACGACCCGATGTGGGGCGCCACGGCGTCTCTGAGTAGCGGGTACTTTTGCTCATCTGGCGGGTTAGCAAAATACTCCTCGCGCTCCAGCGTGTGGAACGACGCCTTTTTCGTTTCACTCATCTTGTTGTGGTAGTAGTGGTGGGAGGAAAAAATTGGACATGTGCAGTGAAATAAAATCTTTTGAAAAGTTTATCCACCGTGCGTCCCAGATGCACGGGGTTGGAGTCTCGGTTGGGGCTGGAAAGACCCGAAGAGGAGGGAAATCTGGAAATACAACGTTAGTTCTGGAGTCATAATTGCATTGCCAAAAGAATGCACTTTTCAGAATCGCGATACCGGCTTTAGTTGGCCCATTCGTCGCACATCTCCAAAGCTACAAAAAAAGTGAAAAACTCAAATCTTAGCCGAGTTTCTCCACTGGTGGCGAAAGAAGTTGTCAATGAGACTTGGGGGCGCTTTTAGACCGACAATGAAGACATAATCTGCAAAAGAAGATGGATATGAGTAGGATGACATCTTTTGAATCATCAAATAATGTCTCCAATTACCCATTTGAGACTCCCCCAACTCCAACGTCTATGAAACTCAAAATGGTGAAATGTGCGCTTGAAAAAGGACGGTGTGTGGGTGAATAGTGAACAGATTTGATTTTTGAAAGTAGAACCAGGATCGGAATGTCTGGAGGAGCATCCTGATATCTTTTCTCTCATCATTATGTTACTCCTAACGTCTGCTCTGGCCAGAATCAGTTGCAAAGTCACCCAACTGGAAGTCAAACGTCTCCGTTGGGGCGAATCAAGGCGGATATTGCAATGAAATGTCTCCTTCGGTGTTGACATGTTTTGTGGCAGTTGTTATGCTTTGTGGCAGTTGTTATGAATGATTTTTGATCGCGGGTCGACCTTCCAACCACTAGCTGAGGGATAAATCACTCACTCATCTGAAGTTGGTCAACCTGATGACGTGCTCAGCGCGAAGACTCTCCTGATGAGTCTCCCTAGTCGAGAGAAGAGTCTGGTCATTGGAGGGCCTCCCAGAAGAACCCGGCAGAACGCAACCTATCTGATTGTCAGAGTGTCCAAAACCTCAAATGTGTATCATCTAGGCCATATTCCAAGTGATAGAACAGTGTAATCCCTTCTGACGTTTGGAGGACTGTAGGTCTCCAGAAACTGACTCCAAAGGAAGATGGCCGTTGGTATCCATACGGTGCATGTCGGATCCTCAAGGACAGTTGGAAAAGCTCCGTTAAGACTGTTCCGTAACCGTCGCAAAGGTCATCTTTTCACCCTGAGTCAAGGGAAACTTCTCCAGCCGAACCCTTGGAGTTTTGACCTGAAGTCTCGACAGATCCATGAATCATCTGGTCAGATCCATTGACTCATCTGACATCTGGTAGATACCTCTCAATGGCCTTGTTACCAGGCACAAACCTCACGAAACGTAGTTAGAGTCCTTGAGTTCAATGTCAAGTCTCCTCGGATCGCCTACGTGACATCCGCGCAACCATTTTGATATCATGAACGGTAAAAAAGCTGCTTCGCATACTCAGAGCGTCCTTCCCTCGCGATGGTGGAGACGCAACTCAAATCTGCATGGGATATGCAGATGAAAATAAATCTTGGAAATTTTGATCATCGCAGAACCACGCGAAAATGGCGAAAAGCAGGTGAGTTGGAGCCAAGGACGACATCCAGAGATGGAAAAATCATACAAACAGACCTGCCGCCGGTTAAATGGAAGTACCATGATGCTCGAGGGAAGGAGGGTGTGAGATGGAGCAGTCGCGACCGATCAGGATAGGTCTGGGAACTGCTGTGTGGAGTGACAACGCCACGTCAAGAGCAGGGCCAGGAGGGGAAATCACATGATCTTTTGCTGATCTTACTCTATGACATATTATCACTCACCCGGTCCCCCTACGTTTGGAATAACGCGATTGAACAGAACGCTTCTCTATCTCAAACCCAGCTTCCCCAAAGAATGTGATTACGATGTTATCACGTGATGCAGTGACGACGGAAACATTTCCTGTATCATCCTGTCATTCTCTCGATACCACTGTTGCTTTTCATAGCGTAATCGCTCGTCTATTCAAGCACCATTATGGATGTTACCACCCACGCATGGAACATCACTTGATTCTCTCCTCAGATATCACGTGATCCAAACCCCTTCGACGCGCTAACACAGATACGAATACGTGAAAAACTTTGAGCAGGAAAACCATCTTCTTCCCGACTGTCATATCGTGGTTCGAGTTGATGGTCGAGGGTTTCACAAGTTTTCAAAGTTCTACAATTTTGAGAAGCCCAACGATCTCAGAGCCATTGAGTTGATGAACAAATGCGCCGAGCTGATTGTGTCTCAATTTGATGATGTTATTATGGCTTATGGCGACTCCGACGAGTATTCTTTTCTGCTGAGGAGAAAGTGTTCTCTGTTTGAGAGAAGAGAGAGTAAACTGGTTAGTACCTTTGCTAGCACGTTTACGAGTTATTATGTCGCATTGTGGGGGAGGTATTTCAACGGAAATGAGTCACGTGATGAGACACGTGAGACGACTGAGGAGCGGAAGGAGGAGGACATGAAGGAGGAGGAGCGGAAGGAGGAGGAAAGGAAGGAGGAGGAGAGAAAAGCAGTCAAGTCTGAACCACGTGACGACTCACGTGACTCTCGCTCAAACGAACTTGTGATTCACATGCTTCCTACTTTTGACGCTCGATGTGTCGTCTATCCAAACGCGCAATCTATCCGAGACTACTTTTCGTGGAGACAGGTGGATTGCCATATCAACAACTTGTACAATACGACATTCTGGACGTTGGTTCAGCAGGGAAATATGACTACGCAGGAGGCTGAGCAGCGGCTTAGCAAGACCGTCAGCAAGGACAAGCATGAGCTGTTGTTCACCGAGTTTGGACTCAACTACAACAACGAACCGGACGTGTTCAAAAAGGGAACGACCATTGTGAAGGAGTTTGACACTACGGGGCTCAGTCAGCGGCAGGTGGAGCGCAAGATGAAGAAGATGGGGAGGGTGAGGGTGATGCATTGTGATATTATTCGAGACGGATGGTGGGATGAGAGGAAGTGGATTTTGGAGTAACCCATGACGACTGGGGTTGAGAGAGTCACGTGAACATATTCCAACGACAAGAATCGTCACGTGTGTTTAATGCTTGTCTCAATGTGATGTACGAAAGCTCGTCGATGATATTGTTGATTCCATGACTTCAATCCAAGTCTTGTGGGTTCTCTCGTCTAGTCCCATCATTGGTATGAATGTCGGATGAAGAGAGGGACCAAGTAGAACAACCGAAGGCATTAAGAGTCATTAGAGGAATGTGACGAATGAGGAGATTGAAGAAACAAGCAGATGCAATAGGTACTGTACTTGTGCAGTGCTGTCTTGGAGCAGTACAAGGTCTAAAGGTGTTGGTTGTGCATCCATGGTTGAAATACTGGCAGTATCAGATCTGGGTCCGATGGGCCGTTGACTTCGCAGTTAGATGTTTGTAGATGTGTTTGATGTTGTCTAAACCCACGAATACACCATAGATTCGGACTGGCGAAGGTTTTTCTGGGTGCGGGCGTCTCGGGGAATGCTCTCGTACCAAATTCGAACCGGTGAGCCGATTATTCAGCGCACCAGAAGGTTGCGATATTGGGCGACAGTGCTCAACCCGGGTCAGAAGGTCCAAGTTGACGAGTTTGGGTCGTATTGGCAATCTGACAAATCCCAAAGATTCAGCTCGTGCAATTGAGCAAATTCCACTTTTCAGAGTCTCTAAATCTCCTCTCCTTCGTCCAGCAGCGGCTCTTCTGCTTCCCTGGCGTTTGTAGATATGAGTCTAACATCACAACAACCAACTTAGACTCTTACTCACCACTTTTTCTCAACAATGATTCGGGCCAAGTTCACCGAGTACAAACAGGCTCTGCGAAACAACTGGGTGGGCCAACCGCAGTACACTGAGAAGGACTACCCGGATATTGACGGCAAGAATTTTGTCGTCACTGGCGCCACCGGAGGAGTGGGTCTGGAGGTGACCAAGCTGTTGCTGGACAAAAAGAGCCACGTGATCATGGTTGGCCGGTCCAGAAGCGATTGGCAGCCCGTCCTGGACCAGCTCCAGAAGGACCACTCGCACGGCACGTTGGATTTCGTGGAGGCCGATCTGGCAGACTTGACCACAGTGCAACGGGCAGGAGAGTACATTCGAACCAAGTACCCGACTCTAGATGGCGCCATTTTCAACGCCGGAGTCATGGCCCCGCCCTACTCTCTCACTCCACAGGGCCAAGAGTCGCAATGGGGAGTCAACGTGGTCTCGCACTTTCTGTTGGCCAAATACATTTCTCCAGCGGTGATCGCCGCGGCAAAAACTGCCCCCAAAGACTCGGTGCGCCTCGTGTGGTTGTCGTCGTCAGTCACATTCGTGAGCCCGTACGAAGGAGGTATCAAATTCGACGATATCAACCACCAGGACGACAAGAACCCGTCTCCCTGGACGCTCTACTCACAGTCCAAGATCGGAGACGCCTATCTGGCATATCTGTGGTCCAAGCACCATCCTGACTCGGGCGTGGTCTCCGTGTCCGTCGATCCGGGCAATCTGTCCTCCAATTTGTCCCGACATTACCCAATCCTCTCCACCCTCAAGAGCTACATTCAGTACCCTCCTAAGTACGGAGCCTACACAGAGTTGTCTGCACTGCTCAATCCTGCCGTCAAGAACAACGAGCATCTCATTCCCTGGGGCGTTCGAGGTCATCTTAGACTGGATGTTGACGATGGGCGCCGAGGAAGTGTCGGAGAGGAGCTCTGGCAGCGTCTTAACAAGGACGTTGCTCCCTACTTCAAGGAGGAATGATCATAGATCCATTTCAGGAGTATGCCGAGTAGTGAGTATGCAAGTAAATTGAGTATTTCTGGGCTAGGCCACTCCAGAGCGCTAGATTATGGCTGCGCTGTAGCAGTCGCGATATCTAGGCTACTGACACTGACAGGGGTTTTGAATCTTCAGACTACTCGAACCACTTACATTACTCAAACTACAATGATCGCAGCTTTCTACTTGATATCCTCCTTTCGCCAAATTCCAACACCGATCGAGGCTCGCAAGTGTAACGTCACAATGGATTGTTTCATCGAACTCCTAGCTGCTGGTTTACTGAGGAAATACTTGGAGCTACTTAGAACTACTCGGAACTACCTGGAACACTTGGGACTACTTGGAGCTACTTAGAACTACTCGGAACTACTTGGAACTACTTGGGAACTCAGAAATTTGTCTTTCGTCCACTGATCAGAAACCCACTTTCGATGAGACTAAAACAATGAACCGGAGGAACTAGAGCCGAGCTTCCCAGCTTCCAGTTCCCGGCTCCCAACTCCCAACTCCCAGTTCCCCCTCAGTCTAACCCACATTGTCTCCAACTCATTAGTTTCACCCATGTCGATCCTGTCGATCCGAGTCGATCCCGTCGATCCGAGTCGTTGTAAAAGTGAGACAACAGCAGATAGTTGCGTCAAGGGATAGTGAGACAATGTTTGAGGGCTGGTGAGACCATGTTCGAGCTCTGGTTGGGTTGCCTGGGCTACTCCTTTCGTTGGGGAATTGCTGTTTTGTTGTTTTCTCCCTCTTATTTTTGTCCTGTTTGAGGGTATCCCATGAGGAGCAACTGTTTTGCTGTCTAGTTGGAAAACCAAGTTTTGGATTTTCTGTTTGTGGAGATGGTCAACTAATTGGCACTTTCGGACAACTTTCTCATCTTCTCCAGTCGTATCTCGTATCTGACTTGCTCTACACGAATGTCATAAGTTCCTGATTTATTATTTCGTGGCTGGGTGGCTCCGATATTTGGTCGTATCGAGATCTCCGAACACAATGCGACATTGCGTCGTGTGAGACCTGAGTGAGACATTGTCAAGAGGTGGTATTGACTGAGACTGAGACTGTGGGAGAGACTGCAAGTCAAGGTGGGAGCTCGAGAAGCCGTTCATTGAGATGGAGGTTGGATGGAGTGCGAGATCCGGAGAAATCTACTATCGGCGAGACTAGCACGTGCACCTCCTGAATCGACCAGACCAGACCATCTGGATGCACTTTCAACCTCCAGCCAACGTTGAAACCTCATACTAATGGACCAAATTCAAAGCTCGGACACACTAAACCTGCTCACAGTCACTGATCGCAGACAATTCTGTATCCAACTTCAGCAAAGGTTTCCCGTGCGGTCATTGGTGCAAGTATTTTATTTCACAAACGCTCTGGCCAAACACTGCTGAAAACCGCATTCCGATCCAACTACAAGTGTGATATTGAAGGTGGAACTTCTAGTCAGATTTCCTTGGAGCCTACTTCAATGAAGTTAACCCTACCTGGCCAATTGTGGCCATTAAGAGGAACGATTTCTGCCGTTGGTCCTGGAATCTCAGATATGATCTATATCGACGTTTTGCACAAATCGAGTCATTCGGAGTTGACCTGGGGCGTTTTCTGGTCTGAGTTGGAGTGCTCGATGAGTGTTCGATGCTTTCTGATTGGGGTGTCTCAGCAGAAATGGCTGTTTGCGGGCAGAGACGATGTTTACTGACATTCATCATCATGTCAACACCCGACCAGTTCGTCCAGGCATGCTGAAATGGTCCGATACCTACAACATTAGATCGGTTGTTCTCGTCTTGGGTCGCACATTGCCGCCGGTCCAAGTGATTGACACCGCTTTGTTATATTTATATTTATATTTATATTTATATTTATATTTATATTTATATTTATATTTATATTTATATTTATATTTATATTTATATTTATATTTATATTTATATTTATATTTATATTTATATTTATATTTATATTTATATTTATATTTATATTTATATTTATATTTATATTTATATTTATATTTATATTTATATTTATATTTATATTTATATTTATATTTATATTTATATTTATATTTATATTTATATTTATATTATTTCCATTTCATTTCATTTCATTTATTATTTATTTTAATGTAATTTTTAAACTCTATTTTTCAATTAGTTGAGCAAACCAACCGCATTTGAATCCTCCTGGAACGCTTATTGCTCCATTAATACACACCAAACCCGTATAAAGCGCCTTCTTGCCTTGCCAATGTCTCAATTAGCAAAATTGAGCTTTTGCAAACCAATCTAGCGCGTTATGAACAGACCTCAAACTTCACGTATTACTTAGCCTATCTCCCCAATTAGTTAAGCTTACTTGAGTAATACGACCAGCACAGGAGGTCCCATGGAATGTCTCCAGATTGGGCAGTATTGGAGATTTTGAGATTTTCTTTTTACCAGACCATTACAAAGCGCCCATATATCACTTTCGTCAACTCCGCTTCTCTCTATCGCCTCTATAAAGACAACTATGCCGTTCCTTCACTTCAGCCGTCCCCCCAGGCCCTGATGAAGCAATTTCACCCGCTCTAATTGCCATAGAACCCCCAAAAGAACCTGGCGGCAACCAGAGATACGGCTGCTACACTCGGTCTTGTCTTAGCGCCGCAAATCGTCATAATCTAGCTCGAAAAGTATCCCGAAACTTCGTCGCGGCTAGCCCAGCCCCAGCCCCTGCTAGTGGACTGTTAACACGGATAAACAATCCCCCTTCTGCAAGGCTATTGAATCATTGGCGATGTATGATGATGTGGTGATGACATGGGTGAGTGGGTGACCACGTGGATGGAGTAATGAGTACTTGGACGATGTGGTAACCGCATGGGTGGAGTGGTGATGGCAGAAACAATGCAGCCACTACCCATATTTGTGATGGCAGTTACACGGCCCTTGCCAGTACCATTTCCTCATTCCCCCGCCGTACTCCAACGTAAAACTAGCAAGGTCGTCACCTCCCTCTCCCCGCCCAGTCACTAGCTCTGTCGATCCAAGCGGGGTAGAGTAGTGCACGACTGTACGTTGGTCTGAATCTTCCAGCCCTGCCAGCCGCCGCCAGCTGAGACTTTTGGGCCATCCAGCCTTTCGGCGGGTTCTTCCGAGTGGCCTGAATCGAATGCACAACTTCCCGCGTCTCTATCTCCATCGGATCAAAAGTTGTGATCAAAACCGCAAACAAGCCGTCATCACAAAAACATCAGCCCAACGAGACAATCAGGGATCGCTGGTATCCCCAAAGACCCCTCCATCTCGATCGACGGCCCCAAAATACCCTGTCTATCAACTGCTGCTGGCTTCAACCTTGCTGAGCGCCGATCTGCTGATCTGTAGATCAGCGGGGTAGCGCCTCTTGCAACTTTGAGCAAAAAAACGCGACCAGCTGTTCAATTGGAGAGCAGAGTCTGCCAATGGATCGCCGCCAAGAAAGGGGTCGTCACGGTGGTGTTTGTGGATCAATTTGCATTGTCATGTGACCGCTGAAAACCATCTTCCTACCCACCCAGAACCCATCGTCTACCCCCTGTAAAACTCTACCGAAAAACACACTACAGTACAGTAAAAGACTGTAAGCGTTAGTCACGACGGGGCTGGATCCGGTCACGTGTCTCCCGATTCTCCCGAGCAGGTTTTTTTTGGTTTGATTTGGTTTTGGAGAGAGATTCGACTTGGTTCTGAGTGGATGGACTTTGGGGGAGATTGTGAACGAAACGCGACGGATAGAATGATTTTCAAAAGGGAGTTTTGTTTAGATTTTGACGGGTATCATAAGGGTGGTTTAAACATGTCTCTACAGTCATTATTCGTCGAATTGGATCCAGAAAAACAGTCGAACCCCTCCACCCCGACCAAACAGCTTCACCAAAACCATGAGAAACAACCAATACAAGCCCAAAGTTCGATTCCCCTACTCCTTGCCAAAGTCTCCAGAAACAAACTGAAAACCGAGTTTGTATCTACGATTTATTGGTGTATAAATGGGAGTATTACAGGGAGTAATACTGGGAAAAGGAGATGTATAATTGTGGACGTTGTAGTACTTTCAGAAACTAGCAGAACATATTATTATGATCCCCTTGACCGGCCCTCTCATTTTCACTACTTTTTATTTCCTCCACCTTCACTCCCTCATCCCAAAATGAAGATTACTTCCGCGTGCTCCTATTAGTGCCTTACATAGTGCCTTACATACGTTTCCGGCTTTGTATGAAGGCACCAGGGGTCCAAGTAGGGGGTTATAGATTGTTGTTTGCTTGTTTTAATGTCGTTTGAACGTTTAGAACTATAGGCAGGTATTTTTGTACCAGCCAAAACCACGAGAAAAATTCAGAGAACGGTAGAATCAAACAGACACTAGTTCAAGACTCCAAAAGTAAAAAGTTTAGGAGATTTGAATGAGAGTATTCCAATGATATATTTCCCCAGCTCTTAGCTTGCCTCTATCTACTGGCATACTGGCATTTCTGAGATTACAGAGGTGGTGATTATTTCCCAAATTTAGTATTGCAACATTACCAAACTAGTGGATGTGCCTATTCTTGGCCTGATATTGGATGGAGTGAGTTGATGGGCCTGTTCATTCGTGTGCTTTTTGATCCTACTATACAACCGTCAAGTTATGATAGTCGGGATTTATGATTCAATTTACTGGGCCATAGAGATACGTTGGAGAAAGGAGGAGTTTTCCAAACGATTTCCCTGCTTGTTAAATACAATATTGTCAACTCCATTTTCCTTCACGTGGCCCGCAACCAGACTCTCCAACTGTAGTTCTGATTTCCGTTTTCCTCCCGCAGTTTCTTGTTTAGTAAACCTGGAGATTGGCGGAGACATGGAGGTGAACATTGGCGGTTCCCGGAACGTTTTTATCAAGTCTATTTTCATCTGCCTTTCATATTGATGATTCTGGGCGCATATCAAGAAATGTCCGATCTGACACTGCCTCAACCGGCGCACTAGACGTTCCTGACGTCCCGGAGTCACGCCCCCCTGTTTCAAACCCTGAGGCAAACGATTCACGTGACAATTTGAGTCGCTGGGGTGTCCGGATGCGGGTTTTAGGGTGCTCAATGGGCTTTTAGGCGGCTTTTTCGCAGCTTCAACGGCGGCACGTGGAAGCAACTGGCCAAACCTCATCCCTGAGATTCATTTCCGAGATCTGCCGTTGCTTTTGACCCAATTGAGACCTTCTGGGAATCTGCAGAGATACTTGGAGAATATGGCATCACGTGATACATCTAGAATGTAGGATTGAGAGGGTGGGAATAGGTTAATGTGGGATTTGGGGGGTATTTGGGGGAGAAATCTCAAATCGGTGATAGTATCTCCAATTTCGATCGGATCTTGGATCTGACCAGCCCAGTGCATTGCTGATCAAATTTCGCGCGTCTTGGTATCATTTGATGCTCCAGAGATCCAATCAAAGTGGGTTTAGCGCCCATTCCGGTTCCGGAGCCGCGCTAATGCAGGTGGGGGTAATTATGGCGACATAGGGGCTGGAGAATCGGTGGTGTGGAGGTGAGAAGGTAGAAAACAGGGACAATTCGCCACGGCTTTTCGGACTGGCGGCTTTATTTTCCACCCTGGCATACATTTTCGGCGAGAATCGACATCCTGGAAAAAGTTAGACTCTGTCATAGAGTTGATGACATGTGGTGTCTCGGGAGCTTCTGCAACCGGCTAAAGCCCATGTGAAACGGATACATGGACGTGTTTGGTGTCGATTTGTGGAGAAAGATGAGACGGATATGATGGAATTGGATATTGGGTTGTGCAACGAGTTTTCGAAAGGGCGGGAATGTTTTGTGGTAATTTTGGAACGAACAAGAGTTTTTTATTGAATTAGGGATGATTTGGGGGTGAATTGGGTCGATAGAAATGTTGATCAGATGGGTGGTATGTTATGTTGTGTACTGGTGGAGGTATGTTATCTGTTTTGTAGTAGTAGAAGATCCTTGGGATATTCAAGTAACGTACTTGGATTTTTTAGTAATCTAGATTATCCCAACTAAAGACAACTAATTAGTTGAGCATAATGGTGGATGATTAAGATACTGAAATCTCAATGACCTTTTGATTCGAATCTCAACTCCAAATTATCTTACCCCTTGTGTATATACTGGAAGATGATATCATATATTCACGTGACCATTATTCTTTGACTTCCGCCCCCGTCCTGGGTCTACGGTTCTAGATCGGTCTGGTTGATAGTGTCTCCGTGCAAACGCCCTGTCTAGAACAGAATGAGTTATTATCTGCTAGTAGAGACTTAGATCTGGGGCGGTTGAGGGGATTATTATGGTCATAGGGGGTGGAGGAGATGATTTGCTCCTTTTCCTGTTCTTCACAATGTATATTCGTCCTTCTAGAGACACGTTCGCTTCACTCACCTTTACTTACATTTAGTTGAGGTCCCTAACATGATCCTGCTTCAATACATAGCGTTTAAGTAAAGATTAACAATTACCCCACAAATTCCCCACTAGAACCAAGTAAACCAGATTTCCCCACCGACTCCTCCTTGCCCCTCTTCAACTCGACCAAATTCGGTTCTAACAAGTCCAAAATTTTTGCAGATGACACCCTGAACACAAACAACGTCTATACGGAATCTTGATCTTCCAGCCCAACTCCTTTGTCCACAATATGACCATCTCTTCTTCCGGACCTGCCGCCTCATGCAACACCGGCCCGGCACGTGACATGGAGCTCTGAGACGTATGTCGAGCTGTCAGTAGACTCTTAGGGCCTTCTTTAACGGTCAATTGACTTCCTTGGTTTCTTGTCACTTCAGAAGGTGTCATTTCGGCTGCATTACTTTGCACTTTTATTTTTCCTGTATTTTCCATAATTATTAAACAATATTAAAAATATTCCAGAAATTCCGCAAAAAATCCATACAGCTCCAAAATACTCTCTAAACTGCTCCTAAAAAAATTAGGCGCGTCCTCGACACCCAACCTCGTGCAATTTAACCCCAAAAAAGCCATTACAACCGCCAACATCTGTCCCTCCAACTGCCCATCATTCCTCTTTTTCCCCTTACATATTGACGTCATTCTGCACTACCTTCCAAAACGCGATTGTGGCTCCAAAAAAAAACCGAAAAAACTGGCAAGCTGCGCGAAGCTCTCCAAAAATCGACTTGGCCGTCAAATTATGGCTCTATAACTTGGCTGCGATTTTCCGTGAATATTTCAGAAATTCGTCCCCTCAGAACCAGCCCAAAGCCTAATATGAAACATGGGAAAAAAAATGCGAAAATAGAACAAAAATGAGAGAGTGTTGCGGGGTTTCGGTGAGGCGTGTCGGGGTGCATATTGGGTCTAATTTGGGCGGAGAATGGGCGGAGAATGGACGAAAACGGAGTGAAGCACGATCTGAGGTTTAGCAGTGATTTTCCGATGTAAGAAATATTAAATTAATTGATTTAATAATTAAAGTAAGTAAATATAAATAATAAAATAAATAAAAATACCTTGTAACAAAAACCGACTTACGAATATAGACCACCTGCAAATACACGTGACAAGAAAATCCTGCAAAAATCCCCCGCATTCACTCATTTGGAATGCTTAGTAATCAAACATATAGTAGGGTAACACCTCGAGAACGACGTAAACGTGACGGAATCGAGCTGAAAAAGACGTCCCGATGGAATGGGTCACGTGAAGTTCCCTATAGTATGAATTTCCGACACTTTACGTACCCATAATATGAGGTTTGTTAGGATTAGTCATGCCACTGCCCCGATTCACTGCCCCGATTATGTAAGCATCGAAGGAAGGGGTAATTTTTGGATTATTTAAAATTAAAAAAAAAAACGCGTATTCTCAAAAATGGCTGGAAATCGACTGGGAAAAAGGCAAAATAAATGCCACAAAAATAATATCACAAAAATCACCTCCAAGAAACCACCTCCAAAAACCCACCTCCAAAACCACTTCCAATGCAACGTCACGTGTGCTAAAATAATATTTCCGCCCGCAAGGCGTCGATACAGCTGGTTTCATGCATCCCGCATTCTTAACACGCCCTTTTTTGAGGATCGGCACTAGGGGTTTTCTACGTATTTAAAATAAATAGAATAAAATAAAATGTAGGAAAGATGTAGGAAAGATGTAGGAAAGATGTAGGAAAAATGTAGGAAAAATCACAGTACAAAGCAAATAGATACGAAAGGGGATAAAACCGCTCGCTAATATCCCTATCACGTGATTCAATTTTGTCGGGTCAAATTTGAATTTCAACTTGGTCACAAGACTGTCTAAAGTTATTCGGATTTATTCAGGGAAAATGGACCTAAATAAATTAAAAAGAATACCAAACAATTCGAAAATCGCTCCCCCCCCAAAAAAAAAAAAAACTACCAGCGTTTGAAAATTCATTGTGCAATAATTCCGCCAAATCGCCAACTCCGCTACTCCCGCATAACTCCTTGCGAATTATGTCCACAATTTCTTCATAAATATTATTTAGACGCGCCTGGTCAAGGTTCATCCCTTGCTAGCCAGCCATCGGACGTGATTAGGGTTAGGGTTGAAAGTTTAATGTTCTCTCTATGTTCAGCAACACTTTCCCAAATAGGTAGTCAAATGGAAATCGCGCTGAGTGGTTTAAAAATAGCCTTTTCTTTGTGTTGCGGGTCGGTTTTGTGTTTTTGTAGAAACCATAACCCTATTGGGTTTACGAGTAAGCTCTGGGTGCAGCTTTGCTCCACCATTGATATCTGGTGTCTGTCTTTTCCCATATAACATCTGTCGGAGTCGTCGGAAATCGTTTTTGTGAACGATCAGTCGATTTACGAACGTGCCTGTTTTTAGCCCCGATTCATTGACCACGCTGACCAGGGTATTTTCGACCTAAAGGACGCCCCCAGACCACTATTCGACCACTATTACGACCTCACCAGCAGTAGGACATTACGCGACTTTTTTCCGGGACATTTTAACCGACCGAGAAAGACACAAACCGACTCAAAAGCGACACAAAAAGAACAGAACAACTACCAGAGTACTCCAGGAAACCACCTGACTCGTGTTTCAGACGCTTTTCGCCGCTAAAACTACATTACTACTACATCGCACTACATTGCACTACGCGTTCAGATTAGTGACTCAGATTAGTGACACTATCTCTACGAATACTCACGTGATTGGAAAGACGTCTTGACCGCTGGATTTGTCTTGTTTCCGGCATCATTTTGGTACTTTGAATTCCTCGTGTGGATTTTTCTTCAACAATTTCGACTCCATCTAATTCCGTGGACATCTCCTCCTCCTCCTCCCCCTCTTCGTCCGCCATGAAAACGACTCGTCCCAATCTCCATATCAATTTGCACAACTCGCCCAACCCGCAATCGTGCGGGGGAGCCGCTCTGGGCCGCACTCTGTCCAACACGTCGCAATCTTCGCTTCCGTCGACCCCCATGGACCAGACCATCCACACTCCCCATGGATATCTGTCTAGAAACAACAGTATCACGTCGTCAGTAGCCACGTCGGAAGACGAGGACGGATACATGAGTGATCTCAACTCGAACCCGCTGACGTCGATTTCTAACCAGTTTTGGCCCGAACACGACGACGCGTTCCTCATGCACATTTACTACAAGGTGGTGGACAACCCGACCATTGCGCCATTCGTGGGACACACCCCGCCCTCGGGAATCATCCACAGAGTCGCCAAAGACTGCGCCAAGCGCGCCAAAGCCGAGTCCCGTGACTTCCCCCACTCGATGGTGGCGATCCGGCGGCGACTGCTGGTGCTGACCCAGCGTGGCGGTGGAAATACCGTTGGACTGGGTCAGACGCCCGTCAAGGAGTCCAACAGCAATTTCGAGGGTGCTGGCACGCTGTTATTTGGCAGTCACGTGAGCTCGGGTGATCACGTGAACGAGAACGTTGATGGCAGCAGTTCTGGACATGTTGATTTCAACTCGGACTGGCTTCAGGATGACGATGCCATGGACACCTCGATCGACTCGAACACTCCTCTGACTCCGCCCACTCTTTCGCGGCCCACTCGAATCACGCTGAGTCATCAGTCGCCGGTGTTTTCCATGGATTCGGTGCCTCTTCAGAGCCCGTTTCAGGAGGGCTTCAACTTTAGCGGCAGCAAGCGGCTCGCCGAAAGTCCCATGATGGGCGATGGGCATGACAAGGACCCCAAGGAGGAGGATGTGGAGGGTCTTCCGACTAATATTACTAGTCAGCGAAAGCGAGATAGTTTGAGGTTTAAGCGAGGGCAGCAGAAGAAGTAACCAAAGAACTGAGCACGCTCAAACTGAGCGCAACGAGGTTCCAAAGTTCACTTCGAGTGTGTCAATCTGAGTGCAGCGAGTGCAGATCCATCCATTCGATTTCAAACGCACTCAGCTCAGTTCGAGTCGCAGCGCACGTTCGAACTCGGGTTTCGCCGCCGCAGAAGCGGATTTCGAACCGGATTTCGAACCGGATTTCGAACCGGATTTCATCAAACATTGTCGGTTCGAATCAAGCAACCCGTTTTATCTGTTCCATCGAACACACGGAACCCCTTACCTAACATAACACACCACAATCACTCTCACGAGATGCATCACCGCAGGCGGATATATATTATAATCTAACAATCTGGAATTGGACGATTGACGAGTACTGCAGATGTAGATGTAGATGTAGATGTAGATGACGGCGAGTGGTTGTCTGAGTGACTTGCGTCCTTTGCCCCACTGATTGACCTGTGTCCTCTGCCCGACTGTCCGACTTGTGACCGACTTGTGCAACATGACAAGTGCTTGGAGCTTTTGATGCTGTGTAGTAGTCAGGAAGAGTCGCTGACCACAGACTGGGTATTCTCGTGAACGTGCGTTCTCGAGATTGTGATTTGAGAACTAAATCCCAATCTCCTAGCCAACTTCAGTGCCATGGTCTGGTCCTATAGCAGTCTAGTAGGCGTCATCTGTAGTACTGTGAGAACCTGGTTGGACCGATGAATCTGCCAGCTTTGGAAACGACCCAGTGTCACTCAAGAATGATCCCATCGCACTCGGGTTCTCTTACACGACAACCAGAGCCCGGTTCTAGACTTGACATCACCGAGAACTGGGGTTGGAAGCGTCTCACATGTTCTGGCCGGCGGGGAGGGGCAGGGACGGCAGCGGGAGTGCTGGTCTCCTAGCATAGTTCAGTAGGAACAGCACAGTCAAGAACTTCCGAATCTGTTTCTGCTCCTTCTCCTGCTCCTGTCACTTCGGCTCCCGCCAGCTCCCGCCCCTGCCGAGCCCTCCACATGGTCACCAAGTACTCCAATATCTGTCCCGATAACTACGTGTCTCCTCCTTGTGACGAGCAGACTGCTGCCCTGTCTTCTGTGGCTTCGGCTACTTCTGCTGCCGACGCTGCTGCTAATACCGGCCCTGCTAGAGCTCCCTCCGTCACCTCTCCGACGCTGCTGTCGCCGCTTCCGTCCATCCGCGACTCGCTCACAGACGCCTTGGCCTCCTCCATCTCAGCATCCTACGGTGACCTACCTTGACGAGACCGCGACCCCCACATCCATCGTCACTTCTTCCACGCCCTCTTCCACAGCTGCCTCTTCACCATCAAGTTGCACACGATCGGTGCCATCATACTTCTTTTACAGCTCCATGGGTCTTGGTCCTGTAACAAGTGGGGTAGTTGGTGGGCCTGCCAATCATCATCTCGTTCCAGATCAACACTGCTGTTGACCAGATGCCCATGGTCCATCTCATCAGGATCATCTCCGACCGCCCAAGAACTCCAACCTGTCCTCCAAGGCAATTCAGATCCCGCCAAAATTCCACACATGGAACAAATGCCCAAGGAAATCACACCATTGTGTTCCCCTAATCACGATGATCACAATGGTGCAATTTTTACAAAAAAAAAATTTAAACACCCCCTGATCCACCGACTCGCCAATCTCGTTAAAGAGTCTGCGTGATGCACACACGACACCCACCACCACAACACACCCCAGCGCTTTCGATACTGCTCCTACAAGAGATTAACAATGATCATTGGACTCTCCTCGTGTCTCTGATTAATTTGATACTACTTTCAATGTAATGCGATCGCAACTGACCGTTTTACCTCGCTTCCCAACTCCCCCTGTTTGAACCTACCCTCGATATTCGTCAGACCTTCTTCTGACTCCCCTCCTCTCTCTCATTCCACCGGTGTCCCACATCCGCTCCAGATCCGCTCCAGATCCGCTCTAGCCCGCTCCAGATCCACTCGACACCACCGCTTAACCCTTTCACGCACCTCCATCACACTATTCGTCTTCAGCCACCTCAACTCAACTAAACATCCATTATCTATGTACAAGATTCCTGATTGGTCCGACTCTGCTTCTCGTCGGATCAACCATCCCTCACAGTCACACTCCGTTCGCGTTTGTGTCTGTCTCTTTTGGTCTGTCTCTTTTTGTCCGTGTGATTGTGTGATTGTGTTGTGTCTGATCTGAGCCCTTTTGTGTCTGTGTCTGCACCGTTTGCTTCCACCACAATGCAACAACACAAATCAATACTTCTCACTCTCGGACACCCCCCAGACCACCTACTGCTTCTTGTCGACTCCCTTCCAGTCCTCAGGGAGCACGCCAGCCAGCATCAGGATCCGGGTGGCAGTGTCCGACGGCTGGGCACCGGTTCCAATCCAGTACTTTGCTCGATCAAAGTCCAACTCGACGTCCTTCACCGGCAGCACGCCTCTCTTGAGCTCCTCGTGCGACCGGGGGGCAGGAATGGGGTTGTATGTGCCAATCACCTCGATGGGCAAACCGTCTCGTCGCTGGCCGGCCTTGGCCACCACAATGTTGTACAGGGGCGAGTGTCGTCGGCCAAATCGCGCCAGTCGAATTCTGATTCCTCCCTTCATGATGAGATGATAAGTGTCGGTGGGTTTTTTCACGGTGCGTCTGGAGACACAATTTTACATGCCATTTTGCATCATGTCAGGGTAAGGGCTTCTTAAGGTTTGCTGAGTAAGCAAATATTTGGTCCGCGGTTCGATTTTCGACTGGGGCAGATTTCTTGTTTAATTTTTGATCTGGAGTTGATTTCGAGATTGCAGGCGGCGGCTATATTGTCTGGTCACGTGATTGCATTGCATTGGCACGTGCTGGATCGTCGACGAGTTTGGTGGGCTTTGTTCCGTCCATCTTCAGTTTGGCTTTGTTCCGTCCATCTTCAGTTTGGGCTTGGGAGCCACAACGATCTTCAACGGTGATCGTGAGACATGGCCGGGTAGGGGAGGAGGGTTGTGGGTGGTTGGAGAGCAGGTTGGAGGGTGTCAGGGGTGTCACGGGGGTTTTTTGGCGGTTTGGGGTGGTAGAAAACAGGTTATGGGGGGTTTGGGGTGGTTTTGGTTGATTTTGGGCCGATTGCAGATATATTTCCGGGCCTCAGCTGTTTTCTACCTTTCTTAGATCGCTCTCGAATTGGCTCTTTCTTCAGGACGTTTGGTTTCACATTCAGAAGCGATATTTGCTCATTGTGGCTGTGAAGTTGTCTTGATAGAGATGCTGATCGGAGCATATTTGAGTGAAAAGAGAGATTGATTGATGGAAGACGGTGACGTGTATTTTGATTTGGGGTTGGTTGTTGATGTTTTTGTTGGTTTTTTTCCCTCTTTTGGATTTCTTTGGATTTCTTTGGATTTATCGAATTATTTGGATTATCCTTGATTCCATTAAATCAAAAAAATCAAAATAATCAAAATAATCAAAATAATCCCGAAAATTACATAAATGATCACACAATGTCAGGAAATCAACAGAAACCTAGCCGGATCCGCTCCCGAACACGTGCGACGCCCTCTCCAGCCGCGCAGAAGATCTCAACGGGCTAATTCCCGCTACAAGAACGATATTAACGCATATAAAGCCGGCCGGCGTGGACCTCGGGATTGTCCTGTAGCGATCTGCACCGAAGATCTTCTAGAAGGTGGGCCGGGTCATGTGACCGTTGGCGATGGTGGCAAGCGTCCGCACGGTTAGACCATGGTCAGAGTGGTGGCATTACATGTCTGTGATGGCACTCCATGTCTGTGATGGCATTACATGTCTGCTGTGATGGCACTACATGTCTGGTGTGTTGGCATTACATGGCTTATGTCATGGTATACATTTCTGGTGTGATGTGATGAGGCTGGCCGTAACCTCCCTATCCGGTACGTATTTGAATCGCTCTGTGCGTTGCTCTGATCATTAGACATTAGGTGCATTACGGCGATCATTCGACGGCGGTTAAAGCGGCTATCTGAAGGTTATTAAAAAGATTAAAAATTAGAAAAAATTAGAAAAAATTAGAAAAAATTAGAAAAAATTAGAAAAAAAAAACCGTGTGGAAATTGGAATGCAAAATAAATCACTGGTCTCATTATTTATCATTCAGATTCTGGCGAGTACAAATTCCGGTATATATACATACTGTACATACTACTTGACTAACACTCTCAGTTGAACACCACCTGAGGGTAGTCATGCTGCAACTTTAATCATCCACCTTGACCCAAAGACATGCCCACAACATTGGTCGCGTAGTTGCACAACATTGACCATGTTGTCCCAACCCTGACCATGTTGTCCCGCAACCCTTACCATGTTGTCCCGCAACCCTGACCATGTTGTCACCACATTGGTCCCGGTCGTTACCACATTGGTCATGTCGTTACTACATTGGGATGCATAAAAGCGCCATCGGTGCATATCTCCACGGTTCCAGTTACTTTGGGCTGGCTAGCTCCAGCCCAAAAACCGAAGCAAATGCAACTCCAGAAATACCGGCGAAACCTGGGGCGCGTTTACACAACAGACAACTGTCGCTAATGTGCGAGATCGGGACTAGTGGCTTCTGGGTTGCTTCTGGTGCTAGCTCTAGCTCCATTCGCGCGCGCGTCATGTCGTATCGGAGAAATGCTGTATACGGCCAATCCAGTGTCCAAAGTGTTGTGACATCTGCGATGCTGGAGCATGAGAGCTCGATTCAAGTATTACACGGTGATGTCGTCAGGGAATTTTCGGACAAGGTGGATAGAAGGGTGTGAGTACCCGTACATGTCGGGTATGAATCATTATAACTCGCGGGATAAACACCTAACAATTCAGGGAAATTGCAAATGAAAAACGGAGGCCGGGGTTGGATTCACCACATCTGTTTCAATGCAATGGATTACAGCAGAGGCCATTTTCAAGATCCAAATTACTACAACATGCTCAGTCATTGTACAACATCACACACTGACTAATCGTGTACTCTTTCGCGCGCTCATGCTCTTCTGTACGGGTTGGTCTGCAGCACCACATGCATGTAGGCTACAGGTGCGTCTTGGCTGCGTATATGGTACATGTGCATATGTGCATGCTGATGCTGTGCAGGGAGAAGGGAGAGGCATTGGTGGCTGACTAAGCATAATGGGGAGGTTCCGGATATACGAGGTGATAGCGGTTGATTTTCGCAGCGAAATGCAGTTTTTACTTGTTTTTTTGCGGCGTCTGGATAGGATTTTGGGTCTCGTTTTATTCGGCATGACAGGCTGGTGATGCAGTGGTCCCGTTAGTGTTGCTGCAGCGCATCGAAAAGACCGCAACGAAGCAATACGGAAACGGAAAACGGAAAAAGGAAAGCGGAAAAAGGAAAACGGAAATGGGTCGGCTGATGAAAGAAGGAAAGAAGAGACGCGTCGCGTGGCGTGGCGGAGATAAAAGCAATTGTCTTGGAATGATGGATGCTAGAGAGTGGGATTGGAGGTTAGGATTTTGGGTCTTTTTGGGTCTTTTTTGGGCATTTTCGGGATTTTGGGATTTTGGGATTTTTGGGATTTTGGGATTTTGGGATTTTCGGACTTTGGGGATTGTGCAGAATAGCGGAAAAATCGGGGTTGAAATTTATTGGAGTGGTTGAGTTGGAGTTTTCTGGAACCCTCTAAATCTTTTGGTATTTGTTGGATTTTTTGGACTTAATTGTTTTATTTTATTTTATTTTATTTTTTGAAATGGCTTTCTGTCGATATTTTCTATAATCCATACCGTTACGTTACGCCATCTATCTAAAAACTGCTGTTGATATCAACGGTGGCTGCTACAGCAAGAGCAGCCATAACAGGGTCTCGACAGCGCTGCAGCGAAAAACGTGCTGGCCTACAGGGGCAGGGGCAGCCAGGAAAAAGTACTTGTACTGTACTCTCAGATGGAAAAAGTAATGTGAGCATGTCAGTCAAGTCATGTCAATGTCACTTGTTGACGTGAGCAGCACGGGGAGTTGGAATCTAGAATCTGACTGAATGGGCACTGACTGGGCTCCATGACTGAGCTCGCTGACTGGGTGGAGCACAGTGATTGATCTTGTACTATCTAGGATTATGTTCAAGATGTACACCTCACCGTCCTGGAAAATGGCAAAGACGTACTGCAAGCGCTTGCCTCGGACATCAGCATCAAGATTCAGTGTCGAGATGTCCAAGACAAACATGTCCATGAACATCAGTAGTCTCACAGTTCCAATGACAGAACCACCCGCCTCGGAGAGCAGACTCTCATCTCTAAGAGACCAGGGATGGCTGTACCGACGAACCTCAGCAGGAACATTGAGTCGTTCATGTTGAAGGAGCTCAGAAAAGAACCAACCCACATACGGGAACCTCAGAAACCGTTTCGTTCTCTTCTGAGACTGGATGGAGCAACGGTTGAGCTTTGCCTTTGGTGAAGGCTCCGGCGCACCAAGTAGTCTCACTGCCGGTTGACGCTCAAGTAGGACTGCCGAGTAGTGACCGCAGACTTCACCACCGACTACTATCGCTCACTCCTGCTCTCCACCCCAACCACTCCTGGTCATTGAATAGTTGCCCTTTATACCCTGTTTTCAGGTTTCATACCCTGCTTCGGCTATCAGAAAAAGCAATCAACCGCTTCTCCAACGCCTTCCTGTCAAAACTCGTTGCTTTTTATTCCCCAAGTCCGTTGTTCGACTCATCGCAGTATGGCAATGGCTTGGAACAATCAGCACCCGTCTCACGTTCCACAGATCTGATGAGACGGTAGTCAGACTCCTTACTAGATGACCTGGTAGAGTTGGGCTATCCACCTACTATACCACAACTCATTCACTCGGACCCTCGCCATAATCCATGTCACATTACATGAGAGCTACTCATAACACAGCATCTCTGGCTGCCTAACGCACGTCATTATGTTGGAAATTGGACCGCAAAGAAGAGAGAAATTACTCAGGAAAAAGAAACAGGACTTCCCTCCTCGAGATACTCCTTTACAAAGAAGACTGACTCGGAAAATCTCGGCAAAAAGGACTGGATGAAGGGAATGATGATAAATCTCATCACATGAGATAAGTGGATTGGACGAAGAGAGCGTGAGTGAGTGAGCCATCACGTGACCATCCTCGTGACCTTGTGACCTTGTGACCTCGTGACTCGTGACCTCGTGACCTTGTGACAGAAACTCTGGGAGGTAGGCTCTCGGTTTGGGATCATTTGAAGAGCCCGAGCAGCAGAACTGAGGTCGATATGGGTTTGCTGAGTTCCAGTTGTGTTTTGGGGCGAGAAATGTCTTGTAGGTGATCACTACGAGGGCCGTGTTTTGAACACCAGATCCAAAGGTGAGATCAATGCAATGATCCATGCCATGACTTGTTGCAGGGCTGTTAATGATGGTGTTAACCCGAGATCTATTGACAGAGGCGGTTAACGAAACTCTGCAAGTGATTTTGCCGGTAATGGAATGGCTGGTCCGTCTGTTCAAGTTGACCCTTGCTAGAAACTAACAGACTGCTGGAATCACAAGCTCCCCGTCAGATGGCCAGATGTCAGACGATTGAGCAGACTAAGGTGAAAGACTTGAATCTCCAAAGCTCTCGAGTTTGTCCCCAACTGTCTTCTCTTTTTGAAGAGAGTCTCTAAGCCAACGTGTGAGAGCAGTCGACTGGTGGACTGCCCGTTACTGACTTGAACTTATGGCCGAACTCGGGAAGAGTCTGTCAGCTCCTCGTCTAACCGACCGGTTTTTTAACAAGGCTGGAAGTCCTTCCGATGAGCGGACTGTCACATCGAGTCCAGAGAGTAAACCAACACTGTTGAGTGTTCGACTGAACAGCTCGCCGACGTCCTTCCGTAGAAGTCAATGACGCAGATCATAGCCAGTTCGAGCATGGATGGAGCAGTATCAAAAACTCAACTAGAGACTGTTGACTGGGCATCTAGCTATGACGAGTCATTGGGCTACTGAACGTGAACCACCTTTGCACGTACTTTAGTATACGTCTTGAATGGTACTGTAGGTGTTAATTGAAGGCCAATATGGCTGACAGTACAAACATGAGACGACAGTACAAACATGAGACGACAGTACAAACATGAGAAGACAGGTCTGCGATAATCCAGCTACAAGCATAACAATGGGCATCTAACAGCGATTAAAGGTGCTATTATCATCTTGAACTGCACCTACACCGAGACCCAGACACTTCAATTGGGGAAAGGGTTGTAAAAGATATATCTTGTTGAACTGTCTCCAAAAGAGACCAACGCTGGTATTACTATTCTGCAATCTATCTTAGCTGTAGGTCTTTATACTCACAGCACTCTTGAAACGCACAGCACTCTTGAAAAGCACAGTGGTGAACCCCTGCCTGTATTCAAACAGATACTTGCCCGGGCTGTAGTCACTAGTACGCTGTTTAACAAAGAGTGTGCCTGGATTTGCGTCTCGGGTGTCCTTTGAGAAGGCCACCGGACTGCGACCTGCGGACTCGATTTACGCAAACATAAGTCCATTGCTCATCCTTTCCAACATGGAGATTGAACATAGCTGAACGGAAAATACCTGTTCCACGCCTCCACGGAGGCTCACAACGAACCAAGAGCGGACACACCAAAGTAAATACGAAGTTGCCAGAAAACTCGTAGTCATATTGGGCTGCGTTGATGAGGACATGGAGGTTCCCTGATGGCAGACGAGAACGTTGATTGCACCTTGGGAAGTCCGTTATGTTTCGGGTGTTTGGAACATTGAAAACATGAGAATGGCACTTTCAGGTACAACTCCACGTCTTTACATAAGACAAGTTGACTCTGTGGGTAGAGTGGAGTCTCGACTCCGTCAGTGATAGGAAAATTAGCCAGATGTCATAACTACGTACTTCATGTTCCAATAAATACTGTAGTTGTAGTTCCACCCACTTTCTCCGATAATCAGGTGAGAGACTTGGCGACATCATCAACGCGCTCCAACAGGGACATTCCGATAGGACTTCAATATCTATCTAGTTGATGTATAAATGTGATTTTTTAAAAAAAAACAAAAACACCCCAATCTAGTGTCTTTGACAATAATGGATTCAAACAGTTCATCAATGGATTCATCATTTGGCACTGATTCTAATGATAAATATAATTCTTGTCTCCTTGCAAAACACAACCTCCAACAACTGTAGTTATACTCCGACCAGACTCGGTAAAAACACAAGAGGTCAGTCTGAAGAAGACAAGTTCATTGACGGCTGGTGGCTCATCTAAAGACCATGGCTTCAATACATATCATCTAGTAGTACTTTACAATGTTGGAAAAACGACAACAAGGTCCTGATTTTAAACCAGATGTGTTAGTAGTAAGTCTCATGTCCAACTTGTTTAGTTTATGTTCAAAATCTCCAAAGATCCCATTAGTTCAAGAGGGTAGTAGCAGCCCTGGCTCGGAGCTGGAAAGCTAGCCGTTGAGGGCCCATCGAGCACAATCGCGAGTAAGGCCTATTGTACTAATGAGTACTGTACTTGTACATCACCGAGTCACAATGTCAGATGCTCTATACTCGTACGGTTCTCCTGGAATAGTTCTCTCCGTACTATATTGATTACATGTAGTACAGTACTATCATGTCGACGTCTGGGCAGCTACCTGAAGTGCATCCTCGGCTTCAGCCCAGCCCTCACAGTTTCGACAAACCCATTGTAAGAGCTCAGGTTGCAGATCCAGTTCTGGAGTGACTTGTCTTCTGGCAGTGAATAACTAGACAGTGAGCAAGTGGCTTCACAACATACGGCAGCGGGAAGATGGTCTATATCTGAGTGGTTCTGACCTTCAACTACAAACTCCCCGGCTGTCGCGCTTTAATTGAGGCACAGGTACTTTGTATCAATGGTATAGCTTCAACCCTCTTGATTCTAGTCTACGGCAATGTTTCCTTCGCTGTCCTCCGTTGTTCTCTTTCCAACTTCTTTTCCATCCTGAACTGATCGTCATAGTTGACCAATTATTAAACATGTGTAGCCTTCAAGTGTTAGTTGACATTTTTAGTGTAATAGTATGAACTTAGTTGAATACCATATTCATCATACTGGGATATTACTTGAGTGTCTCCCCCAAAATATCATCACTCCTGTTAGTCTCAATTTGGTTCACAAGTCACATAAATAACAGTTATCCTTAATATTACTCTTGCCATCTACTTTCAGATGCATTTTCGACACAAAATGCTCCTCATTGAGTCCCCCAATACACTTCACACGCGACGATAATGGGGAGACATATGAAGTGAAATAGCGAGCTCCACAAGAATGGCAGAGCTATGAAAAGTTGACAAAATAGTTATATGCTACTATATCATTCTAATTTTCCAGTTACAGATCAATATTCCCAATATTTGCAATTCTGAATACTCTCCAAATAATGACTTTTTGGAGGGAGTGGAACAAAAGTATCCGTAAAACGAAATTCCGTAAAGTAGAGAAGACAAACCTCATATGGAAACAATACGCACGTTCAATTTATCAGCTAAGCAATTTTTTATTTCCCCATCTGAAAAACTTCCCGACTTCTTGTCTCTTTGCTACTTCTGGAACCTTTGGGAACCATTGTGAGTACTATATGAAGGAACTATCGTGAATAGCAGTTGATTACCAGCCTGATTGAGCCGTTAGAAGCCGTTGGAAGCCGTTTAATCTCCACTTTGAAGCAGTTGAAACACATCTGAGACCTTTACCCATACATTGAGGATAGATCTCGGCTCGTGCAAGACCTTCAGAGCAACTCCAGAGAGAAAGTTGGAGCTGGATTTTAGTAATTTAAATGCAGTTCTCGTGATTGTAATATCTGCCGTTTCTTTTCGTGAAATCCATTCGTTTTCTGTGACATTCTGAATACATTATGTGTCTTAGTAAGCAAGCACAAGGACACTTCATGTGACTTGTACAAGTAACTCATTATCGACTACTAAAGACCTCAATCATCACCGTTACTCAGCAGGAGCTCATATACGCAGCTATCCTCTCTCTTCTGCCTGTCTGCAGTCATACACCGTTAACGCAACCGCCTCAAACAGTTGTGCCTATCAAACATGAATCATAGTCCCCATGAGTCATGACCAGAACCGCCATTAAGCACGAGCGGAGAGAACTGGGAGAGCTCCACCAGCTCACGTGACTATCTCCACAGTCCTCCCCCTGGTGCACCTGTAACACATCCGAAACACTCCATAGAAGTATATATCCGGCTCCAGCACTCTCTCCACTCGGCCGCACATGTGAATGTCGTCTTTCCGAGCATTCCGAAGAACCATTGTGTTCTCACACTGAGTTAAGGTACGAGGAGAGTGGGGTAGAGAGGATAACGCGGAACTTATTATGGCTGTAACAGGACGCTGTAACAGGACGGCTGATCACGTGAGAGAAATACAAACTTGATACGACTATTCTCTGGTCGATTCTCCGTCGATTGCACTTTTCACTGGTCAAATCAGCAGTCTGGTTCGTTCTCAAATGACGTCATTTTCTTGAGCCGCACGTCCGCCGCACCTTCGATTCTCGCCGATGTCGGAAAATCTTAATTTGAAATTTCACGCTGGAATTTTTGGGGAAAAAAAAAACCCATATATGACGATGGATTAGACGACACATAATAATGAAGAGATAGTGGAGCGTCACAGGAACGAGTGTGTCCAAAGACACGTTTGAGTCACGCGTCCAACCAGACGGTCCATCTAAATTACTTGTACCGTACTGTACTTGTACTTGTAGTTATGGCGTGACCTTGCCGCTCCCTGTCCCCGTCCCCGTCCTCCGTGACTCCGATATCGGTCTTGTAGGTGGTCGGAATCGTAACGGTGGTCTTTTCACATTGTCTGAGTCACACGATAATGTACTCCCTACACGTTCAACGCCCGGGCCCTGATTCGGCGATGCTTAATCGTCTTTTCCCTTGTTGATAGCCGAGGTAAAGCGTTTCGAGTGCTTAGAAATCACGTTTCCACGCTCTTTTTCGTGGTATCTGGGCGACGCCATTGGCCACAGATAAGCCGGTCCATCCTTTGGGCGTTGTTTTTTGCTTGGCACGAAAAACAGAGGAAACCCGGGCAAGAGACTTTCTTTTCCATGCACCGTGGTGTTTTGGGAGCGGTGTTTTGGGCGGCATGTTTTTGGGAGAATATCACCAGGTGTGGGAGGTGAGTTTGGGATGCAACGGACCCCACTAATTTGGAGTATGCGGGCATCCACTTCTGTTTTTTCTTCTTCTTCCGCCGCAACTTCCCCTCGTGGGCTAAAAGTGTGCCCCAAAACCTCCGTTTTTAACCGCCGTCTCTCGGCCCCAAAATCGTGCACCAACATGTTTGCCACCAAACTCGAAATGAAATGAGTGCACCAAATGTGCGAGGCGGTGCACCACCGAGTGGCGTAAAACCTTTGTTGTGGAGAGGAGGTATTTCGAGCGGTGGCCGGAGTCCCAGTTGCAAGGTGGACCAGCGGGGCGCTGAAAAAAGCGGGAAAAAAGCGCCCCAACCACCCCTTCTTGAGTGTCTCGGATCAATAGTTCCGGTCGCAGCATGAGTCGCAGAACGCTCGCAGAACGTTCGCAGATAACTGCCTCAAGGAGAAACTCGGGGGGAGGATCGTTTAGCGTTTTCCAAAGCTAATTTCCCCAGGTTACCCGGCCGGACATGTGGGGTGGTGATGTTGGGGTTACGGTACGAGTAGCACCGGGGAAAAGACATGGAACAAGGAGTATCGTCGGAATGGCTGTATGTGGGTGTACTGGTGGGTATTCTGGCGGCTAGCGGCAAGTTCCGTTGTTCGTGGTGATGGCTCATTGCTCATTGCTCACAGTTCAAAGTGCCATACTCCGATGGTCCAGTCCGGTAGGAGACGTCATACTTGTGCTTACTGTACCGTCGAAAACGTCAGAAGCAGAAACGTCCCAAGTCCCACAAGCGCCACATATGACATGCTCCCGCCAGACCCAAACTCTTACATATTACGCACCCCGTAATGTAGAGTATGTTGAACGGCTCTGCCATGGAGTCCCCCAGAATCCACACTCAAGGTTGGCTTGCCCTTTTGGGACGCGCCGCACGTTCGTCCAGCTGGAGAAGGAGAAAAAGGGTCCGTTTAGGAGGTTGGGTGCGATGTGAGATAAAAAGCAAGTCTAGAGAGCGACCGACAGGAACCTCAAGTGTCGTAGCGCGCGCTCGAAGAGAGGGGCCGCCGAGTAGTGTTTTACAGCACACTCACTCGTAGTCTGGCAGCATGTTAGCACTGTAATATCGACCTATAGTTAGTTAGAACATTCAAACAGGACACTTATCCGTATTAGGTAGCACCAACCATTATCGCACTGTCACCACGTCGATTGTCTCTTTCTCACGCGGCTATTGACTGCGGCAGCTTTTGCCTTGGGTTTGGCCGTTAGCGATGAGAGCTAAGTGTGTGGGGTACCGAGACCACCATATGTATGAAATGTAATGTTAGCGTGTGTCTGGGGAGGAAGGGGAGGAAGGTTACCTTCTTGGGAGAGTGCCAGTAGTCAGGTGCGTACTTCAGTTGTACTGTACCTGCTGGAAGACCCTGTCATCAGTTGCCAGCATGTATCGTCAAGTCTTGTGACCCCAGGCTGCTTGTGCGTTGCCAAAACGGTGCACGGGACAGAGTCAGAACCACCATTGGTCATGACACTCAACAATCAACAAGCTGTCATTAGTACTCACCCAAAAATAGCATCATCTCCGACCCTCTTTGTTTGGGGGCCAAACACTCTCTCCCACGCACGCCACGATGGTGTAGGCCCAAATCACCGCCATCCATTTAGTGCATGTCTATTTTGCAAGACCCGACGGCTTCTTACATGTCGGTGCACTTTGGCAAGGGCTCCTCGGGGAACAAGGTTCAGCTCGGAAGTGTGCCACCAAGACGCTTCTGCTGGAGGCTGCATGCACGCACAAAAACTGGCTTTTTGTGTTTTTTTTTTTTTTTTTTTTGGGGTTAGGCAGAAACACAAAGTCAAACCAAACACACACAGGAGGGCCGGTTGGGAACGCACCATGCCTATATATATATATACCTCTGGAGCCTCCACAATTGAGAGACACAAAACCAACACCTCACACAACCATGCCTGCCACTCCCGTAGGTGACCAGCCCCAGGCTGCCACCAACACAAACACCCTCAACGCCGCAGCAGCCCATCTGGCCCACAACAACGGCCTCAAGGTGGTCAAGAACAATGTTCTCAAGAACCAGACCGGCTACAACTCGCCTCTGTTCGATGGCAAGGACTCCCAGATGGAGAAGGGTGAGTATTAGTATCGGAGACAGCAACGTCTCTGGGTTTATTTGGTGACCAATCGATTCACAACCGGTTTCGGTGCTTGTGGTTGATCTGAGCGGATCGGTTTGCGTTTGGATCGAATTGTGGCGTAAAAGTGGCGTCTCTCCACTCATTCATGAGCATTTTCCAACTCTGTGACCCTAATTATACATGGTCGTGAGCAAAAACACCGTGTTATGGTCTGTTTGTGTCTGTCTTGTTCTGCATTACTGTGCCAATGTCGTACGGCAATCGACACTGCAGCTCAGGCGGGTGCATGCATCAGGTGGTGTGATGGAGTGAAACCACAGTTAAGGCGAGTGGTGTAACGTGAACTAGTTTGCCAATTATTGCGCGATTCTCGTCTTTAAGCACCCACCCCACAGAGTGTACATTTGCCATCTCTACCAACTGCTTGGCATGAAGAGAAAAAACCACATGCAGCACAATTTGACTCAACGGATCAACTCAACGATGCCTGATGATATCAGATCACCAAATTGAAGTCAGATCAAACCGCCGCTAAGGTCGGCCCACGCACTACATAGCTATTGTCGTCACCCTTTTTGACACTGTCCACTTAACATGCAACTAACCCAGTCATGGACGCCATTGACGTCAAGGGCTTCATCCCCGAGAACTTGATTGAGAACGAAACCAAGTGGTTCTACGAGCAGCTCTCGATCGACGACTCCTTCTTCGCTACCGAGTCCATCGACAACATTGTCTCCTACATCCACACCCTCTATTCTGCCAAGATTGCTGCTTACGCTCGAACTGACAAGAAGCTTGACATCCAGCTGGTGCGGGAGGACGATGCCCACGCTTTCTACATCGACACCTCTAACCCTGGCACCACCAACCTCGAGGGCCCCCAGTACGAGACCCGAATCGACGAAAAGTACCTGTCTAGCCCCAACGGCAAGTTCCGAGTCGAGACCTTCCGAGCCACCAACGACTCCATTCCTGGTGACGGCGCTCTGCGATGCTACTTTGTCTACAAGTGCGACTTCATCGAGCCCAACCCCAAGGAGGGCGAGACTGATCTGACCAAGATCTCCGACAAAACTTTCTACGAAAAGGCCACCGAGTACACCCGAGCCATCTACTCTGAGATTGTCAACCAGGTTGTCCAGCGAGAGGGCCCCGTCATCGAGATGTTTGAGATTGACGGCTCTCGAGAGCGACGGGTCATTATCGGATACAAGCAGGAGACTACTCCCGGCTACTTCTCCGCTCTGTCCGATCTGTACCACTTCTACGGACTCACCTCCACCCGAAAGTACGTCGAGCAGTTCTCCAACGGTGTTACCATCATCTCCATGTACCTGGTTCCCGCCTTCCCCCAGACCGCCAACACTGCTGATGAGATCAAGGCCATGAAGCGGTACCCTCCCATTGAGAACTCCATCCACCAGATTGTCAAGGAGGCCTCTCTGCTCTTCTGCCTGCCCAACAACGCCTTCAAGCACCACTTTGCCCGAGGCGACATGTCGCTGCAGGAGTCCATCTATGCCCACTGCGCCTTCATCTTCGTGCAGCACTTCCTCAACCGTCTGGGCTCCGAGTACACCACTCTGCAGCAGATGCTCGGCACTGGCAAGGAGCACGTTGAGATTCTCGAGAAGCTCAAGCGACGACTGCGACAGGAGACCTTCACCCGAGACTACCTGTTTGAGCTGATCAACAACCAGCTCGACGTTGTCAAGCAGATGTACCTGCAGTTTGCCGACGTGCACTACATCCAGTCTAAGTCCGAGGGTGACTCGTTCCTGCCTACCCTGTCTTACCAGCGACTGCAGACCCAGTCCGTTCTTTCCACCGATGAGCTCAAGAAGCTGATCCGAAAGAAGGCCGCCAACGACCACGAGGCCATGGTAATGGAGGCCTTCCTGACCTTCAACACCCACGTGCTCAAGACCAACTTCTACACCCCTACCAAGGTTGCTCTGTCGTTCCGACTCTCTCCCGACTTCCTCCCCGAGTCCGAGTACCCTCAACCTTTGTACGGTATGTTCCTTGTAGTTGGTCAGGAGTTCCGAGGTTTCCACCTCCGATTTGCCGATATTGCCCGTGGCGGTATCCGAATCGTCAAGTCTCGAAACCGAGAGGCCTACTCAATCAACGCCCGATCCATGTTCGACGAGAACTACAACCTCGCCAACACCCAGCAGCGAAAGAACAAGGACATCCCCGAGGGTGGCTCCAAGGGTGTCATTCTGCTCAACAACGAGCACCAGGACAAGGCCGAGATTGCCTTCCACAAGTACATTGACTCGGTCATTGATTTGCTCCTCAAGGGCGACACTCCCGGCATCAAGGAGCCCATCGTTGACCTGCATGGCTCTCCCGAGATTCTGTTCATGGGTCCCGATGAGAACACCGCTGGCCTTGTCAACTGGGCCACCATGCACGCCAAGCAGCGAGGCGCTCCCTGGTGGAAGTCTTTCTTCACTGGCAAGTCTCCTTCTCTCGGTGGTATCCCTCACGACGAGTACGGAATGACCTCTCTGTCCGTGCGAGAGTACGTCAAGGGTATCTACCGAAAGCTCGAGATTGAGCAGCCCACCGTGCGAAGGCAGCAGACTGGTGGCCCCGACGGAGATCTCGGCTCCAACGAGATTCTTCTCTCCGCCGAGAAGTACACCACAGTCATTGACGGTGCTGGTGTCCTCTACGACCCCAACGGACTTGACCGAGAGGAGCTCCTGTCCCTGGCTAAGCGACGAGTCATGATCTCCGAGTACGACGCGTCCAAGCTCTCTCCCGAGGGTTACCGAGTTCTTGTTGACGAGAACGACGTGACTCTGCCATCTGGTGAGGTTGTTTCCAACGGTACCCAGTTCCGAAACACCTACCATCTGCGATGCGAGTCTGTTGACATGTTTGTTCCCTGCGGTGGTCGACCTGAGGCCATTGACATCAACAACGTCAGCCAGCTGTTTGTTGATGGCAAGCCCAAGATCAAGTGGCTCGTTGAGGGTGCCAACCTGTTCATCACCCAGCAGGCCAAGCTCCGACTTGAGGAGGCCGGTGTCGTTGTCTACAAGGACGCTTCTGCCAACAAGGGCGGTGTGACCTCCTCTTCTCTGGAGGTTCTTGCCTCTCTTGCCTTTGACGACGAGTCTTTCGCCAAGGACATGTGTATTCGAGACGGAGTTGTGCCTGAGTTCTACAAGGCCTACGTCAAGGAGGTGCAGTCCATCATTCAGAACAACGCCCGACTGGAGTTTGAGGCTATCTGGAGAGAGCACGAGAAGACCGGCAAGCCTCGATCTATTCTCTCCGACGAGCTGTCTATCGCCATCAACGATCTGTCTGGTGAGCTCAAGAACTCCGCTCTGTGGGACGACGTGGAGTTCCGAAACTCTGTTCTGCACGAGGCTCTCCCCAAGCTGCTGGTCAACGAGATTGGTCTCGATGTTATGCTCAAGCGTGTTCCCGAGTCTTACCTCAAGGCTATCTTTGGCTCTTACCTTGCTGGCCGATTTGTCTACGAGAAGGGTGCCAACCCTGGCCAGTTTGCCTTCTTTGAGTACATGGCTGAGAAGACTAAGAAGCAATAGGTATTTGGTATTAGTAATTTATAATAATGATTTGCAATGGAATGGCGGCGACTGTAGACTGTAGACTGTAGACTGTAGACTGTGGGAACGTGCATGTATACACTGACGAATCATTACCGGCTTTTTTGTGCTGTAGATGGCTGATATTGTTGCACAACTAGTTACGGCTAAGTACAGTATGTAGAGTATACGATGCTGGAGGGCAGGTGTATGAAGTCCCTCAAAACGACGCTATAATTGAGGTATTATGAAAATAATAGTACCAGCGTGTTTGTCTCAGCAAGAGGAACATCTTGATATGATTTATGTGTCTCCAACTCTTCTCCACACTATACTGTAATACAAGTTTACCTCTCTTCACGATAGCTCTAACGATCGAACTACAAGTATGTACTGTACATAGTGGACATGTACCGCTTGTACAGCACCTCTTGCACCAAATGTGCTCTCAAATGAAACTCTCCTCCCGGCAGTGCACCTCTAACAAAGTACTCATGTATCTTTGCTGTGCGTGCAAGTCTAGGCTTGGTTCAAGTGCATCTCACTAAGCAGTCTAGAATGTGCAGTCTAGAATCTGGGGTACATGGAGATGTCCAATGTGGCGTAAAGATGTACTACTGTAGTTGAAATTTGCTGAGGATGCAATCCTTGAGATGTACACGTTGGTAGTACTGTACCCTTTACTGCTGGACTGAGGCCAACTTTTACCACATCACCATCTAGACCGTCAACAGGTGTAAAATAACGCTTCAATCAACGTGCTGTCCAACTATCTACCACTCCAATAGTCGTAGGTATCCGGATCCAATCCGATCGGGTCGTACCCTCACGCTAACAATATGACGCCATAACCAGCCCTGCTACCCCACATTTCCCAACAGTATGTTAGGCTTTGTTGGAGAGATACAAGAAGGGCCTTTTTGGACGTGATGGAGTCTGATTTGCTCCGGAATTTCAACAGACTGGTGTTAGACACGGTTTCTGTGTTTTTTTATTACAAGATGACACGCTTTGTCTCCTTCTAACACGGTAATAATAGGAGATCATGGTGGGTTGGGCTATGTTTGTCTAAGGTTCCGAGACCCTGGATGGAGTGGGAATCATGTAGTTTGCTTAGTTTTTCGTGCTAGAAACTAGCTGAAACTACCCTCGTATAGATAGCATTGAGGATATCTGGTCTTCTCTTTTTGATATGTTGAAATTATTGTCACTGCCGGACATTGGCCGACCTGAACAACGGCCATTCCTCGTAACCACACTAGCACAACAAAACCACGGATAAACACGGGGAAACACTCAGACAAAGCAACCCGACAAAGAAACGGCATTCTGCGGCTCGGTATTGCTCTGAAAAACCTCTTTCATCTCCCGCCCACTCCATATATGTTGGGGTAGTAGAGTTTCATATACACGCGAGACTACAGAAGGGTCCATATTAGCCGCCTCAGAGACGTGATTTAGATTCGGCCAACTCGTCCAAAAGCGACTACTGCGACTAAACTGCTCAATTGGTTGCTTCCAAAGTCCTTCTTCTAAATCTGCGTATTTCTCAGCCTTCCCTCGGCTATCGAACCGGTTCCAGATTGGAACTCAAAGTTGCTCGAAATTTTATTCCAACCCAAACTTTTTTTTCTTTTTTTCTCCATATTGTGGGGTACGATACATACATTGTTCTTAGCGGGTCTAAAAAAAGTAATGCAAAGTCGGTTTGTGTAATATGCACCATCTGGAGCTGTTACATTACCTTACATGTGAGGAACAGCGGGGAACAGCGGGGGAACAGCGGGGGAACAGCCAGGTGTGAACGATTATGTAATGACGATTATGTAATATAGCGAATTTTTCTGTTTGCGCTCAAAAAATACTCGCCTACAGTTCGTGTAGTGAGTAAACAGAGGCGTGCGAGTCACGTGAAGCACTTGTTTAGGTGACCTTTGAACTAATTCGCTTACTAATCAGAGGATCCAGGGCGGGATGTGGTTTGGGGTCGAATAGCCCATGGCGAATGGTATGAGGTTACAAGAGGGTTGGATGGAGAGAGGGGAGGACGGCGACGCTGATGGTCACGTGGACACCAATATGACTGAGTTTTATTCTTCCGTCCTTCTGTTATGCCTAATCAGCGAGTTGGATATGTCGTCACGATGGTGGGAAGATCAGTGCTGGGCGGTGAGGGGTGAGTGGAGATTTTACTGGGAAGGTGTTTGTACTTCCAATGACGTCACCAATCGCCATATATACCTCCACCTGACTTCATTTTCATCTGTCTGATGTGCCTGAAAACTCTTACAAAAAATTCTTTGGAGGTGTAAATTTCTCGGAAATGAATCCAGGTGAAATATCAGATCAAAGTTGGCAAATCCCAACTGTTTCCGAGCTGATAAACTCTGCCAATCTTTTTTCGGGGCTCCCAACCGCGTCGATAGGCTCCTATCAGCGTCCTCTCAGGTTGCGGGAAGCACGATAAGAACCTTGTGGAGGAAGGATTTTGGAAAGAAGAGGTACAAAAGGGGAAATTTGGGATCACGTGAACAACGGTGATGGACTGTAAAGTTGGTGGGGGAACGTTTCGGGGTGTCTTAGCGGGCCAAAGTGCACGGCAATGTCTGAGACAGATAGAAGGATGTAAAGAAGTTATTAATGTGGTAACAAGTGATTGGAGAAGGGGAATATCAGGAGGAAATTATGTATTGGTTCAACTTGTTTTGTGTGGGATTTCTGGATCGACGTTTCTCACAGTATTGACATCTCCGAGTATTAGTAATCAAGAGGGTAATTTGGTGTTAAGTGACGAAAGTAGACCTGAGTGGGGAAATAGTGATCTATAAAGAGTGGAAATACCATCATTTGAAGTCCTCGTCTTAATTGCTAACTTTTTGGAGCCACTGCACTGTTTTTGATAGGCTTGCAAACTGAAGATGATTTCGCAAGTGTTGAAGCAAAGATCCCAGAGCCACAATGATTGGAGAACTACATTATTTGATCTCCAATTATTGTAGTTTTGAACTTGCCATTTTCCTTACCTCCTCCATTGTTACGTCAGCTGGGTTTTACACACAGACACCAAGTTGACATTAGCAATAAAAATCAACCAGATCAAATCAAGTCTCATCATAAAGCGTAATACTTGTACCATTATTATCTTCTCTTTCTGTTAATTACGAATATTCACTCTAATCTCACACATATCCACTACAAGGTCTGAAATTATCCACTACAAAGTCCAACACTGGCACTATACAGTCCACCCCTGGTTGGTATAAACATATCTTCATTAAACATTACATTAGACTGACCACCTAATGGCATTGGACAGAATTGCTTCTCGAGAGGTTTCGAAGCTTTTCTCTCATTCTGTCTGTCGATTCCTGGTTCAAGGGAGGTGGGACCCTGGCGTTTCGGACTTCCTGGTAACCGTTGGGTCGTCCGTATTTTTCAAAGCCCGTGACAGAGTTCTGGCGGCTTACGTCGGCACTGGAGCCTCTTCGGGCGTAGATATCCTGCAGCTGAGACGGTCTGGACTTGAGGGGAGGCCGTTGGTTGGTGAAAGCAGGAGAAGTGGGAGTCTGAGGACTGGTGGGACTGGGAGATCGGCCCCTATGGGTCAATTCAGGCACATTGGAGGCCGGAGTTTTGATCTGGATGGGGGCTGTCGGAGTCACGAGATTGGTAGAGGCCGCAGTGGAGGCATCTTTGATCTTAAGTCGTTCGAGACTCTGTCGGGTCTCCTCGGTCTCCAACCACTCTGGAATGGTCTTGTTCCTGGTCATGTAGTACTTGACTAGCGAATCTTGAAGCTGGGTCGACTCTTCCTTGTCGGTGGTATCTGTTTGAATGGTCATTTGGTGCTTCATGCGGTTGAAAAACGCCCGTCCGCGCTCCAGAGCCTCCGTGTTGTAGGACATTGTTAGATATTAGAGAAGTTGACAGTATAGTAGTGATTTATTTGTACAGCGCCAAGACGGGTATTAATATATGATAAGAGAGGGGCCCATTGTAAGACTGACAAAGTTGCGAGAGCATGAGGGGAGTACATACGAAACTATTAGGCATCGGACGGTATTTCGGAGATATACGGTTGAGGATGAAGGAGTAGTCCAATTGAATTCTGAAAAAAATAAATCATGTACTTGGGCAGGGACAAGTAGATTACTCTTTTCAGAATCCAAATAAGTCCACTATTGGCCTACTTGTAGACATATTTCACCTCCCACAAATCCGTATAGAACGCTCAAATAAGCTTAAAAAAAACGCATCTGACGATAAACTTGTGGCTGAGCGTTCTCACTCGGAGAGGGGCCTGAGTGGGGGCTGTTTGGTATGGTTTTGATGAGAAAATCTCCGGGAATATGCCACTGTTGCCCAAATTATTTTCTGACCAATATTGGGCGAGATGGACCACTTGTGAGTATGGCGTCGGAGTAGTCTCATATTCGCAGATGGGCTGTTGGAGTCACATGCACATTCGTCCATATAGAGAAGCGCCGTTTCTTGGCGCCCAGAAGCCTTACCGCCTTGGGCGGTCACGTGATATCTCATATCTTGGAGAGGAAAGATGTAGACCAAGAGAAGAGAGGAGACCAAGAGAGGAGACGAAAAGCGGAGACGGTACGGTAATTATTGGGTTCGGGAGTTGAAGAAGAGGTTTTAGGGCCGGCAAATAAAGTGGTCGGGGTTAGTTGGGAGTTTAGTTGGATGATGTGATTTAAAGTGTATTTATGTCAACTAAAGGGAGTAATTTCAAGTAAAGCTAAGTAGTTGTTGTCCACCCACTATGAGAGGTGGTAGGAAGACCAGAAACAGACAGGAGATAGACTGGAGAACAATAAGGATGATTCGAGAGAGTGAATTTGCACTCATTCACGATATTTAATACCCTTTACGGATGACTAATCCAATCTTCGGGAGAATCTTAATGCCTCAGGTTGATCATGGGTTGGTCTTGGGTGGTTCGGGGTGATATTTTAGTTCCGAGAAGACCGTGGAAACAAATGGGCAGAAGGGGAGGGGGTTTGGTGATGAGAGAGTATGCTAGAAAGATTACGACGATTATGAGGATTCGAATGGTACCAAATATGGGTCTATGGGGGTCTATTCTAGACCATTTTTGACAAACATACAATTCGTTCCTGCTCTAACTCTGTCAATACTGGATCAATTGAGATTCTGGAAGTCGCAATGGATGAAGAATCTCAATAGATGACTTCTGGCTTGTTTTATATATCAGAAAACGAACCGGATCACGCCCATATTCTCTCCTCAACCCAAACATGTTGTCTATGAAGCTTGTGCAAGAACCGTGACCGAGTGGGCGAATGTCTCGAGGGGAAAAAACTAAAACCCCTTGGAGTTGGAGTCTCAGAGTCCGTGAGTTCAGTCAATCAGCTGCGAGGGTTCAAAGTTAACCTAGGTGATCAGGGGTGATGAAAGGGTCCGATCTGGCTATAGAATAGACAACAGCGCCCATATGAATGTCTATTGGGCGTGGGGAGGTTGAATGACCATGTAGATGGACAGAAATGAGAGCTCAAAGCAGCTAATAGTGCTTCTTCAAGGCTTCAACGAATCACTTTAGGGTTCTTGATGGAGATGATCTGCAAGTAGGCGGCTTGACACATAACTCTGCGGTCGTATGACTGCTATACATGTACTCGTGCCGTCGTTCATTAGTGAGTAGCATTATTAGGGAAAGAGGTGGGAAGGACTTGTAGGTTCTTTCTAATATGCTACAGACAAGTCGACGATGATCTAATCAAGCCTTCTAAGCCTGAGTTTATGTCGCAGTAGCCTCTCACTGAGTGTTTATTGCGTGTGGTTGGTAGATGGGGATGTAGATAAGACGATTGAGTGGAGAACATTTTGGACGCGGCACCGATATATTTACAATCTTCGTATAACACTTCTGAAAACCACGTGAACGAGCAACTTACCTTCAATGTCAGCTTTACTTATCAATTCACCATCTCGGGAACCAGGTGCCATCAACAGATCATCCAGATAATACAGCTGTAAATACCATGCAACTTGAAGCTTCGGAATGATGAAATTGCACAGCCCCAATGACGCACATGCGCAACTTCCGGAGTTGGTCAAGCTTGCAGAACGGAAATGACGACTACTCATATAGGTGGCCAGGAACATGAATGAACAGGAGGATATGCGACAAATAATTGAAGCAGAGGATAATGCAGCAGTAATTGGAACAATTACTGACAAACTGTCAACTCCCCGAGTCTCCAAGACACAAACTAATCTTTTATCGCAGCCTCCATCATCAACCCTAATAAAACGCCGAAACAACCAATATAATGCCCCTATCAGTCTGAGACCTTTACTGTAATAACCAGCAAGGTGAGAAGATCATTGTGGTATGTTTTATTTTCTTATAACCCCGAAATTACGGAACTCGGCCTCGTCTTGTTCTCCGATCATACACTACACCCCAAACACAAGTACTCTATCCGCAAAACTAGTTCTAATAAATAAAATACATACATCCCTCTATCTCGTTCTCCTTCGTTGGGGATAAAAGTATCCACTGAGATCCATCTTCCAGTCTCTCCATTCTTCACTATCTGCTTTCCATACAGGCAGACATCTCTTGACGTAGGCATCTAGCTTGGAGAGAAACGGACGGGTGAACTTCCAGCACTGTGTAGTTCCCTCTACCTGTCCCACCAACAAGATACTCCCCTTATGTTTGAGATACGTCACCTCAGCTCCTTCTCTAACCACACATCCGTATTGTAGAGACAGGTATGACTTTGGTAGATCGTTGGTCTGGGCTGTATACCAAGTAATTTCGCGCTCAGAAATTCGTGGGAACAGCTTCAGGGTGTTCAGGGAGGTGTTTGAGGTGATAAACACACATCCTGTTTCCGCACAGGCATGTAGATCAATCTTATCGCTGTATTTGTCGGTTTTGAATAGCAGAAAAGACTTGGCCTGATTCCAGTCAAGCAGAAACCATGCTGAGTCATCCTTGGAGTCCAGGCGGCAGTAACTGTACCGACTGTTGACTCTGGACTGCAGCTTCTGAACCCCCACACCGGGCAAATTGTATCCGATCGGTAACATGATGGACTTGATGACGTGGTTCTCTTTTTTCCGGATCCACAGTTGGTCCTGGAAAATCTGGGTATCGTTGGTGGCGTAGTAGTGGCCCAGGTGACCTCTTCCGATTTGCATCTGCGAACTTCTGCTGACTGAAGTTCCACTGTAGTCAATCATGTTTTCCATGTTTTCTCGGTGCTTGACCCGCAGGAAGCCGTCGCGGAGACTCATTTCGTAAAGGGTTACATAGTGGTAGTCCTTGACAAGCCAGGTGAGACAGTCGTCATTTTGGGTGATGGGGTTGGTGAAATTGTACAAGGAGTTGTCGAGGGTGGCGGTTGGGTTGACCAGCACGTTGTTGTGCAGTTCGTAATCGTTGTGGAACGGCGCTATCGTGGTTTTGGATATCTTTTCTGCTGCCAGCAGGTTGACTTCTTGCTCAATGTCGACTTGGTGGCCTAGCGAGGCGATGAAGTTGAGCGATTGAGCCACCGACATGTTTCTAGAGCCTGTTGAATTTGTCAGACCGAAAAAAATGTCGTTGAGGGCGTGTTCATACACAATTCTGTTGGACTGGACACAGGATCGCAGGTACGGAGATACCAGACTCAGAGCCACGACCGAACGCGCGTCGCAGAAGGAAAACACAGTGGAGAGCTGTTCCAACGGCAACTTGTGGAGCATTGTGAGCTTTAGCGATAATCTATCGAACCCATTTTGGCGGGGGCGGAAGCTACCAGAGATATATATTTCAAGGGAAATATGCTTCATCTAGGTTGAGATGGACATGCATGTTGGCCATGTTTAATTTGTATTGTGAGGCAGGTTTAGGGGCGGCTTATGGAGGATGTTGGAGGCCTCAGAGAGGGCTGGAAACTGGCCAGTAGGGTAATGTGGTGCCTGCAAACACGTTGATGTAATAATATCAGCTGGTCGCCATACAAATATCCCCCGTTCGGCGCCCCGCCATCCGCTTCCGCAAGGCATCTAGATTTTATGCTGAACCTTGGCACCCGCTTCCACACGGTTTGTGGGTTTTTGACATCCACAAGATGGGGTTTGAGATTCTTTAGCGAGGGCAAGGTTTGGATGGAGGACGGGCCATCTCTCGGGAATGGGGTCACGTGATGGTGATATGGCGCCCGGCGACCTCGTTTCCCGCCCTCTGCGCCCTCTGGGGGTTCTCTGGCCGATTGCTCGTCTCTCAGCCCCTCCTCTTAGGATAGCGGCAAAAAAGATTAAAAAAATACAAGCGAAAAAACACAAGGAAAAGAAAAAAAGCACAAGGAAAGAAAAAAATTAACACAAACAAAAACACATAGTACAACTCCGTTGTGTTTAAGTTGCGCCAACTCTATTGATTCTGGGAGGCTAAACATATCACTCCGTTTAGCATACGCAAATATCCACCTTAACTTTGACATCCAGGAGAATCATATGGAGCAGAGCCCTTTATCTGATGGGCGGAGTTTGCAGTGAAGAGCCCCGTTTGCGAGTTTTGGGGCCACAAATGGCTCTGGAGCGGGCCACAGGTGACCATGTCCCCATGGACCGCCAGATTATCTTGCATCCGAACATGCATCGGTTGGTTCCGCTTTTTGGAGGCTAAAAGGTTTGACGGGCTCTGAACAGCGCTAGAGTGAAGGGATTCGACAGCCAAGACCGGCTCCATACTCCGCGCGCTCGGGAAATGTCTGCTATGTGTTTCAATATCCAACCCCGGGCATATTTCAAGCAAGTGTCGGGGCTTCATTGTCACCAAAAGAAGCGCGTCTTAAAGTTCGGCCGTGCCAACTTGAAGCGTCCAAAAGACCCCACTGGAGTCCCCAAAAGTGGACGATCGACATATGGCTGTGATGGCAAAGGGCTGGAGAAGACGCTGGTGCGCTCAGATTCGCGCTCTCGCGCCCATATCCCGCGCAAAACGCCCCCTTTTGGAAATTAAACTACAGTTTAAGGCCAAGTTTATTATGCAAACCGAGGTCCATTAACGTTTTCAAAGTGGTTCTATCACGTCTCTTTACATCCGACGGAGTTAAATTACAAAGTAAACTGCGCACGGAATCGACAAGAGATTGCCGAGAATGGCTAGCATATTCGTGTTCCTCACGTGATTTCCAACAAGACGGTACTTTCAAAATCAAAATCCGTCCACAAATGACCAAACAACCCACCCAACCACGTACATTTGTCGCATTTTATGGACCGGAAATAAAACGGTCATAAGCTGGTCAAATACCCATTCGAAATATGCCCTCAAAGGTGCTTGTAATAGTCTTTATCCCCTGTTCATAGCTCTAGTTTCAACCATGATAGATACATCCTATGGACATACATGTGGAGCTAACTTGACGACATGTGAAGCTACAAAGATGGAAGTTGCACCATTGGATTTGTCACATGATGGCGATTACAATGGTCTTGTTCTTTCCGTTCCAGGGTCTATATTTGCGTCCCGCCTACTCCGGCCCAGATACCCCTCCCACACCAATGGCATGCGCATTAGTAATGCCAAGGGAGCTGCTCCGCCTCCCGAACTCTTGGCGAGCCGTACACATTCGGCCTTGTACCATGCGGGTTTTTGCTGAAGGAAGATTGACTGATTGATTAGATTAGATGCAGGTGTGAGTTTGGTGAGGGTTTGCGGTGAGGGGTATTTTGGTGGATGATGGGATTTCCGGGATGAAAGTTAGATTGATGGACTTGTTGGTGTTTGGTGAGTCCTCCGATATAGGTATTTTCCTATTTACGCCACTACTTCTCCAGTTTCCAGTTATCAAACGGACCATCTGATGGAGATGCATATGCCTCTATGCATGACGTGGATAAATGGGGTGCCCCCCTGTAGCGAGGTGTGGAGGTGGTGTGGGTTGGTTGCGTTGCTGGCTGTGCATGGAATGGAGTCTGCTGAGTTGATTGAGCGCCATTTTTGGCTCGAATGGCCCGTTTTTGCGCGAGATACGGCGCCTTGTACGTTCTCCCGTGGCAGTATTCGCTCGGTTAAAAAATCGCCGTGAAATATTTTTATTCAAGTCTAAGCTGGTAAAGGTTGCTGGAAGACAATTGAAAGGGGGGCCAATCAGACGGGCAAATTTGAGTAATCTGCCACAAGTTATTGGCGGTCTCAAAACGTCGCAGACAAGGGATGGAACGAGGGGAGGGATGAAGCTGGGCGCAAGGTGAGACAAGGGTCTTCCCAAACCAGACTTGTTGCCAGCAAGAGACCCGACCAATTTGCTCAAACGTGCATAGATTAGATGGTCTTGCGTGATGACCGCCGTTTCTATACAACCGTTGTATTGTTTCAGCAAGGACGGACCACGGTGTAACAATGGGTAGGACCCAGGAGAAGATACAGACGAGAGAATCGAACCAGAGGAGCTGAACGTAGCAAACTAACACGTACGGCCGAGAATAAAGTCTCCTCTTGGCAGACAACCCCGGAGCCTCTTTGCTGTGTTGTATTGCCAAGAACCCCCGGGAGTCAGGAAAGAACACGCGGCTCGGACTGCGATGCAACCAGAGTGCATTCCAGAGGGAACATTCTGGTACGGTTCGGTACGTCCGGTACGGTACTTGGACCGATGAGGAAGGATTTCCAGAACATGGACTGTAACTCGTGGACTGATGAGGGGCAGCCAAGAGGAGGAGACGGATTCAAAAGGACCCAATCCGAGCAAACTTGACGTACTGTACCGTCCTCGTACTAAAGGAATTGTACGTCTGTCATTGGCTAGTCTGACGGAGTATGGTACAAGACACTGTACTCAGCTCTGTAGTCGTAGTGTGACAGCTGCTAGGAGCTGATGGTGAGATCGCTCTGATAAAGACACGCACTGTGCAGTTACACTTGTCGGACTTGGACCGAGTATTGTACACGGAGACTTGACTTTTGATACACACAGTATCGAGAGCCGGTCCTGGTATGGTTTTATCGAACCTCCGTTTTCAAAGGGGTGGAACCGACAGGGACATACGAGTCTTGACAAGTGCAGGAGGAGTATGAGTACAAGTACAGTTAGTACTGCGCAAGTTTCTACACCTACGGAACACGTCCATAGACTTTTACTGGACTCTTGTTATGGTGATTGTGTACTTGTAACACCCGATCTCCCTTTACATTCCCGAGCGCGACCAACCCACAGCTGATGGTCATGAACAGCACCAGCACACCTCCGACCTCACCATTCATCATGTCTTTGAGCAGTTTCAAGATTCTCTTCCCACCCGCTCCTTTATTGGACGATATTCCATCCACTCTCCGCTGTCTATTCATGCCTCTGTTGTCGTCATTCAAGGATACCCTCACGAGTTCATTAAGCCTGGTACAAGTACAAGTACATACCGCCATATAGTCACTGGACACATCTCGCCTCCAGGCTGCTTAGTCATAACGGAACATCATCTATCATGTATACCCATCCAATTTAGTCAGCAAAAACACAGTGAATTGGCGAGAAACGTCATGCTCTACTGGATTTGCACGCAACTTGTCACCAACCAATCCGTCTCTAACCAGCAACGGCACCTAACCAATATTTCACCCGTCCAAATCGAGACTGAGAGACTTGCAGCGTTTTTTCTCGGAGTTTTATTAACGCAAGGACCAAACGGGAAGCGGATATTTCGCCGAGAGAGCGAGATGAAGAATACTGAGATGTTTTCGGCCATTACGAAACAGAAAATATGCGATTTCCCGAGTCTCAGCCTTTGTGGACGTCGTTCCATGGTTCTAAAGTGGTGTCTAGGTTCTGATCATGGGTCCGGCAATGATGATCTACAACTACAACTACAGTACAGTACGCAGTAATGACCTTCAACGTATGATGAGATCACACAATATCCGAATCATCAAATGAACATCTCCACCATTGGTCTTTTCAATTACCCCTCAAACTCACATTATCCATGCTGGTACTTCTCCAATGCTGAGTCACCAAACCAGGCATGGAAACCTACCAAAGATCGCGGGAAAGCATGTTAATTGACCGAATGAATCATTTGCATGTCCGGATTCTCAACATTGCTCCCGGAGTTGGCTTGAAGGCTGCACTACGGTCCTCCCTAGAGCCCACCCAACTTCATCTTGGCCACTGTGTCACGTCGCTGGGCAGCAATGAACCTCACCAACTGGATAGCGATAGCCCGCAGTTAGCCCATGCCCATGCTTCGCATCAACATCTGTAGCCAAGCTACTCGGGTAGTGATACAAGGAGCCCCGGCTTCTCTGGTGCATATTTCGGGTATCCTGCTCCGGTCTCGAGTTAGGGTTGTAGGATGTCGGTGAGCAAAACGACGAGCGAAAGAGTCGCAGTAAAAGAGGGAAAAAACAGGCCAAAAACGAGGCGAACAAAACCATCATATTCTCCACACATCTCGACACAGGTCTACAGCACCGGTACCCCGCCGAAGCCCTCGGTAACTCCATTTAGCCGCTGCACATGTTGGGTGCAGTATGCCCTGTACAGTCTGTAGTGTAGGCAGAGGAGGATAGAGAGGTCCAGCCATTTTGCTTGAAATAGAAGATATAGCAACAAAACGCATACCATTGTGATGGTATCGATGGGACGAACAAAATGCACGTTTCAGATCCAAAATCGGATCACTATTGGGCCCAAAACCCCCACACTCTCCATGAGACCCACCTGAGCTTATCTTTTTCAGCAACTGTGCGATGCGATCCGTCGTGTGACCGCATTCAGACAAGAAGCGACTTCACAGTCACTGCACATATTTTGTTAAGACACTTGGATGGCCGAGTAATGGGCGATGATGGACAACCCAGACCAACATCACGACGTGGATGGTCCACGCAACTACCGTAACGACCGACAAAACAGCCAAGTGGGTGTTCGCCTCATCAATTGCACCTTTCAACGTCTCGTTTCTTTTTACACACACGGTTTTTTTTTGCACCGTTTTCCGCCGCTGCCATCTCAATCACCAGCCGCGTACCTCGTTCATGCATCGTGTGGAAAAAAAATTGATTTGGGTTCGAAATGTGCCATGGAGACGAGGTTGGGAGGTGCTACTGGTGGCTAATGTGGGTTGTGGGGAGGGTGGAAACGAGATAAGACGCTCGAAAAGTGGTCATGTAGCCCGAAGAAATGGGATCGTGCATTTTTCGTTTCCGAAATCGGCCCCCAAGGAGCCCTTTAAGACCCCTTTCCCACCCACTCATGTCTTTCTCAGGGTCCAATTATGACTCGGACTGTTTCCAATTTTTTTTTGTTTTTAGCGTTAAGGTTCTTTTTATTTCAATCGGCCTTTTTTTCCCTGACTGACAGTATAGCGACAGTTGCCACCGAGAATAGGTCGGTATTTCTCGCGGATATACGCCGTTTTTCCAGGAGATTGGGCGTCAATTGTACAGAATGGGTCACGTGAGTCCGATTTCCGGGCAGAAACGGTCGCTTTTTGCTCTGGAAATGGGGCTTTTAACCGTGCTGTTCGGCCTTCGGCTTCTGACAAGGTTCGTTAGGTGGAGAAGTGGCGACATTCGAAAGGAATCTGGAGGACCCAATAGTGGCCGAATCGCGCGGAAAAAAAGATGACAGATAATTGACACTCTTATAGACCATCTGTCAAAATTCCAGGCTCCTCATCACACTATTTCCACCCCCAACTCCCCCCAGGGTAAGGTCCCAAAGTCCTCTTTATGCACCCAAACCTTGAGGTTATAAATTTTTTCATTGGCCTCGATATTTATATAGGCGAGGAACACCCATGTGTCTCCTTCTCTCTCCTCTCCTCTCTCTCTCTCTCTTCCTCACGAAATCTTTTGTCCTATTCGGCAGGTGTAGCAAAGGAGTAAAAGTGAGTGAGTGAAGACGATTGAGAGATTGAGACGGATGGAAGGAAACAACGGTGGACGGACGCTTGTCTGAGTCTGGGGCCCAGTGTGTGGGGTGGTGGTAATGGCTGGGGTCCTGTGGGGTGCATTATTTAGATGTGCAGTGCCCTACATGTCGTCAGTCTTGTAGTCCCACGTATGCAGTTTACTGCCATGTTGCAGCTACTGAAGTGCTGAAGTGCTGAACGGCTGCTGAATGCTGAACGGCTGCTGAAGAGCTGAGCTGCTGCTACTGACCGACGGGTGAGCTGCTGTCCTGCCATCGACCATTGCAGATACATGTGATCTGTGGTGGTTGTGGGGATGCTGGAGTAACGTCAATGGTGCTGTTGGTAGCGTAGTGCTGCTGCTGCTTCTCTGCAACCCTACTGATGGTCTGAGCTTGCACTTCACACTCTACAACTACACCACACACACACCCTCAACACACCGAATGTCTTTTGCTACCCATTCTCATCCTCAGTAGTTAGTATTGGTATTTTTGAGAGACGACAAAAACGCTGCGACTCTGCCCGATCCACCAAAACCACGGCTTCTGCATGACGCCGCGATCGATCGATGTTGAAGATACAGTCAGTTCCTGTGCTCTCTAGACGTCACCGTAGCACACGATCACACTCCGTTCGATCATACTAACCCAGAATGACCCCCTCGCTTCCCATCTTCCCCCCCCTCAACCCCGAGGACAAGCTCATGACCCTGGAGCTTCAAGACGGCACTGCCGTTCAGGGTTACTCTTTCGGAGCCGACAAGCCTGTGGCGGGCGAGCTCGTGTTCCAAACCGGTATGGTGGGCTATCCCGAGTCCATCACCGATCCCTCCTACCAGGGTCAGATTCTGATTGTCACCTTCCCCCTGGTCGGCAACTACGGTGTCCCCTCTCGAGAGGCCGTGGACGAAGTGGTCAAGGGCCTCCCCAAGCACTTTGAGAGCAACAAGATCCATGTGGCGGGTCTTGTTGTTGCCTCGTACACCGAGGAGTACTCGCACTTCCTGGCCGAATCTTCTCTCGGTGCCTGGCTCAAGGAGCAGGACATTCCTGCCATCTACGGCGTCGACACCCGACGAATGACCAAGCACATCCGAGAGGAGGGTTCCATGCTCGGACGACTGTGCATTGACAACGCGGTCCCTGAGTGGGTCGACCCTAACAAGCTCAACCTGGTCGCCGAGGTTTCCATCAAGGAGCCCAAGCTCTACACCCCTCCTGCTGACCGAGCTATTCACGTCAACGGCAAGCCTGTTCGAATCCTGGCTGTCGACGTTGGTATGAAGTACAACCAGATCCGATGCTTTGTCAACCGAGGCGTCGAGCTTCTGGTCGTCCCTTACGACTACGACTTCCTCAACGAGGAGTACGACGGTCTCTTCCTCTCCAACGGTCCCGGAGATCCCTCCGTGCTCAAGGAAACCGCCGCTCGAATCGCCAAGGCCGTCGAGGCCAAGAAGACCCCCATCTTTGGTATCTGTCTTGGTCACCAGCTGCTTTCTCGATCTACCGGCGCCACCACTCTCAAGATGAAGTTCGGTAACCGAGGACACAACATTCCCTGCACCAACTTGCTGTCTGGTCGATGCTACATCACCTCGCAGAACCACGGTTACGCTGTGGACGCCAAGTCTCTGACTGGCGGCTGGGAGGAGCTTTTTGTCAACTCCAACGACGGCTCCAACGAGGGTATCTATCACAAGGACCTGCCCTTCTTCTCGGTGCAGTTCCACCCCGAGTCCACCCCCGGTCCCCGAGACACCGAGTTCCTGTTTGACGTTTTCATCAAGGCTGTCGTCGAGCACAAGACCTCTGGTGTTCTCAAGGCCATCGAGTTCCCCGGTGGCACCATTGAGGAGAACCGAGCCGCTCACCCCCGAGTGCAGGTCAAGAAGGTGCTTGTTTTGGGCTCTGGAGGTCTCTCCATTGGCCAGGCTGGTGAGTTCGACTACTCCGGTTCTCAGGCCATCAAGGCTCTCAAGGAGGAGGGCATCTACACCGTGCTTATCAACCCCAACATTGCCACCATCCAAACCTCCAAGGGTCTGGCCGACAAGGTGTACTTCCTGCCTGTGACCCCCGAGTTTGTGCGAAAGGTGATCAAGTACGAGCGCCCCGACGCCATCTACGTCACCTTTGGTGGCCAGACCGCTCTCAACGTTGGTATCGAGATGAAGGACGAGTTTGAGGGTCTCGGTGTCAAGGTGCTCGGTACCCCCATCGACACCGTCATCACCACCGAGGACCGAGAGCTGTTTGCCCGATCCATGGAGGAGATTGGCGAGAAGTGCGCCAAGTCGGCCACTGCTTCTTCCAAGGAAGAGGCTCTTGCTGTCGTTGAGGAGATTGGCTACCCTGTTATCGTTCGAGCTGCCTACGCTCTTGGTGGTCTAGGTTCCGGTTTTGCCGACAACGAAGCCGAGCTGATCGAGCTGTGTAACAAGGCGTTTGCCGGCTCACCTCAGATCCTGGTCGAGCGATCCATGAAGGGCTGGAAGGAGATTGAGTACGAGGTTGTTCGAGATGCCTTTGACAACTGTATCACTGTGTGTAACATGGAGAACTTCGACCCTCTCGGTATCCACACTGGTGACTCCATCGTCGTGGCCCCCTCTCAGACCCTGTCTGATGAGGACTACAACATGCTGCGAACCACCGCTGTCAACGTCATCCGACATCTCGGTGTGGTTGGTGAGTGTAACATCCAGTACGCCCTCAACCCCTTCAGCAAGGAGTATTGCATCATTGAGGTCAACGCCCGTCTGTCTCGATCTTCTGCCCTGGCTTCCAAGGCCACCGGCTACCCCCTGGCATTCATCGCTGCCAAGCTTGGTCTCAACATTCCCCTGAACGAGATTCGAAACTCCGTCACCCAGGTCACCTGTGCCTGTTTCGAGCCCTCTCTGGATTATGTTGTTGTCAAGATTCCTCGATGGGATCTCAAGAAATTCACCCGTGTGTCTACTCTGCTGTCTTCCGCCATGAAGTCCGTCGGAGAGGTCATGTCTATCGGTCGAACCTTTGAGGAGGCCATCCAGAAGGCCATCCGGTCCACTGACTACCAGAACCTGGGTTTCAACGAGACCGAGGCTCTCATGTCGATCGACATTGACTCCGAGCTGCAGACTCCTTCTGATCAGCGACTGTTCGCAATTGCCAACGCTCTGCACTCTGGTTACACCGTGGACAAGATCTGGGAGCTCACCAACATCGACAAGTGGTTCCTTAACAAGCTGGACGGTCTGGTCAAGTTCGCCAAGGGCCTGACCAAGTACAACAACTCCAACCTGCCTGTCAACATCATGCGAGAGGCCAAGCAGCTGGGTTTCGACGATCGACAGATTGCCAAGTACACCGGCTCCAACGAGCTGGCTGTGCGTCTCAAGCGAGTCGAGGCTGGTGTCACCCCTTTCGTCAAGCAGATTGATACCGTTGCTGCTGAGTTCCCCGCCTTCACCAACTACCTTTACATGACCTACAACGCTGACTCCCACGATCTGACCTTTGACGATCACGGCACCATGGTCCTTGGTTCTGGTGTCTACCGAATCGGCTCTTCCGTCGAGTTTGACTGGTGTGCTGTTCGAGCCGTCCGAACTCTTCGAGAACAGGGCGCCAAAACCATCATGGTCAACTACAACCCCGAGACTGTGTCTACCGACTACGACGAGGCCGACCGACTCTACTTTGAGGTCATCAACATGGAGCGAATCCTCGACATTTACGAGCTGGAGCGATCCTCCGGTGTCGTCATCTCCATGGGTGGTCAGACCTCCAACAACATTGCTCTGCAGCTGTACCGACAGAACGTCAACATTCTCGGTACTTCTCCTGAGATGATCGACTCTGCCGAGAACCGATACAAGTTCTCCCGAATGCTGGACACCATTGAGGTTGACCAGCCTGCCTGGAAGGAGTTGACCTCCATCGACGAGGCCGAGGCCTTTGCCGAGAAGGTCTCTTACCCTGTGCTTGTGCGACCTTCTTACGTGCTTTCTGGTGCCGCCATGAACACCGTCTACACCCGAGACGATCTGGCCTCTTACCTCAACCAGGCTGTCGAAGTGTCTCGAGACTACCCTGTCGTCATCACCAAGTACATTGAGAACGCCAAGGAGATTGAGATGGACGCTGTTGCCAAGGACGGTAAGCTCATCATGCACGTTGTTTCCGAGCACGTTGAGAACGCTGGTGTGCACTCTGGAGATGCCACTCTGATTGTGCCTCCCCAGGATCTCGATCCCGAGACTGTCCGACGTATTGTCGTGGCCACCGCCAAGATTGGTAAGGCTCTGCAGGTGACTGGTCCCTTCAACATTCAGTTCATTGCCAAGGACAACGAAATCAAGGTCATTGAGTGCAACGTGCGAGCCTCTCGATCTTTCCCCTTCGTGTCCAAGGTGACCGGTGTTGATCTCATTGAGATGGCCACCAAGGCTATCTGCGGTTTCCCAGTCTCTCCTTACCCCCTGGAGGAGCTCCCCCAGGACTTTGTCGCCGTCAAGGTGCCCCAGTTCTCCTTCTCTCGACTGTCTGGAGCTGACCCCATCCTCGGTGTCGAGATGGCCTCCACTGGTGAGGTTGCTACCTTTGGCAAGAACAAGTACGAAGCCTACCTCAAGGCTCTGCTTGCCACTGGCTTCAAGCTGCCCAAGAAGAACATTCTTCTGTCCGTTGGTTCTTACAAGGAGAAGGTTGAGCTGATGCCCTCCATCAAGCGACTCCACGAGCTCGGCTTCAAGCTGTTTGCCACTGCCGGTACAGCCGACTTCATCCAGGAGCACGGCGTTCCCGTCCAGTACCTCGATGTCCTCAACGAGGGTGCTGACGAGGAGAAGTCTGAGTACTCGCTGACTCAGCACCTGGCCAACAACATGATCGACCTATACATCAACCTGCCCTCTTCCAACCGGTTCCGACGACCCGCCAACTACATGTCCAAGGGTTACCGAACTCGACGTCTGGCTGTTGACTACGCCGTTCCTCTGGTGACCAACGTCAAGAACGCCAAGTTGCTGACCGAGGCTCTGGCTCGAAACATGACTCTGGACGTGTCCGCCACCGACTTCCAGTCGTCTCACAACACTGTGACTCTTCCTGGTCTGGTCAACGTGGCCGGTGTGGTTCCCGACATTGCCATTGCTGGCTCTTCCGACATTGCCGACTTCACCAAGGTGTCTCTGCGATCTGGCTTCACCTTCTCTCGACTGCTCCCCATGGGCGTGTCCGAGTCCATCATCGATCTGGCTTCGCTTCAGACTGCTCAGGCTAACGCCGAGGGCCACTCCTTCACAGACTATAACCTTTCTGTGGCTGCCACTGCTCACAATGCCAACGAGGTTGGTAAGGTGACCGGCAAGGTTGGTTCTCTGGTGCTGCCCTTCAGCAAGCTGGGCGACAACACCACCAAGGTGGCTGCCATCTCGGAGCACTTTGGCGCCTGGCCCGCCAACAAGCCCATTGTCACTGACGCCACCACCACCGACCTGGCCTCCATTCTGCTGCTGGCTTCCCTGCACAACCGGCCCATCCACGTGACCGGCGTTGTTGACAAGAACGACATTGTGCTGGTTGCCATGGCCAAGGAGCGAGGTCTGGCTGTCACCTGTGACGTGTCCGTCTTTGCCCTCTTCTTTGCCCGAGAGGACTACCCCGAGGCCCACTCTCTGCCCACCCAGGAGGACCAGGATGCTCTGTGGGCCAACCTTGCCACCATCGACTGCTTCTCCGTCGGCATTCTGCCTTCTCAGATGGCCAAGGAGCTCGGCCAGCCCGTTGTCGCTGGTCTTGGTGTTGCCGAGACCCTGCCTCTGCTGCTCTCTGCCGTGGCTGACAAGCGTCTCACCGTCGAGGACATTGAGGCTCGGCTCTACACCAACCCCGTTCGAATCTTCGAGCTGGTGGAGCAGCCCGACACCTCCATTGTCGTCAACCTCGGCCGAAAGTACACTTTCAAGTCCAAGGGTCTGTGGTCTCCCATGGCCGGCAAGCCTGCCACTGGCTCCGTTGAGCGAGTCATTGTCGGCGGACAGACTGTTGTCCTTGAGGGTGACCTCAACGGTGCTTCCACCGGCAAGGCCATCTCCATCCACCCCCAGGCTGCTCCCGTTGAGGCTGCTCCTGCCACCCAGGAGATGGTGCACTCCCCCACCACCCCCCGAATGGCCCGATTCTCATTCTCCTCCGACGTTCGACCCTTCGCTAACAACCACGTTGAGTCGTCTGTTGTCGGTGCCATCCCCCCCGAGGTTTCCGCTCCTTCCATTCTCAACAAGCTGCGACGAAACCCCTTCCTTGGTCAGCACATTCTCTCTGTCAACCAGTTCTCCAAGGAGAACCTGCACGACATTTTTGCTCTGGCCAACGAGCTGCGACAGGCTGTCAAGCGAGTCGGTGTTCTGGACATCCTCAAGGGTCGTCTGCTGACCACCCTCTTCTACGAGCCTTCCACCCGAACCGCCACTTCCTTTGATGCCGCCATGCAGCGACTTGGAGGCCGTGTCATTGCCGTCAACGTCGACGCCTCCTCCTACAAGAAGGGCGAGACCCTGCAGGACACTCTCCGATCTGTTGCTTGCTACTCGGACGCCATCGCTCTGCGACACCCCGACCCCGAGTCTGCCAACATCGCCGGCCGATTCTCTCCTGTCCCCGTCATCAACGGTGGCAATGGATCCGTCGAGCACCCCACCCAGGCTCTTCTCGACATGTACACCATCCGAGAGGAGGTTGGTACTCTCAACGGCACCACCATCACCTTCATGGGTGATCTGCGGTACGGCCGAACCGTGCACTCTCTGGTGCGTCTGCTGACCCACTACAAGGTCAACATTCGACTGGTGTGTCCCCCCGAGCTCACTCTGCCCGACGAGCTCAAGACTCTTCTCAAGTCTCAGGGCAAGCTCGATCTTGAGTCCGCCACGCTCACCCCCGAGATTGTCTCCACGACTGATGTTCTCTACTGCACTCGAGTACAGAAGGAGCGATTCACTAACGAGAAGGAGTTTGAGGCCATCAAGGAGTCGTACTTGGTCGACAACAAGGTGCTCAAGGACGCCAAGCCCCACATGTGTGTCATGCATCCTCTGCCTCGAAATGCCGAAATCAACCCCGAGGTCGACTTTGATGCCCGAGCCGCCTACTTCCGACAGATGCGACACGGACTCTTTGTCCGAATGGCTCTGCTCGCCATGGTCATGGGTCCTGTTCAGTAAACGCCACACACGCTGAACAGGCCGAGGAGGAACAAACGGGATTTTGTTGTAAATATGTTTTAATTGATGATTGTAATATAGCATTGGAGTAGTAGTACAAGTAGAGCAACAGGAGTAGAACACTATGTACTGGAGTAGTGACGGTCGTCAGCCAGATAGAACTTGCACCAACTACACCGCTCGGCACTTCACCAGCTAATTACGCAGCCTTCGCGCCTCGTCCACATTGGCAGTATTATGATCGAAGACATCTAGCTAGTCGTTAACAAAGGTCTCTTCAGTGGCAGCTTTACACTTCAAACTCTAGGGTCGATACCGTATTAACACATTGCTACCCTGAGACTTGGGCTCCGGTGACACAAGTTGCTGTTTCAATGACGGTGAAGACCTGGAACTGCTAGTATTGTCTGGCGCTGGTGACATTAGTTACGACGGTCTCTGTCTTCTCGTAATCTCTCTCTGCAGTGGCGTAGCTGTGGGCTGGATGTCGCTCAACTCTCTCGCTCTCTCGAATGTGAAAAAGAGCCTCCAGACCAGTCTCCGTCCGACAGAGAGAATATGGCGGTATATCAAACGTTGAGAGTGTGTCCAAGGCTTGACTTTTCATCCGGTAACGGGTTAAAACATCTAATGACCCTCGTCGCAGAGACCTTGATAGTGCAACTAGTACAATAGTTACTCCGACGGGTCTATGTCAATGACAAGGGTTCTAAAGACATCATAGATGAGTAATAATAGTCCATACGGTGCCTGTACTCATGTACGACACCAATCCGAAGATTACAACGGTAACTTCAAGAACCTGTGCTGTGCCAGTACTCTTGACCAGACCGATCCGACTCTTACCACAATTGCTAGAACTGAGTTGTAATCAGTGAATTGACGGTCATCAGAGGGTGCCTCATATTGGTTGGTGACCATGTATATAAGACACCGTTCTCTTCTGTCTTTCTTGAGCAGCCTTCTCTAATGTCTGTATGAGCTCAGCTGCATTGGATGGGTGGGTAGAGAGTACTCTGTAGCTACTCGTACCACCAACTACCAACGCTTACTAAGCTCGCGTTCATTAGCACCACGAACCCCGGGTTTCTGTCCACCTATGCAGTAACAAGTACCGTAGTTCAGGTCCCGTGGACTGGCAGCAAATGAAATCGGGGACATTGGTTTTGGGTTGATTTGGGTGATTTGGGCGATTGGGGTGATTTGGGTGCTGGCTCTTTCTGTCTCCATTAAGTTCGTCCATCACGCGACCCAGCAAGAGGAAACCGGCGTGTAGAGTCCATGGAAGGGTGGCGGGAGCGGTTCGGGAGGCGACCCGGGTTGAAATACACGAAAAGCGGCGTTTTTTGCCCACGGAAAGACGCCTCCAACATGGCACTTGAGCTGACATTTCGCTCAGATTATTTGACTCATTTTTATTTTTTTTGGCTCAAGCTCAGCACTGCCACCTTCCCCAGCTAAGAAATAAAAACCGGACTAAGGATTTTTTTTTCCAGCCTAAATTGGAGTTTACTGACGAGGAGTGGTCGGCGGAGGGGGTAGTTTCTGGGGGTTGGCGGAGCGAAAAGGGGGCGGAGACTGTTGCAATGGGGATAATCGGGGCCGCAGCACACGATTATGTAATAATACCGCGACGGTATCTCACGAATATACCGAGTTTCATGTCGCTCAATTGTCCGGTCAAGTCCGAATAAGCTCGTCTGACTTCAGCAACCTGCCTAAGTACGAGTCGGTACAATGGGTGGAGGGGACTGGATGTTGCCAGTGAGAGGGACTAAGTATCTGTGCAGTAATCGGACGTGTTGCAACCAGTGTGTTGTGACACCGCCAAACCGTCCGATTTCCCGGAAATTGGCAAAGGTCCAAAACTGAGATGTATATGTACTGTCTGACCGGTGATACAGGGCACGGCTGATAGCATAGCCACAATGCCGTCCATGTGAGCTGAGGTATTTGGCTCTTTGCTAGCGCAAGAGTAGCGGGTGACCGGTGTAATCAACTGCTGCTTGTGTCTTTCCCGTCGAGACTGCGGTGGTTGGAGATGGAGGGTAGGAGGGTAGGAGGGTAGGAGGTGTTTAAAGTAGGCAGCCAGACGAGTGGAGGTGCAAGTGATGGCGGTAGTGTACGTCGAACCGTACCGGAATGCGTAATATTAACAGAGATAAGACGCAGACAGATAATACAATGCCCAAGTTGCATCCTTCGGCCCTACAACACGTCCCACTCTACGAGCACAACCGCTCCAGGTGCTCCGGTGCCGTATGATTCATTCATGGTTCAGTCCTGGCGATTCCGTGTACTGTATGTACAGCAGTAGTATGGTTAAAGTATACAATTATACGATGGCATAGCCCCCTTGGTCAGGGCATGTGGTTTGATGAGATTCGGGCGCTCAATGCCAGTAGTCAGGCCGCCGTTTTCCCGCGTATATTCTGGTGGTCCCTATCGCACATGGATATTTTACGCCCGGGATTCTGGCCCTGTCCTAACCTGCCAGTGCGTGCCTGGTAGACGCGTAGAAGACCCCCAGCCAGTGGTGCAAGTCAAGTAGCAAGTGAGAAGGTAGGGGCGAGCAAAACCCGGCTTGGGGGTAGCAAAAACCGGGGGATTCGCGGCCGACCGAGCTCCAAATGAGACCACCGACCACCACACAGCGTCTGCGCCCAAATCGCCACCTGTTTCACGCCGATTCACGCCGCTCTCCTCTACTTGTCCTCCGTCACAGCTAAAACTTAGTCTCACATTAAAGCTACGTGGTGCTCATCAGCATCTGCCAAACAGCTTGAACCACCCTCTCCCTCCTACCACCACCACCTCAACCGCACACACATCCCCTGACAAGATGGACAGCCACACAAGCACGGAGGGCGTGCCTCTGTCGGAGACCAACAACCGCTCGCACGCCACGCCCAGCGCGCAATATTGCCAAATGACGGTGGAAGAAACGTGTTCCAAGCTGCAGACCAACCCCGAGACGGGCCTCACGTCCAGCCAAGAAGCCATGCACCGGCGAGACATTCACGGCAGCAACGAGTTTGCACAGGAGGAGGAGGACTCGCTCATCAAAAAGTTTTTTGAGCAGTTTTCCGAAAACCCGCTGCTGCTGCTGCTGATTGGCGCCGCGGCGGTGTCCTTCTTCATGGGCAACCACGACGACGCCATCTCCATCACCCTGGCCATTCTCATTGTCACCACCGTTGGCTTTGTGCAGGAGTACCGGTCCGAAAAATCGCTGGAGGCCCTCAACAAGCTCGTGCCCCCCGAAGCCCATCTCATCCGAGCAGGTAACAGCCAGACCGTTCTGGCCTCGACCCTGGTGCCCGGAGATCTCGTCGAATTCTCCGTCGGAGATCGAATCCCGGCCGATTGCCGAATCGTCAAGGCCGTCCACCTGTCTATCGACGAGTCCAACCTCACTGGAGAAACTACGCCCGTCACCAAGGACACAAACCCAGTCACAGGCACTCCCCCCATCGGCCTCGCAGATCGAACCAATACCGCATACATGGGCACCTTGGTTAGAGACGGAAACGGAACTGGAATCGTGGTAGGAACAGGCTCCCACACCGCCTTTGGAGCCGTCTATGACATGGTGTCTGAAATCTCCACCCCCAAGACTCCCCTCCAAGCCAGCATGGACAACCTAGGAAAGGACCTGTCCCTGGTTTCGTTCGGTGTCATTGGTGTTATCTGTCTGATTGGTATGTTCCAGGGCCGAGATTGGCTGGAGATGTTCACCATTGGTGTCTCTCTAGCTGTCGCCGCCATTCCCGAAGGTCTGCCCATCATTGTTACTGTGACCCTGGCTCTAGGAGTTCTGCGAATGTCGCGACAGAAGGCCATTGTGCGAAAACTGCCCTCTGTCGAGACCCTGGGCTCTGTTAACGTCATCTGCTCCGATAAGACAGGAACCCTCACACGAAACCACATGTCCTGCACAACCTGCTGGACCGTCGACATGGGAGATCTCGCTAACGCTGTTACCCTAAAGCCTGGCCAGTCCCATACCGAGGCTGATCCCAAGGCTGTGGCTGCTCTCAAGAACTCTGTTTCCCTTGCAAACATGCTCAAGGTCGGCAACCTGTGTAACAACAGTAAGTTCAATCGAGAAGCTGGCCACCTGGTTGGAAACGCTACGGACATTGCTCTGATTGAGGTCCTGGATTACTTTGGACTCGAGGATACCCGAGAGACCCGAAAGCGAGTCGCTGAGGTTCCCTTTTCGTCTTCTCGAAAGTGGATGCTCACCTCCACCACCACGGGCGACTCCTCCACCCCCATGATCTCTGTCAAGGGTGCCGGAGAGGTCATTGCTCCTTTCTGCGAGTACTACTGCAAGAAGGACGGTAAGACCGCCCCCTTCAACGACGACATGCGAAAGAAAGTGACCGAAATTGCGTCGGAAATGTCTAACGATGGTCTCCGAATCATTGCCTTCGCCTACAAGCAGGGCAAGTACGAGGAGGGCTCCGAGGAGGCCCCTGAGGGTCTTGTGTTTGCTGGTCTCATGGGTCTCTACGATCCTCCTCGACCCGATGTGCCTCGAGCCATCCGACGACTCACAACTGGTGGAGTCCGAGTCGTTATGATCACTGGAGACTCTGCTGCCACCGCTCTTTCCATTGGTCGACGAATCGGAATGCCTCTGATGCCTGGGACTCAATCTGTGGTTGAGGGAAGCAAACTGGCCACCATGTCCGACCAGGCTCTTGATGAGTGTCTCCAAACCGCGTCTATTTTCGCTCGAACCTCTCCCGAGGACAAGATGAAGATTGTCAAGGGCTTCCAACGACGAGGTGATGTGGTTGCCATGACTGGAGACGGTGTCAACGATGCCCCTGCCCTCAAGCTTGCCGATATCGGCATTGCCATGGGCCAGGGAGGAACAGATGTGGCCAAGGAGGCTGCCGACATGATTCTGACTGACGACGATTTCGCTACCATTCTGTCGGCCATCGAGGAAGGTAAGGGTATTTTTAACAACATTCGAAACTTCATCACCTTCCAGCTGTCGACATCCATGGCCGCTCTGTCAATTGTCGCCGTGGCTACCATTATGGGTCTGGAGAACCCCCTCAATCCCATGCAGATTCTGTGGATCAATATTCTCATGGACGGTCCTCCTGCCCAATCTCTGGGAGTTGAGCCCGTGGATCCTGACGTGATGAACAAGCCTCCCCGACCTCGAAACGAGAAGGTCATGACCCCCGATCTGGTTAAGAAATGTGTGGAGGCCGCCGTCATCATTCTAGTCGGTACAATGCTTGTCTACGTCACGCAGATGCAGGACGGCGTCATCGACAAGCGAGACACCACTATGACTTTCACTTGTTTCGTCTTCTACGACATGTTCAACGCCCTGGCCTGCCGATCTGCCACCAAGTCCGTGTTTGAGATTGGCTTCTTCTCTAACAAGATGTTCCTGTACGCCTGTGGAGCATCGATCATTGGCCAGCTGGCAGTGGTGTATGTGCCCTTCCTTCAGAGCGTGTTCCAGACGGAGGCTCTGTCGGTGAAGGATCTGCTGTCGCTGGTGCTCATTTCGTCCTCTGTGTGGATTCTCGACGAGGCCAAAAAGTACTTTTTGAAGTCGCGTAGTACAAATAACTACACCAACAGTGTGGTCTAGGCGAGGCACAGAGACATTGTAATATAGCATGAGCCCAGAGTGGACCTGGGTAAGCGAGGGAGGATATGATAATTAATGGATACATTTAGACTAGAGTAAGAGTAGGTGTGGGTGTACCAAATGGCAAGCATCTTTTTGTATTCTTGCGAATGTGGCCTGCAGTGTCTTCTGCAGTGGTCTCATCTCGTCAGTCATTAATAAATTATCTATATACTAGTCATCACCAGGGGTAGCTGTAGAGTAAGTACATACTGTACATACTATTGTGGGCATGTTACAGTGAGCTGTATGTTTGTGACAGGGTCTTCTTCTCATTGTTCGCTGGTGAGCTCTCACTCATTCCCTGGATTGCTTCGGCCTTGAAAGTTGATAGTTTCCTTGCTTAACGCAGCTTTCTGGAAGTTGTAGTCAAGGCTTGCATCTTTAGTCGTTCGCTCAGACATATATGGCCTTTGGTTCCGTTAGACGGTGATTTCCTCGGATGCAGCCTTTCTTAGTCGATTCATCACCGCCAGCCCCTCATCCTCCTCTCTAATTCCCTCCACCAAAATCACCTCGACTTCCGCAATGTCCATATCTCGAAGTCCGGCAAACAGGTTTCGGCTCACCAGGGCAGGAGTGGTGCCCATACTGAGGGTGTGAACGTCAGGGAGCGTGTCATTAGACAGAGTGAGTGACGTCAACAGTCCAATCTTCTTTCCCTCCAATTCTCCACTCGTCACGTACTCCTTCACGGCCTGCTCCACAGACTTGTCGCTCACAGGTCCAAACAGAACCACCTTTCCAGTTGGTGAGTAATGCTTGTATTTCATGCCTGGAGTCCGCACGGCCTCGTCAGTCTTTGCATTTGCTCGTCCCACAAGAACATTCTTCCACTTTTCGCCTCCATGTTCTCTAATCTGCTCCAGACTGACTCCTCCAGGTCGCAGCAGCATAGGAGGATCAGAGAGACCGTCCACCACCGTCGATTCAACACCCACATGACAGGCGCCTCCGTCCAGAATGAGCGGAATTCGGCCCTGCAAGTCATGGTAAACATGGTCCGCAGTTGTGGGAGACGGTCGAGTAGACGCATTGGCGGAGGGAGCGGCCAGAGGCAAGTCACTGAGAGCAATCAGGGAGCGTGCCACTGGATGATCTGGCATTCGAACAGCAACTGTGGGCTGACCAACGGTACAGGCAGGCGATACATCGCTGTCCGAGTCAAGCGGAAGCAAAATCGTTAGAGGACCAGGCCAGAACTTTTCAATCAGCGGCGTGTAAACGTCGGGAATCTCTCGGCCCTTGAGAATCTTGCGCTTCAGCTGATCCAATGACGAAACATGCACAATCAGAGGGTTGTCGGCAGGTCGATTTTTCGCAGCATAAATGCTCTTGACCGACTCTGTGCTCAGAGCACTGGCTCCTAGTCCGTACACCGTCTCTGTAGGGAACGCCACGGGCTCATGGGTGGTTTGCAGCACATGGGAGGCGTGTTTGAGAGCCTCGAGAGTCTCCGAGTCGGAAATCGACGGTTGACGTGCCCGTGGACTCTTGTCAAACTGGATGCTTGCAGTTTTCAATCGCACAATGCTGGTATTCATGCTGGTGAAGAGTCGTTTCATGAAAAACGAAATTTTCAAAAATAAAATTAGACGCATAAAAATATTTAGCTCCGACCGAACTTAATCGCAATCGGGGTGAAAAATTATGATGATGTTGGATTATAGCATGTGTTACAAGCACAGAGAAAAAGGGACTCTTTCATGTCATTTGGAGAGGATGATTGTATTCCGAAGGGCGAGTTGTCTGTCATGAGATTATGTCCTCTTTGAACTGAATCGAAGCGATATGGTGATTTTTTGGGTCTAGATCTAATGATGATGACAAATCTAGAAAAGATAGTCATTTTTCCGGTTAAAGCCGATAAATTGAAAGCGTCAGTTATTTTGCCTCGTTCAGTCTCTCCATTTCTCGTTCAGTGCGATGTTATGACTGCTGCTGCTGTCTACATTTTGTTTAAATAAAAGAGGCTCCTTATGGTTAGGAGTTTCCAACTGATTAGTTTAGACCTTGTTCATCACCCAGAGACCGCCCTGGAGACTGTGAAAGTCATCAAAGTACCGAATGTGGATCGATTGTGTGGATTTGTGATCTGGTGCCCTTCAATACGCTCTCATCGGTACGGATTAGGGCCTTGACTCTCATTACATTGGCCTAGGGCGGCCTTTCCGACTGCCACAATTTAGCTGTGTATTACAACACTGTAGGGAGAAGTAACCAGGGAGACCATCAATTGATTAATAATGACGGACCCTGAGATTTGACCGGGTCAGCGATAAATCAAGTTATCTTCTTGGGTCTACGTCTCTTCTTGATTCCGTTAGTCACAGGACGAGGCTTCTTGGTCTCATCTTTGGCGGCATACTTTCGGATCCCACTTCTCAGCTTCCGAGGGTCAGCTCCATTGCCAGACACAATGAGCACGATTTCACCATTCTTGTAGAGCGCGAAGGTGGGTACAGAGCTGACGGGTACCATGGAAGCCACTTCCACGAGCTCTTCAGAGTCGCAATTGTAGTACTTCGCTCCTTTGTAAGCCTTGGAGTACTTTTCATAAACGGGGGCAATCATTTTGCATGGTATGCATGTCTTTGTCGAGAACTTGATTACCGTCAGTTCTTCTGACTTGATGGCCTCCTCGAATTCACCCAACGAGTGGAGATCTGTGATTGTCATGGTGGTGGTGGTCTGGTGAAGTGATGTGTATCCAACTGTCTTCCTCGAGTTTGATCAAGCCACTCCTGGTATAGGGGCGGGGGTTACGGAATGAGTTGAGTTGAGAAGATCAGACCACGTGGTCGGTCTGAACGTGCAACTTTCATTCGGAGTCTCTGGTTTTGCGGTCATTTTGTTCGTTACCGCTCTCCTGACTTCACCCTTCCATCCCCCAGACAATCTTCGGAGTCCGACATTGCGTCGTGCATTATCAGTGCCGTGCCAAGATCTCGTGAGACATCCGGCGATCAATGTTACAACATTTCCGCCGTCCAACCAGATGACGGTTATCGGTCACGTGAATGTATGAAACGCGTCTACATGAGCTCAGTTTCACGTGTTTGTCATTATTTGACCTCACTGCTTTGTGTGTTTCTTCACAACGTCGTCATACAAGTACAGCACTTGTACGTGACCAAAACAAGGAGCATATGTGTGTGCCAAGTCAGATGGGTCAAAAAAACAAAACATAAGAGTTCACCAAGAGTTCACCAACGACGCCCGGTTTACGAGGAACCAACTCTTGGGCCTGATTCGAGCATATCTTATGAATTTGCGTGGTCTACAACTTTTACCAATCACTACAAGTGTACATACTGTACTTACTGAAAGGTGGTGGTGTGTCTCGTCATGTCAACTTCACCTATGCGATTGCTGGTTAGAGATGCTGAGATTGTGAACACTAGGTTGCTATAAAATAGACAAGCAGACCTACAGTACAAGTTCTGATGACCTATTCTGTATGTACTATACTCCTTTGGAGCATCCAAGTCAAGAAACTAAAGATTAGGACTCCCTCCTCGTAACCTGATTAATAACTTGTTCAGGATAGATTGAACTAAGTACAAGTACAGTAGGACGGTATGAGAACCTCGGGTTCACTTGACGACATATGTCATCATCTAATGTATGACTCCCTGAAATCCCTGGTTGTCTCCAGATCCTAGACTCCCTCACTCTCTCAGGTCGTCTCCACGTCCTAGACTCTCATAACAAAACGTGTTTCTCAGTCGCACCTATCGCATGATGCTGACATGAATAATTTTTCACAAAGGGGAACCACAATGGCCGTGAAGTCCAGTGACAGTATCTTCTTGCATCCAAGTTAGATTGTAACCACTGTCACTCGAGTTTCCATCTCACCGCCGTCGCGCTCTGCCAGGTCCCCTGTGGAAAGCCATCGTACATCTCTCTAGGAGCGGAGTTCCCTCATCATGGCGGTCCAAGGCGTAAGACCGGGGAAATGCCCGAAACACAAGACAGGTTGTTGGTGATAATTCCAACAGACCTTCAATCGACACTTTTAACGGGCTTTGGCTAACGGTAACCCGTGTGTTTTCCAAACTGGGCCTGTCCAAAACAGTACGGTACATACTACGCAATACATACTGTACTATACCCAGTTCTGTCTCTGACTACGGAAGTAGAGCATTTGGAGTTTGTCAGTAGTAACGTCATGTTATTCAACCAAGCGCCTTTAAGTGAATCCTCTGTCTTTGATCTGAGCCATCTTGCATCACTTCTCTGAGAAGTCCGAACGCGAAATTCTTTCCAGAATCGTGACACGGTCTCTCGACTTGATCTTGCCGCTCCGACTTCGGATTCAGGCTAAACAGGAAGAGCTGCCTAGTTCTATATACTATTCACAGGCGTGGCAATATCGGCACCGACTTGTTCAAATCAGCCCAAAACGGATTTGATGCTCCACGATATCAGTCTAGGTACCAATAATGGTCGTCAGAATGGAGAAATGTCCCGAGCATCTATGTCCCCTAGTAGAGTAGTGCAGAATAGCTCAAAAAATTTATCACGTCAAAAAAAAATTGATCACGTCTTACCACTACAGTAGCATTAAATAAATTCCTCTATATGCCTGCACTAACATAAAGATCCACCTTATACATCCTAGTACACCATGAACACCGTCTGATCCATGGTCCAACCGAACACTCGAAGGTGAGCTACCGTTCACTGTTCGATTTCGGCATTTCATCACGTCATCTCTGCACTATCATCACTGTATCCTAACATTTACTCCTTTTCCTTTTCCTTTTCCTTTTCCAAGGCAGCCAACTGCCAGGCGGGAATGCTAGCCTTGGGGGCGGGCTTCTTCACGGCGCTGTTGCCGGGCTCGGGCACAAAAGGCTCTGGCTCCTGGATGGGGGAGGGGGCGCTGGAAATGGCCGAGTTGGGCACGGTAGAGGTGCTCGAAGAGGACATGGAAGCAGGCTGGGGAATCATAGGCACAGCTCCTGCGGGAGTGGGGATAAAGTCGTCTCGGTCAGCAGGAACGGTGCTGCTTGAAGACACATTGTGCACGGGAGAGCCGGGAGTCACAGGTGCGGGAGCAGCAGCTGGAACGGCAGGAGACGCCTTTCGAGTGAGGTAGGAGGAGGGAGGAGGAATGGGAGGCAGCTTGGGTCCAGAGCTGGCTGCGGTTCGGGTGCTGAGCAGCTGCTTGAGCGACTTGAGCTCGCTCTGAATGTCGGCCAGACCCTGTTCCTGCGAATCCTTGAGCTTGTCAATGTTCTTGGGCAGTCTGTCTCTGATTCGCTCCACCTCGGCGGTCACAAGCTTCATCTCGTCGTCACGCTTCTTGGTCTGCGATTTGAGCTGGTCGATGGTCTCCTCCACGCCCTTGAGCGCGTCTGTGACCCGCTTGGCCACCTCTACCTGGCTGTTCTTGACCTCCTCTGTGTCCTGCTGCACCTGGTCGAGCAGGCCCTGCACACGGGCAAACTCCGCTTCCAGAGCCTCCTTGTCGGCCTCGAGAGACGGAGGGGTGGGGGGCAGGATGAGAGGCATCAGGTATCGCTTTGCCACCGTGTACAGGCCAAATCCAACACCAACAGTGACGGTGGCCATGATGAATACATCCTTCCAATCCCGTTCAGGAAGAGGAGGAGCCGATTGGAATGCATAGGAGGCAGGCACGGTTGGAGCAGCGCCCCCGTGACTCACCACACTTCCAGGATGACTTTGGGCCGAGCCCGATCCAGCCCGCTTGAGAGCCTCCTCAATCTCCTCAGGAGTCATATCCTTGGACTCCAGAAACTCGATCCGCTTGGCGAGCGGGGCAGTGGCTGCCTGAGGATCGTTCAGGAACGCCACCGCACTTTGCACTAGATCTTCTCGAGGTGCCATGTGTTGTGTAGAGAGACAAGAGGGAATCATGAGAGGAGCTGATGTGGGGTGCGTTTTCAGGGTTAGGGTCCAAGATGATAGATGAGACGTGGAATTACTTGGAAAGTGGGTATTTTTGATTTTTGAAACTACCGCAATGTTAAGAAAAATCTGCTGAATTCAAATCAGTTGTCCTTTTCCAAATCAGAGCCCGAAAAGTCGAGATAAGTGCACCTCCCCATTTCCCAGCGCCGGAATCAAAGTTCCCCATTTACCGAGGCTCAAAATCACAACGGAAAAACACATGTGGGGGAAAAAGTAGGGTAACTTGAAATCCAACGGTCCAGCTCAGATGCACTACGAGTGCAGTACTGTACAGTACAGTACCGGTATGAGTAATCACGTGACATTCACGTGATAAAACCGGACCTGGAGGAGTCGATATTGGACGTAGCCACCAGTATAGCGTGCTACTTGCCAAATAACATCCACTATCAAAAAACTGAAATAAAAATGAAAATAAAAATGAAAATAAAACTCCTATGCTTACATAAGCGCAGCTCCCCCAATGTATGGCATAAAGTGCTCGTATGGGTTCGAGTGTACCACAAGAATCTGAGGAATAGGAGCTAAGCAGGGACTTCAAAATACGGGTCACATGACCTGAACAAAAGAGGGTCTCAAAAAACCTCCGACTTTTGAATTAAAATATTGCCCTCCACTGTCTCAGTGTACCCACCCTAGGGTCTACTACTTGTAGGATTCAGCTAACTGGGGTAGATAACAAAGTATTATGGGGAAAACATGTCGTCCTTGTTCAGTTTTTTGCCGCGAGTTCACGGGTCAACTCCGTTTGTTAATACATGCATTAACAGCACTTCATTTCTTCACTTTCTAAACTGTTCTCTGATGAATCAGGCGAGACACCCACCCACCAATACCAACGTGGTAATTATCGAATACGGGAGTCTACAGTCACATATACTGCATTGATATATTCCTTGGGGCCTAAAGAATGCAGTGATCAACTCCTCGTATTCGTCAGGTCACCGAGAGAGTTGGTTGGACCCTCTTTCCTCTCGCCGCTGCACATGAAGACAACCTTGACAACTTCTTCAGCGTTGTTCGGACAAAAATAAACACTTGACTAACTGTTGTTGGTATTCCTTCCCCTTGAATTAGTGCGCTTCTGGATGGCGGAGATGGAACGCTGGGGTTTATTTTGGCACTAGTGCTGAAAAATGACCTGAACGACGCTAGCACCTGCATATTTGTGATCATCTCCGTGGAAGTGCTAGACAGTACTTGTGGGCCCACAGAGAGCAGTATTTAGCCCATGGTAGGGTTTCTTCGTGTCCGGTAATGCAAACTAGAGACAAAAAAGGTGCTTTGTGGGCAACCACAAGGCTAGTTTGGACTCATCGCAGGGCTGTACTAATGAGTATCGCGCTTAGAGCACAAGGAGGTTCGGGCAGATCAGATACAATTGTCGGTTTATTATTTAGACTTGCTTAACTACAAGTAGACACTTCAATCCGCCATCATTGTTGGTAAGAATGCCAGAAACCAATATGAGGTTCAACAGGGGGTGAGGTGAAAGAAATGGAGGTAAGGGGTTGAGGTTCAGGGATAAGAAGTTTCAAAGGATAATGTAGGACGATAAAGAGAATAAAGAACTCTCCATGATCGCAACTGGCTTGTATTGTTTTATATCTTCGTCTCTTGCTGTCATGGAGAGGTAGAAAAGTGATGCTAGCTTTTGTTACAGAAGAGATACAAACAAGAGAAGTTCACTGCTGTGATTGTCCAACGTTTGCGATTGTAATAAGCCCTCATTTTCGTTCACCAGTGGTCTGCATCAGAAACTTGCCCTGGAATTCATGTTTTCTAAAAAACTCATAACTGTCCACCACAAACGAAGCTCTATCTGCGAGGAGACCGATCCTGATAACCGCCTTGGCTTGTAGATTGGCTCTGTTTGAGTCCCGTATCTCAGATCGTATCGAGTTCATTCCTCCGACTCAGTTATCGTTATTATACCCGCCCTTCCTGAGACAAGTACAAGCAATACGACCGGTCATGCTCCCCACGGAGCATTAAAGTGGAGTTTGAATCTATTCCGCTTGTTCCGCGCGTATTCAGGGTGGCACTTATTCCTCTACATGCCCCTGGGCCATCTCTGTGAGACTCTTTCGGTGCCATAACGCCTTGAGACAGCTTTCTGACGTCATTCCATAGCAACCAGTACATTGTGGATTGAACTTCCTGAATTGGAACAGTGTACAGAGGTCTGCCGGAGTTCTAGAGCAAGATCTCCGTGGGTAGCGTTTTCATATCCCGAGCAGAACCTTCTGCTAGCTATTGACGGGCAGGATAAGTGTTCGCTGGAATGAGTCTGTGGACATGGGGGGAAGGAAATGCAGGAAAAGTGCCAAGAGCGAGATAAAACATGGTTCCGGAGGGTATTGCGACGATCCTTCTTCTTTGTTGTGCAGGTTCCAACTGGAATAAACCAGCAGTTATGAAAACCAGTTATTCCCACTTCGGCAGGAATTCGGTACTTCGCAAGCGGATCTAGAGCGCAATCGAGGCCGGAGACGATTTCACATGAGCGTGCAGAAGCCCCGGCGGTTCTTTGTGTCGGCCAGCATAAGCGAGAAATGCTGTTCCTACAGGATATGTGCTTGAGTGGAGTAGGTTGGGGGCAGGGGGGAGGGGAGGGGGGTGAGAAGGAGACATGTTGGCCATGCTTGACTGCAAGGGTGTGCACAAATGGTATTGGCGGACTCGCCGGGGCCAGACCAATCCAACCGTGTAACTCTCATAACGTCTGCACGCCTGTGTCAGATTCTCTCGGCTCTGCCACAGCCTCGGAGATTTGGAAACCAAGCTTTCAACCTTGTGCTGATTTTCATTCGGGTTAAAAACGTTTCGGAAGTCACATTTGCTCGTTTAAACCAAGTCGACAAGTCTTCGTCAAATACGACCTGCGACCGTGCGTCTCATTGTTCCACGTGGTACAGTGCAAAGACAGACTACTTTTAGTTTAGACTGGCAACGAGACCCCTAAAAGTTTAGTTAAGGCAAACTTCCGATTGATAGACAGTGGGGGAAGTGGAGGGGTGTGGTGGAGTGGAGGGTGAGGGTTTTTTGGGGGGAAAAAACAAACAACAAAACAACCGGCAGTTGAAATAAGACTTGTGGTGGTCATGTGATCAATGGTCAAATGCCGGAAGCAATGGAGTTAAGCGGTGGCGGGGGAGGGGAGGAGCAAGGTACATACAGTGTGTACATACATGTACAGTCAAGCCAAGAGCTGAGCATGTTCCAAGGAGGGAGGCCCGCAATAGATGCACAAGGGCAACCAATAACAAGATAAGCCCCTCAATAAGAGGAATCTATGGTCTACGACGACCGTTGGGGTTGTTTTTTCATTATTCGGAGTTAGTCAATAAGAATAATAAGAGTGCGTAGAGTTGTGAAATTATAGCAACCTTCTTTGCACGCCGTTCTTCGGGCCGAAAATAACAATACAATAGTCGCCTCCGATACGAGATGATTTAATCAGAGCCAGAGTGTTTATTAGTGCGACAGGCAGATGGAGCTATCATAGGTGAGATAGCGGATCATCGCAGGGTCGACCTGTTGGGGGAGACGTGCAGAAAGTCGCTCATGGGCTGTTGGATCGTAGCAATCTCTTACTGTGTCAACCTGGCGCCATTTTCCCGCCCGCGGCCATTACAAATGCTGGGTCAGATTTGGTCAGCCTGCCACCTGCGTCAGAAGCCGTCAAGCTCGTCGTACAGCCCTCCGACATCGGCTCACGGAAAAAGGTTGTTGAGCCCTATAGTGCTTGGAGCGCGATAAGTGCTGATGCAACTAAGTAGAGAGAGAGAGAGAGAGAGAGAGAGAGAGAGAGAAAGAGAGAGAGAGACAAGCGGAAGAAAAAGTTAAGTAAAGTAACGTCAAACAGAAAGGAGACTCAAGGGGACTCCGCAGAGAGCGAGACCAGTGTCTGCCAGGGTTGCAGATGAGACACGCGGTGGTCGAACAAAACGGTTGAAAGAGCGCAGAATACAATGGAACCGCCCACATCAGCACTTTGCATACCCCTCCTCGCCTCTCCAACGCTCCTGCTCCTCTTCTGCTTGTCGCTAACGCTCGTCGCTCGCCTGCTCCTGCCCACTTGCCTGATGCACTGGCATCTCCGCAATCCAGTATCTCCCTGAGAATAAAGAAGGGGGCATTTTTTTGGGCAATTGCAAAAAGCAACGAGTGGCTCTTTTGCACGAGACGAGTCATGTCCCGCCATAGTCCAGTCCGCCCGGCGGCGCTGGAGATGACCGGCCTCCGCACTAAATGGGTGCAGGGAGCTGGTCTAACCTACAATACAGTAGTCAACTGTGCATGTCGTCTGGCGCTCACTTCTCCACAGGGTCTCTGGTGTTGCCCCGGACCGCCGGCACGTGAACAATCGGAGCCCAATCGGAGGGTTGGGGAACCTCTAACTCAATGCCGACACCCTGAGCAGCTTTAGATTTCGAATTCTCAGTCTTTTAATTTTCCCAGCCTTTTTTGTTTTGCGATATTCAACTCTCGCAAAGGAATAGACGGCCACCATAAACCCCTGGGCAGTAGGTTCGAGGACAAGCTGATTTTTGGCTTTGGGTGGAAAACCTAAAAGAGACCGCTCGGTTCTTTGTCTTCTTGACTAGCGACACACATAGCCAGCTCCCAAGCTATCGAGGCCGGTTGACTGGAGCACCCAAAAGTCGAGTCTTGGGAAAATCGTAAAACCAGCGGGGGATCCGGCTAATGACGCTGACTACGACACTAAACCCCAGTTGTTGCTCTCGATGTCGCTCCCGTGCTGATCTCCGCTCGCTTCTTTTGCTACAGAGAGCCTGTCTGCAGGGTGAGACATTTAGATCTCAATCTGGGGGAGTGGTGCTGGAGGAATGAATTATTCAGTATAGAGAGAGGGCTTGCGGTATAAGTATTTGTATAGTAGTCCAACAAGAACCAAAAGTGAACCAGATGAAACTGTTCTACAGTTGTTGAAGAAAAAAGTACCTTCTCCACTGGCTCTCTCGTCGACAGTAGTATATTGATACAATGACGTCAGACACATGTATATATATATACTGTAGGTGCGGGTGCAATTCACAGTACAGTACATAGTGAAGTACAGTAGTCGTACTCGCACCTGTACAGATATGTTGAGTACGATGCAACGGTGTAAAATCACTGCAAACAGTGGACAATGTCAACAGGCCTGGATACGCTACAATACAGTGCAATTCGGATACACTATGACAAGAGCTTCTCCTTCCATTGACGTCTTGTCTAACGAGTGGGCGGTTTCTACAGTATGAGTGCCAGTACATATACTTGTTCTCGCTAGTGTATACACTATGCTAACGTGGGGTAGGTGGAGTGAAGGTGGAGGTGACCGAATTTCCACACACACGACACAAAAAGTCCCGGAATCCGCTGTCGCGAGCCGCCCGACAAAATCACGCAGACCGCCCGCGCCCCCAGCACTCCACTCCATCCATTCTCCACCAGCTCTCCCTGGCGGCGTTTGAACTAGCTCTAGCTCTCCAAGGTTTAGCTTAGGTTTTTGGCTCACATGCAAAATGCAAAATAGCATGTAGCTCAATTATTTTTACTGTTTGGCGTTTTGGCACAAAGTGAGAAGTCCAACCTCCAAGTACAAAAGGTTGGTATGGCGACACCACCAGGGACGGTCAAGTAGGCACAGTTGAGATTGCGAACGATAGGAGAGAGAGAAAGACCGCAGCTGTATACGACAGACACAGACAGCGGCAGACACGGCAGACACAACAGACACGCAAACACGCAAACACACCCTCAAATAGAGACTGAGGCGCTTGACGGCTCTTTTCGACCCCAAATCGACCGAAACCGACCAAAATCGACCAGACACGGACCTTTACAACCGAATTTCGACTAAATTTCGACTAAATTTCGACCCACAACATCCCCCCCCTCCATCTCCCTCCTGCTCTCTCATGTCTCGAAAAACAAACCGACGAGAACTGACGGAATTCGACAAGGGACGAATAGTGGGGCTGGCGGACTGTGGAAAAAACCTGGCGGAAATCTCCAAGCAGCTGGACATTCCGCGATCCACAGTACGAGACTTCATCAAGCGGTCCAAGGAACGAGGCCATTATGAAAACGTACCACGCCCAGGACGTCCGCGGAAAACCACGGAGGAGATCGACAAGCTGATAGTGGAGGTCACAGACGACCGCAGCGACTCGCTGGAAGATATTCAGAAACAGATTGTGCCCGAACTCAGTGTGCGGACTATCAAGAGGAGGATCAGAGAGGCTGCCGACAGACCGGAAGTGCTCAGCCCAGTGTCAGCCTCCGCCCCAGGATCCTCCACCCTGCAACACACAACGCTGCATCGTAACTCGGTGTCGAAACCCGGACTTAAAAAACCGTCGCTCAGTGGAACCAACCTCAGCGGATCTGCCCTGGAAGCTTACGGAGTCAAGCAGGAGTATCAGCCTCAGATGAACCATGTGTAACACTCGCTCTGGAGAGTTAGTCATCCGACAGGGTAACTCTAATCTCCCAACACCTTATTAACTCTGCGTAACTGTAACTCTTCTTGCCACGTCGATCTTACTCAATTTTCCTGCTCATCATCTGCTGGATTGTTGTCTATCGTCTGGCTCTAATACATTTATTGTTTATTGCCCAAACAACTTTCATTGCACGTAAGTGAATTGTTTTATAACAGCGTTCGCCAATTGCTGCGCCATCGTCGTCCGGCTGTCCTACCGTTAGGGGTAGTGTGTCTCACACTACCGAGGTTACTAGAGTTGGGAAAGCGATACTGCCTCGGACACACCACCTGGGTCTTACGACTGCAGAGAGAATCGGCGTTACCTCTCTCACAAAGCCCTTCAGTACCGCCGCCTGTCGGGAACCGCGTTCAGGTGGAACAGGACCACCTCCCTTGCACTTCTTGGTATATCAGTATAGGCTGATGTATTCATAGTGGGGTTTTTCATAATAAATTTACTAACGGCAGGCAACATTCACTCGGCTTAAACGCAAAACGGACCGTCTTGATATCTTCTGACGCATTGACCACCGAGAAATAGTGTTAGTTACCGGGTGAGTTATTGTTCTTCTACACAGGCGACGCCCATCGTCTAGAGTTGATGTACTAACTCAGATTTCACTACCTACCCTATCCCTGGTACGCACAAAGCACTTTATTTTCTCACATCTGGTGGACGACACCTCGTTTTTGTTTCGAGTGATAGCCTGCCAGATTTATTGTGCCTTTACTGTCGTACCAGCGTATTTTACTTCCCTTTCCGTTCTTTCGTTTTCACCATGTCGAAAGTAACAAAAGACGAGTTCCAGGCTCTCACCGCGAAGATGGACGCCTTGACGCTCTCCCACCAGGAGATCACCACTACTCTCGCTACCGCGGTTAATACCAAGGAATTCCGCTCAGCCTTAGACGAGCTCAAGCAGTCAAATGAGTCTTTCAAGACACATCAGGCTGGGGAGTTTGAAAAGTTGCACCAGTTGGTGTCGGCCCAGCACGAAACCATCGCGAACCTCAGCAAGCGTGTCGACTCACCCCCGAGCACCAGCTCCCTTGAAGGCATTTCCCGTATTGGCAAGGCTGATTCCGAATTTGAACCCGACACCCCCCAGAAGGGTAACTCTGTCCTACATGGCATGGACTTTGCTGCCAGTGACACGGGTTCTGTTGACTATCGAAAAGAATCCGACGCCCTCAAGTCCATCATCCGGAACGAGGTTTACCCCTCCTTGTCCAGCGAAGAATTCCGAAAACAGTTGTACGCTTACAAATCTTTTGATTCCCGGGTGGCTACCTTTATCCTACTCCAGGATGACATCCGTTGGAGCACCAGAGCTCGGGCTTTCCACCTTTGGTGCGGTGTCAACGATAAGCAGCCCCTCTTCGATCAACAGTACCTCCAACTCCGAAGCACCTTTGAAGCAGAGACTGCTGATGAATCAACCAAGCCAGGTGCCCACGCTCGTCTGAACACCGCTTGCGAACGTCTCCTCCGGGACCTTTTTCGAAAGCGCGGGTTTGACCACGAACCTGCTGTCTCCTTTGCTGAACAAGAGGAGGAACTCCGTTTCCGGTTCAAAGATTACCACACCGCTTTCTCTATCGAGACACTACGTGCGTACCTCTCTGCTCTGAGCACCGCTCTGACCTCCTCACCTCTGCCGGTTCTCTCTCGGTGTCTCCAGTTGCAGAAGCTCGCTCCGACTCACCTGGGCACCGCCCTCGGACGCGAGATCCCTCGTGACAACACTCGTTGGCTGAGCCTTGGCATGGACTCCGACCCTGAGCGTGACCATCAAGTTGCCACGGAGCTCATCCAGCCCCTCGCCAAGATGATCACCCAACATGTCCAACGACTTGACGATCTCAATGATGAGGCTCTTCTGAGATGGCGACAGCACACGGTATCTTTCGAAGACGTGTGGATGTGGGTCGAGCCTTCCGCCCCACCTGAGCCTTCCACGCCTGAACCTGACAAAGTCGTCGTTCACGTTGCGGGACGTGGTCGTTCCACCAGGAAGCCTGCCGACGGCCCTGTCTCAACTGAGACTGTGCAGAAACCCACAATCCGTGCCTCGGATGCCTCAACCTCCTGGGCAGCTGACAAGGCTCCTTGTGTTTTCTGTGGTTCCACTGCCCATGCACTGGTCAACTGCGATGACTCCGAAGGCAGCCCCTTGGTCAAGGCCAAGTACCTTGGCAGCTTCAAGTCTTTCACCCGACTTGGCTACCAGGGTTTTGAAAAGTATCTATCGCCTGTTGATGCTGACTTCCCTCTAAAACAGAGCGCTCTCTACACTTCCTGGAAGCAGAAGGAATGGTCGAATCCGCTTATGGAGCCTAGACTTCGAACTTTCAATGCGCAGTGGCGTCCTGCCCTAGCTGGCCGCGTAAATGCCGTTGAATTTGTACACGTTGAAGACCCAGGCGGGCCTTTGGATAACAGCTATGACTCTGACTCATCTGCGTCTGGTTATGACTTCCAGGACCTTCTCCAACCCGGCACGTTCAGTGTCTGTCTAGGAGGGGTGCCTCGAGATCTTCTGTCTGATACGTTTTCCTCCTACGACGAGCCTCGCACTATCATTGACTCCACTGACTCCCAGCTTGAGCTCACGAAAGAGGCAATCCACCAGCACATTCTCCAGATGGCAAAACAGCCCACACCCCTCCCCGTCACTTACGCAATTGATGCGCCTGTGTCAGGCTCCTACAGTGGCAACATGAAGCGCCTTGTGGCACACCCAGCCTTCATGCAGCTCGTAGCTCGCTTAACTGCTCCCCCGGGCACGTTCAAAGCCTCCACGCTTGAAGCGGGTTTTGTAGGTGCTGTTATGGCCCCGTCTTCCCCAGTTGCCGGCCGTGTCTACTTTGTTGATGCGGTCCAGCGATTGCTCAACAAGTACAACGTAGTATTGCCTACGAAGCTTTACGAGTGTTTCGCTACAGTCCGAAATGACCTCATGGAGCCCGCTTACGCCACCGAAGGCGATCCTCGCCGACAGTCTCTCAAGACCAACATCAACGCCTTGAAAACTGTTGTCGACAGCAAGCACCCTGACAGACCAGTGGCTCCGTTGCCGCGACGCAGCCCCCGTCGTGATGTCCGTGAAGACATGCCCCCGCCTGCTTTGCCTCAAGCGACAAAACGTGGTGCCGCTTCTTCTACGGTATCTTCCGCTGCTCCCCCCACTGCTAAGCGAACCAAGGCTGTAGCCAATCCCTCCTCAGTGGGGCCGACTGACTCCGCATCCTCCACGGGCGCTGTTGTTGACGTCCCCAGCTCTCGTGTGGCTGTTCACCCCCCCCGTCTGGGTGATAACCACTACGTGAGCCCTGGAACCCGTGTCACCAACCACATCCACGATGCCTCTGCCGTTGCGGAGAATGCACCCTTAAAAGATTACAAGGATGCTCTGGACCGCCTCCCGTCTGACCTAGAGGACTCCAAGGCTCTCTTCACCAGAGATCATCCTCGTTACGACAATGCCTTGCTGAAGGCTGGGCGTCTCCCTCTCTTCAAGCTTGAGGCCATTCATGCTCTGCCGGAATCGGAAAAAGCAGACTTGTTTGAGCGCATCCTCAAGGCGTCGGATGTTGATGGCCTCGTTCTTTTTGAGCTTCTCCAGGTGTGCCCTGACCTCACAAAGTACATTTGGAAGAACTTCCGTCACCAGCGGCACCGGCTTGCGGGTCCTGACATCCAAGCCATCGCTCTTGAGCTCGGGGACGATCTCATGGAGTGTGCCATGGATCTTGCGCTCAACGTGATTTCGTCCACACCGTATGAGCTCAACTCTGGCACCTTCGGTCGTCTTCAGGAGGTTTTCACCACCATTGACCGTCAGCTGTACGACGACAAAGTTGGTAGGCCACTCTCGCCCCACTTCACCGACAACATTGCTCTTTTCGACCAACAGACCAGCGCCCTTTTTGACAGTGGCTCGTCTAACAACGTCATCGACACTGATTTCTTTGCCCTTGTACTCGCGAAGGCTGGTGTCACCCCTGACCGGGTGATTGTTTTTTCTGACGGACAGTCCCACGCCACAGTCGCAAACGGAGCCAAGGTAAAAGTTGATTTCTGGGCGCTTCTCCCTGTCACTTTCCTGGGTGTCGTTACTCTTGAAACATTTTGTGTCATGAAGTGCAGCATGAAGTGTATTCTCGGCACCGGATACATCAGCAAACTGCGCATTTCGTTCGACCATGATCGTTACCGTGTCGCTTCAGTGGAGAACCCTGGTAACCCTGGCGTCCGGTGCTACCCTAGTGACAGACCTTCAGCTGGCCTTGTTGCTCACCTTGGGTTGCTTGACCGTCTTGTGAGGCCCGGCCGCCGGCCTGTGCCTGCGTTTCCTGCTGCCAAGCTGTCTCGCCAAAACGTCATGGCACACGTTCGACCCACTCCCTCACTCTGTGGTGATGTTGATGAAGCAACAAATCTCCTTGACGCCTCATCTCTCGGAGGGCCTCAGCCTGGATCTTACTCCCACCGTTCTGAAACAGCGGCAGGCTGTTTTGCCATATCCTTTGCTGATGACTGTGAGTCTGCCGGCCCGCCTTCGAGCGCTGCCACCGCCATTCTCAAGGCTCTAGCGTCCAGCTCCGGCCCTGATCCCCTTGGCATTCCCCCTCGTGATGACCCTGACGAGTCTTACTCCTCATCACCTGGGCACCACGGTGATGTCTCTGGCGAGCCCAACTCCTCATCACCTGGGCACACCTCCGCTCCCGTCGACGGTACGCTTGGACCTTTACTGCCTACCGATGCCTCATCTGTGGATGACTCCAACGAGCTCTGCTCCTCCTCTTCAGGCTCGGAAGCCCCGTCGGAAGCCCCGTCCGGAGTCTCGGCCGCCTTGTCAGATGTAGGCACCGTTTTCCAGGAGAGCTACACGTCGTACCGTTTCCATGACAACCTTGCAGACAATGCTCTTCATGCCAGACCCCCCGACGCTC